AGCGGCAGCAACCTGGTCTCGGGTCCTCCTACCCCACACACACCCATGCGTCTCTTCAAGTTCAATTACGACGACGCCGTCACGCGCGCAAAGCTTGAGATGATGGTCAACGATCGTACGCCGGCACAAGCGCCAGCTGCGCAGCCCACGCGCGCAGGCGAGATCGAACGGGAGCGCAAGCGACTCAGGCTCGACGTCAAGCCTCGCAAGGTTCTCACGGGCGACCTCATGTCCATGCCCACCCTCGGCGAGCCCGCGCAGGACGCACCCACCAGAGCCCAGCCGGTTGTCGACTATGTCAAGGAGTCCACGGACTTTATGAGCGCGCTTCAAGACGCAGTCAGGACCCAGGCGCCTCCACGCCAGCCATCGCCAGAATGGGCAACCGAAGACGACGAGTCGTCGGGCAGTGGCGCCAAGCCACGCAGTCAGGCAGCATTTCACCAGGGCAAAGCCGATGTTGCGCGCACTCCTCAGGCGTCTTCGCCGGCAAGGCGCAGGCGTTCGTTTGGGCCGAGTCAAAGGTCATCGCCTCGTGTTGATGTGGTGCCGTCCGTCGTCGATCACGGCAGCCCGCAGCGTCTGTCCTCGCGCAGACTGCCGCCGGACTCGTCGTTCATCACCGAGTCCAGCTCCAACGATATCCCCATGTCCTCCACGCTCAAGTCGCGCGCATCCCTCTCGCGCCGCATCGCCGAGCAGATCCAGGCTGCCGAGTCTCCGCGCAAACTGCTGCGTCGCATCAGTGCAGCCGCGATCGCCGAGGACGAGGTGGAGCAGGAGCTGGATGGCCAGCACAATCAGCCGAGTGACGAAGCCGTCGCATACCGAGACCAGCAGATCCGCCAGCTCGAAGAGCGCATCCAAAGGCGCAGACAGCTCTACACACCGGCGAAAGCGAGCGTTCCGGCAGAGACCGCGCCCGATGTTGAACCACGCACCGTGCAGAGGCCGCAGCTCATCACCCTGCACGAGCCCACCCTTGACGTCATCGGTGGCCGACATGAGGACGACGAAAGCGACTTTTCCGACGACGAGTCGCGCGTGCATCAGGACGCGCGACCCAATGACCACGGCGCGCAGCTCGATGGCAACACGCGCCGATTCCAGGACGGCATCGTGCTGTACGATTCCGAGCGCATTCCTGATCCTCCGCTACCGGATCCGTCGAGGATGCTGCGCAACATTGCCTCTGCTGTTGAGCTTCGTGGGCGCGACGTGGATCGAGGTGCCCTTGCACGCGCCACTTCGCTGCTGGCGCTGCCGTCTCAACCTGACGCAGCCGGCACTGGCGTTCAAGGCGGCGGAGGTGCAGCGCGACGCGGCGATCGCACCGCATCCTCCAACACGCTCGTCGATCCAAGCTCGGCACGCACCGTGTCGGGAGACGTTGGCTCACAGCATACGCTGTCCGATCTCGGCGGCAAGGGCGCAACCATCACGCGCACGGGCAGTCTATTCAACATCAGCCAGATCCCCGAGCAGGAGATCGAGATCCTGGGCCGCGGCAAGCTCACCTTCAACAAGCAGCTCAACCGCTGGGAGAAAGTGGCGAGGTCGCGATCGTCGCACGAGGATCTGCGGTCCGCTGCAGCATCGCGCAACGAGATGGTCGATGCAGCCGCTCTTCCGACCGTGCCGACGAGAAGGACGCCGATTCCTGCCATCGCCGAGGCATCCGCCGAGGTTTCGAGGAGCGAGGATGTGTTTTCAGAGTCGCTCGAGGAGCAGCAGGCTCGCGTGCAGTCGGGCGGACGGTCGAATTCGTTCCAGCAACGCCTCGACAATCTGTCGTCGAGCAGCCTTGCAGCGGATGCGCAGCAGAGTGCGTCCAGCGATCCGTTCCGCGACTTTGAGAGCTTTGGGCAGAGCTCGCGCGCGCCGGCGTCGGTGTCGGGCAGCGGCGAGGACGAGTCGACGCCCAAGGCGGTCAAGTCGCGTCTGTTCGTGGCTGGGCGTGAGGCGCGGCAGCCGCAGCCGACCGTCTCCGTTGGGGCCACTGCGACAACGCCAGCATCCGAGCTGCTCCCGGCGCAAAGTCGAGTCCAAGGGACTCCCAGCGTCGGAACAGCGAATGGTGGAGTTGGAGGTCCGCAGCGACCGAGCGCTGCGAGTGGGCTTGCGCCGCGGACGCTGCCAACGAGCACGGTGCCGAGGTCCAGCTCGTCGCTGCGCAACGTGGTCACGTACAGCCCCGACTCGACGGCCAGCAGTCACATGTCCAGCACGGGGCAGGCGGCCCTCGAAGCTCGGAATGAGCGTGGCGTCGAGCTCCCTCCGAACCCTACTCAAAATCTCGCAGCAACGCGCACTCGAGGCTCGGAGCCTATTTTGGCGGGAACGCCGGCACGCCAGCCGGCGTACGCGTTCGGCACGCCCACGCCCAAAGCGTCGGTGTCGAGCATCTCGACGCCCAAGTCGATCCTCAAGCAGCCGGCGATGCGCGGCGAGCTGCCCGTGCGGCTCGGAACGGGATCGCAGAGCACGTCGGCAACTTCGGGTGCGGGCGGTGGCACGCCGAACCGAACCATCAGCTTTGCCGACCTCCCGCCTACGCGCGCGCGCGATTTAGGTTTGGCTCCATCTGCACGCAGAAGCGCGGGGCAACACGCTCAGGCCACCGCGGAGGCCGACCGAGACGCAGAGGACGATCGCACGCGCGCTATATCTTGCGCACTCCAGGCGCTTGCCGACCTCACGCTTGGCGATGAATCTGCTGCGGCTGCGCCGGTGGCGATCAGCAAGATGCTCGATCTGGATGCGAATCGGTCCCACTGGTCGTACCGCACACTGCGACGACCGCGCAAGACACGAAACGACCACGAGCCAGAGGCGAGCTGGGAGAGAGACGAGACGTACGACGAGCTGCACGGGTATCCGGACATGACGCTGCTCACGGACGCGTCGTTCAACTTTGCGCACGACAAGGTGCTCGAGGCCATCACAGACGTCGAGCCGTGGGAGCCTGGGTGGGACGAGCTGCAGGCGGTCGATCTGAGCGGACGCAGGCTCGAGTCGTGCGTGCGCCTCAAGGAGTTCCTTCCCGTGCTGGAGGAGGTGAATCTGCGCACCAACGAGCTATCCTATCTCACGGGCATCCCGGCCTCGGTGCGCGTGCTGGATGTGGCCGCGAACAGGCTCACTTCGATGGCGTCTTTTGGGCACCTGCTGCATCTCGAGGAGCTCGATATCAGCGGCAACCAGATCGACTCGCTCTCGCACCTGGGCTGCCTCAAGCATCTGCACACGCTCAAAGCCGACGGCAACGCCATTTCATCGCTCGATGGAATCGACCGCATCCGCAGTCTGGTGCACGTCAGTCTGGCGAGGAACAGGCTGCGTGGCATCAATCTTGCGACGACGCAGTGGACGGGGTTGGAGACGCTGGATGCGTCGCACAACCAGCTGATGTCGGTGCGCGGCCTCGCGGCCATGCGTCGGCTCAAGTCGGTCAACCTCGATCACAACGAGTTGGGCATGGTGGATTTGGCGCCGGCCATGGCGCGGCTGCGCGTGCTGCGCGTCAGCGGCAACGCCAAGCTGCAGACACTCGACGTGGCGCCTGCCAAACGGCTGCGTACGCTGTACGCCGACTACTGCGACCTGGACCGCATCGAGGGGCTGGACCAACTCGAGCACCTCGACAATCTCAGCATGCGGCAGCAGGCCGAAGCCGCCATCATCTGGCCTGCCGATCAACTGCGCGATGTGCGTCGGTTGTTCCTCTCGGGCAACGCCTTTCCGCAGGGTATCTCCACCGGTCCTGCAAGGGAGGCGATGGGACCGGCGTTGGTGCAGCCACTGCGGTTCCTCAATCTGGTGTATCTCGAGCTGTCGGCGTGTCAGCTGACGCATCTGCCCGAGGATCTCGCCGAGATGGCTCCCAATCTGCGCTCGCTCAACCTCGACCACAACCTGATCTCGACGCTGCCGAGTCTGGCGGGGATGGTGCGGTTGAAGCGGCTGAGTCTGGTCGGATGTCGCGTGCGCAGGAGCAAGGCGCTCATTGCGGCCGTGCGCGGACTTGGCGAACTGCAAGTTCTCGACTGCAGGACGAATCCGTGTACCCTCGGTCTGTATGCGCCCATGGTTGCACCTTCTCGAGTCGGGGCGGACACGGACGACGTCCTGGCGCCATCGTGGTTGCCGCCCGTACCGAATGCACAGATCGTCCAGCCTGATCTGGCGGCCGCGCAGCAGAGGAAAGATGCACAGGTGCAAAGAGACCAGCTGGAGCGTCTGGACAAGTCGCACTTTCACAGACGCCATGCACCCGTGGCGGACTACGCGGTGGACCCCAACGCCACACTCGCCCGAGATGCGCTGGCCATCGAGACGGAGCGCAGAGCTAGAGAGGCCGGAGCCAACTACTCGGCACTGTTCATGGCGGCCGACGCGCGGTTCGTCAAGACGCTGCCCAAAGTGTTTTCCGAGCGCAGGGTGTTGCATCGCGGCCTGCTCGCCATGGCGTGTGCCAAGCTCAGCTGGATCGATGGCTTGACTGTCGCGCAGGAGGAGGTGGATCAGGCGGATGCACTTGTGCAGAGTCGCAGGTTCGATAGGGTCCAGTAGGCGATCTCATGTATTTGTACGAAAGAATATACCTTGGTTACGAGCTATCTCGGTGGACTGATGAGCAGGGTCGGTTGGCAGTGGGGATGGAGGGAGGAGGCGCGAGGTGCGGAGGTGTTAGGGCGGAGACGGCCCGCGGGTGGCGAGGCGGAAGGAATCGCCGGGAGAAAGCTTAAACCCGACGCATCTCCGGCCATATTTTTTATGGGAAAACGCCGATGCACCAAACGTTCATCCTTACCTCTCGACATCCATATATCTTTGTCACCATCTGACCTTTCCACGGCGGTCCTCTATTCAAGCTGCTCTCCCTCACACCCCGTACACCCTTGGGCTGGTCAATCCGCCACCCTACCCGCGCTATTGCAACGACACGACTAGCCTTACGACCTTCATCTTCTCTAGCTCAGTACCGACGCTCTGGCACGATGGGTGATCCGTGGGACTGCCTGTACGAAGGCATGCTTCCCTTCCACGAGCACTTTCGCCACAGCATCTCGCAGATCTCTGCGCTGCTTACCGTTGTGTCCCCGCAGAGCGCGTCGAAGTCCAAGCCGACGGCGCTGAACAATCTGCTCTACCTCACCGCCTCGCTGTGTCGCTCGCTCGAAACGCACCACACCATCGAGGAACGCTTCATCTTCCCCACGCTCGCCAAGAAGCTGCCGCAGTTCGGCAAGTCGAGCCAGCATATCAAGGAGCACGACCAGATGCATTCCGCACTCCACAACCTCGAAAGCTACGTCGGCCAAGTCGCAACCAACCTCCGACAGGCAAAGGCCAAAGAGGGGTTGGAAGAGGTGTATGACCATGCGAAGATGGAGGCGTTGGTGGGGAAGCTCAAGGATACTCTGTTGCCACATCTGGCTGCAGAGGAAGCGAGTCTTAGGGCTCCAGTAGTCAAAGAGGCGGGATTCGAGCTGGGTGAGATTCGATACCTCATCCGATAAATTGCAATTCAAGGGTATAATTTAAAGCGTGCGGACACTTCGTAGGCCTGCACCGTCTTCGTCGGGAGCATCGTCTGCCTCCCACTCGGTGTCGTGCGAGTGCAGACGTTGGCGATACTCGCGCATGTAGTCGGGGAACTTGTCGTACATGGCCAGCAGGCCGCTCTTTTTCGCAAAGACCACCTTGACAAGCGCCACACCCACTTCTTCCGGCACCACCGTCCTCTCCCCCTCCATGCAAAGAAGCCCGTCGAAGAGCAGAGTGTCTTCGTCGTCAAACGGCGTGGGCTGGGTAAAGTCGGGTTGGAGCGCGGCGTCGATCCATGCTTGCGGGATGACGCGGTGTTGGGCGACGACGAGTTGGGCCAGCTCGACTTTGCGCCGCCTGGGCACTGCCTGCAAAGCAGCCACGACGGCGGCCTTGGCAACGACGTGCAGCGCCTCCACTGCGCGTGGGGGGCTGGACGAGAGCGAGTCGGCGTAAGCGGTGAGTTCGTGCGCAAGCGCCATGAGCACTCGCCACATCGCACCGCGACACGCGAGAAAGAGTGTGTGCGCCTCGATCGCTGTCCTCCAAAGGCCGAACTCGAGCGCAAGGTCCCCAGCGGTGAGTGCGAGACCGTGCGTGACCGTCCAGTTTTGCTGCTGCACCTTGTCCATATCCACGCCGCGCTTGCCGTCGGATCCGCGAACCACCATGCCTGAGAATCCCGCGCGTGTGTCGCCCGCCCCCACGCGCACTTCGCGCATGGCAAACGTCAGGAACCCCTGCGCCAACGTCTCAAGCTCGACCTGCTTCCACTCGTACTTCGCATCTGCCTCGCATGGCACCCATGACGAGACGTGCTGTGCAGGCGGCGTGGAGCGACGCAGCGTAAGGAGCGCACGCATGCCTACGTCAACAACGTCCTTGATGACACCCCAGTTCTTGCTGAGCTCGCGCTCCTGCTTTGAGCGGCGCAACGCCATTTGTGACGTATCCACCTCCTGTGCCGCTTCAGCACTGCCAAAGGCGAACGGAATGTCCATCGAGACGGCGAACGAGACGACGTAGGCGAGGCAGAGCTCAAAGTGGCCCTGCACGTACAGGTAGTTGGCGGTCCACTCCTGGCCTGTCGATCCGGTCCGGTCGGCTTTGCGGTGCGCCAGAAGGTCAGCTGGAGTCGGAACCTGGAAGATGGCAGCATCGAATGAGGCGGAGGGAGGCGTGATGAAGCCGGCAGGGATGTCGATCTTGGCCGTGTACTCGGCCTTGGCGCGTTGGAAGAGCGCCTGGATCTTGGCGGCGCGTGGGTCTTCGGAGCCCTTTTCTTCGATGTCGATCTCGCCCAGCAGGCCGTCGAGCGCGGACAGGTCGTGTTCCGCCATGGCGCTAGTGTGAGCCAGACGAGCGTGTGGTGGTGGTGTGGATCAGAGGGTTGCAAGTCGTCCTCGTCAAAAGGTTCTTCTGCGAGCGGTGATTTCAAAAAATGATCCCCGATGTGGGCCCAGCACTGTTTGGATCACCCGATGCTGCGCCCGACCTCCACCGCATTTATGCAGCGGCGGCTGGTTTGTGCGGTGCGGCGATGCGCGAGGAACTGAGGCTGAGCTGAAATCGCTTTCTCAGGGACACCGAGAGAGGGAAGCGGCGATGCGAGTGGAAGGCATCAGCGAGCAGAGACATGCACACTGCCGCTCTGGTCTCAGCAGCCGAGCCGCTCGTCAGGGTCCAGGCCGCGCTTCCCTCTCCTCTCCTCGACGCCTCTCCACCATCCATCACAGCCGGCCGCACTGCACCAGCAGGCTCTACAAGATGCCGGGCTACACATCCGCGCCGCAACGGCCGCATCGTCGTCCACCGCTTATCACAACCCTTTCGCTTCTCCTGGCGCTGGCAGTCACCTTGCTCGCCCTGGCAGCCCCAGCGTCGGCACTCGAAGTACGTGCGACCAACGTGCGCGGCACGGCACCTAGTCTCGAGAGGCGATATCTGCAGACCTACCGCTCCATATTCTCCAACTCATCCATCGGAGATCGACCGCCCAACTGTCCTCCCTGCCCCGAACCCGACTGCTTCAACTGCCAGTTACCCGCGTACGAATGCTACCAGTTCGGCGAGTGCAACGAGTACGACGGTCTCTGCCGCTGCCCCGTCGGCTTCGGTGGGCCCGACTGTCTTTCGCCCCTCTGTGGCTCGCCAGCCGACGGCCCCAAGCGCTTCCCCAAGGGCGAACCGGGCGACGACAGGTCCTGCCAGTGCTCCGACGGCTGGGACGGTCTCAACTGCAACGTCTGCCGAACCGATGCAGCGTGCGCCAACTTCCTGCTCGGCGGAGAGCGCCTGGGCGAGAACGGCACGTGCTACGACGGCGGCGCCACCATCCAGCAGAGCTTCCAGCAGTGCGACGTGACCAACCAAAAGATCGTCGACATGCTCCCCGGCCGCCCGCCCCAGGTGACGTTCAGCTGCGACAAGAGCGACGCCTCCTGCAACTTTCAGTTTTGGATCGGCGCGCGCGAGTCCTTCTACTGCGGCCTCGACGACTGCCAAGAGTCGATCGAGATCGGCGCGTCGTCCAACAAGACGTCGTACGACTGCAAAAAGGTGGCGTGCAAGTGCATCCCCGATCGCATGCTCTGCGGCGAGTCCGGCAGCATCGACATCTCGGACTTCCTCACCGAAGAGATCAAAGGCCCCGGCAAGATGTCGTGCAAAACCGACGCGGACGGCGTGCGCAAGTGCCGCTTCGAAGAGCCCGGCATGAACGGGCTCATCTCGGACGTTTTTGGCGACGAGGCCATCTTCATCACGTGCAAGTCGGGCGAGTGCATCCACTTTAGCCAGGTGCCCGGCTACCAGGCTCCCATCGCTCCTGAGCGACCCGTCACATGGGTGGTCATCAGCGCCGTCGCCGCCATCCTCATCGTCGTCGTCTCCGTCAGCCTGCTCTGGATGCTCGGCAGACACTACAAGGACGACGAGGTGCGCCTGGGCAGCGTCCGCCTGCCCCAAGAGGAGGCCGACCTCATGAAGGACCACATCCCCGCCGCGCTCCACTGGGAGGACGTCGGCTACCGCATCGGCTCCAAGGCGCTCCTCGACGGCATCGGCGGCTGCGTCAAGCCGGGCGAGGTCATGGCGATCGTAGGTGCGAGCGGCGCGGGCAAGACGACGTTCCTCGACATCCTCGCGCGCAGGGACAAGCGCGGCACCACCTCGGGCACCGTGCTCGTCAACGGCCGCAAGATGGCCGACCAGGAGTACAAGCGCGTCGTCGGCTTCGTCGACCAGGAGGACCTGCTCATGGAGACGCTCACCGTCTACGAGACCGTGCTGTACTCGGCGCTCCTCCGCCTGCCCAGGGACATGTCGCTCGAGGCCAAGAAGTTCCGCACGCTCGAGACCATGCAGGAGCTCGGCATCCTCGGGATCCGCGATAGCCGCATCGGCGGATCCGGCTTTACGGCAGGCGGCAGCAAGGAGGGCCGGGGTATCAGTGGCGGCGAGAAGCGCAGGGTGTCGATCGCATGCGAGCTCGTCACCAGCCCCAGCATCCTCTTCTGCGACGAGCCCACCTCGGGGCTGGATGCGTACAATGCCTACAACGTCGTGCAGTCGCTCGTCACGCTCGCAAAGACGTACAAGCGCACCGTCATCTTTTCCATCCACCAGCCGCGCTCCAACATCGTGGCGCTGTTCGATAAGCTGCTGCTGCTGGCCGAGGGCCGCGTGGTGTTCTCGGGGCCCTTCGCACGCTGCAGCGACTACTTCGCCGATGTCGGCCACGCCTGTCCGCCCGGGTTCAACATTGCGGATTTCCTGATCGACCTTACTGCGCGCCGCACCCACGGCGGTGGTGAGGAGGCTGAGGCAGATGTTGAGGGCGGGGCGCATGTGCGCGGCGAGACGAGCATTGTCACGACGGGAACCAACTCGCGCGACGAATCCACCGAGCTTCGCACACGGCCCAACTCAATCGCTGAAGGCAGCACGGGCAACGGGGTGCGCAAGCGCACGAGCCGGCTGGCGAGTGGACTGCGCAGTGCATTTGCCCACGGCGAGTCGAACGGGAACGCCGTTTGGATGCCCGCGCTGAGCAGCGGCAAGCTCGTGCATCTCGTCAACGCCTTTGCCGACTCGGACATGGCGGGCGACACCAAGGCGGAGCTCGACGCGTTCCTGGGCCGAACCCCGCGCGGGGTGGAGAACGATCTGCCGGACGTGGCGAATGACGGGGCGCTGCTGCGCACGTACAAGAAGGCCTCGCTGTGGACGCAGTTCAAGATCCTCTCGGGACGTGCGTTCAAAAACCTCTACCGCGACCCGATTCTGATGGTGGCGCACTTTGGGCTGGCGATTGTGTTGGCGCTCTTCTGTGGGGTGCTGTACCACGGCGTGACGAACGACATCAGCGGGTTCCAGAACCGGCTGGGGCTGTTCTTCTTCATCCTGGCGCTGTTCGGGTTTTCGTGTCTGACGTCGTTGGGCGTGTTTGCCAACGAGCGCGCGCTGTTTGTGCGCGAACGCAGCAACGGCTACTACACGCCGCTGACGTACTTTACCAGCAAGTTGCTGTTCGACATTGTGCCGCTGCGGGTAGTGCCACCGTTGCTGTTTGGCGGGTGCGTTTACTTTTTGGTCGGCTTGGTGCCGGGTGTGGCCGAGTTTTGGAAGTTCATCCTTACGCTCGTGCTGTTCTCGCTCGCCGCGAGCTCGGCGGTGTTTTTGATTTCGATTGCGATTGCGGATACGGGATTGGCGAATCTGGTGGGGTCGTTGACCATGTTGTTCTCACTGCTGTTTGCAGGGTTGCTGATCAATCGCGATCGCATCCCGTACGGGTTTAGATGGCTGCAGCATCTGTCGTTCTTCCATGCGGCATACGAAGCGTTGATCGTCAACGAACTGCGCAATCTTAGTCTCAAGGAACACAAGTACGGCATCGACATCGAGGTGCCCGCTGCAAGCATCATCAGCTCGTTCGGATTCAACTCCCAGGCCTTCTGGTTCCCAGACATCGCCACCCTCGCTGCGCTGTTTGTCACCTTTACCACACTCAGCGCTGTTACACTTGTCGTATTCGTGCGCGAGCGCAAGTAGCCCCCCCACACATTGCGGAAATAGATTTGCATTCACGGTTATCGCGAGGATATGGGGAGGTTTAGAAGACAGTGCCGTCGGAAATGACGTTGATCGGCGGACCTTTGGTGTCGGGTCTCTTTTCAGCCGCGATTTGGCGGCCTCCCTTCCAGGTTGCCGCCTCGAGCACCTGCTTGAGGTTGAGCTGTTCGGGCTTCAACCCGAGCTTCTCGCGGATCTTTTCGGCGGTCCGGTCGAGCAGCACCACCGTGAGGGCTCTCCACTCTACCACCGCCGGATGTTCAGCCGGAATGGCCGGAATCTCGCCCTTGTCCAGCGACGCATCGAGCAGCGTCTGTTTGGGCACGAGCACGCCCAGATCAACAAACAGTCCGCCGTTGCGATATTCTGGCAGGCCGGTGCCGTGTTCGGCGTCGGCGAACGTCCAGCCAAGCGTGGCGGTCATGGCTTCCTGCAGCGAATAGCACATCCACTGGCTCAGCTTGTGGAACGGCACCATCGCTCCGGCACTATCGGTGGCGACAGAGGAGAGACGAGCAAGCGTGGCGTTGGGCCAAACATCACCCATGGCAACGCCGTCGAGGTGCGTGCGCGATGCAGGCCAGATAGGTGCAAGCCCGTACATAAGCACCTCCCACAGGACGGGAAGGCTTACTGCCACCTTGCCGTCCACGGTGCGCGTGGTAGGGTGCGTGGCGAGGTAGTCCACCAAGAATCCGGGTCGTCGCTGCGAAGGTGCAGCGCCAGAAGGTCCACGGAAGAACCCATGCACGTCCGATTCGAGCGCCTGGCCGAGTTTACTCAGCAAGGCGGCACGGCCTTCGAGACCCGTCATGGGGTTGGTATCGGGATGCACCTGCATGTCGATAGCCAGCATGTCGGACGACAGATTCTGTAGCCCCGCCGCAGTCGCTTTATGATTTCCTCCAGGACCGGACGAGGTGTCGGACTCGGTGCAGAATCGGCCGGCGGTAAACATGTCGAGACTCGCCACGGCCAGACCCTCGGATCGACCGTACGAGAGACCGGTCTTCTTCTCCTCGTACGTCCACTTTGTGCCGGCACCCGCATCGAGCAGCACCGACACCATAAACAGGTCCACCAGCCGGCGTGCTGCCTCGGTCGCATCCACTGCCGGCGTAGAGGTGGGCGTGGACAGCGCAGCCCACGACGAGAGCAAAGTCGTCACGCGCGGGATGTTGCCCACGTCAAAGTGTCGCCACCGCCCGTGGGGCGGAATGGACGCATAGTCCGTACCGTAGTCGCGCGCAATGATTTCGATGCAGTAGTCCGCAACCGCGTCTTCGCGAGATTCGTCGTAGCGGAAGTACTCGAGCGAACCCTGCGCGGCGGCTTCGCCAAAGATCTTGTAGCACCGCTCGCGAACGGCGGGAAGCGTACGCAGGTACGCCACGTCGGCCGACACGCTCGAACTTGCTGCACTCATCTTCGTGGTCGATGGGTGGGAAAGGGATGGTGGGAAGGTGAAGGGGAGAGGATGCGTGTGGTTGCTGAAGGAAGCAGACAGGGGAACGGTGGCTCGTGCGGCATCAACAGGGTTCGAGCGATACGGAGCTGCACCGCCCCACATCCGACCATCCGAGCTGCACTCCGACAGGGTCCCTTGCTCCACGCAGCGGCGCGAAAAATTCGCAAGCATGTTAGGTCGCGCATCCACGTCAATAAGAGCTCGAGCGTTATCTCCTCTTTGGGCTGCAAGATAGCAGCGCCTCCCGAACACCCGGGCCTGCTCACCAGCCTCCTGCCACGCCTGCAGCAATGCTCTGCTGCCGGCTCTCGGCCCGCTTGGCCTCGGAGGTCGCCACCTACTCCGCCAACCCATATTCGACCAGCACGTCAAGAACAGAAAGTTGATAGAGATTATGTAGTGGTATCAATAAATGAGGTTGGCTCGCATCAGGAGCTGATATGCAGGAGAAAGAAAGGAATGTGGGAGTGGTCCAAACGAATATGGACAGACTTTTTGGTGGTGTGGTGGTATGGTGGCGGTATAGTGGCAACATCAAGATGCTCCTGATCTCTTGCGAAGGTACTCTTCGTGCATCTCTCGCCGCGTTCGAGACAGACCGGGACTCTGCTGCTGCTGAGCCATCATCGAGGCGGGTCGGGCAGGCGGCGGTGGCATGGTGGCGGCTGCCTGCCGTTCCCTTTGTCGTTCGCTTTCGGCTTGGAGCCTCAAGACACGCTCCGATAGATCTTCGAGTACAGCCATCCGGTCGTCCTGCCTGCCGAAACTCGGGCCCGGCCTTGTGTTGAGGGCCATGTGGCCAACCCCGAGGCTCTGAGTGCGCCCGTGCCCGGGTCGGAGGATGGACGTCGAGTCTCCACTGTCGCCATGCATACGCGCAGCGACAGGTGTCTGAAGTGTCCCAAATTCGTCCACAGATGAGAAGACGCCGCGTGGTGGCAAGATCCCTTTGGTTCGTCGTAGGGTGCGGCCTGGCTTAGAAGGCGACCCGCCATCGTCGGCATCTTTGGCCGCAGATCGAATCTCCTCTTCAGCTCCGGGCTCGTTCGGCTTGACAGACTCGTTTTGCGGCTTCTGCGTGAAGAATGTTCGAAGCAAGTCTAATGCTGCCGAGACTTCATTGAAGCCTACCTTGTCCCGAGCTTGATCCGGAGCGGTCGCCAATCGGCGCAGCGATTCAGAGTCGGTCGAGGTTTCGAGCACGGATTGCGGCCTCCGTGTGATGAGGAAGGCACCCTCGCTGCTCTTTGCATTCCTCTGCAGCGCGATGCTATGCCGAGCTTTGGCCGCGGACGAAGCAGCACTGTTCGGAGGAAGGATCGCGTCACTCGATCTCGTCAGCTTCATGGAGCTGGCGCCCGTGCCAGAAGGTGGCATGCTGGCCTGCGACATTCCTCGCGCACGTCGAAGCGCAAGTGCCGTGCCAGAGACTCGCTCGGGAGGGTTGAAGCCGCCGTCCACGTTTAGGCCGCCGCTCGATCCGGTCCTGCCGGCGGTCGACATGCGAAGTGACCCTGGTGCAATGTGGGAGCGTGGGCGGGTGGGGCCCGTGGTACCATTCGACACCTGAGCTTCATTTGCAGCCAGGTTGCCAACGGAGCTGCGGCTGCTTGTGCTGGCACTGCTGCTGGGTCTGCCCGATCGCATATTTTTGTTGTAAGGCTCCGCCATCAGCCTGGATCGTGTCGAGGACGACGACACGGACAGCGACTCGAACGAAGTCCGCTCATCCGGCCGATTTGGAGTCGCTGCCACGATCGGCTCTTGGGTTGCAGGAAGCGCAGAGGTGGACGCTCGATTTTGAAGCACGACGCTGTCGCGACTTCTGGGCCACGTCCGCCAGCGTTCCTCGGCCATTTGCTCGATCGAGACGGACTGTCCAAACTCGCTGAAATCGTGCATCGCGACCTCGGGTGTTGCATCTGGGCGCAGTGCTCCCATGGCTTGAGGAGCCATTTCGGCTGGCTTTCCCGCGGCGCGGGATTGACTCTGACTCAGACCGATGGAGGAGGCCGGCGTTGTAGTCGAATGACTGCTGGCGGTGGCTGAGTGGGCTCCGCTGATGGAGCTGTGCAGGTCGTTGAAGGAAGTGTCCCAAGTGGATGAGTTGCTGTTCGAGGTGAAGCTGGCCTCGGTCGTTGCACCCAAGGATGCGCTCGAAGTCTCGTTCTGATGCCATCGACCCGCGCGGTGATGCAAAGCGCCGGAATCATTGTAAGAATGAGCTGAAGCCAAAGGATCCTCCGCATTCGGGCCCAGAAACCATCGGCCCATCTCGTCGACGAGCATGAGGCCAGACGGGGCTGATGGAATGCGGCTCGCCTTGCTGTGTGCTGCTGGGCTCGAAACGTCCAGGTTGAGACCAAGGCCCGATAGAGCTTCTTCTTCGACCACTTTGCCGCCACCGCCCTGTCCGCCACCAGAGTTTACCGGGAGAAAGAAAGCACGGTCGTCATGCATGTTAACCTGCGATTTGGCGCCGGCCACTTGGGCAGTCTCTCGCCCACCAGTGGAAGCCGAGTAGTTGCTTGTTGCCAGGGTCGAAGGAGAGTGCAGATATACGGCCGAGGCGGTTGCAGCCGATGGCTGCCGGGGCAACAAGCCAGACGAGGCTCTCTCTGTGTTCGAGGCTGCGGATGAATCGTTGACAGTCATGCGCTGTCCCAGAGGACGGGCGTGTAGCCCAGCAGGATCCAATGGAGGCGGATTGGAGGCAGTGAGGTGCATCGTCTGTGGATCGAGCTGGTCGGTGAGATCATTGCTGGGCAGAAGGTGCGTGGACAGGCTCGGTGTTTCCTGTTGAAAGATGGAGCTGAGGAACGAAGCGTCGTTGGAGCCGATCGGGAATGCCGACATGGCCGGCGTGGGCGACAGGGAAGCATTCGAAGTCGGGCTGAGCACAGATGTGCTTGCGATTGGATATTCACTGGCTTGAGCGCGTTGATTGCCCGAAGGCTGTTCTCGGTAGGATCGGAAGGCACCCGAAGTAGTAGGCGGGACAGCAACACCCTCTGTGCTGACGGGCAGGAGCGACAACCCGTCTGCTTGAGTCCAACGCGCCGAGGCCGTGATCGGCACGCTTCCGATAGCATGAGAAGCGTGGGAGACGGGCATGGGTCTCGGCTGCGAGCCGATGGCAAACATGTCAAAGCTCCGCTGTGATGAAGAGCCTGACATGAGCCACTCCTGGTCCCGCGCTAGTGTTCGATACTGTTGTCGGCTGTTTGGGTGAGGCGTTGAGTCGTCCTGGCCCAAGACGGACTCGCGCACAGGAACGGTCGGCCATGGCGACGCAGGAGTACCGGGTGAGCTGAAAGCCTCGTGCCCTGAGAGGGAGAGAAGCTGCGGCGGAGCTGGATGGCGCGTGGGCGTTTGCAGGGCGTGGTCTTTTGCTGGTGTGATTGAATGCGATGCCGGCGTCGGCTGGCGTTGGCTTGCAGGGGCAGCCTGAGACGCCGTAGGGCTAGCCAGCGTTTTCTTGCGTAGAGAGGTGGGCGTCGTGATGCTGAGAGCGTGATCGAGGGTCGACACGTAGGAGGACGACGGCTGCTTCCTGCGATGCGAAGGGGAAGGCACGGGTGATTCGCCTTGCTGATTGGCATGGTCATAGTCAGGGTGCTGCATCACGCACGCCGGAAGCGCACCTCCGCACGCACAACAGCGGACTCTCTGTGAAGCCGATTACCGACGAGACGATGGCGCGGCTTGGCGAAGGTTGGCATGGGTGTGCTGAGAATGCAACTGGACGAAAAAAGATATGTGTGCTGTTGAGAGCACCGCTTCCACTGTTCGAGGTGATGATGCAGCCCGGGTGGAACGCAAGAGCATGTGTCGAGGCCAGCGGCGGGGCTGGCGGGATGAGGTTGAGATCAGGGCGGTCGAAGTGTTTGCAGTATTAGCAAGGTCCGTCGAGATCGGTGACGGTCGTCGCGGCCAAACGTATGATTGAAACGGAAAGCTGGCGGATCAGGAGGGCCAGCTTCGGCGACCGATCAGAGCGATTGCAGAAACGTGGGCAGTTCAAAGGTGCGGTCGAGCATGAGTCCGGGATGCGACGGGCCGATAGTGTGTCGAGTGATTCGGAATGCTTTTGTGGCGACGGAGGCTGCAGCCACACGGGAGGTATAGGTGGCGCCCACAAGGCCTGGTCGATGTCGATCACGAACCCTGATGGATCTGCAGCGGGGTAGGCAGAGTTCTCCGGAAAAGCTGCAGGGCCGACGAGAGGGCAGGGCGAGCAAGTTGGCCGTTCAGGGACCGGGCTAAAGTCCGCCTGCGCGCGGTTGTATGGACACGCAAGATATCGGAGGCTGAGCGGAGGTGCAGAAGAGGACGGAAGTATTGGCCGGAGGCCGGTGGAGCAAGCTGGGTCGACAAGTTCCGAAGGAGGAACCGCAGCCACCAGAGCTTCCTAGCATGTGGGAGCAAAGAAGACTCGACGAGCGCCAGAGTCGGGATCCGGCTACTGTGGGTGGAGCGCAGGAGAGATGATCGATGTCGTGCAGCTGTGCGGGACCTCCTTCAACTGCATGTGAGCACCTCGGCGTCGGCGTCCATAGTTGGCATCGGCGTAGACCAGAGCGAGAGCCGCGACGGCGAAAAAAAAGGAGAGAGGGCAGCAGAAGAAGCTTGCCGTGCAGCTGCATTCTGACGCAGATTTCTTGGCCGCAACGTTCACTCTCACAGGCGAAGAGGGCCGGCCGGGCCGAAGCGAAGAAAGCTCGCCGGACCCGCCTGGAAAGCGAGTCAAACGCAGACCACCGTGTGCCGGCCAACCCAGACTCGGCGTGATTGCAAGAAGAAAGCAAAGACGGCCGCGGAAGCTGTGTGCCGTCGACCTGCATGGCCAAGCCAGCCGAAACAACAAAAAAAAAAGAAAGAAAAGTGTTGTTCTCTGCGACGCGAAGATGAATGCGCGTCGGAGGAGCGGAGGAGCCGGGCGAGGTGGACCTGCAGGCTCCTTTTTCTCGTTTCGAATGCACACAATCACGCAAAGCCAGCGTCCATCACATGCATGGCAGTGCTTTCTCACACCTCTCGGCCTCAGCGACATAAGTACTGCAGCCTGTTGCCTCGGCGGATCTCTTCATTCAGCTGTATCTTCCATCGGAGTCAAGTTTCGTCTGAAATAAAGCGCTCAGCACGACTCACGAGGAGCCCGGCGCAGCGTCGACCATCTTTCGTATCGCCGACGCGCGCTGCGTGTAGGCCTGCTCGCCTAAACGTCGTGCCGGGCCACGATCGAATTTCTTCATTCACTCCTGCAGGCATGACTTAAGCGATGCACACCTGGGCGACCAGCTCACTCGTTCTGCTCGTGCCGCGGAACTGACGTGATGAACAGCGGCGCCTTCGGCTCCACGACGATATCAGGTCTGCGTCGGCCCGTAGCAGGCACGGTTGCTAACGGGGAACGTCCCACTTGGCCGAGATGATCACGGCGCAGTGCAACGACTAGTCCACGCGGACACGGGAATCGATTTGGTCATGCATCATGCAGGCTCCTCTTTGCGCCTCCATGAGAGCCGCACTGACGCATCGCAGCCGAGACGTCGGCGCGCCCACGCCGGGCCGTCGCAAGCATCCGCAAGCACCCGCAGTGCCGCATCACGTCGTCCAAGCGAGGACGAGGACGCAGCGGCATCCTCAGAGGTCTGGGCGCTGCAAGCGAGACAGGAGGGCGGTGATCGTCGCTCGTTCGAGCTCTCCTCCAACGCGCGACCGGGACGGACTCCGCTTCGCGTTGCTTTCAGAGCTTCTGGGAGGCCTTACCCTGGCATCGTGTGCCCATGGTTAGCGCCGATGGATCGCCGTCGATCGCCATGTGTGCAGAAGCATGGGATTCGTACTGTAGTTGCGTCGGTTCTGCCTCCCCACGCACCCAAATTCGATCGCCTCGCCAAAAAGAAGCATTTGTTTGCACCGCCCTTGGTTGACAGGTGCAAAAGTGAGACAACCAACGCCCTCTGTCCCTTCCAAGCGACCAACAAACAAATCCCTTCTTTCGTCCCTCGGCTCTCTTGGCTCCGCGTAGGCGTGCCTCGGACTTACTCGTCGAGCGCAGAGCTTTCCATCCTGCCTCGCCAGAAGCAATTGCCCTTCCTCGGTTCCCGCGCCTCGCTCGTCCCGCGTGGACCCGCCTCGGCCCGCCCTCGCGCCCGCTCAATGAAATCGCCTACACTAATGAATTCGTATGCGGCCTGGGCGCAATCAGCACACCTTCGACTCGGCTCTCAAACGGCTGGGCCTCTAGCATTTCCGCGGCTATCGTATCGGATCATCTTTCGATTTCTAGGAGTCTTCTCTACGCGACACAGGGCAAAGGGTCTAGTTGGCGGATCCACGGCCGATGGCCTTCATCTCTGTGCCGATGTTGGCGAGCTGCAGCGGTTCCGCATCCGCCTGCGACGGCGCAGGCAGGAAGCCAACCGCCAGCAGCCAGGCGAGGTACGTCCCAACGAGCGAGCGGTCGACGCCCATGACCGTGCCTTGGGCTTTGCCCTCGGAGGCAGCGTCGAGGATCGCCTGCGTGTGGCGGTCGTCCAGCTCAGGCGACTTGGTCGACGTCGGCAAGTCGTCCAGCACAAAGTGCAGCAGCGGGAACAGCGCGTTGTCCTCGACCGAGCCCGAGCCCGTGCTGAGCACGTGCTCCTCGAGCCTCGCGCGCCAGTGCACGTACTCGGTCTTTTCCACCCTCCAGCCGTAGCGGCTGAGCTGGCCGAGCATGTCGTTGAATCGGATGCTCGGGTGGTTGGTCACGTGGAACACCTTGGCGTTGGTGCCAGGCGTCTTGTTGATCGTGTCGAGCTCCAGCGCATTGTTGAGGCAAGCCAGCGTGGCGATCCTCGCCACATGGTCGACGGGCACCATGTTGATCGGGTTGTGCATATCGGGGACCAAGCCCAGCTGGATCGAGCCCTTGACGAGACGCCAGAGGAAGTCGTCCGTGTTGGTCACCGCCGTCGTGGAGTCACCCACGACGTAGCCCGGTCGAACGATCGACGCCTTGAGTCCGCGCGACGCAGCGATCATGATGAGCTTCTCTGCCACCCACTTGGACTGACCGTAGCCCGTGGTGAGGCCGCGGCTGTTGGCCTCGATGTCGTCCGTCTCGGGCACACCGTGCAGCTGCTCCGCCGATCCATTCTGCGCAGGGTCCTGACCGTGCACGATCGAGTCCGACAGTCGGATGTAGTGGTCGGTATCCAGCGCCGAGGTACTCGACACGAACGTGAGCGTCTTGGCCTTCTTGCCCGTGTTGCACAGCTTGATCGCACAGATCGTCGAGCCCACATTGGCAGCACGCAGCTTGCTGTAGGGGTACACCCAGTGCACGAGAGCACCGTTGTGCAGGATGTCGTCCACCTCGTCCGCCAGCTTGGCGTACGCCGCCTCCGACATGCCCAGGCGCTGCGGTGCCGCCAGGTCACCCAGAACCACCTCGAGACGTCCCTCGCTCACCCACTTGTCGTCCCAGATGCCTCGGCCCTTGCAGCCCTCGCGCAGACGCTCGAGCGCGTTCGCCTCGTCCTTGGCTCGCACATGCGCGTACACCTTGGCAACGCTCGACGCGCGCTTGGTCAGCAAGTCGTACAGGATAAAGGCGCCCAAGAAGCCAGTGACACCCGTCACCAGCACGGTGCGTGGTCCTGCCGCAGCCGTCTTGACCTTGTCACCCGCAAACGACTCGGGCAGGCTCGGCGTCAGCGTTGCCACGTCGGCGCCGTAGTTCTCGTCCAGGTTCGCCTCCTCGCTCGGCTTGGCCGAGGCCGCCGAACCGTTGGCTTGCGAAGCACCCAGGCCAAGATCGGCCTGGCGCAGCTGGTCGACAGCCTTGGCGAGACCTCGAACAGTGGGAGCGTCGAAGACAACTCCAAGAGGCACGTTGATGACAAACTGCTTGCGCATCTCGAACACCAGGCGCGTGGCCAGGATCGAGTGGCCTCCGAGGTCGAAGAAGCTCTCGTCGAGCGGGATCGGCGAGGGTGCGTTGGGCAGCAATCGCGACCATAGCTCCGTTACGGAGCGCTCGGTTGGCGAAGCAGCCGCCAGCGCAGCCGCAGCGTCCGCACCGTTCTTGCCACCGGACGAGCTGCCCGAGCCCACAGCGGCCACCATGGCGGTGTCGGGGAAGGGCAGCGCAGGCTTGTCGATCTTGCCGTTGGGGTTGAGCGGCATCTTGTGCAGCGGAACGAACAGCGTCGGCACCGAGTAGGCTGGCAGCTTCCGCTTGAGGTGGTCGCGGATGTCCTTGATGAGCGTGCGGTAACGGCGCATGCCCTTGACGAGCATGGCGTCGCGGGCGGCCTTGCCTCCTGCCGCCGCTGCGCCCTCGTCGTCCTCGGTGACCTGCTCCTCGAACTCGGCAGCACCGGCGCCGGGCACAAAGTAAGAAACGAGCACCTTCTCCTCGTCCTTGTCGCGACGTACGAGCGTCACGTTCTCGCGCACGTGCGGGTGGCGCGAAAGGTGCGTGTCGATCTCGCCGAGCTCGATGCGGAAGCCGCGGATCTTGATCTGGTCGTCGGCACGGCCCGTGCACTCGACGGTGCCGTCGGCGAGGTAGCGACCCAGGTCACCCGTCTTGTACATGCGGTCGCGGATACCCTTCCAGAACTGACCCTCGGGCTTGTCCTTGATGGTATCGGGGAAGCTGAGGTTGGGCGCGAGGAAGTTGGGCATGAACTTTTCAGCCGTCACCTCCGGGGGTCCAAGGTAACCCTCGGCCAAGCCACCGCTGCGGACGTAGATCTCTCCGACTTCGCCCACGGCGCAGGTGGCGGTGCGCTCGTTGCGGTTGACGACGAGCAGCTGGACGTTGATCATTCCTTGTCCGGCGGGCATGATGTCCTTCTGCGTCTGCAGGAAGGTGGTCGAGGTGCTGACGGGAGGGATGGCAAAGTAGCTCACCGCACGCTGCGTCTCGGTGGTGCCGTACATGTTGATGATGCAGACGTTGGCGGCAAGCGCCTGCAGACGCGTGCAGTCGCGCTTGGTGAGCACGTCACCCACAAAGAAGGCGTTGCGAAGCGAAGGGATCAGCGCCGTCGCCTGCGCACTCAGCAGCTGACCCATGGCGGGGGTGAGGTGCGTGACGGTCGCCTTGGTCGCCGCCATCCACTCGGCGAGACGGCCAGGCGTACCGATATCCTCGGATGTGGGGATGTGCAGCTCGGCGCCAAAGAAGAGCGGAGTGAAGATGTCGCGCTGGATGGGGTCGTGGGCGATACCGGAAAGCATGGTGAATCGCTCGTGCGCTCCGAGGCCGAAGCGCTCGCCCATCCAGGGGAAGAAGTGGGTGAGCGAAAAGTGGCGTCCCTTGACACCCTTGGGAATGCCGGTGGATCCGGAGGTGAACGAGAGCGTACCCACGCTGTCGGGACCCAGCACGACGTTGGTGCTCTCGCCCGCCAGCGCCTGCTGCTGTTCGAGCACATCAGCACCGCCTTGCGACGCAGCGCCACCCCGAACGGAGCCGTCATCGAGCAGCTCGAGCGCTGGGACCTCGGTGCGGAGTTCGAGCTCGTCCTGGATGCACTTGCGCACCGAGGGCTGCAGGACGCCTGCCTTGGCCAGCACGATCAGGGCGCGAGGCTTGGCGACCTGGAGGTAGATGTTCTGGCGCGAAGGCGGGTACGCCGGGTCGATCACGCTGAATGTCGCGCCGGCCTTGAGCGTACCGAGAACAGCGACGACGAGGTCGACACCACGGTGGGCGTAGGTCGTAACGACCTCCTCGCGCTGGACACCTGCCTGGAGGAGATGGTGAGCGACCACGTTGGAGGCGCGGTCGAGCTGGCCGTAGGTGATTTCGCGCACGCGGCTTGCCGGAGCCGAGGGCTCGGCGAGCGAGCCCGAGTCGTCGGCAAGCGACTCGACGATGCACCTGCGGTCCGGGTGCGCGCGTGCGTTGCGCTCAAAGATCTGTGTGATGGCGCCGCGGAATCCGCACCACTCGAGGTCCTTGGTGGGGTCCGGCAGGAATGCGTTCTCTTGCGGCGTGCGGATGGGCAGGCTGCCGACGGCGGCGGCTGGGTTGGATGCAGCGACGGAGATGAGCTGGGAGAGCTGGGCGAGGATGAGCTGCATGCGCTGCGAGGAGAAGAGCAGCGAGTTGTACGACAGGTGCACGGCGATGTTGGGCACCAACGAGTCGCGGAACGTGTGGGACGAAGGCGTGGCCGATTCCGCAGGGGTGGCCGCGTTGGCCGAGTCGTCGCCGGGTGTGGCACCGGGCTTGGTGAGGAAGACGGTGAGGTCGGTGGTGAGCGATGTCGACTGCATGAAGTTGCGAGCCTTGCCGCCTGTCTCGTCGAAGAAGCGGACGCGGAAGATGGGTGCGCTCTGCACGCCTTCGGGCAGCGGGCCCTCTCGCTCGGCACGCTCGGCCTCGACGCGCTTGACGATCTCGTCGTACGGCACGGCATCGGCGGCCGCCTCCTTCTCGACCTGCTGGATGCGGCGGACGATCTGCCAGAAGGGATCGTTGGGCTCGATGGGGATCCTGAGGATGAGAGGCTCGCCCGTGTATGGGTTGGACGAGCCAATGACGAGGTCCGTGTCGCCTGTGTATCGGTGAAGGAGCACGCAGAACGCGGCGAGGAGCAGGTGGAACGGCGTCGGGCTCGCGTTGTCCTCGTCATCATCAGCGTGCTCGGCGGGATGCAGGTCGAGCTCGTGGTGGAGAGCCAGACGCACGAGGTCCTTTCTTGTGGCCGAGGAGAGCGTCGACGACGAGAGTGCCTGTACGAGCTGCGAGGTGGCAGGTCGTGGATAGTCGGTGGGCAGTGCGATGCTTGGAAGCGAGGTCAGCCGCGCCGACCATCGATCCAAGCTCGCCTGCAACGTTGAGGAAGACGCCATGGCTTGCAAAGACGATCACTGACCTGGAGCTGGTGGCACGCTGGGTCGGGGATCAAGCTTGTTGGTGGGGAAGAGCGAATGCGCAGGTTCGAGTCGCCGCTTTCTTCTTCTTCTTGGCTCTGTGCCGCTTTGGGCTCTCTCGCCTCCTCTTTCGCCTGCCCTTTTCCAGTCGAGCTTCGGCATTTTGCCGTGACTGTGGCATGCTGCTGTCCTCCCACGGACCGCTCAAAGCGCCGAGTCACGTTCCAAACCCACTTTTGTTGAATAAGCCTGAGTCATCTGATTGCCACAAATTAGGGCTCAGTGTCGGCCTAACAAGGCCTTTTTCGCGCCTCCTACCTGCCAACGGCACTCGATGATGCCGATGGAGCCGATCCACGTGGGGATGCATCGGCCTGGGCTGTGCTTGTTGAGCCGGGAAGTGCCTGTCTCAGATGCTCCTGGCAGGGTTGTGGTTCGGCAACGGCTGCAACGGCAGCAGGCTCGACAACCTTGTCGTCATCTGTCCATCCGAGCCAAGCCTCATTGCCCCACGTCAAGAAACTGCCGTTGGCGCAGAGGTGGTCTGTTGTTGTCTTCCCATCCACTTCGACGCCCTCGAGCGAAATGCCCGGCTGAGGTCCCAAACATTACGATCTCCTCCCGTCGCCAACGTCGACAACAGCAATGGACTCCACATCCGGGCCCGTCGCGGTCGAGCCTGCCACCGATGCCACGCAGGGGCCGTCTCCAGGCGGCAAGGAGCCTACATCCGCCTCACCAGCACGATCACCCTCGGACGACTTCACGCGCATTGACGCGGCAGATCGCATCCGCTCCGTAATGCGCACCACCCGCCTCGAAAAGACGCTCGAGGAGCAGCGCCGCGGCGATAAGAACGACCCCGTCTCGCGATGGCACCGTGGAGGCGTGATGGCCGAGCAGCTCGGCCAGCAGGACCATGCACCACCGGCAGCGGTCCGAGGCAAGGCCTCGTCGCCTCCCCCTCGACTGCATCATCGCACCTCGTCTTCGTCGTCATCCTCATCGCCCAACGTCAACTCGCTCTCTCAGCAGCTGATGAGCACGAGCTTCTTCGACAAGCTGCCCTTCACCTTCAAGAACGAGGCCGAGAAGGACGAGTTCATCCGCGAGTCCAGAACGCTCACCAAACGCATGGAAGACCAGAACTGGCTCGAGATGCTCGATCCCAAGCACAGATACGGCAGCAACCTCAAACACTACCATCGCCACTGGAACCTCAAAGCCGACACGCGCCAAAACTTTCTCCATTGGCTCGACGAAGGCGAGGGCAAGGACCTCAGCCTCGAAGAGTGTCCGCGCTCCAAGCTCGAAGCAGAGCGCATCACCTACCTCACTCCAGACGAACGACGCAACTACCTCACCTACGTCGACAATGAGGTGCAGCTTCCATCCAACGGACACCTCCACGACATTCGTGCCCATCTCAAGCAGGCGGGCAAAGGTCGTTTGCGCTGGTGCCGCACCAGCGAGCTCGTCAACACCTCCAAGTACGACCATGGCGACCTGGGCAAGGGACGCGGTGTTGCGCTTCGCCAGTCGCAAGAATGGCAGAATGCAATCGCGCGTGGAGAGGCGTGCGATGTGGTGCGTGACGACAAGATCAAGTTCAGGCGCACCACGTCCGCCAGCTCGTCCGATTCATTCACATCCGACTCGTCCTTGTCTGACGAAGACGAGGCTGTTCCAGAGTCGTCATCCAAGGAGTCGACATCGGCGAGCTCCGACACCTCCTCAAAAACACAAGCTTCTGCACATACCAGCTATCCGAAACCAACCCGTGACCCGGACGAAAAGCAGCAGTCGCGCAAGGAAAAGCTGCTCGAGAAGGCCAATCTTGGCCCCAAGTATCTTCTCAAACAGAAACTCGGCCTGTACACCTCTGCAGAACGTCAACAAATCGTCAAGGGCGACCAAGAAGCCGGCACACACGACCACGGTGGCGAACAGGATGCTCTCATCCGCAAACGCAAAGCCGACACATGGATCTTTGTCACGGATCTCTCGTACAACATGTACATCGGCATCAAGCAGCGCGGCCGATTCCAGCACTCGTCGCTGCTGGCCGGATCGCTCGTCACCGTCGCCGGTGTGCTCAAGGTCAAGGACGGCGTGATCGTCTCGATCTATCCGTGGAGCGGCCACTACCGCTCATCTTCGCAGCACTTTGAAGAGTTTGTCAAACGGCTCCAGGAACGCGGCCTGGACACCAGCCAGATCAACGTCACAAAGAGCAAGTGGGTCATCGAAGTCGTCAACAGGTACGGCATGTATCGCAAGAAGAAGGACCGCAAGCTCAAGGACCTCAAGGACAGGGCTCGCGAGACGTGGGACGCCCACCGCTCGCCCACCTCCGGATCAGGACAGAACGGGTAGGCTTTTGCTTTCATATAGCTTCGCAGCGCTTTGAACAAACGACGGCAAGGGTCCGCCCAAGCTGTTGCCGATACCCACTTGGCGAAATGAAGCCGTAGCCTCGAGTCCGAGTGCCTGATCTAGTCCGTGCTCATGCATCTGTTGCATTTCATCGTTAGACGCCTTCGGTCGCATGTGGGCATCTATTGACCATCAGCCTGCGCACTGTCTGCTTCCCAGTGATTGAGGTCGATGTCGTTTATGCCGCTCCGCATCTACACACATTTGGCAACGCAGCGGACCCACTTCATCTTCCGGACGATGGCAGCACGCTGATTGCATCGATGAAGTAGCACGGCAACTCCGTGTCTGCCTTTGCGAGGACCACAATTGGCTCCAACCCACAAGCCACTTATGAAGGCACAGCACAGCACACTTGGCGTGCTCGCTTTAATGCCCCACCAACCTGCCCGTGGATGGGCCTTCTGTATTTAAAGCCACGCCCACTGCCCCTAAGCATGCCCCGCTCTGGCACCTCTTATCGACCCTTTCTACGAGGCCGCAATCGCTCCCGCTTCAACTCTCTCCCAATCCTCTCCCAACACCGTTCCGTCTGCTTGTCAGACATCGGTCCACCACGTTCTTTTTCATCCTTCCGATCCTTCTCTTTCTGGAAGCTACTGGTAAGCCATCTTTCCGTCAAGCTGCTAGCAGATTCGAATCGTGCTGACCGAGTCTGCTCTCTTCCTCACGTCAGGCTAGCAACAGCTCTAGGTCCGACGACACGATGAAGGTTGCGCTTCTCTCTGCCATCGTCTTTGGCGCCATCTCGGTTGCTGCCACGACCTCTGGTGCAGTCGACCCGAACTACGAGGTGCAGCAGCACCGCCGTGCGCGCTCCAACCACGCTGCCGGCAAGAAGGAACCCCACCAAAAGCGAGACGCCGGCGCGCGCCCCGGCGTTGAGAACGAGCATGTCCTGTCGCGCCGTGGTGAGACGTCCGGTATGCTCGGACTGGCCGAGGGAGCCGCCGACCTGCTGAGGGGTGGTCGTGGCGAAGCCCAAAAGGCTGGCGACACCATCGTGCACAACCACCTCACGCCTCCTCCGGCCTACCATCCTCCCGCCTACGGCGCTGCGGCCTACGGCCACGCTTCGAGCGCTGCGGACCCTATGCTCGCTCAGAAGCTGGAGAAGATCGACAAGCACATCAACAAGATCAAGCAGAGCAACGCTCACACTGCCGAGCAGGTGGCTGTGATGCAGGAGATCCAGGCCAAGCAGATCATGGCTGCCAAAGAAGCTCAGGCTGCAGCTGCCCAGGGTGCTGGCAAGAAGCGCGGCATCGGCAAGGGATGGCTCTTTGGCGCTGCGGCTGGTGGTGTCGGTCTCGGTTACGTCGGCACCAAGATGTTCGACACCAAGCCGGCCGATACCACCACCGGCTACAGCCCGGAGGAGATGCAGGCGCTCCAGGCTGCAGGTGGCGCCGCTCCTGGTACCATCCCTGTCGATGGCTCGGCCGGTATGGGAGGTGCGGGCGCCATGCCACCTGCCACCGGCGGTGGTGCCGAGTACTCCGCCCCTCCAGCTGGTGCCGGTGCTGGTGCCGGTGCTGGTGCCGGTGCTGGTGCTGGCGCTGCCCAGCAGGCTGCTGCTCCTCCTGCCGGCCAGGCCGGTGGACAGAGCGGCACCAAGCCCATCTACGACCCCGAGGTCCAGATGTACTACATCATGGGACCGGGTGCTGTCCAGCAGCAGATCAGGTACTACATCGACCCCAGTACCGGCTACCTCATCAACTCGGTCACTTTTGACGTCAGCGACCCCAAGACCGGCCAGATCATCCAGCGTGGTAGCGATGCTGGATCGGGTGGCGCCGCTGGAGGCGCTGGTGCCGGTGGTGCTGGCGCTGGACGCATGCAGAAGCGATCCGTGCGACATCTCAAGGTATGAGGCCTCCCCTTTCCACCTTGACGGGCTTGATAGCTCGCTGCGCACTTGAGTCTATTCCTTTTCGAGCTCTCAATTGACTGTCGATGTCAACACGATCATTTTTCTCCGTCTGCGCTTTCTGTGCACAGGTCGACAAGCGAGCCTTCTCTTCGTGAGTATTTGCAAGCCTCTCTGGCATTTCAAGCTGTAGCTGGCTGACACTTCATCCTCCTCCGGACAGCATCGACAACCCAGCTCTGAGAGAGCAAGCGATGGGACTGTCCGAGGGTGGTGCTGCCGCCAACGTCGCCAATGTCGCTGCCAAGGGCGGCAACACCGGCATGATTGTCAAGGGCGTCCTTGGACTGGGCGCACTCGTCGGAACCGTGTTTGCTCTCGACCACTACGCGCACCCCCAGCGTCCCAACACCACTCCGGACAACCCGTATGGCCTGGCGCCTACTGGGATCTGCGACGAGTATGGACAGATGATCATCAAGGACTGGCGCGGTATCCTGTGGAGCAAGTCGACGTACACGCGTCTCAACATGAACAAGCTGCCGCCGCTGCACATGTGCAGCCAACAAGAGCTCGTCGACAATGGCGTGTCTCCCGATCCCGCCAGTGCTGGTGCTGGCGGAGCTGCAGCCGCTGCTGGCGCTGGCGGTGTGCCCATGGCCAAGCGCAGTCTTGCCGAGGCTCGAAAGGTAAGCTACTCCTCCTGCTTTCTCTGGGATAAAAAGGTAGTGACTCACGGCCATTCTTATCGTTCATTGCAGGACGATTTGGCTGAGCTTGCAGCCGTCATCAAGCGCGACGTCAACAACGATCACGCTGAGGATGCCGCTTCCGAGTCGTCTGGTGCGCTGGAGAAGAGGGCGGGAGCCGCGGGAGGCGCTGGAGGCCTGGCAAGCGTGGCAGGCATGGGCTTCCTGCCTTCGCTGGGCTGGTCTGGCGGACTGGCGATTGGCGCCACCGCGATCGTTACGGCAATGTACCTGCACCACGTCCACGAGGCCAAGCAGCAGGCCCTCCTTGCCGAGTGGAACAGCCACTACCACTCTGCCGGCGATGCAGCCAGCTCGGTGGGTAACGCGATCAGCACGGGCGCCAACGGCCAGCTCTTCAACCCGATCACGGGCAACCTCGTTCTCGTCGACCCCAACACGGGCATGTACTACGACTCGGGATCGGGCGAGCAGGTGAACCCCAAGACCGGCATGCCCTTCCGATACGGTGGTGGCTCGAGCTCGACCGACAGCAAGCCAAAGGCCACTGCCGCGCAGCAGGTTCCGCAGCAGCTGCCGCTGAATGGCAATGGACAGATGCCCGCCGAATCGCCCGAGGTCCAGCAGGCTATGGCGCAGTGGCATGCCATGACCCCGCAACAACAGCAGCAGCTCATACAGCAGTACGGAGGTGTAGCCCAGCAGATCATTAACTCGCCCGACCCGAATGCGGCTTTCCAACAGTACACCAGCACCATCGGACAGCAGACGCAGGCTGCTCTCCAGCAGCCGCAGTACTCTCAGCAGCAGCCGCAGTACGCTCAGCAGCAGCCACAGTACGCTCAGCAGCCCCAATACGTCCAGCAGCCCCAATACGCCCAGCAGCCTCAATACGCCGCCGGTGCGGGCGTGGGCGACGGCTCGGCTGGAACCGGAGGAGCGCCTGTCATGTGATAGCCCCGCCAGCACCATGCTCGTCTCGTTTAGTCTTGCCCTTTTCTTCAGTTTCGCTTCCGCTTTCACTTCTGCTCCTTTCCGTCGTGTCGTGACCTTTCCTTTGTCTCTAGTCCTCTCATAGAATCTTGAGTTTCGTTATTGATCCTCCATCGAGGCTCGAGGCGTGTGGTTGAACGGCAGAGTTGCGCGGTGTTGGACGTGAGGGCGGGAAATTTTTCGTATGTTAGGCTGTGGCATATCGAACAATTTCACGATGCGAAAATCGCGTGTGGAGGAAAAGGCTGTACGCCAACGCCAGGCGCGGTTCGCGTGAAGTGGGCCGTGACAGGCGTTCGTGTTGCACTTTTTTCGCTCGCGGCCGCGCCAAGTCGCGAAGGAGTCCACTTGTCCAAAACTGCGCGTGGCCGGGCAGCGCGAGCCAGCCACGCCGTGCACACGAATGTAGGAGCCAGGCGCGGTGTCTAGTCGTGTCGGCGGCTCGTGTCGAGGCTGTCCCTGAGCAAGCCTGTGCTCGCGGCTGCAGGTGAGTCGAGGGCTCGACTTGAGACACGGCTGAGCCTTGCTTCCTGACCATCCATCACCGACCGCCTCAAGACCGCCACCTCAAGGACTTCGATAGATCCAGAGCTCCACCATATCGACCCTGCTCCGTCTCAGCCACGCTTGCTGGAGCGTGCTCTCATCCATTCGTGCATCGCTGTCTCCATTGGCTATCGTCGGAGGACTCTCAGAGACGTGTTTTGCTTAGACGCGCCGTGACTTTGCCAAGATGATGCACGACCTTCCCACGCCAGCTCCGTCGTCGGATCCTCCGATGCCAGGCTCGTCGCCCGTCAAAGGAGCGAAGATCGGCAAGGCACTCATGGCTGCCAAAGAGGCTGCCGCGACGCGTCCGTTTGCGCCTCTGGACCTCAACCTCGTCGGCGCTCGCGTCAAGACGTTCCAGGAAACGAGGGAAAAGGCCGGCGCCACTCCACCGCCTTCGTCGCCCCCCGCCTCGTCCGTGTTCCTCTCGTCGCCCGTCACGCAGCCGCGACACCAAGAGCTTGGCTTCTCGCCCGTCAAGCAGCAGCGCGCCTTCACTCCACGAATTCAGCCTTCCCGCGACAGCACGGTGGGTGCACCGCGCGACCGAGCGCAGGAGCTCGGCAATCAGCTTCTCGGCCTGGTCCCGAACACGGAGCTGGATGCGGACACGGACGCGGTGCCGAACCTGCTCTTCGGAAGCAAGAGCGTCAGTCTCGTCATCGGACGTTCCAAGCCTTCTGGCGAACCTCACGCCATGGCTGCCAACGATGGCTCGCAGCAGTCGACTGCAGGCGACATCCCGCCCTCGATGCAGGGCCTAGGCGCCAAGAAGGTGATGCGCGTCAATCTGCCCAACGACGCGCGCCACGTCTCGCGCATCCACGCGATCGTCGAATGGATCCCCTTCGTGGCGCGTGCGGCTGCAGTCAAGAAGCAGACCGTGTCGAGCTTCACCGCCAAGGGCTCACCTGTGGGCGCGCGCCTCGCGTCGCAATCCAACACGAGCGGCGCAAACGGAACGTTCATAGTGCGCATCGTCGGCCAGAACGGCCTGATCGTCGAGGGCAAGCGTCGCCGCGAGGGCCAGGTGCTGCGTCTGACACCCGGCAAGACGCTCATCGACTTTTTCGGCGTCAAGTGCCGCTTCGAGCATGTGCCTTCCAGCACCGACCGCCGCGCCTCGCCCGTCAAGTCGTCGCAGGCGCGCGTGCACGAATGGACGCAGCGTGTCACGTCGCCCGTCAAGAAGGGCGCGGCTGATGTACAGGCGCCTGTCACCACGCAGGCCTTGGAAGGCATGCCGGTCAGCTCCCCGCCGGCCAGCTCGCCTCCTCATATGCTCGGCTTGCTGTCGCCAAGCAAGCGCGCCAGCAGCAACCGCGGCCGCGCTTCAGCCGCCGACGCAGAGGATGAGGAAGCCGACGACGTGCACAGCTCGCCCACGCCTGCCCACCGACGAGGTGGTGGGCTCGTGGCAGGACCGCTCAACGCTCAGCAAGTTCGCGCCGGCGACAGCGACGAGGAGATGGCGAGCGGCGCCAAAGCGCTCTTGGACGACGACGACGACGACGACGATGAAGACGACGAGAGCGACGATGAGGACTACGTGCCCGCCGAATTCGAGCCCAAGCCCAAGTCGGTGTCCAGTCCGCGCAAGCTCGTGGCTGCGATCGCCGCCCTCGACGATGACAGCAGCTCGCTCTCAGATTCCGATGCTGTGGACGAGCAGATCGGCGACGCAGCGCTCGCCACCCAGCCGACGGTGACGACTGCTGCGCGCAAGCGCACTCCGACGAGCGAGAGCGCCACCTCCAAGGCGGCGGTCGCGGGTGATCTCACAGAGTCGCAGGCCAAGATGCCCCCACCTGCGGCCACGGTAGCTGCTGTGCGCAGCTCGGCGCGTCGATCGGCGAGCAACAGTCCGGCGCCCTCTTCGCCGCTGCTGGGCTCGTCGGTGCAGGAGCTGCAGAAGCTGGCGCGCAACGGCGTTAGCCAGCTGGCGCCCACGTACGATCTGCCTGGCCTTCTCGCCGGCGCGATCGTCTTCCACCGCACGGCGACGATCAGTGCGTCGGAAGCGGTGCGCTCGGTGCTCACCACCACGCCCGGGCTGATGAAGGGCCAAGCGGGCGAGCATTCGGTGGCGTTCAGTCCGTCGAAACGCAAGCTGCCGGGCGCCGCCACGCTGCAGCAAGGCTGCACGGTCGACGGCTGGCCCACGCAGAGCGAGGGCGGTGAGCGCTGGACGTCGATCGCGCGCAAGGCGTGGCGCGAGCATCTCGAGGTGGTGTTGCAGTCTTCGCCGATGTTCGGCGTGATCCAGCGCGCGGGTAAGGACGCGTCGGGAAACCCGCTCGAGTGCTGGTACTACTATGACAAGGAGAACGACCCGGACAAGGAGCGCGCCGAGAACCTCGGTGTGTTCGCCAAGCCCATGCGCAAGGCGCTCAAGGGCCAGAAGCCCATCTTCTGGAAGCGCAGCGGCTATGCTTCGCGCCAGGACGAGGTGGCCGAGGTGAAGCCCGAGACCAGCTCGAGCTCGTCTTCGCTGGTGGGAGAGCAGGAGTCGATCGACATTGCGAGCGCGCCGCTGCCGTCGTCGTCCATGGGTAACGGCCGCAAGAGGAAGGCGGGCGCAATGACACAGACGCAGGCCGAGACGCAGACAGGAGGTGCAGGCGCCGACGACGAGGCGAGGCGGCGCGAAAAGCTGCGTGTCAAAATCGCCAGGAGCGGCCTGTGGGACGAGACTCAACCTGAAGAGAAGGAGGCTCCCACGTGGGACCGCAAGGGCGATCAGGATTACAGGAAGGGTCGCAAGTGATTCCTACGAACCCGACAAGTTAGCCCATCGTTCCGATTCCGTTCGCATTCGCCGTATCCATTTCGCAATTCAGACCGATCATTTTTCCGATGCCGAAGAAACAGCTGTGCACTTGCCTCGGGGAGCCAAGTGGCTTTCCTGGTTGGAGGCGGTGGGAAGATGAGCATGGCTTCATGTCGTCACGCAACGCGGATGCAGCGCTGCAGAAGGAATGAATCGGGGTCGGGTACGCTCTGACGGCATCGGCATCCCCTGCCGAAGTAAGTTTAGGTCCGTGAACAAGGCCCTTCGGAGTTACGCGTGGACCAATTTGACCGACGCTGCGGAGCGCCGGCAAGAGAAGTCTTGGCTGCTATACCGTGGATTGGTTGCCGGGGGTCATCGACAGGAGCAAGACCGGCCACCTTCTTCGGAATTCGGGGCCGCCGAAGGTTCGGGATCGGAAGATTTGGATTTGCGTTTGGATTCCGCGTCGATTTGCTGCGCCCGTCCACCGCGGAAAATGTTGAGTCTGACCTTCTTTATGCCGTCATTGCGCTCGATTGGACCCCGACTCGTCAAGCCCTTGCGTGGAAGCCCTTGTGCGCCTCAGGAGGCGGGGGCGCTTCAGTACGGCTTGTTTCTATCATTGCAAGTATCGAAGAAGCCGGCTCTACGCCATCATCGAAACGAGCTGAGAAGGTCGGCGGCCTGCATCGTGGCACAACGAGTGAGCAGAGCGGTACGACAGCCGCCAAAGCGTCATGCAAAGCAGATCCGCATCTCGCCGCGTGGGGGCCGCGCTGCAGAATTTTCTGATTGTTTGGAGCCCTCAGGGGCTGCTGGAGCTGCTGGGCTGTTCAGACGCGGCAGAAGCGCGTGCCAAACCGAATCAGCCTTCGCATCTCGCATGGTGAGAGGCGCCAAAAAAAAAGCTTTGCAAAAGCGTCAAAACAGGCAAACACCGACGCTCCTTCCCCGATCCCGACTGCGAGCGCAAACGCTGCGCAGCATCAGCTCCACATCAGCAGAAGCACACTTCCGCTTCCGCTCCCTCTTGTCTTCGGTATCGGGATTTCGTCCGTTCAAACCACCTGCATCTTTGGCGTCACCGTCATGACCAACATGACCCTGCTCTCCTGACCTTGACTTTCAACCGCAAACACGGCCACTGTCGGCCTCATCTAGACCACTTGCCACCACCCAGGTCGCCGTCCGAGTATAAGATCAGCCATCCCCTGGCCTTTCGCGCTTCAGAAACGACCTTGAAGAGCCTCAGCAGCCTAGGGGACGTGCCCTACACCCGATACACTACACCATAGACAAGACATAGATAATCGGACCCCTCGACATGAACTCGATCGACCCGGGCTCTGTCCCGGCGCTGCGCGCGGTGCAAGCCGAGCGCGCCCACAACAACGGCACTGCCACCAGCACCGCCCGCTCCTCGCACGACGGCACCTCGGTCACCGTCGGAGCCTCTTCCCAGAACGTCTCGAGCAACGGCCTCTCCAACCGCAAGACGGCCGCCAAAACATCGCCATCACAAGATGCCACCTCTTCCACCGCAGACAAGCAGCAAGAAAAGCGCAGAAAGCGCAAAGAGCCCGTCGCATATCCGCTCTTTCCGGGCGACAAGCCGTGGTCGCAGCGCTCGTGGGCGTACGAGCTTCGCCCCTTCCGAGGCATGTGGTACGATCTGCGACGCCGCAAGCCATTCCTCGCGAGCGACTGGACGGAAGGCCTCGAGCCCAAGAATTGGTGGACGCTCGTCAACAGCGTCGTGCGCATGTACTTCATCAACCTCATGCCTGCGCTCGCCTACATCCTCGACATGAACTATCGCACCGGCGGCTCGTACGGCGTCAACGAAGTCATCCTCGCCTCGGCATTGGCCGCCATCGTCTTCCCCATCTTCTCGGTGCAGCCGCTGACTTTCGTCGGTGTGACGGGTCTGATCAACCTGGTCAACTACACGCAGTACAACATCTTTGTCGGATACTACGGCTTTGACAACCGCAACTACCTGCGCATCCAGGCGTGGTCGCTCATCTGGGCCGCCGCCTTCCACTTTGTCGTGGCCATCTTCAACGTGTGCGACTTTACGCGCTTCATCACCGATATGACCTCCGAGACGTTCGGATTCTATGTGGGCGTCATCTACATCCAGAAGGGCATCGAGCTGCTCATCGAAGAGTTCGAACCGGCCCCGCTCGACAATGCCACCGGTTGGCTCTCGGTCACCATCGCCATCCTGTTTACCGTGTCGGTTTACCTCGTGGCAAAGGTCGGCAATACGTCCTATCTGCCATTCAGGGCGCGCAACTTCATCGCCGGCTACGCCTTCGCCGCAGGATGCATCTTTTGGACGGGATTCAGCCACTTCCCCAAGAACTCGCTCAAGCTCGTGCCTGTGGAAAGGCTGCCGATCACCAAGGCCTTCTTCCCCACGTTGGACCGTCCGTGGTTCATCGACTTTTGGAACATCGAGCTCAAATACGTCTTCGTGGGTGCGCCGTTGGGCTTTCTCATCATGCTGCTCTTCTACTTTGACCACAACGTGAGCAGCGTCATGGCGCAGGCGAGGAACTATCCCGTGCGCAAACCCGCCGGATTCCACTGGGACTTTTTCCTGCTCGGCATCACCACGCTCGTTTCGGGCTTTCTCGGCTTGCCTGCGCCCAATGGGTTGGTTCCGCAGGCACCCGTGCATACCGAGACGCTCTCCGTGTACCAGCAGGTTGAGCGGCCCGAGGTGGACAAGCGCATCGCGCGCGAGACGCTCTCGAAGCGCAAATCAAAGATGCGCACCGTCAAGCAGCACCACATTGTCAACGCGCGCGTCGTCGAGGGCCGCATCTCGCACCTTGTCATCGGTCTGCTCACGCTCGGCACCATGACGCGGCCGCTCCTCGTCGTGCTCGGCACCATGCCCCGCGCCGTGTTTGCCGGCATCTTTATCCTCGTCGGATGGGCGTCGATCGAACGCAACAGCATCACCATGCGCACGCTCGCCATCTTTAGGGATCGTCGTCTGGCGCCCGCCGACGAGCCGCTCAACACGGTGCGCAGGAGCAAGATCGCCCTGTTCGTCGGAATCCAGTGGCTGTTCGCCGCCATGACCATCGCCATCTCGGCCACGATTGCAGGCATCGGCTTCCCCGTCATCATCACGCTCCTCATCCCCGTGCGCTACTTCCTCGTGCCCAAGTGGTTCAGCCCGCTCGAGCTCAAGATCCTCGATGCACCTACCGCAGATGCAGACGGTGTGCTCGCTTCGCTTGGCCACGAACCCGAGCGCGTCACGGGTCGCGGCGTTGAAATTGCACTCGACACAAAGATCGCCGGCACTCTGTACCACAAGAAGTCGCTCGACGACGAGTCGGACGATGACGAGGGCGAGCCGGGGGGCGAGAAGTCGGCGGCGCAGTACCATGCGGACGAGACCAAGCACAGCCGATCGCACAACGACGAAGAGGCCCGTGGCGCCGAAGACACGTCCGACGACGAGGGCGATGCGGAGAGCGCATCGTCCGAGGCCCGTGAGGCCACGCGCACTGTTGCGGGGCTCGGAGGCCATCAGACGGCGGATCCCGAGCGCCATGTGGCCGCGGCTTCGGGCGCAGGCATTATCGCATCGGGTCTCGGATCGGGCGCAGAAGCTGCAGCCGAAGATGACCGACGCGAAGAGGAGGAAGAGCTTGCAGAGGTTGAGGATGAAGAAGCGGCAGAGAAGCCGCACGAGTCCAACGCAGCCAGCTCGATTCCAGCCGCTGCCGCCGTCCCCGCCGTTCAAGAACCGGTAGAGCAACCCAGCACCACGGCAGCGGCTGGATCGCGCTTCGTTGAGCAGGTGCCCGCTGCCAGTACCTCCGAGGTCGCCACGGAAGCGAAGTCGCCCCGCAAGCGTCGCTTTGTTTCGGTCGAGAACCCACCGCGCGGCGCAGGTTCTCCCCCTCCCCCCGTGCAGTGGCGCGGCTTGCCTGAGCACTCCGAGTCCCAGCAGTAGAGACGATGACTGCTTTCTTTACACCCATATCCCTAGACTGCATTCCCAATCGTCGACGTTCAATACCAACATCGTCCATTCACATCATGCCGAGCTGAGAGAGCAAGGAAGAGTGTCGTCGTTGCTGAGCGTGGAGGAAGGGACCAGCCGGAATTTCGGAAGTCGGCCAATTTTTTCCGACGCAGCAACTTGCCCTTTCTTCTTGCTCCCGCTCGTTCTTCTTGTACACTTGCACACATACGGCACATCCTGGAACGACGAACGCAGATCAGAGCATGAGTCTGGCACGCTCGAGCTTCGGCAAGCGCGCATGCTTGGTGCCATATCCGAGGACGCCTACTAGCAGGTCAGCCCTCGCGAGCAGGACTGCCTGGCCTCGCTCGGCAGTAGGATGCTCCAACCCTGCCGCCAATGCACCAAGTTCTCGCAGTGCAGACTCCACACTTCAGTCTCCATATACACCGGCTTGCTACTTTTCTTCGTCGCCACGCCGGCTTGTGGCCGATAGCGGGCTGCCCCATGCGGAAAAGCACCCTGTTGCGGCGTTGCGCAACATCTCGATCATCGCGCACATCGATGCGGGCAAGACCACCCTCACGGAACGACTGCTGCACCTCACGGACGCTCTCGCTGGAAACGGCGGAAGCGGCAGCACAGCTGCACTTCCCGGCGACGTTGATTCAGGAAGCACCGTGACCGACTTTCTCGAGCAGGAGCGCCAGCGAGGCATCACGATCCAGTCAGCCGCTGTGGGCCCCGTCTGGTGGCCCAAGCCATCCGCCTCCAAATCCACTGGCGCAAGGGAGACGGTCGGAATTACGCTCGTCGACACACCAGGTCACATCGACTTTGGCATCGAGGTGGAGCGCGCACTGCGAGTAGTCGATGGCGCGGTGGTGGTGCTCGACGGCGTGGAGGGCGTCGAGTCGCAGACGGAAAACGTGTGGTCGCAAGCGGCGCGATACGATGTCAAGGCGTCGATCCTGTTCATCAATAAGCTCGACCGCATGGGGAGCTCGGTGACCCAGTCCCTGCGCAGCGTCATCCGCTCCGGTATGCATCAGCGCCCGCTGCTGCTCCAGCTTCCGATCCCACTCAAGAGCAAGGACGAACCGGGCGTTTCTGGCCTTGTGGATCTGTTGGAGATGCAGACGGTGACGTTCTCGGGCAAGGCCGGCGAGACGGTCAATCGCAAACCGCTGCAGGAGGCAGACGAGATGTACGCGGAAGCCAAGCAGGCGCGCCATGCACTCGTCGAGTGCCTCGCCTCGCTCGACGACCAACTCCTCGAAGAGCTCTTCAGTCTGCCGACGAGCTCGAACGAGGAACCGCACGGCAAGATGCCAGCAGCTTCGCTGAGGCAGGCTATCCGACGCCAGACGCTTGCGGGTACGGTGCTGCCCGTGCTGTGTGGCTCGGCAGCCAAGAACGTCGGTGTCCAACCGCTGCTCGATGCGATCGCCGACTACCTGCCCAGCCCGGCGGACAAGCCGAGTGTGGTCGGAAACGTCGCTCACCGAGCCGGCAAGAACGACGCGAAAGCAAATGCGGGAGCAGAAGTATCGTTGTCGCTCAAGGACAAGCGCACGACCGCACTCGCGTTCAAGGTGGTGCACGACAAGCGACGCGGTCCGACGACGTTTGTGCGTGTGTACTCGGGCACACTGCAGCGGTCGTCGGTGCTGTTCAACACGACAACAGGTGCGCGTGAGCGTCTCTCGCGGGTCTTGTTCCCCTTTGCAGACCAGTATGTCGAGACGGCGAGTCTGCGCGCAGGCCAAATCGGCGTGATCCTTGGTCTTCGCGACACACGCACGGGCGATACTCTGGTCGATGTCTCCTCCACCCCCGCTGGATCCAAGAGCGACAAGGGTCTCGACGCCGCGGACGCCAAGACGCTCCGGCTCAAGCGCGTGCACATCCCGCCACCCGTGTTCAGCATGTCGCTCGAGCCCGCAAGCAAGTCCGATGTCGACGCGGTCTCGGACGCACTCAACCTGCTCATTCGAACCGATCCCTCGCTCCGACTCGACGAGGGCTCCTCAGCAGGCGCCGGGACAACGGGTCAGACCGTGGTGAGCGGCATGGGCGAGCTGCACCTCGAGATCGCCAAGGACCGGCTGGAGAACGAATTCGGCGTCAATGCGAGAATGGGCGCTGTGCGGGTATCGTACCGCGAGACGGTGGACGAGGGCGCAGGAGAGCTCGAGGCAAGCGAGGTGCTAGAGAGGGATCTGGCGGGAAAGCGCATAAAGATCGGTGCGAGGATTCGAGTGAGCGCGCTCGCAGAAGACGAGCAGCACAGGATCAGTCAGTCAGACGCAGCCGTATTCGGAGGTAACGTCGTCGACGTTGTTCTCGGAACACCTCCATCCAACGGTCAAAGTGCATCTGGCGGCAAGGGTTCTTCAAAGTCCACTGGGAAGGAGGACTCGACTACGATCGGTCTGCCGGCGGGGGTGGACATGGCGAGTGTCGAGGCGATGTTCAAGTCTGGCATGGTCGCTGCGCTGTCTCGTGGGCCGCTCACCTCGAATCCGCTCATGGGCCTGCGCGTCACGGTGGACAACATCGAGATGTTTGGCGACCTTTCTTCGTCGGCAGCCATCTCGTATGTGCTTTCGCACCTCGTGCGTAAAGTGCTGCGCACCGAACCCAAGCTCGACCCGCAGACGGGCATGGTGGTGCAGCCCGGTCAAGCAAGGACGGTGTTGATGGAGCCCATGATGGCGACGCGCATCACTGTGCCCGCCGTGCACCTGGGCAAGGTGATCAACGACATCACTGCCGAACAAGACGGCTTGGTCAACGATGTTGTGCACCAGACCAACTCACAGGATGGCTCTGAGACCGAGGAGCAGGCTGAGGAGGCGGTTTACATCCCGCCGCGCGAGAGCCGGTTCGAGATGCAGTCGGCCAGCGCTGCGTCGGGCAAGGGCGATGCGGAGAAGCAGGCAGGCAAGGCGGAGATCCATGCCGTAGTGCCGCTGGCCAACTTGGTGCGCTACTCGTCCAAGCTGCGTGCGCTCACCGCGGGCAATGCCCAGTTCAACATGCAGCTCCAGGGATTCGCACGCGTCTCGCAGCACAGACAAGCCGAAATCCTCGCCGACCTGGGCCGATGATGCACCAGTCTCAACCACTCTTGTACCACCACCACTTTGAACAATCTACGTTTGCATTGGAATCTAGGAGGATGGCGGGATGTCCTGGCCGTTGATGCGGATGCGGTCTCGGTGGTCCATGGTGCCAGCGGAGGATTTGTAGGAAGCAAGCAGGTCCGCATTCACCTTGCTGCCGCCACACACCTCGAAGACCAGGTTGAGCTTGCTGCCGGCGGCGTGTTTGCGTGCGAGGTTAGGGGTGCGCGCGATGAGGGCGTCGAGGATCCATGTGTGGAAGACAGGGGTGAGTGCCGATGCGCAGCTGAGCTCAACGAGACGCGTGCGGCCATCGACCTCGAGCTCAGCCGACGTGGCCGAGAACTGCCAGCATGCCGACGCCGATAGATCGTCTGTGACTGTGAGCGTGGTTACGTCGCCTTCGTACCGGATGGCATCATGCACCGTTTCGAGCGAGCAGCGCTTGGTGCCCATCGAAGTGCACTTGCTCTCGATCGCAGGGAGCGTCACCACATCCTCGGGCAGCGCCGTCTCCCCCGCCGCGCGATGCTCATCGAGCGAGCGGTTGAACGAATTCACGCCGAAGTTCTGTACCGCGACAAGAGCCGGTTTGGCGCAAGCATGGCGGGTTGCACCCTGCATGATGCCGCGCAGCAATCCGCCGCCGCCAACCGAGCACACGATGGCATCCAGCTCCCCCGCGCCCTGAGCGTGCAGTTGGTCGTACACCTCATCGACGAGTCCCGAGTGTCCCGCCACCAGCTCTTCGCCCACAAACGGATGCACGTACACCGCACCCTGCGTTTCATCCACCAGCTTTCGTGCCGCTGCATCCGCCTGGTCCCACGAATCGCCGCCCACCACCACATGCGCGCCGAGGCTGCGCAGCTTCGCCACAACCTCGGCCTCGGTCGACGCGGGCACATAGATCGTACTCGCCACGCCGGCGCTACTAGCAGCATGCGCTGCAGCCAGACCAGCATTGCCGCCCGAAGACGTTACGATGTGCGTCGCCGAGCCATACCGCGCGATCGCCGACTGGCAGATCTTGCCCACGCCGCGGATCTTGAACGAGCCCGAAGGCTGGTCACAGTCGAGCTTCAGCCAGATGTGGTGCCCTGTGGCGGTGCTGAGCCGCTGCGAGTAGATGAGCGGGGTCACGGCGTGGAGCGGCTCGACGGCCGGCTTGGCGGTAGTTGGCACCTCGCCGGTGGGGGGCAGCACCGTAGCGTCCAGTGGCACAGTCATGCTGGATGTGCTGTCTCGAGATGGTGTCTAGATGGGGTTGATCCGGGGTCGTGTTCCTTATGTTCTAAAACACCCGAGTCGCGTCTAGATCTTGTGTCCGTGTACGAGCTGGCCGGATAGGTCAAGGAGGTTGCAGATGTAAAGAAGCAAGACGAAGGCCGTCGGCGGATTCGGCCACACCGCGTAGCTCCGTGGGGACCGGCAACCAAATCGGCGAATTTGCGGGTGCGCTTCTTCCGGAACGCTTCGACCGTGCTCAGGGTCTTCTCAAGTACGAGCTATCAAGACAAATACCGCTCGACACTCCAAATGGTCCACAGCCGACGGTGCTCATCTGGTGATTTCAACGCATGCGTACGACCTTCTTGTTGCTGTCGACTTCACGCCGCTGCGGCGGGCCTAGAACCGACGGCTCATGCCAAGCCGCCTACGTCCTCGCGCACTGCCGTTCGATCCGTTGCCGGTGCCACTCGAGCCGCCATCGCCATTGCCGTTCGAGTCCGACACCTCGATGGGCGAGGCGCGCGATCCGCCTCCAGCATTCGAGTCTGCAGGCAGCATGTTGAGCATACTGCTAATGCCCTGCGAGTGAGCCTGCTGGAAGCTGTTCAGATCCGCACGCGGTCTAGGCGCCGTGCCATCCTCGCGCGCCAACGCCACCGAGTCTTCCGGTCGAGCCTTGAGCCGCACGGCATCGGTAAACGACGGCGGCGCGGGAGGCTGTGCCTGAGCCTGCCTGGATGGAGGCACTAAGGGTTGCTTCTGTCGGCCGTTGCCAAAGCCGCCCGGCGGTGGCCGACCTGAGAACGCACCGAATCCACCACCAGAGCCGGTAGCACCGCTGCGACCTCCGGCCAGGGACGAAGCGCGCTGGAAGCCCGAGAATGCTGGCGGAGGGGAGGCGCCTTCGTCGATTGCGGAGGAGAAGCCGCCAATGGTAGGCGCGGAGAAGCCAAGCTTTCGCCTGAGATCCTGGTCGCTCGAGCTCCCTCCGCCGTGCGTGCTGAGCCGATCGTCGCTGTACAGCCCGAATCCCATCTGCGAGTTCCAGCCGCCCGTCGCGCCACTGTGCACGCCCGACGGGTATCCACCTGCGCCGCCATAGCTGGAGTAAGTCCCAAAGCCGGTCATGCGGCCAATGTTCATCTGGTCCACCTGCTCCAACTCCTTGCCGGACGTTTTCTTCCATTCTTTCACGGCTTTCTCCACGAGCTCCTCGCTCGGCGCTGCCTTACCAGTGACCTTTGCCACCGTGCGCACAACGTCCAAGTCCAGTTCGGGCCGATCGGTGCAGAACTGGATCGCCTTCTTTGCTTCGCACGATCCGCCGTTGCGTTTGGGCGCGACCGCTGCAATAAAATTGCTCAGGATCTTGTCCTGTGTCTCGCCGCCCTGCATGCGCGCCGTGGCATGCGAGAGGTAGAGAACGCCCTCGGCGCGCGTCATGGCGACGTAGAGGAGACGCCGCTCCTCGGCAATCTCTTCCGGCTTGTGGCATCGGAACGACGGGAAGCAGCCTTCCTCGATCGCAGGGATGAACACCACGGGCCACTCCAGTCCCTTGGCCGCATGGCAGGTGGAAAGCGTGACTTTGGGTTTCGCCTTCTCGTCCTTCTGCTCGTTGTCTGCATCCATGTCCGTGGCCAGGATTGAAGCCTCCAGGAATACACGCAGTGGTGTCTTGCGCTCGTCATCAGATGCATTCTCCGCCTGTGATCCCTCCTGCGTGCCTTTCTTTTCCACGACCTCGTCGAGCATCGCGAGCAGCGATGACTTCTCGTCATTTTGATCCTCTCCGCTAGCATCTTTCTCGACCTCTTTCTTCTGCATCCGCGCCCTCTTGGCCGGACCCGGCTTGAGGTCTTCTTGCGAGGGATTGGCTTGCGGCTTCGACTCTGTCTCTTCCTCTTCTGAATCACAAAGATCGATGACTTCTCTCTTGGCGGGTGCACGCGTCCGTGTCTGTGCTTTTGCGCCTCCCTTCTTGTCGAACATCGGGTGTGTCGAGCGCAAATTGCTTTTTTTCGTGGGCTTGATCTCCACCTCTTCGAAGTCGTCATCTTGTTCGCTATCGTCATCGACGCGCTCTTCCTGATTCGAAAGCGTGTGCGACAGCATCTCCTCCAGCGGAATTCTTGGCGCATTTGCTTCTGGTTCCATGTTCTGCGCCACAACGGTAGAAAAGGAGATCAGCTCCTGCACGTTGCCCCAGCGGGACTCGTAATCTTGCTGGGCCTTGAGATAGTTTTCGTAGTTGATCTTGTCGATGAGCAGTTCGATAAGCTTGGACACAGGCTCGCCCGAGCTGGCTGCCTCTCTCACGACCACGATGGCGTCCACGAATTCCTTGAGCCCTTTCTTGACCGCGGGCTTGATGCCTGGATTCTTGCCGCCCTGCACGACGCGTTCGGCGAGTTCCATGGGCTTGCATCCCTCTGCTTTAGCCATGTTGAGCAGGTCGGTCACGCTCTTCTCGCCGATGCCACGCTTGGGCACGTTGACAACGCGGATGAAGGCGGGCGTGAAGCCGGGGTTGTCTGCAAGGGCGAGGTAGGCGAGCAGGTCCTTGACTTCCATGCGGTCGAAGAACTTGTGCCCGCCCATCATCCGCGAGTCGATGCCCCTTGCCTGCAGCTCGGCCTCAATGCTGCGAGAGAGATAGTTGAAGCGCAGCAGGATGGCGATGTCGTTGTAGTCGAGCATGCCTCCCGAGTGTGCGACCAGCCGTTTGATCTCGGACGCAATGTAGGCGGCTTCGAGCTGAGCGGATCCGTGGCACTTGAGCACCACTGGCGGACCGCGAGGATGTGAGGTGTACAAGTCCTTCTGCACGCGTGAGGTGTCCTGCTGCACCACGCGCAGCGCGAGATCGAGGATGGCGCCGGTGCTGCGGTAGTTCTCCTCGAGGCGCGCCTGCTGGGTTCCTTTGAATTCCTTTGTCATCTTGTCGAGGTTGCCGATCTCGGCGCTGCGCCAGCCATAGATGCTCTGATCAGGATCTCCGACGATGCTGACCGCCTGCGAGGAGTACGCTACGAGGCGCATGAGCTCGTACTGAGTGACGTTGGTATCTTGGAACTCGTCGACGAGCACGTGTCGGATGTTGCGCACCACCTGATTCTGACGCCGGAAGAGCTGGACTCCGTACACGAGCAAATCGTCAAAGTCGAGCGCGTTGGCCTCGACGAGTTGCTCCTGATACATCTGATAGATCGTAGCGATGATCGCTTTGAACGGAGCGGATCCGGTGAACTGCCTTCCGATAGCTGCCTTCTTGGCTTGCGCCTTGGCAGCCTCCTCATCGGCGAGCTGTCTGTATCTGACGGGATCGATCTCGCGAGCCTTGGCCTTGGAGATCTCCGACATGGCTTCTTCCGGCTTGAGCGTGATGTGCTCCTTGTCCAGCTCGGCTTTGAGCTCCTTGATGATGGCCTTGAGCATGCGCTTGGCGTCGTCCGAGTCGATGATCGTGAAGTTGTTGGGCAGCGAAATGAGACGGCCGTACTTGCGTAGATACCGGGCGCATACGGAATGGAAAGTGCCAATGACGAGGTTGTCGACGCGCTCCTTGCCGATCAGCTTGACCAGGCGCAACTTCATCTCGTTGGCGGCCTTGTTGGTGAAGGTGACGACCAGAATATCTTCGGGCGTGAGGCGGTTGCTTGGATCCAGGATCAGCCACGCCACTCTGGAAGTGAGGACGCGCGTCTTGCCCGAGCCTGGACCGGCAAGGATCTGCAAGCATGCCGTCGGCGGGTGCGTAGCTGCAGCGAGTTGTGACTTTGACAGGGAGCGAAGGTAAGAAGGTACGTCGATGAGATGATCTGTATCACTTTGCTTGCTACTGCCTGGCTCGGAGCCTGAAGTCCGCGACGCCGTAGCCGCAGACTTGGGTGGCATGGCGTCTGATTTCGAAGCCTCGGGCTATTCGCGCACGTCGTTTCTGGTGAAGAATGCTGTGGTCAGAGCCCAGCGGGGACACTGAAGCGGAACGACGATTCGTGTCGGAAGCTGTCCGTGCATGCATGCAGTCGAGCTTGAGCGAGTCCAAAGGCTGAGAATGGCCCCATCGGCGCCTCCGATGGTCGGATGTGTCAAAGACCTAATCACGAGGAGAGAGAGGAAAATGAAGGCACGCGTCACGTCCTCCTGTTACTTTTTCAAGCCTCCACCTTTTGTGTCACTTTGAGCTCCGCCGCTTTGCGCGTGCTCTTCTCACAGTCTGGGAGCGGTTTACGCGACGCAACTCCGCTGTGCGGCCCGTTGCTGAGTGCGGGTCTCGCGAATGGAATTGTCTGCGATATGTCTCGACGCTGTTGGCTTGCGCCGAGCCGTGGACACGCGGCAACCTGGGCCGACCTGGTTGAGCAGGTGCGGCGTCTTGTCCAGCTGAGATCCGTACTTGAGCCGTATGATCAGGTCGTAGACGAGGGCAGCAGTCTCGCGATGGTCGTACATGCCGTTACCCTGTCCTGCAACCGCGAGCCTGAAGCGCTTCCCCTTCTGTTGCACACCAACGGAGCCGGAAGAGGGCGGGTTCCTCGGCACGTTGAACCTGTTGAAGCTCGGCGTCACCCAGTGCAGGTTGGCCGCCGTGTTGTCGAGTGGATCGCGGTTGGCATGGTCGACCATGCAGCGATCCGGGTCGTCCGATGGCTGCTGGATAGCGATCACGCGCGCCAGAGGCATGTGGGCGCACCTGCCCCGAGCCTCGTTGTTGTTGGCGTTGTCGTAGTGCACTGAGGTTCCCACCATCAAGAGATACTCATTGCGAGTGTCGATCTTGCACTGCACCACGGCACTCACATCATCTTTCGCACGTCGCATGGTATAGAACGTGATTCCATTCTCGCGCAAAGTGATGCTGACGTACGGCGAGGCCACAACCTTGCGTGGCACCTCAAGAGGGATATCGCCGTACAGGATGCCGGAAGGAGCCGGGTCGCGCGGGTGAGGCTGTGGCGCCTCGGACGAACCATTGGCGGACATGCTGAGATTTTGATCGACGTGGCGATGGATTTGGGAATATGAAAATGTGAGTGATGGTGTCGAGGGCTAGCGTGTGCAAGAGCTTGCAGGCCCAAGGCTGCTGGATCTCCCTCACATGCTGAGGATGTACGACTGGCAATGACCCTTTAGCCAGTCCCAAGCCGCTACGGCGGGCATTTCAGCGGGATAGCTCAACTTCCCGTGCTGTGCCCAAGGTCGATACCACTGTATCTCGACGGACGTGCTGGGCGCAAGCAGCCCTGGCGCGAGAGTTGAAGAGTACCAGAAGCTCGAGCTCCACGACCTTGCCGCTGTGTACCCGCGCGGCTCCGGCGCCCTGCAGCCCGACCACAGCACGACCCTCGACATGGAAAAAAGGGGAGGTACAAACGCACTTTTCGCAAATGTGGCGCGGTCGGATCTCGTCTCATCACGCATCATGTGGGCTTTCAGCCCCACTTAGCGAAATCAGCCTGCAACTTCCACCTCGTTGCGTCTCGGACCGCCGTCACAAGAGCGCAGGGACCACTCTGATATGAGGCCGCGAGAAAAGCGACACCGGAGGAAAGTGTCGTACTGCGTATAAATACTCTATCCGCTCCTTCCACCACTCCTCGAGCCTTCTCATCCTCAACACTCTCCAGACCGCCTTCCAAGACTCCAATCATGCTTTTGCTCAAGCTTGCTACCGTGTTTGCCCTGATGGCCGCAACTCCTGCGATTGGTGGCTCCGTCAACCCGGGTGTGTCTCGCTCGGCGTGCATTAGCCAGAGTGTCGATCGGGCCCGAGCTCGAGCTTCGCAAGCCGATGCTGTTGTCTGCTACCACGGTGAATATGACATTGTCAACAAGGATGGAAACACTTTTGGCCTACTGTTCCAAGTACAGTGCGGCGAGGAGAGGGTCAACGTCGATTGCTTTTGGATGGATGGCCCCGCAATCTTCAATGGTCACGACGATGGCGGATCAGACAACCTCGGCTACAGCATGGACACCACAAAGTGCCAGTTCAGTTCCTTCTGGCGTTCCGTCAAGTGCCAGGGGTGAAGCGATTAAGGCAGCGAGCATCCATGCTGTCAGTGATCCGCCTTCCTTTACTTTCGGCCTCCGCTACTGTCCGCGGCAGCACCAGCTTCAACGGGGTGACTTGGATACCTGGGCGCGGATCGCGTTCGCGTCGGCATAATCACAAAGTCCCAGTAGCACACTTCGTCAACCTGCACAGACTCTAGATTGGGGGGGAAGAGAGCATGGAGTGCCTAGACAATGTACTTGAGACTATATGCGAATAGTGTCTGGGAGAATGACCTATCGAAGAGAGACGTGAAACGACCCAAAGCCGAGCATTTTGAGCGCCATGGCTATCGGGAATTGGGGTCCTGTGATGCGTAAATGCGGAGCCACCGGGGAGTCGCGCGCTTTCGAAGTTGCGACGAGGACGCGACAAGCTGGCTACGAAGAGGGCAGGAGAAGGAGAAGGGAGACCGGCGGACGGTGAGGACAGGTGATGGTCGGCACCCGGAGTGTGGGTTCAAGTGTGGGAATGCATCGGGCTGCTTCACAAGACAAGACTCTCCGCCACATTTGGCTCATAGTTCGTTGCAGGTGGGAGCTTGCCCAGTGATCGTGCCCCCTTTCCAAGACCATACGGAACTCGAGGTCCGACCCCCACCTTCATAATGGAAGTGCGAGCAAGCAAGTTGACCCACTCACAGCCCCTGACTCTGATTGGATGCCCCACTCGATGGCGCCACTGGAGTGGGGTCACACGTGGGACCGTCACACCGCCCTCTCTGGCAAAGATGCTGTTCGAGCGAGTGTCGCCGCCGCTCATAGATAAAAGGTCGCCCCAGCCTGCTGTAGATCTTTCATCCACCATCCCTCTCTCCCTTCTTTTTCTCCCCATCAACACTCTGTACGCTCCAAGATGATGGCCACCGGCTCCGTTTCGCTTGCTCTTGCTGGGCTTGCCCTTGTCTCGGGTGCCAGTGCTGCTGCCATTCGCACCGACGAGGGGTACACCACGGGCATCAAGGCCCAACCCATTATTATCGAGACGCCTGAGTCGTATGGCGTTACCTGGAAGCAGACCAAGGTGCCCACCACCAACCAGCAGCAAGGTGCGCTGGGTGCTTCGGTGAGGGGTCACTTTCCTGTCATGAGCCCCAACGAGACCAGCGTTGGCTGCGGACTCGATTGGAGCCGTGGTCAGCTGCATGCAGGTTTCAACGCCGGCGACGGCGGCAATGGCGTCGGCGGTGGATTCACCTGGCTTCCCAACGCTTTGAGCAGCGTCGTGGGCGTTCATTTCAGGGACACCAAGGTGAACGTCAATCTCACCATCACCGACGACAACCAGGTCATCTTTAGCGTTGACGGCAAGGAGCTCGACTGGAACAAGGTCATCAGGGCTACCAAGACTCAGGACCCTAACGTTCCGGTTGGCCCCGATGCCGGACCCGTGCAGTACGACCACGGCCACGCCTTCGCCAACGATGTACCCGAGTACCATTACCCCGACGGCAAGGAGAAGTCGACCAAGACCAAGAGGGCTGACCTTCCGTCTGGTCCGGATGCTGGACCCGTTCAGTTCAGCGATGGCCATGCCTTTGCTGTGGATGTACCCGAGTACCGCAATGCCGATGGCTCTGTTGCTCACTAGAGCTTAATTGCCAAGAGTAGGTACTTTTCATCGTCGCTGCACTCCCTTCTGCATGATCTTTGTCGCCTTTTCCCTTGTCTCTTCATCGTCATCCCCTCCGTCCTAGATGCCCTTCCTGAGTCCAGTCGTTTTTCAATGCATGTTCTTTCCCTGCAAGCGTCCTTTTTCTAGCGTCATTTGCGATTGATCATCGTCCCGCACGAGAGGATACGCTGTACATTGTGCCTTGGCTGCGAGCGCGACTTCTTCGTCATCTGTTCTGCGCGGTCTTTCCCCAGCGGTGGTCTCCATGTTGGACGCGAGCAGAACTCGCCTATTCTGGACGTACAGGGCTCGGAACGCACGGACAGTCCGAGACAATGTGCAAACTCGGCAGCCAATATATTGAGGGCACTTGGCATGCGAACAGAAAGCTCTTAGAGTGACTGGGTGTAGTTTGCGGGAAAGATGCCTATCCTGCTTGCGGAGAGACCGGCTTCGACTCTCCCCTGCCACCAATCGTCTCTGCTGTCCGTCTTTTTCGTAACTGCGATGACTTGACCCTTGTTAAAGCCGAGGTCGCCTTCCTCTTGTGCATCGAAGTCGAACAGGGCTACGACTCTCTCGATGACCGGAACGCCTGCGTTGGACGTTGCGAGCGAAAAGGACTCGCGCCTCTGTACCTCTGCATACGGTTCGGAGTCAATGAGCGATGCGGTCTGGTCGTCTCCTCCATCCTCAGCGATGGTTGGTGTCTTTTTACGACCAAAAGCACTGCTTCCAGGACTTGGTGTGCGGAACTTGCCAAAACGGGATCCAGTCTTACCTGCAGGTGGTGCCGTGCTCGACCCTGCAGCGTCCCAGGGCGATTTGGTGCGTCCGTTGCCGTTGCCGTTGCCGGTGCCATTTGCATAGCCTGAACCAGCGCTGGTACCTGTGTGGCGCGGCTCGAGATCGTCGAACGGGTCGCGAGCCTGCGCCTCTCCGAACAAGTCGTCCGCATCATCGGCCGTGCTGAACTGACTCCAGCCCACCGGCGTATTCGAGCTCCCGCGTCCACCGATTCCGACACTGCCACTGCGTGCGCGCGCGTCGGAACCAGCCGATTCGGAAACTCCAGACGTGCTGTAACTCCTGGCGTGCGACGGACTGTACGGCGACCCGCGCCTTGCCGCATCACCGCCACCCTGCAGCTCGCGGTCGAGTGCATCCATTCCGTCCGGATCGCGCCTTTCCCACGCAGTGCTGTTCTTGCTTTGGCCCGGGATATCGTTCCAATCGGGCGGCGGTGTAGGCCCGGAGCGGTCGAGTCGCTTCTTGCCGCCGAGACTAGAGAAGCTGAGATTGCTTGCAATGCTGCTGGAGCGCTGCCTGATGCCTGGACGCTTCTTCTGCGATGCCGCCGACCCTACCCGCGCGGGCGTATTGCTGAGCGACGACGACGGCGACCCAAACGCATAGGGTCGCGCATCGTACTCGTCGCGAGCACGCCTATCGCGCTCAGCCGCTTCGAATGACGATCTCCCCGCATCGGCCCCGTTGCCCTTACGGTCACCCAGGTCGAATCCGTCGAATCGGTCAGGAAGATCGTCGAGCCCCGACTCACGCTTTGACAGCGGCGACTTGGTGCGCACGGTGGCGTCGAGCTCGCGGCTGTCGACCGAGTCGAAGCTGGACCGGCGCCCGCCACTGCGTCCAAGGCCGCGGTTGTCAAAGCTGCTGGTGTCGTCGTAGTTGAAGTATTCGCCGTCGAGGTCCTTGCTCGGCGTATTGGCGAGGGTGAAGCGATCGATCGTCTGGATCAGTCCCGTCGCCCAGCGCGGTGGCTCTACCGAGCCAGACAGGATCTGCTTTGCATTCTTGCCATAGCTGCCGTATGCCCTGGCATTGGCATCTTCGCGATCGACGAGCACAGTGCCCTCGACCGAGATGCCGCCGTAGAAGCCCTTGGACTTGGAGTAGGAAAACATGGCTGCGACGCGGCCCTTGGTGTTTACACTGCCGCTCGCTTCAGCGGATCTTCCAAGCGGGCCGATTGCCACGGAGAGGTTTCCGCCGAGCTGCAGCGAGCCGGTGGCCATAAAGGAGCGCACGGCGGAGCGCGAGTTGAGCACGATGAGAAAGTCGGTGACTTCAGCGCCGACATTGAAGCCGCCTCCGAGACCGCCGATGCCGATAGCGGCAGGTGCGGACCAGCGACCATCTTCGGTGCGCGCAATGACCACGCCGGAGCCTGCGCGCGCCGAGAGGAGGAAGCCGATGCGGAAGACGGAAAAGATGGCGAATCCCTTGGCGCGCTGCAGCACGCTGAGCGGGATGATCTTGTCGAGGCCGTTGACGGGGTCGACAAAGTCGTTCAGGATCTTAGTCGCCTTGCGACATTCCTGCTCGAGATGGACGGGGATCGGATTGCCCATGATGGCAACGAGCAGGCCAACAAGCGCCTCGAGGAATAGGTTGGGGTGCGCCGGGAATCTGTTTTCGCAAAGGTGGCGATTCGGACACGGCCAAGGAGCAAATGAGGATGAAGCTAGGATGCGATTGGCGCTGTGGGGTGGATGCAGGGTTTAGGATGAGGCGAGACGAGACGAGAGGGTGTGCGCGGCAAAGGTGAGTACGAGGGTCGAGTTGAGGCCAGAGGTGAGGCGAGCCGAGTGGCTGTGGAGGCAGGAGCGTCGTCTTCCGGGCCGGCGTTGGCCATCCGAGCTGTGCCCAGCAAAGTGGAGCTGCAGCGGCCGCTCGCACTGTTCAGCAGCGCCTGTTCCGCACAGACACTCAACGGCATCACACGCGCATCAAATTTCGGAGAAATAAGCGCCATCGCAGCGTCGAAAGCTCCACACAGCAACGGGGGCGAGAGAGAGAGAGAGTAAGCGCGCGCTCGGCAGCGGCCCGACTGAGCCCCACACTGGCAACGACTGCCACTACTCTCAAACTCAGCATCACAGTTCATCAGTGGAGATGGGCGGTGCCCCGCAGCTGCAGCCCCTCACAACGTCTTGTGTTCTGCTTCACCCGCAACAGGGGTCGAGATGTCCGCTTTCGAGTGGGACCTTCATTGCTACGTCTCAGAAGCGCGGTGCTGAACAGCGTCCGGATCAGTGTGCGCATCGGCGCGATACTCGGTGTTGCCGATCGAGTCTTGGACGCTTGGCTGAAACTGGCCGCCGCTACTGTCTCGCTGCTGCTGAGTCGAAGAGAAGCCCTGGCCGGTCTGGTTCTCTTTGGCGAACTGGTCCCCACCGGAGGCTGACAGCCCATAGCCGCCCTGGTCGATCGTCTCGCCCGTCTCGACCTGCTGGCTCGCAAAGTTGCTGTCGGACGCCAGCCGATCATCGCCCACCGACAGAGGCTGGGTGCCCGTCGAGTCTGCACACGCGATCGCCAAGTATCAGCGACCGATCCTGCAAACGATTCCTTCGCTTGCGTTCAACAACTCACTGCTGCTGCTAGTCTTTTCGAAGTCGGTCATGGTGTTGGCAATGGTGGTATGAGGACTCGAAGTTCCAGCGACCAGCAGGTGCAGAGCAATACGCCACATCAATCTACGAGGCTGCCCGTGCGGCGTCCGCAGAATACGTCATGCTCCGCGCTGCACTGCCAGTCGCCTCCGCTTGACCGAAGGCTCACTCAGCTTGGAAAAGCCGCTCACCGCACAATGCACGACTGCAGCACCCTGCAGAAAGGACTCATCGGAAAAAGCGACACCGAAAATCACCAAAAAATCAAGATCCTGGTCTCTTCCTCCCGCACCACCTACAGCGGTACGAGACAGCACAGACATCGATTCGAGCCACTGCGGCATGGTATTACTGCGACTTGGATCGACTCGTGAAGCGTGCACGGAGGCTATCGAACGACGGCCGCTTGGGAAAACGCACGGCACTTTTGCCTGAGGGTGCTGGCCCGTCGGATTTCGACGCCACCGGCTCGGACTGTCCGGGCTGGATGCTTTTGAAAGGGTCTCGAAATGTGACTTTGGCCTTGCCTGGTGAGGCTGGTTGCGACTTGATCGACGGTGACGGCGGGTCGACGGGGACGACCTCGATGTAGGTGACGACTCCCTCTTCGTCAACCTCGGTGGCGGCCTTGTCCTCGTCGTCGGCCTCGAGCACCGTGTCCATGCCAACGGAAGTGTTCTTGCGGCCCCTCGCCAAAGCAGCCCGTTCAAGCGCGCGGTCTCGCTCCTCGTACTCGCCCTCCTGGGGTGTAGCCTCGACGAGCTTGATCTGCGGCACCTCGGTCTTGAGCGAACCCTGCCGTGATTCTGGCAGGGCGATGGTAAGCTTGGGTAGATGGTTGGGCGACGCCTTCTTGGCCGGAGCCATCTCGTCAGATGTGGACTCGAGTGTGCTGGCGCGGCTCGAGGCCGAGTCGCTGCGATGGCGCGAGTCTCGGTCGTCATCCGATACCTGCGAACTGCCCGCCTCGGACGGAGCGCGGGTCGGCGACGTCGGCTCTTCCGAAAGCTCGTCCGGGAGGACTTGGCGCAGCAGATGAATCGAGCGTTCGAACGGAGTGAGCTGCGCCATGCCGAGGTCTTCAATGATTTGATCCACCACCTCGTCATTGTCGACCAGAGCATCGATCGACGATGTAGGCGACGTGGACGCGCTAGCATGGGCAGCATCGGCGCCTCCTGCGCGCGAGACGCTGGAACGATCGCGTCGGATGCGGATCCAGCATCGGATCACGTCGGCCAGCACGCGCAGGCTCGTGCTCATGGCTCCCTCGGGCGGTCTGCGAATGGCGCCCGTCTCCTTGTCGCTGTACAGTGTCTCGTAGCACACCCCTTTCGCTCCTGGCGAAGACATGTTGAACGGCCACGCAAAGAGCGTGTCGGTGGGCGTGTACAGCAAGGTGACAGTCAGCCTGTTTCCCGACGCCGACGAAGAGGCCGAGTAGGTCGAAGAGCTACTGGACGGGGCCCGGGCGATGCCAGCGACGGACCACTGGTGCGGCTGATATTCTGCATAGCTGACGGAGGACATTGTTGGCCGTGGGCTGAGTGGAGGCGATGACGAGCTCGGCGAGGTAGGTTCTGAAGACGACTTTTTAAGGATGCTCCGTGGCACCTGCACGGGCGTCTGCGAGTGGCGCCGGCGTGGCGAGGAAGAGAGCGCGAAGACGTGCGTCGAATGTTGCTCCAGCATGGCTGTAGGAGAACACAACAGCCCACTGTAATGAGCTGCACAAACCCACGGTGTGGTGCCTGAGGTCTCGTGAGCTCGAAAGCGGGACACGCCACGGCGCAATGGAGGTCCAGCCGACTGGACAGGTGGGAGCGGTGGGCCCTGATAAGCGAGAGAGATCGGTGCGCCACAAGTGGGTAAGGTCGAGATGAAGTTGTCGCAGAGTGCTCGGCATGCACGTTGCTGTAGGCAAGGGACGAGGGTCGGTAAATTTGCGATGGCTGGCAGACAAGCTGGTGGCGAATGGTGGAGTGAATGATGACGAGAAGAGCAACGAGAAGTGAAAGACGAGAATGACGGGGGGACGAGGGAGGCCGGTCAACACCACCACACAGCATCATCTTATGGGAAGGCCATCGAGCACTATCAACACGCTTGCAAGCGAGGCTGAGCACAGGCCTGGTCTGTCAGGGGCACTCGACAGGCGGCTACAGCTGCCTACGCCGTGGTGAAGCACGAGGTGGGATTTGGGTTCAGCCGCACAAGGACCGACGCCCGACAGCCATCACGCGTACAGCTCCGACCTTCTGCATCGGTCAGCGCGCCCAAGTCGACGCTCCATTGCGGCGCTCTCATTCTCGCAGCCCTCCTTTGTTTCGTTGTTTCGCGCACGACGCTGCCGACGGGACGATTGACTCACGCCCTGACGATCTATTGCCACGAAGCCTGCTAGCAAGAAAGGCTAGGCTGCTAGCTTCGTATGCCTGGGAACCTGCGGCTGGGATCACGAGCTCTCTGCACTCTGCACCAAAATAGGCTGAGTCCGAAGGGGGGCGAAGATGCGGCTGTGCGAGAGTGCTACGTCCGCTTGACCGGGCTGAAAGGCGGGAGGACTGCATGCATGCCCGACCACGAGGCTCCTCAAACGCAACAGCATGAGAGCGTGTGCAAGCCGGCAATCAAATCACCGTGCGGTCCTCGTGCTGACGCTGACACCTTCGGCCGTCCGCGTCGGCGAGTTGGAGCTCTTGCTTTTTCGAATCTGCGATTTTTGCGACTCCGACGAGAAAAGCGATCCGCACGTTTCCAAGCCCCCTGCCAGTTTTTCTTTTTTTGAGTCGCCGCAAACTTCCCTTTCATTTCGACAAGGGGTCCCGGCGCTTTGTTGACTGCGCGCTCTCCATGAACTGGGCCAGACAGATCGATTCGGGAGGCGTGGTCAGGCCACGACAGTACAAGCTGGTGTGACAGCCACCAAGATCAGCGCATGGTAGCGAAGGGGCTAACCGAAGCAAGCGCTGCACGTCCCAGCTCCTGGACATTGTCGGGAGGCCACGCAGGAACGTCACGTCTCGCTTGCGTCTTTTCCGCAGACGAGACTGCAGCGAGGAGGGGCAGAGGAGATTGGCACTCGGCGAATTGTTCAGCTGCTGCACACAATGTGTTCAACTCAGCCAAGAGTTCGCTTCGTCCCCTTTCTCCGAGCCGTCTTCCCGTCCGTCTTGTGGAATGCAAACTTTGCGACGCTGCCCTCTATGCAGCCTGCAGCGCGCATCGCATTGCGAGGGGATCAAAGGGCATGCAGAGCCGCAGACTACGATATGCGATCAAGGCAGGCCATTCATGAAAGATCGAAGCAGACATGAGGCCGACACTATCGCGTGCTTGCAAGGGCAGGTCGTGCCCTCAACCCTGTCGCTGTGGCGCTAATCAAGGGCCAGTCTCACTTGCAAGACGGGGCTTGCGAGTGAAAGGCCTCAAAGTTGCCGCGTCGTCTCGGATGCAGTACCAAACGCACAAGGACGGCAGTCGATGGACCCTGCTGGTGCTGAAATTTGTCTCGCTTACGGCGGCAGCTAGCTAGGTGCGGCTCGCCTCTGGGACGCGAAGCCGTCTAGTATCGCACGTCACCCGGCTCGCTCTTCCGAAACGCGGCGGCTAGCGTGCGTGTACTCGCCGTTCGCGACTGAGCTCGTGGTGATCATCCTCTCTTTCAACGTACAAAGTTGTATCCTCGACACCTGTGACTGGACTGGCCGTCGATGCTCGTGGCTCAGCCTGTCTCGATCCAATCACAACTGCTGCACAGAGCCTAATCGTATTCGCGGCCGAGGCTTTGGTCTTAACAGGTCGAGGAAATCCGCGTTGGCAGAGATGCGCATTTTCGGCCGGTTGTGGGACGCGGCAGCGACGCGGCAGGATTGGTGTCTGACGCGTTAATGAGTCTGTACGCGACTCGGACGCGTTCGCGTAAATTGCTTCTCGCGCTTCGCGGAAAGTTGCGCAGTGCGGAAGTGAGGCGAGAGAAGAGACGCGCGCGCCAGTGTTGGTTGAGTGGGTGTTTTTCTCGCTCTTCTGCCTGAGCTCGATGCGCTTTGACTGCGCCCGACCGACTTTGTCCAAATCGAGGAGTCGAGCGCGAGGGAAGTAAAGGCGGACGGATGCGCTTGTGCTTCACAGCTGCGCTTCCTTGCTGCTTGCACTCCACTCACCACCTCTCTCGTACTCATCGGGAGCTTCCATCGCCCATCATCCTCGAGCATCATCTCCTTCGTTTCCTCAACCCTCATACGCCGTAGAACAGCGACTTCCTCGTCAGCACCGATACCGCGGCGCCACAACTTCACACACACTGGGCTTAGTGCCAACTGCCCCGCCCGAGCCGCCGCCCCTTCCCCTATAACAAGGCCGCCGCAATGAGTCAGGCACTCAACGACGGCAGCAACCTCGACTTGCCCGTCTTCCAGGATGATCTGCTGCGAGACAGGCAGCGAGTCTTCTCCGAGTTTCTCTCCAAGGACGAATACCAGGATGCAGTGCGTCGCATGCTCAGAATGGATGCGCGCCGGCTCATCATCAACATCGATGACCTGCGCTCGTACAACCGAGAGTTCGCCACAGGCCTCCTGAACGAGCCCAATGAGTTCCTGCCGGCCTTCGACGCCGCTCTGCACGTCTCGGTGGAGCTGGCGCACAACGCCATCAAGGACGACATCAAGAACAAGCAGTACTACATCGGCCTGCGAGGCAGCTTCGGTGACCACCACGTCAACCCACGCACGCTGCGCAGCATCCACCTCGGCAAGATGATGAGTCTCGAGGGCATCGTCACGCGCTGCTCGCTCGTGCGCCCCAAGATCCTCAAGTCGGTCCACTACTGCGAGAACACGGCCAAATTCCACCAGCGCGAGTACCGCGATGCCACCATGTACGGCACTCTGCCCCCTTCGTCGACCGTCTACCCCACCGAGGACGAGAGCGGCAACCGCCTCACCACCGAGTACGGCCACAGTCAGTTCCGCGACCACCAGATGATCTCGATCCAGGAGATGCCCGAGCGCGCCCCACCCGGCCAGCTGCCGCGCAGCATCGACGTCGTCATGGACGACGACATGGTCGACCGCTGCAAGCCCGGCGACCGCATCCAGCTCGTCGGCATGTATCGCTCGCTCGGCAACCGCGTCGGCCAGAGCTCGTCGTCCACCTTCCGCACGCTCATGATCGGCAACAACATCAACCTGCTCTCCTCCAAGGCCGGCGGCGGCATCGCCCAGGCGCACATCACCGACACCGACATCCGCAACATTAACAAGATCGCCAAGCGCAAAAACGTCTTCAACCTGCTCTCGCAGTCGCTGGCGCCGTCGATCTACGGCCACGAGTACATCAAGAAGGCCGTGCTGCTGCTGCTGCTCGGAGGCGAGGAGAAGAACCTGCCCAACGGCACGCACATCCGTGGAGACATCAACATCCTCATGGTCGGAGACCCGTCGACGGCCAAGTCGCAGATGCTGCGCTTCGTGCTCAACACGGCGCCGCTCGCCATCGCCACCACAGGTCGAGGCTCGAGTGGCGTCGGTCTGACGGCGGCGGTGACGACGGACAAGGAGACGGGCGAGCGTCGACTCGAGGCAGGTGCCATGGTGCTCGCCGATCGCGGCGTCATCTGCATCGACGAGTTTGACAAGATGAGCGACGTCGACCGTGTGGCGATCCACGAAGTCATGGAGCAGCAGACGGTCACCATCGCCAAGGCGGGCATCCACACGAGTCTGAACGCGCGCTGTTCGGTCGTGGCGGCAGCCAACCCGATCTACGGCCAGTACGACGTGCACAAGGACCCGCACAAGAACATTGCGCTGCCGGACTCGCTGCTGTCGCGTTTCGATTTGCTGTTTGTGGTGACCGACGACGTGGACGAGCAGCGCGACCGCATGATTTCGGAGCACGTGCTGCGTATGCACCGATACCTCCAGCCCGGCCTCGAGGAGGGCACGCCGGCTGTCGACAACCTTGACCAGGCGCTCGATGTGGGCGCTCCCGAGGGCACGGATGCCGACGGCGCCGCGATGCTCGGCGACACGTCGCCATTTGAAAAGTACAACCCGCTGCTGCACTCTGGCGTGACGGGCTCGGGCCGCGGCAACGACAAGAAGGAGGTGCTGTCGATCGTTTTCATCAAGAAGTACGTGCAGTACGCCAAGTCGCGTATCCACCCCGTGCTGACCAAGGGTGCAGCCGAGTGGATCGTCAACGTCTACTCGAACCTGCGCAACGACGAGCTGTCGGGCAACCAGAAGCGCACGTCGCCGCTCACCGCGCGTACACTCGAGACGCTCATCCGTCTCGCCACGGCGCACGCCAAGAGCCGACTGAGCAGCAAGGTGGAAGAGCGCGATGCCGAGGCGGCCGAGGAGATCCTGCGTTTTGCGCTGTTCAAGGAGGTGCTGGGTGGCCGTCGTGCCGCCAACAAGCGACGCCGCACAGGCAACAGCCCGATGAGCGACGACGAGGACCAGGACGACGACGATGACGACGACAGCGGCGACGAGGCAGCGCGCACCGACCCAAATGCAGCCTACCGCGGTGGCAGCCGGGGGCGAGGTGGTCGCAGTCGCGGTGGCGGCAGGCGAGGCGGCGATCGCTACGGCGAAGACGCGCACAGCAGCGACGACGACGACGACGATGCAGGTGCGTTTGTGTCGTCGCAGCGCTCGGCACGATCCAACGGCTCGTATGCGACGCGTGCGGCAGCAGCGGGACGTGCCAAGCCCAAGCCCGCCATGGTGGGACCGGGCGGCATGGACGAAGAGATGCTCGACGAGGAAGACATGGATGCGCTCGAGGCGATGAGGTCGCTCGACGTCGAGGTGGTCATTCCTTCGCAGGCCCCACCGCCGAGTGCACCGCGGGCGGTGTCGGCACAGCGAATCGAGGCGTTCAAGGAGTCGCTCTCGGACCTGCTCTTCGCGTCCGACGGCCGACTGGCAGAGACGGATGCGATCCCGCTCGACGATCTGCTGCCCGTGATGAACGAAGGTCGCCGCACCGAAGACCTCTTCGACAGCAACGAGGCGCGACAGGTGCTCGAACAGATGCATCGCGAGAACAGCATCATGTTCAGCGAAGACATGGTGTTCAAGCTCTGATCGCTATCGCCTCCATCTATACCCTTGCACCCGCAGTCTCAGTCTACAAAGAGACTTGCTTTCCCGGTTCCCTTTTTTCTTGTCTCGTCGTGTGTTTTGCTTGAATTGGTCACCATTTGTTCCCAACGTCTGCTTGCTACTGATCTCGCCGTGCAGTGTGCCTGTGGAGGAATGAGCGTCTTTCAAGTGGGAGAGCGGGGCGAGGGTCTCCACATGAATCAACCCACGCGCGCTGTCGGGATCGGCGGAGTAGCGGCACGGGCGCTTCGGCACACGCCCACACACTGCCCGAGAGCAGCAACCGAGAGAAGTCGCGTCTCAAAGCTCACACGCTGCGAAATACGCGGGGATGCCGGGCGCATACGACCGGCGCATTGACACTCTCGCCCTCCAACACACTTTCGCGACCATCATCCGCATCGCTTGGTTCCGCATCGGCAGCCACATCTTTGAAGCACTCGCTTGCTCGACACGCCGAGTGCGAGCCGCGTGCAATGACGATGGCGCTCCCTTCCTTCCTCGGCGCAACGGCCACCTCGCAGCCCTTGCCCATGCAGCTCGACCTCGACGACCCCGAACGCGCCATCTCCCAACTCAAGGCCATCCGCAACGCCGTCATCGGCTCGCGCACCAAAAAGTCCAGCCTCGTCCATACGCGCGTCATCCAGCAGCTCGTCGAGCTGCTCCACGTCGACCTCGGCGCCACTCCTCATGCATTCGACCTCGTCAGCCTCGCGGCGACCATCGTCGCTTCGCTCGCCAACACGCCAGCACATTCCACCATGCTCCAGCTCATGCGATCCGGCACACACGACGCGCTGCTCGCCTGCCTCACCAATCTTACCCACGACTTGAACCGCTCGGGACGCCACATTCTCGACCCGGTCACTGGCTCGTTTGACACACTTCGGCTCCTCGAGTCGGTCCTGAGGGCGTTGAGATCCATCCTCCTGTCCGTCGCTGACCAGCTGTCTCCGAGTCCTCGCTGGGGAATCGGCTCCAGCTGGGGCACCAAGCCTGCGGCGGCAGGCGTAGCCATATCCAACCCAGGCGCTTATGCCGCAACCTCCAAAATTTTTGGCAAGAGCAGCCGCGACTCGCTTCCTGCATCGCCGGTCCCCATCCAGGACGTCCTCATGAACAGCGCCAGCAACGACAATCTGCGCGACAAACTCAGACACGACCAGGTGGAGTCGGAAGCTCAACAGCAGCGCGAGCTTCGCCGTCTCGCCAGAATCTTCCTGGCTCGAGTCTACGACCCTGCCAATCTTGCGTTGCTGCTCGGGCCTCTCTTCATGTGCCAACTACCGCAGGAGCAGACATCTGCAATGCGTCCACCCTCCTCAGCAACCTCACATGCAGCGTCGCCGATGAGGTCGGGCGCGAGCTCCTCCGCTACTCCCATCGACGATGGCGCCCAAGCCTCGGGTGTGGATGGTCCGCAGGCCGTCGTCGATGTCGAGCGCCTACCCATGACCGTCAAGACCAAGATCCTCAGCATCGTCGAAATGATCTGCGCAATCCTCTCCGGCACCTTGTTCATCCCGGGCTATGCACCAGACGCACCCGCCGTCAGTTCCACATCGGTTGCAGTTCAGATCTCGCAGCGTCGCGAGAGGATCCTCGACTTTAGCGCCGTCGAAAGCCCCTTTGCTCCCGATTTCAAGCTCGGACAAGGAGCCCGGGGTCGCAGCGAAGCAGTCCCCGCGAGCCATTCTTCCTCGCAGCTGCAAGCCGAGGTCATCCGCAAAGGCTCGCGCTCTCGATCGCGCATGAAGGATGTCGAGCACGCAGGCACCTTCGACACGCCACCCCTGCCGCCGTGGACCGAGGACGAAGTCGAGCAGCTCCGCGCACCCTCCGATCTCGCCTCAACTGGCCCACCCACCCTTCTCACGGTCCTGCTCGCCGCTGCTGAATCTGGCTTCGTGAAAGCACAAGAGGCTGCCCTGCACTGCCTGGTGGAGCTGACGCGCGATGAGCCCGAGGCTTCTGCGCGTCTATTCAAGTGCCTTTCGCCATCCGGCCTGCTCCCGACGTCGGTGCTGCTCAACTTCCGCCACACGAGCAGCGCTAACGTCCGGCTCGCCGCCTTTTGCTGCCTCGCCAACATCATCAAGGTCCACCCCTTCAGCGCCAAGACCAACCAGTGCGTGCTGGAGGTGCTGATGGAACTGCTCGACCGCTCGCCTTCGGCCGCGCCAGCCGCTACCACCAGTGCGTCCGCATCCCAGTATCAAGGCTCCAGCCACGTCGAGATCCAGATCCAGGCTGCTTTCGCCATTGCCCGCCTGGTGGCTGACAATGTCACGCTGCAGAACCTCGCGACCGAGAGTTACGACGCGCTGTCGAAGCTCGCGCTCTTGCTCGACCACGCGTGCACGCGCAGCCAGCCGTCTGGCCCTGCAGCCAAGATGGATCGCTCGAACACGGCGGCGGCCGCGATCCTGGGCAGCATTGCGGGGACCAAGCCGAGGGCGGACAACACAATCGGTGTAGCGCCGCCGACGGTGGATGAGTCGGCGATCCGACTGCGCGAGGCGTGCCTCACGGCGCTGGCCGCACTCACTTTCCAGCACGACGAGCCGCGGCGCAAGCTGATCGACTCGGTGCAGCCGCCCGTGCTGGCCATGGTGGTGTCGAGCATCAGCTTCCCGGCGCTCGGTGTGCGTGTGTCGGCGTGCCGCCTGACGCGCGCGCTCTCGCGCAGCCTCTCGATCCTGCGCACATCGATCGTCGATGCAGGTGTGGCGCCCAAGCTTGTTGCGCTGCTGCGGGATGCGGACGAGGAAGAGGTGGTGCGCGTCGAGGCGACGGCAGCGATCTGCAACCTGGTGCTCGACTTTAGCCCCATGAAGAAGCTCATCCAGGAGCTCGGGGGTGTGGACAGCCTGGTCGAACTGGCGCATGGTGGGTCGCGGCCTCGCGCAGACGAGGGTGAGGATCAGTACTACGCGCTGTCGGCTGCAGCCACGATGCACACGAGCAGTGTGCCGGGTGCGGGCAAGGAGCATGCGGTTCGCGCTGTGCGTGCCGGGCTATCTGGTTCGCAGCAGCTAAGGCTGCACGCACTGTGGGCGCTCAAGAATCTGCTGTCGCACTCGGACACGGCGCTCAAGGTGGACGTGATGGAAAAGCTCGACTTCAAGTTTGTGGCCGCGTTGTGCGAGGACGCCGAGGTGGAGATGGTGTTCAAGGAGCAGGCGCTCAACATCCTGCGCAACGCCGCGGCGTCCAAGGAGTCCGACGTGACTTTCATGGTGGATGGCATGGGCGGCGGCGCACGTCTCATGGCGACGCTCGAAAAGTGCATCTGGGAAGGCCGCAGTGCGGGCGAGCCCGGCGCTGCCGTGATCGAACAGGCCGCCTTCGTGCTCGTCAACGTAGCCACGGGAACCGAACAGCACAGGAAGCTGCTGCTGAGAAGACCCAACATCATGGACGCACTGGCGTTCTTCTGCAACCATCCGTGGAAGGATATTCGCGTCGCAGCCGCGAGGTGCATCGGCAATCTGCTCTCCAGGCCCAAGTCGAGCGCGGAGCCGCCGACGCAGCTCGAGGCCGACGCGGCGTATCCCGACCTGCACTCCGAGGCAAAAGCAAGACTGACTACGTTCGGGCTCGATGTCAAAGTCGCCGAACTAGCTCAGTCGGACGCAGAGCTCGACGTGCGCGAGCGCGCAAAGTCGGCGCTCAACAAGTTGAATGCCGACGCCAAGACATGATCGAAAGATCAGCAGCTCAATGAGTTTCTTGTGCAATGGCAACCGCGAGTCTGCTTTCTTTGAACAGTGCCAAACGTGTGCGCACGTGTACGGCTTCCACAGACAGAGCAGACAGAGGCAGAACACGATTCTCGGGACGGTGGATACAAGGCTGCGTTAAGTATGAGGGGAAGATGTGGGTGCGAAATTTACTTCTTGTCCTTTGCGTCCTCCTTTGGCTTGGGCGGGGTCAACTTGAACTCGTTGGGCTTGTAGCTCTCACCCTCGCCCACCTGCTCCCAAGGGCTGTTGGCCTCGAAGTTTCTGAATGCCTGGGTGAGCTGGAGCGGTTCCGAGACGACACGCTTCTTCTCCTCGTCGTATCGGACCTCGGTGTAGCCGGTGAGCGGGAAGTCCTTCCTGAGCGGGTGACCCTCGAAGCCGTAGTCAGTGAGAATGCGGCGCAGGTCTGGGTGGCCGATGAAGAAGACGCCGAACATGTCCCAGATTTCGCGCTCGTACCAGTCTGCGGCGCGGAAGACGGCGGTGGCCGAAGGAACGGGGTGCACCTCGTCGGCGTAGGTCTTGACGCGAATGCGTGCGTTGTACTGCACAGAAAGCAGGTGGTAGACCACTTCGAAACGCTGCGAGCGCGTGGGATAGTCGGCGCCGCTGATGTCCATGCACGCACGGAACTGCGTCTGCGTGTGGTCGCGCAGGAACGTCAAGGTGGGGACCACGGCGTCTGGCGCAACGTAGAGCGTCAGCTCGTCCTTGACCACACTGAACTGCTGGATGAACTTGGGCAGGCCTGTGCGACATCAACAAAGTGGAAGAGTGTCAGCATTTCACCTTCTTTTCATGCGATTGTACCGAGCTCTGGGAAGGGTCGAGGCTTACAAGAAGTGATGTAGGAGCCAAAGTCGTGCAGCGGGCCTGCGATGTCCTTGTACTTCTCGACGGGGTTGGATCCCGCAGGCTCAGCAAAGGGGCTGGCAGGGTTGACGCGGTCACCCTTGCCATCGCCCTGGATCGTGGGACGTGCCGAAGACTGGGCGACCGACGAGGCGAAGCCGCGCAGGGCCATGGGGACGGCCGATGCGCGCACGCTCGAGGTGGCGGTCCTGGCCGAGACGGCGCGCAGTAGCGAGCTGGAGACGAGCGATCGAGCCGACATGATGTTCACCTTGCAAGAAACCGTGCCGAGGTGGTCTGTGTCGGAGAGAGTGAAGAGAGATGGTGGTGATGATGCTGTTGCGGAGAGGTGGAGAATGTCGAACTGCACACAGTGCGCCTGGGGCGGATGACAAATTGGCAGCCTCCAGCCACAGAGCACACTGGCCGGGTGCGATCGCAGAGCCAGTCTTCGCGACAAGCATCGGCTCCGAGGTTGGGACTAAAAAATCAAACATTTTGCCAGTTTATCCGGCCTAACAGCTTGCAAAAATCTCGGATCGCGGATGTGCCTCGACAGCGAGAACGTCCATGCTTGGAATCACTGGCTCTAGCTTCTCTTCGACACTCCTATACGACCCCTGCCAAATCACCCTCGCCCCTCACGCTCTCCGAACAGCTTTCATCTCAGGCTATTGCCTCTCCATCCACCTTCAGGCGCATCTCACGAGCACGACCGGCGTAGACGTGCCGACTCGACGTCTACATCCCCGAGACCATGGCGAGGACACGAGGAAGCACCTCGAACGGGTCGCAAGCTTCCGAGCCGGCCGAAGCATCTTCCTCGGCATTCACAGCACAGCCCAATGGATACGCTGAACAAACGGTGAACGCCTCGTCATCAATCCCACACCGCGATCCGTTCGCCTATCACCCTGTGGACCTCGCCCCGACCGACGCGTTGCCGTATTTCGACCGGGACCTCGAACTGCAACCTGGTCTGCGTGCAAAGGTAGACGCATTGATAGCTGCCGAGCAGTCCACCATGACTGCCGTCGACCCGAGCTCCTCGCGTCTCCCGCCCGCCTACGTCCCCTTCAGCCCACGCCCCGATCTGCGCGCCGAACTCGAGCGTGTCGGTTCGGGCCAGCCATCATCTCACATGCTCGATACGCATCGCTATACTCTCTCTGCTCCCGAAGCCGGCGCGGATGCATCGGTCGATGAATGGCAGGCTGCCGTCGACAATGCACACGCCCAGCTCGGGCACATGGACGTGCGGCTCAAGAACATCGAACTCCTGAAACGGTACGGCAGCAATGCATGGCGGCTGTCGAACTTTCAGCAGGAGCAGCAGATCCGGATGCTGTCCGAACAGGTCGAAGCGCTCAAGGCTGAAACCAACGAGGTCAACAGGCTGCGACAAAAGGAGCAGACCGACGTAGGCGCCAAGCTGAGCATGCTCGAAAAGAGGTGGACCGAGCTCATCACGCGCGGGCTCCAGCTTGAGGTCGCCAACATCACAACCAGAGGCGAGATCGAGACGCTGCAGAGCAAGAAGCGTAAGCTCGAACAGCAGCTCGCACAGCTCGATTGAACGCAAGTCTACTTCTGCTCAGCTGAATCGAGTAGAATCGGACTCGCCGTGGGTCTCGTCCCTGCCACTGGCATCACAGAATTGTACTTGTACCGCTTGCACATCAAACATGGATACCTCTACCTCATTCAGCTCTGTCCCGCATGTGATCGCTGAGCTGGTTGTTCGAGGGACGCTCGATTGAGGCCGTCGAGGGGCAACCATGAAAGCCGTTTACGGCACTCCTGTCCCGCGTTCCGAAAAAGCGGCAGCGGTGCGGCTAAGAAAAGGGGTGCGGGATTCGGACAAAGTCCAACTTGAAGCCAACGTGAGCTTCGCTCTCAGCCAACCTTCACCTCACCTCTTCGCGCTCTCTTTCCTCTACCCCGCTTTCGGCAACATGGCGACACTGCGAGCGGACGATCAGAACGCAGGTGCGTCGCTCGAGGCATCCACAAGCTATCAAGCACGTCTGCCGGACAAAAAGACCTTCATCGCTACACTTTCAGGCGGTGCTTTCGTAGTCGGTCTTACGGGCGCCACCATCTATGGCCTGAGAAAGGCTCGGCTGCAAGCGATCAAGGAGGCCGAGGAACTCGCAAAGGCGGCTGCAACTTCGGGGCAGGTGGTAGGAACATCCAGTGCGCGTGTGCCGGCGTCACTCTCACCACACTCGCTCTCCCGAGCTGAGCCCGCGGCACCCGTCGAGCAGGCGTCAGGCTCAGTAGCGTATGCCGAAGCGGAAGGTCCAGCATCACAGGGCGCATTTGCGCTGTTCCGCCAGATGAACTCGGCCATCCTCAATCCGACACAGAGAGCAGCTGGGACGGCAGCGCCTACATCCGTGTTCGACGACGAGACGGGCGCGCTACCCAGCGTGCTGCGTCGCAAACGCTCGCCAGCAGCACCCAGCGCTAGTCCGACTATCACGAAAGCCCCGACTGCGGACCAAACTCCGAGCATGGCGGCGGCAACCGCTTCGAGCACGACACTCACGCACCCGAGCGACTCCAAGATCGACTACAGCGAGATGGATTCCACGCTTGACTTTCTCGGTCTCTCGTCGCCCATTCCCGCCGACGAGCAGCGGCGGATGAAGGCGCTGGAAGAAGAAGCATCGCGCGAGTCTGGACCCACAGGCTTCTTCCAGTCGCCCGTCGGCCTGTCGCTCAAGGCATTCTTCATCGCGACGTCGATCGTCAGCTTCACGACGCTGGCAGGCGTCGAAGTGGCGAAGCGCGCATTTGGCGTCGAAACGATGGACGAATTCGTCGTTGCCATGACGCGCATCGTGCCCAGCCGCCAGAAGGGCGAGGCGTCGTTGAAGGGCGTGGCTCCTCACATGCATGTCACGCGCGACGAGGCCGACCTGCCCTCAACCGGCCGCACTGCGTCGGAGCCCAAGTCGGTGGACGAGGCGCTGACGGACCTGAGCCGCGCGGGCAGCTTCGAAGAATGGGTAAGCACGCTCAAGACGCAGCTCGACAGCGAGCGCGATTTCGAGGTGCACCGTCGCTTCGGCGGTGCCCCGGCAGCGAGCAACGATTCGATCTCCACCTCGGCGCGAACGTATGCCGTGCACTCGCCATTAGAAGACGTCGAACGCGACACTGCCGCACCATCGATCCTGCGCTCCGTGTTGGCCATCTCTCCCGTATTGCCGAGCACGGCGTTTGGGCTGGGTCTTGTATCGGGCGTGTTGACGGCGGGCAAGCGCGCCGGGCTGGTGTTTATGGCCGAAAACGCACACCGGCTGCCGGACACGGTGCAGGGGTGGTACTTTTACTCCAAGACCAAAAACTACAAGGTGATGCTGGGTGCGGCCAAGGGTGGACTGAAGCAAGGCGTGCGGTTGGGAATCTGGACCACCGGCTTCTGCTTGGCTGAGCGTATGGCCGAGCTCACGCGCGGTGCGGTGCAGAGCCACTTCCGCTCTACGTCAGCGATGGACGTGCAGCGCAAGTTCAAGATTCTGGGACACTGGACCGACGGTGCACTCGCTGGAGTGGTGACTGCCGCCGCAGCTACAACGCTGTACCGACTGCCACGACCTGCGGCGGTGAGGGTGTTCCAGCTGGGACTGTTCGCGGGCGCGGGTACCGGCGCCCTGAGAGATGTGCAGGAAAGACTAGTGCACAAGGAGATCGGCGGAGTAGCCAGTCACACGTAGTCTCACACGACTCGCCATGCTGGAAACATATTGCCCTTGGTCGACAGTCCACGGACATTATAAGAAGATGTTAAGGTAGAGTGACTGGGAAGGTACTCGGTGGTGAATTGCAAGAGCTTGCCCGAGTGCATGTATTGGTTTGCAGCGCAATCCGGAACACACGGCTCAGTGACTCTTTCCTGTCGCTGCGCCTTTTTGAGCTTGGTGTCGACGTTAAAGGTCCGATCGAGCTGCGCAACGGCACATCCTCCTCCGGATAGACTGAAACTATCAACCTTGGCGCTCCGATCCTTACATCCGGCTCGGGGCGCATGACTGAGAAGAAGAAGTCATGCGTGATTCGCTGCCACGCAAAGTGATGCCCAGCGGCGACCGGCGACCAAAAGCGTTGTCAAATCTAACAAATTAGAAGTCCGCGCGCCCCGAGATGCGCCCGCTTCGATGCAGACGGCATGTCTCACCAACTCGAATCGGACGCGGCCTGGAACCTGCGTCTGAAATCTTATTGAAAGCATGAAATTGCAGCGCAGCAGCAGCGACAGCTGCTCGGCCCACGTTTGTAGCCCAAGGGTCCGATGACCGCCATGGGGAAATTTGGCTGGGTTCGGCTCACCAAGCCGAATTTTGCGCCCGCGCTCAGTTGCAGCAGATCTCAGACGCTGCTGCTGCAATGCTGCAACTCACGCAGAAGCGCAGGGCAGACAAAAAGCACGGAAATGCAGCCGCGGATGCGTCTCCGAATGTGCCGCACTTTGAGCCGAGAAAATCGCAGTCGCAGCCAACCACTGCAACAGCCGCGCCTTGCTCTGCTGCTCTGCTGCTCTGCTGCTCTGCTGCTCTGCTGCTGTGCCCTGCTCGACTCCCCGTGGAGCCGCCGAGCCGCTAATCCTCGCGTTCTCCACTGTCCCGCCCGAGTCTCCGGCGCGGCGCAACTTTGCGCTTCACTCAACACCACCATCTCAAAGTCATACACCGTGACCGTCTGATCTTCTAATCACCCACGCACGGACAACAAGGACAACACACGAGTCCATTACACAGCATCCGAACAGCGCTCTTTCGGCTCGCCTCCCATGCCGGTGGCAGCATAGACACAAACATGCCGGTCCAAGGCGACCCCTACGGTCACCCCAGGCCGCCGCCGGCGTACGACGTTGCTGTGCGGCCCGCTTCCCCACACCATCAGCAGCCCTACCTTGATCGCCATCATCCCCATCACCACCACCAACATCACCAACACCACGCTTACCCGGCTCATGATGCGCACCACACGCACCACACGCACCACGCCCCCCTCAAGAGCGAATACCCCGACCACGAACACGCTATAATGCCGTCTCACCCGACTCCGCACGTCAGCTCGACACCGTACTCGGCTCAGCAGTCGTCGTCCAGTCTGCCGGCAACCGTACAGCGTCCAGCGCACCAGCTCGTCCCTGAACAGCAGCACCAGCTCGCCAACATCCACCGCTTCACACCCTCCTGCTCGCGCTGCCGCCAGAAAAAGCTCAAGTGCGACACCAACCTCCCGTGCAACCAGTGCATCGCAAAGGGTGTCCACGACGATTGCCGCAAGGATTCCAGGATTCCCCGCGGCAGGAAGCGCCCCAAGATCAGTGCAACTTCGTCCTCCGGTCCAGACGAAGAGATAGCCGCGCTCCGCAGACGCGTCAAGGAGCTCGAGGACATGATGGCTCGCCAAAACCGTCGCAGCTCCTCGCCCCGTCCAGACTCGTCCTCTTCCAGCCAACGGCTTTCCGACAAGCGCTCGATCCCCTCACACATGCTCGGCACCAGTTCGCGTGGCTCTCAGACATCCGCTCCGTCCGACCTCGACTACAGCCATTCGCGCAACAACGCCAGCCCCACCGCTGCTTCCTTTGACTCGGACGACGACCAGCTGCCCGGCGAGACCGAAACGTCGCTCACCACGCTCGAAAAGCTCGCCGCCTCCGATCCGCGCGTCACCGAGCCGGGCCACGGCAAGGCTATGGCCAAGCAGATCAACAACGTCTCCAACACCCAGATCCCTCCCGATGCACCCAACGCCTACTTTGCGCTGCCCACGGCGCTCAACGAGCGCATCGAGATCCTCACCTTGGCAAAGCGCATCATCCCGTCCAAGTTCATCGCCGACACCCTCATCCACACCTTCAACGTCCGCTGTCACAGTTGGGTGGGCCGCATCGTGCACATGCCCAGCTTCCAGCGCGACATCGACTTTTTCACGCTCGCCTCGGTCGAGGAGTGCCTGCTCTCGCCCAAAGGCATGTACGATCTCGCGCGTTACCTCATGGTGCTGCGCCTCGGCTTGCGTTTCTACCCGTGGAAGGGCAGCGCGTTCACCAGCGACTCCTCGCCCGAATTCATCGCCATCAACGCTCTCAAGAATCGCGGCGACAATGTGTCGGGCCAGTGGCTGACGCTCGCCAAGCGTGCGCTCGCAGCAGACCGCACCTTCAGCCTCGGATCGCTCACAGCGATCCAGACCGCGCTGCTCATGATCCTCGACGGACGCGACTCGCCCAGCTACCTGCGCATGCTGCTGCGCATCGCCATTCAGACCGCACTCGACATGGGCCTGCACCGCCTCGGACGCGCCATGCCCTCGCCCGCAAATCCGGACGAGGACATTGTGCGCCTCGAGACGGGCGTGCGCATCTGGTGGTATCTGGTGGTCAAAGATTGGTGCTCGGCGCAGCGAGAGGGCGCCTACACGATCCATCCGACGCAGATGACCACGCGCAAGCCGCTTCATGCCACCGACGCCATGCTCGCCGCGGGCCGCACCGACGAGATCTCGCTCGACGAGCACTGCGAGATGAGCTACACGCTGTGCCAGATCGGCCTCGCCAACATCATCCGCGAGAGCATCGATCTGCGCAACGAACAGAGCATGCTCGGCGGCACCTACGATGCCATCTCGCCCACCAACCGCAAGCTGCTGCAGGTGAAACTCGAGACCTTCCTTGCGGATCTGCCGCCGTTCTACACACTCGAGAGCAACGCCACGCATCCGCCCATCGTGGCGGTGCAGCGTTCTCTGCTGCATCAGCAAGCTTTTAACGTGCTGCTCAAGCTCAACCGCAAGAGCCTTTCTTCGTACAGCGAGCGTGCGACGTGCACGCTGCTGGCCGAGCAGATTGTGTCGACGCAGACGCTGCTGCGCAGCGTGTGTCCGGTAATTGATGGGTTCTGGGTCAACTTTTTGCATCTGTTCGGCGCGACGCTCACGCTGACCATCTCGCTGCTGCTGGATGGCGAGATGGATGCAGAGGCGAGGGAGCGGCGCAGACGCAAGGTGCATACGGCGCTGACGACCATGCGCGAGACGCCGGGCTCGGATCGCGGCAGTCGCATCATCGAGACGCTGCTCGCCGAGGAGCAGAGGCTGTGGCAGTCGCATCGCAGCTCGCCGCTCAATCTGGCCGGCTTGACGCGTCGGATCGTCGAGCAGACGCTCGACTCGGCGACGAGCGCGGCGGAACGTGGCGGCGGCGGAGCGATCTCGGTGCCCATCGAGCCGCACTGCGGTACGAGCGTGTGGGACGTGACGCCGGAGGAGTCGTTGATTCCGGCGTTCGCATCGGGCTGGGGTTCGGCGCCGCTGGATGTGCTCGATCCGACGCAGCTCATGCCGTGGCAGCCCGCCGACGAGCTGTACAGCCGCCCGTCGCGGCCGTACATAGACAGCCTGCGACCATGGCAGGAACCGTCGTCGCCGCGCACCGAGTCCGGAGGCCACAACCCGCTCTGGGATTGGCTCTTCTCGCATGCTGCGCTCCTGCACGGGCCCGATCCGCCGGTGGAGGGAAATCCCAACCCGCCGCAGCCACAGTCACAGCTTCCGCCACAGTCACAGCTTCCGCCAAAGTCGCGGCCTTGATCGCACACGCATACCCCGCTGCAATACCCACAACACCCGCACAGCATTTTCGAACCAGACCTGAATTATGAGAGCGAGCCAAGGAGTGGGCCGGATAGATTCACATGAGGAGGCGCGGATCAATGCGCGTTGGAGCCCGACTTTGTGATGGCCACAGCGGCCAGGACTGCAACGCCTAGGAATCCGATTGCGGCGGGCAGCGCGAGGTCCTTCGGAAGCACGCCGAAGAGGAGCTCCTCGTCGGCGGGTTTGCGCTTGGCAGTCTTCTTGGGCGCGACTTCTTCGTCTGCAGCTTCGCGCTCTTCCTCTTCGGCGACGCTTTGCAGCTGGGCGTCTGCATTTTCGCGCGTCTGCTGACGTTTCCTTGCCGTCTGGCTGGCTGCGGTTGTCGGAGTTGCCGCTGCGCCGGCACGCGCAGCAGCCTCGTCCCATCCACGTCCGCCCTGGAGCAGCAGCACCACACGGTCGCGTCCCTGCTTGCGCGCAACCTTGACTGCATCCTGCACATCACCATCCGCAGTAATCAGCACCACATCCTCCTCGTCGTCGGTGTAGGCCAGCTGGAAGTCGTTCGGATCCGGAACTTCCGCTGCTCCGTTGACGGCCGGCTGCGCATCGCCGTTTGCCTCACCATTCTCCACTGCGCCAGAAGCGGCTGCGGGGACAGGTTCGAAGAAGGGATCGCCACCGAGCTTGATGCACACGATCTCGCGGATGGTCTCGTAGCTATCGTACCGCGCCTGGAAGCGGTGCGTCCTGCCGCTGGGCGTGACAAACTTGAACAGGTACGTGCCATCGTCCGCCTCGACGGCCGCCAACGAGGGAACGCCGATGGCGCTCGCGCCATCATCGCCGGTGAGCGCATGTCCGACTGCACTGGCCGAATCGTTCGGGTGGAGATCGGACGAGATGTCGGCAATGCCCGCACCGAGCTTGCTCGGGGTGGGCGGTTCGAACTGGCTCTCCGAGTGGCGCATGCTGCCGCTGACGGCCGACTCGTCGTCGCCCGCAATCGAGTTGGACTGGCCAAACGAGTTCCAGAACCGGTTCCACATGGGACCGCCCGCAGCACCGTCGCCGCCTGCCTGCTCGTCGTTCATGCTGTTGATCTGCTCCAAGGTGGCGTAGGTGAGCTTGAGCACATCGACGACGCCCACCAGACGGCTGTCGACGTCTACGACGGGCAGGTTGAGGTACCTGCCGTCGTGCATCTTGCGCAGCGCCTCCTGGATGGTCAACGAGGGCGGGGCGGTGTCGGGGTGCGGCGTCATGACACGCACCACCGAGCACGTCTTGGGGTCGAGGCCCGCAGCGATGACACGCAGCACAACATCCTTGGACGTAAAGATACCGGCGATCTTGCCCGAGACGGCGCCACCGCCGCCGATCTGGCCGGTGCCCGGACCGGTGCCGGTGGACTCCATGACGCAGACTGCGGTGGTGTGGTGCTCCTTCATGAGACGAGCCGCCTCGCGGACGGTGGTGCGCACGCCGACGCAGCAGGGGAGCGTGCGCGAGTCGAGGATGGACGAGAGATCGGGGATGCTCATCTTCTGGCGCAGCGCCTCGATGTACTGGAGCATGGCCTGCTGCGGGCCCGCCGAGCCGCCCCACTCGCTCTGGACGCCCTCGAGGGCGTTGTAGAGCTTCTGGGAGGAGCCGTGGGCACGTTCGAGCTTCTCGAGCGCCTCGTAAAACACCTTTGCAATGTCGAGCAGGCCGACGACGTCGCCGTCCTCGTTGCAGACGGGAAGGTGACGGAAGCCGCGCGTGACCATGGTGTTGAGCGCCTCGGTGGCCGAGGTGGTGTCGCGGGTGACCATGGGCGAGCGCGTCATGATGGTGGACACGGGCGTGTTTCGTGCATCGAGGCCAGCCGAGACCACACGGAAGGCAAGGTCCTTGGCGGTAAAGATGCCGGCTAGATGCTCCTCCTCGTCGACGACGAGCACGCAGTCGGTGCGCTTGGCAGCGCACAGCTGACTCGCATCAGCGACGCTGATGGACTGCGGAACGGTGAGTGCGGGCAGCGGACGCAGCGCCGAGACGGTGCCGGCGGCGGCGACGGGAGGACGCGCCGAGCGCTTGGTGCGGCGCGAGGCGATAGGCGTAGCGGGCTTGCCCGACTTGCGCTGCAGTTCGCCCTCGATCTTCTTGCGAATGGCCTGGAGGACAAGTATCAAAGTCAAACGTCAGTACAGATGGTTCTTCAGGCGAGCGGAAACGGACGCAAATACACACCTCGTCACGCTTGGACTGCCTCTTGCGAGTGTCGGTGGCGTCGCGGAAGCTTGAGGTGGAGCTCATGTTGGAGGTGGATGTGGAGCGAGGAAGGTTGGTGGAGGGTTGCAAGGGGCTAGGAGATGAATCCTCTTGGCGTACGGGGAGGGGGATGCGCGACATCCACGGCGAGCCGACAAGGATGGTGGAGGCGTCGTCGCTAGAGACAACGGCTGGCGGACGGGCGTGATGGGGGAGGCAACGATAGAGGTGAGTACAGAGAGGGCGACCGAAAGAGCGAGGCAGCAGCCGGCGATGTGGAAATGCAAATGGAAAAAGAGTGTGTTTCTAGGCGAGGCGTGCGGGAGAGAAGCGAGAGCGGATGTGTTCGAGGTTGAGTGCGTGTGTTGTTTGGTGAGGAGCGTGAGATCAGTGCCTGAGCTGGTCGGGTGTGTTTTTGAGTCGACGCGCTCTCTGGCTCCGCAGAACAACACTCGCCGGGCCAAAGCGCTCGCTCACTCTCTTGCCCTCTCGTTGACTGAGTAGGTCTGCGCAATGGAGTCCAGCCTCCGTGTTGCTCTCGCAATTTCCGCAACTGCGCCGCGCTCGATTCCCGGACCTTTGCGGTGCCTGCTCTGGCTTCGCCGCTGCCAGGGCATATCGATGCGGTGGCTCACTGCTCCTGCGCCCTCTCAGCTGCGCCGCCGCTACTCAGCCTTGTCCACAGCAGCTTAAGCTTGGTTGCCCGGCGGCTTATTCGAGGGTATCTTTGCCTGATAGGCAGTCATGAATCGGACCTAGATCGGGTCACGTGCATTGATCGACCAAAAAAGTTGAGCTTGTATGTGGTTCCAGCCTAACACTTTAAACAAATGGCCGCAATGCAACTTTTCCGAGCTGCGCCTCAGCCACAACGACTCGAAGCTTCACATCGGCGCTTCCTCCTCAACGCTCAACGGTCCCGTCCCCGCAACAGCATCCCTACGACTTGCTTTGCACAACCTGATCTGTCAACATGGGTGTCGTCGAGAAGATCAAGGAGCTCGAAGATGAGGTCGCAAGGACCCAGAAGAACAAGGCGACAGAGTAAGTGCAGATATCGTTTGGTGCTGCCAACTTGACCAATCCCATACTGATTGCCCTTTCCAACCCCTATTCGTACAGATACCATCTCGGTCAGCTGCGTGCCAAGATCGCAAAGCTTCGCCATGAGCTGCTCGAGCCTCAAAAGAAGTCCGGCAAGCCCGGTGAGGGCTTCGACGTGATGAAGTCGGGCGACGCACGTGTCGCCCTGATCGGCTTCCCCTCGGTCGGAAAGTCGAGCTTCCTCTCCAAGGTCACCGACACAAAGTCCGAAGCCGCAGCCTACGAATTCACCACGCTCACATGTCAGCCAGGTGTGCTCGAGTACGAAGGTGCCAAGATCCAGATCCTCGATCTGCCTGGTATCATCGAGGGCGCTTCCGAGGGCAAGGGTCGAGGTCGCCAGGTCGTCGCCGTCGCCAAGACCGCAGATATGATCATCATCATGCTCGACGCCACAAAGCCAGACACCCACCGTGCGCTGCTCGAGAAGGAGCTCGAGGCCGTCGGCATCCGTCTCAACAAGTCCAAGCCCGATGTCGTCCTTCGCAAGAAGAATGCCGGAGGCATCGTCATCACCAAGGCCATGGGCCTCACGCTCACCAAGATCGACGAGAGGATGATCCGCTCCATTCTCCAAGGCTACAAGATGCACAACGTGGACGTCATGCTCAGGGAAGACATCACCGTCGACGAGTTCATCGACGTCGTGCTCGGCAACCGCAACTACGTCCCCTGCCTCTACGTCTACAACAAGATCGACTCGATCAGCATGGAACAGATGGACAAGCTCGCCAGGCAGCCCAACTCGGTAGTCATCTCGGTCGAAGCCGACCTCAACATCGACTATCTCAAGGACATCATGTGGGACAAGCTCGGCATGAACCGCATCTACACCAAGAAGCGCGGCGAGCGTCCCGACCTTTCGGATCCATTGGTGGTGCGCAAGGGCGCCACCATCGAACACGTCTGTCACCAGGTCCATCGCGCCCTCGTCGACAAGTTCAAGTATGCCCTCGTCTACGGCAAGAGCAGCAAGTTCCCCACGAGCCAAAAGGTGGGCCTCAATCACATTGTCGCCGGCGACGACGTCGTCAGCATCTTTACAAAGTGAAGCTGGGCTCGGCTCGGCTCGGCTCTCGTCCTCCTGCTTCATTGCGTCCCCTCTCCTCGTTGCATCATTGTATTCTAGCCTCATCTCATATGTAATCTGCCACGTATCTATCACTCGCCTGAAAAGACCAGCTACCCCTTTGTAGCTGCCACCAGCGAGCACCTGCGAGCACCTGCGCCGATGTGGAGGAGTGGTGCGCATTTGCGTCGCGAGCAAAAGTGCGCTCGAGCGAGAACAAAAAAAATTAAAATGGGTCACAAAAGTCGGGCTGCAGAATTTGAGGGCGGCTAAAGCTGGCGTGCCTGGGATGCGGAGCTTTTTGAGTACGGCAACGAGACTGAGCGTGTCTCGACTCGGATCTCGTTTGCTCTTTTGAGTCGGCTCAGCCATCCTTTGTCCTCTTGACCTACAACCACCACCATCCTCTCTAATCGCGTGTCTCCATCGCACACTCTCATCAGCTTCCTCCAGTGCTCTGCGTAATCTTCACGCCCTCGTCGTCGCAGCGTCGTCAGCGGGTCAGCGCGCGCCAACCTCGCCGCACGACCACATCCGAGTCTGCCACTCACAAACGCAGTCGGGCTGGCCTGAATCGCACGTCCATCATCGCACATTGCATCCGCCTGTCGCGTCCGTACGCTAGTCTCGCCTGCCTATCCTCAAAGCACATCTTCCGCACCCCCCACATCGACCAGTTCCGCTGGTAAAGTCCTACTTCTACCCATACACACCCACCGCATCTGCATTAGCGCGCAACCATGCCGAGTCGAGGCGGCCGCGGTGGTCACACAATCGCAGGCGCTGCGTTGCGCGGCGCAGGTCTCGTCGTCGATGGCGACGTCGGCATGCGCGACGCCGCGGGTCCGAGCCGCAGCCGCAATGGGAGGAGAGGCCACAAGAGCGGCGGAGCCGATCCATCCAATCACGTAAGTTCTTCCATCCTTCCTTCGTAGTCGACTGATCGCCAATCTTTCCGCAGGCTCTCTTGTCCAACAAGTCGCCCTCGCAACCAGGTCACATGGTGGCCGCCCGAACGACTGGCAGTCGCTACACTCCTGCAAAACACCAGAGCAATCAACTGATCTTTCGCTTCGATCGACACCCCGCTCCTCACAACCTCGCGTTGTCCCTTGCATCGCACCCTCTCGATAGAACGGGTCCGGAAACTCTCTACAAGGCCGCATAGCGCGCCAGCGAGCCAATCCTCTCGGAAACCGCCCAGCAGGGAGAGGCAAGAAGGCTGCCATCAACGTCAATGACGGACTCCGAGCTGGCAACACAGCTTCCGTCCTCAAAAGCATCTCATCATCCAAAGCACAGGGAGGCGGCCGCATACCCGGAGGCGGTGGCATCATCTTCTCCGGAAACGATATGCCAAAGACACAGAACGTCGTCTCTCTCATCAAGCGCTTCCTCGAATCGCGCTGGAATGCGCAGGCCAAGTTCTTGAACCTTGAGGTACGTTGTTGCCCCCATTCCACCCGCTCGTTCGCCCTCTCGAGCGACATTACTGACTCTTTCCACTCTTCTTGGTCCCTCCGCGTCTTCCCGCTACCATCAGAGCATGCGTGCGGATCCACTCCTCCAGTCCGAGGGTGTCAAAGCTCCCGGCGTTCCCGGGGCTCCCAAGGAGCTCGCCAACGCCATGTGGAAGATCTGCTCCGAGACGTATCCCGATGTCGTAACCATCTCGCTCGCCAACAACGCACTGCGCAGCCTCGGTCCCGTCAGCTCGCTTCCCGTCTACTTGCCCAATCTTCAAAACCTGTCTCTGGAAGGCAACGAGCTCAAGTGGACCAAAGATCTCGACACCTTCGCCTCGCGCAGGAGCAAGCTGGCCAATCTCAAGGAGCTATTGCTCACCGGCAACCCTGTCTATACCAGTGCCGTCGCAGCTGGCAATGAGGAGGGATACCGCCGTGAGGTCTTGTCCAAGTTCCGTCAGCTCACCATGCTCGACCAAAAGCCCGTGACGCCAACCGAATCGGGCTTCGCCAACTTGCCATCGTCCAGCAAGTCCAAGAAGGCGGATGCAGCCCAAGTCCCTTTGCGCAACTTCCCCGTGCCCAACAAGCCGGGCTTTGTCGACGCCGAAGCCGGCGCCATCATGCCCAACTTCCTTTCCAAGTACTTCACGCTCTACGACACCGACCGTTCCCAGCTCGGCGAGGTCTATGCGCCGCAGGCTCAGTTCTCGTACTGTCTCAACGTGGTCCCGCCTCCAAGGGCTCGTGCAGCAGGCTTCCTGCACACCATGCCTCACCAGAAGGAGCTTACGTTTGATCGCTACCAGGACCTCGGCAACCGCAACCTCATGCGCGTTCACGCTCCCAAGATGCGCAATCAGTCGCTGCACCACGGACCAGGTTCGATCCTGGCTTGCCTCAAGAAACTGCCAAAGACATCGCATCCGCTCACCGACGCATCCAAATTCGTCGTCGACGCTTGGGTATTGCCCAACAACGTGATTGGAGCACGCCTCAAGGGCGACGAGCGACCTGAGGCGCTCCTCTACATTAATGTGCACGGAGAGTACGCCGAAGCACCCAGCCAAGGCATCCGCTCCTTCGACCGCACTTTTGCCGTTGCGCCTGTGCCGCCAAGCAGCCCTGCAGCAGCTGCCGGCTGGCCGTGCGTCATTCTGTCGGACCAGCTGGTGGTGCGCCACTACTCGAGCCCCGCCGCCTGGGCGCCTGACAGCCTGACAATCGGCGATGTTACTGCCGAGCAGACGCAAGCTTTCCAGGCGGCGCAGCAGCCCACGGCGAACCCCGCCATTCCGCAGCCGGGTGCGCCAGTTGCGGGAGGTGCAGCACTGCCGCCGTACCTGCAGAACCAGGCCCCCGCAGCGGAGATCAACGAGCAGCAACATGCCATGTCGCTCCAGCTCGCCGCGCAGACAGGCCTCATCTACCCCTTTGCCGTGCAGTGTCTGCAGGAGAACGGCTGGGACTACAATTTGGCGCACACCAACTTCCAGAACCTCAAAGCCAGCAATGCGATCCCCGCACAGGCATTTGCGCAGCCCGTGTAGGGCGATCGCCTTTCCGCCCCCACACTCCAAACCCCCTCAAATCCTTGTCATCCTTTCCAGCAAGCACTGCTTAAGCTCATGTATTTACCATCGCAGAGATCTCATCTCGGTCGCAACCCACCCGGTCGCCCCGCGCGCGTGCGCCCGCCACTTTAATGCGTCTCAAAATCAGTGCTCGGGCAAAAATGCTCGAGCAACGCCGCATCCTTCATCTCGAACAATTGTGTGGCTTCATTTCTCTGAACCTTTTGTGCCTATTGTGTGTTGCGGGTGATGCGGTGGGGGTTGTCCTGCTTCGTTGGAACGGAACGCCAGCCGCGTGCAGTGCTAGGGGGATTCGATGAATTCGAGGCGACCCACCTCTCTCGCGCCCCAGGTTGGGAGCCGAGGCATATCACATCGTTCCTTCAAAACCATCACTTTCCCACTGTCCTTTCTCGAGCTGGCAAGCAACCATGTGCTCGGTACGGAAGCTGATCCTGCTTCTCACGGTCGCACTCGCCGTATTGGCCTCCACCATCGCCAGCGATGTTGAACCTTCATTTTGCAAGGGCAAGAAAGGTTTTTGCGTCGTTCGACGTTCCTCTTCGACCAGCCCGAATGTAGACGACAAGATTGAGAAGCGAGGCATACCTGCACGACCAGGAGACATCGAGGTGTTTGGGTACTATGGCTCTTTGTTGGCGATTCCCACACTGCTGTCAGTGATGGGGATCGTGACGAACTACAATCTCGAGAAGTCGTACTTCAACTCGCAGATCAATGCGCAGTACTACAAGCAGAGCCGCGAAATGCTCAAGGCACATGCGGCGCAGCTGATTCGCGAGCAGGAACAGAAGTTCGCCAAAGCAGGAGTGACCTGGCAGGGCATGACCTACGACAAGAACGGCAATGCGAACCCGGGCGCCAAGTTGCCAAGTTCCAAGGGAGTTGTGCTATTGCCACCGGAGAAGGAAGAGGGGCAGGAGCAAGCTCCGAAGACACCCCAGCAAGCCGATCCGTCTGCCCCGTCTACCTCGCCCAACGCAAGCTCGCCTGCTCCGGAAGGACAGGGCTCGAGCGGCGCAGAAGAATCAAACGGGAGCTCACCTACTACGGGAGGCGCAGAAGAGCCGAGCGGGTCTGCTAACTCGGCCAACGTAAGTGCGGGCCAAGGTGGCTCCAGCAATGAAGGTACGGGTGCTGCTGGAGGTAGCACGGCTGCCGGCAGCACGGGTGCTGCCACTGGTGGAGACGGCGCCAAGGGCGAGTCTTCGTAAACGCAAAGCAGCGTGTTTGCAACTGTCACTACATGTACGCAGAGATTCGAGACCAGCAATGCCAATCGCTCTTTCTCTTCGACGAGTGTGTAACATGGCGAGACAAGACAGCATCGTTACAGGGGTCGTTGAAGGGGCATTGGCTTGTAGCACAGCAGTACGTGCTGAGCTGTCAAAGCCAGCTGTTTGACCGCCGTCGGACGTTGTGTCACGTCGACGTGACCATGACCAAGACTCCTCCGCTACCGCTGTCGACGGGGATCCCTCGACGCGGCTGGCTTGCATCCATGCCTCAGACACACGAGAATTCGCGCCGACGCCGACCTGGTTGAGCAGATGCGGCGTCTTGTCGAGCTGAGACCCGCACTTGAGCCGCGTGATCAGGTTCTAGATGACGGCGGTAGTCTCGCGATGCTCGCACGTGCCGTTATCCTCTCCTGCAATCACGAGCTGTTCACACCAACGAAACCGGAAGAAGGCGGCCTTCTCTGCACGTTGAGCTTGAAGCTCAACGTCACCCAGTGCAGGTTGGCCGCCGTGTTGTCGAGTGGATTGTTGTTGGCATGGTCGACCATGCAGCGATCCAGGTCCGTCGACGGCTGCTGAAGAGCGATCACACGCGCCAGCGGGGCATAGGCACACCTAATCCGAGCCTCGTTGTTATTGGACTTGTCGTAATGAAGCGTGGTGCCGACCATCAAGAGATACTCGTTGCGCGTATCGATCTTGCATTGCACAGTTACATCTTCGCTGTCGTTGGCGCGTCGCATAGTATAGGCGGTCACACCGTCGAGGCGCGAAAGAATGGTGACGTAAGGCGAATCCTTGCACCTACGAGGCACCGAAAGAGGAACGTCGCCATACAGCGCACCAGAAGGATCGGGCTGGCGAGGATGCGGCGCAGGAGGCTGTTGAGGCGTAATTGCGGACATGCTGGCGATAACGACGGGGAGAGGATGGGGAGGCGATGAAGAAGTGGCGATGGGGCGGATATTGGGGGATGCTGAGGGCGAGTGACGGTCTCCGCCTTGAGCGCAGGCGTATATATATTCACAGGTCCGGCTGCAAACAGCTCACTCGGCAGCGCTAGCCATTGTGTGGTGCCAACTCAGAAGCTCAGTTGTATCGGCCCTTCCGAACAGCAAAAGTGCCAGACCTTGAAGCTCGCCATGGCCAGTCGCAGGCCACAGAAGGCCACTGCGGATGGCCCGCCCTAGCGAATGATCCATCTTCCCATGTGACAGATCCATCGATTGCAGACAAATGGCTCTGCGAAAGTGCCAGCCGTAAGAGCCACTTTAGCCAAGCGCAGACCGAAAATCGCCACTGCGGGTGCTCCGACACAGCGGCAAGACCCATCTTCTGGAGTACCGGATGGATCCACTAGGCACTTATCGAGAAGCTGCGTGCAAAGCTTCCCTATGGTCTTGCCCGCGGGCGTGGGAAATCTTGCGCAATCACAGGAGAGCATTGACGGCGGGTCACTGGCCCCAGCCTCACAATGTCAGTCTCGCAATCACAATCTCACTGTTGCTCACAATCTCAGGATTCAGGGGCAATTTCCGAGTGAGGCTGCAAGAAGAACGCAGTGAGCTTGACCGGAACGTCCTTGGTGCAGTGTGGCTCCGGCCAAGTTAGACTTCAAGTTACGCTTCTGACAGACTCCGGAAACCCAGGCTGGTGGGAACTCTAATTTCATGCATGTGTTAGACTGAAAAGCGGCGAACACTCCCATCTCCGATGCGAGAGCTCCCTCTGCACACCCACACACACGCACAGTGTCACAGCCGGTGCTCAATGTTCAGCATGAAGGCACGTTTTTGGCGACGGAATCGGATTGTGAGGAAGCACTTTGTTTGCGACAGAGCCATTCTGTGAGCTACGAGCACACGATGAGCAGCGCCTCGAAGCGATTTTGAGGTTGGCGATGAATCCTCGTAAGATCAGGCCAGACCAGCCTTCTTCATGGCCTCGAGCATCAGCGCACCGATCTTGGCGGGAGAGTCGGCAACGATGGCACCGGCATCCGTAAGCGCCTTGACCTTGTCCTCGGCACCGCCCTTGCCACCGGCGACGATGGCGCCACTGTCGAGTCGCGAAAAAAAAATAAAAATAAAAATAAAATAGGAAGATTCACCGGCACGATCAACCACACCACCATCGCGGCGTGTGGTAGGACAAAGTAGATACGACCATGGTCAGCAAGCTGTCGCCAATACTTTTTGCTGGAGACGTGGAAGGGGGAATACGTACGCGCTGTTAGTCGGAACAGAGAGTGAGAACCGAGGCGGCCGTGGAAGGAAGAGCAGAAAAGAAGTCGTAAAAGGGCGCCAAGACAAAAAGACAGAGATATACGTTAGTATACATCATCCAAAGCTCTCGAAACACGGGGAAAGAAGGGGAAAGGACACATTCTGACCCATCCTCCTGCCTGGAGGCGCGGTTCGTCCTGCGATGAAGGCGACGACGGGCTTGGGGTTGGCGCGGGTCTTGTTGTACTTGGCGAGGTACTCGGCGGCGTCCTCCTCCATGGAACCGCCGATCTCTCCGATGAGGACGATGCCCTCGGACTTGTCGTGGTCGAGGAGGAGCTTGACGAGGTCGAGGGTGGTGGAGCCGGGGAAGGGGTCGCCGCCGATGCCGACGCAGAGGGACTGGCCGAGGCCGACCTGGGTGGTCTGGTTGACGGCCTCGTAGGTGAGAGTGCCGGAGCGGGAGACGATGCCGATGCGGCCGGGGGTGTGAATGGAGCCGGGCATGATGCCGATCTTGCAACCCTCTGGGTTGATCACACCGGGGCAGTTGGGGCCCACGAGGCGCGATTTGGACTGCGAGCGGAGGGCGGCGGCGACGCGGATCTCGTCCTTCTGGGGGATGCCCTCGGTGATGGCGACGATGAGGGGCACCTCGTTCTCGATGGCCTCGATGATGGCGTCGGCAGCGCCGGGGGGAGGGACGTAGAGGACGGAAGCGTGCGGCTTGGTCTCACGCACGGCCTCCTTGACCGAGCCGAAGACGGGGAGGCCGAGGTGGGTCTGGCCGGCCTTCTTGGGCGAGACACCGCCAACGAGCTTGGTGCCGTATTCGAGGGCCTGCTGGCAGTGGAAGGTGCCGGTCTTTCCGGTGAAGCCCTGGCAGATGACGCGGGAGTCCTTGTTGATGAGCAGGTTCTTGATCGTGTCCTCGTACGAGGCGCGGGCGGCGGACGACGAGAAGCCGCGCGCGAGCGGGCGGCGGAGCGAGGTGGCGGCGTGCTTGAACATGCTGACGATTCGTGAAGAGTGCAGCGAGTGAGAAAGGGAGGGGATACGGGATGACGGTGGGGAAGAGGAGAGGGATTGCGGACTGGAAGATCGACAGTAGGACAAAGCCGCACACAGCACAATCTGCGAACGTGTTGCGCTCGGCCAGCTTGCGCTCAAATCGGGAAACGGCGCCTTCCGTCTTGCTTTCTCTCTCTCTCCCGTCCAGACTCGCTCGGCCCGCTTTTTCCTGCTTGGCTCTGTCTCTGCTGGCCGGCACCCGAAAATGCACTCGCTCAAAAAGGCCAATTGGAATCCAGCATCCCTTGGTCACAACTTTATACTCGACCGACAGCCTCGCAGCGTCTTATCACACTGTGTTTCGAAGAGATCACATCAACTTTGCTCGTCTTGCAGGACAGGAATGCGTGTGCTGTCGGAAGGGCCGGGAGGAGGAATTGAGGGCGGACGTTCGAGGGCCTTTGCGAGCGCTCCAGCGGAAAGCTCCGTCCGTAGCAATTCGCCGATCCGCACCCTGACCCTTGTGATCGAATAGGAAAATTCTTCGAGTGTGTTAGACTTCTGATGCGGCATCATCACTTTGCAGCTTCTTGCTGTCTCCTCTCCGCACAATTTGCTGCTGGCTCGTCGGACGCTAGGGTCAACATGTGTGTGGGATTCATTGTAGACTAGAAAGAGTACAAGGTGTAGTGTGTGTAGAGACGGTGTGTAGGGAGCCATGATGGGGAGAAATGCGAATGATTCAGTGAGCGGGTAGAGGTGCGGATGAGGGTGCGGAATCAGTCCGAGTCGTCCTCGTCGGTGCCCTCTTCGGCCTCGAGATCGAACATGCCGTTCGGGTCGCGACCGCCATCCTCCACGTCGTACTCCTCTTCGTCGTCGTCATCCTCCATGTCGCTGGCACCATCCTCCTCGATGTCGCTCTCGTCGGGGAGCTCCTCGTCGTCCTCATCCTCATCCTCGTCTTCTTCCTCATCCTCGTCTTCCTCTTCGTCCTCATCGTCGTCAATGTCTTCGATGTCCTCGATGTCGTCATCGTCGTCATCGTCAGCATCCGAGTCCGATTCAGCCGAGGTGTTGCCCTCCGAGGCGCGGCCGTTCTTGACGCGGCGACGGCGACGGAGCGGACCAGCATCCTCGTCATCGCTGTCCTCATCGTCGTCCTCATCGCTTTCGGCACCGAGTGCAATGTCCTGCACATCGCCCTCTTCGTCGTCCTCGCCGCGGACGAGCACACCATCGGCGTCGGTGGCCATGTCGTCGGCATCCGAGTCCGAGTCGTCGGTCTCTTCGACCCACTTTTTGCCCTTGCGTCGCTGCTTGTCTGCGCTCTGCGCCTGCGCGAGCTTGTCGCCCTGCATGCGCTTGCCAAACTTGGCGCCCTGGATGCGCACCTGGTTGTTGCTCGCCTGCGACATGTACGCCGCGCGCGCCTCGATCTGCGAGAGCACCAGCTCGAGTCGGCCGTTGAGCGCCAGGAGACGCTCGTGCGTAGCCAGACGCGTGGTCAGCGTCGCGTGCAGGCCCGAAAGCCTGGTGACGAGGTTGGGAAGCGACATGAGGTAGCCCATGTGGTTGAGCAGGGTGGCACGCACCCACTCCATGAGACCACGTGCCTTTTGCGAGCCCATGCTGCCCTTGCTGACGTGGTTGCCACCGACGCCGTTGAGACGGCTGACGCACTCTTCGAGCAGCTTGACCGAGAGCGGGCCCGAGATCTTGCGCACCGTGTTGCGGATGAGGATGGGGTCGTTGTGGTTGAGGCAGCTGGTGAGCAGGCTCGTGTCGCCCGAGTGCAGCGCCTGCGAGAGAGATGACGCAAGTGACGCCTCGTTGGTCAACGACTGCTGCTTCTTGCTCGGCATCTGTGCATCGTCCTCTTCGGCCTCCTGCCCTGCGCTCAAAGGATCGCTGAAGCCGAGCTCCTTCAACCTCTGCGCCAGCGTCGGCTCGAGCTCAGCGCCACGGGCAGATGAGGCAGCTACCAGACCGGCATCCTCGAGACCCGTTGCAAGGCCGTCGTCGTCCATCCCCTGCGGTCGCATGGGCGCGTCCGCGTACCTTTGCGTGCTGGCGGCACCGCCCGTGAGCTGCGCCTCGTCGCTGTCGGCAACCAGCAGGCCCGAAGACGAGGCACTCTGCTTGGCTCCAGTGACAGGCAGCTGAAGCGTCTTTTGCAGCTGCGCATCCTTGCCACGCACGATGGTGGTCTCGTCGACCGACACCTTGGCGCCGCGGATGAGGCGAGCCAGGCGCAGCTTGTCTGCGACGATTCTCGAGTCGATCCATTCCGTCGCCGACGAGCTCGCCTCGGACTGCGCAAGCAGCTCGAGCGACGGCAGCGCGGCCGACTTCTTCTTGGATGGCGAGGCGTCCGATTTGGATTCGGCAGGGAGGCCGTAGATGCGGACGCTGCCGGTCTGCGTGACGATAGTGATGAGCGTGCGAGGCTGCTGAGTGGAGGCGGCGCAGACCGAAAGCGCACGCACAGGGCCGTCGAGCGCGGCAGTAGCAAATGCACGTCCGGTCACCGACTTGCCGGTCTTGCTGTCGTCAAAGGTCCATGCGCTGACGATGCGATCGCCCTCGGCCGCCGAAATGAACGAGTTGTCGCTGAGCCATTCGAGATGCGTCACGGGCGATGCGTGGCCGGTGAAGGAAGCGCGCATCGCGTTGTCCGACTGGGATGCGTCGGTCAAGCTGATGGCGTGGTGTGCGGAGAGTAGGAGATCGCGGCGCGAGGCGAGGAGCTGGACGGCGGACTTTGTGTCGGGACGGAACGACGAGAAGGGCCGCAAGGGCGCCTGTTGGTCGCCGAGCTTGACGTCTGCGAGCGCGAAAGCGGAGACCCAACCGCTCTTGGAGCAGGCAAACAGCGTAGCCTTGTCGTCGGAGAACGACATGGAGACGACGCCGGCGTTCGCGGCCGAGGAGGTGCTGCTGCCGGAGGCGGAGGAGGCATTGAGGATGGCGACCGACTGAGCCAATGCTGGGCTGAGCAGGTGCACCTGTCCCGAGCTCAGACCGAGCGCGAGCAGCAGCTGCGACGAAGAGGACGACGCGGCAGCCGCGTCGGCGCCGTTTTCTGCACCGTGCTTCCTGCGCTTGGCCGACTTGTTTGATGTGGAGATGCGCACCCACTGCGACGAGAGGCACTCTGCGCCGCCGAGGGAGGCGAGGAGGAAGTCGGTCACAAGCTGAGAGGTAGAAGCTGCGGATGCGGATGCATTGTAGATGCGCAGGCGCTGCTGGTGCACCTGGTTGCTGATGTGCGCAAAGAGCGTGTGGTCCGGCGTGGGCGAGAAGGAGCACGAAGCTGTCGATGCGGTCACGGCGCCCGAGCTAGGCAGGAGCGGCTGGTTGAGCTCCGAGGTGGAGGTGGGTCGCGACCTGGAAGGCTTGGTAGCCTGTTTCTTCGCCATGTTTGCGGCAAGGCGTGGTGGCAGATCGGTAGCGATGGCGGTGGCTGCACGACAAGGGTGGTGGAACCGGCGAGGAAGAAGTCAATCGCTCGTTCGCTCGTTCTCGGCAGACAGAGAGGCTGCTGCGAATTTTCGACACACAAAGGCCTGTGGAGCTGCCTCTCCTTTTTTTTCGAGCCCTGGCTGCAGATGAAATTCTTCCTGCCCTTTTCGCAGCTGCCCAGAGCAGACGAAAAAACTTGGGAGGCAGCGTGGATGACAGATGCTTACGTGTCATCAAAGTCAAGCTTCGACCCTCGACCTGTCACTTTGGCGCAGCGCGTGGCGCGTTGAGGCGGCTCTGAAAATTGAGCGGCCCGAACAAGGCGTTCGTGACGGACGGCCCACGAATGCACGGGGCTGCAGCTTCGGCCAAGCCTACGCTGAGCCAGCCAGAGTGGCAAGCGGCGCACCCGCGGCTGAGACCGACACCAGCTATGCTACAGTAGCGTTGTGCGGCCCCCGCTCAAACCTGTTACATTTGCAGTCACATCTGTCGCGCTGAGCAGCTTTCGATCCACCGCGCCTACCTCCCCTTGCAGCCGCCGACGTCCTTACCGCGAGCTTAGATCTGGATCTCATCGTCCATTCGGTCACCTTCCTTCGACGACATCTCCAGCCACCCAACTCCTGCTCACGCTGCCACAACGCAAGTCTCGGTCGCCGAACGTTGCCCTTGCAATCACTCCAGGACTTGTGCACATCGTCACCCGACGGACGCAGCATCCGACCACCTCCACCTGCCACAGGCTCAACCCAGCACCGATACCAGCACCCATCAACCCGTCGACCCGATCGTGACACATCACCATGAACTACGTCCAGCTCGAGAAGCTCGGCGAGGGCACATACGCCACCGTGTACAAGGGCCGCTCGCGGCTCAACAACGAGATCGTCGCGCTCAAGGAGATCCACCTCGATGCCGAGGAGGGCACGCCGTCGACGGCGATCCGTGAGATCTCGCTCATGAAGGAGCTGCGCCACACCAACATCGTGCGACTCTACGACGTCATCCACACCGAGTCCAAATTGATGCTCGTCTTCGAGTTCATGGAGCAGGACCTTAAGAAGTACATGGAGATCCACGGCCATCGCTGTGCGCTCGATCCAGTCACCGTGCGCTCCTTCATGTTCCAGCTGCTCAAGGGAACCGCCTTCTGCCACGAGAACCGCGTGCTGCACCGCGATCTCAAGCCTCAGAACCTTCTCATCAACAAGCGTGGCGAGCTCAAGCTCGCCGACTTTGGTCTTGCGCGTGCCTTCGGCATTCCCGTCAACACATTCTCAAACGAGGTCGTGACGCTCTGGTATCGTGCGCCCGACGTTCTGCTTGGCTCGCGAACCTACTCGACCTCGATCGATATCTGGAGTGCCGGTTGCATCATGGCCGAGATGATCTCGGGTCTGCCGCTTTTCCGCGGACGCGACAACAACGACCAGCTCAACCAGATCCTGCGCATCCTCGGCACACCCGACGACGCCACCATGAAGCGATTGGTTAACGACTCGCCCGAGATCCAGATCCGACCTTTCCCACGCGTGCCCAGAGTGCCCTTCCAAAACATGTTCCCCAAGGCGCATCCGCTGGCCATCGACCTGCTCGACAAGCTGCTCAAGTTCGACCCCACACAGCGCATCTCGGCCGACGAGGCGCTCCGCCATCCTTACTTCACCACCTCGGCCGCCATCGCCGGTCTGCCCCACCCGCAGAGCAACAGCCAGCTCAACCTCGGCAACGGCGGCGGCGTCAACGGCGCGCCGCAGCAGGGCAGCTACCAGCAGGGCGTGCCTGGACAGCCTGTCAACTGAGTCCGTCTACAATCGGTACCGTTCTCCGACCCAACGCAGTCTCCAAGATTGTCCTGACAACCTCATATCCGCTCAAGGCGAAAGGGACCCTTTGTTCCTTCGACTCCTTCCCTCCTGCCTTGTTCTCCCTCCTTTCTCCCTGGCCCCTCTGTACAAGTATGCATTTCTCTATCCTCATTGACCAGACCGAGTACCCGATCATCCGAGCGTGTGCCAGCTTGCAACTGTGAAGCATGCTGCTGCCATGGAGCAGAGTTGCTTGATTTTTTTCGGAAATCGGAGAGGGCAGTCTACACGTGATGGTGGCCATATTCAGGGCCCAGCAGAGCGCCTTTCCAGCCCAATTGCCAGGCTGGGTCGCGAAGAAAAGAAATGTCGGGAGAGCGCTTTCCGACTTCCAGGTTTTGGCACATCCTCACCTCTGCATCCCTCTACATCGGTCTCTCATCATCCTCGTAGCACGACTCCGGCAGACTTGACCAGCGTATCGCATTTACTGGATCTGTACGGCCGGCATAGCGCAGAGCACCTCTCATCTCAGTCTCCGTCTCCAGCACAGCGACTCGGGCATGGACACCGCGATAGCGTGCATGTCGAACTAGGCCAAGTACGGCATCAAGCCTTTCAGTAGCGCCCGTGGTTGGCGAGGGTTGCGGGCGATGCGCCATGCTGCGCAGCTGTGCAGAGGGCTCGCAGAGGCAGCACGCTCGCTCGAGCGGCCCTACGTCCCCAGACACGTGCCCCTGCCGTCGAGCAGCTACAGCGCAGCCGCACAAAGTCCCGCTTTGCCAAGTCCGCCGAGGCCAGATGCGCTGGGAGGGAAAGGCGAGGCGGAACCGCAGCGTGCCGCAAACATTGCTCAGCGGCTTGGACGAGGTCGCCTCCGAGATTCTGTCAGCACAGGTTCAAGCAGCAGAATCCACGACAGCCGCGCAAAGACAAGACAACCACCAATAGCTCAGGCGTCCTTAGTACGCAAGTTCGAAGCCCCTTTGCAAGTCGACTCGAATCGGTCTTGGACACAAAAGCGGCAAAAAGGTGTTCGCAATTCCAGGGCAGTGGATGTCAAGCAGAAGTGGCGAGAAGATGGCAGAACGGGTACGAGGCCGGAAGGTGGCTCGATCCTGCCAGCTTACGTCCAAGCGAAGCTCAAGCGGCTCAAGGCTGTCTACCCCTCGCTGAGCCAAGAGCAGGCTTTGCTGTTGTGGCGTACATTCGAGCGCACCCGTACGTTCCGCACATACCGTCCGCAAGCGCTCATCTCCTGGTACGAAGATCACGTCTGGACCAACGAACGGCAGACCGCCGACGCACCGCACATCGAGTCGGCGGCGTCGCTATGCATGCTGCTGCGCTACGCTTACCTTCGCAACGATCTGCGCTCGCTCCTGCGCGTCGAAGCGCGAGCTGTGCGCTCTGCTTGGCTCGCCAAAGACCGCCATCGCACCACGGCGGCACCAGGATCGACGAAGCAACTCGGCGGAAGCGAGGCGGATGGGGTGGCGATATGGCCAGTGCACGACGAGGATCCACGCCGGCTGGCGCATAATCTCAAACTCGCACTCGCGGCGCGCGACGGCGACTGGATTAAGGTCGAGCAGCTGCTGGACGCACATCGCGTCGCGCGGAACGGAGGTTCGTACCACGAGCTCGATGCGGTCGGATGGGGAAGCTTGCTGCGCTTCGGTCTAGGAAGTGTGGAGACGCTGCCCAAGCCGATCGCCACTCCGCAGCCAGTTGAAGAGCCAGCTCCTTCTAAGGGTAGCGCGCGCAAGAAGCAGCCTCGAAAAGCGACCATCGCCGAGGTCTCGGTCGAAACGAAAGAGCGCGTGGAGGAGCCAAACGAGGACGGTGACGAGAAGAGGCTGCAAGCGGAAGCTCGAGTATCGTTGACCAAGCGACTCGTGCCGCAACTGTTGCGCCAAACGAGGGCGAGGCAGGATGCGGCGGATGAGGCGCCCGGATGGTTGCTCGAGTCGGTGCTGACGCAGCTTTTGGAGCACGGCAAGTCGGATGCTGTGCTGCGGATCGTTCGTCTGGCGCTTGCCGAGACTGGGCCGCAGCAAGATCCATCGGTAAGGGGCGGTTCTACGGGTATGCTCAACCTCGCGCTTGCCGCGTGTGTGCAAGACCGCAGAATAACGCTAGCCGAAACGCTACGGGTGTTCAACAGCATCACAGGCTCGAGCTTTGGTAGAAACCTCGCGGGTCGTTCAAAGCAGCCGGAGGGAAAAGGCGAGATTGTTCCGAACGAAGAGTCGTTGGTGCTGGTGCTGAAGAAGGTGCGGCATCCGCTGTTCAGGGCATCGTGGAGTCGCAAGTTGTTGGACGAGTTTATGCAGCGGTGGCCACATGTCAGGCTCACAGGTCGAAGCTACCGGATCGTTCTTGATCTCTGTGCAACTGCCCCACCCAAGCCAACCCCCGATTCGCACGCAAGGGAAGGAGGCGAGAGAAAGGTCCCAGTATCGGAGTCAGCTCCAGGTCGGGCGCGGAAGGTGATCGTCAAGGCAACGCTACTCGAACGTACACTGCTCGACATCCTGACGCAATTCGAATCCAACCCTCGGACCTTCCACCGCACCACCACCAACCGTTTCCGCTTCAACTACACGCTCATCAATCTGCGCCGCATCGTCAAACTCAAACTCGCTTCCAACCCGCAATCCACCCAGCTGAATCACATCATCCACCTCATCCACCGCCTCCAACACATCACTCGGAAACCCCCCACTCCCAAATTCCCTGCCGACTAGAGCCTCAACTCCCCCCTACCTTATTTTTCCACACCAGACCAAAAATGGATCAAATGGTACGGATGCGAGAGGAATTGAGCATTGCGTGAAAGCCTAGGGTATGTATATGTGAAGCGCGAGCGTGTACGATCGATATGCAGAGTCGAAGAAACATTGGGGATGCGAAACAGGCGGATCAGAGAGATGGGTAGCTGGGGTGAGGTGGGTTGAATTTACAGCTCATCTTCGCCGTCGCTCATGCTAGCGCCGCGCGTGCGCTTATCTCTCCTGGGCGCCGCTGCCCGATGAAGTGCATTGGCAGAGCTGGCATAGTGCTGGGCACCGCCGACGAGCCAGGCAAGGTCGCGCTCGAGCCGATTGCGCACCTCGTCCATGGCCTTGCGGATGAGCATCTCCTCGGGCTTCGGCTGTTCCGCGTCCTTCTTCACCTGGGCACCAGAGTTCGGGAAGGCCGACGAGAAGGCGGGAGCAGTGGCTGTGCCCGATGCAGCTGCAGTGCCTGTCGCTTCCAGATTGCGTGCCCAGGTGAGCACGACTTCCTGCGAAAACATTCTGCCATCCCCGTTCACTGCCTTATCAAGACGGTGCAGCAGCGTGGTCCACTGCTTGAGGATGGCGGGCATCAGCACGCTCATCAGCGTGTCCGGCGACGAGGGAGAGGCGTATTCGGTGCCAAGCACGTACGCGAGGTTGCTGTGCTTGCCATAGGCGTCCGAGGTCGAGTGGGCAAAGGCGGACCCGGCCTTGGCGGGCGATGAAGGCGTGGAGCTGGCTGCGCCGAATCCGAACGACGTTGGCTGACTTGACGCGGTGAAGAGGTTGAATGCCAGGCTTGACTTGGTCACTGAAGGAAGCAGCGCCTCGATGCGCAGCACGCGGGTGGTGATGGTGAGCAAGAAGCTGAACGTAGTGGCTGGATGCACCTCTTCGCGGTCGGCCTGCAGACGAGGATCGCGCTCGCGAAGGCGCTGCTCGCGGTCCGAATCGAGCTCGGTGACAAAGAAGGGCAAGTAGCCGAGAGCTGCGTCGACAAATGCGGCGATAGGCGCGCGAAGGCGGCTCCAGGTGTACTCGTGTCGGGCGGAGCTGCCGTCGGCGACAAAGGGGATGGCGGCGCGGATGGCCTTCTCGAGCTCGTCGAGCGAGGTCTCAACCGAATCGAGCGAAGGCGTCGGGAGCAGCGAGAGGATCTGAGCAGGCAGCGAGGCGTCCTTGGACTGCGACAGGAGCGACGTGAGCATCGAGAGAAGCGAAGGCTTGTCCATGGAGGCGAGCATCTTGCCGATGTCGACATCGATGCCGGACATGCCGACTCGGTTGTTGAGGCCATGAGCCTGTCGTTTCGACGCCGATTGGGAGTTGTGGAACGATGACGGTGAAGTGTGGTGGCTGCCTCCCGTTGCGAGTGGAGAGAATGCGGACGATGCAAAGGCTGAAGACGGATTGGACAAGGGCGAAGCAGACGACGATGCTTGCGAGACGTGGAGCGGCTCCGCGTTGACGAGGCCGAAGCCTAGGCCTGCGCGCATGCGTTTGGGGAGCACGGATCGCTTGTGGTCATGATGCGGTGAGAAGGCGTCTGCGTTGAATCGGCTCCTCTGCGAATGACCCATGTCTTCATCGTCGTCGACTTGGTCCGGGGCATCGTCTGAGTCACGCCTGCGTTTCGCATCGGAGCGTCTTGACGGGGACAGTACGGATGGAGGGACAGAGGTCTGCGCTGTGCCAAACATGTGCGAAGCTGCGGATGTGGATGCAGGCGAGTTGGCGGCGGTGTTGTTGCCTCCAAAGGAAGAGCCAAAGCCGAAGCCGAAACCAAGAGGACTGGGAGCGTGATGGACCGGAGCGCTGTTGAACGGGATCTGGTGGCTCGGACCGGCGGCGACGGCTGGTGAGGAGGATCTAGACGGAGAGCCAGACATGGTGGAGAAGATGCCTGGAACAGACATGACTCAGGCGCTGTGGTGGAGGACTGAGCCTGCCAGCGATGGAAGAAGCGGCCGCCCTGATGCCCACGCTTGGTCCGGCCGAGGAGACGAAGAGGAGTGCAAGGACAGCGGTGCGCCCAATGGTGTCGATCGGGGGGCAAGGAGAGGGCACGCCGGTGGTGGCAGTGATGATGGTGGGAGGGGGAATGCAGGAAAGAGATTGTGCTTGGATTTCGCTTTGGCGCCTGCCTGAGCTGAGGTTTTGATCGCCACTCTCTAGCTAGGCGAGAGAGGCTCCGCAAACGCACACTTTCAGCCTCAGCCACGCCGCTCCTGCCGGTCTCATCAACACCACACTCTCGCCTCGCCAGGCTGAATTTGCGGATTTTGTGACTTCAAGGGTGCGCCTGCAGCTGGGCCGCTCTTTTGGGGAAAATCACAATCGTTCGTGGTGACAGCAGCTCTAACATCCGTTTCTGATCGGCAAAAAAAGGCCAACGTCAGCAGCAGCGACAAATGATTGCGCGGCAGCATTGCGCGGCCTGAGCGGTGTGGAGGACGCGTCAGTTGGAGGTGAAGCCGGAAAGTGACACTTTTGCTGCTGAGGCTGAGCCTGAGCCTAAGTCGGGTGGGTCGGGCGAGCGCTGCAGCTTTCTAGAGCTGCGCAGACACCCGCTGCGCATCGGTCCCCTTCTCAGACTCTCCCCACCACCAGAGCCAATCCTCTACGGCAACTTCCTTCATCGGCCGTGACTTAGCAAGGGAAATCCCCTCCAACACCCGCTCTCAAATCACAAGCACCTGCGCCAGCGACTACAATCGCCGCTTTTGGCCGCTTGCACTCCTTTCCACCCCGGCCGCCTCCCTTATAACCCACAACCATGGACGACGACGACATCCTCGAGGTCGATAGCCCCATGGAGCCTGCCGTCGATCTAGACGAGGACGAGGACGAAGAGATGCCCACACTTTCCCTCGATGGAGCTGCCGGAGCTACCTCGCAACCTGCCAAGAAGCCACGGACAGAGAACCGTCATCTCCAGCTCGACTACCCGCAGAGTCTTCCATACGTGTGCGAGACGCTCGACGAGTTCGACGCCCGCCTCGACCACATCATTCGCCGTCTCGTCGACTGCGTCCGCGCCAAAGACTACGACATCGGCCTCGTGCAGTGGAATCACCGCTTGCAGTGCCTTCTTTCGCTCAAGTACCCTCTCCTTCGCAAGACGAGGGCACGCCTCGCTCGCTTCTACTACCACCTCGCGGTGCTTCCAGGACTCAACACACGATGTATCGAGCTCGCCGCCAACATGTGCATCACCTTGATAGAGAACAAGAAGAAGTGCGACATTCGCGACCTCGTCCTGCCATGGAAGCCCCTCTACGCCATTCTCGACAAGGAACTCTTCCCCAAGCGTCGCAGAACCGGCCTCACCAACATCTCGGACGTCCTCCTCGACCTTGCAGAGACTGCGCAGCGCTTCTTCCCCGCTAGCGACGCCGACGACATGCTTCGCACCTTCCTGCCAAAGATGGACGGCTCCAACCTCAACTCGGTCATCGCAACACAGGCGTTCCTCGTTCACTTTTTGCCCATCAGCCATCCACAGCGATGGCTCCCAGCCATGTTCCGTCTCTGGGAGAGCTTCAATTCGTCCCTCTTCGACGACCAGATGCTCGACCTCCTCGCACGCCTCGCAGAGATGCACGTCACCGACCCTTCCATCAGCTCCACATCCGCCGCACGCAAGGCAAGCCTCTTGGCCGAATCTACTCTGCGTTCCGAGGCGCAGGCTGTCAGCGATGTTTCTGCCAACGGCAACACGCAAGCCGAGGCTAGCACGAACAACGCCGAAGCGACCAAGTCGCCTGATCCAGGTAGCTCGACACCCCCTTCGGGCACAGAGAGCCCTTCGGCAAGCGTCGGTCTCTTCAGCGACATTGGCATCTTCACCGAGCAGCAGTTCTCGCTCATCATGACAAAGTGTCTCAAGTCCGCCGGCCTCCCCGTCGGCTCCAGCAAGGCCGCCAACGCTGCCCTCATGGCCCAGTCCGCCAGCGTGCGCAGCGGTCCCGACGCCGCTGCCTCCGGTGCCACGCTCAAGATGAAGAAGCCCACAGACCGCCTTCGCTCCTTTGCCGTCATCATCGCCTACTCGATCTCCAAAGACGGACCCAGCCCCCCTGAGGTCGCCTCGGCCTCCTACGTACCCACTCCCACCGGCGCTTCTTCGCCCGGTGTAGCCAAGCCCGTCACCACGTATCCTGCCGGCTCCAAGGCTCTCGACCATCTGGCCAAATTTGTCCAGGCCACCGAGAGCTACTTCCATCCCTCCAACTGGGGCTTGTGGCAGATCTCGCTCTCCAATCTGGTTCAGCAGATCATGTTCGAGTTCCTCAAGCGCGCAAAGGAAGAGGAGAGGCCACAGTGCAAGACGCCTCATCAGTATCGTCTCACCGACGACATCAAGACCGAGATCGTCTCGATCCTCCGCACCGTCTGCCTCCTCTCCATGTTTTCCAAGGGCCCGCTCGCCATCGCTTCGTCACAGGCGAGCTTGAAGCGCATGGCCATCCTCGCTCCCGAGCTCGTCATCCCTGCCGTGCTCGACCGCGCCTTCAACTCGCTCGAGGCTCTCGAGACCACCCACCGCACCAATGCCGTCATCACCGCGCTCTCCACTCTCGCGCCCGTCTTCACCTCACGTCAGCTCGACCGTTCCGGTGGAAAGCATCTCCTTCCGCTCCTCCAGCTCTGCATCCCCGGCATCGACCTCAACGACCCCATGAAGACCATGAGCACCTGCATGTTCGTCCTCCTTTCCACCCTTTCGCTTCGCATCGATGACCTCACCAGGCCAGAGACTTATGCAGATGATCACGAGACCATCGAACCCCTTCCCGATCAGCCTAGCCTGGGGCCAGCGAGGCGCGAGGCTGTGACCGGCTCGCTCGAGGACGCAGAGCCCGCGTCGCCCCAGCAGGAAGATGATCAGCTGCGCATCAGCACCGCCGAATTCGATCCATGGCTCTCCGCTTTCTTCCAGAGGGTCCTCTCCCTGTTTGAAACGCTTCCAGAGGAGGGCAAAGGCGGACGCACAGGCGGCAAGGCCGAAGAGCAAGTCATCAACATGGTCATGGCCGCTTCAGATGGTCTTTGCCGAGCCATGAGCCCGTACCTGCTAGAGAAGTCATTCGCCAAGATTGCCGACTACTGCGCAAACACCGTTTCGGCCACCTCGGTGCGCGTCATCGGCTCCTTGGTCGGTTGCTTTGCCCGTGCAGACGGAAGGATGGTGCTCAAGAGGCTCTTGCCGCAGTGCATTGCAAACATTCGTGCCGAGATCGCCAACGGTGCCAGCTCCACGCGGACGACGAGCACGAGCATACCTGCTCCCAGCGATGCCACGCTGCACTGGAACTTGAGCGTCTTGACCGGTGCCGTGACCGGCCCTGGCGATCACCTCTTGGAGTTCAAGGACGACCTCATCGGCGTCCTTCGACTCGTCATCGAGCATTGCAAGAGCGAACGAGGCTACTCTTTCGGTGCCAAGCTCGTGCAAAAGATGATCGCCTCGCTCACCTCCCTCTATCCGAGCGAACAGCGCTTTGTCAACCAGGAGATCTGGGAGAGCGATGACTTTGCTCGTCACTCGCACCTCTTCTGGGGCAAGATGTACGACGAGAAGGCGGTCAAGATGAATTGGCATGTCCCTACCCAGCCAGAGATCGATATGGCACTCGAGCTCGTCGACGAGCTGGTATTGCCGGCGCTGACCAAGGTGGAGGCCCTGCAAGCTGAAGGTCAGACGCGCGACAAGGCGTGGTCCAACGACTTCTGCCGCTACCTCATGGTGGTCAGGATGGGTCTAATCGGCATGCCTACCCTCATCCAGGAGGACGACGTGGGCGGCGGCGAGCCTCTCATGGACCTGGGCGACGAGGTGCCCGAGTTTATCGAGATTCCCCCACGCTTCAAGTCGTTCTTCTGCCTCACCGACCGCCAAGATGCACGCTACCAGAAGGTCGCCGCTTTCAAGCAGCGCTGCGGTCAAGTCCTGCGTCTTTCCGCTCAGAGCACGCAGGCTTCGGGTGCAGAGGATCAGATCGACTGCGTCAAGATGCTGATCCGCACCATTCGATCCTATCTCACCTGCTACAGCTACAACGGCGAGGATTACAAGGCGCATATGCGCTCCCTTGGCTTCTTCCGCAACATCGCCAAGCTCCATGCGAAGCAGAAGGAGTTCCCGCGTGTGCTCTTCATCCGCCGGTCTGCGTTCTACAACACCAGCCGGGCTCGACTGAACAGCTTCCATCGCAAGAGGACGCCGCTCACCGATCAGCTCATCCTGCAGATGCTCGACTTTTGCATGTCCAACTACGTCGGCATCCGCCAGACTGCGCAGAACACGCTCGACACCATCGGCGGCGTCTACGACGGCACGTGGATCCTGTGCCTGCCAAAGCTGATCGAAGCAATCCAGCCGGGCGTGCCCGATGACCGGATGAAGGGCGCCCTGTACGTGCTCGGAAGCAAAGGAGCCTCGTATCTGTGCATCACGGATGCGCGCTTCAGCACAGAGTACATCATGAGCCTGCTTTCGGCGCAGCATCACTCCAAGCCTTCGATCCAGAAGCTTGTGCGCGGCATCATCAACGACTTTATCATCCGCTTCGCCGAGCCATCGACGCTGACCAACAAGGTCGACTCTTCTGCGCTCGACGAGGCTGCCAAAGCTCTTGAGCGTGCGCTGCCTCCGCATCTGCAGGCTCCCGATGCAGACCTCGTCAAGGCAGTCGCGGCCAAGCGAGCTCTGCGCCTCGAGAGGGTTGACCAGATGCACAAGGAGCTGACTGGCAAGGCGCTCGAGTTTGCCAGCAGCGAAACGACGCACTGGGCGTTCTCCATCTTTGCGGCACGTCTTCTCAGGGCGCTGGTGCGCAAGGACCGGCCAATGGACGAAGGCGCGGCAAAATATCTCGCCGAGCAGACGATCTCGGAGAATCCCAAGATGCGCCACTGCGCTCAGGCTGCCATCACCAAGGTCCTATACTACGTCAAGCTGCGCACGCTTGCGCCTACGGACGAGGATCTGCTGGTGGGACAGACCAAGAATCCGCTCAAGCACTCGGAGAAGCTGCCCACGCCCGTGTCGGCAGAGTGGACGCAGCAGTACATTGCGTCGTTCGCCGAGCCGCTGACACCGACGAGCAAGCTGCGTGACAAGCCGTCGCAAGGCTGGCTCGTGTGGGGCGAAGAAGAGAACTTCTATGACCCACCGCCCGCGGAAGGGACCGTGTTTGACTGGGATTCGGCCTCGCAGCCGGCGGTCGAAGCTGTGCGTGCTGCGATCGCGCAGGACTCGTGGTGGCAATCGTTCTGCCGACATCTGTCGCAAGAGAGGGAGCGCGACTATCCCGGCAGCGACTCGGTCAATCTGATCAAGTCGATGTTCCAGATTTACGGCGTCGATCTGCTTCCATTCGTGAAGACGACGGTGGAGAACTTCATTGCCGAAAAGGACCGACACCGACACCGTGCTGCGTCCGAGCTGATCTGTGGCATCTACCGCGGCTCGAAGCACTGGAACATGAAAGACCAGGGGACGCTGTGGACGTGGCTGGAAAGCCTGCTGCCCAAGATCTTTGACGGCTGCACACCCGACAGCCAGCCCGCATGGCAGTCGTGCATCGAGTACATGCTCCAGGCGCGCGATCCGCGCCGAGCGCGTCCGTTGGTGATGTACATCGTGCAAGCCGCGCGCGACAACATCGGCAAGGAGAACAACAACGCAAGTCCGTGGGAGCAGGCCAAGACGCAAAATCTTCTGCGTGGAGCGCTGATCTCGATGAATCTGCAATTTGCGCCGTTTGGCGCCGACGAGTTCATCCGGATCTACTCGGAGAACTTTGACAATCACTTCCAGGAGGTGCGTAGCGTCATCAGCGAGAGCCTGGCGGATCTGGAGCTGCTCCAGGTGAATCCGTCGTTTGGCAACGTCGAGATGATGCTCGATGTGTGCAGTTCGGGACAGGGCTCGTTGCTGTCGCGGCCTGAGCTGTACAACGGGCGACTCGAGACGCTGTCGCAGCAGCTCAAGCAGTGGCGGACGGAGCGCAAGCCCACGGCCGAGGGCACGTCGCAGTACGACCGTGCGGCTACGACGGCGCTGCTGTGGATCTCGACGACGATGGGAGATCATCGCAACAGCGCGCTGGCGGGCGAGGTGATCAAGTACATTCCCGACATCTTTGCGATGCTCGAGCTGCACGACAACAAGGAGCTCTCGGCGCTGGCACGCGCGGTGCTGACCAAGATTTCGACGTATCCGTTCACGTCTGAATACGCCGGGCGACTGATTGACACGGTGCTGCAGGTGACGCGGTCGTCGGTGGATTCGTGGCGCGCTCGGCTGGACTCGCTGCCGGTACTGCAGGTGATCTACTTCCAGAACCTGTTCTACCTCAACGAGACGCTGGTGCAGTCGATCGTCGAGCTGCTGCTGGAGCTGCTCAGCGACCGACACCTCGAGGTGCGTGAGATGGCAGCGGATACTCTCTCGGGTATCGTACGATGCTCGCAGAGGAGGCTCATCAAGACGCTCAAGAACCGATTTACAAAGACGGTCGCGACGACGGTGGTGCCCAAGCGCGGCCAGCCAGGATACGACCAGCAGCTGCTGGCGCTGCATTCGGGCATTCTGGGCGCGTCGGCGCTGCTGGCTGCGTTTCCGTACGAGGTGCCCGACTGGATGCCGAGCTTGATTGTCGAGACTGTGGCTCAGCATACCGACGACGCGGTGCCGATCTCGACGACGGTGCGCAAGTGCGCAGCCGACTTCAAGCGCACGCACCAAGACACGTGGTCGGAAGACCAGCACAAGTTCGGCGACCTCCTGCCCGAGGTGAACGACTTTACCCTCGGCCGATCCGACTACTTTGCATAAGCGCCTCTCAATGAATCAGTGCATCCCTCTTTCGACTGTCAACGGATTGGATTCGAGCCTGCGTCTAGGTGGCGACTATTCGGGGCGGTAGGAGTACATGCGAGCCACGATAAGGGCGGTGGCGAGGTTGGAAGCAGAGAAGATCCAGAAGACGGCGCCGCCTGTGTGGCCAGCGTCGAAGTTGGCAAGCCAGTTTTTGAGCGGGAGAAACGCCGAGCCGACGACAAAGTTGGCGGTCCAGTTGAGCGTCAATCCCAACGAGGTTGTTGTTGAGACCGCCTACAAGCCGTCACGAAGGTGAGTGAGTACAGACTCTTCGTTGCGGGAGGGGATGGTGGAAGGAACTTACTCTGGAAGGCACGAGTTCTGGGAGAATCACGAATGGGACCGGGCCTAGGCCGAAGGAGAAGCCTGCGACCATGAGGACCATGCAGATGGCGCTGAGGGATCGCATGCCATATACGATGCCGGCGCCAAGCAGGGCCGAGGCGACGGCCATGACGAGAGCCGAGCCGACCATGAGATTTTTGCGACCAACGCGGTGCTCGTCGATGAGCAGCATGGGCGGGAATGTCATGGCGATGTTGATGAGCGTGATAAGGATGCCGATCGACCCGGCCAGAGCAGGCAGGATCGACCCCAGGATGCCCACGCTGTAGTACAAGACGGCGTTCTGACTCTCACAAAAGGTCAGCTACGGAATCTGGCGTACGGGATCGGATGGAAGCTACTCACGATACCGCTCAGCTGTTGGCCAAGCTGGGTGAGGATGACGAGAACCGCACCAGGGCGAACGTCTGGGTCGCGGAAGAGGCCCGAAAGGCCAACTTGCGAAGCCTCGCGTGTGGGTTCATCGGCGTCCGATTCGGCAGCCAGGAGGCCTTGTCGTTCCTCGTCTCTGCCGGTGCTGCGAGGTGCGGTCCTACTTTCCCTCCATCCCTGCAGCTCCTTTGCCGACCACAGAAGCGCTCTTACCTCGTCTGCCCTGTCCGCGGCCGCGCCTCCGACCTTCCTCCTTCCTTCTCCCTCCAGCCATCCCGGCGACTCAAGACCGACCGTGAACGACCCGAGCAGCTGCAATGCCGACAGCACTCCCGACACCAGCGGCACTGTTCGCCAGCACCTCTCGTCGCTGCCCAGCCAGCTGGCCCCGATGGCTTGCGCCACAAAGATGCCTACGACAATCGAGAGCTGATTTAGCACGCCGACTGAGCCCTTGAGAGCGACGGGCGACACTTCGTTCAGGAAGATCGGTACCATCACCACGCCAATTCCGGACCCAACACCCTGGACGAATCGACCGAGGCCGAGGCCGGGCAGCGTTGAGGAGACGCCGAGGATGCTGCTGCCAACGACACCCGCGATGGCCGAGCACGTGATGCATGTTTGCCTCCCCCATCCAAAGTGCTTCGAGATGGGCGAGATGAGGAACGACGACACCAGCCCACCGAGGGTGAAGAGCGAAGTGACGAGGCCGAACTGGCTCTCAGACAGCGGGATGCACCCGGTGGAGAGCAGCACGGTCGAGCTCGGATCGCGCGGGTGGCACGTCAGTATGGGCTGCAGCGCGTTAAGCTCCGAGATTCCATACCCGTAGTTGGCTGCGGAGAAGAGGATCCAGAGCAGCGCTAGGCGGAAGCGGAGCGTCACGGCGGAGCGAGAGGATGCGCTGCCGGAAGGCGCGGCGGGCCGGCTCGAAGTGCCAGCTTCGGTGTTCGGCGACATGTTGCGCTCGTGGCCACTGGCTGGCTTCGCCGAGTTGGCGATGTTCTAAAGCTAGACTGGCGTCGAAGCACGAAGGGGCGGTCGAAGTGTGCTGGGTGGAGAGAGGAGACGGTCAAGGTCAGGAGGACGCTCCCGGCTGGGGTTGGCAGGGCGAGTGTGGGGCGGCGGTGTGGAGAAAGTGGGTGCCGGCTCAATTCAGGGTCCTTTCTAGCCCTGTCGGCCAACCCGACTCTCAGCTAGGCGGCGCAGGGCGAACGAGGAGAGCGGCGGGATTTTCAGCGTCGGCCAAGCCGCGTTCGGACCAACTCCAGCGGACACCTTCCGACGCTTGGCTTCCATCCACCAACCACCGCCGCTTCGCCTTCATCATGAGCCGACGCAACCGCAAGGACGTGGACGATCTGTTGGCCGACCTCGACAACCTGGGTACCGAGGCGCCCACCAAGCCCGCGCGCAAGTCCGCCGACAAGGGCACCGCCACCCCGACCCCGGCCACATCCGATGCCTCGGCCAAGAAGGCGCCCGAAGATGCACAGACGTTGCTCGACGACCTCGACAGCTTGATGCAGAGCAGAGCCAACTCGAGCAGCAGGGCTTCCCAGCGCAAAAAGGACGACTCCGCCTGGGCGACTACTGCCGCAGCTGTTGCTTCGGCACCGCCGACCGCTTCATCCGAAAAGGCAACTGCCGCACCTACGACCAGCGAAACGACAGGCTCCACCGACACCGCAGCGGTGGCCTCTTCGGACGAGAAAGCGGCTGCAGCGGGCTCAAGCGGCGGATGGTCCGGCTGGGGCAGCTCGCTCTTCTCGCAGGCCACCAAGCTCGCCGACCAGGCCAGACAGGAGTTCGAGAAGCGCGCACCTACGCAGGCCGAGCAGGCGCGCGAACTCGGTAGCAAGGGATGGGACCTCGCCAAGGGCGTGCGTGGCTTTGTCAAAGAAGCCGGTCTCGAAAAGTGGGGTACGTATGGCATCTTTGATGCGCTCGCTCGCATAAGATACTGACAGACGCTTGGTGCTCGCGGACGCAACAGGAGAGGAAGTGACCAAGGTGGGCAAGCGCGGGTGGACCGACATCGTCAATGCGGTGGCGCCGCCCATCGCCGCGCACGAGATCATCCAGGTCACGCTCAGCCACGACATGGTCGGCTACGATGGCATCTCGGACGTCACCTACCAGACGCTCGCCAAGGTCATGGAGCAGGTGCATTCCGACAGCACCGAGCAGCAGCTCGTCGTCAACAAGGCGCAGGCAGAGACCGCGTCCAAGCCCAAGGAGACGGCCGGTGCGGAACAGCCACGCGACCTGAACGCAGTCGAGGGCTTCGCCGCTGCGTTCAGGCTGGCGAGGGTGAGCATGGACGAATGCATCAAGCAGCACGAGGTGGCTCCACCTCCTCAAAGGTCCGCAGAGGCAGCCGCTCTGCCCATCACCTCATGTCCCGTCTTTGTTCGCATCCAGGCGTGCCTCACCGATCTTCCCGGCGACGACACGGACAAAGACGGCACCGACGCCGCCAAGTCGCTCTTCTTCATCGTGCTCCTGCGCGATCCCCAGCACGGACTCAGCCACAAGACCGTCTCACAGGCTGTGCCCACCTCGTGGCGTAAGTTCCACCTCAGCCCAAACTCATGTGGCGACCCAGCACTGACTCGACTCTCTTGCCTTTGGGTGGATCCGCAGTGGATGTGCCGTTCGAGGAGAACCAGTGGGTGGAAGAATCGCTCGTCGACGTCCTTTCCAACGCACTCAGCATCGTCGGCCAGGACTACGTGCAGGGCCGCATGTCCGGACGCACAAAGTCGTCCAAAGAAGGCCTTGCCGACCAAGCCAGCCAACCTACTCAGCCCTCCGCATGAGATTCCAGCGTCCGTTCAATCCATGATTGTGCCCGCTCCTTTCACCCTTTTCCTGCCATGTATGCGTCACGCTGGTACTGTTGAGTGAGGCCTTCGCAAGAGAAGAAAACGCTTGTATTGGAGGGCGATGGAGTGCGCGGCAGGCTTATGCCTTCTTGCCAATGATCTGGGTCGAGATGATCTCCTCGCCGTTCACGTGGTACTTGATGTCGACCTACGATTCGCAATGCAGTGCCGCAGAGACAAAGTGTCAGTTCACCGACTGGAAGCTCGGAGGCGTGTGACGGTAGGTACTTACGTGGCCGCCGGTCTTGACGTCAATCTTCTCGATCTTGCCCGACTTGACATCACCGCCAAAAGGTCGGTCTATCCGCGACAAACATGCATGTATGTCAGCTTTCGGCATCTACAAGGACAGCTGCGAGGATTGTGAACAACCTACACTCGATCACGTCGCCAACAACGAAGAAAGCCATTTTGAATGTTTGGTGCAAAAGAGGTGGGGTTTTGGCAACAAAAGATGGTGGTGGGGCAGAAGATGCGAAGGTTGCAAAGATTGCAAAGGGTTCCCTTGGCCAAAAGATCCCCGTCCGATCGGACGTGCAACTGGCAGCATCACAACGCACCGCATCGTAGCGCAAGCAGGGCGAGAAAGCCGATCGATAAAATCCACCGCTTGCCCAGCAGCACAACAGCACAATGGCGTGCGGCTGCTGGACAGCGTCACCTCGTGCAGGATCGGTTCATCTTCCCGCCTCCACGCCTCTGCTGTGATTGGGAGGGCTCGGGCCAGGTTCGCGCCTCGAGACATTGCGACATTCTGCAGCTCAGGATCCACGGTCCGGTCCTGCACGCATCGGTGCGAATTTTCGTACGAGTCGGATTTTCGTCCGATGTGCATTGTTCGGCCTCACATGCGGGAAAATTGCAGCTGCCAAAAGACCACGTGTCAGCTGTCGGAGCTTCGGGTTGGGACGTCTCTGAACGCCACGACGTGCAATGAAAGCCACCGCTGAGCTTCTCAGCGGCCGATTGCTCTGGGGACCGACCTATTAAGATGCGCACTACCACTGAGCCTTCGTTAAATCGTTCAGTGTGATCCGGTGCGATGGAACCTGCTTGAACTCCATGAGGGCAGCTGCGTCGGAGCAGCAATGAAGTTGGCCGCGTGCCGCGCCTGGACATACCCACCCGGTTCATACACGCACTTTCCTCTCAGGACTTTGCCAGCCGTACTGTATGCCGCTCGCAGGGTAGCACAAGGCTCTTCGGCAAAAATTTCGCATGGAATGCCATGCGACAGTAGGCGTAGAAGCACTCTGACCGCAAAGACTAGCGCGGGCAAGAAACCCTGATCGGCGAGGTGCATGCGCTTTAGCGTTGGCGCTAAGGAAGGTCGTCCCACCGCGATTCATTTCCGCCCCTAAGAGCTCTATTAAGATCAGGCTCCACCCGCTTGACGGATGAGGCGGATCGCCGGCCCACCTCTGCGGGTCAGACGGCGACACTATGCCGACGGCGTACACTTCCAACTAGGGCTGGACAGGCTTGATGCCCACGTTGCCGCTTCCTCACCGCTATATATGGCTCTCTAGCAAAAGGGCTCCTTCATAGACAAGCAGCATCAACTTCCTCACTCACCAGCTCACATCAACCACTAAACCGAGCTGCTTCTCCAAGCTCAGCATTTGTTATCACCGAGTATGGGTCAAAATAACGACGCCCAGGGATGTCTGGCAGGCTTTCGGGGGCTCTTTGGCAAGAAGGGCAGCATCCCCCTCCCCGCCAACGACGACTTCTACACGGCGCGTGACTCGAGCTTCTCGGCCCACGCCAACGGTGCCATCCTGCGATCGCGCGAAATCGAGGTAGTCTACTTTCCCGGCTTCGACAGTCCAGCGCTACAAGCGTGGCAGGTAGCCTACAAGACCAAAGCGCAGGATGGCATGACACCGCAAGTGACCGTGCTCACCATCCTGCGGCCATCGACTGCACGACCGGACGCAGATGGCAAATACCGCATCGTGATCTACGGCTCCAAATGCGACTCGGCGGGTACCAATTTCCGCACGAGCTACTTGCTGAGGGCGGGCAACGACTACACACTTGGAGCTGCGTCGGAGCAGGTCTTTATCGCGCCGTGTCTCGATCGGGGCTGGATCGCGGTTGTGCCGGACTACGAGTCGGAGACGTGCGCTTTCGGGGCAGGCTACCAGTCTGGCTACGCTATGCTGGACTCTCTTCGTGCCGCTTTGAGCTTTGAGCCAATCGGACTGCGCAGGGACAGCAACGGTGTGTACCAGGCCAAGGTGTGCCTGTGGGGCTACTCGAGTGGCGCACTGGCAGTGGGGTGGGCGGCACAGTTGCAGGCCTCGTACGCAGCAGATCTATCGCAGTATCTGGTGGGCGCCAGTATGGGTGGGCTGCCGAGCGATTTCAAAGCGTGTGGACAGCGCACGAACAAAGACGTCGCAGCTGGTCTCCTTGTGGGCATCATGCAAGGTCTCGCCAACGCGTACCCGGAGCTGCAGGACTGGCTCGACCTGCACGCCAACAAGACCGGCAAGGCTGCCCTGCAGAAGGCGCTCACCAAGAGCTTTGGCGTCGTCATGTCCAGCTGTGCATTTCAAGACGTGCTCGGCACGTATTTCGACGTCCCCGATCTGCTCGCAGACCCGCTGATCGCGCGCATCATGGCAGAGAACAAGCTCGGCGTGGCAGAGGATGTGCCGCAGATGGCGTGTCAGGTGTACCAGTCATTGCACGACGAGGTGGTGCCGTACCGGACCACCGACGATCTCGTCGTGGCCTGGAGCGCGAAAGGAGCATGCATCGATTATACAAAGGACACCCTGTCCGCACACGTGGTGCTTTGCTTCACCGGCTGCGCTATGGCGATCCGCTGGATACAGGACCGCTTCGACGGCAAGCCCACGCGGGCACAACCGGGACAGCCGCGCGTGGAAACCGTGCTCACCTCGCTTGACACCAACGACGCCTCGCTCACCCTGGGTCGACAGCGCCAGACCGACATGAAGAACCTGCTCGAGAGTCAGTACAAGCGGCCAGGTCGCAACTGGTGGACATGATAGCTAGACCCGATCATTGTCGCTTTGAGACCCGATTTGCGACCACACCCCATCACCGTAGCTGTCACCTTTCTCCCTGCAATGCTTTCATGCTGTCGGTGCATATGATACTGCGGTGCCTGAAGGTCTGGCTGGAGCAACATGCGAAACGAGGCTTGCAGCCTTGGCGAACGGTGAATTTACCGGCCGATGCGAGGCCACCATCACTTTGCGCGCGACCCGCCCGCGCACCCGACGGAGAGAAGCGCGGCTGTCACTCTGCCGCGCGCAGCCATGAATCTGCGGAACGGTGCCGCGTCGACCGACCGTTGTTGCGGCCTTCTTGGCACCATCGGGCGAGCGCGGGGGGAGGTTGACGTCACTGCATGATGACGTACCAGAATTTGCGCCGATTCGGGTTGCATCCAAAGCCAGTCGGGGTCGGCTCGCTTCGCCAGACGCGATGCGGATTGGCAGGCGCCCCAGTCATCGGCGTGTAAAATATCTCCGATCGGGCCACTAGCTGGGCTTGGCAAAGGCCGCTTCACCGCTTGCGGGTCCCGAAGGCGATCAGAATCCCACCGACGGAAGTCAGCTGGTGACGACTGTATCAGCTACCGAGAAGATGCGGAGTCTGAAATGCTCCAGAGACCGTTCGCACAGGGTCCTATCCCGATCCCGGTCGTGTAGCGACCAAAGCGGCGTCAGCCTTGATCTTACAGCCCGCGAGAAAAGCATTTAGGGGGTTGTGGGTGTAGCATCGGCATCTTGAAGATGGGCAGATAGTCGCCGAGCGTCGAACTCAACTCGTTTAGACGCCGAAGCATATCGCGGTGCGGAGGGAGTGCAGTGCAAGCGAGAGGATGGTCAGGGGTCGTGCGCATTGGTGGCTGCGAGGGGTAGCAACGAGGAGACGCCGGCGACTTCCGGGCGCATCTCCGCGCGCGCCTGGCACGCTGCACCAGCATGCATCTCGTATGGGGAATTTTTGCAAAAAAGAAAAATGGGGTGGTGCTCGGCTGCATGCCACGTACAGCTGGGCAGCCGGCCTCCTCGCTTCGACTCTACGGACGTTCCTGCCTGCGACTGTGGGGCGAATCGCAAGCGAGTGTTGTGCTTGGCGCAAGGTGGACAAGTCGTATGCGTGGAACACTCGAGCTGCGCGATGTGCTTTACGCGATGAATCGCATCAAACGGCGTGGCATTACGCGAACTCGAGGCGAGGTGAAAGGGTGGGAAGCCAGGTCTCAGGTGGGCTGCACCGCCTCTGGCTTGCGCGCACGATGCGCTCGCCTTGCACTTCCCCGCATCCCGTCGTTGCAGCAGCAGCCGGGTCAGCATTTTGCAATTCGGCCAAGCCCGAGCCCAGCGTCGGCGAGGCTGGCAACCAGTGCCGACCTTCCCAGGAAAGGAAGGCGCGCGCGGGCAAATCCTCCGTTCAGAGGTTCCGCCGAGCGACCGGAAGCGAAGCCCAAAACATGCGGAGAGACGCTTCTTACGGCACGTCGTGGGACGCTTCTTAGTTAAGCGCGGATCAAGTTCATACGCTGCAACGACGCTTTCGGTATGAAGTCCCACCCACAGGTAGGATTTAGGACAGGCTGGCAAGTTTAAGCGAATGGCTCGTGTAGGCCACGATGGCGAGCGTTCCTAGCCCCAAGGGTGCAGCCCTGGCATTGTGCTCACGCCACATTGACTTGCTCTCGCCCGCCGTCTCGTCCTGCTGATGAAGAGCTCTCCCTTCGCATTCGGCCCGCCGTGTTCGTCTGTGCCGGGTCACTGCATTGAACGAGGGGGCCGCCAATGCCGACATGGCCCGAACCACAGCAGCAAGAGACCAATGAGGGAGATGTTACCGCAGTACGTGAAACCGTTCTGCAGCAGCCATCCGACCGACCCGGTGCATACACGGGTGGATGCGGTGTTTGCAGCCGCCTTCACCTTTTGCGTCGCGGCAGCGGAGTCGAATTGCGGAGGCGAAACTGGAGGAAGCGGCCTGACGATGTCATTTTGCCTCTCAAAGTCTCCGGTTTCAAGCTCCGTCGTGCGGAATCTTTTTTTTTTTTTTCATTCGAAGCACCGTCCTCGGGCACAAGACGAGTGGCTGTAATTTATTTTCTCGTAAATCCGCTCCAACAGCGGATGTTGCCGCCCCAGAATAGGCGTGTGCATGCCACACGCTCCGTTAGCGCCATCGGCCCGCCATGCGTGTCTCACGGAATCTAGGTCAGGAACTGGGAGCAACAGCCGGGTCGAGGTCAACACTCGTCGGAACCAAGGCGATATGGAATGCGCTCGAGTCTGGAGGGAGCTTAGCGTGGCTCTTTTGTCTGGCTCTGCATCCGGCTAGGTCGCCGGCTCGGTTGAGAGGGCGGAAGGCGGCACCGATGAAGAAGAGACAGAGGGGCGGCCTGCTGAAGAGGGGTGCAGCTGGTGGAAACGGCGTGCAGAGACAGGTGTAATGCCGAGCCTCCGCAAAAACTGCACGACGTGCATCTGCAAGTTCGATCCGCCCCCACCTGCCGCCCTGTCGCAGAATGTCGTTCTGTGTTCTTGGCCCGCGACGCCAAAACATTAACCCCCGTGGGAGGGGCGGCGCGTGCCCTCGTGAGGTGGGAAAGGGTGCGTTGCTCCCCCACCTTGAACCTGGTCAGCTCTAACTAAGCACTGGCGCGACAGCCGTCACAGATCGACAAGTTGAACCTCCGCACCGCGCTGCTGCCCTTGGCCCCGCCGTTCCGCCTGGAACACGCCGTCATCCGCCGCCGCCGATTGTGCTTTGGCCTGGGGCTCATTGTCTTCGGAGGCAGGAGGCGCTTAGCTTTGACGCTCGTCGGATTGGCCGACGACGTCTCGCGCAACGCCCGCCATGAAGCCCCTTCATCGCGGCAAAGGCCAAGACCAGCACTCGCCTCTGTTGATGCCGCCCACAAATCGGACCCCCCGTCTGCCTCATCTCGAAGCGTTCGGCTAAAGCTGCCTTGCAGTCCTCGCGCAGCCTCGTCGCCCTCGCTCACTCCGACCGTCTTGACGTCGCAACACGGCCATTTTGCTTGCGCGCCCTGCTCCTTCTCCGGCTGCTCCGGCCCTGGCTAAGACCGCTGGCCACCCGAAGCACTTCATCTCATCTCGCTGCTCAGCTGCGCCTGCACCAGATCAGTCGACGGCCGCCTTGGCTTCATCGCTCCGCATACGGTACACCAATCCTCTGGCGTTGTGCCTTGCCTTGCTCCCCTTTCATCCCCGTACATGGCCGAATGACATCGCGCGTCTGCTCAACCGCCCTCTTGGACCCATTTCCTTATAAAGTCATTTTGCCAATCATCGCCCCCTCCTTCCCGCTCTTCATCTTACGACCCCGTCAAGACACCCCCCCCCCCCCCTTTCTTCCACCCTTCCTTTCTCTTTCCTCCTTGCTTCCCATTCGTCATCACCACTTGCCATCGCCATCATGGGTTTGATGGGCTTGAAAGAAGGAAGGCCGGAGACCAACATGGTCCCGACCTTCCTGGGCATGCGCGGCATCAAGCTCAACTGGGCCATCGGCTTTGCCGCTTCAGCCGGTTTCCTTCTCTTCGGTTACGACCAGGGTGTGCTGGGTTCGCTCTACACGCTTCCGTCGTGGAACGCTCAGTTCCCCGAGATTAACACGGCGGCCGTCGGCGAGAGCGCCACCTCGACCGCTGCTGTGCTCCAGGGTCTCGTGACCGGTGTTTACGAGCTCGGCTGCTTTGCCGGCGCCATCTCGATGCTTTACCTTGGTAACCTGCTCGGCCGAAGGGCCAACATTTGGATCGGATCCATCATCATGGCCATCGGCACTGTTGGCTGCACTGCTTCGTACAGCCTTGCTCAGCTTTTCGTCTTCCGTGTCATTCTCGGCATCGGCAACGGTATGCACACTGCCACGATCCCCGTGTGGCAGAGTGAGTGCTCGCCTCCCCATAAGCGAGGCATGCTGATTATGGTCGAAGGTGCCATGATCACCGGTGGTATCGCCATGGCCTACTGGATCGACTTTGGCTGCTTCTTCCTCGACCCCAGCTCGGCCGCGTGGCGCCTGCCCATCGCGCTCCAGCTCATCCTCATCTTCCCCACCTTTGTCACCATCTTCCTGCCCGAGTCGCCCCGTTGGCTCATGCTCAAGGGCCGCGAGGACGATGCGCGCTACGTCGTGGCTGCCCTCGACGATGTTCCCATCGATGACCCCATCGTCTCGAAGAAGCTGCACGAAATCTCGGCCTCGCTCGTCGCCGCTAAGACGACCAAGATCTCAGACCTCTTCACCAACGGCCCCGAGCGCAACTTCCACCGCACCGTCCTTGGCTTCATGTCGCAGATGTTCCAGCAGATCTCCGGTATCAACCTCATCACATACTACATCGGAAAGACGCTCCAGGAGCAGCTTGGCTTCTCGGACCTCAACTCGCGCATCCTCGCAGCCGCCAACGGTACCGAGTACTTTATCGCCTCGTGGGCCGCCGTCTTCTTTATCGAAAAGATGGGCCGTCGCCCACTCATGCTCGGTGGTGCCGCCGGTCAGTGTATCTGCATGATCGTCCTCGCCATCATGGATGTTCCCAGCGTCAAGTACTTCTCGACAAACGGTGTTCCGGACCCTGATCGCAGCAGGACCGCCCCTGGTGTCGTCTCGGTCGTGTTCTTCTTCCTCTTCAACACGTCTTTCGCCTGGGGATGGCTCGGCATGACGTGGCTCTACCCCGCCGAGATCACCCCGCTCGCGATCCGCGCGCAGGCCAACGGTATCTCTACTTCAGCGAACTGGTTGTTCAACTTTATGGTGGTCATGGTGACGCCCGTAATGTTCGACACTATTTTTTATAAAACGTACGTCACCTTCGCTGTCCTCAACTTCGTCATTCTCGTCGTTACGTACTTCATCTTCCCCGAAACCGCCGGCCGATCGCTCGAGGAGATGTCGACGATCTTTGCGCACTCGAGCAAGATCAACCCGTACGATGTGGTGCGCAAGGAGAAGGTCACGCCCCGCCGCTACGACAAGCAGGGCAACCTCATCAACGACGACCTCGACATTGTGGGCGACTATGGCTCGAACGATGTGGAGAAGGGTGCCAAGACGGGCGACCACACCAACCTGCAGACCGAGGACGCTACGGCCACGCCCACTTCCGAGGGCAACACATCGGGCGAGCACAGCCGCTGAAGCGGGTCCTTTGTGGCAAGGCAAGATAGAGACAAGTCCCAAGTCATAGATGCTACAGCAATGCGTCTTGCGTCCGGATTCGGTCCCCTCCAACCTCTTGTTTTTTTCATGTCCTGAATGCTCGTTACGACTTTTTTTCTTTGCGACTTGTTTTCTCATGTCCGCTTTGACGACGCTGCATATACCATTTTTTCGCTCGTCTCTTTGCGTTTGCTTGGCTGTGTCGGAACGTGCAGGAGTCCAAGGATACTGGCGATGGTGCGGTCGCCACGCGTGAGCTATACGCTGGAGCAGGGACGAGGGTGAAGCGCCTCGCTACCGCGTTGCGCACTCTGGCTTTCGAGAGGTGCAGCAAAAGCTGCGCGCATGCACATTTTGCACTCGGTCTACAACGACAATTGAGTTGATGGTCGCAGCTAAGCATGTCAAAGCTAGCTTGGCTATAAGCTGGAGCTATTAGTAAAAATGAAGGTGAAGTGGAAAATTTGGAGCGTCATACTTGGGCCATAGCTTCGAAGGCCCGCCCTAGTTGTTCTGGGCCCATCGTCGTTGCGGCTCTTGGATGCGCGCATGAAGCGCTGAGCTTCGATCAAGATCGCCTGATACCGAAAACAAGTTGACGCCTTCTTTGACAGCTAGAACGCCGAGCCATATCCCGCTCCTGCTGCCTCGCAATCCACTCTGTTTCAGACTGGTTCTCTGCTTGATGACCATGCTCGCCTTGTCTTGCAGCATGATTCTACCTGCAAGGCAAGCGAGGCGTGAAAAAACGCACTGCAATCGCAATCGGAAAGCATGCCGCCGGCTTCGATTTTGACGTTTGGCGACTGGACCCAGGTTGGCAGAAGTCGCCGAGCCCTTGCAGAACGCCCACCGACCAGGCGGCTGGCATATGCGACCAAAATCAAGGCCGGGTTGCCATGGCGAAATTGCCGTCGAAGACTCGCCGGTCAATGAAGCCTTCATCAAAATGGTGGCGACCGAGCGCAAGGCCAGCAAGGCAGGAGAGGGGCGAGTCAGAACACTACATATACCCACGGGTCCCGAACGCAGATGGACGGACCGCGTACACGCTTCACGTAATTTTGCTCAGTTGACGGCATCTCTAACACGGGCGACCCTGCTACAGGATATGGCTGACAGCCGCCCACAAGACGGTCGCAGCATTGCACAACGACACTACCCCAACAAACATTTCGTCAAGCGAGAAAGCGACCAAGACAGGAGCGCGCCCATCCAGCCACAGGGACAGGGTCAGCCTCCTCACGACAACGGCTTCAACACCCGAGCATGTCGACGAGGCGAGGCCGAGGCTCCCGACCAAGACAGAGCCAATCGTCAGCCTTCTCGATCTCAGATGCCCCCGTCAGTGAAGATTGAGCGGCGCAGTGCAAGCCCACCTTTGCACGGTGCGAGCAGAGCGCACGGAGCAGCCTCAGCGAACGTGCCACGAGCGCACGCAAGTTTCCGCCCGTCCGGCGCCCGCGCCAACGGCACTGAAGGCATCGCCATGATCCATGGCAGGGGTGGCGCTGTCGATTCCGTCGCCAAGCGGGACCCGGACATCGAGCTCGAGCCAGTCACCGCCTCTGGCCCGGCTGGTGGCCGTGCCTGGGTACATGGCGTCGATTTCCTGCTCAACAACACCTATCAGATCTGGCCGTTGAGAGATCATCCGGAGCCAGGCCGCCCAGATACGTTGGGGAGGCGCACCAGGCGTTTCAGGTGCGAGGGACCAGATGCATATCTCGGCCCCGACCGCTACCCCGACATGGTCAAGGCCGCCAAACAGCAACTGGCGGCACAGTACCCACACGTCCCGGCCGAGGACTGGGTGGTCACCCTGCCCAAGAGAATCCGACAGTCGCTCTTCCTCGACGTCTTTGCTAAGAACAACTTGACGTACAGTAAGATTAGAGACGCTGACCTCTCGCCATTCAAGCTTGCCTGCTCGAGCGCACCGTATCCCGAAAATCAGGTCTTGCTTCGCGTCGACTTGCTTGATATTCGCAATGAACGCCGCGACGTCTATAACTCGATGCGGAAGGCTCTGGCTGATCACGGCAAGATCATCGCCTTCTGGCCAACTTTTTACAAGGACACAATCATCAACGACAAACCGACTCAGTCCGACTTCACTGGCACCGTATATGCGCTGCTGAGCTGGGATTCGAAGCTATGCTGGCCTAGTGACCGCGTCAACACGAAATTCCTGCCGGCGTTCCTCGATTTCGCTGAACTGCCGTTCCCGAAGAGGCTCCCGCTCGTCTTCACCGGTAGGCCAGCCGATTGCGAGCAATGCAGCGGTAAAGAGCCTTTGCACCTGGCCAAAGACTGCCCCAGCCGCAAGTGCAAGTGTGGAGGCAATCACAGCGCAAAGAACTGTCTGCGCAAGCACAACCGTTTCTCGCGGGGCGGACGCAAGTAGCCAGTCTGGTGAACGCGTAACGCTGTTCATCGATCTCAACCCGCCTCGTGTCTGGTTCCGTCACTGTCGTCTAGATCCTGAAAATGTAAATGTTGCCCCTCACGCTCTGATGCGACGACCGTGCGGCGAATTGAGCTCCCAGATTTCTGACGCTGCTTGCTGCTTTCAATCCATCAGCCAACTTCGAACCACCACACACACGCTCCGGACCACACTTGAGAACAGACGCAACTGGTTTGTAGATTCACACATCCACCGCGGCGGGCTACGACGCACTACCAAAGTCCGGGAGTGGACGAGAAGCCGGCATAGGGTGCCGAGGCGTACGGCGATGCGTAGGCGTGTGCACCCGAGTCGTCTGCACGTTCCTGCTGCTGTTCCTGGTGCTGCTGCTGGGCGGCCTGCTGTTGGCTCTGCTGCTTGGCCTTCTGCTGCGCACCGGCAGAGTACTTCTGCTGCGGATTGAACACGCTCGCTGCGGGCCGTAAGACGCTGCCGCTCGCGCTGGGCGAGGCAGTGGAAGACGCGGGCCACTTGGCTCCCGTGCTGGCCGCCGACGCCGATGATGGTGGCTGCGCCTGCGAGCCCGACCCGTACCGCGACGCCTGCTGGTATCCCCTCGCGCCGTAGAAGTCATTGCGTCCCGAGCCAAACGTGCCGCCCATGCTGTCGTCCAGCACGCCGAGCCCGTCCATGCCATTGCTCGCGGGCGAGCCGCGAGTGCCGCCCGCCGCACCACTGCTGGGGAAGAGCGAGTAGCCCGCCACTGAGCTCGTCAGATTGCTCGTGTGACGGCTCATGCCGCTGTACGGCGATCCGGGCGCACTTCGAGCCGCCGACGCATGCGATCCGTACTGGCTGTACGAAGTGCGGTTCGGCGTCATTGAGCCGCCGCTGTAGTTCGACATGCCGTAGAGAGCGTCGGCGGTCATGCTTGACATGTTGCCCGACGTGCCGCTCGAGTATCCGCCGTACGCGCTGAAGCCACTCTGCGCAAGTCCGTTGCCGCCTTCCTGCTGTCGCTCACGCGGCGAGTACGGCGAGGTCTGGTGCGAAGAGTGCTGCGCATATGCTGCGCTTCCGCCGAGTGACGTGTATGCACTCGAGACCGAGTGGTGCTGGCCAGCCTCTCGCGCACGAACACCCGACGCATCCATGCTTGCAGACGGGCTGCGAGACGTGGGATCGAATCCATTCGGTCGGTTGGCCACGGGCGAAAGGTCACGACCGTCGCCACCCATATCGGACGCGCCACGGCCGTACGCCTGGAAACGGTTGAACGAGGACGAGCCCCATCGATCGCCGCCCTCCTCCCGCGCGCCGGTCAAGCGGCTTTCGTCGGTGCGGAAATCGTGCACGCTCATCGGCAAGGTGGAAGGCAAGAAGTCGTCGCCAATGTCCTTGAGGGAGTTCTGCAACTCGCCAGAGTGCGAGTTGGTAGTGAGTGACCACACGCTCTTGATGTGGTCGCGATCCGCCAGGTTTGCAGAACGAGGCTCGAGCACTGGGAAGGTGAGCGAACTCTGGCCCCACGTTCCCTGTGTAGAGAGGCTTGGCGAGGGCAGCATCGAGCCGCTGCTGGCAGGCGTCTGGGTCTGCGAGGCCCTGGTAGATCCAGGGATGCCGAACGGCGACAGACTGCCGCGCGGCCCGCCAGCCTCGGCCTTGATCTCGCTGTTGACCATGAAAGACACGGGAGAAGGCGTGTTGACTTGGCGCTCGTCGAAGAAGGCTACGGCGGCGTTGGAGCCTCGACGACCCTTGGCACGGAAGGCGCCAGGTGCATTGTGCGAGCCAAAGGCGTCCGCCGCGTATCCGTTTTGCGGGTAGTCGAGGGGACCCAAGGAGCCAGGCGCAGCGCCGACGTGGAACGCCCTGCTGCGATCCTCGAACGAGGACTGCTGCGGAGCCCCGCCTGAAGACAGGACCTCGCCGATGATGGCATCGGTGGCGCGGTCGACATGGCGCGATGTCGCTGCGGCGCCGTGCCTGTCGGGTACCGAGCCGACGGCACCAGGTTGAAGGACAGTGGCGTGGTGGCCAGGCAGGCGCACTTGGATTTGACCGCCGGGCGATACGCCGGCAGATTGCCCCTCAACCGCGGCTCCGTCACCAAATCCGGCGCGGTCGAGCTCGGACCACTGCGGAGTCAGGTCGAAGCGAGCCTGCTTCCTGGTTCCAAAAGCAGTGTTCTGCGCTACGATCTGCGGCACGATCGAAGGAAGGCCGCGCGGCAGGACCCGCGACGGCAGGTTGACTGGCGTGATCACGGTACCTCGGTGGTATCGCTTCGGGAAAAGCTGGTCGTCTCGCGACAGCGTCTTCATGGACAGATGTGCGAGAGGCGGGTCCCAAGTGAGAGGATAGACATGCCTGCCTGGGGCACTCATGGCTGCAACCCGCGCAGCAAGCTGCTTCTGCTGGAATCGGTTGAGTCTGGGGCGAGAGCGCGAAGCCTTGAGATGGACGACGAAGCGGTTCCACGCTGGCGGTGCGTCTTGAACGACTTCGTGCCTTGTGTCCTGCGGCTCCTTTGGCACGACCGGATACAGTCGCACGGGGGCAGGGGCCGGAATTGTCGGCGCATTTTTGGGTGCTGGAGGGGAACTCTTGCGCGCCGGCTTGTCCTGAGGCACGGGTCGAGAAGAGTTCGGACTGGAACCAGACCTGTTGGAGGCTCGGGCAATGGCATCCTGTGCCGCATTCTGCGGCCTGGGGACCGAGGCTGGCACGGATGCTGCCTCGCGGGTGCGCTCTTCGGCAGACGGATTGCTTGCAACTCGCGTGGGTCGGGCAAGGATCGTCTTCGGGGCGTTGACCGCGTCCCCTATCGCGGCAATGGCTTCAGGTCTGGCGGCAGGATCCGCTTGCGCGGGTCGGGCAGCATTGACCGCTTCACTGCGCTCTTCTGCCCTTGTCCGAGCCTGGTCCCTGCGAAGTGCCTCCCTCTGCTCCCGTCGTGACGGCTGGCGTTCGATGTCTGCTACATTCACGGCAGCATCTTGAGTCTGAGCCGCGATCTGGTTCTTGGGAGCGGCCGGAGCTGGCTGCCTACGTGACCTCGCCGGGTCAACCGCCGCATCGACTGGGCGCGCGTTCCTCCAAGATGCGGCGATGTCGGCAGGAGCTTGCTTCCTGGCAGCCGCGTTCTCGGCGGCGGCAGCGGACGCAGCGGCAGCAACGGTGGCTGCTGCTGCCGCCGCTTCCTCGACAGCTCGCTTCTGAGCAGCGGCCTTCTGCGCAGCAGCCTCTCTCTCTCGCTGCTGCTGGGCCGCTTTGATCCTCTCTTCGATGGCGAGTGCCTTTTGCTTGGCACGTTCCTTCTCGGCCAGCCTCGCCTTTTCCTCCTCTTCTCGCCTCTTGCGGGCTCGCTCGATGGCTGCGTGAACGTCTTCCTCGGGTGCAGAAGGCGGCGCTGGAGGAGCAGCGGATGGTGCCGATGCGGGAGCCTCAGCTCCGGCTGCATCAGCCACAGGCGCGCGTGTGGGGGTTGCAGCAGCTTTGGGACCCCAGGGCGGCCTGGCAGGCCCATCTGCGCGTGGGGCGACAGGTTCCTGCTGACCACTTGGTCGCGGCATCTCCTCAATAGCGTGCGAAGTCTTGCGCCCGACCATGTCGACGGGAGCCGCTGGCGCAACGGGGCGCAGATTTTGAGCGAGATGAGGCGGCAGCGGCCGACTGGCCTGAGCAGCAGGGCCTGCACTCGCAAGGTGAGGGGGCAGAGGCCTGCCATTGGTGGTTGCTGGGCCCGTGGCGGGAACTGGCGCCTCTCTCGAAGGCAGGGGAGCCCTCTCGCGCGGCGGAAGAATGGCGCGAGGTGCCTCTTGCTGCTGTTGCTGTTGCTGTGCAAGAGGTGGCTGCTGCTGTGCTGAAGCCGGCACGGCGGCGGGTCGGTAGGGTTCCGAAGCAGCAGCAGATTTGGGCTGCGGCAGCGCGGTCGGCTGTGCCGATGGAGCAGCTTTGACTGGAGCGGTGGGAGGCGGTGCGGCGCCGGGGTTGAGAGATGTATGCCTTTGAGCCAAAGGACCCCAGGCTCGGACAGCCTGCGCGGAGGCGGCTTGCGCAGCCGGAGCAGCTGGTGCGTCCTGTCGTCCTCCATAGCCACCTGGGCCACCGGGGCCACCAGCACCAGGCCTGCGATCTCGGCCGTAAGAATAAGCCGAGGGATCGCGCGATTCGATGGGCGAGCGAAGCGAGACGGATGCGCCCGTGGTGGGGATGATGACCCTTTCGGCGCGTTGTTCCGAGCGCGAGGGCCTTGCTGCGGCCTGGCCACTTTCGCCCGTCGCAGAAGGTGGAACATCGCGATTTTTCATTGGACCCCAGGCGGGAGGCTGAGCAGCGGCTGGTCTGGGGCGCTCGTTCGGCGCGGCGGCGGAAGGTCGAGTTGGCTGGCGCTGAGGCCAGCTGCGGTCGTGACTGACATCCTTGAATCGATCTTCCTTGGAAACGGGCGGACCGTCTTCGTCGTTGTCGCGCGCGTCGTTGTTGGCGTGGGTGGGGATCTTGTACTGCGAGCCGTCGCCGAACTCGACGACCTCGCCAAGGAAGCCGCCATCCTCGTCCTCCATCTCGTCCCAGTGCTTGCCCGAGCCGAGCGACGTGCCGCGGAAGCGGTCGAGCGCCTGAAGGGCGGCCTGCTGCTTGGCGGCCTCGCGTGCGGCGGCAGCGGCGGCTTTTTCCTCCTGCTCTTGCTTTGCTTTCGCAGCTTCGGCGGCGGTGGGGAAGTCGGACAGCGTTGTGCCTCGAGCAGCAGGCGTGGGAATGGGCGAGAGACTGGACTTGACGCCGGCCCAGGGCGCGCGGCTTACACTGGCGGGACTGGCAGCGCGCAATGAAGAGCCGAGCGCGGCATTGCGGAGGCCAGGACTCGCTCTGCCTTGTCCAGAACCACTTTCAAGCCCGGCAGAACCGGGTCTGGGCGAGTCCCTTCCCATGCTGACGAGTCGTGGCGAAGCGGCGGCGCCTGACGCGGCGGCAGCTGCGGGGACACTGGCCGACTGGACGGCAGCGGAGTTGGCCGGTTTCGGACTGGTGACAGTTTTTGGCGGAGATGCTGACGCCTCTGACGGTAGAGGGTTGGAGGAGCTTGGTTGGGCCGCAGCTGCTGGGTCGGCGACGGGAGTTGGAGCCGTGGAAGCAGCGGCGGTCGCTGCAGGCTGTGCCGGGGCCATTGCCGCCTTGAGAGCGGGCGTTGAAGGCTTTGTGGTCGCCCATCCTGCGGGTTGAGGTTTGGGCACGCTAGAAAGCTTTGCGGAAGTCAAGCGCGACGAGGCTAAAGGGGAGGAGATGCGGTGCGAAGGGCTGGGCGAGACCGAGGTGCCGACCTTGAGCGTGGGTGACGATGCGGCGGGGGCTGGACCGGCCTTTTCGAGGAAGCGCTTGTTGACGTTGAGCGAGGTGAACTTTTTGAGAGGCGCACCGGCCGCCTGTGCTGCTGCGGCGGCAGCGGAAGCAGCTACATTGTTCGAAGCGGCGGATTGTGCGGCATTGGATTCGAGGGAAGGCTCGCTGCGCTCGTGCACTGCTGTCAGCGCTTCGACATCACGCTCTGAGCTCGAGGCCGGAATGGCGGATGCAGCGTTGGAATCGTGAGCCGTCACAGACGCAGGGGCATCCGCAGAAGAGTTGTTGATGTTGCTGAATGCATCGACGGTGGTGGTCGCCTTTTGCTCGGCAGGAGGAGGACTGGCGACGGCGCCCTCTCCCGACCTTTCCTCGCTCATACGTAGTGCTGTGGGATGCAGTGCGAGTGACGCGCGGCTGACATTAAGGCCGACCGGTTTGGGATGGGCGAACGGCTTTGAGGTTGAGCCAGCAAGACTTGAGGCGCAATACGAGGCGCAGAGACGTGGATGGAGCTAGCTGGTGAGCAAGGAGGCGCGCGATGCGACGATGATTTCCGGAGCGAAGAGCGATGGCGACTTGGACTGCGAAGACGGTCGCCGATATGGATGCTGTCCGTCGAGCGAGCAGCCGGGCCGGCAAGGAGGTCGGATGGCGATGGTATCGTCCAGAGGTGGTTGTGGCTCGCGAGCCTGTTGGATGAGCACAAGCAGGTGGCAGCAGCGACCTGACGTTTGTCCGAGATGCGTCTCGTCTCGTCGCTGGGTCTTGCTGCCTGACTCTGAGTCGGTGAGCGCGGCCTTGGTCTCTCTCTCGGTCGCCAGAGCAGATCCCTGCCTGGCAAAATGTGGGCGCCCGCCTGACCGGACAGTTGGTGAGCGCAGCTGCCCGAAACAGCGCGGCCGACGGATGCGCGTCCGCTTGAGCGCCAGCCGCTTCTGCGCTCATCGGCTTCAGGGCCGTCAGGGCTTCAGGGCATGCCCAGCCGACTCTGGTCAAGCCCCAAAGCCAAAAAGGCCAAAAAGGCTGGAAAATCGAGCCTACCGAGCCTACAGCGGGCTCGACCAACTTCGAGAGCGCGCCAACCCGAAAAAAGTCAGTCAGCTGGTCGCCTGGTCGCATGGCTGACAAAGTTGACTCTTGTCCAAGCCCACTTTTCTTTTCCGCAGCGCGACCCGTTCAGATTGTTAGAGCCCCCCCTTGGCAAATGGCGGAGCCGAGTGTGCCTCCAGATCAGGTCGATCAGCGCGAGCCAGATCGGGCCCAACCGTCCAGGGTCCTCGCGAAGCTCACTCGGAAGGCCCGCTGCCTCCACCTATGGCTGCACGGTGCAGCCTTTTGGCCCTCCCAGCCTCTTCCATCCCTTTGTCTCGATCAGACGACTGCGCCGATCTGGGTCAAGCAAACGATACGAATCTTGGTCACTCAGCAATGGCTGCTCTGCAGCAGCACGTCGCCGCCGTAAAGCGTGCATACTTCTCCCAGGATGCCCATGCCCTCCTTGCGGCCTTTCGCATCGACCCGGGCACCTTTGGTGCGATTCAGGCGGACCTGAATAGAGACGTAAGCTCGCTCCGTCTTTCCCCATCCATTCTGCCTTCGAACGCTGACCATCATCCCCTCCTCGGGCGCGATCTTACAGCCGAATCGTGACCTTTCGGCATGGGTCCTGGGCCAGATCCCGGTATCGGCTTCGCCGACCGACTCGGAACGCTTCCAATCGCTGGTCGCCGACTTTCTCGCCTACGTTCGCGATCATGCTCCTCTATCTTATGCATCAGCAGCTTCCCAGGCGCCAGCGATGGCCGACTGGGATCGCGCATACGATGCTTGGGCTCTCGTCTACTCTCGCGCCTCGGCCTTCTTCTCGTTGCCCGATACAGTTTGGTTCGCTTCGAGCCTGCGCTTCTTCGCATCTAGTCTGGTCACTCTCGCTATGGCTGTCGACCACCGCACGGATGCCGTTCAGAAGCGCAAAACCACCGATGCTGCCGGTAGACTTTCCAAAGCAGCCGGAATGGCCGGTAACGACCGATCCCAAGCTCGAGGCTCCGAGACCAAGCGTGCCGCCGTGCTAATGCTTGCCAACCTCAGCTTCAAAGCTTATTTCAAGCTCAACAACACTCGACTCTGCGAGACCGTCCTGGGCAGCGTCGAGAATGCGCTCAAGCTCAACCGCACCTTTGCCGCCAACAATGGTCAGAACGACGAATCGGGCGAACAGTGCTACTCGAGGGCAGACCGAGTCACCTATCGCTACTACCTTGGTCGCCTGCGACTGTTCCAGCACAACATCAGAGCCGTATGTTCTTACTTGTCTCCCTCTCCACCAGACGATCTAGCCACTGACACGACGCTGCCTCCTCTCTGCTGTAGGCATCGACGCATCTGCGATGGGCCTTTGACAACTGCACGCTGAGAAACCTGAGGAACAAGAGGGCCATTTTGATCCCGCTCGTCGCGACCTATCTCATCCTGGGCCGATACCCCGAGCCTGCGCTCCTCGAGGCTTCGAATCTCTCGCAAACATACGGCGCACTGATGTTCTATCTCAAGAACGGCCAGGCGGCCGCTGCTATGGACGAGCTGGATCGACACATGGACTGGCTGCGCTTCCGTGGTCTCTACCTCATCCTGCGCGAGAAGCTGCAGATCAGCCTTTGGCGCAATCTGGCGCGAAGATGCCTCGCCCTGTCGTACGGGCCCGCACAGGCTTCCTCGGCGCCTCCCACCCTTCGCGTCGACATGCTCCTCTCGGCCGCGCGGCTGGCGTGGCGTGACCCTTCACTGCAGCCATCGGACATCGAGGCCATTCTCGCCAGCCTCATCGACCAGGGCTTCGTCAAAGGCTACATTCTCCACTCCAAGGGTGTTCTTGTCCTGCAAAAGGGCCCGCACATGGGCTTCCCACCAATATGGACAGTGTTCAATCCGTAGATCAGTAATCGTAAGCTGTGCAAGATGGATAGAACATGGGGATGACGGTACAAGTACAATTTGGGAAGCGTGCAACGGAGAGAGCTCTAGTAATCGTCGTCCGAGTCCTGTTGGCTGCGAGCAAAGCCCAGAGATGGACCGCCTCGGCTTCGAGCACGGAGGACAGCGACGGCGTCTTTGCGGACGCCTCCGCCTCGGAAGGCTTGACGTGCCGCTGGCGCAGCTTTGGCATCCTGCTTTGTGCCCTTGGCCTTGTCGCCCTTGTTGACGAGGTGGTAAAACTCTCCCCCGGGCAAAAAAGCGGGGTCGTTGAGGCCCAGAGGATCGTCTTCGTCCTTGGCCTTTTTGCCACCGGCATTCTTAGCAGATGCGTTGGTCTTGGATGCTGTGCTTCGCTTGGCCATGCTTCGCTTGCGGAACGCTCTTGCCTTGGCATTCGGCAGAGAAGTGGTGCGATCCAGGCGCTCGGGTCGCACGATAACGTCAAGCGGCTCTTCGGGCTCGTCTTCGTCATCGTCAAAGTTGGTCTTGTGGTTGGAAGAGCCGGTGCTACTGAGCGCTCGAAGCACCGTTCCGTCCTGCGTGCGCTTCATTGGAAGACCGTCGTTGCCCTTGACGACGCCGCCGGCACGCTGGAGCTTGCGCTTCTGCTTGCGCTCGCGTTGCAACCTCGCCACCTCGTCGGCTGCTTCCTCGGCAGAACGCTTCTTCAGAATCGACTTGGGCGCCGACACGGGCTTCGCAAACACCTCGGCGAAGAGCGAAGGGTCGAGACGGCTGGATGTGCCAGCATCCTCCTCGTCACTTTGGCTCTGCTCATCCTTGACGGCCTCAGGTTCGCCATTTTGCTCGTCGTCCGCTGCAGCAGGCTCGGCTTGCTGCGCCTTGGCCGCCTCCTTCTTCTGTGCCTTTTCGGCCCGCTTCTGGTCGACGGCTTGACGCTTCGCTTTCTCTCTGTAAAGGCACAAACAGCAGGTCAGCTTCTCGGGTCTCATTGTGAATGAAGGGACATGTCGCTGCGCGATGCACTTACGCTTTTGCTTGCGCCTTCTGCTTGGCCGCCTCCTGCGAAGCCTGCTTTCGAGAGGCTTTCGTGCTCACCACCTCGATGGGCTCGTCGTCTTCTTCTTCGTCTTCTTCGCTGGGAGCGTCTTGGACCTCAGCATCTGTGATTGTCTCGGTGGATCCCGAAGCGACAGCGCCTGCGTCTGCATCGAGCTCCTCGTCATCGTCGAAGGTGAAATGCTTGGTGCTTGGCTTGGCTTCCGCGAGTGCCTTGGACATCTGCTGCTCTTGCAGCTTTTGCGCTTGCTTGTGCTTTCGTGTCGCGGCCATCCTGCTCTGCGATATGTTGCTTAGTGGACAGAGACGCAGAAGGACGGGCGTAGGCGACTCGAGAAGGGTGCAAGTAGCAAAGTGGAAGAATGCGAAACGGAAAGTGGAAAGCAAATTTTGCTGAGTCAGGCTCACGTACTTTGCAGTCCTTGCGGGGTCAGCTCGGATCGCGGAATTTACGCGTCGTTGGCTGGAGCTCAGCTTGGACTCAAGCACGGACAACAGCAGAGGCCACTGCGAGCCGCGTCCGTTCCACCCGCAGACGCTTTCGCTCATCCAGCAGCCGAACGCAGCCAAAGCCGGAGAAGCTCGAAACGAACAGGGCGCTTGCGATTCCATCCCGCCCAGCCGATCCGCATCACCATCACCTCCCTACGAGCCCCGACGTCCACACCCACCGTCTCTTCCATCGGCACATCCGCCTCCTGTTCTGGCACTACCCTTCACACACTGCCAGACGGCATCGCACCCTCCCCGCGACCACGATCGACCTGGGCGTGGTCTAGTCGAGCCTCGACGCGCCTGGTTGGGCTGCCGCTCCTCATCCTGACGAGCATTCGAGCTCGCTGCAACTGCATCATCCAGGCTTGCAATAACAATTGCACATTGCTGCACGCAGGCGCCACCGTCGATTCCGCACACTCTTCACCATGTCGCAACTGGGCTCTGCTGAGCGCTCTGTTGGGTCACAGCCATCCTCGGTGACTCCCTCGGGGTCCAGGCCGTCGACGGCACCTGCCAAGGTGCCATCCGACGACGAGGCTGAAGAGGGCGAGATCGTGGACGAAGAGGAAGGCGAAATTGCCCAGCCGCAAGCTCCCGAATCCGCCGCCCCGACAGCACCGGTTGACCAACCAGCCCCTGCAGATCCTTCCACCCAATCGGCCCCATCGGAAGAGCCGAACGCAAACGCAGAGCCTTCGGCGGAGAAGCTCTCTGCCGATGCTGGCAAAGATCCGGACAGCCTAGAAGCATCCGTAGCCACCCCGCCTGTTGAAGACGCGCCGACACCAGCCCCCTCAGTCCAACGCGAAGCCGAACCGGAAACCAAGGCCGACGAGCAGAAGCCGGAAGAGCCCGAGATCCAACCCGAGACTGCAAAGGAAGCAGCTGCGGAGGAGCCGACAACTCTTTCGACGGCAAGAGAACCCGAAGCCTCCAAAGAGGCTCCTGCGGCCGAAGTGGCCCCTTCCAGCATCACAGCCAACAACCCTACTCAGCCCGAAGAGAGCGCAGAAAAGCAGCCGCCGTCACCGCAGCGCGAAGATCCCAGCACGCCCGAGCTCAAGGACACGGCCATGCCGAGCGCAGAGACGCAAGCACCTGGCGAATCAAAGCCACAAGCAGGCTCCGCGCCGATCCAAGCGAGCGAGGCTCCGAACGGCCCCATCGGAGCGACTCACGCTCCTACGGCTTCAACTGCCGCAGCAGAGCCAGAGAAAGCCAACAGCGCTGAGGCTGCCTCCGCTCCACAACAAGCTGAGATCCAAGAACCATCGAGCATGGACATCGACGACAACGGCGCCTCTCCCGATAAGCGAGCGAAGGAAGGCGACAACAAGCCTGTCGAGTCCACGCCTAAACCCGAGCCGATGGATGTGGAAGACAATATTCACACGCCTGCCCTACCGGTCGATGACCTCGCAGACACAGCCCAGGACGCCGAGCGTAAGGCCGAGGTAGACGAGCCCATTCGAGAGGCTCAAGAGGACCCCGCCCCGCCAGCAACTCAAGTGAAGAGCGAGCCGCGAGCCGACAAGCCCGAAGAGCAGCCTACAAAGGCAGCGCAGCCCAGTCAAGAGGCCGCACCTGCGCCCGTGGAGGCTCCGCGCCAACAGAACGACGAGGCGGAGCAAAGCACTGTCGCCGAACAACGTGCAGAGGCTGCACGACTGCCGCCTTCTGCAGCGTTGAACCGTCGCTCGCGCACTCCCCAGAACACAACCGATCCTGCCGCCGCCGAAGCTCGCCGTGCCGAGTCGGCCAGAGAAGCGCCTTCGTCGCCTAGACTGGCAGAGGCCGAGCCGCTGCAAACGCGGCCGAGTCGGCATTCGGCCTCCACTCCGTCTGCCCAACACAGGCGGATCGAGCGTTCCAAGGAACGCTCCCACCCACCCGAGCGCTCTCAAGAGCGAGAGCAGCGGGCGCGTGAGAAGGACCGCCGTCGCGAGCTGGAGCGCCTGGAGCGCGAACGCGAGCGCGAAAGGGAACGCATCCGCGAGTCGGAGCGCGATCGTGAGATGATGATCGCACGCGAGAACGAGGAGGCTCGCCTCATTTGGCTCTCGTTGCCCGGCAACGACCACCCGCAGTACTACACGGACACAGACTCGGACTCTTGCTACGGTGCTGCCGGCGCGCACGGCGCCGGCGTGACGGATGAGGAAGACAAGGATCTGGATCCGCCTCTGCCTCTGTCCCTTCAAGAATACCATCCGGCGCCTTCGTACTCGCAGTCCTACTTTGACGATCAGTACTATGCGTCCAAGCGCAAGCGCACCGATGAGGACGCCGATTTCGCCTCGCTGCGCCGCCACCGTCGCAAACCCGTCTCGGTCGGAGAGCGTCACTCGTGGTCGAGCTCAAAGCCGGTGCACAGAGACGCCCTTCCCTCGACGGCCATGATCGATATCGACGATTTCCCAGTGCCGGACTCGAGCATCCGCGGCGAGCCATCCGACCGGCCGTTTGCCAGCCGGATCGAGCGAGCCTCGCTTCCGCGGCACTCTCCGTACGACCCGCTGCATGACGCGGCGGACGAGTTCGACAGCTCCGACTCGGACGAGGAGGCGATGCGCATCGCCGACGAGCGCAAGCGTCGCCACGGCAACCGCAGCGGCAATCGCGGCAACAAGCTCTCGCGAGACAAGGGCTCGCGCTGGGTGCGACGCGGCAAGCTTGGCGGATGGACCGAGATGCGCATGGACAAGGAGATCGGCGACCGCGTGCGCCACCGCGTCGAGGCGATGCAAAAGGACAATGTGCGCGCGCTCCTCTCGGCCATGCCCGACGAGGACAAGGCGATGCTCGCGCAGTTCCCGGCGCTCCGCGATGGTCTCATCCCAAGCGAAGCGCACAACGCCAGGCGCGACGCACGCGGCAGGATCCTGCCGTCCGACCTGTCCGAGGCGGCGCGCATCGACGCCGAGCTCGGTCTGGATGGCTCGTCGGGTGGAGCTAGCGGATCGAGGCTGGCGCGCCCTGAACACCTTACGTCAACATCGCTGGCACCTACACTGCTCAAGCCTGCCGTCACGCCGCGACAACTGCTGACGAGCCATACGCTGCGACACACGTTCCGCAATCCGCACATTGCGGCGTTAGGCAAGACGGCGTTGGACCTCATCGAAAGCGAGGGGGTGCTTGGGCGCGCGGTTGGACGATGCTGGGCGGCCATGGAGCGCGGTGGCTGGAACGAAGACCCCGAGCCCAAGGGAGATGCACACGAAGGCGACGAGCCAGACCAGAACGGCATGGACGTCGATGGCTCGGATGCTGACGGCTCTGGCAGGCATCCGGACGCTGCGGCCAATGGGGCGTCGGGCAGCGACCTGTTTGGCTCGGCGATCGACAACCCGGCACTGTCTCATCTGGACAAGCTGTTTGTCACCAAGCAAGGCCTGGCGATTCCCAGGCTCGACGACATGGGCCAGCCGATCTTTGTGCCGCCCTCGCCCTCGACGCAGGCGGCGCGGGCCGAGGCGGGTCTGCCGGAAGAGAGCGCCAACGAGGCGGTGATCGAGACGACGCTGCTGCCGGCGCCCGAGCAGCGATCCATCGTGCTGGCGGCGCTCGAGTGCCTGCACGATCTCGCGGCGGACTCGCGCGAGTACGTCGAGCGGCTCGAGGAGGTGCGCTCGCGCTTAGCTGCCGTCAAGCGCCGCAGGGCTCAGGTGTGGACGGCGGTGAGGCAGTGGGCGCTCGACAAGGACGTCGAGGCTTCGTTGGCGCATGCCGGCAACAGGGTTGCAGTCGACGCGGCGGGCGCTTCGGTAACGGCAGCGGCTGCGGTGACTTCCGCAGCAGCGAGTGCCGTGACCAACGGCAGCTCGCCGAAGAAGAGAAAGTAGTCGCAGCTCGCATCGGTACATTTGTTAGGGGACTTGCAAGCTCATGTGCACTCTGTTGCCAGTGTGTGGTTGCGTTGGTGGGACCTGCTCGTCTTTTGTTGGTGAGCTGCATGGCGGCGTGGGCGTGCGCCTGTCGGAAGGCGAGGCTTGGGCGTCGTTGATCTGCACGTGGTTTGGGGGATGCAGACGCACATGCCGCTGGTGCACGGATATGCTGCATGGTGCGTGGAGTGGATCGCAACGGACGCACTGCCCTGCTGCGCGCGATTCAGGCTGCTCTGCATCATTTGCTAGTCGAGTCCCTGCTGTAGCTGGCTCTTCTCACAAGCTTTCATTCATCGCAGGAAAGCAGCGGTGGTCGGTCAAGCGTAAGCGTCTGAGCATGTGTGGTGACCACTGAGGATCCCTGCCGTCGTCTCTGTTGAAAGGCTGTTGACACACTGCTGGAATCCAGGCGCAAAAATTGGCAGGCACAAAAACAATTGAGGCTGCTCAGAGGGTCGATCCGATGCGAGCTGCAGAAGCTTCTTTTTTTTTGTGTGCATGATTTTCGCTGCTGATTTTCGTTCCGCCGAATAGCCTGATTAAAATGTGTCAACCAAACCCTGCCATGCGGGTGCTGCCTTGTCGATCACGCACGGGAAAAACGCGCACGTCTGCACGAGAAACGGAGAAAAAAAGGCACGCACACGCAGCCACGCTGGGTGGCTGGCTGGTGCGCCAAGGCGGCCCAATCTCCACAAGCCCACCTTGCAGCCGGGAAGGCCGAGCTGCAGTGAGACCGTCTGCACTCCTGGCTCAGAAAGGATCAGCCATGCCGCGCCTCTGCATTCACCCTTCCGTCTGGCAGCCGCAGCCGCAGCGAGCGGCGCTGCACTCGCGCTTGGAAGCAAGATGCACGGGCAGGTGTTGGCCGCAGCAACTCGCCGCCATTTGACCGCATCCGACATCCTTCCCGTGTGGACTCGCGCAGCTGCCCCTGTCCGCTAACGAAGGAGGAGGATGAAAAGGTTGCCACTGCACGGGGATTCGCGTTGCCATTTGACTGGAATGGATCCAAGCGGCCAAGCGAGCCGAGTGATCACTCATGTTGACCCGTCATAGGTCGGACTTGGTCGCATGCCGTGCCACCCGGTCAACCGCACACGCCCAACCGGGGAGCGGGCCTGAAGGAGCGAAAAAAAGGGGGCAGGGGCAGCGAAGAGCGAGCCGAAGCGGGCTTGCCCGAAGATGCCTGCCCGAAGATAAGCGGCCAGTGAAGCCAAGCCCAAGCTCCGCCGAAAGCAAGCAAGCAGGCAGGCAGACAAGCAAGCAAGCAAAGCAAGCACGCTCGCACGGCAACGACTTAGGTCGGAGATCTGACGCCTTTGAGGGGCTTCCGACCGTGCACTAGCGTGTCAGCATGCGAGGTGGACAGGCCGGGTGGGCTTGACAGCAACGCACGCATGCTGCTGACCTTGGCGAGCTGGCGGAGAGTGGACTCAGAATTGCAAATGTGGGCGAGGGCGGCGGCGTGTGGGAGGGGGAGACTTGCCTTCTGCACGGCCAAGTCGAGTCGATCCTGCCCTGTGAGACTGCAGTGGCCCTGCATGCGCTGGAAAGAGCATGCGTTCCACCAGAGCAAAAGAAAAGAGCATGGGCTGCCTCTCGGTCTCGGCTAGACCGGCGTACTCGACGAATCATGAGGCCCCGTCCAGGTGGCAAAGCGACGAAATTTGAGTTTTTCCAAAGAAGCAGCTTCCCACGAACAAATTTACGAGAACAAATTTACGAGAAGAGAGACGGAGAGAGGCGACAGGATGGGCTGTGCCGGCACAAGAGATCAGTTTTTTGGGGGCAAATCGTAGGTGTGGGCAGCAAGCTACGGTGGGGGGCGCAGAAAGCGCTTCCGAAGCGCGGCACCAGGAGCGACCGGAGCAGAGTCAAGCGAAGCTAAGATGAAATTTGCTTCCCAGACAAGATGGTCTCTCGTCTGGGATTGGCCGGCCCAGCAAAGTGAAAAAGGCGGATCCAATTTGCCCGACCAAGGTCAGCCAGCTAGCTACAGTAGCCAGCCAGCCAGCCAGCCAGCCAGCCAGCCAGCCAGCCAGCCAGCCAGCCAGCCAGCCAGCCAGCCAGCCAGCCAGCCAGCCAGCCAGCCAGCTCGACTTTCTCCGGCTCGCGCCCGGCCAAGAAAACGAAGGGAGTCCGCGGCTCGGCGCGATTAAGCCACGCCGTGAGAGATAGAGCAAACACCTGCCTTTCCCCTCTTTGCTGAACGGGATGCTGCTCCTCCCGACAAGACATAGTCAACTGCACAAGCATGCAAATGCGGTCAAAAACTTCCGGGCCCGTCGCCGTTGGGCGAGCAAGGGCGGAAGCAGGGATTGCTGAGGAGGGAGGCGGGCCGCGGGGGGAAATGGGCGACGGGCCGAGGTGGTGACGGTAACCGTGTGAATGCGTGACCGCAGCCCGCCAGGCGTTTCGGGGTTAGAGAGGAATTCCGAACCCTGAAATCCGCTTCAAAGGCACTTGTAATGCCCATTAGAGTCGCCAACGAAATTCTCACTGTGCCGTTGTTAGGAGAGCGCCAAATCAGTCGCCTTTCGCCCTCGCCGGCTCGCCAAAGGGGGGAAATGCCAGTCTCTCTGCTGCGACCGAGATGAGGCCGGGCTTGTGGAAGGGGAACAGCGGTTTGGAAGACAACCCGCCACATTGTCGTCTTGTCCATCCAGCTTCGGAGAGTGGGAGACCCGGGCGTGCAAGGTAGGGGCATGGCCCTGCCTGTCAGAAAAGCGGCGCAGAGCGGTGCAGAGCCGTGCGGTGTGCATGCGAAGCTGCAGATCCGCTAGGACGAGCGAGCGAGCGAGCGAGCAGACGAGTCTCACCCGACGACCGGCGTGTGTGTGAGTGAGCGGCCAAGGGCCGCTGACTGGCTGGCTGAGGCATTGAAGCTGCGGCGTTGGCGTGGCCGACGGCCAGAACAGACTTGCCACCAAAGCACCTCCATGGCCTGAGGGGCGGGGCGCTAGCCTGATCCACCCGAAGCTTGGTCGGCCGGCCAGCCGAGCCGGAGGACGACACGTCTTTTTTTTTTTTTTTTTTTTCTTTTTCTTCTGCCTTGCTCTGCGTGATCCGCCGCCATGCGAGTTGGGCAATGCGGTGCAGAGTCACTGCAGATTGGGGCGAAGTGAGGGCCCTGGACCAGCCGCACGCTTGTCGGAGGCGCGTCGTTGGCTGTCCCAAATTTTAGGCCCTCCTCGGCTCTTTCGCCACGCCCGCTGTCCAAACCTTTTTTTTTCTTCTTCCTTTTTTTCCCTTGGTCGGTTTTGCACTCTGACTGGGCTGGTGTGTGTCAACCTTTTCTTCGCCCTGCATTTCCCTTGCTTGACCTGCACCTGCACCTGCGCTGGTGCGGCTGCGGCCGCCCCCGCTGGTGAAGCGAAGAGGGAAAGCGCGGCGTGGCGGTCCTGCGTGTGTGTTTCTGCACCTGCCTCTCTGCACTGCTGCACTGCTGCACTTCTGCACTTCTGCACCTCTTGCTTGATTGCTGCTGCCACTCGCCCAAGGCAATCTGCAACCTGCGTGTCGTTTTCGCTAGCGCCTCCTTCCTTCCCCCCGTTCGTACCGATCCCATCACCATCCCTTCCTTCTCTTCCGTCGCTATACCTCATCGTTCCGCGTGAGGTGCATCTCATCACGCACACACCTGCATCGCGCTCTCTTCTACCCATCCTCCTTTCATTTCCCCTCCCGAATACGCCCCGTCTTCGCGCCTCTCGACGCGTCGTCAAGCTACTTCGTTTCCTCACTCGGCTTTCATCGTCGCGGCTCCTTTCCTTCCCCTTTCCTCTTCTCCTCATCCTCGGTCGTTCTCGAGCTTCGCATCGTCTTGCGCGGCTCCGCACCCTGCTTTGGATAGGTTTGGCCCACACAGGACCATCGATCACGGCTCCCTTTTTGGCATCGCATCAAAACTACGGAAAGGCTCGACTCACGTCAAGCACGGCTTCAATCCATCTCTCGCAAACGGCTTGCTTCTTCTTCGCACCTCGAACGCTGCATTCGACAGCTCTTCTGCGTTGAAGCTACTCAGTCGTACCGGACAAGCATCCCAGGAGATTCCTCTTCCGTTGCTCTCGGCGCCTCCAAATTTGCACCGTCTAGGTCGCGCTTGCCCCACGTTTCGCTCTTCTGTCTCCGGAAGAACAGGATCTCTAGCTCTCCTCTAGCTTTTCTTTTTGCCCACCCTTTGCTCTTCTCCGCATTTGCATTTCCACCCTCCAAAAATGTCGACGGCTTCTCCCCTTCACCACGGCCACGGCAACGGGAGCTACGGCACCAATTCGCCTGCTCCCACTGGCGTCACCGGCCGCGATGCCGGCGTAGCGGCTGCCGCTGTCACTGACTCGGCTGTTCGTTCCGGCTCGGTCGGTGCCTCCGCCTCCGGCAGCGCCCCCGGCTCTGCCTCTGGATCCCTGTACGGCGAGGGCCACGCTCATCACAACACCCACCACCACCACTCGGGTCACCACGCTCACTCGCACGGCGCTCTGGCTAGCCCCGTCAACGGCGGCGGACACAGCTCGAGCTGGTCCCCCTACGGATACCCCTCGGCTCCCGTGTACGGAGGCAGTCCTAGCCCCTATGGCCACAACGCCTACTCGCAGTACGCCAGCGGCTACGGCTACACCAACGGCACCACCCACCACGTCGCCACTGCCCCGACCACCCCTGCTGCCAACGGCACCACCTACCACACCGGTGTCAACGGCATGATGATGCACCACGGCCAGCACGCTGGCTACGGATACGGCAGCCACCATCTCGGATCGCACACGCCCACCCACAATCATAGCCACTCGTCCGCCTACTTTATGAACGGTGATGGCTCCCACAGCCACCTCAACGGCTCCACCCACCTCTCGTCGCCATCGTACACCTCGGCGCCCCAGTACTCGACCCAGCTGCCCCTCGCCGGCCGACACCGTGTCACCACCACCCTGTGGGAGGACGAGGGCACGCTCTGCTTCCAGGTGGACGCTCGCGGCGTCTGCGTGGCCCGAAGGCACGACAACAACATGATCAACGGCACCAAGCTCTTGAACGTTTGCGGCATGTCGCGCGGCAAGCGTGACGGCATCCTCAAGAACGAGAAGGAGCGCATCGTCGTCAAGGTCGGCGCCATGCACCTCAAAGGTGTCTGGATCTCGTTTGCGCGTGCCAAGCAGCTCGCCGAGCAGAACGGCATCGCCGACGCGCTCTACCCGCTCTTTGAGCCCAACATTCAGTCGTTCCTCTACCACCCGGACAACTACCCGCGCACCGCGGCTGTGATTGCCGCCGCTCAGGAGCGCCAGGCCCAGCGACAGCGCGCTCCGGGCCTCCCCAGCCCTGGTGCTAACGGCGCCTCGCAGGCGCCTCCTCTGATGCGAGCCAACACCACCCCTTCCAACGGCGACACGTCGGGGTTTGGTAGCGGGCTGAGCAGCAGCACGAGCTGGACTGGCTCGCACGACCAGGGCCACGCCTCGGCTCCCACCACGACTCAGCCCTCGCCCTCGTCGATGCACAACGGCGCCACTCAGATGCACATGAGCCTCTCGAGCCACGGCACCTCGTCGCCCACCTATTCGCAGCAACAGCAGCAGCAGCAGCAGTACCCGATCACGCAGGCACAGCAGCTCGCGCGACCCGGAGTCGGCGACCGACGCCAGTCGGCGCCCATCTCGCTCAACAGCGTCAACGGACACGCGGGCGACAACGCGTACGGCGCTGCCAACCTGGGTGCTGCTACCGCCAACGGAGGCCTGATCAACGGCGCACGCAAAGTGTCGGGTCTTAAGCGCTCGTGGAACGACGCCGAGGACCTCAACGGTTCCGCCACCGCCTCGCCTTCGGACCGCGACATGCAGCGAAGCGGAAGCGGCGCGTCCACCGGCTACAAGCTCGAGGGCGACGACTCGAACAGCCCCGACACGTCGGCTGATCGCATGGCCAAGAAGAACAAGGCGATGCCGCAGCGCACTGCTGCCATGCCTTCGATGTCTGGCAACATGCTGATGGGCGTCGGCTCTGGCAACGGCCTTCACCACGAGTAGAGCTGAACTGCATCCAACATGCAGCAAGCTCTCTGCGCAAAAAAAAAGGTTCCGACTTCCGACTCCTGCATCTTTCTCCTGCATTTTACCCCGTCGTTCTCCCGCGAGCTCCATTCAGCATGGACGGGAGGCGTAGCTCGTCATCCGCCGGTCACTGTCACGAGCCTCAATAAAATTCCTTCTCTCCCACAATCACACGAAGATCAACCACACAATCAACGTCAACATCATCACGAACGATCACATCACCGAGGTGGAGACTGGCACGATCCTCGACAGCAAGAACGTCTTTCTTTAATCTGCTTGCTCGAGTTGGCCTGCGCCCGCACACGAGCTGAGCGGCGCGTGGTTGCCGTCGATCGTGTCTCTCCTGCCTCTCTCTTTCTTGGTCTGTCAAATAAACGGCTTGTCTTTTGTATTTTGGTGTGCGTGCTAGAGTGCGACGAGAGGCGGTTGTACCGAGGCGTGAGAAGTGGATTCGGGCCGAGCCTCTTGTAAATTGAGCACATCGGTAGTGTGCCGATGGGATGTCCCTTTCTGGCTTTCTTGTGGTTCTCCGGACGGGGCGCAGCTTTTGCTTTTTGCGTACACTGTTGCTATTCGTCTACAGCGTCAAAGATGCTGCTGGCTGCCAAAGCTACCTCGGCTACAAGATCGAGTCACTACCGTGTGTGGTGTAGCTACGACGCAGGTTCACTGCCGACGCGTCTGCGATCGTCTTTTAGACCGCAGGTGACCATATCCTTCAAAGGCATGCTGCCTGCCAGATGGTGTAGCTCCTTTTCATTTATGTTGACAAAGATCCTCTGGCAGCTTGAAGTCAGATTCCTTAGCATCAGCAAGCGGCACACAGCTTCCTTGTCACTCAAAAGTAGCCTGAATGATGAGCTCGTATGGATTGAGCGGCATGCAACACAGTATTGATACTCAATTGGATTCAATGTGGGTGCGACGACATTGGTACCGACATGCTGTTTGCAGCTGAGCCGCTGTGTGCGTGACGAGCAGGAGCCAAGCCAAGGATCACAATGAGAATATAGTGCTGGTTGATTGGCAAAATGCTTTGACGAGTGCGAAGACGTGTTTGAGACGTCCACCGCATGGCATGATTGGGCGGATGGCTCATCTAGATGAGGACGGACAGGAGTTGGACGATGCTAGGCAGGTGCGTAACAAGGGCATACGCGGGTGCATTCGTGCATAATTGACGTCGCAGCGCACGACTGCGAGACAGAGAACAATGTCCCCACCGTATCAAGGCTCGTTCTGGATCTGACATGGGCTCATGCGTTCCGCGGTGCAAAGACGCCCGTGCAAAGCCATGCCCCACTTGGGACGTGTGAAGCGTATATCTCAAGCCCGTCCGATCGCACCGTCGCCAAGCGACGCTTTCACGCGCTCGCAGCGTCCGAAGCTTGCGCGCCGTACGAGGCACACAACCACCTGCCCACCCACCCTGGTGCATCACGAATGCCTGCTCAGTCACATCTTGCTGTTTGAGTGCAAGTGAAGAGGTACATTGCTTGTTGATGGTCAGGTACTGGGGGCCAAGCTGGAGACAGATCTTTGTGGACGTTTCGAGTGAAGAGCTGCACCGTCTTGTAGACGCCATCGCATTGTCAAAGTATGTCCCTTGTAGGGTGTCGCAAATCGCAAAACGTCGTCGCTATCAGGGCGTCCAAAATACACGGTCTTTGTCCACTTGCAGCTCTTGCGCACACGCAACGCGAGTGGAGCAAAAGGCATGCCGCCTCATCGCAGCCGAACGGCATCATCAAACCAGAGTCACGGCTGGAGCGACGCGCCACTCGCAGCGCACGCACCCTCCCGATCGACCCGCTCAAGCATTCACGATTCTGTTGATGCCACGCTTGGCGCACGCAACGCCATTGGTGAAAAAGGAAGGCGGCACTACGACTTTCCGGGAATCGTATCATCTGAAAAAATTCCACCGAGGGAGCGAGTGCGTAGCCTCTTGAGAGCTCGCATCCATTCTCCTTATCGCCCTCTGTGTCTCGTCCACTTCAAATCCTGCGCACACATTGTCCACGGGAATAAGGCAAGCCGGCTGCCTGTTGAGACAGATGCACCAAGGGAAGGTTCCATCGCTGGAGCGACCGCCACTTGCAGCGCACACACCATCTGGAACTGGCGAGCCACGAGCTCAAGCACGCTCTTGGCGAGCCGAGCTTCGCATCCTACTCACAACATCAGAGGGGTCACGGCAAGCCTCCCGTTGCAGCTGGCTGGAATGGCGACACCAACGATCCACCACCGCCCGACCGCCGAGCCGCTTCAACTCTCTCGTCCTCTGCGTCTCAGGCCGCACTGCTACTGCGGCGTTTGCCGGCACACCCTATCGACCCTTGTGCGCAATGCCGAAGGAGCAAACGGGGCAGACTTGCAGCCTTTTGCGCACACACCGCCTGCCAGCTGAAAAAGAAGGGGAGAGCCGATCACAGCGGCCGTCATGGTATCATGAAGAAAGGCGTAGGGGGTTCCGAGATCGCCGCTGGATCGACGCGCCACTCGCACCTGTTTCCCCCCGCTCCCTTGGCATCGGCGAACACCAGCATTCTTTTGCCGCATTATGCGGGCCGCACCACGACTTGTCTGCAATGCTCACCCGCGCGCATCAGGTCGACCTTCATCAACGCGCCACTCGCGCATTCCCTTTTCGCTTTTTCGCAACCCACGCTTGGCGCACACAAGGCCATGGGTGGAAGAGGCAAGCCGCACTGCGACTTTGCTCGCAATGCCATGCTCCAAACCAGGCTCACTGCTGCATCGACGCGCCACTCGCCACTCGCAGCTCTCGCACATCTCCTCCGATCGCGGGGCCAGCTCAAGCCGTTCTTTGCGGCACGTGCTTCACTCCTCCCGCACACTTTACCAGGAGGCAAAAAAAAAAAGAGGCACGCCGCTCATTCTGCAGCGACTCGGGCTGATGTCGTTTGCAAGCGCGTCGACCGCTCAAGCGACCGCAGAGCCCCGGTTGGAGCTGGCACCCGACCTGCATATCGCCCTCCAAGACTCACGCGCTTCACGTTCCGCGCACACACCACCGATGTTTCGAAAAGACGAGCCGCTTGCAGCTGTCATGGTATCATTAAAAAAGTCACGCTTCAGCGCTGGAGCGATCGCCACAGGGCGCTCTGTTGGAAATGCCAGCTCTCGTCCGGCACGGAAAAGACGTGATCGAGCAGCCTTTGCGCGGTCGGTCTCTTGGCCGGATCCACCTCGAAGCAGTTTTTCAAAAAGTGCGCCGCCTGCTTGCTCAACTTGACGTCCGCTGGGATCGGAGGCGCCTTGCGCTCCGCGCCGATCTTGAACATGGCCTGGACCGCCTCGTCGTCTGACCACGGCCGTCGGCCGGCAAACATCTCGAGCACCACACACCCCAGTGACCAGATGTCGATCTTGGCCGAGTAGCCCTTCTTGGACAGCGAGACGACTTCGGGCGCCATCCAAAAGATCGAGCCCTGCAGCGACATGTTTTCGACGTTGCCGTAGATGTCGTCGGACCTGCGCACCGTTCCAAAGTCCGAGATCTTGCAGATGCCCTCAAAGTCGACCAGGATGTTGTCCGCCTTGAGGTCGCGGTGCAGGATGCCCTTGCTGTGCAGGTACGCCAGGCCGTCGAGGATCTGGTGCAGGAACGACTTGATCGTCGGCTCTTCGAACTTGCCGTGCTTGCGCAGACAGCTGCCCACCGACCCACCGGGCACGTACTCGAGAAAGATACTCAGGAACGTCGTCGTCTCCTCGAAGCCGAGGTACGACACGATGTGCGGGTGGTCCAGATCCTTGAGCGTCTCGATCTCGGACTTGAGTGCGGCGACGACGCCCTTTTGGCGCGAGTCCTCGCGGTCGCTCGCCGTGCGCGGCAGCTCGACCTGCTTGACCGCGATCATCTCGCCTGTCGTCGCGTTGAGCGCCAGATACACACGCCCGTACGTGCCCTTGCCGATCAGATCGCCCTTGACCCACTTGAACACCGGCTTGGGCGGCGACGTGTCGGACAGCGGCGACTCGGCCGACGTCGCCGACGCCGGCGTCGCCAGCTCCTGCCCGGGCGTCATCTCCACCACACGCGTGCCCCACAGCTTGGTGCTGCGCCGACGCACCAGTCCGCTGCTCGCCTCGGCGTCCTTCTCCGTCGCGCGCTTGCCCGCGCGGTCCAAGAACCGCTTGCGGTCCTGCGCCACCAGACGGATCGAGCGCTTGAGCCGGCTGCGATGGCTCATGGCCTGCTGCGGCGCCGTCGGCGGGCTCGATGCCATGCTGCCCGCCGCCGCCGCCGCCTCACTGCCCGGGCTGCTCACCATCGGACTCTCGGGCACTGCCGTCGTGTCCAGCAGCGGCTTGTCCAGATCGTGCTTGGGGAAAAAGTCGTCCAGGTTCTCGTACAGCTGCTCCGGCGGCGGTCGGAACGCCCAGTCGTCGTCTCGGCGCGCAAACGAGTTGCTGCGCGTGATCCCGCCGCTGCTCAGCGACGACGACAGATGCGACGAGCTCGGCACGGGCGACAGCCCCGCCGGCTGCGAAGCTGGCGCCAACAGTGTGGGTCCAGCCGCTGGATCGATGGTCAGACGCAGCTCCGGCCGCTTGGGACTCGATCCGCCGACGCGCGCAGGCGATTGCAGCAGCGCGCCCTGGCCGGGCAGCAGCGTACCGTGGTCGTCGGCCGCCGCGTCCTCATCGCCGTCCAGCCGCAGAGGCAGGCGCGGCGCGTTGACATCCGAATCGAGTGGCTGCGCCCACGTGCCAGACTCGCTCTCGTCGTCATCAAATACGCCAAACGACGCCACCGTGCCGTTCTCCTCGGGCGCCATGCTCGGACTTGGCGCGCGCGGCGGGTCCAGAGAAGGCGACGCAGAGCCCAGACCGTCCTTGGTGTGCGGCCGCGACGGTCCGGGCGTGCTCGGCTCGGCGCGCACCGTATCCCCATCGCCGCCGCTGCTCCCGCTGACGGCGGTACCGATCACGGTGCCGTCCGAGGCAGGTTCGAGCGCACGCCAAAGCTGCGCCCACTCGCCCGCGCGAAGCGTGTCTTCGTCTTCCGACTTGCGCACCGCCTCGGCACCGCCGCTCTTTGCGCTGGACGTGTCTGTGGGTGTACCTGCCGACGAAGCGGGCAGCTTGGGCAGCGGCCGGACGCGCGCGAGTTCGTCATCCGCCAGCTCGCGCTCCTGCTCCGCATACGACGACCGATTCTCGCCGTTGGTCGGCTTGGCCGACGCCGGTCCGCTCTGTGAGCTGCGCGCCGACGTGGGTGCGCTGAACGAGTCGTCGGTCGAGTGGCGACTGTTGCGGTCCTCCTGCGAAGGGCGTCCGGGCCCCGAACTCGTCTGGCTCGAGAACGACGAGCCGGACGATCGCTCGGACGGATTGACGCGCACGGGAGGATCGCGGCGGTGCGATTCGGCCGCTGGCGCCGACGCGTGCGATGCTGGCGACGGCTGCGGCGTGACACCACGACCGCCGGACGACGCGGACGAATGCGGCCGCGGCTGCGCACTGACGTACGCGGACGCGTTCGAGTTGGCCATGTCGTGCGCGTTGCGCGCAGGCGGATGCGAGTGCTGTGGCGGAGCGTGCTGCGACGGGCCCTGCGGCGCAAACTGCTGCGGGCGCGACGACGGCGCATGGTGCGGATTCGCATGAGCTGACGACGGATGGCTGCTCCGCTGCGGCATCGACGGCATCGACGGCGGTGCCGACACGTTGGGATACGGCTGCATGCCCATGTACTGGTTGGGCTGACCGGGCTGACGCGGGTCCCGCGGCCCGTACGAAGGGCCAGGCGGATGCGCATGGCCGAGGTACGCCTGGCCCTGGGGACCAGACACCGCCTGGTTGCGCAACACCTCGTGCGTGCGCAGCGTCTGCTGCACCGTCATGCCCGGCTCCAAGCGGCCCGCCTGCATCTGGAACTCGGACACCTGCCTCGAACTCGAAGCCGGAAAGTAGCGCGTCGTGAACGGATCCTCGCGTGTGCGATACGGCGAAGGCGCAAGCTGCGGGCTGTACGGCCGATACGCTGGGTGATGCGTCGACGACGCTTCGTGGTACGAGTATGGGCGCGGCGTGAGAGAGCCCTGCATGCCATTGGCGCCCAGTCGCGGATCGTGGCCGTGAAAGGTGTTGAAATTGGGCGTGGCGTTGGGAGCGCGTACACCAAACTCGTTGACATAGCCCGGAGCCAAGGGTCGCTGGGCCTGCCCAAACGACTGGACCGAGTACGAGTTGGGCCCGCCGTACGTCGAGGGCGCGTTGAACTGCGGCGGCCTGGCTGCGGGACTGGTCGGGCGTGGCTGCAGCGACTGTGCTGGATGAGTGGGCATTCCGGCGAAGCGCGGATCGTCCATGCCTGCGGGGCGAGCGTAGCGCGGGTCGACGGGCCCACGCGCAGGGTAGTTGGGCTGCGTCGGAGGCGACCTGATCTGCGGAGTACTGGCCATCCTCGTCGGACCGTGGTTGGCGAGCTGCTGGCTGCTTGGGATCGCCGCCTGTGCACTGCGATTGCGCTGTAACATGCGAGGGTCGAGAGACGCCGGATCGACAGGACCCTTGGAGGTGCCCAGCGCGTCGGAGCTGTACTGACGATGTCCGTGCCCTCCATCTCGCGCGCCTGGTCCAGCAGGAGCGGCTGTCGAGGGCCGCATTATTGACGGAGCAGGATACCGCCCGTCGCGGTCCAGACCGGCTTGCGCACGTACCTCGGCTTGCGGGATCATTGCTGGCGCGTGCGTGGAGCCATGCGCGGGTCTGTGCAGATCATCCATGCTCTTGGCATTGTGCAGCGTGAGGCCTGGCGCTTGCTGCCGAGATTGGTCGCGGACGCCCTCGTCGGATCGGTCCTGACGATGACCCAACCCGTTGGCAGGCGCCTGGAGAGACCTGTTGGCGCTCGCGTCTGCGTCGAAGCGTGGCCTTTCGTCTTCGACGTGGCTCGGTCTGCGTGCGTTGTTCGACGAGGCTGTCGGTGCAGGCTGGGTGGCGTTCATGGAGCTGGATCGCTGCGAGAGCATCACGGGTGTGCCGCTTCCTTCGCTGACCGAGCTGGCGTGCTTGCTAGACGCCTCCTGCGCATGTCCTTCGCCGGACGAGGCGATGGATCTTCGGTCGTGGTAGCCCGTAGGCGAGCGCAGATCGTCCATGGGAGGGGCACTCGGAAGGGCGCGCCGAGCCTGTGCCTTGGAGCGTGTGAGGCTGCTGCCCGAGTTGCGGTTGGAGCCTTCGTGGGCGCCATCGGCGCCAACCATCTCGGGACAGATGAGCGCATCGCTGATGGAGCTTCTCGACGACTGACTATCGGTGCGCAGATGGTTGCTGGTGGCCGAGCCGGCGCCGGATACCCTGCGAACTTCGTTGAGCGCTCGCTGCTGGCCGGCGGCCGAAGTGGGCGGAGGCATGGCGCGCACGGTGGCGTTGGGCGGCGCGGTCTGCTGCACCAGAAACTTGAGCGTGCCGCGGTCGTCGCCCATCTGAAGACACAGAACAAGCAGCGCGTCGTCGTTGACGACGGGACCGGTAGCTTCCGACTGGCCGATCTCGGTGCGGAAGAGCTGGAAGCTGGAGTGGTCGGCATCGAAGAGATGGAGCTTGGCAAACATGCGTTCCTTGATGGCATCGGCGGAATCGACGCCCGAGATGTCGACGACGGCGAATCGCTCGTTGTCGTCGGTGACCTGGATGAGGACGCGCTCGAAGAGACTCGATTCGCGTCTGTACGAGGCTTGGGACCTGGGTGCGCCGGCCATCCTGGGAGAGCTGTGGGCGGCGTTGGAGGGCTGTGCAAACGTCGGCGCGGGCTCGGGCGCCAGGTAGGGGAGCTCCTCGACCTCGTCCTGGAGGCGCGGATCGGCGGCGGTGTCGGCGGATGAGAGTTGCGAGTAGGCAGGGGCGGAAGGCAAGGGCTGTGGCGTGCTTAGCGACGCAGGCGTTTCGGCGCTGGGCGTGGCAGGCGTGCGACACTCTGACTCTGTGGCGGTGGAGTGCGACGGCGAAGCCTGGGAGGCTATTGAGCCGGAGGGGGAATGATGTGCATTGTCGAAGGGGTCTGCTGCTTCGGGAGTGAGGCCGATGGGGGGCGAGGTCTGGCTGGCGGTGCGTCGGGCGTGCGAGGATGAGCTGGACTGCTGCTCGGAGGTGCTGGAGCGGGTGTGGTGTACCTTGCGGCCGAAGCGCTCCCAGACGTTGCCGACGTGCTCAAAGACGCTGCTGGGACGACGGGGCTTGACGTATGTCTCTCCTTCTGGGATCCTAGAGGTTGCAGCGGCGAGGTTGCCAGGGGACGAGGGGCGCAGCGAAGCAAAGAAGCCACCTCCGCTGGCGGTGGATTTGCTCGACATGGTGGGCGACAGAGGCGTGCCGGACGTGGGGCTGTTGGACGCGGCGCCGACGGATGAGCGACGTGCGGGTGCTTGTTGGCGAGCCGGATCCGAGAGGTGCGCTGTGGACTGGGTGGCTTCGAAGGAGAGTGCCGGTAATTGCGAGGCAGCCACGAGGGAGGGCTCGGCGGGTGCGCCTGTGAAGGTGATGGTGGGGCTGGTTCCGGATGAGCTGTGGTGGGGAGGCTGGAAGTAGAGTTTGGCAAAGTAGGAAGGCGATTGTGGCCGCTCTGGGCTGTTGTTGGAATGTCCATGGTGGGAGAGCACCGATGCGGTATCAGCCGAGCCTGGGTCGTTGAGAGTGCGCGAGGATGCTACCGACGGAGTGGCGGTGGAGCTGGAGGAGCGTAACCTCGACATGGGGGGAGCTGTGGCTGTGGTTGGGCTCAGGGTGGCATCGTGGGGCTGGTTGAGCGGCGACTTTGGATTGGCGTCCCAGTTGAGGTAGGAGTCGGTGCTGGAGTGTAGCTGCCAGGCGGGGTCGTCGGCGGCCGAGGTGGGACTGGTGACGAACGAGTCTGGATGGTAGGACATGGTGAGTGAGCTCGTTGGGCCAAGCCGCGCGGGCGCGAGCTGAGCGTGAGGATTGGGCGACTCGCACCAGATCAGGCGGCGGTGTGCTCCGTCATGCGGTGAATTGAACGGATGCAATGCGTGATCATCGATGGAAGCAAGCGTCTTGTCAAGGCCGCGGTGGCCGGAATGGAAGCGGCAAAAGGGAGCGCACGAGTCGGACCGAGGCAGTAGCAACGGATGGCTGGCTGGCGTGTGGAAGCGGAAGCGTGACTTGGCGTCGTCCGATGCAGGAGATGGTCGAGACAATGGCGAACGACGGTGGGGAGCATGCACGTGTGCAGCCGTGGTGATGGGAGTAGGACAAGGCCGGAGGACGAGATGAGAGGATTGGGCGCAAGGGGAAGGAAGGTGCGGGAGGAAGATGAGACGTATGAAGGGTGCAGCGGCTTGCTCTCAGGACTGCCCAACGCTTTCCGCCAAAGTGAGGCGCCGAGATGCGAAGGCGAAAGCGAGAGAGAAGCGAGAGAGAAGCGAGAGAGAGGGTCAAGGTGGGGTTGCGAGGGCCGGCTGGGTCGGAGTTGGCGCCGGCTCTTTCTCTGTCTCTGTCTCCTAGTTGCAGTAGCCAGGACTCAGCAGCTGCCTCCCAGTCTCTGCTGCCCACCGACGCCAGATTCGATTGCATCGGCGGGCCGAGCGGCCACGGCTCTCGCAGCAGCTGCGTGTGCACTCACCCTCGCACTCGCACTCGCACTCGCACTCGCACACGCGCGTGCCAAAAATCTGAACTCGGGAAACAACGGCGGTGTAACAAATTCCAAAATTCTACTTCGCCTCGTCATCACCAGTCGTCATCTGTGCTCGCATCACGCAGTGCAGTCAATGTAGAGGATGCTTCAAAAACATGGGTATGGGTATATGGGTATCTAGGCTATCGCTCATCTGAGGCTGTGGAGCATGGTCATGCGCTTGTGCGCGCGCAGGTCGTGCTGCCTCTGACCCGCCTTGGCGAGTCTTCGACCGACCTTGTCCGCATGGCGTTCGCACAGCCTTTGGCCTCCGACCATGTAGTACTCTGCCAGCGGCTGGCTGCACGCGCCGTTCTTCGAAGCGTACTGGCAGCTGAAGCAGTGTGGGTGGAATCGGTCGCCCGTGTCGGTCTGCCTACAGTCGCCCTCGATGCCACCCTCGCACTCGCGGCACAAACTGCCGTTGAGCCGGTGGTAGTGGCGGCCGCAGTACGGCTGGTTGTTAAACACGTAGAAGCTGCCATCTGAAAACGGCGCCTCGCACGCCGCGCACGCAAAGCACGCACGGTGAAACACGCCGCGTAGCGCTCCATCCGACGACTTGACCGCGCCCTTTTCCACGCTGAGGTTGCACTTGCGACACTTGGGCAGGTAGAGCTCCTTCCAGTCGCGTGCACACAGCAGCTTGCCGTCGCGCTCCACAAACGGCGTGCGGCTCGACGAGAGCGAGCAGTCGCACACACAGCATCGCTTCGCCGCACGCTCCTTGCGCTTCTTCTCCTTGAGCCGCAGCGCCTGCAGCTGCCGCGTGCGCTCCTTGTCGCGCAGCCGCTCCAGCTCCACCTCCAGCGCACGCTCGCGCTCGCTCCGACCTGCATCCCCAAGCATCCGCTGCAGAGGCTCGGGACTCGCAGTGAGGCCCTTCATCATCTCTTCGATGCTGCTCAGATCCACGGGCGCACGATCGCGCATCGGCTTGGTCGGCGTCGAGTGCGACTCGATGCGTTCGTAGCTCGAACTCGGCGTCATGTTGACCGTGCTCGAGGCCTTGCCGACGTACGCGCGCTGGCGATCGGAAGCGTCGGTGGCAGTCGACGAGACGGAAGACGAGGATTCCTTCTTGGCATGCTGTGCCTCTGACGCCGAGAGCCGACTGGTTGCGCCGTTGCATGCGCCCACTCGCGTCGACATCGACCTCGCCGCCGCACCCGCCGCTTGCGCAACCGCAGCCTCGGGCTTGTACAGGCTCGAGGTGGTGGCTGCTCGCGGCATGGTGTTTGCCATGATGTCCTTCTTCTTGGCCGCCCTCTGTTGTTCGATCATCTTTCTGCGTGCGGCTGCGACGGCGTCTGCGTCCGTGTCGCTCGCCGAGCGCTGCATGGGCGGCGGCTGGACGGGTGGCGACCTCGCGGCCTTCAGAGGCACCGCCTGCGACGTTTGGATGCTCGACACCTTGACTGCAGCGTGCGTTCCGATGATCTTGACGGCGTGGGCGGTGGGCGTCTCCTCGTCGCGTCGCTTAACATCGACTGTGGGGCTGATGGTACCCAGCAGTGCCGGGCTCGCCGGGCCGCTCTGGCTGATCAAGTGGTCGTACCTGTCAAAGAAGGGCGATCGCGGCGTGGCGATGGCGGGGCTGGTGGCGGTGGACGAGACCGCCGAGCTGCTCGACGACGGCGGCACCTGGATCGTGAGCAGCGGCAATTTGGACGCGCTGGCTGGCGGGCAGGTGTGGCTGGCGAGCTCTTCAAAGTCGAGCGAGTCGCCGCAGTCGGCGCACTTTGCCTTGGGCAGCACGGGCTCGAGCACCGTGGCACGCACGATGGTGAACGAGACATCCACCGACTCGTCGCCGCGCGTCGCCGATGCGGGCGACGAGGCGCGGAACATCTCGTCGACCGTATTCGAGTAGACGGGCTCCTCGTAGTCGTCGTCGTAGACGGTAGTGCGGTCCGCAGTCCTGCCTGGCGGGTCATGCGTCGCGCGCGAACGATGGCTTGGTGGGAACAGGCTGTCGTTGCTGCGATAGCTGCTGTCGTTGGACTGGTACGCAGTTTGTTGGGCGTACGCGCTGTCGTTGCTCTGCGCGTAGGCTAGACCGACCGTCGAGTCCGTAGCTGACGACTGCAGCGTGTCGGATCTCGCAGGCGCTCTTGCGACGGGAGCGCGTGTGTGCGCAGCTGGAGCTGGGGCGGCCTTTGCAGATGTGGTGGCCGAGGTGTTGTACTGATGCTGAGCATATTCATCCCTGCGATATGTGCGCGCTGTCTGAGCCGATTGACCGCCGTAAGAAGCATTGGAGCCATGGCTGGACGCGCCGTGAGAAGGGTAGTGACGATGGTTGACAGTTGGAGCCGGGGCTGGTTGTGCCCATTGGCTGCTGTCTGGATAGTACTGGTTGTTATGGTCGTAGTGTGCGGTGGGGTATGATTGGACGCTGCTTTGTTGGAACATGTCGTGCGTGAACTTGCGCGCGCCAAAGCCGGCCATGTTTCCCGACGCTGCGCTCATGTTTGTCGATGGTGGAGAGCGGGTGGCATGATACGCGCCGATACAGGGCGACAAGGTTGGGCAGGGATGGCTGTTGTGTGCATAGGAGGTGGCCGTAGACGAAAGCAAATGATGGTTGTGGGGGCTGCGTGGATCCAAGCCGGGGAGGAGGCCTGAACGACGGGGTCCGAGACCTGTTCTATGCGGAACGAGCAGCGCGGTTCTAAGAAATCTGACGAGGTGCTGGCGCTGGCAGCTGGGGCTGGACCATGTGGGTGAGGCCTGTGCTGCGCTTCTTGGGGTGGAGATGCGCCACACCAACGATCGATGTGTCAAAGCGCGAGGCTTGGATCTCTCTCGCTAGCGTGGTCGAGGGTGGTGGATGAACCAACGTAGCGGGATGCGGGCTGTGGAGGGAGGAGCTAGCGCATGGCGAGAGGGCGTGCGTGTGTTTCGAAATGGCGCATGGCTTGGGCGTCGAGGCAAGTTGGTTGTGGCGTGGATCGGAGGGGAAGGGGGGTCGGGGAGTGGAATGGGCATGGATGGCCAGGTGGGGACGACGTGTCCAAGGCAAGGGGCTGCTCTCGACTGGCGACTGCAGGTGGGGGGCTTCACCTCAGGCACGCATGCCGAACCCTGTTTGCAGGTCTCGCATGCATCGCCTCGCGCACACGACCCCGACGCTCCCGTCAATTTTGGCCGGGCTTGGCAGGGCAGATGTGCTGCATCGGTTGCCATTTGGGCTGCGTTCCGACACTCCGACGACCGACAGCGGCGCTTGAGCTGCACGTTGAAATTCGACTTGGCCTCTCTGCCATGCGGTCGACTCGGGGAGAAATGTACAATGGATCGGATCGACCCAGCCCACCTCACCGCTTTGACCCAAGCGAGATCCATTCGAGATTCCTCGGGCACACATCCGAGATCGGCAGCGCGCACAGCTCCCACCACTCGACTTGCACAGTCGCGCGACCCACAGCTTTGGTCGCGGTGGCTTTTTGCTCGGCTAGCCCTCAAGCGCCGCACACGACGCCGCCCTTTGTTGGATCAAAAGGATGGCTCATGTACTTTGTGCTTGCTATGTAAGATATCTGCGGCCATAGAACCTTGAAAGCACCGCATCCCGTCCGATCTGCGAAGTTAAGCAAGGTATCGCCTAGTCAGTACTGCGGTGGGGGACCACGCGGGAATCCTAGGTGCTGCAGTTCCTTTTTTGCTTTTTGTTGTCGTTGCGCCACCTCTTGTTCTTCTTTCAATCAGACAAAGTGCCACCCACAAACTATGGAACAATCATGTCGTGAGGCTATGTACTATTGCATTGCACAGAATTCCAGGCGCCTTTGCTGTTTTTGATGCGAGGCAGGCCGTCTAGAGATGTCCGCGACCCTCCTCGTCGAGCGCCTTGCGCACGGCGTCAATCACCTTGGCATGCACATCCTTGTGCGATGCCACGACGCCGCGGTTGTCGCGCAGAGTGCGTCCGACGCCAAAGTTGAGCTCCTTGCCGCGGATGTCCGACACGCGTCCGCCCGCCTCCTCGACGAGCAGCGATCCGGCGGCGTGGTCCCAGATCTTTTCGATGTAGCTTCCGTCGCCCACGGGCAGACGCAGGTAGACGTCGCCATCGCCCCTCGACAGGCTGGCGTACTTGGCCTGGCTGTCCATCCTCACCGAAGGCGCCGTGATGCCGAGCAGCTCCGCGATGCGTGCGTTGGTGCCGTGCGAAGAGTGGCCCGCCTCGACCGATTCGCAGAACGACGCTTCCGAAAGCGACTGGATCGAGCGCATCGAGATCTTTTGCTCCTCGCCACCCTCGATGCGTCGCTGATACGCGCCCTGGCCGCGCACGGCGATGAAGAGCGTACCCAGGTCCTTGCGCTTGTCTCCCGCGCCGAACTCGCCCTCCTTGGGCTTGGGCGACGAGGCGTCGTGCGGCAGGTTGGGGCAGCCCATGACGCCCACCTGCACCTTGCCATCCACCATGAAGCCGAGGCACACCGCATACTGACCGCCGCGCAGGAATCCCTTGGTGCCGTCGATGGGATCGAGCGCCCAGCATCGGCCCTTGTCTCCGCCCTCGGCACAGCCCCGGTCGATGGCCGCCAGCAGCTCCTGCTCGGTCAGCTCGCGGTCACCGCCCGCCAGCGCGCTCGACTTGGATGCCGACGCCTCGGCCTCGGCCACCGCAGGGCACTCGGCCGCCGAGTTCTTGAGCGCCTCGTTGGCGAGTGCAAAGATCTGGTTGCGCAGGCTCTCGGACTCGGGCTTCTGCAGATCCTTGGAGTCCTCCTCGCCCACGATGGGGTCGTCGGGGAAGTGCGATCCCAGAATCGCGTTCACCACCGCCTGCGCCGAGTAGTCGCCCACCGTCACCGGCGACTTGTCCTTCTTGGTCACCGTGTCGGCAGTGACGAGGTTGCGGAAGACTTTGTCGGTGAGCGAGCATGCGCGCTCCACCGCCGAGATGGCGATGGCGCGCTCGAGCGCGTACGGTGCCGAGGACGAGGAAGACATGTGGAAGAGTCGGTGCGTCGAAACCAAGGAAAGTCGGAGAGGAAGTCGGACTGATCGGGCAAGGATGGATGTGAGGCTGAGTGACATGCACCGTCTGGTGTCGATCGTGAGTGCCGGACGAAGATTTGAGGTCCTGGTCGAGAGGATGCGTAGATGGTGGTGGCAGGAGTCGCAAGCCGTCGAGATGTGCAGCGACGAAGACAATTCGAGTCTGTGCGCATTCGCCCGAGACTGTTGAGACCTGCAGAAGCGGGCATTTTTTCTGATCGATTTCTTCCGTCCGGCAGTGTCAGAGTCGGCGACGGCCCGATTTAGGCTCTCTGCGCGTCATTGATTGCATGCAGTGCAGGCAGCTCATGGCACCTGCAAGCCAAGGCGTCACTGGCGCCGTCGGTAGACCGGCTGAGTGTGCACCTCGAATGCAGAGCGGATGACGGCGCGTTGACGGCAGACCCGACTGAGCAAAAGTGTGCCTTTCCGTCCGGCCGAGGTGATCTTCTGGTGGAAAGAAGCGGCAGACGCGCGACTGCCAAAGAGGCGTGTGAAATGCGACCATGCATCACTCTCTCTCACACTCGCAGCCAAGCGAAACCAACACCCGCGCTTAGAGCTCGCCGCTCACTGCCGCCTTCTTCTGCCCGGCAGTGCAGTGCTCCCTCACGCAATGCTGTAGCTGAGCCCGCGCAGCCCGTCGCTGCCCACTTGGCATATAGGCGCCCACTCACGCGAGCCAGGCCTTGCCTTCTGCCATCATCTTTGCTCGCACATCCGCCGCATACACGACTCCCATCATGAACGCGACCAATGCCCACACCGACATCAAGCGTAAGTATTCGATCGCATCCTTTCACCACTTGGCTCCAAATGCTGACACTCCAATCGCTCTACGATCGCTGCAGCGCTGGTGCGCAAGCTCCTTGACCGAGACCCGGTGCATTTCAACGCCGCCGTCAACGCCCACTTTGCTCCGGACGCCACCTACGAGGGTCGCAGCCTCAAGATCCACGGCGCCAGCCAGCTCAAGCGCACCGCCTTGCTCTTCAACACGCTCGACCTCGGCAGCGCTGCCACGCTCACCGACGACGACATTCGATGGGACGCCGCAGGCTCGACCGCCATCGTCAAGGCGACGCGCAACGTCCGTCCGCTTGCCTTTCCGCTTTTCGAGTTTGCCGTGCCCACCAGGATCACGCTCACCTTCCTTGCCGACGACGATGCCAAGGGTGCGCTTCACTGCACGCACTGGCACGACGAGTGGCCGCTCGAGTCGCTCGTCACCCGGCTGCCGCTCCTCGGCAACCTGTACAGCCTGCTCATTGTGCCCCTCCTCACCGCCGTGTTCGTCTGGGCCAGCAATGTCGCCTTTTGGCTCCACTCGAAGCGCTCCACGGTCCAGCACCGACATGTCCACCGAGCCTCACACGCCTACCGCCAGCAGGTCAAGCCGCACCTGCCCCGCAGCCTCGTGCAGGGCTTCCATGCAGGCGTGAATGCTGCCGAGAACGTCGGTGAGCGTGCGGCCGGTCTGTTCTCGCGCGTCTCATACGGCCCGCTCAGGGCAGTCGAGGAGCTTGCACGCACCGTGACCGTGGTGGCCAACCTCGCGCTGCCTGAAAAGCTGCAGCTGCCCTACCCGTCGGTGTTTGCCCGACATGCCCAGCCGGCCAGCTCCGGCGCGCTTGCAGTCGAAAAGACCGAGGCTTCGAACGACAAGGACGAGGCCAAGAACGAGGCCAAGGACGAGGCCAAGAACGAGGCCAAGGACGAAGCCAAGCCCGATGCTGCGGCTGCACGCTCGGACAAGGCCCCCGTGCCGCCCTCGCCGCGCAACAAAGTGTCGGGTTCGCCGCACGTCCAAGACTCCGGCGCGGCCGAGCAGGCTGAACAGGCCGAGCAGGCTGAGCAGGCAGACAAGGCCGACGAGGACGCTTCTGCGGGCCACGCCAAGGTGGTGGTGGGCACGGGTGCCGAGGCGCGCGAGATCGACGTGGTGACGCACGTGGTCACCGAGCACGCGCGCGCCACCGAATCGGCGCAGCAGTCGCTGTACGACGTGCTCAAGAAGGACAACGAGCTGCCGCACGCCTCGGCCGACAAGGCCAGCGCCGGTGGCAAGAAGAACGGCGGCGGAAAGAAGAAGAAGAACGGCGGTCGAAAGTAGCCCTCGCCTTTTTATGTGCACGGCGTGCGAATGAATCTATCCGTCTGACCTGGGCTCGAGTGGCGGTGCGAGCGAGATGTGTTGGGCGAGCTGTGTTTGGCGAACGAAGCTGAGTCGGATGATCAGGTACGGGGGATGAAACTTGCTGAGTGGTGGACAATCTGTGTTGGACAGTCTCTTTCGACTTGTGTGCGTGTGTGGCTTGACAGTATACCGCATTGTGACTTGGACTTGGTCTGGAGGCGTGGACGTGCGAGGAGCCCAGCTGAGTCTCGAGTGTACCACGTTCGGACTGTATCGAGTGGGGGACAGGACACATGCTGCTACTGAATCGATCATGCGCGTAGCCTCGGGTCGGTTCTGAGGGGCGAGGCCAAGTAAAATTCTGCACACCATCCTTGTGCCGCTTTGCATACGACGCTGGTCAACCTTCCAAACTCTCTGGATGGGGATTTTGAGGGGTGAAAAAGATTATTGATTCGCGTCGACGGAGGGATAGTTTAGAAGACGGGAGTGATGAGGTCACCAAAGTTGCGAGCGGCGACGATGCCCGCAACAAAGACGCTGACGCCCCAAGCGATGCTGATGTTGCCCGCGCGGTGTTCGGGTGCGAGAATCTGCGTGTTGATGAACCTCAGCAGAAAGTTTTGCTTGGGCTCGGCGGGGCGACCGCCGGGACCCGAAAGGAAGCCCTTCTGCGCAGACCTATTCCAACCACCACCATCCAAATTCCTCATCAGTCATTTTCCCCCCTGTTTAAGTCGACATGCGGGTGAGGGAGGAGAACTTACAGATACGATCCTTGACTCGACATGTTGGCAAGTGAATGAGATGGTGGTTGCAAGGCGACCAAGATGGCACAAGTGGAGTTGTCTAAGAATTTCGTTCCGACGCCCCGATCGCACCCCCAATCGGGGCACACCTTCATCCAACCCGCCAACTCTCTCACTTTCGCACGCCTGTACTGAGAGACTCTATGATGCATTGGATTGCAAGTCTATGCTGTTCTACGCCCTGTCCACATCGCCGTGCTTCGTTTCTGCCCGCGTATAGTCCACGAGCAACCTGAGCTTCTCCAGCACCACGAAAACAATGATCGTGTTCGGACTGAGCCTCATCCACGCCGGTGTCCAACCCCTAAACAAGAATCCCACCCCCTCCTTGCCGACATCCTTTCTGAGCGTTTTGATGATGCCATCTCCCGAGCCACGGGCGTTCATCACGCGGCTCTTGATGACGTCCGCTGGGCTGCAGACCGTCGTTGCCACCGTGCCTGCCATAAAGCTCGCCGAAAAGTGCAGTGCGGTACCCTCGTTGAAGTATCCGGTTCCCAACAGGGCGGTTTTGAAGACGTCGTACGTCGCCAACTGGCTGGCGTTCATCAACACCGCACGGACAGTGTTGGGTCCAAGGCCGCGGAATAACGATGCGAGTCCTTCGTCCTTCGTCATGCGAACGAGACCCGAGATGGCGTTGCGGTAGTTGTACCTCTGCTCTTTGGGCTTGTTGACGTCGCTAGTCATTCTAACCAGCAGAATATCCGCCGGATTCCCCGCCAGCCCACCAGCCGCTCCAGCCGCCGAAGCACACAGGGCCATTTGAACCATGCCCAACGGCCGACCACCGTTATTCTGGAGCGTAAGCTCCTTGAGCTTATCGTATGCTCCGAATCGCGTAACGCTGTACGTCATTTGTCGCAAGAGCGATGCTGTCAGACCGACGTACAACCCACGAACACCCTCGCGGCGAAAGGTGGAGACGAGAAGGGAGAACATGCCTTGCCGTGCAGAGGCCGTCTGCATCCGCGTCTTGGTCAGGTCCAACGGATGCGTAAACAGCGCTGCTATCGAAGCCGCACATCCTCCCAGGTAGAACGGATACGCCCGTGGCTTGGCCTTGACCCCCCCAGCAGACGAGCTCGAAGAACGCGATATTGACTGCGACATGCCTACTGTATATCCACGTCAAAACCTAGCTAGCCCGATGCAAAGTGTCTCCGTATATATCCGAATCCAGAAATCCTGGTTCCCCTATCGAATCGCGAGACCGAGATGGGAATGCCGTGTGCGAGTGGTGTGGAGTGGTGGTGAAGCGTGGGATGGTGTCCAGCCGAGAGAAAAGGGTGCATGCGATTTTCGGTACGTCACTCTTCCAGCGGCAATCGCGGTCGGCCTCTTTTTTTCCTGCTCGTTTCGAGAAAAAACGTTCGGGAGCACGCAGCAGCACGCAGCAGCTCAAGTGGAGCCGAATTTCTCACCTGCCTCTTTTTTTTCGGATCGAGCACCAAACCGCCGCCCGCACCAATCCCGCTGTAGCCGAAAAGCGCCGACCGCCCGCACATCACCGCAACCCCACCCACCCAAAGCCTTGCTGTAATCCCCGCACCTCCTCCTCCAACCTTCCTCACTACACACACACGCACTGACGCACACAATGCTTTGAGGAAATCCGAAACTGGAATTGAGATCGGAGCAACTCGAACTGGAATTGGAACAGGAACAACGGGCGCAGCGAGCTAGAGAGACAGGGGTGGATCGTCTGTTTTTGGTTTTTTTGGCGTGGGGGAACGTTGCAGCCTGCCCAGTCCTCGAGCTTCGACCTCAATAAAGTGGGCGAAGCTCGAGTCACGGCAGACCGCGGAGAGATGGAGGCCAGGGAAAGACAAAACCTGAAGGGCCAAGAAACGGCGGAGCCATGCGGCGTCCGTGGTAGGGAGGGGGCTTTCATCCCCCTCTGCACACCTCCGAGGCGAAAGTGGTGGAAGCAACGGCTGCATGATCGAGCGAGCCTGTTTCGGCGAGGAGGCAGAGAGGGGAATCGAAAGGGGAGAAAGTGAGACAGCAGCGAGCGGGCAAAATACGGCGACGATGATCACGCGGCGAGGCGCGCGTCTTGACGATGCCCAGTTGCGGGCGATCGTGGTCGCGCCCGATCCAGCAGCCAGGCCAAGCAGACGACGATCCAGGCGACATCGTCCAAGGGGTGAAGATGCGTCCCAGTCCGAAGGAGGGATTCGTTTGGGGATGTCGCTGCAAGTGCGGCAGAGAAGCCGACAGGCGGATCAACCTCGGCGGTTTGTATGGCTGTGGAAAGGGAGGCTTTCGGCTTCGGTCGAGCATCAAGTGTTCGTTGCGAGGTGGCGTAGAAGCTCGTGCTATGCACAAAGCCGGCCGACCAGCCAATCGACGGAGAGGCTCGAGGAAAGAAAGAGGTTGCGGCTCTGCCACGGCGTCATCCAAGCGGATCGACGCGGCATCGGACAGAGCGGCGGCCCGCTCGAGAGGCAAAGTGGTGGTGACAGTCGCACCATCGACAGGGGTAGCGGTGAACGCCACGCGTGTCGACGGCAGTCAATCTGTGCGTGCAGAGAGTGAGTGGCTGCGGACAAGGACGGATTCGAAAAGGACGGTGTAAGGAACGAGGTTCTGCTGCAAGTCCACCAGACTGACTCCGTGTGAGCCCAACTTACTGTTTGCAATAGAATCATTCAAAAAAGGTCGGGGGCGCGGCGCCTGGACTTAGCCCAAGTCGCCCGCGCGGCTCCGTTTTGTAGAGGCGCCCTTGGACCTTCTGGATTCGCCGCGATGTACGTTTTCAAAGTGGCGCTGCATGTCGTGCTTGCGCGCAAAGTGCTTGTGGCACTCGGCGTCGGGGCAGATGAACGGGCGAGCGCGCGTCTCGGGATCCTCGTGCGTGTATCGGTGCGTCTTGAGGTTGTAGGCGCGGTCGAACCACTTGCCGCACTCGTGGCACTGCCAGCGCTTCGCCTTGGTCACGGGGTCGATGATGGGCGCAGGGCTGGCGCTGGCGAACGCCGAAGCACCACCGAGCGCCTTGACGGGCGAAGCTCGGCGTTGGTCTCGGGAGCCGCGCGAGGAGCGGATGGGACCGGCGTGGGAGTCGTGCTTCTCGTCGCCCTTGGCCGCATCCAGGTCAAACTCGACGGCAAGCGGAAGCTTGAGAGGCTCGGCTCCGAAAGCGTTGGCGAGGGTGCTGAGCTCGGCTGCCTTGATGTCCTCGTCGGAAAAGTAGGGCTTGAGCTCGTCGGCGGACCACATGTCGTAAGACTGCTCGTGCTTGGCGACGGATGCAGCGGCATCCGATTCGACCTTGAATGCGGCCTCGAGGGTCGACATCGAATCGTGGCTGTCGTGCTCGGACTTGACCTGGCTGTACGAAGGCATGACGGTGGACTGGCTGGCGGCGAGATCGACGTCGGAGGACTGCGAGTCGTGATCCTCCGACTCGAGCTTGACGTTCTCGAGGTTGGAGGCGAAGGTGGCCATGGGATCCTCGGCGTGCGAGTCCGAGACGTCTTCGAGAGTGTTGTCGCCAAAGAGCGGAAAGTTGTTGGCGAGAGAGTCGGCGTCAAACTCAAAGTCGGCGTCGTCAAACATGGAGGGCGAAGTGAGGAAGTCGCGCTCCGAGTCGGGCGAGCCGACCGAGTCGCTGTAGCACGCCTCGAACGACTGACGGTGAAGTGGCGTGACGGACGAGTCGTATGCGGCAGGGGCAGGGGCGGTCGCGATGGTGGCGGGAGGCGACTGGGTAACAGCACCGGTCTCGCTGACGTTGTCGAAGGAGGCAACGGCGGCAGTGGCCTCGGCAGCCGGCCTGACGGTGTCGGCGGACGACGGCGGGAAGAGGGGAGCGTCTGTCATCTCGGTCGAGGGCCACGCGAGGGGGTCTTCGACGACGGCGCGAGCGGAAGCGGAGGGAGGGCTGAGAGACGAGAGCGAGGACCAGTCACTGCCGAGGAGGAACTTCTGGAGCTCGCCGATGCGGTCCGAGGTGGAGTCGATGGACTTGGTGTAGAGGTCGAGGCCGGCCGAGGGCGACGAGCCGTACGAGTTGACGGCGGGAGAGGGGAAGGTGAATGCCGTCATAGATGCGTCGGATGCGGGCGAAGGCGCGGCGACGAGCGGAATAGTAAGAGGTGATGCTGGTGCGGTGAGGAGATGCGGGTTGGATGGAGGTGACAGAAGCATGCGACTTTGACCTAGAGCGGACGAGGGCGTGGTGATGGTGGTGGTTGGGAGGAAAGCGGTGCGAGGCAGACGAAAGTGTACTTTGTGCTGTTTGGTGAGTTGCGCGAAAAGTGATTGCGTGATGAGACGGAAGATGGATGGAAGGGGAGAGGGAGAGAGGGGGAGAGGGAAAGAACGGATCGACGGTGGGTGGGTCCGGTGTGGGGCTGACTATATCTATGTTGGGTGGCGTTATTATTTCCGAAGCTCGGGTGGCTATCAGCGACCCTCTCGCTTTTTTTCTCTCTCTCTCGCACCTCCGTGGCTTTTTGGGCCCTCCACACGCGTCCCTCTTAGCGGTAACTTACAGGGCAGCGCACCGCATTCACACCCCTTCGCCAAACTCACACGCTCACTCCCGACCAGCCAGCCGAGTGGAGGCCCGAGCTGACAAAAAAATTAAAAAAATTAAAAAAATAAAAATCTCGCCTTCAGGGTCCGGAGACAAGCACAAAGGGTCTTTGACGCATGCACAATCACGCATACCTGCTGAAAAACTTGCAGAAGTTTGCGAAATCGACGCAGAAACCTAGTCATCAGCATCAGCAGCAGGCTTGCGCCATCCGCGCTCCCGAATCCCGGTCTGATAGCCTCAATCTCGCGTCCCCCCCCTCTTTCAAAGCTGTTGACCTTTCGGTTAAACTGCCTTGGTCAACTTTGGCAGAACTTTTCTTATTGCACAAGATTCGCATCGAAGACAGCCCAAACTCTCTGGTGCGAGCATTCGAGTGCGCCTCGCGCGGGAGGAGCCGCGACGATCGAAAGGTTGCAAGGAGGCGCCGGTGTGGATGTGGATGTGGCTGTGGCTGTGGAGTGAGGATCAGGCCGAGTCACGCGCGGCTTCTAGGCTGGAAGTGGAGTCAGACTCGCGTGTGCCCGGCCGGCGCATACAGTAGACATGTCCGTGGAAAGCGGGATGCATGAAGTCCAGGGTTCACTCAACTCACTTCCGGTGCGGCTGCTCCGACGCCGAGACGAAATAAAATAAAAATAAAAACTGACACTGCAGCGGCATCTTTATCGCGTCCACCTGTGCAGAGAGATGTCGCGCGCGCTCTTGCGTTCATGCTTCGATCTTCTATCGCATTCTCGTCGTCGGGGGCTTCCGGCCCGTAGACCTCTCCGAAGGAAGACATGCATGCCAGGGGCGCTCCACCACCTTGCCTTGCCTAGACGCCTCGTCGTCTTTCTTTCGAGGCGGTCGCAAGCAGCCACCGCGTTCATGGTTGAGCCAAGCTTTGCACGCTTGATTGACCGAGCGGAGTGATGCTTCAGGTCATGCACGGATGGGTCTGGCCACGTCGGCGGATCGAGCGATCGTCTTGGCAGCCTTTCGGATTGCGACAAGGCGGTGGGGTCAAAAGCTTCGATGGTCAGCTTCGGTGGCGTTCCTTGGTCGGCAGGCGCGCCTCCACACATCTCGGCGCTCGGGAGGCGGGCGGCAATTTTCTTGCGTCGGGTTGGAAAAAATTCGCCGTTCGGGGCTGGATCTGACGCAGGCAAAGCCGTCAGGTGCGATTTTCGCCTCCGCTAAACGCGATCAACCCCTCCACGACGCGATTCCAAAAATGTCGGAAAATGCACGGCAGCAGGGAGAGAAGCCTTAACTCCATGCAGGCGGCGAGTGTTCGGCTGCAAGCGAGCCAAAGACAAAGTCCACGGAGGACGCGTGTGGCCATTGACTCGCTCACAACCGCCGGCGAGATCGCCGCCACGCGTGGTGGGTCCGCTTTCATATCTTTGCAGCTTGGAGGTGTGACTCGACGCTCAAGCTTCCCAGGCTTCTCTCGCATGAATACACCGTCCTACCCTCCACCTCACTCTGAAGAGCTACAGTATCGAGGTGGTCGTGGCTGAGTTCGGCTTATGCTCTCCCCTTCATTCCTCGGCCTCGTTCTCGGATGCATGTCTTCCGCATTGCACGGTCTGGCCACGTCAATACGATGCGGTGCGACGTGGCTATGTCGATCCCACATCCTTTGCGCGTGCGCGCGCGCGCACGTTTCATTCCCCCCTCGCGTACCCCTTTCCAGCGGAAGCAACCTTCGGCACCGAACATGCATGTTGTTATCAGATTACACCTGTCCCCACCCCGAGCTTGCCCTCCCCTCCTCGCACACGGCTCTTACTGCAGGCGACATTCACAGGCGGTACGACCGAGATGTAGCTGCGGATTAGGAACGTGCACCGTCTGCATCGCAACCTCGGTACGACGTCTTCCGTGGGGGCTTGTCGGACTCGGGGCGTTTTCAAACTCCTCCATGCCGACTCAACACAGCCCCGCCCCGCACACGCCGGTCAGTCCTGTGTCAAGCGTGCGCTGATGAGCTGGGAATGTTTGCGAGACACGTTGCCATTGTCCCATGTGCGCTGCGAGTGAGAGTGTCAGCCAAGATCGCCGTCCGCACCGTCCTCGCGCTCGGCGTAGACGACAGCAGATGTGGGGGCGCTATAATCGGCGTGGACAATCTCCACTTTTGCTCGGTCGCTCGTATCGAGACCGCCGGTTCGCCGCTTTTCGCTTTGAGCGTTGCTGTCCTGATCGTCCAAGTGTGCTTTGCCTTCTGCCAGGCTGGACTGGTGTACGGCATCGAACGATGCAGCGCTGTCCTCGGCGCCGCCCAAATCCGTATCTTGCACAATGCCGCCCATGGCGCGCTGACGTGCCCACAGATCTTCGGCCAGGTCGAGGCTGCGGCACTTTGCGATGCTGCGCAGCATGGCCACTTCGCGTCGGCGATGAAGCTGACGTCGCAGACTCTGCGTGAGGAACGTCTCGAGCGTCTGGATCGACCAATCGGCAGGCACCAGCTCGAGCACCTGCTGGCTGTCGAGGTGCAGCGCCTGCGTATTCAGCAAATGCGCCGTAGCGATGCGGAACTTTTCGTGTGCGCCATTCGCCATGTACACCGACAGAAGCTCCTTGAGCAGCGTCTGCTTTCGCTGTGCTGCCCCTGTGCGGCCAGCTTGCTGCTCCTGCTTGGCATGTGTCTTGATGCGCTGTGCATGTGTGCGGCTGAGCATCGCTGCAAACGGACGCAACTCCTCGTGGTCCTCGGCGATAGAAGCTGCCAGCATGGGCGAAAGCACCTCACCGTCCTGCGAGCAGTACGCCTCGGCACTGTTGGCATCCCTCAGCGTGATGGCCAGCAGAGACAGCGCATCCGCATCGCGTCCCAGCTTACCCAACACAATCGCACGCTCGTACGCCAGCGTCGGCAGCGGCTCGATCATCAACAGCACCGCGCCGTAGTCCAGCATGGTGGACCCCTGCAGCAGCATCGACAGCTTGAGTCGATCCACGTCCATGCTCGAGCCGCTGCACGCCAACGCCAGGTGCGCAAAGAACGACTCGGCATACGAGCCGTCCGCATACTCGTGCTCGATCGACTCCATCTTCGTTCGGTACTCGGCATCCTCGAGATGCTTGGCGACGCGCCGGATGAGAGCCGCCGCCAGCTCGCGGTGCATCTGCTCGTCCTGCACCTTGGACGTGGACAGCGCAACCACCTCGAGATACTTGGTCGCCGCGTCCGCATCGATCTGGCGCAGCTCGTCGATGGTCGCTTTCTGCAATCGGATCGCATCCAGCTCCTGCGCCTTGCTTCGCGAGGGCGTCTTTTGGGTCGCAGCGGAATCCGACGCAGCAGTCTGGGCGGTGAGAATGCGGATACCAGCTTCAGGGTCTTTGCGCACAAGCCAGCGACCGTACTCGGAGACCAAGCTGGCATCCTGCTGTCCAGAAAGCAGATCGGCGATCTTGGATACCGTAGCGCTGGTGTCAATGCTCTGCTCGAGCGCATCGCTCTGCTTGCCATCCACCAAGCCCGCCAAGATGCTGAGCGCCCCCTCGACGTTGCCGACCGATTCATAGTGTCTTGCGAGGAGCAGCAAGAACCCCTTGTCCTTGAGAAGCTTCTCTACCACGGCAGGCTCGCAAGCGTGGTTCGAGTCGAGGAACGCCGCCATCTCGCGCTTGATCGAAGCTGCATCTGGGTTGTCCGTCCCACGGCCCTGCGCAAGCAGGTGAAGATACGCCGAGTCGACGCGGTTGTGGACGTTGGCCAGCATGTGCTCGTCCATGTATGTACCAGCCCATGGATGTGCTGCGTCGACGGCAGCTGCACGCCAGTCCTCCAAGAGACGACGGAGCATTGCGTCGGAACGGTGCAGCAGTGTTTGCTTGAGTTCCGAGAGGGCGCGGTCCTTGTCGACGTCCAAAGGAGGAGAGTAGTTGAGAGTGAGGTTGGCGACGATGATGTTCTCGATGCTTTGGATGCCGTTGCCATCCTTGCGCTTCAACTTTTCGAGATCGGGGAGCAGGAGTGCCGGTAGAATGGCCTCTCCCAGCGCTTGGCCCTCGGGCAGCAGAGATGGGAAGCAGCCCAGGATCCAACGTGGATCGAGGTGGGCGTGACTCAAAACATCCGACGCCGCAGCAAAGTCTGCACGATGCAAGAGTTCGATGCCCAAGCGTGCGTGCGCAGCCGATGCCTCGAGAGAAGACTGCAAAGCGCTAGAGTTGGTAGCATCATCGTTTGCGTTCTCTCTGTACGAGGCGAGGCTCTGCCGGAGATTGCGGATACGGCCGCGACGAAGCTGTTGGGATGTCCAGCCTAGCAGTGAGTCCTGCTGAACAGCCGAGGTGGAGTTTCTGCCACACAAGAGGATCTGGCATGGCGAAGATGACGATGCGTGCTGGTCTTCCTGAGCGCGACTCAACAAGGTGGCGTCAGAGCCATCGAGGTGGGCGAGGTTGACCTTGACGATGTCCAGATCGCTGCTTGTAGAGACGGATGGGTCGGACGCGCTAGGTTGTGCATCTGCTGGGTGCGAAACGGGCTGCAGGAAACGCGGATCGAGACCTGGCGGCAGCTGAATGGTCTGAAGCCTGTGGGTCGAGTCGGAGCGGATGCGGTGGAGCTCGACGGTATCGTTACGAAGCAGCGATACTAGATGCTTGCCGTCGAAGGCGACGGAGCGGGGATGCGACGGCCATTCGAGCAGCTTGGGCGCCGGCTCGCCCGAGGGCTTGACAAAGACGCCGAGGGTGCTGGAACCACTGTGCGACGTGACGAGAAACTCGCAGTTGGCGGAAGGCGAAGCGGCAGCGCTGGAGCCGCGGCCGACCTCTGGGGAGACGCTGCCTTGCCTGAGCGAAGAAGGCTGGACAGGAACCGTGACGATGCTGGGCCTGACCTGGGCGGAGGGAGACTCGCCGGTCTGACTGATGGGCAGATGGAGCTGGGTGATGGAGCCGGAAGAGAGGTTGACGAGGCTGTACTCGGTGGCGTTGGCGATGCACAGGGTATCTGCGTAGCGACGAGCAAAGATGGCGCCGCCGGGAAGAGGCACGTCCTTGATGGTGGACCAGAGGAGATCCGAGCGGCCGTCTGAGCCGATTTTGGCGAGGATGATGTTTTTGCGACGTACGAGGCAGACGCTAATCATTCCAGCAGCGTCGGTGCCTGTGTCGGATTGCGCCTCTTCGTCATCCAATACGATGGTACTGACAGCTCTTGTGGATGGCAGACTGCGTATCGGTGTCCAGTCGGGCGTGGAGAAGAAGTTGACGACACCTTCGCACAGGACGGCAGCTGCGCGGAAGGGTCGTAGAAGGACGATCTTTTCGACGGGTTTCGCATGGCTGGATATGGAGCGGCTCGATTTGAGGCTGTATGTGCATTGCTGTGACGAGCCTTGTGCCGCGTCAGACTTGCGGTAGCGGATGTTGAACGAGTGGATCTGACCGTCCGAGGTGCCGATGTAGAGATGTGTGCCGTCGGACTCGGAGCAGCGGATGGATCGCTGCGCATTTTGCTGAATCGCAACCGGAGATCCGGGATGCAGAGATTCGGCATCGTCGTCGCTGCCAAGCGTAGGGATGAGAAGCGGCGCCAAAGCGTATGGAGGCACTGGCTGCTGAGGGGCTGCCATGCTAGGCTATGTGCAGTGCCTGGTGCGACGGTGGCGTGAACGAGAAGAGACAGGTCAGGCGTAACAAGCTGCGCAGCTGCCTGATGCCATGTTGAAAGAAGTGCGAAGGGTCGACGAGTGGTGTAGCTGATCCAAGTGGAGAAGGTGTCGAATGCTGCGCTGAGGCCATCCTTGGATCCAGGCCAGCACTTGTAATCGGATCTCGGATGAGGCGGCGACTCGCTCAGGGTTCAAGCCCGATCCGCAAGCCTCTGGCGGAGTGTGCGGGATCGATCTGGAAAGGAGAGTGGAAATTCAGATCGAGCGAAGCCCCTCAGCAGTCGAGCCAAGGTGCAGCAGAAGCCGAGTCTCTCCACAGCCAACGACGCGTGGATGTGAGACCCTGCTGCTGCTGCTGCTGCCCTTCTCCACTGCGAGACGCAGGCGAGAAAGAGAGTGAGCGTCGACTGCATGGCCCAAAGCGAGCGACGGACGTGCGCAGCAGCCATAACGCCGGCAGCCCGGACTTGACGCTCTTCCACCACCTTCACCTCCGCCTTACACACTCACGCTCTCTCTATCGACTCACCAAGGCTTCTAGGACGCTGCCACTTCGACCGGATCGGACTTTGTGTTGCGGCTTTTTGCGTCTGCGCTCAGCATATCGGCAGCCAGAATCAGCCGGACACGCAGACATCAAAGCCTCAGCCCTTGACCGGCTCTTTCGCACCTTGACTCTCCCACCGACGCATCCACCACACAACCACCAATATGGCCAACTCCGACTTTTTGAATGTGAGTGGACACTGCTGCGTACAGCCGCCATCCGCATCTACGATCTCGGCAACTGATCCCACCGCATCCCCTTCCTTCCCCACAGAAAGCGATCGAGATCGTGCAAAAGGCGATCGACGAAGATGTCAAGCAAAACTACCAAGAAGCGTACAAGCTGTACCAAAACAGCTTGGACTACTTCATGATGGCAATGAAGTGTAAGTGGCAAGCCCCACCACGTCCTTGACCGAGAAGTGTCCCGCAGACTCGTACTGACTGCGCAATCCGCCTCCTCCTCATCCCCACGCCACACAGACGAGAAGAACGACAAGCTCAAAGACCTCATCCGCAAAAAATTCACAGAGTACCTCGACCGCGCCGAAAAGCTCAAGGAACACTTGGCCAAGAGCTCCGAGGACCGCAATCGAGCTGCAGTAGGTGCCAATGGCGCCGAAAAGGGCGTCGGCGGCAGCACCGGCGGCAAGAAGGACGGCGACGACGACGACGTCGATCCCGAGACCAAGAAGCTTCGCGCCGGCCTCTCGAGCGCCGTGCTCTCCGAGACACCCAACGTGCGATGGGACGACGTCGCCGGTCTTCACACCGCCAAGGAGGCGCTCAAGGAGGCCGTCATCCTGCCCATCAAGTTCCCACAGATGTTCACCGGCAAGAGGACGCCGTGGCGCGGCATCCTCATGTACGGCCCGCCAGGCACGGGCAAGTCGTTCCTCGCCAAAGCGGTGGCCACCGAGGCCAAGTCGACGTTCTTCAGCGTGTCGAGTTCGGACTTGGTGAGCAAGTGGATGGGAGAATCGGAGCGACTCGTCAAGCAGCTCTTCCAGATGGCACGCGAGGCCAAGCCCTCGATCATCTTTATCGACGAGGTCGACTCGCTCTGCGGCACAAGAGGCGAGGGCGAGTCGGAGGCATCCAGGAGGATCAAGACCGAGTTCCTCGTGCAGATGAACGGCGTCGGCAACGACGAGACGGGCGTGCTCGTGCTCGGCGCCACCAACATCCCCTGGGCGCTCGACCTGGCCATCAAGCGAAGATTCGAGAAGCGCATCTACATCCCACTGCCCGACCTCGAGGCGAGGAAGCGCATGTTTGAGCTCAACGTCGGCGAGACGCCCTGCGCCCTCGACAGCAAGGACTACCGCAAGCTCGCCGCGCAGACCGAGGGCTACTCGGGCTCGGACATCAGCGTGCTCGTGCGCGATGCGCTCATGCAGCCCGTGCGCAAGGTGACGGGGGCGACGCACTTTAAAAAGGTGCTGGCGCCTGCCAAGCGCAAGGCGAAGCAGGACAAGGCCAAGAACGGCAGTGCCGATACGGGAGCGCACGGCGATGCGGCGCAGCAGGACGGAGACGCGGCGGCGGCGGCAGCAGCGGCGGACGAAGAGGTGGAAGAGATGAAGGAGTTCCTCACCCCCTGCTCGCCCGGCGATCCGGACGCCGTCGAGATGACCTGGGACGACATCGAGGGCGAGCAGCTCTTGGAACCCAAGCTCGTCATGAACGACTTCCTGCGCGCCATCCAGGCTGTGCGACCGACAGTCACAAAGGCCGACATCGAGAAGCACATCGAATTCACAAACGAGGCTGGTCTGGAATAGCCTCGTCATCTCGTCCTCGCTCTGCACACTTGCGTTTTCTCTGGCTCCAATGTATTTTCCGTCACATGCTTTCTTCGTCATAGATTCGGCTGCAGGCAAAAGAACGTGTGGCATTGTGTCAGGCCGGCGCAAGGTTGAACGAGAGCGAGGGCATATGTGTGTGGTGCACGGTTGCATTGGCAGAAGAACCTCGCACAGGCTCACCGAAAAAGGGACGCGTCCAGGCAGCGGTGTTAACTGAGGAGTGTGCTTGGAGCGCCGATCTTCTGAAATTGTTAGAGGCCGAAAGATCGCTGCCACGCCGCACGTCGTCACTCTCCCCACTCTCTTCCTGTCCACATCTCGACATTGCCATCTCGACGAGCCCTCGCCGACCAGCCCTCGCCGACGTCGCCCATCATGTCGGCAACACCAGGGCCAAGCTCGGCCGACGCTGCCCTCACTCCAGAGCAGCAGGCCATCCAGGCGGTCATGCAGGCGCTCAACACTCTCTACACCGACCCGGACAACAACGCCAAGGCATCGGCCAACACCTGGCTCCAGAACTTCCAGCAGACGTCGGAAGCATGGCAGACCGCCAATGCGCTGCTGCTCGCCTCGGAGCTTCCGCTCGAACCGCGTCTGTTTGCAGCACAGACGTTCCGCACCAAGATCACCTTTGATCTCGAGCAGGTGCCGCGGCCGCAGCGGGTGGCGCTGCGCGACACGCTGCTCACCGCGCTGTCGGCGTACGCTTCGGGCCCGCGCGTGATCCAGACGCAGCTCAGCTTGGCGCTCTCCGGCCTGGCGCTCCAGCTCGACGAGTCCGAATGGCCCACCGTCGTGCCGGCCATGATCGAGCGCTACGGCTCCAACCCCGAGACGGTGCCGATCCTGCTCGAGTTCCTCACGGTGCTGCCCGAGGAGGTCATCACCAACCATCGCATCCCCGTCGACAACGACTTCTACCACACCCGCTGCCACTTTTTGCTATCAGCGGCGGCGCCCGAGATCCTCAAGCTGCTCTCCATGTACGTGCAGGCACAGGGGCTCACCTCGCAGATCCAGACGGGCATCTTCCAGTGTCTGCGCTCGTGGCTCAAGAGCGGCGAGATCTCGGCGGGTCAGATGGCCGATACGCCGCTGTTCGACCTCTCCTTCGATGCGCTCGCCTCGGACGAGCTGTTTGACGTGGCGACGGATGTGGTGTGCGATCTGATCAACGAGACGCAGGAGGTCGAGGAGAACATGGACACGATCCAGCGTGTCCTTGCGCGCCTCCACCCGCTGCGTCAGGAGCTCGCGGCGGCAGGTGATGACGAGGACAAGGTGCGCGGGCTGTGCCGCATCTTTGTGCAGGCGGGCGAGTCGTACTATCGCATCATCCTGCGTCATCCAGACGAGCTGCTGCCGGTCGTCGAGGCGATCGCCGAGTGCACCGCGTACCACGACCTCGACATTGTGCAGATCACCTTCCGCTTCTGGTACCTGCTTTCGGGTGCGCTCGGGCATGCGTACGGTCAGCCGGAGGCACAACGCTTTTACCCGCTGTACGAGCGACTGCTCGAGATCATCATCCGCCATCTGCGCTTTCCGGACGATCCCGATGCGCTCACGGGTCAGGAGCGCGACGACTTTCGCTCGTTCCGCCACTTTATGGGCGACACGCTCAAGGACTGCTGCCACGTGCTCGGCTCGCGCCAGTGTCTGTCTCGATCGCTCACGCTCATCCAGACGACGATCGCGCAGTCGACGCCCGAGACGCTCAAGTGGCAGGACGTGGAGGCGCCGCTGTTCAGCATGCGCGCCATGGGTGCCGAAGCGGATCCGCGCGACGACGAGGTGCTGCCGCAGATCATCGGCATCATCCCCACGCTGCCGGACCATCCGAAGCTCAAGTACGCCGGCCTGCTCGTGCTGTCTCGCTACACCGAGTGGATCGACATGCATCCGGACCAGATCCCCGCACAGCTGTCGTACATCAGTGCCGGTCTCGACCAGGCCGGTAGCGATGTCACCGCCGCAGCCGCGCAGGCGATGAACTTTCTCTGCCAGGACTGCCACCGCCATCTGGTACCGTATCTGCCGCAGCTCTACGACTTCTTCCGCTCGGTCAACGATAAGCTTGGCCCGGACGATTTGGTGGCGATTTCGGAGGGCATTGCGCATGTCATTGCGGGCATGCAGTCGAGCGAGGCACCGCAGGCACTCATGCAGTTTGCACAGCCGCTGCTCGAGGCCCTCAACCATGTGGCGGCACAGCCGGGGGCGGGAAAGGACGAGCTGCGCAAGGCGGCGGATCGCATGGAGCAGCTGGAAAAGATGCTCGGCGTCATTGGGTCGTCGCTCGCAAGGCATCTTCCGGAGGCATGTGGCAAGACGTGCGAAGAGGCATACGCTGTGCTGGACCGCATGCTGGCCGCGCACGGCCACGTGTACTTTGTCTCGGAGCGCGCATGTGCACTGCTGCGACGGGGACTGTCGTTCTTCGGCGCACTTGCCGGCGGCAGTTTGGTGGCGCTGCTCGAGAGGTTGGCAACGTGCTTTGAACAGACGGGTTTTCCCGGGTATGTGTGGATCACGGGCAAGTGCATCGACCAGTTTGGGCGCGATGCAAGCATGCCCGTCACAGCGGCGCTGCAGGGTGCATCGGACCGGGTGAATGCCAAGGTGGTGCAGCTTCTCGACAACACCATGCCCGCCGAGATGGGCGATGTGCTCGACGACTACATGCACACCTGTCTCGCAGTGCTGCAAAGTGTTCCTGCGGTGCTGCTGCTGTCGCCCAGCTTCCCACACGTCTTCCGCGCCACCCTGGCTGCACTGACGCTGCTCAAGACCGAAACCATCGCCACAGCTCTCGACCTCGTCCTGGGCATCGTCGGGCATGATTCGCTCACCGTTTCGCGCATGCAAGGCGACGCCACACCCTCCGACACCTCAGCCTACGCCGCTGCAATCCGCCAAGTGGTCGCCCAGCACGGATTCCAGCTCACTTCGTCGCTGCTCAACGGTCTCGTAACGCAGTTCAGCCCGGAAGTGATGCCCGTGGTGGTGACGACGCTCAAGGTGCTCACCGGTTCGTTTGCCACCGAGATGCACGCTTGGATCCCATCCATCGTCGAACAACTCCCCACCGCCTATGTGCCCGAAAAGGACAGGCAGGCTTTCGTCCAGAGGTACATGGCCGCCCTCGAGGGCAACAGCCTCGACCAGGTCAAACTCGCCATCAACGCCCTCTACGCCGCCTCGAGAAAGGCTCGAGAACGCACGCGCGTCGACAGAGACGCAGGCCCCTCTGCCCTCCTGGACCGCTAAACCCTCCAAACTGCCTCTCTCACCCACCCTCTCAACACCTGGATGCAAAAAAAGCACCACGCAACACATCACTCACATTCACCTTTTCCACTGCCCGCTCCGCCCCGTGCTGCCCCTTGCGGCTGGTGCAGACTGTACATGGATCGATTGAACCAGAGAAAGAGACCGCGCACGGGCTCGCTACTGTGTGTATTGGTGGTGGTGTAAGTGAAACTCGGAACAACTCATGGTTCAGCAGCACCCGTTCTTCTTGGTGGCGCCGCCGTCGTCTGCGCTGGGCTGGACGGTGATGGTCTCGCCGCCAGAGGGCTTGATGACGTCGTCGGACGATTGGAGCGCCTTGTTGGATACGATGCGGTAGATCTCTGTGAGGATGTTCTGGAACGCCTGTTCTACGTTGGAGGCGTCGAGCGCCGAAGTCTCGATGAACGAGAGGTTGTTTTCGGCTGTCAATGCAAGCAAGTGGGTCGAGAGAGTCAGTACGAGCAAGTCTTTCTTGGCCGTTGCGTGAGGAAGAAAGGAGGACTTACCGGCAAACGCTTTCGCCTCGTCGGTGGGGACGGCGCGGAGGTGTCGCAGATCGCTCTTGTTGCCGACGAGCATGATGACGATGTTGCTGTCCGCGTGGTCGCGCAGCTCCTTGAGCCACCTGGAGACGTTGACGTAGGTGGGGTGCTTTGCGATGTCGTATACGAGGAGCGCGCCGACGGCGCCACGGTAGTAGGCCGAAGTGATGGCGCGGTATCGCTCCTGACCGGCGGTGTCCCAGATCTGGGCCTTGACGGTCTTGCCGTCGACCGAGATGCTTCGGGTGGCGAACTCGACGCCGATGGTGGACTTGGACTCGAGGCTGAACTCGTTGCGTGTGAATCGCGAGAGCAGGTTCGATTTACCCGTGCCCGAGTCGCCGATCAGCACCACCTTGAACAGGTAGTCGTAGTTGGATTCCGCAGCCATGGTGGAGACTTGTGCTGCCAAGCAGGTGCGGGCGAGAGTGAAGAGGTGTTGCGTTCAGCCGAGAGCGAATGTCGCAAAGCCGTAAGGAATACGGTCGGGAAGCGGATCGACGGTGGTTCCCTTTGTGTGCGCTAAGATGGTTTGGGCTGGTGGGCCGGAATCGCAAGACCTGACGGTGTCGATGTGGCGCTCGAGGGTTGAAGAAGCGATGAAGCGAGCCGAGCAGCTGCCGAATAGGATGGTAGAGAGTTCGATGTGTGGTGGCGGTAGCTGTGCTGGAGATGAGCAACGTTGCTGTGCGGAGAGAAGGAAGTGATGGCCAACCGTGCGTGACTTTGCATGTCCGAGCGAAGCTGCTGCTGCTGCTGCTGCTCTCCGCGCTGGCCGAGTGAGCTGCGTGAGAGAGCGAAAGTGCGAGTGCAGTGCGAATTGCCAGTGCAGCGCCAGGTTGCAGCCGCGTGTCGAAAAATCCAACAGCGCAGTGCAGTCCAGTCCAGTGCAGTGGCCCTGTGTGTGTGTCTCTCTCTCTCGCACTGAGCTGCGCGGGTGGCGGCGCGTCGGCTGCACACGCCCAAAATCCTCTCTCTCTCCCTGCGCAATTTGTCCTCTTTTTAGGCTGGGCGCGCTGCTGCCCTGCTGGCGCCACTTCACACCTCTCTCTCTCTCTCTTTGCGAGGACGCGCGCCTGGCACCGCCGATTTCCAATTTCAGTATGGGCGGCACTGGCCCCCTCGATCTCACCACTGACACCGCAGCCGCCTCCCGATCCGCCATCCAAAGCGCGCGCAACAGACTCGACTCTAACACTCCGTAAGCCAAAAATTGTCTCTGTCGAGACCTTGCAAGGATGCCATGGCCACCCACCATCTTCACAGCACGAGACAGCACACACACACGCTGTCCAGACGTCGCAGAGTCATGGACGACAGAATAGGATGATACGGAGTCATATTGGCGAAGAGACTGCAAGAGCAAATGAGAGCAGGACGCAGATCCACAAAAAAGGGTCAGCAGTCTGAACGCTGTATGCTCTGTGCTTCTGCATGGCCATGATCGCGAGTATACGCTGCGAGCGAGCTGCGAGTGCCATACGACGACAGCTCAGTGATGCATGTTTGGCTGTATGCTATAGTCACTCTTCAATGGATTTGCAGTCTGGGGCGACACTGTGTGCTCATCATCGCTGGTCCTCGTTTTGGCCCTCTGCAGATTTCGCGCGGCGTATCCTCGGCGGTCATGGCGTCGGATCGAGTCGAAACTTACCCGTTACGATGCAGACCACCCTCCGCCCAACTTGCGGCGGTGGAATGGCCTCGGTGTGTCGATCCAGGAAAGAGAGCGAAGAGGGAGTGCGGGACGTCGATACTTACCTGCTTGCCTCGCACCTCGAGCGCCTTTCGCCTTGTGAGCAGAAGAGCGCTCTGCGGTGCAAGGCATCAAGAATGTCGGTCGAGAACGCTGCCGACTTGCAAACGATCCGACGCGCCTCCATGATGGTCGCGATCCTGGGACGTTGTGCGTCGGGATTCTCACGAAGAGACTCACCATCGCCATCCTCGGACCATCACGTAAACATCGGCACGCAGCCGTTAAGCTGCACAACGAATGCGGCGCATGCGGACCTCGCCGGTATCAGCAGAAGCTACGACCAACCGCAGCCTGCCACGAGCGACAGCCACGGCGGAGCAAAGGCCCTTTGGCCAATGTCTCCTCTTACTCTTGAAGACGGGAACGCGAACTTGGCACGGTGGATAAGTCCAAGCTCGAACTTTTGTGTCTGTTGGCGTGGGGAATCGTCGTGCAGGAATCAGCATGCCGTTCTGCCGATCATCAAATCGAAGCCCGAGGCTGGAACTTGATATCAACATACCTTCTTGGATTTTTGTTCGAAGAGAAGAAGAAGGGAGATGCCAGCTTGCGACGGGCTTTTGTAGACTGGCCCGCCACTGCTCACCTCCAAGGCCTCACCACCGCGCGCTGGCCTGCAAGAAGAAAAAGTCGCAGAGAAAAAAAACCGCGGCAGGGCAAAGAAAGCAAAAAGGCTCAAGTCACGTGGAGACAAATTGTAAGATCTGCCGGTCGTACATTCCGAAAAAAATCGACCTTCACGCGACGTGGAGGTGATCTTCCAAAGGAGTGTGCTTTGGCGTCAGATGGACCCTGAGGACTGCGCCAAATGCTTTGTGGGATGCTGCTGCACCGTCCTCTCTTTGCGACATCACAGCATCCCCACCCAGAGCAGACTCGGCTTGACGATAGTCATACAGACGGCAATTGCCACCTTGCTTGCTCCCGCCCTCTGGCCACGCAAGACTTTACGATGGCCAGCTATGGATCTTCACCGGCGCCGTCGCCAGGATCGCCTGCCTATCGCAAGGGCGTAGCATTCGGTCAGCCCGGCTGGCGTGCCTCTCGCGCCTCTCGCGGCCGCGCGAGCGGGATCGACTCGCCCCTCTACCGCAACAGCCCTACCTTTGGATCGGCTTCCCCTTCTCTCAGGGGCGGAACGCCATCGTCCCTTCGCGGCACCCCCCAGCCAAGCGGCCCATATGGACTCATCCCGAGCTTGTCGGTGGCTTCGATCAACCAGCAGCCGCTTCGGCCGGACGACTCTGCTGCTGGACCAGCAGACTTCGATCCAGTGGATGGCACTGATCAGCGCTCGAGTCCTGCGCCGTTAGGCCAAACAGCCAAGAGACGCTTCATTCGCAAGCGGCCGCTTCTCGAGCGGATTCAGCACTGGCCAATTGAAACGTACGATCGTCTCACGTCGTATGTGCTCGATATCGAGGAGCAGCTGTTTGCAGACCAGGCAGGCAATGTGCTCGGTGCCATCCTGCATGCTCTGTCCTTCCTCGCGCTGTTTTTGTCTCCCGAGTCGAGTCTGGGATCGTGGATCATGAACAAGCCAGCTTACCGCAAGGCGCAGAATCCCGCTATCGCCTACGAGTACCTCGTCAGCCATGCGGCCGATGAGTACGCCATGGCAGATGCTCTCAAGCGACACGCTCGAAAGAGTGCCGTGTACAGCGCATCCGATCGCTTCTTTCGCTTTGCATCCACCGCCATCTTCATCGCCATTTTCGTGACTAGCTGCATCAACGCCTACGTCTTTTTCGCAAAACGCCGAACGTACAAGTTCTACTCCCAACCCAAGCCACACGAACCTGCGAATTCGAGCATGCACACCAAACATGGCATCCGTCAGCTGCTCATGTGGGACCCGACGCCGTACGCAGCCAATCTGTTCGCAACCTTCTCGCCTGCCCACGCCGTCATCTATCCAGCAGCCGCTTTGATCGAAATGGGCCCAGTGGCTTGGATCATCTTTGTCTTTTTGCTCGGCGCTGTCTCGGCTCCCGTCCATCTCATCCTGCACCAGTACCAACAGCTTCTTAAGGACAAGGGTGTTGTGCAGGCCGCCGTGCTCACCGAATACAACGAAAAGTACGTCTACCCACGTGCCACCCCCGTCGTCCGCGACCAAACCAGCCAGACCGATCTTTAGCGCCACTTCACCCTGCTCAATCACTTCGATACCCAACGCAACAATTGCAATGCTACTCTGTCTTGCCTCTCGATTCGCGCGCTGTCTTTCGGGGGTACATCTGTGCTGCAACGACTGCCTTGCACTCTCGCTCGCACTATTGACGGACGCGTCTCTTATGGAAGAGCATGTGCGCTTTCTTGGTTCGAAGCTTGGGTCACGTTAGCGCTTCCCAGGCTTGATAAGGCCTACCCGCTGGAGGAGCGAGACGCGTCTCTGCATGGTCGGGATGGGCTGCGAGGGGACACCACCCTGATCGTGGCGGAAGCTGAGCAACAAGATATCAGTGTGCGAACAAGTCAGTAGCGAACAAATGCGAGCGACTGGGAGGCTCTGATCGACTACTCACCAGCAGCGGGAGGCGTACGGGCAGTGTCCGTAACTGTCATTGAGGCGACACCAGAGCATCGCAGATGATGCTTCGTTCAGCACGAGTCTACTGGTGCAGAGTAGGATCGAGCGACTTACAGCATGAACACCTTGCACGGCCTGGTCTTCCAGCGTGGATCGCGCGGCAGGCGACGCAGCTCTTCCTCGCCATGCGCATACTGGCATCGACTGCAACCCACCACCAAACGAATCCATGGATCAGCATTCTTACCGCGCCCAAAAGGAAGCGTCGAGACAAACTCACTTTCCATAAAGGCATTTGCCGCGTTCCTCCCAGTTGCGGCAGATCTCGGTCTTGAACAGCTCCATCTTTTTGTTGTTGGGCGACGGGCTCGGCGCCGCAGCCTGACGCCCGCTCCAGGCGTCTTTGGCCTGTCGAGGCTCGACCGGCCTCGGGGCGGTGAAGGTGTCTTGCATCGGGAAAAATTTGTACTGCTGACCGGTGCGAAGGTTTCCGTGGCCCTGCAGCTGGCTTATCAGCCTCGATTCCTGCGATGCTCCAGCCAGGATTCCCGGGCCGATGCTGGGGGCGCTCATGCTCCTGGGCAGATCCGTAGCGGTGAAACCGGGAGGTGCATGCGGTCCCTGCCAGCTGAATGTATGAGCATGGGGAGAAAGCTTGCCTAGCTGGACTGACGCCGGGAAGGGCTCGGAAGGCGAGCGGGGCCAGTGGCGTGTCTCATCGCCGAGAGGAGAAGAAGTGTCCGAGTCGGAGCCGTGGTAGCTGCCATACGAGGTGCGGGTCCAGTGCGGCACCTTGCTGACCGGCTCATCGAAGGTGGGGACGTCCAGCGAGCCGCTGGGCAAAGCATTGCCGATGACACGAGGCGGCTCTTTACGAGTCTCGAGCTCTGACCAGATGGACGGCTTGGAGGTCTTGTTGATCCACGAGGCCTGGTTTTTGCTCGACTCGACGGGAAGATCCCAGCTCCAATCGATCGGCTGAGACGATCGCTGAGCGGGAAAGAGAGGAGCGTCGTCGAGGCTCAGCTGGCCAAAGAGCTGGTCGTCAAAGTCGAGGGAGCGGCTGTCGCGGGAGGAGGACGAGCTCTGGGTTCCAAGGTTTCCACCGGCGACAAAGGGGTCCGGACGATGAAGGGAAGGATAGAAAGTCGGAGGACTGTTCAGCGGAAGAAGAGGCGGGGCTGGTCCGAAGAGTCCTGGATTCTTGCGACTCTGATTCTCGTATTGTCTGTAGTCGGCTGTTCCGGCAGACATCGCGGTGTCGCGGGATGACGGGATGGAATGGATCATGGATCAGGATCCTCAAACGGAATAGAGCTGATTCATTGGAGTCTGGAAAGGTGGATACGGTAAGTAGGATGCTCTCGCGCACAGACACTGCAGGTGGGGATGCGGGCGGCAGCGCGATAGCAGGCGGAAGGGACAAAGCTTTAGACTCACGAGGGGGTGTGCGGAGCCAAAATAAGGATAGGGAAAGGACAAAGCGTGCAACCAGGGTCAGAGGGCAGATGAGGGGCAGTCGGGGTGGGCAAGCTCGCGATGTCGTCTGGATAGACGGACAGCAGAGAGGAGACCAGGGGGGAAGGGCGGTCGACTGCGGGCCTTTATACCGCCAGCCGGGTTCTTCCGCATGCCGGAGAGGCCATGTTGCTGTCTTGCTGTAGAGGTGCAATGCCTGTGGCGATGTGCGGGAACGTAGGAAAGTGGGCACGTTGGCTGCCGCAATCTGATCCTTGGTCAACTCTGATTGCGTGACAACTGCACGCCGTGTGAACGGTTTGGACGATGCGCCAAGGAGCGGCAAAAGCAAGCAGAGACGATGGCTGGGGCAAGATGCCTGGGCGCTGTGATGGACGATGACGACGGATGGTTCCGATCATGGGCGGAGGCACGAAGCTTGCGCCTAAGTTAGTTGTCGCTGGAATTGGCTCGCTTGCGATTGCGAGACTGTGCTTGCTGCGCCGTCGTCTCGCATCGCCATGTCGAGCCAAGCTAGAGCATCAGCCACGCTTCTTGTCGAGCGTGAGAAAGCACAGCTGCACCGTTTTCCCCAGGCAAGAATTCAGACCACTGTAGTTGATCTGGTGTTGGTTCGCACTCTGCGACCAAGACGAGGGACCGTCTGCATCTGCACCGACTGTGAAGGCCGCAAAAGACTCGTATGGGTTTAAAGTTTGAAGCTGCAAGAGCAGTGACGATGCCGAAATGCGCAACCGCAACCTCGACTCCTGCACGCCCGTCGCCCATGCGAGCCGTGGATGAGGCAGATGAACCGCACTTCAGCCCTCCGCCAATGATGTCCTCGCCGTTGACGGCAAATCACCGTGCCGCCGACGGGCTCGAAGACAGAACAGTAGCGCAGCCTTTCAAGTTCTTTCCGTCACTTGCAGTGTGAGTTCATGCTTGCGCTCCGGTCGATAGCGCATTGTGTGACTTGAATGACTTCGAGAATGTTCGTGGCGTTTCTTGCCGGCGCAAAGATTGCCGTGTCGATGCGCCCTTCAAGATGCAGTTGTGGACTCACGCCGTTCCGTAATCTCATACTCGACGTTTGAAGGGTCCGTGGCTGCCATTGACGCCGACGTCAAAATCAACGCGACGCATCACGGCCCCTGCACCACACTTTACACCACAGCTATCCTGCCGGAACAGGCGGGGTCAATAGTCAACTCAGATCACTCCAAGGACTGGCGGGTCTCTTGATCATGTTCGGCGGTCACATGGCAGTAAGGATGCGTGTACGCAGCAAGATGAAAGCGTGCCCGCCGGTGGGTCCACTTGTGCGGTCTCGAGCTCTGATTTTCTGCGGAACGCGTCCCTCAACGGGCGCTCGGCTCTTCCGCCTGTCGAGCGTGCCGTGCCCACGCGCCTGGCGCATGACGAGCTCTGGACGCGCGCCACTTCTGCCTTTCTTTGATTTTGGGTGTCCAATTTCTGAAAACCGGATGGCAGGCAGGCAAGGCGAGGCAAGGCGAGGAGAAAGACAGGCCCGCTGGCTGCGGGACTGGCGATTCTTCCTGCTCGTGCAAAGCGGCGGCAGGACGCCTGCAGCTTCCAACACGGTCGATCTGCACCTGTCTCCCTCGCTCTCTCCCTCTGGCTCATCCGCTCCAGTCGAAGGCGACTGGCTACTGCATCCTTGCCCATCGCCTCGATCTCCTCCCATCCCTCTGCTCTATCCATCCATCCTCACACCGTGGCTCACCCCCCGCTTGTGTGTGCAGTGATCTCGGTGTCGAACGCACCCGGCTGGCCTCCGCTGCTCGCATCCGAATTTCGTCCGCGAACCCGACACGCATTTTACGCCCACGCGCTCCACCTCGGCGCGCTTTGTTGTTCTGGCGGCCATCCCTCCTCGCGGTCTTTCCGAGCATCTTCGTTTCGGCCGCCAATCTTTTCCAGCTGTGGCCGCAGCACGCATCTTTGGCGTCGTCTCTCGTCGCGAATCGGATCTGCCGCCACCGCTGCTGTGATCGTCGCGCCGCCACTCAGCTTGGCGACGTGACGAGGTCTCGCGACCCCTCCGCCTTGCAATCCGTAGGCGCCCGCGCTCCAACATGACGTCCCCTCTGCGCCGGTCCACGCGCGGCACTAGGAATGCCGACGCAACAGCAACCTCACCCGAGCCATCCGCCATGTCGCCTTCAGCATCACCTACAAAGCTCGATCGCAAGCGTAAGCGCCTAGATGAGCCCGAGGAACAGCCCGCCGAGCTGCATACACCCGATCAGCATGCATCGGCTGCAGCATCCAACAGCGCTGCCAACGGCCACTCGGACGCCCCAGCCCCGTCCGACAGGGCTAATGGCGTCACTGACGACGCTGCGACACAAGACCCCAGCCAAAAGAAGCAGCTTCCACCGAACCTGCAGGCGCTTCTCGGCATCTCCAGCTCGCGCACTACACAACCACCAGCTCAAGACAAGACCGCCGACGAATCATCGTCCAGCAAGGTGGATGAGCTGGTGCTGCTCGAGGAGGACGCTACAAAGCTGCTCGCCATCGCCGACACCTTGAACGTGGCCGACCTTCCTGCGACCGCACCGCAACCAGATGTCAAGGGCAAATCGCGCAGCGCCAAAGCATCATCGACGGCATCGCATGCAATCCGCGCTATCTTGCAACCCGGCACGCCCCTGCGCGATGTGCGAGCACGTCTGCTCAGCGCCAGGGAGCCGCTTCTGTCCAAGCCACAGGTGGCCCAGCATCTGCGCACATCGCAGACCGCGACTCCGCCTGAGTCCCTCTCAACAGACCTGGCCCACCTTTCGAGCCTCACCCTCATCCTTGGCCTCGTCGATCAGCTTGCCTCCCGCCTGCGCGAATCGCACCCGCACACCGACGCCATCAAAGCCGAGCTGCTTTGCGCCGATGTGGAAACGCGAGCACGTCTCTTGGAGAGCAGGATGGCGCAGACAGCCAAGACAGGCAAGGCTACCGCAACCCAGAGCGCCCGGGTCCACGTCAGACCACCAGGAGACCGCCCCTCGGACGTTGAAGCGACCAACAGATACGCTCTGCACATGCGTCTGCCTCGAGGCGACTACTTCACCAAAGCAATCCCGCTCGATTGCGACCAGCTCAAGAAACTCGACCCCGCCCAGGCCGACATTGTGCAGATCAGCGCGCAAAGCGAAGAGCAGATGCGCACGCTCAAACGCCAGGGCCACGTGCCCACTCCCACGCTCGGACAGAGGTTAGGAAGAAGCGGCCATCGACACCGAAGCGACTCCAAGCGATCCATGCAGCCCAAGCTTCAGCCGGTGACGTTCCTCAACTACGGCAACTACGCTTCCTTTGCACCCTCGTACGACTCGTCGGCATCCTCCATCAGCTACGCCACCAGCGCGGCGCTTTGGCGCACCTCTGCCAAAGCACATCGCTCGCTATCGCTGACGTGGGGCGCAAGGCCCTTCCAGGAGGAGGCTCTGCTCGCAGACGACGACGAAGACGACGGAGAGGACGCGGAAACTTCTTCTGAAGCCATTGCCGCTCCGGCTGCGCTTTGCGGTGCCGCACATGTGGACGCTGAAGGCGATGTTGCCATGGAAGACTCGCCGGAAGATGACGTTGCTGCTGCACTGCGCGAGCTGCTCGATGGCGTCGACCAAGGAGGTGTCAACGAGAGCTTGCACAAGCTCAGCGAGGATGAGCTGATCACCTCGCATCTGCGATTCAACATGATGCTGCTCCACCGCCTGCAGGAGTTCCAATGGGCGCGTCTTCGCAGGTCCTACGGCCCAGGTGCCTCTTCACGCAAGGCCATCCTGGCGACCGAGGAGGAATCGCCGAGCGCCGACGAGGAGGCCACCGCCGCACTCTTGTTGGAGTCGCTAAGCGCCTTGGTGGCGCTGCAGCCGCGCGCTGTTGATCTTGCCTCGGAAGCGGTCGAGAGCTTGGTGCCGCATGCGAGCAAGCTGCGTGCCTTCTCAGCCAGCAGTGGCGCCATCGACCCGGATCTGCTCGGCGACGTTCGCGATGGGTTCTGGGGAGCTCTGGATGCCAACGTGGTCAAGTCCACGCGCAGCAGCGTCGTCGCTTCCGAGACTCCCTTGCTGCTGCGCGACGACGTGACTGTCAGACTGGCCGATGGCAGCGGATCCAAGGCCAAGAAGACGTCGCGCAGGATTGGCCCCGGCGGCACGCAGGTGGAGGAACGTGGTCGTGGAACTCTGGAGCGATTCGCATCGAGCCGCACGTACGACCAGAGCAACGACCGACATGATGTTGAGCCAGCGCGAATGACCGATCCTCAACACGCAACGCTGGCCCGAAGCCCCTCGAAAGGCGATGAAGCTCCCTCAGCAACGCGGACACCCTCACAGGGACCCTCGCACGCGTCGCCGATGCCTGCCCACCCACACATGCACGCAGCATACGGCCCGGGCCAAGCACAGGGCATGACGCCGCAGTCACAGCGCCTCATGCCGGGGCCCAATTCGTCGTACGCTTTCGCCAGTCCCTCGGGCGGTCCCAACCATCTCGGTCGACCCATGCAGTATCAGCAACCCGCCTACGCTCAGTCGCCATCGAGATAATATTGAAGATCGCATTGGGCATCGAGCGTACCTACATCCTTTCCCATGCCTCTAATCAGATTACCGTGTCACCTTCTCCTGACCCCTTGTGCGGCCGGCAGTGTCCGAGTGTCAGAGTGCCGAACAGAGCCAGCAGCGGAAGAAGGGTTGATGGCGAAATTTCGAATTTGTTAGATCCAAGAATCGAGGCTAGATGCACGTGATCCCAAGGTCGCGGTGGGTGTTGGTCTCTGCTTTTAGGCCCTTCAGGTCAGTGTTGTAGAAATTTACTCGACCGGCAGCTGCGAGGCAGCGAGGCACCGAGGCACAGTTGCTGAGTTGCTAGCGTCGTCTCAGCAGCACAGAGCACAGCTGCTCTATATCAATCTTCATCCATCTTCCCGGCGGCATCATACTAGCGGCTACATCAAGACTCGAAACGACAACCCACAAGAGGCAGCACACTGCAGCGGTTTCAAAAAGAGCCTTCAAGACAGCCAAGACCTGGACTGCAGCAGTGCAAAGGCGATCGTGAAGGACTAGGAGGCCGCGATTTCCCGGTCAACGAACATGACTTCATCCACAGCAGGCCACAGGCTTGGGGCATCGAATGGGATCGCCATGGACTCTCCACTCAAGGATGTGACGTCGAACATGCGCGACATGAAGCTCGGCGCTTCGCCAACCAAGGGTGGACTCAAGGGCGCACCTGGACGTCTGGGCCTGTCTCGAAAGGACCGACTAGACACGGTGCCGTCTGCTTCGGCTGATCTCAAGGTCGGCATCACCAGAGACTGGCAAGGCCCGGAAAAGTCTCTCAAGCCCAAGGTCGCTGCGAGCATTTCGGTAAGTCGTCCCCCAAATGACGGTCGGTCGAAAGGCGTTCAGCATTGCAGTGCGCGTCCGGCTAACATTGTATGATCTTGATCTGCGCTTGCCTTGCGGCAAAATGGACAGCGCGGCGACCGCTACATTCCGAACCGGGAGCTGAAACGATCCACCACTCCGCATGCGCACACGGACGGAGACGGCGACACGATCCGCTCGCAGATGTCCAGCGATGCCACTGACCCTAACATCGCTGCCAACATAGCCGCGGCGAATGCTAATCCGACCGATCTGGAGGGCCACCCTTCGTTCGAAGACTCGGTGTCGGGCGAGATGAGCCAAAGGATCCTGTCGTTTTCGGCAGCGCCGCCGAGCTCTTTGGCGAACCCGGACGTGCGTAGCCGATACGCCATGGCCAAACCCAAGTCGGCATTGCCTAGCAGCCTGCAGAGCGCAGGCCGTAGAAGGATCCCGACGACACCAGAGAGGACGCTGGATGCGCCGAGCATGGTGGGTGACTTCTACTACAATTTGCTCGACTGGTCGTCCACAAACATGGTGGCGGTGGCGCTGCAGACGGGGTTGTGGATCTGGAACGGCAACACGGGCGATGCATGCGCGTTGCTCGACACGTCGACGCAGCCGGAGAAGGTGGGCGGTGGAGGCCTGATCACGGGAGTGCGATGGGATGCCGATGGCAACATCCTCGCTGTGGGACTGGAGGGCGGCTTTGTGCAGATCTGGGATGTGGAGTCGAGCACGCGCATGCGCACGCTCAAGCCCACGGGAGATGGGGGTGCCGACCACGCTTCGGTCAACGTGGCTGCCTGGGCACCGGACGGTACGCTCAACGCAGGATTCCAGAGTGGCATCATTCGCGAGTACGACGTGCGAGAGCGAGATGCGGTGACGCGAACGCTGGAAAAGGCGCACCACGGACCCGTGTGCGGCATGGAGTGGCGATCCGACAGCGCGCTCATGGCTTCGGGAGGCAACGACAATGTCGTCAAGGTGTGGGACCGCCGTACCTCGGTCGCCAAGATGCGCAAGGAGAACCACCAGGCTGCGGTCAAGGCGCTTGCCTGGTGTCCGCACAACCTGAGCCTGCTGGCCACGGGCGGTGGCACGAGCGACCGCAACATCCACTTTTGGAATACGACGCAGAACTCGCGAACCATGACCATCTCGACGGGCGCGCAGATCACCTCGCTGCACTGGGCGCCGCACTACCGCGAGATCGTCTCCACCCACGGCCTCGGAACCACCGAGTCGAGCAAGGGCCTCATGAGCATCTGGTCGCATCCCTCGGGCACCAAGGTCGCCGAGATCGAGGCGCACGAGAAGCGCGTGCTCCACTCGAGCCTCAGCCCGGACGGCGAGGTGCTCGCCACCGTGAGTGACGACGAAGAACTCAAGCTCTGGAGGATCTTTGAAAAGCCCGTCGAGTCGTCCAAGGGCGCCAAAGCCGCGGGCGGCATGACCTCACATGGCAGCAGCGGAGCTTCCAGCGTCCGCACCCTCCGTTGAAGCCTCGACCCCCTCCCTTTTGCTCCGATTTGTTTCTGTTGTTCGCTACTATACCACATGCATTCTTCCATCCATGACCGCTCAATGGCACTATCGTACAGTCTCAGCCAGCTTTTCTTTGCTCCGCCACGACGAGCGTCTTCGTCTGGATTGGAGGGCTGGACTTTGTGTGAGGAGCCGCGCGGCAGCAGGCGCGCGCGCGCTCGCATACATGCCGCAGAGAGAGAGAGAGAGAGAGAGAGCGAGGCGCGTCTCGGTCGCGCTGGAACGTGTCGCGTTAATTGCACTTTCCATTTACGCGTCGGTCGGCTCTGTTGATGCGCACCGAGCGAGTCGCGTTCCGACGCTTTTGCGAAAAATGGGCCTTTGATCGACCCAAACGGGCACTGCAGCTGTGTCGTGAGGCATGCGAAAGGCCGCCCTTTGGCGCGCTGCGGATCGACCGGTCGCAGGAGGGACACGGACAAAGTGCCTCAAAGCAACACTCTCTGGCGGACAAGTTCAACACCCTCTTTCCTCCAACGCCGGCGCACGAGCAGAACAGACACGCAAGTCCCAACGCAGTCCTTCCCTCCTCCCTTGCATCCTCTTCGACATTGCCCTTATCCAAACCGGCTTCACCTTGACTAACTAGACTCTCTGGACTCGAACGTCCATCTACTCGGTCCTCAACCTCGGAGACGCTTCGAGGTACACAACACACATCGTCGACCGCAACGCACTGCGGAATCACAAGCACAAAATGTCGACGCCAGGCGGTCCCCCCAGCGACGCCGAGATGCGCGACGCCGAACAGCGCACGCCCCTCGCACCGGCTTCTAATCGAAACCAATTGGCAGGAGCCTCATCTCCGTTGGCTTTCCCTTCCAGCAGCCCCCTCAAAAGTCAGGCTTCCGGCATGCGAGCACCTCAGAGCTCGATCGGAGGTAAGTCGATCGTCTTGATGGCACAAAGCATGCTGCATCGCGTCGTTGCTGACCCTTTATTATCACGTCCGTTCTCACGTCTCGCTCAGCTTCGTCTCCTCTTCACTTCCCCACATCGTCTCCGTCAGCGAGGACTTCGAGAGGTCAGAGGACTCCTGTGGCCTCGGCGAGACGCAGTGGCAATGCCGAGAACCGTCTGCCCTCCAGCAGCAGCGGCATCAGCCGTCTCGATGAGCCCCTCTTCTTCCCTAGCTCCGGCGGCACCACACCTCGCCACCAGCGTCGTGGCGAGATCCATTCGTCCGTCGCCCTCTCCTCCCCTTCGATGCTTCGAAGGAACCGCCTCAACCAGGCGTCCATGCAGGCCACTCAGGGCGGCGACACGATGCCTTCGCGCGCATCCTCTGTTTTTGGCGGCAGCCAGCACACCGCCGACCAGAACAGCGACGCCATCAGCCTCTCCCAGCACGGCGTCACCAGCGATGCCGCGGGCCCAGCACAAGACGGCGTCTCCAAGGTCATCTGGGGCACCAACGTCTCGATCGGCGAGACCATGGAGATGTTCCGTTCTTTCCTGCGCGGCTTCCGCCTCAAGTACAGGTGGGCGCACGCCAAGAAGAACGGCATGCCGCTTCCGCCCGCCGCCTCGGCCAATCCCGCCGAGGGCGAGCGCCTCGTCTACGAAGGCTACCTCCGCCGCATGCGCATCACCGACCAGACCAACCTCAACCTGCGCATCTCGGACCTCGAGGCGTACCCTCCATCCAAGAGGCTCAAGATGCAGCTCATCCGATACCCGCAGGAGATGGTGCCCATCATGGATCAGGTGCTCAAGGACGAGATGCTCGAGATGGCCTACGAGGACCAGAAGGAGGGTCGCGACGGCATGGGCGGCGACATCGGCCTCGCCGAGATCGAGCTCATGGAGACCAAGCTGTACAAAGTGCGTCCGTACGGCGCCGACGCCATCAACATGCGCGACCTCAACCCGGCCGACATTGACAAGCTCGTCACTGTGCGCGGCCTCGTCATCCGCGCCACGCCGATCATCCCCGAGATGAAGCAGGCCTTCTTCCGATGCCTCGTGTGCAACCACACGGTGCCCGTCGAGATCGACCGCGGCCGCATCGCCGAGCCCGACCGCTGCCCGCGCCAGGTGTGCAACCTGCAGGGATCCATGTCGCTGATCCACAACCGCTGCGAGTTTTCGGACCGCCAGGTGGTGCGCATCCAAGAGACGCCCGACGTCGTGCCCGACGGCCAGACGCCGCACACGGTGAGCATGTGCGCGTACGACGAGCTGGTCGACGTCAGCAAGCCCGGTGACCGCGTCGAGATCACCGGCATCTTCCGCAGCACGCCCGTGCGCGTCAACCCGCGCCAGCGCAGCCTCAAGAGTCTCTACAAGACCTTTGTCGACATCCTGCACATCAAGCGCACCAACGGCAAGCGCCTCGGCGTTGACCTCTCCACGCGCGACGCCTCCGAGCAGGCGGCTGGCCCGGGCGCACAGGCCGTCGGCGTCGGAGGCGACGAGGACGACGAGGAGGTCGACGTGCACACCACGCTCGGCGTCGCAGACGACGTCGACCTCTCGCGCAGCCAGGATCTCGAGGACAAGCTGCGCTCCATCGCCGACCGTCCCGACGTGTACGAGCTGCTCTCGCGCAGCTTGGCACCCAGCATCTACGAGATGGACGATGTCAAGAAGGGCATCCTGCTGCAGCTCTTTGGCGGCACCAACAAGACCATCAGCACCGGAGGCGGCGGAGGCGGACCTCGCTACCGTGGCGACATCAACGTGCTCATGGTCGGCGATCCGGGTATTGCCAAGTCGCAGATCCTGCAGTACGTGCACAAAATCGCACCGCGAGGTGTGTATGCCTCGGGCAAGGGTTCGTCCGCCGTGGGTCTCACCGCTTACGTGACGCGCGATCCGGACACCAAGCAGCTCGTGCTCGAGTCCGGTGCGCTCGTGCTTTCCGACGGCGGTGTGTGCTGCATCGACGAGTTCGACAAGATGTCCGAGGCCACGCGCAGTGTGCTGCACGAGGTGATGGAGCAGCAGACGCTCAGTATCGCCAAGGCCGGCATCATCACCACGCTCAATGCGCGTGCCTCGATCCTCGCCGCCGCCAACCCGACGGGCTCGCGATACAACGTCAACCTGCCCATCACCAAGAACATCGATCTGCCGCCCACGCTCATCAGTCGTTTCGACCTGGTCTACCTCGTGCTGGACAAGATCGACGAGGCCAACGACCGACGCCTTGCGCGCCATCTGGTGAGCCTGTACCTGGAGGACAAGCCGGATACGGGCGGCAAGGATGTGCTGCCGATCGAGACGCTCACTGCCTACATCTCGTACGCACGCAACCGCATCTCGCCCGTGCTCACCAAAGAGGCAGGCGACGCGCTCGCTGCGCGCTACGTCGAGCTGCGCAAGGTGGGCGAAGACCCACGCAATGCCGAGCGCCGCATCACCGCCACTACGCGACAGCTCGAGTCGATGATCCGTCTCTCCGAGGCACATGCGCGCATGCGCTTCGCCGACGAGGTCATCATCGACGACGTCGAGGAGGCCGCACGTCTCATCCGCGAGGCAGCCAAGTCCTCCGCCACGGACCCGCGAACGGGCCTGATCGACCTCGACCTCATCAACACCGGCCGCTCGTACCACCAGCGCAAGCTCGCCGGCGACCTGCGCCGCGAGGTGCTCCAGCTGCTCGACGAGATGGGCAGCACCTCTGGCAGGGCCACCTCTCCGTCGGGCCCTTCGCCCACCGCGCCCACCAAGGCGGTGCGATACGTCGACCTCGCCAAGGCACTCAACGACCAGTCGTCCGTGCCGGTCGACCCAACCGACCTGTACGAGCTCGTGCGTACGCTCGAGAGCGAGGGCGTCGTCAAGACCGCCGGCGAGCGCGAACGCAAGACCGTGCGCCGCATCAACGCCTAGCCTTCAAACTCCATCCTGATTCCCTCGGTCCGCTTCTCCTTGTCACTGTTGCTTTGTGTTTCCATTCCTGCTCGTGTTGTGTAGTTATACAGAATCGTGACCATTTTGACACAGATTAGCAAGAAGTGGGTTGGAGACTAGGACTTTGGCTTCCAGCGACTGTGATTTTGGTGTGGCTGCTCGGGCCCTTTTTTTGGCTGATTTGTGGAGGCCTGACGGTGCGCGCGCACAGTCCAGCGTGCACCGGCAGCTACGCGACTCAGCCGCCGTGGCTGAGCGGACCCTGAGAACATCCATCTGAGCCGTTCGTCATCACTTCCATCCGCACTGCATCCACATCCAAGCGTCCACACCAGCATGGACGAAGCACTGCCCAACCCACCAGCACAGCTCAAGGCGCTCCTGCCATTCGTGCAGAGGGCAAACGAGCTGCGCACCGCCGACAAGGTCATCGCGTACTGGTGCTGCTACTACGCCGCGCAGCTCGGCATTTCTGGCAATCCCAGCGACAAGGAAGCCAAGATGTATCTGCTCACGCTCATGGATACGCTCGAGGACCTCAAGTCCAAGCTGTCCGACAACGACGCCGTGACCAACGACGCAGCCAGCTCGGCGTATGTTGAGAACTTTGCGCTCAAGGTGTTTGTGGGCGCCGACAACCAGGACCGCGCCGGGAAGGCGACCCGAGCCACCGCCAAGACGTTCCTCGCAGCAAGCCAGTTCATCGAGCTGCTCAAGATCTTTGGTACGATCGAGCCCGAGATGCAGGAGAAGATCAAATACGCCAAGTGGAAGGCGGCCGACATCGCCAAGGCATTCAAGGAGGGCAGGAAGCCCACACCAGGCCCCGCGGGCGGAGATCCTAAGCTCGAGGCAGCTATGGGACCCGAGGCGGTCACCAAGGACGAGCAGGAGTACCTCGCGCGAGAGATGGCCAAGCTGACCACGGGTGCGTCGGACGAAGCTGTCGCCGGCGCCGGCGCTGGGGGCCCCGATGTTGCTGATCCTGGCAAAGAAGCTCCGGCAGCACCGAGTACGAGCGTTGTTCCTTCCATCGCAGCGCCGAGCGCTCCCAGCCTATCCCGGGGCAGCAGCTCCGGCGGTCAGAATGTGGTTGCGGCCGCAAGCGTGGCGAGTCACGGACTCGGGAGTGCCTCGCCGGATGCCGAGGAGATGTGGAAGAGGAGGAGCAGCGAGCAGTCGGGTGGAGCCATGTCGCGGAGCTCGTCTACGCACCAGCTGGACTCGAATCGCCCGCAACTGCCGGCCTCGGCCAGCTTTGTGGCTGGACAGGGCTCGAGTCCTGGCTCTCGCCCGCTGCCAGTGCCGCCGCAGCGAGATGGTCTGCCGATCCCTCCTGTGAGCGCGCACCACCAATTTGGGGGCAGCCCAGGGGCAGATCAGGGCATCGGACCCGGAGGGCCTGGTGCGGCACCGCCTCCGTTTTGGGGTGCCTCGGCGCCGCTGTCGAGCAGTCCGCATCTGTCGGACGCAGACGAGTCGGTGCTGCCATCAGTGCCATCGGATCATCCTCCATCGTTGAGCAGGCTCGATAGCCATCCCGCCATCGAGCGTATCGATCCGCCACGTTCGCCCTCGCATGCTCAGCTGCCGTCGTCGCCAGGGCAGGGATCAATGTTGCCCCACGAGATGACGGGATCTCATTTGGCGTCTGCGCCGCCGAGTGCACCTTCTTTTATCACGGCGCCGAACGTGCATGCCAAGGCACAGGCACAGGTGGCGCCACCGTTGGCGGTGCCGATTGCGCCTACGATTGCGCCGACAGTGTTTCCGGAAAGCTTGGATTCCAGACTCTCGACGCGCGTACAGAAGCTCGCCAAGGGCGCGGCGAGTGCGGTCGACTTTGAGGATCTTGAGACCGCACGGCTGCAGCTGCGACAGGCACTTGACATTCTCGAAGGTCGAGTCACACGCTAAGACGAGCCCCATTCAGGTCCCGCTGGGGTAAAGTGTAAGCTCGCTCCGAAAACCCACCCCAGCATCTTCTCGATTCGCGGGCGCCGTTCGGGAGTGGATGCAATGCAACAAAAGTATCTTTGATTCGCGGGCATGTTGCGCTGCTTGGCTTGATGGAATCGCAAAATTATTTTGACATCGCTTCGTCACAGAAGTTGCTGCTTTGTTCGTGTGTGCGGCAGTGTGATCGTGAATACATGGGCTCAGGGCATGCCAGGGGGTGTGGGGAAGCCATTCTTGCACGTAGGCTTCCGGCGGAAGGCCGTGGGACACTGGGTGTCAAGGTGCGGTCGAGCGATAGGCTGGGACAATAGCAAGCTTTGGCGCGCGAGTGCGCGAACGCGTGCGCGCGTCTCGGAACGATCCAGATGAAGTTCAGGTTGTGCTTCAGAGTCAGATACGGGACCTTGCAAAAGGGTTTTGTCGCAGTCGCATCTTGGGGATTCGTCAGAACGTCGTCACTCGACGGATCTTCAGTGAGAATCGTCAGAACGTCGTCACTCGGCGGATCTTCAGTGAGAATCGTCAGAACGCCGTCACTCGACGAGAGTGAGAATTTTCCGGATCCGAGTGATCTTAAGTGAGAATAGAACGTCGTCACTCGACAGATCTCAGTGGAATCGGTCAGAAGATCGTGCTCCGCATTGCTTCGGGGCAGGCTGGTTTGGGTCACTGAGCTTCGGGCGACTTGGCTCGAGCTAATCCCAGGCCCCGTGATTCGTTGAGAGTCGATCTGCCCGATGGCCGATTGCGCTCCCCTACGGACCCACGGTCACGGTGGGACCGTGGGACCCAACTTTACGCTACGACTTCATCTCAACCTTGTCGCGACAAATCTGAGCTCCGACCCACTCGACTTGCACGGCGGAAACTAACTCGACGGCGCCATTGTGTGCTTGCGTCATGGCCGTTTTTGCGCTTCCTTGCACTGATCCGCTCAACTCTACGGTGTCTTGCTGTCTGCACACTGTCTTTGCCATCCGAAACGCCTCCAGGTGCTCGTGTGAGACGACTTGGTATCGTACAGTGTGATCGCACGCGTGAGGAGGACCGAGCGAGGGAGCTGCTTGGGATTCGCCGCATTTCACTGCTGTTGTATGAGTGGCGAGACTGACAATGGACCGTGGGTCTAGGGCGAATCAGTCGGTGCGAGATATGGTTCAACCCGCTTTTGGCTGAATGCAGCTGTCACTCGGCCACTTGACCGTTTGTGCTGGGACGATCCAGCCAACGGAGCCAAAATTCCTTCGAGCCTGAGCTCAACCTTGTGCAAGCTCTCTTTCCGTACGCACATGTTTTGGCTTGTGTCGGCAGGCCTCGTCATGCTGTGGCAAGCTTCCAACCGCGTGGCACAAGCTGTCGCGCATAATCGCCGCTGCTTCCCTCCACTTTGGCTGCTCTCTCCACTCGGTAGGCTTACACTGAGGACGATGTCTGTGCAACACTATGCTCTGACTCGGAGGTTGAGGTTCACATTGCCGGATCCGGGCCGGTCTCGACATCCCCGCACCGAAGGCATTCTCGCAGTCCTGCCTGGGCTCGAGAAAGCGGCAGCGAAGGGTGGTACGTGCGGAGAAATTGGCCGTCCCAACGCTTTCGACGCCATGCCGTTTGAGCACGGAGAGGCGTCACACGAGCAAAGTCTAATTCACACTCGCATGTCAGTCGTTGGACGTTGCACAATCCCGCCGATGCATGGACTGGTCGCACTGCATGCGCGATGGAGCGGAGCCTCCTTTGTGCTTGGTTTCGAGCATGGCAGAGCTTGTTCGATCCTGGTCTGATCGCGCTCCGCCGACCCAAAACACGCTCTGCCGGGTGTCTCGCAGCGATCCGGTTTGTTTCAAAGATTCCGCGGCGGACCTTGAGCTCCACGGCTGTTTCCACAAGGTCGACGGCTTCAGCGAGTAGATTTTGGACAGGGTGGCTCACATTGGAAATCCACGCTTCCCTGAGAAACTTGCCGACATTGACAAGGCGGTCCCGAGTCCGGCAGTGCGATCGCTTAAAACAGACCCCCCCTCACCTGAACCCCCGGTAGCCCCTTCGCATTGCTTAGCAACACATCCGCTCTTTAGATGTCCAAAGCCCCTTGGGCCCCACACTCGCTTACGTGCCTGCCATCTGTACACTCTTTTTTTCAATCTCGCTGTCGAGACCAAGCTCCCACGCGGAGAGAAGCCAATTTACGCGACGTATGTCGACGGACCATTCCGTCGTGTGGAGTGCGAGCCCAATTCAATTGCCTCCCCTGGCGTGCACGACAATGCGTGACTGGAGCACCATGTCGCCCGCCATTGACGGCTCGAGCCTGGTGGCCAATGCAATCAGCTTCCTGAACCGACCGTCGCTGCTGGACGACGTGTCGCCGGAACAGACGCCCGGCGCTGCGCTCGAGAGCAAAAGCAACGCCCTCCCGCCGTCGCCACCTTCGTCTGTCGACACCAAGAGCAACAGCATGACTCCTCCGATTGATTGGGAGATGTCCTCGTCGACGCCAGGGTCGGAGGCCAATCCGTTCTTGCTGCCTGCGACGCCTTCGGTGTCGAGCCATGCGTCGACACGCATGCCAACGCCGATGCTCATCGCAGACTCGCTGGAGTGGGAGTCGCTCTCGTCGACTTTCGATGCCTCTTTCAATCCGTTTGCTCCCAGCGACTCGTACGCCTGCTCATTTATGGCGGACGATACCATCGGCGCCAACACCGGCGCAAACATCGGCGCGAACATAGGCGCGAACATAGGCGCGAACATCGGCAGCACCGTTGGCTTTGTCGATGCCCAGCCCATGGGCATGCCGGTACCATTCACTCAGAGCCAGTACGCTGTGGCAGTCACTGACGACTTTTGGTCGGCCAACTTCAACGCTGGACTTCACGTGGACGTCAAGCAGGAATGCGCGTGGAGAAACACTGCACTGGACATGGCTGGCAACGATGTCAAGCCCGAGATGGCCTTCAATGCGGGCGGGGTTGCGTACTCTGGTTACTTTGATGCCTGCACGTGTGGGCAGGAGCCGTGTTCGAAGGTGAACCCCTGGACGCCTCTGCACGATCCGAACATCTCGCTCGTCAACGCTGCCTACGCCGATCATTCGTTCGATTTCGGCCCGTCCTTCAACGCTCCCACTATGCCTACTCTCCCTCGCCATGACGGTTCGATGGTGGGGGAGATGGGATTTGCGCCTTCGATTTCGGCCCCACGCGAGGGAGGTTTAGGTGCGATTCTCGGTGGTCTTCCCGCTACGGCGCTGTATACCACCATGCCCATGGCTCCACGCAAGGTCAAGTCCAAGCCTAAAAGCAAGCCCAGCATGCGGGTCAAGTGCACCGAGGCTGGATGCAGTAAGACGTTCTCGAGCATTCATAATATGAACGAGCATCGACGCACGCATGTCGTGCCGCGCGAACGCGCCTACGTCTGCCCAGAGTGCCGCAGCGACTACATCCATCGTCGCGACCAGCACCGCCACATGCGCCATAAACACGGTTACCCCCCCAAGTCCCGCACCCGCAAACAGGCCTCCCCCAAGGCCAAAGACAACTGACCACACCCCCAAGCCCCGAAGTGGCCATGAACATTCACTCCATCTCCTTCTCTTAGCAACATCCGACTCGAACTCTCAATCAACATCGTCCCCTCTCCAGCCCTGCGTTTGACTCTGCTGCATGAATAACTCAACTCGAGAGTGGAGCTTGAGCGCACGACCACCGGTCCGTCTGACTCGTGATGGTTACAATGACTCGGTGAATTCGAGGCATACACAACATGTAGGGAGCGAAGAAACAAGGGGGAAAGGAGCGGCCAGTGTTGACGGTCAGAAAAGCAAAGGGATGAGAGAGCTAGCAGAAGGGGGAAAGGCACGCGAGACGTGCGATAGGACTGCGCTAAAGCAGCATCAGCCGGCAAGCCCGGGGGGGATAGACGTGGGAGGATAAGGAGGAGTCCGTGTGCTGCTGCGATTGTTGTACGGCCAACAATGTGACCAACAGTAGTTTGTGATGCTCGACGCGATGCTGGACAAGCCGCAGCCACGCCAATCCCGACTGGACGTCTGCTGCTGGGCTGCAAGACCCAAGTCTCGTGAGGACCAGAGAGGCCAGGAGCGACGCCCATGTGTGCGCGCGTGAAAGGCAGGCCAGCTGCGAATGAGATGCTGACCGTCGCCCTTTGCTGATGGTTGAGCTTGCGGCTTCAAGTGCTGGTTGGATCGCCCGCGAAAGAAAAGCGGTTTTGCTGACCGGGTGGCAAGGGCAACGTTGGCGCTGCTCGAGGCGATCAGAGGATGTTGCAACGCGATTTCTTTTTCTCCTTCTTGTGTGGTGTGGTGCCCTCGCGCTGTTCGCGGATCATGCGCACGACAGTGTAGTAGGCGCGCTCGACGTTGACGCACGTCTTTGCGCTCGACTCGATGAATTTGCAGCCGAGGCGTTGCGCGAGCGCCTGCCCCTCTTCCCTGGATACCTCCCTCTCGTTGACCTTGTCGCACTTGTTGCCGACGAGCATGATGGGCACCGTATGTGGCTCCTGGTCCTTGACGCGCGAGATCTGGCTGCGGAAGCGCTCGACGCGCTCAAACGTGGCTCTCGCCGAGATGGAGTAGACGAGGAGGAAGCCCTCGCCTTCGCGGATCCACTGATCTCTGAGCGCGGTGTACTCCTCTTGTCCTGCGGTGTCGAGGACCTCGAGCATGCATGGCTGGTCGTCGATCACGGTCTGCTTGCGATACGAGTCCTCGATTGTTGGATCGTACGTCTCGACAAAGTGATTGAGACAGAGCTGGATGGTCAATGCGGTCTTGCCCACACCACCATCTCCCAACACGACGAGCTTGTAAATCATCATCTTGCCACTCATGGTGACGGCGAATCAGTGTAGGTGGAGGATCAGAGAGCGAACGGTTGGTGTTTGTCGGTGGAGGCTGAGTACGTCGGGTGGATGTCTAGGAGGTGCGGATGATGCCGAAGGAGAGCCGTTGTTCGATCGAGAGACGGTGATGAACAAAGGGTGTCGGATCGCTCGAGGGCTGTGGTGTAGGCTCAGGAGATGCGAGGGCCGCAGCGAGGATGCGTGGGAGGGGGAGGCGAATTGGGTCGAAACTGCGCAAAAGGGGTCCGTGTGGCGCGGAAACCGGCGATTGCGTTCGAGGACGAAGCGGCAGCCGATATCGTGACTGGCGGATGGCGCGGCTAGAGGGTCGAACGCGCACGGATGCTGCAGGCTGAGGCGACCAAGGATTCGCGTACAGTCAGCTCGTCGGGAACGCCGAAGATCAACTGGTGCTGCGGATGCTGGGCGGGAACCGAGGGGCGCGCGAAGCTGTTGATGAGACGGCGCGGCGCAGGTGGCGAAAAGTGGAAAAGCTTTGGAAGTGCGAGGCTCTTTCGACGGCGACGTTGAGTTAGGGTTGGCGAGGGTGGCAAAGGTATCGAAGATGGACTGCGAGTGCGACGTCGAGGCAAGCCGAATCGAGACGTGGACCTTGTGCGACCTTGATTGTGGCGATCAGCTTGGGTATATGGGAAAGCTGATAATGCAACGTGCAGCTGCGACAAGAGTGGAAGAATGAGATGGAGGAGCGGAGGTGAAAGCGGGTGCGACGATGCGAGCCAGGATGGGTGTGGTGGACCGAGGCGGATGACAATGAGATGGTGGCAAGTCACAGAGGCAGCGAGCTCGAGCGGGTGGTGGCCCCAACCAGCTGATCTCGGCCTGAAGCAGGCAAGCCGAGCCGAGAAGGGCACGGGGCGGCCAGCCAGCCAGCCAGCCAGCCAGCCAGCCTAAGGCTGCCAGAGGCTGTGGCAGCCAGCGCCTGCAGCGCCTGAGCGGCTTCGGAATTGGACTTGGGGCCTGCGCACAAGCATGCAAAGCGACGCTTGCGGAACAGAGTTGCGGGCGGGCGCGCGACCCCCGGCCGCGTCGTCCAGCACCACACAGCACTGCACAGCGCAGCGCTCGGCGGTTCAAGAGCCAAGAGTCGAAAATGCGCTCGAATTACACAGAGGCGCAGCCGACCCAACACCGCGCCAGCCTGCCGATTCCGTGTTTTTTTCTTTTTTTTTTCTCTCTGTCTCTTTCTTTTCTGTTTGGGCTGCACTGTGCGCTGCAGACCGTGGTCCTTTGGCCGCCGTGTCAAGGTCAAGATGGCCTGAACAGCAACGTCTGGGGCTGGCATCTGTGGCTGTCGAATTGACATCCCCTACCATCGGCATCTGGACGGCTTCAGCCCCGCTCGGTGGCTCCTTGGGCTCCTTGCGTTGCGGTTCGAAATTGGCTCGCGCCACCTTCGCTCGTGCTCGCTGTCCGAAGAGCCGCTCTGATCCCGATGCTCGCGGACTTTTTTATTTTTTGTGATTGCCAGCCGTGGCGTCAGCAGCCGAGCTTGGAGCTGGTCGGCTGGACGACTCGGGAGCCATGCTGATGGCTGCAGGAGCTGAGACCAGCCGGACACGATCCTGCAGCGGGCGTGTCGCGCGCCGCCCCGACTCTCTCTCTCTCTCTCTCTCTCTCCCTCTCTCTCTCTCTCTGCATTTTCGGCCTCTTTCGCCTCTTTTTGACCGTGGGAGACTTTCTGCTCGACGTTCGAAATGGTGATTTGAATTGGGCCAAGCAACACTACTCGTCGGTGCGTAAAGCCGCTACCTAATGCACAATACAAATCAGCCTGGGAAAAAAAAAGAGCTCCGGTCTCAACGCCTCGCTCGCCCATCAAAGCTCGCTCACATCCGGTGGGCGGCGCTTCCGGCTTTTTTGCTCCCTGCTATCTGCGGCTCACTGCTACCATCTCCGCCGAACAATTGAGCATTGTGTTACCGTATAAGATTGCGCCAAACGCCGAGCTGTGGCATCTGCACTGTGTCGATGCAATGTCGTGGCGGAACCGCTGCTGAGCCGCTGCGGTGTGACTGCAGCTGGGTGTCGCCAAATCGGGATCCGCGGTGCTCGCTTGGGCACCTGGCCCTGTCAGAGCGCGTGCAGAACGGCGCGAACCCTGACACTCTGCCACCACGGGTCCCGCAGCGCACTTTGCGATTCCGTGCTCTTTTGTCACACCGAATCGGTCTGACATAATGACGCTGCGGCGCCACTCACGGGACGGCCGGAAAGAAGCTTCACCTGCACTCGGATTCTCCGCTCATCATCCCGGCGAGTGACGACATGCGCGAGTTCGAGACCACCTCTTGGCTGGATGAGTGCAGTGCAAAGCGAGCGGATGTGCGCTCATCACCGGCGCGGATGGCTGCAGCCGCCTGCCGGCATTCGGCCATCGAGAGCGGCATCTGAGCGCGTGGCTCCGCCTTCATAAGCTTGAGCCACAGCGTCACGCACACGATCGAGCAAGCAGATTGGCTGTATGCATCTTGTTGAGCGGCTTTCAGAAGCTTCCATCTGATAGGGCTGGAGCGACGCAAGGTGGCAGAGAGGAACAGTGTCAGCGATATGGACGCCGACATCCCAGTCGAGCTACAGGCTCGGCAGACATACTCACAGTATTGGTCGTGCTCGTCGAGGTCAGAATCGTCATCGTCGTAGTCAAAGTCGACCTCGTCTGCGTCGGGCAGTTCCTGTTCGGGGTAGTCGTTCCTGTAGAAACCTTCGTCGTTGCTGTCCTCGTCTTCGCCCTCGTCGAAGCTCTCGAAACCTTCTTCGTCGGCCTGCTCCAGCTCATCGTCGCTGTCGACAAACCCTTCCAGATGCGCAATCACCGCATTGGGCCCGGCAAAGTCCAGACCGGGGAACGCCGCAGCCAGCGCAGCCGACTCGGGAGGCACTACTTCGCCGCCAAGCACTCTGGGCAGAGCCATGGAGTCGGGCACAGCCCCATACGCGGCTGCTGCACCCTTCTCGCGTCCTGCGACCTGGGCCGGTTGGAGACCCGTCTCGGAAGAACCCTGCGGACCCGCCTTGGTGGGTAGCATGTCGCGATAGTAGACGTCGTACACGTAGTCTTCCTCGTCTCCATCCTCGTCATCCAACCCGGGCGAAGGAACGATGCTCTCCGGAGCAGCAGCATCAGCTTGTGAACTTCCTTGAACCATCTGATCAAGGTCTTTCGCCGGCTCCATGTTGTTGGATCGGAGGTAGTCACCCAGCATCTCGGCAAACTTGGCATCGAGACCCTCCATCTCAACGTCCGGCTGGGCAGTTTTGTTCTGCTTCTCCCTCGGCGCTCTTTGGGAGGACGAAGATGCTGCCGGGCCGCTGGACTCGGTTTCGGCATCGATGATCCTGCCAAAGATGGCTTCGGCTTCTTTCTCCCTCCTGGATCGAATCTCTGGCGGTCTTGCGCTCGTGTGCCATGGCGAGCTCTGCAACGCACCGTGGCGCATCTTTCTGAGGCTTGCCGAGCTTCCAGACCTGCGGAGTCCCTTGCCTGCCGAATCCTTCATCACGACCCTGAAGCGCATTCCGACAGGCGTGCTGCTTCGGGAGCGGCGCTCTTTGTCGCGATCGATCTGCTCGGACGCCAACGCTTTCACCCTTTCGGCCGGCGTTGCTGACGTCGATGCGTCCGCGGACTTGAGGAGCGAAGGAACGGAGTTGGCCAGAGAGCGCTGTGTTCGTGAAACCCCAGCGATGTTGCCCGAGGCTCCCTCGGTGGAAGTTGCAGAGGCTTGTCGGAGGCTGTGCTGCATGGTCTGGGTGAGCGAGGGCGACGAGACGCTCTGAGACAGCTTGGAGGGATGCAGGGGTTTGGTGCTTGGGCCGGCTGGAGAGCCTCTGCTCAGTGCAGAGATGCGCTGGTGGAGCTTGCGGGCCGCGATGGGATCCGAAAAGGATTGCAACGACACCGTCTCAGCCAGCCGAAACACGCCGCGCTGCTTGCTCTGCGGTGCTTCCGACGGTTCAGCAGAGCCGTGCTGAGATGATGTTAGCGCTTCATTCGTCGTATCAGGAAACACCATGGACCTGCGTTTGCTCCTACGCTCGTTCTGGTTGATAATGAGAGCCTCGACGGGATCCTGGTTGCGCTTGCGCTTGATTCGCAGGATCATCTGCACGCCCTGCGAGTCGTTGTCGCTCTCCAGTGTCTCCTGCCCATGCTGAGAGGCAGATGCGCTCGATGGAGCCGGACTCGCTGATGTGTGGCGCGACATGTTCAACGGCGTCGACGCTGGCGATGAGCGGGCCGAGTGGGGCGCCGACTTGTGGAGGGCCGACATGGTGGAGGTGTTTCACGCAACGACCTAGTTGGCCATCGGCTGCCGCAAGAACTGCGGGCTTGACTGAGCTGAGCTGGCTCGCTACGAGACGAGAAAGACAGCTGGGCCGTCTTGGAAGATGATGGATGCCGCCGTCGTGTATAGGAAGGCTGGGTCCGGGCCCATTGCCACTTGTACCGAGACCCTGAAGAAGGTCCATCACGTCCGTGCTGCTCTCCGACTTTTGCTCCACAAGGCTTAGTCACGCGGATAGGGTCAGTCGAAAAGTCACTGTGAAGCATGTCGGCCTAACAGTCACGAAGCGCCGCATCAGCCTGCAGGTCGAATCGAGTTCTACGAAGCGACATGTCTCACCAACCGGCGGCGGCCATGCCATCGACTGCAAGCGCCACGATTAAGGCTGCGTCGTTGACCAACCTTCTAGAGGTAGCTGAGCCATTGACAGCTTGCCTCTTCTGTAGACGAGGAGAGGATGTCAACTTTTGCTTGAACGGTCGTTGGCGATTGGCAAGGCGGCGAGAGTCACTCGGGTCGCCAGCATGGTGGCTGGGAGGCGCACATGTCCAGAGCAGCTTGCCTTTCCTTGTCATGCAGTAGGTTACCGGCTCAAAGTCGGCGAGCAAGGCGGCAGCTGGAGAGCAGAGCTAGGGATAGAAAGTGAGCGGTCGGATCGTCCGAGCGGGGCTCTTCAAACGCTGGAGAGAGCCTTAATTTCGCTGCAGCATGGCGGTGCATGCGGGCAGCGCACAGCAAAATTTACAGCGCAGCACAGCACAGCACAGCACCTCGCAGCCCCGCGTCACACGCTGAGCTTGGCCTTGGGGCAGAGTGTGGAGAGAGCACGCGCCCGAGACCAACACCGCAGCGCCCGCACCGCCGCCCCGCCTGGCTCCCGTCACTCGGACGCTGAGCCACTCTAGAGGAGAGAGTGGTTTTGGACACGACGTTTCGGCACATCCGCATCCTTTCGTCCTGACCATCACATCTCCCTCCCTCAAAGCCGTTTCAGCACACATCCACTCTTCACTTCTTCTGACTGTTTCAGCATAGATCTCCCACGCTCAGCGCGCCTGAAGTCGGCCCCTTCAGTTTCGCTCTCCGCAGGCCCATCTCAGCCATGAGTCGATACCACGCAGATGCAGCCCAGCATAGCTACCACAGCTCCGCCTGGGATCCGTCACCGTACGGAATCACCGATTATGATACTGTCGAGCACCTCGCTCCCTCCCATAACGAGTCTCCGTCCAAACGCAACTCGGCTGGCGTAGGTGCCAATGCAAACGCCTATCGTCTCGCGCCTCCCGCCACGAACATCGGCGCCGACTCTCCATCCATGTATACCGACCCTTACGAAGCCTTCAGCACGGCCCCACCACCGGATCGTCGCTCCTATCTTCACCATGATCCCTACGATGCGAACGACCGCGCGCTCGCCGGCCCATCCTTGCTCGACCGAGCGGACACGCTTGCACCGGGCGACAGTATCAGCAGCTACAACGTCCGCGTCGGCAGGAACACCGAGCCGGATCGCGCGCCAACAGCGTATGCGGATCCGTTTCAAGAGCCAGTGCACCACGCGCATCATGCGTCGCACATGTCCGGGCCCACCGCGTACGACAACTACGACGATGCCGCCAACTTCTACGGCCACAACTCGGCACACGGCTACGGACACGCCCAGTACGACACGAGCGGCACCGACCTGCCACTCAAGGCGCATGCCGGCGCCATGGGCTATGCCGAGGACGAGCACGACGAGGCCAAGCAGATTCGGCGCGGCTCGGCGGCGCTCTGGTCCAACCAGATGGACGCCGCGCACCACCCGGCCATGGCCGACGAAGAGGCCAAGAGCGGCCTGCTCGGCAAGCTCTCCCGGTCCGCCGGCGGCGGTCCAGCGGGCGAGGACAAGCTGCACGACCAGATCGAGCGGCGTCGGCAGGGCATCGGGCGGCAGAGGTGGCCGTACGTGTCGTGGGTGGTTGCGGTGGCGCTCGTCATCGTGTTTGTCATCGAGCTGGTCAAGGCCAAGTCGGCGACGGGCCAGGCGGTGCAGACGCGGCCGAGCATCAATCCGATGCTCGGACCGTCGGCCGAGTTCCTCATCTCGTTTGGCGCGCGCTTTGTGCCGTGCATGCGCAAGGTGCCTGCGCTGCCGACGTCGGAGCAGCTGCCGTGCCTCAAGGACTCGACGTCGAGCTCCAACCTGTACTCGCCGAGCCAGCTGTGTCCCATCTCGGACATCTGCGGGCTCAAGGACGCGGCGAGCCCCAACCAGAGCTACCGCTTTGTGACGGCCATCTTTGTGCACGCCGGGTTTGTGCATATCCTGTTCAACCTGCTGGTGCAGCTCACGCTGTGTGCGCAGATCGAGAAGCTCATCGGCTCGCTCGCGTACGCGCTCGTCTACTTTGCCGGCGGTATCGGCGGCAATCTGCTCGGCGGCAACTTTGGCCTCATCGGCCAGCCGGCGCTCGGCGCGTCCGGCGCCATCTACACGTGCATCAGCATCGAGCTGGTCGACCTGTGCTACAACTGGCGCTACGAGTACCGCGCCAAGGTGCGCCTCGCCATGTCGATCGGATTCGCCATCGTCGGTCTGGCGCTGGGGCTGCTGCCGGGGCTCGACAACTTTGCGCACATCGGTGGCTTCTGTGTGGGCCTGCTCGGCGGGCTGGTGTTTGCACCCTCCATCCATGCCACCAGGCGCCATCGAGTGGTGACGTGGGTGCTGCGCATCGTGGCGCTCGGACTGGCCGTCGGCTTCTTCGCCGGGCTCGCGAGCAACTTTTACAACTCGCCCGACCCCACCAAGGCGTGCACGTGGTGCAGGTACCTCAGCTGTCTGCCTGTCTTTAACTCGTGCAAGGGCAACGGCCTCACTACTTCTACGACCACGAATACCAGCGGTAGCAGCTGAACCTCGCTCGCCTAGTCCACCTTTTACGCTCGTCTTAATTCGCACACTATGGACAATCGCATCAGCCATCAGATGTCAGCGTCGTCTGTGCTCGTGAGCCGATCAATTTTGAGATTCGAAGCGGAGCAGGTGCGGGCGAAAGAAGTCGTGTGCCGTTTGATGTTCGTGAGCGTTGGAGAGCAGTTGGGATTGCGATTATTCTTGCATATGCACGCTTTGGTTGCGCAGCTCAACTTGTTAGCAGGCATGCTAGGGCCCAGTACCAGCCACTGCCACTGTGGCTGCGTCGATATGACGTGACGCGAAAAGCTTACAGTACACAGCATTCAGACAATTGCGAGCAAGTGTGGGGGGGGGGGGGGGGGAGGGGGGGGCTGTCAAGTGGAGCGGTGGTTTGATATTTGGCGCCTCGTGGTTGTATCTCGATCTCTCGGCTGTTGTCCTGCAGTCAATGAAGAGGGGCAAGGCATAAGATTGCATCTCGATCGTTCGATGGAGGAGGTTTGAACGATACGGGGCTGTGAAATGGGTGGATCTACAATGCGCCTGGGGGGGCTGAGTCTTGGAATCAATCGGCGAGCCAGACAGCGGGATCGGCGTTGCAGGCGTTATGGTCGACCGAACCGTTGTCTCCGCCTTGCTGAGTATTCACCACCAGGCAAGGTGAGGTATCGGCCTTCTTGATAAACACGCCCATCTTGTCCGTGTGGAACTCCTCGGCCTTGGTATCGGGACTGTAAACCACCACAAACACTTTTTCCCCCCCGTCAAAAGCAACATCAGTATTCACATCTACCTCTTCAAAGAAAAGACGAGGTGGGGGCTTACTGTTTCCAGCGGCGTTGACGAAGCCTTTAACCGTGTCGTCGGCAGACTGCATACGCTTGCGAATGTCGCCGTTCAGACGGAAACAGGCATACAGACCAGCAGGGATGTTGCCCTGGTGGTTGCAGTAGGTAGCCACCATTTCGTCGTTCGTCTGCAGCCCCACGGACGGATCATCCGGGCGCTCAATACGCTTACTGGCAACTTGACCAGCCACGCCAGCAAGGACAAAGAGGGCAAGACGAGCAAACTGCATTTTTGAAGAATAGAGGCGGGTACAGATGGAGCAGACGGGCTGGAGAGGTGAATGGGGGGCAGGTTTATATGCTTCGACCATTGCAAGCAACGCGCAACTGGCATTGAGCAGGGATACACGTGTCTGTGCAGTCCCACCCAAGATACGGTGGGAGCGGGGATATCATACACACGGCTGTGCAGTCCCACTCAAGGTAATGGTGGCAACAAGCGCTGCATTGTTTGCCCACCCTCGTCCCCACCTTTTTTGCCCCACGCAGCCGTTGCAACGCCGAGAAGCAGGGTGGCACGCTGCGCCCCACAATTGAGATGAAGAGGAAAGGTTTCGCCAAGTGCAAAAGGACGGAATGGTATAAAGAGTCCATTGGCTCGTGGTCTGGGCCTGGAGCCCCACTCATGCGAGGGACCAAGCGCCGAGAGCGGCCGAGAGCGAGACAGCCACCAGCGCACCCACCACGCCGGGTGCCACCGTGGCTGCAGCCGAGTTACCCTGCGAGGGCCTGGAAGTTGCGGTACCCGACGAGGCAGGCGAGCTCGTGCCGGTGCCGGTTCCGTTGGCTGTGGCCGAGACATCTGGCTGTGGCGTAAACACGCCGACTGGGCTTTGCGAAAGACAGCTGGAGAAGGCAGCGTCGATGGCGGCGGACGAGGCGTCCGGTGGGGTCTTGCTCGACGCATTGCCGGCAAAGTCGCACGACTGGGCATTGAAGCCAGTGATCTCGTAGAACTGCGACATGGCCCACTCGAGCCTCTGTGCCGAGGTGCACGAAGAGTAGTTGCCATAGGTGCCCGCCTCGCCATCTGCGAGGATGGGGTCGCATGAGCCGCCTCGTTCCGAGAGGTACGTGCATGCCTGGCCAGTGAGCGTGCCGATGATGTTGGGCGAGTCGCGCGACGCCGGGTTGAGCACACAGCTCAAGGCGTTGGACTCGACGCAGTTGCACAGCTGCGGGTTGGGCGTGGGCGGCAGCCGGGTGGATGCGGGGAAGTTGTTGGTGCCGCCCATGCACTGCGGGAAGCTGGGCGACGACGAGGCGTTGGCGGGAGCCGCGGGCGAGCTGGCGTTGGCAAACTGCCTCTTGAGGTCGTTCCAGTCGGAACGCCGGGTGACCGAGTCGCCCGAGACGCTCACCAGACCGTAGTCCAAGCCGGACGGCTGCGGGAAGTAGGAGAAGGCGACGCCGCCGCTGAAGTGGTTGGTCATGGGCGTCGAGTAGAGCGCCGAGACTTCGGTCCAAGGGCGGTTGTTGGTGCCGACGCCCTCGACGCAGCCGAACTCGGCGAGGTAGGCGGGGACGGGGAGCGATTCAAAGTCGTTTGTGAGCGTATTGTAGCCCGAGGCGGAGTAAGAGCTGTTGCCGCACCACGAGTACGAGTTGAGGCCGTAGAGGTCTACGCTGGTGGCGGCGCTGCCGCAGGTGAGGTAGTAGGCGAGCATGTCCCTCCACTGCGTCCTGCCCGAGGGCCCGTCGGTGGAGGAGTAGGAGACGAGGACGTTGGAGTTTTTGGAGCGCAGGTACGCCTTGACGTCGCGCACGGCGGCCTTGATGAAGGGCGCGGCGACCGAGTTGGAAGCCTGGGTGACGACCTCGTTGGCAATGTTGAAGGCGAGCACGTTGTCGTAGCCGGTGAAGACGTCGATGGTCTTTGCGTAGAGGTCGAGGAGGCCGACGTCCCAGCTGGGCTGTGCGCGGTTGATGGAGCCGTTGAGGGGCAGGGCGAGGTCGAGGATGACGTAGATGCCGGCGTTGCTAAAGGTGGACATGCATGCGTCGTGGTTGAGGCTCGAGTTGACCGAGTAGACGCGGATGGTGTTGATGCCAAGGTCGCGGAAGTTGGCCACGTCGCGCGAGCAGGCGTCCGGCAGCGCGAGAGGGTCGGTGAAGCTGTCTGGCTCGGGGAAGCCGCCGTTGTCCTCGTTGGCCTGGGTGGAGGCTGCGATGGGCGCGGGCTCTTGGTAGGCGACGCCCTTGATGTAGAAACGGTTGTTGCCCTCGTACAGATACTTGCCTCTGCGCGTCACTGCCGGGATGGCGCTAGACGGCTGCGCAAGAAGCGCCACCAGCGCCAGAAGAGAGAGAAGCAGACCGAGCGGTCGAAGTGGTGGGAGCATGGAGCCGCGCATCGTGGCAGTATTGGCTCGTCCTGTGCGTCCTCGTAGGTTCCTTGTGATCGCAGTAGCCAGGCTGTGCCCGGTGTTGCTGATGAGGACCAGATGGTGGACGTGTCGCAAAAGGTTTGCGCGTCTAGGAGGTTGTGTGTATCCTTTGGAGGTGAGGTAGGAGAGAGGAGGGCGGATGCGGTAGGGAGCAAAGAAGGTGGAGCGCACAGACGAGGTGCAGCTGCAAATGCGGAGGAGCTGCAGGAGCGCGACTCGGGATGAGGATGAGGAGGGGCCCATGGCTCTCTAGACTCGTCGAGGCGCGGTCGGGGTGGCGTACTGTAAGTCACCTTCTCGAACAGCTCGCGGCTGCATCTCTCTTGCAGACACCAGCATGGCGCCACTCGTCCATCTTGGTCTGGGGCCTGAGCTTCGACCGCCGCAGCAAGCAGAGAAAGCTCGGCGGCATGCCGACAGCCAACCGAGGCTGGGCGGAGCCAAACGAGGCGGAGCAGAGGAGCAGGGGAGCAGGGATTCCGAGGCTCTGGGCGGGCGGGCCTCTGTGGGAGGTGCCTGAACCGGGTGCCTAAGCGGCAGGCTTCAGGGTCTAGCCGCTTTCTTTCGGTCGCCGCGCACTGCTCAAGCACAGCGTCGGGCAAGGCCGAGAGGTGTCGGACGGAGTGCAAGCCAAGCGAGTCGCTCTGCTCCACGCTGCATACACGCGCGCGCTCGCTCGCCTTTTCGCGCCGAGCCTCGCGTGTGTGTTTTTGTGTTTGTGGTGCGTGGTCGCCTGATCCGTTCTCGACCATCGCGATGCAGCAATGCTGTGCTGCCAAGCGTTGGTACTGAGCCATCGCATCGTATGCGAGATCGGCCCTGCGATCCAGGTCATCATGCGGAGTGAGCTCAGAGGCTGAGGCGCTGGCAGGGTGCGCAAGCAAGGAGGCGTGCTTGCCTCGCAATGCTCTCGTCGGCCCCAGCCGCTCCTCGGAATTCCCGAGCCGATCCCTGCTGAAACACTCCTGACACCCTCCTCACGCCGTACAGTATCCTGAACAGCACCGCACTGTTTTCGGTCCTCGCCGCCTCGACCACAGTTTGCTAGTGCTCAGTGCTCGGATGGCAGGAGGACTCTGTCATGTGAGCAACGTCGCAGGCAGCTCTAAATTCGGCGCGCGCCCGAACCCCTCACGCGTCGGCGAGCCCGCGGGACAGGACCAACACCCAGACGCGCTTGTTCGCGGGGCATGGCTGAGACTCGGTACCTCAAACCTCGAACCTCCTCTTGGGTAGCGGAGACATGGACTCTCCATACACCATGGCTTGTGAATGGCCGGGTGGCTTTCTGTGTGGATGAAACTCGCGTGCCTGTGGTGCTAAGCGGCCAAGGTCTGCTGAAGGCTCGCCAAGGCCGCACCCGATGCCTTGGCGCCTGGACGCACGTCGGAGCGAGTCGAACTTAGGTCGGGTGGAACTGACGACTCGGACTTTTGTGCTTGCTCGGCCCTGCCCAACGAACGCTGTTCTCACGAAGAAGCGCCTTTGCACCGCCCGCTCTTGGCTCCCTCGCGTGCGTGTCCCTATTGTGAGCCGTTGGCTTGGCGCTGTCTCGCACGTGCAGTAGCAGAGGTCGAGACCCCGCCCCGATCAGAGTGTAATCCCAGGCCGATATGGCCGATCCGGTCCGGCGAAGCAACTCGATCGGCTGGAGCATGTTCGAAGGCGGGCGGTGGTCGCTTCGAGTTGGCTCGTCACGTGAGCCCGTTCCTTGGGTATCGCTCTGTGGTCCCTCTAAATGTAGCTAGTGCACCTCGCTGGGTTGGTGGGTAGCTGGGCCAGGAAAGAGCCATGAACAAAAAGGTGCGAAACCGGAAAAAGACGCCCAATAAATGGGCACAAGAAAAGGATACCTAAAATTGGCCCATCTCTCTCTGCACCGGCGACACCGTCACCCTCGACGGTTCCTCTCGACCATCAGACTGCTGCTGACCACATACGTTATCGAAGACGCTATCGTGCGGTACAGAACAGCCGAAGTCAACGTGCAAACATGCAAAGACCGCGCGGTCGACGGCCAATTTCTCCATGACGCTTTGCTGGCAGGGTTCGAAATGCACGTGCATGTCTCGCCCACCTTTATGCAGCGCCGATCCCATGTCGCCTTAGACGAGCGACCCCATTTCTGCGAGACAAAGCGCACACGCAGCAACGGAGCGACGGAAAGCGCTTCCAGAGTCGCGGACGATACCAGAACAGCTTCGTCCGAGCAGGGACCAAGGCGAAGAGCGACGCAATCTCTGCACGGCGGCGATCAACGCCCTCTCCGTACAGAGGCGCACAGCGGTGCATCGCTCGATGCTTCCCATCGGGTGCCCGCGTTGTCACGAAGCCGGACCCTGGCATCGCACAAGCTTTCGCATGTCGTGCTCGATCAAGATGGATCCGATGATGGCCGTGGCTAACTTAGCTGAAGGTTTCTGCGTCGCCGTGCTGGTCGGCCAGATTTTGGAACTGCGACTACGAAGCGCGTCCGAACCACTGCGAGGCCTCGGCCAAGCCCTGCAAAAAGCCCATGCCCAGCAGACGCACAACGCCCGGCTTGATTCGGCCCAACAGGATCTCATCCCGGCAAGACAGCACCACCACCGGCTCGAAACGCTGCACCGGCCTGCCGTATCCACCAAGTGTGGCAACGCGAAAGACCCGAGATATGACGCACCGAATTCACTCGAGGCGGCATTTGCACGGTTGCTGCTGCCTAGCATGATCCGAGGTGGGGGGCTATTCCCGTCGCGCCCACATCCTCCGTCGTCAAAGACCGGCGACTCATGCTGTCGACCACTAGACAGCCTAGCACAGCACGATCAGCTCTCCATTGTTCCGAGGACAGGGCGCTGGTCAGGATGAAGAGTTTGGATGCAGCCCGCTCTACAGACCCTTTTGTCGAGGCGCTGTCAGTACGCCAAGCACCACGGAAGGCCGCCCGTCAAGTGTGACTTTGGAGTTATGCGTCGGCCCGCCGTCGGTGCGTCGGCATACCCGCTCCTCGCCCCTTCTCCGCCTGCCGCTGTGCGGTACCTGCGAGCAGCATCCTGAGAGCAGGTGTCGAAGCTACTGTAACTGAGCGCCAGCGTCAGGCTTGCACGGCCGCTATGCGCGGTGATGATTCGGAGTTCCAACCAACCGCTCGGACGTGCTTTGGATCTTGGATCACAGTTGCGAGTTTCAAAAGCAACGAGTTTGTATTCGAGCACAGCCTGCGTGCGTCAGAAGCACATCGCGATCGCAGATTTTCCCGCCGCGCCGTGGCACACCAGCCGGAAGTAGCAGCGATCGGCGGCCTGCGCGCCTCCTCCGCACTTCAAAGGTCAAAGATTTCGAGGCTCGGCTCTTGCGCTCTGTGGTGCCAAGCTCGACTACAAATATTTCGAAATCTCTGCGTCGGCCTTTGCGTCACACACCCACACCACCACGGATCGCCAGCCGCGCCGCTGTGCCGGCTCGAAGATTTGCGCGGCCCAGTTGGCGGAGTGCCTTGGCCGATGCAAACCCAACCCCTGAGCTTGGTTCGCATCGATTTCTACGCCCTGGAAGCAATCCATCATGAGTGAATCTCTGGGATTGCGTCTGGTGGGTCGACGACGCCAGGGCCGAACCGAATCCTGACCTTCCTCACGCTGAGCTTCTCTTTAACTCTAGACTGCACAACGCAAGAAGGAAGGAGACGCTAAATGAGCACGTTGCTGAGGATGCGCTTCGAGGGCAGAGCAGGGCAGCGGCGCGCGTGCTTCGGCCGTGCTCTGGCATGCGACGCCGACGCCCAACCGCTCTGCTGCCTGAGCCTGGCTAGCGTACATCCAATGTGACTTCAAAGAATGTCGAGTGTTTTTTTTTGGTTTTCGCCCCGGCCTCTCTCCTCTGGCTATCTGCCTGTAAATTCGAGCTTTCGGCCTGCGCCGTGGAGTGAATTTCTCGTCGCGTGTGCGTCTCTCTGGGTGGTCGACGCAGAAGGCTGCTCCTGCGCAGAGCTCGGCGTACGTTTCGCTGGCCTGCCCCTTCGCGCGTGCGTGTTTTTTTTTCTTTTCTGGCCCCTCCGGCCCCTGAGCGCGCAACCCTGGCATGGACCCGAGCTCGAAACTCACACTCTCCCAACGCACGCGCGCCTGCCTGCACACCCGCGATCTGCGCACCTTTTCGCTGTCACCCTGGGCCTGCAGCCGCGAGCAGCAACGTCCGATGCACTGGCGCACTGCCTCGGCCTCCAACCCTCGCTCGCTCCGTCTCCAGTGCCTGCTGCTGCGCCCTCCTTCCGCGCCTTCTCCGAACCTGCCTTGGCAACGAACCGCCCTCTGCCTTTGCCAGCGCTCTCTGCCCTCGAGCCTCACCGACCGAGCCTCATCCTGCACACCGCAGCCAGCAGCCAGCAGCGAGCCGCCAGCCCAAGCAGCAGCCAGCGATATCGATTCCTTCCCCTCCCTAGTCAAGCTCGCCTTCGCCATCTTCTTCTCTCCCACCCCATCATCCTCACCCGCCGTCCCCTTTCTCCATCCCATCTGACTCGGCTCATCCTTCAGCGACAAGGATCCGTTCCGGCAGACAGGTCGATTCGAGGCAGGCGACATCCAAACGAGAAGAGAACAGCTCGACTGCAACCCATCCATCGTTGCTGTCAACACCGCTTTCTCTCGCTCGCTCCTCTTCATCATCCGCCTGGCGATTCGACGTCCATCGACAGCTCCATCGACATCTGCTTGCGGGTCTCGTGTTTCTGCGTCGAACGACCCAAAGCGAAACGACTCGCTTGTTTACACGCTGCATCGTCTCATCCAACCTAGTCGACCAGCTTCCGTCTTCAGATCGCATGTCCTTTGACAGGCTTGCATCTCACAAATAACGCAGCTTTCTTTCGAGCTCTCGTGTGCACGACCGCCACCTACTCTCTCGCCTGCACAAGCACTCGACAGCGGCGCTTCCGCCACCACTCCCTTTGCCCGGCATGTCGTCCAATCACGGCGCCGGTGGCGTCCCACCCCACCATCAGCAGCAGCCGCCCATGAACCCTTTTGCCGGCGCTGCGTTCCACGAGGACCAGGGCAGCGAGTCCAGCTTCTTCCCCACCGAGCGTAGAGACACATACGCCTCGGAACGATCCGACGGAGAACTCATTTCTGGCCACGGCTACGACGCCGACTCGTACGAGGGCGGTGCTTACAAGGACAGCTATGCCTACTCTGCCGAGTCCGCCCCGCGCGGCTACACCCCGGGCCCCGGCAGCCAGTTCGGCCAGGGCTCCTACGCCCCCTCGGGCATCTCGAGCCCGCATCCGGACGCCGGCGCCGGCGGTTACCGTCAGCGCGAGCCCTACCCGGCTTGGACCGCAGAGCACAACATCCCGCTCTCCAAAGAGGAGATCGAGGACATCTTCATCGACCTCGCCAACAAGTTCGGCTTCCAGCGCGACAACATGCGCAACATGTACGATCACATCATGATCATGCTCGACTCGCGCTCCAGTCGCATGACGCCCCAGCAGGCGCTCATGACGCTCCACGCCGACTACATCGGCGGCGAGCACGCAAACTACCGCAAGTGGTACTTTGCCGCACAGCTCGACCTCGACGACGCCATCGGCAAGGTGCAGAACCCCGGCCTCGCCCGCGCCGCCAGCATGGCCAACCGCGGCCGCAACGCAGGCAGCGCCGCCGCCAAGCTCCAGACGGCCAGCGCCAAGTCGCTCCAATCCGCCTCGGCCCGATGGCGCGACGCCATGCTCAAGATGAGCGACTACGACCGTCTGCGCCAGGTCGCGCTCTACCTCCTCTGCTGGGGCGAAGGTGGTCAGGTGCGATTCGTGCCCGAGTGTCTCTGCTTCATCTTCAAGTGCGCCGACGACTACTACCGCTCGCCAGAGTGCCAGAACCGCATGGAGCCCGTGCCCGAGGGCCTCTACCTCCGCGCCGTCGTCAAGCCGCTCTACCGCTTCCTCCGCGACCAGGTCTTTGAGGTCGTCGACGGCAAGTTCGTCAAGAAGGAGAAGGACCACGACAAGATCATCGGGTACGACGACGTCAACCAGCTCTTCTGGTACCCCGAGGGCATCGGCAGGATCATCCTCAACGACAAGACGCGTCTCGTCGATGTGCCTCCGAGCCAGCGCTTCATGAAGTTTGACAAGATCGACTGGCCCCGCGTCTTCTTCAAAACTTACAAGGAGAAGCGATCCTTCTTCCACCTGCTCGTCAACTTCAACCGAATCTGGATCCTGCACATCTCGGTCTTCTTCTACTACACGGCTTACAACGCGCCCAAGATCTACGCCCGCTCGCGAAACCCCACCACCGCCGAGTCGCTCTCGGCCGCTGGTCTCGGTGGTGCCGTGTCGTCGCTCATCATGATTGCTGCCACCATGGCCGAGTTCTCGTACATCCCCACCACGTGGAACAACACGAGCCACCTCATGCGCCGCATGATCTTCCTCGCCATCTGTCTCGCCGTCACCGTCGCTCCTGCCGTCTACGTCTTTGGCTTCAACAACAAGGGCAACATCGCCAACATCATCGCCATCGTCCACCTCGCCCTGGCCGGATGCATCACCGCGCTCTTCTCCATCATCCCCTCGGGCCGCATGTTTGGCGACCGCGTGGCGGGCAAGGCTCGCAAGTACCTGGCCAACCAGACCTTCACCGCCTCGTACGCGCCTCTGGTCAAGAGCCACCGCGCCATCTCGGTCCTGCTCTGGGCGCTCGTGTTCGGATGCAAGCTCACCGAGTCGTACTTCTTCCTCACCCTCTCCTTCCGTGATCCTCTCGCCGTCATGATCACCATGAAGGTGCAGGGATGCAGCGACAAGTACTTTGGCACCGCGCTCTGCTCCAACCAGCCGGCGTTTGCGTTGACCTTCATGACCATCATGGATCTCAGTCTCTTCTTCCTCGACACCTTCCTGTGGTACGTCATCTGGAACACCGTCTTCTCCATCGGCTGGTCCTTCCACATGGGCCTCTCCATCTGGACGCCCTGGTCCGACATCTTCCAGCGTCTGCCCAAGCGCATCTACGCCAAGCTGCTCGCCACCGCCGACATGGAGATCAAGTACAAGCCCAAGGTGCTCGTCTCGCAGGTGTGGAACGCCATCATCATCTCGATGTACCGCGAGCATCTGCTCTCCATCGACCACGTCCAGAAGCTGCTCTACCACCAGGTGCCCGCCGGCGAGAACGGCAAGCGCACGCTCCGGGCCCCGACCTTCTTCATCAGCCAGACCGACAAGGGAATCAAGCCCGAGTTCTTCCCCAAGGGCTCCGAGGCCGAGCGCAGGATCAGCTTCTTTGCCCAGTCGCTCACCACCGCGCTTCCCGAGCCGCTGCCCATCGACGCCATGCCGACCTTCACCGTCCTCGTGCCCCACTACTCCGAGAAGATCCTGCTTTCGCTCCGCGAGATCATTCGCGAGGAGGACCAGAACACGCGCGTGACGCTGCTCGAGTACCTCAAGCAGCTCCACCCCGTCGAATGGGACAACTTCGTCAAGGACACCAAGATCCTCGCCGAGGAGTCGCAGGGCTTCGGCGGCAACTCGCCCTTCGGCGGCGACAGCGACGAGAAGTCCGGTACCAAGAACTCGGCCAAGGCGGACGATCTTCCCTTCTACTGCATCGGTTTCAAGTCGGCCGCGCCCGAGTACACGCTGCGAACCCGTATCTGGTCGTCGCTGCGCGCTCAGACGCTCTACCGTACCGTGTCTGGTTTCATGAACTACTCCAAGGCCATCAAGCTCCTCTACCGCGTCGAGAACCCCGAGGTGGTGCAGCTGTTTGGCGGCAACACCGAGAAGCTCGAGCGCGAACTCGAGCGCATGTCGCGTCGCAAATTCAAGTTTGTCATCTCGATGCAGCGCTACTCCAAGTTCAACAAGGAGGAGCAGGAGAACGCCGAGTTCCTGCTGCGTGCCTACCCCGACCTGCAGATCGCCTACCTCGACGAGGAGGCGCCGCGCAAGGAGGGCGGCGAGTCGCGCTGGTTCTCGGCCCTCGTCGACGGTCACTCGGAGATCCTGCCCAGCGGAAAGCGTCGCCCCAAGTTCCGTGTCGAGCTGCCCGGTAACCCGATCCTGGGTGACGGCAAGTCGGACAACCAGAACCACGCCATCATCTTCAACCGCGGCGAGTACGTCCAGCTCATCGATGCCAACCAGGACAACTACCTCGAGGAGTGCCTCAAGGTTCGCAGCGTCCTCGGCGAGTTCGAGTCGTTCAACGTCTCCAATCAGAACCCGTACGGATCCGGCCACCAGGAGTTCGCCAAGGCGCCCGTCGCGATTCTCGGTGCGCGTGAGTACATCTTCTCGGAGAACATCGGTATCCTCGGTGACGTCGCCGCCGGCAAGGAGCAGACGTTCGGTACCATGGCCGGTCGTGGTCTTGCACAGATCGGTGGTAAGCTGCATTACGGTCACCCCGATTTCCTCAACACCATCTTCATGACCACGCGCGGTGGTGTGTCCAAGGCGCAGAAGGGTCTCCACCTCAACGAAGATATCTACGCCGGTATGACTGCCTTCGGTCGAGGAGGCCGCATCAAGCACGTCGAGTACTACCAGTGTGGTAAGGGCCGTGATCTGGGTTTCGGCACCATTCTGAACTTCACCACCAAGCTCGGCAACGGAATGGGCGAGCAGATGCTGTCGCGCGAGTACTACTACCTCGGCACGCAGCTGCCCGTCGACCGCTTCCTCACGTTCTACTACGGCCATCCCGGATTCCACATCAACAACATCCTCGTCATCCTCTCGGTGCAGCTCTTCATGTTCACCATGGTCTTCATCGGCACGCTCAACTCGCAGCTGCGCGTGTGCGCCACGACCAACAGCGAGTACATTGTCGGCACCGGCGGCTGCTACTACCTCAACCCGGTCTTCCTCTGGATCAAGCGTACCATCATCAGCATCTTCCTCGTCTTCATGATCGCCTTCCTGCCGCTCTTCCTGCAGGAGCTCTCGGAGCGCGGCGCCGTCTCGGCCTTTGTCCGTCTGGCCAAGCACTTCATGAGTCTCAGTCCGATCTTCGAGGTCTTCTCCACCATGACCTACTCGCACTCGATCATCTCCAATTTGACGTTCGGCGGTGCGCGATACATTGCCACCGGCCGTGGTTTCGCCACGACGCGCCAGAGCTTCGCGCTGCTGTACAGCCGATTCGCCGGTCCTTCGATCTACTCGGGCATGCGTCTGCTGCTCTTGCTGCTCTACATTACGCTCACGCTCTGGATCCCGCATCTGATCTACTTCTGGATCAGCATCCTGGCGCTCTGCATCGCTCCCTTCCTGTTCAACCCGCACCAGTTCTCGGCCTCGGACTTCATCATCGACTACCGCGAGTTCCTGCGCTGGATGTCGCGCGGCAACAGCCGCAGCCACGCCAACTCGTGGATCGGCTACTGCCGTCTGAGCCGAACCAAGGTGACGGGTTACAAGAAGAAGCGTCTCGGTCACCCGAGCGAGAAGCTGGCGGGCGACGTGCCTCGTGCGGGCTGGAGGACGATCCTCTTCGCCGAGGTCGTCTTTCCCATCTGCCTTGCCGTCATCTTTGTGGTCGCCTACGCCTTCGTCAAGAGTTTTCACCAGACCGGAGACCCGCCTCAGGGTGCGATCGTGCGCATCGCCATCATTGCGCTCGGCCCGATCGTGTGGAACGCCGCCATCCTGCTGGTGCTCTTCCTGATCAGCATGTTCCTCGGCCCGGCGCTCAACAACTGCTGCGCCAAGTTCGGCTCCATCATGGCTTCGATCGCCCACGTGCTCGCCGTCATCGGCGTCATCGCCGCCTTCGAGTTCCTCTGGTTCCTCGAGCTGTGGAACGCCTCGCACGCCGTGCTGGGCATCATCGCCGTCATTGCGATCCAGCGTGCCATCTTCAAGATCCTTATCGCGCTCGTGCTCTCGCGTGAGCTCAAGCACGACGAGACGAACCGCGCCTGGTGGACGGGCCGCTGGTACGGACGCGGCCTCGGCGGCCACGCTTTCAGCCAGCCGGCGCGTGAGTTTGTGGTCAAGATCATCGAGATGTCGCTCTTCTCGGCGGACTTTATTACCGCGCACATCCTGCTGTTTGGCCTGTCGCTGCCGTGCCTGATCCCGTACTTTGACAAGCTGCACTCGACGGCGCTCTTCTGGCTGCGACCGTCGAAGCAGATCCACGCGCCCATCTTCTCGCTGCGCCAGCGCAAGCAGCGCAGGTCGATCGTGTGGAGGTATCTGGTGCTCTTCGTGTTTGCGTATGCGGTCTTCCTGGCGCTGATCGTGCTTCCTGCGATCTTCTCGTCGACGATCGACCTGAACTGCTCGTTCTGCAAGTCGCTCTAAGGCGGCGAAGCGAAAAACGACCGCTCGCCGTGCTTCGGCCGCCTTTGCACGGAGGGCTACGCTGGCCAGCTTGGCTGGTCGACTCGAACCTTGTCTTCTCTCCGCTCTCCTTCCCCTAGAGTTCTGTAATATGTAGGCGTTCGACACCCACCCCGACTCGTCCGAGGCTATTGCCAATGCGCGCATGCCTCGCCCCCTTCCCTCCCCTCTTTCCTTTCTTGCTCGCTTCTCTTGCAAGCGTTCCTAGTCAAATATCGTTTCTGCGCTCTTCTGCTTATCTGTCTCCGTCGCTCCTTTCCTCGAACCCTTTCTTGCCGCCTTCCCTCAACTCCTGCATCATCATACTTTGCACCAAGCATCATCAGAATGGACCATGTTTTACCCAGATTGTTTCGGCATTGTGTGTGTTTTGGCGTCGAGAGAGTGTGCGTGAGCTTTGAGCTTTGAGATGCGGAGGCGCCCGGGAGGGGGCTGGCTAGGCCGCTGCCTGAGCAAGTGCCGTGTCGAGACGGGCATGGCTGGCCGGAGTCGCGTCGGACGCGCGCCAAAGTTGGTTGGCTGTGTTTGTTTGCCCGACGCAGGATGCGCATTGGCAGGTGGCTCTAACACGTCAATTTGGTGCGCTCGCGGTGGTTGTGGGTGGAGGCGAGAACGCTCAAGGCGCGCGCGTGGTGTTGGGGTGTTGATTTCACCACCACCACCACCACCACCGTCGCAATCAGCTTCGGCGACAATCAAGCCAAGTCTACACGATTGCTCCTGCTAAGCGCGTTCGATAGCGCCACGGTCAAAGTCAACCCATTCCCGTCGTCCGAGTTTGGGCGCACGAGACACGCCCTGGACCTTACCGAGGTGCGGTCATCCGACGCGTTTGCACTGTTGCAGAGCTCTCGACAGGCGCAAATCGGCATATCTGGCGCGAACCTCGCTATATCCGAACCTACCCCGCAGTTCACTGCCAAACGCGGCTTCAAACCGGCTCTGACCGCAGACGATCGCCATGTCATCGTCCTCGCCACGAAAGAACATCGACCAAGGCATCTCGGCATCTCGCGCAGGCGGTGCGCAGAAACGACCGCCTGCGACGAGCAAAGCCTCGACGCCATCCAAGAAGCAGCGCGCCTACTCTCGACCGTCTCCGTCCGTAGGCTCCACCTCGCGTCGCTCGGGCGACGATTCTGCGACCGACACAGGCTCGGTGGCGTCCAAGGTGCGCCGACGCGCGCGCGAGGCTGGCGAGGAGGAGACCCAATGGGCGCACTCGGAGCGTCTGCTGCTGGACCGCACGCTGCGGCTACATACGCTATCGCCGTTGCATCTGTCATCGCTACCAGCGTCGGCGCAGGAGGTGTCGCGTCCGCTCTTCCAGCTTCTGCGCACCGAGCTGCGCAGCTACATCAATCTGCGTCTGAGCGACGGTTTTGGATTCCTCGAGTCGGGAGGCACGACGATCGACGCGCGCGATGCGGACAGCGGCGATCTGCGCCCGCCCGAGCGAAGACGGCGCGCGGATACGGACCGCGTGGGCCGCGTGCGGATCGGCTTCATCGACGACGCCGAGTTCAACGCGGCGCTGCAGCAGAAGGCGACAGCGCGTGCGTGGGCGATTGAGATCGAGCTGGGCAAGCCAGCAGAAGAGGCCGACTCGAATCGGCTGGGAGCATTGCGGTCCAAGGCGGCGCAAGAGGTGACGCCGGCGGAGCTGTGTCATATTGTGTTTGTTCCTGCGTCCAAGCGGCAGGGTGGACATTCGCGCACGTCGCATTCGTATCCGCTGGTCGCGACGAAAGCGCCGTCTTCGAGCGCAGCTGGTGCCGACCCGCTGGTGGGCGCGGCCGAGAATGTGGCGCCGGTGGTGCTGGGACATGCGCTCGACTGGATCCAGAAGCGCTTCGACTGCCGCATCTCGGCCGCGACGAGTGCCGCTTCGCTTGCATCGCGTCTGACGGGGCCGAGGCTCGAGGCGCTTGCAGAGCTCATCGTGCGCGAAACGCGCGCAGCCACGGACGCCCTGAGCGCCGACCAAAAGGCTGCAGACGCAGCAGTCAAACCCGTCGAACTCGTGCTCTCGTTCCCGACCAAAGTCAAGGGTGCAGAGCCAGGCGAGACTCTGCCTGGACCGGCGCCGGACCTTGGCTCGCTCACGCTCACCGTGCCGTGGGAGATCTGCATGAACCTCCTCGACGGCTTGGATCCAGGTACGTTATCCCAGCCATTTTTCCATGCTCACCAGACGAACAACATGCTGACTTCTCTCTGCTATTCTTTCTTTCGCTGATGGTGTAGATGAACCGCTGCTTCCGGCGCTGAACCACTACCTGGCAGTGCATACATCGATACCGCTGGATGCGCTCGAGCTGACTCGCATCGGGGTTGCGGGGATCAACGTCGGATCGGGCCGAATCAAGATCGCGCGGCTGCCTGTCCGAGCTGACGACGCGGGCGAGAAGTCGCTGCACAAGCGTGCACAGCGCGCCAACGACCGAAGACGCGCGGGTGCGGTGTTCGCCTTCCTCCGCCAGGTGGTCGAGGGCGATGTGGACGAGAGCTCATGACGTTGTTGCTGCCAATATATCCTTTCCGTGCCATCATGACTTGTGAGCGCTTTGCTGAAGACCAACGGTAGGCAGCATGGCGTATGGCAGCTGGCTCTGCGCCCCCCTGAGCCTCTGCGTTGCCGAGAGGGCTCTGGGCTATTTTTTCCGTGCGGGGCCAGCGCGGCCCCGCGTGGGCCTTTGGGCGGCGGCTGCAGCGATTTGTGTGAAATTCAAGGGGGGCCCTCGGCGCATGCACACAACAACTCGCGACACTCTGTGCTGCGACACTGTGCTGGTGCCAGGTGTGCGTGGATCGGCCTCCACCCACCGATGCAAACGCTGGGTGCAGCCGCAGCGCGCTCCTGACGTCCGACTACCAACTTGTACGGCAAGCACCATGCAGATCTACGGCCTGCTCGTTCTCGCCAGCCCTCCCGGTGCTGGCGCTGTGCCGCTCACCAACGCATGGGAGCTCGGATCGTTCTCGTGGCTCCAGCGCGGAACCGTGCAGGACATGATGGGATTCATGGCAAGGGTAAGCACCCCACCTCCATTCAAAGCGATCCCCCAACTTGCGTAATCCTTACTGACACCATGACCTTGTTCACATCGATATGTGCTGTGTTGTTTGGCACACGTAGACGGTGGCGGAGCGCACACAACCTACGCAGCGACAGTCGGTCCAAGAAAACTCGTACGTTGCACACGTGCATGCGCGTCCAGCGTCGGACGGCGTTGTAGGCGTTCTCATCACCGACACCGAATACCCCGTGCGCGTGGCCTTTTCGCTGCTCAACAAGACGCTGGACGAGTTTGTGATCAAGGTGCCCAAGTCGCAGTGGGAGACGCGCGTCAACGCCATCACCACCGGCTCGGCCACGGCGCCCCCCAAGGGCGAGGCTCTGCTGGGCATCAGCGCGTTCCCGCAGTCGGTCGACTACGTCAAGAGGTACCAGGACCCGCGCCAGGCAGACACCATCATGAAGGTGCAGCAGGAACTCGACGAGACCAAGATCGTGCTCCACAAGACCATCGATTCGGTCCTCCAGCGCGGCGAGGACCTCGACAAGCTTGTGGAGAAGTCCGGAACGCTCAGCGAGCAGAGCAAGATGTTCTACAAGACGGCAAAGAAGCAGAACTCGTGTTGCACCGTCATGTAGCTGGCCAGCCCTTTCACCTCGGGCTCGGGTTCGATTGCGCGCTGGCTGGCTGCCTTGGCTTGCCTCGCGCACGTCTATGCTCGCATCTCGATCGCTCACACCGGCCCCTTTTCCTTTTGTAGATATTTCCGCTCTCACCCAAGTTTGACTTCTGTTTGGCATCGCATGAGCACCTAGATGTGGCGTGGGCTCGCCCTAGAATGGCATCGGAAGCGCCGCTCCCATTTGTCTGAGGATTGAGCTTCGGAATGAGGCCAGGCCACGAAGCAGAGACAGTTTAACTCGGCGAGGCCATGCTTGGCACCATGAGAATGACGCGTGCCGAGGCGGCACAGCCGCTCCAGGGTCCACATTTGAGCCGCGTCGGTTGCGCGCCGAAATCGACCAACGCTTGATTTGAGCTTGCAACCTGTAGGTGTGATTGCGACCACCAACATCATAGATCCAGTCGGCAGGACCGATACGCAGCGCAGGCGCCCACCCCTTTCGATTCTCCCTCCGCACGCCGCCAACTTGCAAGACACGCGGCAATACGGCACGGTCCAGCGACACTTGAGCACCCGGATCAACGCGCCATGGCGATCTGAACACCAAGCCGGCGTGCAAGAGTGCGAACATGAGCGCCACATCTCCCAAGGCTGGTCTGGCAATGGCACATTCGGACAGACGCGAGGACATCGATGATGACGACTATCCTTCGTCGGAGAGCGATGCTGAGATCGACGTCCACGCGCCGCCCGCCGAGTCGCAGCGGCTTCTGGCGGCAGACGAGGATGCGGATGCGACGCAAGACCGAGCCAGCCCATCGATACCAGCACAAGAAGCTCGAGCACACGGCCGCAAGCGACAGACACCGCTCAAGTGGACCGAGATCATCTGGGTCACATGCACGCTCTCGCTCATCGCGATCCTGGGCTACTCGTCGCAGCTGTGCATCATGCTGCCGTACTACACCAAGACGCCGTCGTTCTCCCCACAAGCGCTGGCGGCGGTGCTGGTGCCGTTCAACCTGGGTCTGCTGGGCATCTTCTACAACTACTACCTGTGCGTCACCACTGATCCGGGCAGTGTGCCGCTTGGGTATCAGCCCGAATGGTCGGCGCTCGAACCCGTCCCCACCCCACACCACCCGCACGCCGAGGCTGGCGAGATGGAACCGTCGCTGGAGCTGAAGCAGGCCATCTATCGGCCGCGCTACTGCAAGACATGCTCCGCCTACAAGCCTCCGCGTTCGCACCACTGCAAGACGTGCGAGCGCTGCGTGCTGCGCATGGACCACCACTGTCCCTGGCTGGCCAACTGTGTGGGTCACAACAACTACGCGCACTTTATCCGCTTCCTCTTCTGCGTCGACGTGACGTGTGCGTATCATCTGTGCATGGTTTCGGCGCGCGTGTTGGATCGCTTCAACGCCTACACGTACTGGCGCGAGCCGAGCACACGCGAACTCGTCTGGCTCGTGGTCAACTATGCGCTGTGTCTGCCCGTGCTTCTGCTCGTGGGCGTTTTTAGCGCGTACCACTTTTACTGCACCGCCATCAACCAGACCACCATCGAGAGCTGGGAGAAGGACCGCACAGCCACGATGATTCGACGCGGGAGGATTCGCAAGATCAAGTATCCGTACAACCTCGGCGTGGCGCGCAATGTGCGCGGCGTGCTTGGCGACAATGTGCTCACATGGTGTCTACCCGGTCAGACGGCGGGCGGAGATGGGTTGAAGTTCCCCGTGACTCCGGGGCTAGGTAAGTGGAGAAGCGGGGTGCGGGCGTGGGTGAGGTCCAGTCGGTCTTGGCACTGGCACGTGCAAACGACACAACAGGACGAGGTGCACTTATCGCCGATGCATAAGCAGGTGGATGACGAGACGTATGTCGATCCTGACCTCGAGGCGAGCGTGTTGCATCGACTGCGGTGGGAGAATTGGCATCGTCAAGCCATGCGTCACCGTTCGACGTATGCGCAATCTCCCTGATCCCGTGTAACTTCTCCCCCGCGTCCTCCAATCAATCCGAATCGTGCATCGTTGCTTGGCAGTTCCGAGCTTGTGCTGACCTTGTGTTCTTTTTTTGCGTTCTTTAGATGAGGCGAGTCAGTATCGATGGCCACCCAAAGATCCTGCCAAGACAATTCACCACACCGCTGCGCATCCGGTTGTATACGAGCAATCGGGGTGGTATGGCGAACCTGCGGCGCCAGACTTGTTCCCACCCGGTGCAAGCTCCAGTTCCCCCTTCACCTACGGCGACGGATTCAATCCCGCCCTTCGACCTTCGAATCGAACCTACCCCGAGAGCGAGGTCGAGTCTGATGTCGAGTCCAGTGTCGAGTCAGACGCCGATGATGACCATGCAGACCAACTGCGCCGCAGAGTAGCCGTTCGTCGCGGTTCAGAGGGCTACGAAGTGCGACCCGTCGCTCAGTGGTCCATCTAGCATTCACATCACACACCATCCTTATCACACAGCAATGCATCCTCAAATCGACATTCCAAACTTCACTGCAGCCGCATACCCATGGTGCTTGTACATCAGACGGAAAGGCACACACACACATATTTGCGAGAAAGTCAGCCGTGTTGCAAGCGAAAAAGGCCGGGTGTGGAAAGAGATGGTACAAGACAGAACAGCGGGTGACGCCGAGCGACGCGTCTGTTCTGTTTTGGGGATGAGTGTGTCTCAGGCCAAAAAGCCCTGCAGCGAGACCATCCCCTTTTTCGAGATGTTGAGGGTGGGGCAGGGAATGCAAAATACGACCGTGCGTGTATGTGTGTGTGTGTGTGTGAGAAAGAGGGGAAACGATGCGGATTCCTTCGTGACACTTTACGCCTTCTTGCGGAAAGAGCAGCCCTCGGTCAAGCGGGCCTTACCACCGGTGGGCTGCGAGAGCACCTGGGCGCACGAGCCGCAGACAACGACGGTCTGGGCGTGCGAGAAGACGGTGGTGATGGCGAAGCAGCCGGGGCACTTGACGTCCATGAAGAACGAGTTGGGGTTCTGCACAAGTCGCTTGAGCTTGTGGCAGCGAGCCTGCTGCTCGGTGGAGGGGTTGAGGAGGTCAACGGCGAGAGTCTGAGAGAGAGACAAGAGCAATTGCGATGGTCAGTGACGATTCCAGCGAGACAAGACGAGTCACGCATCGCAGCAGAATAGAGTGGTCGTTCGGGTGGCGTCGATGTGGCAGACGCAGTAGACGGTGGTGGCGGCGGTATGCGATCGGCTGAGCGTCCGTTGAGACGCGGATGACTGGTACGGGAGGCTGCGGTCGGAAAGTTGAGATGTTCAGGGTGGCGAAACTCAGCCAAGATTGTGCCGGGGGCGTAGCTGACGCCGATGAGGCGATCTGAGCTGTGGTGTGCCGACAAAGGCGAGAATGTCCGAACAAAAGCGGGTGGCACTTCTGCATGACTGCGAATATGATATCGATACCATCGAGGCAGCACTTTGAGGAGCTGTGCACGCCCTACAGTCTGGGTGGCGTCTGGTGGATATGCGCCACCCGCCCTGGTGACCGTGTCCATTGCCAATGCGACGACGTCTGCCGGGAGCACTATCGCAGGCTACGGATCATGCGAGTTCGAGTGCAGAGCTAGCAAGTCTTCAAATCGTAGAAAAAGCCGTCGACCATGTCGAGGAGTGGCAACGATTGACTTTGGCTGGTCTGAGTCCGGTCTGCGTGCGTGTCGATTGCAAGATGCAATGCGAGAGTGGATGTGGTGTGCTGGCCGGTGCTGAAAGGCGGCGTAGAGGATGGTCGATGTGTGGCGTGTATTGACCATGGGAAGGCGCCGGGCGGGTCATGCTGGTCACCATGCTGAAGATGGATTTGCTGTAATGAAGCGCTGTTTTCCGAGTTGGTGCTGGTCCGCCTGACTGCGTGCGTGCTGGACGATGCTGATTCTGCTGCGATGCGAAACGTATGGCGAGGATGCGAGATATCTTACCATCTTGAAGTGTGATGAGGATGTGAGTGTGTTACTGGGGAGAGGGAAGGAGGATGGTTGGTGGCGGGCGTCGACAAAGCCTGGCCTGGCGTGGGTCGCGGTCGCCTGCCTCGGCGGCTGCGTAGACTCTGCCTGCGCCCTGCCTCAGCAAGAGCGCGCCAGCGTCGATACAGGGCTGAGCAGGCTCTCTCGATTTCACTCTCTGGCTCACTGCGCGGCGGTCGCCGTCTGCTGCCTCGAAAAGGCGACCGAGCCTTGGGCTGAGTTGGCCTTGTCTCTGTCGCCACTCTGAAGTTCGAAACGGAGACGGCTGAGTTTTGGTTGAGACTGGCCTGCAAGCCTGTCTGTGTGTCGAGCGGTCACACTCAGCTGCAAATGGGCTTGCAGGCCGCGGCGGCTCAGTCTCAGCGCCTCGAGACAGGCAGAGGCAGAGTCACTTTTGAATTTTCGAAATACTGCCGGGCGACGCTGTGACTGCGCGCAAGAATTTCAGCCTGAGGAGCCGAGATTGGTACTCACACGTGACCAGGCCAACCTCGGCCGAGGAGTATTGTAGTCAGGCTCGCATTCAAAATTGGAGAGGCAGTTCAAAGAGCTGCAACTACAGTCACCGCAGAGGTCGCCCCCCGCTGCTGAGATGCCGCAATCCAACCCTTGTTTTGCGAGCCAAAGGCAGCTGCAAGCCCTTTTTGGCGCGCGCAAGATGGAGACGGCAGCAGCACGGCAGAAACACCAGCGAGCGAGGCGACACCAGGCAGCAGACCATGGCGGAGTGCGCTCCAGTGCCTCTTTGGCGCGCTTTCGAAAATTTGGCGCTGGGCAGCAGCAGTAGCACGACAGGCTCGAGGCTGACTGCGCAAAAGGCCCAGGCAGCAGCCCGCCGCGAGGGCTCAGCAGCCAAGTCTGGCTTGCTCTTCAGTCTTTTTCGGCGCCAGGCAGCGGTGTGCCATGCCAACCCCAGCCAGAGCGTGAGCGTGGCCAGCCAGACTTGGAGGCCTCGTCGTCATCTTTCTCCCTCCTCTCGTCTCCATCATCCGACCTCCTCAAGTCCTAACGAAGTAAGTGCGGCACCATCGACCCTTGCAAGCCCTACTGCTACTCTCGACACATTGCAAAAAGGTACGACATCCCAGCTACGACAGCATCAGCGCCCTACACGCCACCGCCCAGCCCAGCATTCCCGCAGCATACGCAATCGCAGCCTCGACGACAATATTCCCGTCGCATCTCCAATCAGCAGCACGTCGCATCGCTGCGTATCCTTCACACTCCGTCGCAGGAGGCACCCCTGCTTGGCTTCGTGCTCGTCTCGTCGCGAACGCTATTTTTCAGCCTCGAAGTAGTAGCACGTAACGACACGACCTGCAACAGGGCCAGCAGTGTCAGCGGCATGGATCCTGCGATGAAGCATCGTCGATCGTCGCAATGCGCACCGTGACCCATCAGTCCCGGTCAACCACACGAAAGTGCCACATCGTTCCTGCTTCAGCAGACAGTACAGTGGCAGATGCTCGACGGGATCCGTGTTGTGGATTTGCACATGCGACATCTTCCGCCTCGTCTGCTTTTGCTTCCAATCAACTATCTCAGCTTTCATTCGCCACGAATGCTCAGCACCGACTTGGCTCGGCTTCCATCGACGCTCGACCTTTGATCCCGAGTTTCAGCTCAGCTCGTACCGCAGTCGACATTTCAACTCTCCCGCCACGACACCTTCCAGCTGTTCAGAGTAGCAGGGGCTTGACTCGAGCACGTTTTTGTTTGCAACTCGTGCAGGTTGACTGACCTCCTCCCGCTTTTCACCTTGATTGCCCTAACCCAGTCTTCAAGATGGTCAACCTCAGAACACAGAAGCGCCTCGCGGCCTCGGTCCTTGGATGCGGTAAGCGCAAGGTCTGGCTCGACCCCGCCGAGCAGAACGACATTGGCAACGCCAACTCGCGTGCCAACATCCGCAAGCTCATCCGCGACGGCCAGATCATCCGCAAGCCCGTCGTCGGCGGCTCGCGATCGCGTGCCCGCGCCACCGCCGCCGCCAAGCGTGCCGGCCGTGGTACCGGACAGGGTCACCGCAAGGGTTCGTCGGAGGCCCGCATGCCCACCAAGGTCATGTGGATGCGCCGCCAGCGTGTCCTGCGCCGTCTGCTGCGCAAGTACCGCGAGTCGGGCAAGATCGACAAGCACCTCTACCACGAGCTCTACCTCAAGTCCAAGGGTAACGTGTTCAAGAACAAGCGTGTCCTCATGGAGCACATCCACAAGGCCAAGGCCGAGGCTGCCCGATCCAAGCACCTTGCCGACCAGATGGAGGCCCGCCGTATGCGCAACAAGGCCATGCGCGAGCGCCGTGCTCAGCGTGTGCTCGAGAAGCGTGCTGCCATCATCGCCGTCGAGAACGAGGCCGAGGAGAAGAAGTAAGCTGGTCCAGCACGCCCCGTCGCTGTTCCCGCCTGCATTTTCTCTCTTGTCCTGCCCTTTCCTCTCCGGCCGCAACACTCTTTCTCGCCCTGCCATATTAGCCCTCACCTCCCCTCCCTCTCGCACGGTGCGGGAGTTTCGAGATCTGCCTTGCAGGCATGTCGGACTTCCTCATCGTGCATCCACAACCCGCCTATGCATTTGCTCGTCGCCTTCGTCGCGGCGATTGCATCTTCCTTGTGTTTTCATCACGCACCCCCTGGCCTTTGGTGGTTGATTCCCACCTCTGGTCCTACGACTCCTCCACACACGATACTATCCAACCTCCCCCCTACATATCGGCCTGGAAGTCGTACAAAAAAGCAATCGCATCTGCACATTGACCCAGCCCGCCGTCTGCTATTCAGAGCGTGAGAAGAGTGGCGCGAAGCGTGAAATCTGGGATGGATGCGTCGAGCTGATCGGCTCAGTAGACGTGGGCTTGACTGCGGTCTTGATGCTCGAGTGGGTTATGCAGGTGGTGCCGTGCGCGCCGAGGGGGCCTACTTTGAGGACATCGGACGAACAGTGTGCGGCGAGGTAGAGGGGAGTAGCTTGTGCTGAGGTCAGGGGTGTTTTGGGTATCGAGGGATAATGGAGGGTGGTCTGAGCACGCCCTCGCGCGTGGGCTCGACAATTGAGCCTAAACGCTCGATGCGAAGGGTTGCTTCCTTGCGGCCATCTAGCAACTTGCGGCTGTGGACGAGCGATGCCGTTTGCGTACCTTCGCAAGCAGCGGGAATCCGCCTCTCTGCACGGGGGCACTGCCCCACGCGGGGTGTCGCTTGGCAAAGCGCTTCGAATCGCACTGGTGGCGGTAGTGCTGGTGCCTTTGGCGCTATGGCTTCCGTGGGTGCACTCGGCACTTGGACCATCTGGTCTGCCCGACCATTGGGTACGATCCTCATCGGGGCTGGAGACAGAGTGTGGGACGGTGACGCACGATGGGGCGGCGCTGATGTATTGCGAAGACATCGAGGCGATCCCGGGGACGAGCACGGTGCTGGTTAGCTGTGACGCCAACCGGCCACGATGGAACACCGTCATGGGACCCCTGACCGATCCTACGCCAAGGGGAACATTGTATGCTTACTCGATAAACGGGTCCAAGGAAGCGATGCCTGTGGAGTTGGCAGGCTATCCACGAGAAAAGGACTTCCACCCGCTGGGCATGTCGATGTTCAAGGGTAGCAACGGGACGAGGCTGTTTGTGGTCAACCACGCGCGCGATCTTAGCACAATCGAAGTGTTTGATCTTCTGCACGAGGAGGGTSGGTGGGTAGCAAAGTGGGTGCGCGATGTGGTGCACGTAGTTGCCACACACACGCCCAACTCGATCCACGCGCTGTCATCCACCTCGTTTGTGGTCACCAACGACCACCTCTTTGCACGTCGACCCGGCCCACTTGCACACACACTTGCACTGCTACACCGTCTGCTCCTCGGCACGTATGACGAGCACCGCAGCGATGCACTCACATGGACGTTGCTTCAGGTCGCCAAGGTGTTGACCCACCGAGGGGTGGCTGCACGCCTTGCGCAGATCGAAACCCTCCTCGGCCTCCCGCTTGGCTGGGTGGCTTTTGTTGACCTCACCACAGTCGAGGCGCATATCCTCGCACGAGGCATCCCGTTTGCAAATGGCGTTACCGTCACGCCCGACAACAAGCTCGCGGTGGCTGCCACCACCTACCCCGGCATCTACTTCTACTCCTACTCGCCACCGCTTTCCTCCTCCAGCCCACTCCACTTGCACACTAAGCTTCACCTCCCCTTCCGCGTGGATAATCTCGCCCTCTCTGTAACCCCCTCCCCTTCTCCCCGCGGTGATGTATGGGGAGGACGGGTGTTGTTGGCAACGGGACATCCGGCGCCATTGAAGCTCATGGCCATGTCGCGCAATGTGACCAACCGTGCTCCGAGCTGGAGTGTAGCCATCACTCCCTTCATCGGCGCGAACGAGTGGGAGGACAAGGAAGCCCCGCTCCCAACCCACCGCTTTGTGCTCAGCCACAATCCCGCCTGGTCAATTCGAACCCTCTTCCAATCCAACGCCTCCCCCACCCCCAATCGGCCAAGTCTCGCTTCGAGCGCAAGCACCTTCTATAAGCCCTACGACCACAATCCCCTCGCAGGCACCTTGCTCGTCTCCGGTCTATACGATTCCCTCCTCCAATGCTCCAATGTCTCCACCTAAACCCTCGCCTTCCTTGGATGAAGGGCAATCACAAAACAGCGAACAAGGAACCATTACTACACATTGACGAGCGAAAAAAAAAACAGCGGGCATGAGAACGAAAAGCAAAGGCGAGCGTTGACAAGGTCGCGCGCGCGCGCGAGAGCGCCAGCAACAAAGCGCGCTCGTCGACGCCAACGAGCCCCTTTGAACGACAAAAGACGAAGCGAAAGCAGAAAAAGTTTCCAAGGACCCTCCCCAGCCTCTAGACCGGGGAGGCGTCCAGTCGAAAGGTCAGGACGCGCGGGATGTCCAGCGTCCCGCCACGTCCTCACCCTATCCGACACAATAGCACCGACCGACTTTAGAGCGCCACGAGAGCGACGACAGCTGCCGCGGCGAAGCTTGCCAGCGCCACGACGCCCGACCTCGCCGCGACGCCGGGGGCGCTGCTGGCGACGGCGGCAAAGCCGGTGGTGTTGGCGATCTTGTTGACCTGGACCACAAAGTCGTTTCCGCAGTTGGACTTGGCGGCCTTGTAGATGTCGCTCTGGGGCGCGAGGATCTCGGAGGTCCTGAGGCCGATGGCGTAGGGGATCGAGGTCTCGAACTTGATGTACGAGGCGAGAATGAGCTGTGTGCACTGCGAGCACAGGATGCTCTTGGGGCTGCTCGACGAGATGAAGAGGAAGGCGGCGTTGGTGTTGGGCGTGGCCGACGAGTCGGTCGCGTTGGTGAGGCCGGTGATGGTGTCGGTGGACGAGGTGGACTGCCTCTTGACGAGCTCCTCGGCATCCTCTTCATCCCACTCTTCGTCGTCATCCTCGTCGTCGGCGTCGGCATCGAGGCTTCGACGCGACGGGGTGGTGGCGGCGACGCGCTGGGAGGTGGCCGCCGCTTTGGCGATGGTCTTGAGGCAGTAGTCTGCGTTCTTGTCCTTTGCACAGATCGAGTTGACGAGCGGGGTGATCATGTAGAGGTTGTCGTACATCGCCTGCACCTGCGTGTTTTTCGACTGGAGGTCGGTGTGGCAGTTTTGCCAGAACTGGTCGAGGCGTGCGCGGATGATGTTGGGGTCGCAGCCGGTGTCGGCGGAGCAGAGCTCGGTGAGCGTCGAGTCGAGCTGTGTGGACGAGTCGGTGGCGTTGGACGAGTAGATGCGCGTAGCCTGGAGGAGCGGCTTGGTGCAGGCGTCGAGCTGGGTGTCCGAGTTGAGCGTCGAGAGGAACGACGAGCAGGATGCCGAGACGTTGGTGGGGATGGCCGACGCGTTGGTCGCCTGAGCAGCCACCTGGGCTGCCGAGGGCGCGAGAACGAGCAGCACCGCCGCAAGCGACGACGCAGCAGAGAAGGCGAACGACTTCATGGTGCGGATGTTGAAGAGGCACAAAAGAACGTAGCGTACGTGGAGTCGAATGCGTGTACGAAAAGAAGGGGAGGATCCAAGCGAATGTAGAAGGGCCGGGGAAGTTGGAGAGCGAGAGTGGAGTGGGAATGGGCTTGGCGCCGTGTGGGTCGAGAGGAGGGAGGCAAGAAGGGGGGAAGCCAATTGCGATGGTGTTGCGGAGCCAAAGAGGATGGCGTTGAGACGACGCAACGTCGATCGCGCGGCGTGGGCTCTGCTTTCCCTCCAGGAATGGCCACCACAGCCGAGCGCGCCTTTCGACACTCGAGAGCCGCTTGGCTTCATCTCGCCTCCTCGGCGCGGATCAAAGGCAAAGGCACGAGACCTGGACCCGAAGCCTTACCTTCATCAAAGGGCCAACAGACGCGTGTCCGAGGCAGTGAGGCACTCGGGCAGTCTAGCCAGGAACTCGGCGAGAGAAAAGGCGAGGCGCATTTTGGAAATTTTCCAAGCTGCAGCAGAGAGTGTTCAAGTGTGTGTTTTGGATTTTGCATCTCAGACGCGCCTCCCGAGCCCTCTGAGATTCCGCCAGGGTCCGAGGGGCGACGCTGTCGATCCGCCAGCGCAAGAGAGAGAGAAAAGGGGAGGGCTCGCATGCATGCTTGTTGCCGATCCTCTCTCTCTCTCTCTCTTTCCCCTTTTCTCACTCGGCTCAGTTACTAGTCGGCGGGCTGCACGCCAGTGTCGTCGGGATGCCAAGGCCCTTTGGCTCGAGCAGGTGAGCAAGCGGCTGCACCCCACGTCTCCAGCATGCACAGAGATTCGATTTCGCTGCAGCCGGCTGCAGCTGCTACTCTCTCGGCCGCTACAAACGATCCCATCCTCACCAGCGTAGCCGACGGCGCTGCATGACCTTCTCCCCTCACCGCTTCACCATCGTTCTGCACTAGCATTTAATGAACTGGATTGCAAACCACGCGTGGGCTTCTACATTAACGTACGACGGCGTGCTCTGATAGCTGGCCGACATGTGTACATGTGGCAACTGGTGACTGCCCAAGACGTGAAAGAGGTGCGCAGCTATAGGTCAACCTCTTGCCAAGCGAGGAGCGGCCGAAGCTCCAATCGGCTGGGTCAGTTGCTGGTGCTTTGCACGCTTGTCTGGTCGTCTGCTTCTTGATCGTGAGGGATTCTTCCATCAACGGGGGGCGGCGCCTCGCGCGTGGTGTCGTTGATCAGACCGGAGCGATCTAACCAATCGTCAGGAGGTCGAGCCAAGTCGGGGAGATAGGCATGGCTTGTAGAAGCAAGGGAGATGCGGTTTAGGTGCTGCGATGATAGTCGGGCTTGCGACTTGCAGGGTCTCCATGGCAGCACGACTAGTGGACATCGACGGTCAGCTCCTTTTCGAGGATGAACTTGCCCTCCTTGTACTTTTCGGCCGCCACGTACGCCTTGTCGTACTTCCAGCCGAGCGTGGTCTTGCACTTTGCGCAGCTGATGTCGCGCACCGTATGCAGGCCCGTGGTCATGTGGCGGTCCTCGGCGTCGCCCAGGCTGATGTTGGCCACCGAGTCGAATAGGTATGCGCGGCCGTGCTGCCCGTTGAACGCGCGGCTCACCAGGTTCTCGATGGTGGTCAGGTGCGTCTTGCACTCTTTGCATCCAAAGATGCGCTGGCTGCACAGGTACTGCTTGTGCGTCATGCCCATCTGGCCGAGTATACCCTCGTTGCCCGGGAGCAAGGCGCAATGGCGAGTAGCGAGGGTTCAATCAAGGCGGCCACCTCACTGAAGCAGCTGGCTGTTCAAATCGAATGCGAGGCGGTAATCGAGATACCCGTTTGAGGTTGATGGGTGGATTGGAAGCTGGACGTCAAGATGGTGAAGCTCAGCCGACAAGACGGCCTAGATAAAGTCGAAGCGCCTCAGCTGCCGCACCAAGGCTTTGCGTGATGTGGAGCTCGTGCGTCGGCTCAGCCGAGTGTAGAGCGGCACTTTGCACCTCGAGCTCGTGCTTTTGATTATCTCTCCCACTCGTGACGCATGCTTCTTTGACTTGCTCTTCCCCTCCGCTCGTCCCACGGTCATCACGCGCTCCAGCGTGACTATAGTATAGCCTGGTCAGTGCTTTCCATCCGAGCCTTCCAAGTAACTTGGGGCGGGTTGGCTGACCAGCTGCACGTTGCGGTGGCTCTATGCACTCTCGCACAGCTCACTCAGGGTCCTCCTGCAGCCTTTTTTTTGGKGGGAGAGAGCGCGCGGCGGGATCGGGACTCAGCCACGCCGTTGGCCAAAATTGGGCCGCTCAGACCACTTCCCCGCCTCTGCCGAAAAAGTGGAGTGGCTCAAGCCGGCCGAAAATGGCAAGTCGACAGCAACTCGGCTTTCGGAGAGGAAAAGAAGGCGGTCTCCACTCGGCGCATCGTCTGGAAAAAGATTGGACTCAACGACCAGAGGCTTCCCTTTCTCCGCTTGGCAGACGCACACACGACCACTAAAGGTGCACACTCTCAAGCCATGGCTGTAGCACATCCGCTCACAGCGCTTGCGCCGTCCATCCGACTGCTCGGTGTAGCGGTGGCCGGACCCGCCGCGGCTTCGACTCGGCTCGCATTTGCAACATCCGCCTCGTCGTGCGGCTTGCGGGCCTTGCACAGCTCGAGCAAGAGGCGCCAGTCCAAGGGCAAGTCCAGCTCAGAAGATCTCAAGGCATCCAAGGCGGCCTTCACGCAGCGACAGATCCTGAACGAGCTGCGTGCCAGTTCGTCGTCGTCGTCGTCATCGTCGTCTGCGCTGCAGTCCAAGCCTCGAGTGCGCGTCAATGCCACGGCCGAGGCGGCGCTCGATGCGGCATCTGGGTCGCGTGGTGGCGGAATCCCGCTCGGCATGGCAGGACTCTCAGTGGGAGGAGGGGGATTCGGCTCGGAGCCTACGCTGATCGATCGAGCCACTGGCCAGGGCAAGCCGTGGTCGCAGCTCAAGACGGGCCAGAAGGTAGCGCGTGCGACGGTGCAGTCGTCGCGCACCATGCTCATTATCGGCGGAGGCGCACTCACGTTTGTGCTTGTATACGCGCTCACCAGCGAGCTCTTCGCCAAGAACAGTCCGACGGTCATCTACGCCGACGCGTGCAAGCGTGTGCAGACGAGCGCCGAGATCGCGAGCCATCTGCTCACGCCGTACCGCTTCCGCACCTCGCCCAGCGCCACGGGCAGCAGCGACTTTTCGCCGCTCAACCCGCCGTCGGTCAAGGACAGGAGGAGGTCGCGCTCGGTGCCCAGCGTGAGCTTCACCGACGAACGCACGCGCGAGGAAAAGATGCTGCTGCGCTTCTGGATCAGTGCGCGCGACAAGACCGAGGAATGGTCGTGGTGGGACTCGGCGCGCTACGAGGTGGTCGAGGCCGGCAAGTGGGTCGGCCGCAAGGTTACCGAGGGCGGCGAGTGGGTGGGCGAGCAGCTTGGGCTTGAGCTCGGAGCGGACCAAGACGAGCCCCACCACTCGGACCCTTCCAGCGCGACTGCTTCAGCCACGGCGAAGACCAGCGCAGAGGCATCGGACAATGTCTTGTCTCGTACGTGGAATTCGGCCTTGGGCGGACTCGGCAATGTGATGCGGAGCTCCACCGAGGCGATCACGTCGACGCTCGTCTCGCCTTCGTCGGCCACGACCCGTCGCCATGCTGAACCGGGTACATGGTCGTCTGGCGAGGTGCACGCCGAGCTGGTCAAGGACGCCGACGGCACGTTGCAGTACCGGGCGCTCTTTGTCGATATCCCCAGCTCGGCGGCGGTTACGCGTCAGCGTGTGTGGATCGTACGCAAGCTCGGCGAGGTTCAGCGATAAGCCTCCTCGCACACCAAAATGCATACTGTATGCAATCGAGGCGTACGATTCTTCTAGCGAAGTGCTCGACTGTGGATGCGAGTTGTTTGCGGCGTCATCGTGCGAGCTATGTCCGGTCGGTGTCTTGAGCTGCATCCTGCACCTACGGCGAGTTGAAACAAGTTGGCGAGAGAAAAAAAAAAAAAAGGTGGTACGAAAAAGTGAGGAAAAGTGCGCTTGCAGCTCGCTTCAGCACGATGCGGGGCTTAGACTGTGGACGATCGGCGTGCTCGATTCGGGTCATTCTTCGTTCACGCACAGATGTGCAAACAAAGGGCCCATAGACCCGGACCGCACGGTGGAACGCTTCTAGCAGCGAATGTGGTGCTTTGTGGGGGAGGGACAGGGGCCATCGGAGAGGTCGGTGCGCGATGCGTGTTGGTTTCACCTGCTCTGCATTTTTGCCGAGTCGACATGTCACCCCACGCCTCTCTTTTTTTCGCGGCTCTAGAGCTGTGCTGGCAGTTTGGGATGCACGTCAGGCGCGTTGAAATGCGCATGCGCTGTGACTCTTGCATTCCTCACCCCCCTGCTCGACCGTCATGCTGCTTCCTGCGCATACAACGGCGTCTTTGGCACGAGATCCGCTCGAAAAAGCATGCCTTCCCCCCGTCCGCCCATGCAGCCAGCCAGAACGCACAGAGATGGCAATTGAAACACCGGCAGCACATCGCGAATGGTTGCGGGGGTGCAAGGTGCATGCCAAACGGCACCACCGCTCGGCCCCCCTCCCCAGCTCTATTGTTCCCGCTGAGATCCCAGCGGATGGTGCGTTGTCTAGCGATGCTTCTAGCTTGCCTGTCAGCTCGCTAGCGACGTTATGCCGCCGACATGTCCCAATGCCGCACGTTGGCGCCGCACCATGCCGCACTGTGCCGCGTTGGCCTGCCGACTCTGACCCGCGCTCCGACAACCCCCTGAGGTTGTGGCGTGTCGATCAGGAACCCACGATCCCGCTCTCCACGCGTTCTCGTCCCGGGCCAGCGGTGTACAGGGCAGTGCGCTGTACCGCCCAGGCAAGCCACAGAAGAGGCGCTCGTGTGTCATGCCGGGGTTTCTGGTGTTGCTCTGGCGGCTGCTTTGGTTTTTGAGCATCTTGCTATGCCAATCTTTACAACCACCATCTGCCCCCCTCCTCTCCTCTCTAACGCCCCCACCTTCCTTGCTTCCCCTTTCTCGTCGTGTCTCCCCATCGATCGTCACCACTGGCTCTGTTTGACACGCTCTCTGTTCCAGACCCCATCCAAGCCTCAGCCCGACAAACATGGTTCGACCTACACTGCTGCGAGCCATCCTGGCCACGTTTGCGCTTGTCGCCATTGGCGCTGCTGCATCTTCGGACGCACCTGCCTCCTCTGCAGCCCCTGCGGTGTCCGCTGTACCCGATCTGGACGACGACGGCCAGCCTCTGCAGTTCATCAACTCGGTGGTGGGTGATGACGACGATGACGACTACACGCCCGCGCAGCTGGCGGCGCGTTCGGAGCTTCGACGCTCCAAGCATCACCACAAGCACTCTTCGCGCAAGTCGACGGCGTCGCGCAAGCTGTTCACCATCGGCCCGGCACAGACCGACTCGATGTGGTCGCGCAACGTGCAGATCACCTGGTACGCTTCCAACGACCTCAAGAATCCGCAGTGCGGCAATGGCGGCGGAAGCTGGCAGCCCGAGAACAGCTGCCACATCGGCGCCGTCGTCAAGGGCTGGAACGACGGCCCGCAGTGCGGCGAGTTCGTCAAGCTGTGCAACAAGGAGGCCGACAACCACTGCGTCACCGTCAGGGTCATCGACAAGTGCGCCGGGTGTGGAGAGGATCATGTCGACCTCACCAAGTCGGCATTCAAGAAGCTCAGCCCCAGCGGAAGCTTGACCGAGGGAAGGATCAAGGGCCTCAAGATGTACAGGACCAAGACGCCGAACCCCTGGGACCTCGCCCTGTTCGGCCCCAAGCTGCTCCAGGGATGATCGAGCCGAACTTACACTTGGCCCGCATCAACCGATCCCTGATTGGCATGGGTCTCTACCCTCTTTTGGTCTTATTGGCCCGCTTGGAAGAATGCGCAGGGAGGTAGGAGGATACTGGATTGTCCTCGTGCACTTGTCCGCGCTGCTGCTGTTTCGCTTCGTTTCGTTTGTGCTGCTGCCTAGTCGCAAGCCTGCATCCTTTCCCATCCCACCTTTTTTTTTGCAATCTGGATTCGCAACCACCCGAATGCTTGTGCACAGCTTGGTTGAATGCGAATGCTTGATTGATACCGATACAAATACACTGAGCTCGAAGGGAACATCATCTTCGCCACCACCACAAGAAGACCTGACTCCACGCCAAAGCAAAGTAAAAAGGTCAGTTGCGGAATCTCACCTGCGTTATCGGCAAGTTGGGCTTACAAAGATCCAGGTGACAAAGAGGAGAAACAGCATCATGTTGCAGAACCACCCGCCCTGTCGTTTGGCCATCTTGTTCATGCGCTTGAAGGTGCCGCCCAAGAAGGCCGAAGTATTATCGAATGCCTCGCCCAGCACGCCCAGATCCTTGGTACTTTCTCGCACCTCGGTGCCGATGTTGAGGGTGATTTCCTTGAGCATGGACACGCGTGCGGTGAGACCATCGAGACGCTGGTCGTTCTGCTCCTCGAGATCCTCCGCCGTGCGTGTGGCAGTGTAGTTCGAGGTGGCCCGGCCGAGGATGCTGTCGCCATGCGGTTCCTTCTTGGGCGCACCGACAAAGTCGGAGCTGTTGTACGTGGGGGGCGTTGACGAGGTCGAGGGGTACGACGAGTCGTACGGCGACGACGATCGGTAGGCGGACAGCGAGGATGAGGTCGGATAGGCTCCGCCTGCGAGCAAGGCGTGCCGGTCCGTACCGCCTGTGCGCCGATTCATCGTGGCGAGATGCAGGGCTGCGACAGACGATGGTCAAGACCAGCAAGGCGCAACGAGGTGCACCGAGGTGTGGGATTCACTTCGGCTCTCGGACTGCATCGACGTGGCCCCCGCACCCAAACCCCCCACCTTTCAAATGACAAAGCCTTACCTGATCCTAAATTCACCTGTGTAGAGACTCTGGGTGTAACATCCAGAAAATAAGCCGCCTTCGGATCAATTCGGAGCAGCGCTCAACGCCGCGGCTCTTGACAGCATTCAGCAGGCTGAGCCGATGCAAAGGAGCGAGGTAGGATGTCCCGCACGGTCGGAAGTCCGGCTAGCTTGCTCGCCGGGCTCGTCCTCTTCTCACACGTCAATCATCCGCCGCGCCGGTCAACCTGGGCGTAATTGCGAGACTGTGCTGCGATGCGAAGATGTCCACGCTGGCCAACTTGGATGATTCTGGAGTTGTCAAATTGCCTGATGTGCGTGTCTGCGTGCGCTTTGCGTATGAGCCTGTCGCTCATGGATGTCAACGAGGATGGGCGCGGTGTAGCGGCGTCGAAGAATAGGCTTGGCTTGGGCCGGAGTGTCCGTCGAATCAGCCGGTTGATCCGAAAAGCAGAGCGAGGAAATCTCTGGCCGGCCAGCGCTACTTTCCGATTCATGCACGCCTGGCGCCCTCCGGAAGATTTTTGGGGCGGAGAGACTTCGCGACCGCTCACCGAGGACTCAAGACGATCAACACCATTGATTCGCCTACGAACTGATCACACTGTTCTGACTCTTACTGAGGCTCAAGAGACGAAAATGAGTCGCAATGACAATGTGGCTCTCTTTCGCCACCGCAAGATGGACGTATGCTGGGCGAGGTTGGTGCGGCGCACTCGGGCGTGAAATCCGATATCGATTGAACCGCGCTCTGCTGGCGGACGCTGAAAAAAGACAGGCGCAGCTAGATATTCAGATCACACGCGTGTTGGGGAGCTGCCTTTTTTCGAAATCCCTTCTTTTCTGGCTGTTCTTCTCGATGGGCCCGGGCAGAAGAAGCTGCCTCCACCGATCTCGGCAGCAGGCGGCCCTTCCGTGTGGGCGCGGAGACCGGCCGATTTTTCAACGTCACTCGCTCTCGGCGGCGCGGCTCGAAGATCGCTGCGTGTTGCCGGCCTGCCCCTCCCCCAAGCTTTTTTTTCTTTTCAAGCTTGGCTGGGCGGGTGGTGCCTCGTGCGCTTTCAGCAGAGCCAGCGCAATTTTCGCGCCCGTTTCTTCGGCAGCGCTCCAATCCGGGCCTGCCTCGGAGGCACTGGGCCGTCGTCCTTCGCCCATCGCCCGTCGTCGTCGTCACATCGGCATCCCCAGCCCGCGCACGCGCGCCCAGAGTCTCCCTCCAATCGTCGTCGGCCCTTCCACCCTCTCCTTCTCCTCCTCCTCCTCCACCACCACCATCTCTCTCCATCCTTGTCCCCTTCCCGCAAAGATGCTGTCCCTCACCGTTCCCCGCCTCGCCCTCCGCGCAGCCGCCCCCTCGCGCCAGTTCGCCGCCGCGGCTGGCGTCGGCGCCGTCCGCTACGCCTCCACCAAGACGCTCAAGGACGCCGTCGCAGAGATCATCCCCGCCAAGCAGGAGCAGCTCAAGAAGCTCAAGGCCGAGCACGGCGAGTCCAAGCTCGGCGAGATCCAGCTCCAGCACCTCCTCGGCGGCATGCGCGGCCTCAAGGTCATGCTCTGGGAGGGCTCCGTCCTCGACTCCGAGACCGGCATCACCTTCCACGGAAAGTCCATCCCCGACTCCCAGAAGGTCCTCCCCACCGCCGCCGACCTCGGCCTGAACGGCAACGAGATCCGTGAGTTTTTTTGACCTACTTTGACGCTAAGTGTACAATTTTGACGGCCGAAACTGACCCCCAGCTTTGACTCTGATCGCTCGCGCACACAGTCCCCGAGTCCATGCTCTGGCTCCTGCTCACCGGCAACGTCCCCTCCAAGGAGGAGGTCAAGGGCCTCTCGGCTGAGCTCGCCGCCAAGGGCGCTCTGCCCGCCCACGTGGAGAAGATCATCGACTCGTTCCCCAAGACGCTCCACCCCATGACGCAGTTCGCCGCCGCCGTCGCTGCGCTCAACCACGACAGCAAGTTCGCCGCCGCGTACGCCAAGGGCATCAAGAAGACCGAGTACTGGGCCCCCGTGCTTGAGGACTCGATCGACCTCATCGCCAAGCTCCCCGCCGTGGCCGCGCGCATCTACTACAACGTCTTTGGCCGCGGTGACGGCAAGCAGGCCATCGACTCGGGCCTCGACCTCATCGGCAACTACTCCAAGATGATCGGCTACGGCGACAACCAGGGCATGACCGACTACCTGCGTCTCTACATTGCCATCCACGGCGACCACGAGGGCGGCAACGTCTCGGCGCACACGGCCCACCTGGTCGGCTCGGCGCTCTCGGACCCCTACCTCTCCTACTCGGCCGCGCTGCTCGGTCTCGCTGGCCCGCTGCACGGCCTTGCCAACCAGGAGGTGCTCGGCTGGGCGCTTGCCATGCAGGAGGCCGTCGGCGAGAACGCCTCGGACGAGCAGATCAAGGAGTACCTCTGGTCGACGCTCAAGTCCGGCCGTGTGGTGCCCGGTTACGGCCACGCCGTTCTGCGCCAGCCCGACCCGCGCTTCACCGCGCTGAGCAAGTTCTGCGACACGCGCCCCGAGCTGCGCGACTCGCCGATTGTGCAGCTGGTGCAGAAGGTGTCGCAGGTGGCGCCCGGCGTGCTCAAGGAGCACGGCAAGACCAAGAACCCCTTCCCCAACGTCGACGCCGCCTCGGGCTGCGTGCTGTACCAGTACGGCCTCACCGAGTTCACCTACTACACGGTCATCTTTGGTATCTCGCGTGCCATCGGCGCGCTGCCCCAGCTCGTCGCCGACCGATACCTCGGCATGCCCATCGAGCGCCCCAAGTCCATGTCCATGGACTCGCTCGAGGCTTTCCTCAAGAAGTAAGTGCATACTTGCCACCTCGCGTAGAGGATTCATGCTTGCTTCTTCCAAGAGGCTTGTTGTAATCAGCTTTGAAACCAAAAGATCCACCTTTCGTCGCTTGTCCGTCTCGATGTGTGCGACGGAGTTTGGGTAAGAGGAGCGTGGAAAGGCGTGTGTGTGGTGCTGTGTGGGCGATTGATGCCTTTGGTCGTATCAAAGCGTAGCGCGATGAGCACTTGGTAACACACAACCGGATAAGACCTTGATACCCTGCGAATTGGTTCATGTTCGCAACTGAGCCTCGGTCAGCGGAACTCGCAGTGGGTCCATGATCTTTGGACCATGCTGTAGGGTTACGATGCTCAGCAGCAGCCTTTCAAAGTGTCCCCGCGGCGTTACGCTTTGGCACGAGGAGAGGAACATTTTTTCCGCGCGGTAAGAAGGAACGCGTGGGGAGACCAACACTAATTTGCTTCGCATTTAGCACTGTTGCTCTCTCTCTTCCACACACCATTGCTCGACAATGCAGGCGACGACGAACGCATCACTGTTCCAGACCTCGTACTCGGAGGCGTTGGGTGTGTACCGCTCTCGCAAAGCCGTCCACACCTCTGGCATCTCCGACCCCTCGACGTGGGGGCGATACGGCCACGCGATCCAGCTGAATCCTCGCTTCGAGTCGGCGGTGGTACGAGACGCCGCGCAGCTGGCTGAAGAAGGCGCGGGCGCAGACGGGGGGCCGTACCGCGTTCTTGCTCTGCGCGTAACGACGCATTCCGATGGAGCGTGGATATGGACGGCGGAGGCGGGTGGGGTGGTTCGACAGCTGGATGCCGAATCCGCACAGCAGGTGCAAGTCTTCCGCGGCGCCAAAGCTCCCATCCCCGCATTTGACTTTATCAACACTGCGAAGGGGGAGCTGTTGGTGACGGGATCGTGGGATCGAGCAATTCGCGTGTACTCCACCAAAGATGCGCAGCTCGTGGCCGAGGTCAAGGATGCAAGTGCGGACTTTATCAAGGCGATCCATGTGTTTTGCTCAGCTGGTCGTACGTGGATCGCAGCAGCGGGGAGCGATAAGAGCATCATGCTGTACGATGCCACCCCACTCGCAACTCGGGGGCAGGGGGGGCTGAAGTGCGTGCACAAGTACGCCGTGCACACTCGACCGATCAATGCGCTCGGCTCGCTGACGGCGCTGGATGGCACGACGTACTTGTATTCGGCCGATTCGATGGGCAGGATTGTCGAGTCGGTCGTATCGACGTCGTTGCGTCTGGAGCCCGTGCGCGAGATGACGGGTTTCAGCACGGCCGTATACTCGATCCACACCAACTGGAGGCGCGTGTCGGAAGACACCATCGGTAGCGCGGATGGGTGGCTTGGCGAGGTGCGCGAGGACGAGGATGGGGAGCGGTACCGTCTGGCTGCGCAAGTCTGGGCTGCATCGGGCGACAAATCTGCTGCTTCCTACATGCTTTCCCCTTCGCTCCAACGTTCGGCGCCAAAAGCCACTCGCACTATGCCACCGGTGGGAACACAACCGCCACTCCACCAGGCATCCAGACTCGAGCACGCGGACTTTGTCAAGACCGTCCTTCCCATCGGCGCCCTCCTTCCCCCCTCTTACCCGCTGGCTGACGACCTCGCCAATGCCGTGGTCACTGCCGGTGCAGACGAGCACATCCACATCCACCCCGACCCCTCCTCACCCACAAGGAGCGCGGAAGGCCATTGGCACGAAGTCACCGCACTCGCCGCATGGATCCGCCACCCTACCTCCGCACCCACGGCTGCACAAAGCCTACCCGAAGCTAGGGGGACGGAAGTATGGATCGTCTCCGCGGGCTTGGATGGCTCTGTGCGGAGGTGGAATTTGGCAGCATTGGTAAAGGTGGGGAAACCGGAGTTGGTCGCGCCGAAAGCGGATTCGAGAGAGGCAGGACAGTGGGACCAGAATTCGCTCCCGCCAAAGCCGACCAAGACGCTCAGGAACGATAGCACAATGACCGCAGAGGAGGAGGCTGAACTTGCCGAGCTTATGAGCGATGACGAGTAGTAATCCTATTTCCATGCGCAGTGGGAGCCATTCAGCGAGTGATAGCGTGTGCTGGCGCTGGACAGAATAGTGCATGTTGCATTGAGCGCACCTGGCAAAGGCCCACGATAAGAACAATGCCATGCGAGCGCCGAATTGAACGGTGCCGCTCGTCGGTTTTTGACGCGCATGCTGCAAGCCGCTCATCGCACTGTCAAGAGCCTCCAACGGTCCACTCTGAATGAAACGCAGTGTGCCAGATCGTACCAAACCTCAATCGCACTTGACGCCCACGCTCACTTCACCGTCTCTACCGCCCTCGTGTGACGCACTCGCACACCCAGCTCACCACGCTTTCCCCAACGCCCCAACGCCCCATTGTGCACATCGCAAACAAAGTTGCCTGTCAGACCTACCGCACGCACTCACCCTCGCAGCCTAGCTCGGTCAGCTCCAGTTCACATTGAGGTGCGTGCGACGCTCGGCCGGACGATGCCCAAGCCGCCGCATCATGCGTGCGCCTCAATTCATCCGTCGGCATCACTGCAAACACATCATCCTTTCTCAAGGTGTGCATTGAAAAAGTCGCATCGACATGCGGCGACATATCGCCCGCAGCTCATCAAGATTTGAGAAAGTCGCATTGGCACACCATCTACACATCACGCACCCAGATGCGGCCGCTACGGGCGAGGTGCTGGCCAAACGGCGACGAGCGCAACGGTCTCAGGCGTGACAAGTCGCATTGGTACGCGGCTACCGATCACGCACGCAGCCCATCGTGCTTTGCGAGGAGAGGCGGCTACAGATCGCGCACCCAGATGTGGCCGCTGCGCGCGAGGCGCTGGCCGAGCGGCGACGCCGGATCGAGCGCGGCGGCCTCGGGCGTGTCCTCGGCATCCACGCCGAGCACCCAGCGCATCCACGCCTCCTCGTAGCCCTTTTCCAGATCGCGCGTCCACTGGCGCGTGTCGAACAGCGCCGACTGCGTCTCGCGCGTCGCAAACAGCCGGCGCCGCAGCCTCGCCAGCCCGCCGTCCATCGCGGCGCGCCGCGTCACTGCACCGGGATACTCGGCTGAGGCAGGCAGCCGCATCGTGCGCCGCGGCGGGATGCTGGCCGCCAGCACAGGGTCCGTCGAGGCGTTGGCGTCCGAGTGCTTGGCGGCTTCCGCCAGCGACACGCCCGTCGGCGCCGGTGCGGGCGAACCGGGAAGTACAGAGGCCGGTCGTGCCCGTTTCGCCGCCGCGGCATCTGCGCCCGCCTCATCTTGGCCGCTCGCTCCAGCTTGCTGTCCAGTCGAGCTTGCTGCGTGCGATGTCGACGAGGCGGTGGACGTCGTGCCATGGGTCGGTGGCACTGTTTGTTCCGGTGCTGCACCTCGCGAAGCTTGCGGCGCCGAGGCGACCGCCACACCAGACGAATGCGGTTGGGCCGCCACGCTCTTCGGATCCGCCTCGAGGTCGCTTGCGAAGCGCTCCCTGCGCTCGTCCACGGCCGGCTCGATCTCGCGCCCCTGATCGTCCAGATAGACGTACTGGAGCGACTCGGCCAACTGCACTGCGCGCTGCTCGTACTCGCGCTCGCTGTGCACCGTCATCTCGTCGCCAAAGCCCGTCGCATGCACGATGGACGCGGCGACGCGCGAGCACATCTTGTGCATGTGCCTCGGCCACGTCAGCACGGGCGTCGCCGACCACAGGATGTCGGCCGCCGTCGTGTGCGCGTTGCACTCGGTCGTGTCCAGGAACAGGTCGGCGATGCGCCCGCGGTGGATGTGGATGTGCTTGGGCGCCACGTCGGTGAAGATGACGCGCGCAGCCACGTCGTCGCCCGCGTACTGCCTCGCCTCGCGCAGCAGGTGGTGCTCGCCCGCCGCGGGAAAGCGCAGCAGCCACAGGATCGACTTGGGCACGCGCTTCAGGATGCGCAGCCACAGCCTGAACAGCATCGGGTCGCACTTGTAAAGCTGGTTGAAGTCGGCAAAGATGACATAGTCGTCTGGCAGCTTCGGGAACAGCTCGCGCCGCATCGCGTACCGCTTGAGCTCTTCGCTCGCCCATAGCTGCTCTTCCGTCGGCGTCGATGCAGCGCCGCCCCCACGGCTCTCGGCTGCCTGGCTGGCCACATCGATGGTCTCGGTCGGCACGCTTTCCCGGAAGCCCTGCTTGTGGTCGTTGACAAAGTACGTGTGAGGCATGTAGACAAAGCGGTCGGGATACACCCACTCGTCCGAGGCCTCTTCGGGATCGAGGTCGGCCAGCAGATCCGTCGGACGCTGCTCCATCGCCGTCCCGGATGCGCCTGCAGCAAGCTTAAGCTGGCGCCATCGGTCGACGCTCGTCATCTCGGGCGGGCATACGATCGGGTCCGCCACCACCCAGTCTGTCCAGCGCGAGGCCATGCTTCCGGCGAAGCCCATAAACTCCATCTGCACGGGACAGGGCCGTGCGGCGAAGATCTCGTTGCGTGCGCCCTTGGTGTAGCCGTTGAGGTTCATGAGCACGTGGATGTTGTCCATCACGATGCGCTCCACCACCTGCTGGTTCGACCACGCGGATACGTCGAGGAAGTGCTGAGCCTCGCGCTCGATCTTCTGGCGGTACGGGCTTCCGTCCGAGGGCGTGGTAGCATAGAGGTAGACGTTGAAGCGCGACAGATCGTGAAATCCAAATACGGACTGCATCAGATGCGCGAGCGGGTGGTTGTTGAAGTCCGACGAGACGTAGCCGATGTTGATCTTGGGCGCTGGTGGCGACGGCGGCGGGTAGACCACGTCGGGAACCCACATTTGCGTCAGCGTGCTCTGCGAGATCCTCAGAGCATTGCGATGGCAGATCAGACGGATCTGTCGCGGCGAGAGCGGATAGGTAAATGTGTGGAACGGCAGCACCGTGGGTACGGCAGGCGTGACCAGGCACGACGGCAGCTTCGGTCGCGCATAGTTGGTGGCGATGTTCTGCGCCGATGTCACACGCGGCAGCTCGGTCGCTGCCCGAAGCACGCCAGCGCCGTACGCATCCACGTACCACCGCCGCTGGGATCGGCGCATCATCCTCTCGACCAGCTGGATCAGGTAGCCGCCCTCGCACACGTTGTTGGCCACACGATCGAAGCCAGGCTGGTAGAACATCTCGAGTCGCTGCCTCCAAATTTGGGGAGCTGCGTCCCGGGTGTCGCCCATCGCGTCGATGATCGCACGGACCCAGACCTCCAATGGACCAGCCAGCTGAAACGCGCCGGCTCCGTATTGACAACCGTCTCTCAGCTGCTTGGAGACGAGCTCGGAGACGTTCGTCATCCATCCGCTCGGTCCTTCCGAGCCGACGTTGTTTCTGGTCCTGCTGCCAGCACTCGTGCTTTCCGATGCATGCTTGTCGATGTACACTTCTGTCCAGTCGCAGACCGCCAGAAGCGCATTGACGAGCCCACAGAGCGCCTCGGGAAAGTGCGGATTGACGCGCACGGCGCGGCGATAGTACGTGACCGAGTCCTGCGTGCGTCCTTGGTCCTTGATGGCGTTGCCGAGATTGGCCAGCGCCACATCGAAGTCCGGGTTGCACTCGACGGCCTTGAGGTACATCTTGATCGCTTCGTTGAGATGGCCGAGGTCCTTGAGCAGGGAGCCGAGATTGGTGTAGATGTGCGGATGCTTGGGGTCGAGCTGCAGGCCTTGTGTGTAGTACTGCATTGCGAGCGCCTGTCCATTGAGCTGCTGCGGCTGACCTGCCGCATTGATCACTGTGGTGACCACGGGAATGGAAGAGAGCAGGATGCCCAGGTTGTTGCACGTCGATGCCGACGGATGCAACGAGATGGAGAGATAGTACAGAGGCAGGAGCAACGACGTCGAAGGCGGGATGCCGCCCAGTGTCAACGCGCCGTGCGGACCGGCCATCGGACTCGCCGTCGCATCCTGGAACAGCTTGGCGAGGGTCAGCAGGATGGTCGAAGTCGTCTGTGCAGCCTGCTTCTGCGCCTGCTGTAGGACGGCCGGGTTCTGAGGCTTGCTGCTACTCGGAGGACGCGCAAGTGCCGGGAGGCAGCCCGCCGTCTCTGCGAAGATGACCTTGCACAGCTGCGTCGCAGCTTCCGGTAAGAGCAGAAGCATGGGTAATTGGCCGTTGCCGAGCCGCAGCAGCGTGCTGACCAGAACATCGCCAGACAGCTTGACCAGTGCGAGAATGCCGCCCGGACAGATGCGGCTGAACGATCCGCTCGTCAAGATGGCAGCATGCTCCGGATTGGCCGGGTCGATACCCATAGCTACGGCCACTTCGAGAGCCGCCGCCGCTGCCGCGGTGCCGGGAAGCATGGCGCCCATCGACAGCAGCCCGACGGCGCATGCGGCAACGATGAAGTCGCGCAGCCCGTACCGAGTCGATTCGTTCGGAGACAGAACCACTTCGACTGCTTTTTGGTATTCGGCGGCTGCAGGCACGGTGCCCAGCTCGGGCAGTACGAATTTGAGGTTACCCTTGGCGTAAAAGAGGTTCTGAAGGCGAGGCGTTTGCGTAAGCGGCAGACTGGGCGGAAGGTAGAGCGGCAACGACGCGCCCGGTGCGTTCTGCTGCCCGACGACGTGTGCCTCGACATGTTCGCAGAGCTGAAGCGCCTCCTTGAATCTCGGCTGGGATGCAGGCTGTACTTCGCCTCCGACCTGCGGGCCCGCTTTCGCGTTGGATACGGCAGGGTTGGCGGAGCACATGACGCCCAGCAGATTCTCATAGGCATCCCAGTAGCCTGGACGCAAGCGGATGGCCCTCCACCACCAGCTCTCGGCCTCTTGGTAGCGGCCGAGCGCTCTCAAGGTAGTACCGATGTTGCTCATGCTCTCGACGTAGTTGGGATCGATGCGGAGGATGAGGTTGTTGTACCAGAGCGAGCCTGCGTAATTGTCGGCAGCGTAGTACGCGCAGGAGAGGAGCAGAAGCGTCGGGAGGTGCTCGGGATGGAGCTTGTGCAGCGTATGCAGCAGCGGCAGGAGCGTAGGATGCAGCTTATCGGTGCCCTTGAGCGTACCATTCGCCTGCGGAGGCCCTTGTGTGTAGAGGTTGTGGGCGTACTGAAGCAGCTGGTCGCGCACCTCGGGAGACGAGACGTCGTGGCCAGCAGCATTCGAAGCGGCGCTGAGCAGCTCTACGGGATCACGGGCACCATCACGAAGCGTGGGCGTCTGGACCGGAGGTGCCATGCCGTTGAATGCGCCTACTCCCACAGCACCATCTTCCGGCTTGTGAGCATATGCCTCTTGCTTACCCTGCGGCTCGACGCTCTCGACTTTATGCTTTTGCGCTGCGCGCGCATCTTGGCCAGCATCGGTGCGGCTCTCTTTGGCAGGAGGCTGCGCATAGTGCGCCTGGGCTAAGTTCTCGTTGTGCAGGCGGGTGTAGTATCCCTCTGCGAGCGCCTGTAGCTGCGTGCGGTAGTGGCTGGCAAAGTCGGGCGGGAAGAAGCGTGTTGCCTGCTCTGGACGACGCAACTGATCTGAAGCTGGTTCTTGGTCGGCCGGCTGCTGCTTGTCGCTGTCGCGACCATCGTGCAGGTCGCGGTGGACTGCACGCTGAATGAGGTGGATCTGGCGCTGTTCGAGCGCCTTGCGAGCTTGTGCTTGCGCGTGCGGCCCGTCGAGACCTGCCCAAGCGCGGAGCTGGCCCGCAATCGCCTCTTGTTCCGAGGCGGAGAGCGGGCGCCAGGTGGTTGAATGCGACGTGCCGCCTGGTGTCGAGGCGATGCTGGTGAGTGCGGCTGTGGCGTAGGCTGCAGCGGTGGCGAGGGTCGAGTATTCGTCCTTGGTGAAGTCGCGGTAGGTAGGCTGGAAGAGCATCTCGCCTTCTTCGTCCTCGTCGCCCAGCTCTGCCGAGCTGCTGCCCTCTGGTACGGATTCGAGTTTGGAGGCAGAGCGGGCGTTCGTGCCCGGCGCTGATGGCGGCGGGCCCTCGCCCACGGTGATGGCTTTGGCGCGTCTCTCTTCGGGCACCTCGGAGACGGGCACCCACCATCCTGCTCTTGCCGTTCCGCCGGGGGTCTGGACCACCTGAAAGGGGTAGGGGAAGGGCGACATGACGTTGGGCTCAAAGTCGTTGGCCGTGTCGGTGGAGTCTGTGGAGCTGATGGAGGCGGTGGACAGATGGCGTGCGGCCGGCCTTGCGCGGGAGTTTTTGCGGCGAAAGGAGGGCGATGGGGGCGGCGGCAGCATCTGCAATGGAGGGTTGGGCATCAAGGGCATGCTCGGGACGCCCGAGAGGCTGAAGCCCATGTGAGGGTTGGTAGCATCCCAGTAGCGCGCCGAGGCGGTGATGCTTCTCCCGAAAGACTGTTCGATGCCTTGAGAGGGCATTTCGATGTGGCTGAGGCCGAGGAAGCGGAGGTATTCGGTGATGGAGGAGGCGTCCGCATAGGCGTCGAGGGTGTTTGAGGAGGAGGCGTTTGTATGTGAGCCAGATGGCTGTGGCGTCGCTGAGCTTGTAGAGCGGATAGAGCCATGCAAGCTCGAAGCGACGTTGCCAGCTCGACCCGGAGCAGCTGAATCAGTAGCGCTGTGCGCGTCCTGGGTGAAGGCTGCAGCAGTCCTCAAAGCCATCTGGGTGCGCCACTGTGTCTGCGCCTCGCGAGCTGCGGCCTGAGCGGCGATGCGACCCATCTGAGCCTCGGCATCTGCTGGATCCGAGGGATGAAGCGACGTATCTCCAGCCGAGCTCGGCGGCCCGGCAGCGGAGTGAGGCTGCGATGGCGGATGTGTGGATCTGGTGATCTGGCTCTCGAGGGTGGAAGCGATGTGTGCGCTCATGGCGGCCGAGTAGCCGGCTGAATCGGACCAGTTGCGAGTCATTGGCGTGGACTGCAGGTCGGAGGGATCGATGGCGGACTCGTTGAAGGAGAGAGCGGCTGCCGACGCCTGTGCCTTTGCCTGGTTGAGGAGCGCCGAGCTGACTGCCTGGAGACCCTCTGCGCCGGAGCTTGCCTGCGCGGCCATGGCTGAGGCGGCTCGAAGCATGTCGTTGGCGGTGGCGGTGGTGGCCATGCTGCCCAGCGAAGACCTGCGCTGGGATGGCAGTGTGTCGGCGAGATGGGTGGCAGAGGCGAGCTGCTCCGACCCCCTGCGATACGCTGCGACGCCGGCGGCAGCGTCCATGTCCGCAGCGAAGGAGCTGGCTGGAAGGTTGGGCATGATGTGCGTGCGCCTCGGAGCCGAGTCAGGAGGTTAGGCGGGCATCGAATATCGAGGGGAAAGGATGGCGAGAATATATACAGAGGGAGTGTGGGAGATGATGACGGTGAGGGAGGTGAAGAGTCGAGGCGGTGCTTTTGAGTGGCATCCGATCAGACGAGTCCCACCGCCATGTCCCTCGAGCTCGAGAGCGACAGGGTCCATCGACTGGCCACGCGCTCGTCATCCGAATGCGCGGCATCCGACGCTCATCCATAAGCTCGCTCGCGCATCCATGCAAAGCGTGATTCACCCAGTCGGCAAGTCCGCCTTCTGGTTGCGCATCCTCCACACACGCTCTAAATTGGCACACCGCCGCCTGTGCATCACCTCACCTCACGCGCTCGCCTCGTCTTCCGATGCACGCCGACCCGTGTGCGGTTGAGCAGTTTTCATCTCGCGTTTCCCCCCTAAGCGATCGATTGAGAGTCGATCTCGATTCGTCGCATGAGCCGCAATGCAAATGGCGTTCGTCGAGCTTCGAATCACAATGAAAGCGAGCTTGCCTTTGTTGCGGCAAAGTGTGACGTCGGGGATGAGCCGCACGGACGACGCGCGTGTGTGCCTGAATAACCTCAAGCCAAAAAAACTGCAGCTTCTTCCAAAAGCTTCCGGCGAGTGCCCGGCCAATTTTTTTTTTTAAACGCAGCGTTACGTAGCTTGTCCCGCGCTGTCCTTTGGCCATGCAGAAATTGCATTTGTTAGTATGCCAGCGTAACATGACAAAAATCGCGACGTCGGAGGTGCCGTGCGGATGTCGCGAGCTTGCGGACGAAAAAGATTCGGGACACCCAGCTCTGGCTTCACCTCAGCCACTTCTCGCTCCACACCTTGAACCCTTGCCCTCTTGCTTCCTACACCATCACCTCTATCACACACTCGCAATGATTGCATCCACATCGGCACGCGCTCTCTCTCGAGCTGCCGAACCCTCCACACGTACCCTTCCTCGCAATGCCTCGCTTCACACCGGCTCTTCACGTTCGCTGTCGACACCATTCCGACCGACCTCATCGGTGCTGCTGCATCACACTCAGCCACGCGCCATTGCCACCCCCCTCATGATCGGTGCCGGACTCGTAACAGCCGGCCTTATTGCAAATCTCCTGCTCAACCCCAAGAACGGTGCAGGGCCTTCGGGGGGTAAATGGATCAAGGGCGGGTTTAATACAAAGATGGACAAGAAGGAGGCTGCGCAGATCCTGGGACTGCGCGAGACGGCGCTTACAAAGGCCAAAGTCAAGGATGCGCACAGGAGGATGATGATCGCAAACCACCCAGACCGCGGCGGAGCTCCCTACCTCGCTTCAAGTAAGTTCATCACCCATACAAAGTATCAAGCGAATATATCAAACTGATAATATTGCATCTTGGCCGGTCGCAGAGATCAACGAGGCAAAAGACCTTCTTGACAAACAAGTCACCCGCTAATACCACCAACACATCATTCACCACTCACACGTGTACTCTTGCCCGCATAGATCGTAAAAGAATCCAGACACGGACCGTTCCAAAACTCCATCAACCCAGACTGCTCTCACTCACCTCTACGCAAGACATACACACGCACGCTATGGGGGGACAGTTGGGCATGTTGCACAAAAAACACACAGAGCCTCCGAGCGGTCCAGGTCAGTCCTGGCACTCTTCAGCACGAAACGAAAAAGGGGGGAATCAGAGGGAGGAAGGGAAAGGGCGAGGGGGGAGGGATCAAGTGAACCGAAACTGCGGCTCAGTTCGACGAGGCGCCCACGGCCAGACGCTTGAGATGCTCCATGAACACCTGGAGCGAGACGTCGTCGGTAAAGATGGCGGCGCCGCTGCCGCCCGACGCGCCGTACATGCCGCCGCTCATGTGCGTCGTGCTTGGGTTGAGCTTGCTGAGCAGGAAGCGCGCCTGCGATCCGTTCTGGTCGCACACAATGTAGCGCGGGATGGGGAAGCGGTCCGCCAGCAGATCCTGCGCGTCCGCCTTGGGATTCTCGAGCACCTCCTTGAAGTTTTCGTACCCCTCCTGGTCCTGGTACCCGGCCTTTCGCCACTGCGCCACCGTCTCGCCGTGGAATATGAGGATGTGGAAGAACGTGTCGAGCAGCAACACCACGTCCGGCCGGATCGACACCGAGTCGAGCAGCACCGGCTGCGGCGGACCCTCGAACCCGTACGACATGAGCGTGGGCTGGATCATGATCAACGAGTTGTTGACGTCCTCCGTGTTGAGCACGTGGCGGTAGAACGCCGTCTCGTCGGGCGAGTTGTTGAACACCTGGAGGAACTGCGATCGACGCAGGTGGAACATGAACTGCGGATAGATGCTAAAGTTTTCGCCCAGCCGGAACGACGTCGGGTCGTCCTTGCGATAGTCGGCAAACTTCTGGCACAGCCGGATCAGCATGCGGTCGAGCCAGCGCAGCACGTCCGGGCTGTCGTCGATCTCGGCCTTGAATACGGCGATGCGCGCCATGAGCACCGCGGCGGCCTCCTGGTCGAACGAGGCGGCGATCTGGCCCGAACCGCCCTCGGCAAAGTTGCGTGCGATCGTCGTGACGCGCAGACGGTACTGACCCGAGGCGTGCTGGTAGTGCGTGACAAACTGGATCAGGCCGCGCGAGCCGGGCTGCATGGGCTGTCCCGGCGGCGTGACCACCTCAAAGTAGATGCCCGCCGAGGTGCGCGGCGTGAGCGAGCAGAGCTTCCACGCCGAGGTCTGGCCGATGCCGATCTCGGTCTCGCCGACGCAGCCCGACTTTTTGTTGGCCGAGACGGCGTGGCCGATGAGGCCGGAGACCTTGAGCTCCTTTGTGCACTGGACGTCGAGCGTGGCGTTGAAGCCCATCTGGAGGTGGCCCTGGTCGTCCTTGTGAAAGATGCGGTGGAAGGACTGCTTGAAGATGCCCATCTGGAAGCTGTCTGCGAGGATCATGTGGCCGTTGGTGAGGTTGCAGAGGCCCTTCATCTCGAGCAGGCCGACCTGGTCGAGGCATCCGGCAAAGACGTCGATGGTGTGGCCGTTGCCGGCGGCGCGCTTTGCCATGGCCTCGTAGAACTTGATGGCGCGCTTGTAGTACTTTGCATTGTCCTTGTCAATGTCGTGGTGGGAGCGGATGCGCTCGCGCAGCTCGGTGGAGACGACCATGCCGGGGCCCTCGGTGGCGGGACCGCCGCAGAAGAGCATGACGCGTGCGCCCGTGTTGGGGAAGGTGGTTTCGAGCATGCCGACGGCGACGCTGAGGGCGACGCCGGTGCAGCGCTGGCTGCGCTTGTCGTTGGCGACGGGCCAGGGGTCCTTCTGGAGCTGCTCGAGGATCTGAGTCAGCTGGAACTCGCACTGGGAGACGGGGAGGAGGAAGCGCGAGGCGCCCATCTGGGCGGTTGCGTTGGGCGGACGAGGAGCCTGGGAGGGCCCGCCGGGAGCGCCGGGAGCGCCGGGCCCCATGGGACGGGCGCCCGGGTTGAGGCCGAGCATGTCCTGGATGGCCTTGGGAGCGTACTCCTTGGTGCCGCGGAAGACGTAGCTCTTGGGACAGGCGTCGTAGCCGAGCTCGTGGACCTGGGCCATGGTGCCGTAGGTGATGAGGCCGACGAGTGCGTTGGGCGGGAGGAGGCTGAGGCTGACGACGAGCGACTCGCGGAGGGCCTTGAGGTCGTCGTCGTCCATGCAGGTGTCGACGACGTAGAGGAAGATGGGTGGGATCTGTGCGGGGCGGCTGAGGGTATACTCGATGGTGGTGTACTTGGGGAGTAGCTCTGCGGGGAGGTTGGTGCTGCTGATGTCCTTGTAGTGCGGGGGGAAGGCGTTGCGCGAGAGACAGAAGGGGCAGATCCAGAGCTTGCCGCGCACGTCGATTTGGCTGAAATTGCGAAGTGAAGATGGGTGGGTATGGGTAAATGTCAGTGTCATCGTCAGAAGAGAGAGTGGGAGCAGGCAGACAAGCCACTCACCAGTAAGGGTTGAGCACGGCACGGCAGGGGGGCTTGCAGGTGACGGGCTCGTAGAGGACGGGGGGCAGGTCCTCGCGCTCCTTGAGAGGGGTGTAGAGGGCGCTGATGGGGACTACGGTCCTGGTTGCCTCGATCTTGGACGAGGGCCATACGTTCCAGGAGAGGCGAACGCCATCGCGGTCCTCGACATCATCGACGTTCATTGTTGCGATGTCGGCACCGGCGTCGGTGGGGTGGGCGTACTAGCACGTGCGGGTGTGCAGGGGGTGAGTGAAAGATGCGCTTGGATATGCCGACAGCGCGGTGGCCGAAGTGGAAGTGGTGAGGAGAGGAGGGTGAGCGGGATGGTGGTGGGCGAGTGATGTCGGAAGATTGCGACGGGCGGGGGGTGCACGGCGCAGCGCATCTCGCCGACTCGCCGACTGGACCAGCTCGCGAGGCGGCCAGTCGGTGCGGACACGTAGACAGCCAAGCAAGGGGCAGCTGAGCGCGGTGTGCTTTCAGCGCAAGTGGGACTGCGCTGAGCTGCGATGGATTTTGGAATTCCAACGCGCTGCTTGGCTGGCTGGCAACCAACCGAGCAGCGCCAAAAGCAGGCGGGGAGAGCGCAGGCTTGGATTTGACACGCGGCCGCACCCTCTCCGCACACACGCACCGCACATTCTCACCAACACCCATCGGCTCGTTTCCGCTGTCGAAAGCATTGAGAGTGTGAGAAAGTCTGTCTCAGTACGGCACACCCGATCATGTCACCATCTCGCTTTGGCTCGACCTTCCACTGCTTCGTCAGGGAGGAGTCCGGCCGATGGCACTCCGGCAGCCAGTCGAGCTAAAATGTCCACGTCGCCATGCTCTCGTCGCTGCTGCTGCTGCCGCTGCTGCTGGCCTGTGCGATCTCCTTCCCCTCAAAGCCATGAAAATCTTCCTGAAACAAAGCGAGCCGCATCCTCATCGGGAAATTCCACACCATCGGGCACGCGACCTCGAAGGAGAGTGCCGTACGATACAGCGCGTGGCCGCATGAAGCAAAGCTCAGGCTGCAGTCATGCGGCGCAGCAGAGGGCGGCGGCTTTTTTCGCGTCGACTCACTCCACACGGACAGGCCCTGCTTGGCTCAGACAGGCTCAGATGGCTGAGCTCACGCAGCAATGCAGTTCAGCCGGCTGCGCGCCTCAGCTGCACCGACGATTCTCCGCGGCGTTGGCAGTCGAGGCGGCAACTGACACCATCCTCGCTCGCTCTCATGCCTGCCCGTACGCGCTGACCTCTGGTGACCACGGCCACTCACTCCATCCACACGACTGCATACGCGCGCCCAAGATGCTGTGAACGCCCCCGCGAGCTCGACTGCAACGCTTTGCTTCACAACGGCCACGTTACCCCCGCGTTTCAGCCACAACACCATGCCCCTGCCAACGCAGACGCCTGCATCCATCCGCAGGCATCCATAAGTTCTAGCCATCAACGATGCCGGACGAGACGGCGCAGCAGCGCACGGAGCGCCAGAACCGCCTCTCGCACGCCATGGGCGTCATGTTCCTCCAGGACAAGGTGGACAAGCTCGAACGCGATGTGAGCAAGATCACCTATCCGCGCGCCATGCGCCACTCCCACAGCGCTCCCACCGCCGAGCTCAACCCCACACAGCCAAGGTACCATGCTGCCAATCCACCACCCAAGCCAAGAGCCATCACTGGGCCAGGTCTCCACCCCACCACAACAGCCACCCCATCAACATCGACGTCTGCAACAGCGACGGCAGCTACGTGCATGCGGTTGGTGGATGCGAGCGTGCTCATCTTTTCGCTGCGCAGCGTGCACAACTGGACGCGCGACCGGGCTACGTGCGTCATCATCCCGCTCGAGGCCATCAACACGCTCGACCTGCTCAAGAAGGGCGACGAGCCCATCAACCTCGCGGCGCGCAAGGCGACGCGCTGGCTGGAGGAGAAGATCGCCATTGCGCCGCACGACGGCGACCAGCTGCTCACACATCCCGCACCGGGCATCTATGCGCAGAAGGAGGCGTTCCGTGCAAGCACAGCGCAGATCGACAAGATCCGCGCACACGTCGTCGCCACCCGCCTCGGCGCAGCAGACCAAGCGCAGGCTGAAGCGAGGGATGCGTTTGGGCTCGAGGGCGCACCGCGGTATCTGCGCGAGCTGTTGGCTGCGTGTGTATACTGCCAAACGGCGTGTGCGAGCGAGGTCGAGTTCAAGGTGGCTCTGGCGTATCCACCTGCGCATGTGCAGGATAGCATGATGGCTGCACATGCGGTAGGGGGTGACAGGCCGAGCTACTTGGTCAGGACGGACGGGCGCGCGACAGAGGCATGGCTCGATGCGTACAGTGTGCCGTTCGAGGTGGTGCCGACGTCCAAGACGTGGACGGGCGAAAAACAGTCATCGCGCTTCCGAACGCATGCACCTTCATCGCACGATGCTGACCTCCGCTCGGAGCCGAGCAAGAGCACGCGACCTGACGCCCGTCACTCCACCGCCATGGCACGTGGGAGGGCGACGTCAAGCTCTCCACCACTGGACAACGGTCATTTTGGCGGGATTGACGCGCAGGAGGGTCCGATCATCGCACGGCCGTCGTCGCCCGCATCGTCGGCTGCGTCGTTCCGCACCTCGTTCACCGCCTCGACCAGCTCGACGCACGACGAGCGCAGTCAGCGATCCGCTGCCAGCGCATCATCCGTGCGCATCGTGCGTCATCCACCCGATTCTTCCGCCGCCAACAACGACGCAGAACACGGCAGCAAGTGGTGCAGACTCACAAGTCGCACGCTGCACAAGACCCGCTCCGGCGCAGACAAGATGGAAGACTACCTGCGTCGCCTCGAGGCCGGTGCAAGCGCGCCTGCGGATAGACCGCGCACGACGCAGCACGATCCTTAGATCATGTCTCGCTCATATACCCCCTCCTTTCCGCTTTGTGCTGCAATGTGGAAAATGTCTCAGTACCTTTGCACGTGCTACTTTGCGTTTGCTGGGCATGTCTTTTGGGCTTTGTGGGGGTGATTGATAGTGTACAAGTATGAGCGGCGAGGTTATGTGCGAGCTGGTTGGGCGTTTGGCTGGATCTTGGCGGGGGAGGATTTGCGCAAAGAGTTGAGACGTTTTTGCCTCAACTTGACGGCCAACAGATCCCTGACGCCCCTGCCCCACTCTCCCAACTTTTCGGACCTTGTATTAGCCAGATATGCATCGAGGCCACCGAGCTTGTCCATGGTCCTGAGTGCGGACGTGGAGACACGCGCGGGGAAGAACCGGTGCAGCGTAGCGGACCAGAGGTTCTTGTTCTGGATGTTGGGTGTCCAGGTTCGAGCCGTCTTCTGTCGCGACTTGGGTACGTTGTGACCGGACTGGATCGTCTTGCCGTCGTACAGGCCGCGCTGGGCACGCTTAAAGATCATTCCGGCCGAGGCGGAGGCGGCGGCAGCATTGCGCGATTTGGGCGAGGAAAAGGCGGTGGTGCGCGTGGAAGCACCGGCTCCCGAGCCGCGCGAGCCACGGTACGTCGTACGTGAGCCCAGACGGATCGCGGTAAAGAACATTGCGACGTCGAGGAGAGGAGAGGGTAGATGGTGGGAGGAAAGATGTGAGGGTGCGACTTTTTCGCAGATCCAAAGTGGTGGCCCGATTTGTCAGGATTTCATCACTTCTTCTCGCCAGCCCAAAAGCGTCGGAAGTCGGCCAAAGTGGGATAGAAAAATTGCCGCCCTCCGCAACCACTAAATTTCCCACTTTGAAGTTGTCTTCTAACAAACGCCTCCTCGACTTGTCCACCCTCGACACTCTTTCCCACCATACGAAAGGCAGGATGTTGCGACGACAGACGCGCGAGCGTCGCGAGTACATCTACAAAAAGGCGCTCGAATCCAAGGAAAAGCAGATCTACGACCGCAAACAGGCCATCCGCGAAGCGCTCGCCTCGGGCAAACCGCTGCCCGCCGAGCTTCGCGGCAAGGACGCCACCGACCTCGGACGCGACCTCAACCTCGATGCAGCGCAGGATGCGCCGGGCACGAGTATCGATGATGAGTACTCGCGCGCGGGGACGTACGACCCACGTGTTTTGGTGACGACCTCGCGCGATCCCAGCACGCGCCTCACGCAGTTCGCCAAGGAGGTCCGACTGCTGTTCCCCAACTCGACAAGGTTGAATAGGGGCTCGTATACGGTAGCTGATCTTGCGGCTGCTGCTCGAGCGAATGGGATCACCGACATGGTGGTGCTGCATGAACATAGGGGTGTACCCGATGCAATGGTCGTTTCGCACTTTCCACACGGCCCCACGCTGCTCTTCACATTGCACAATGTTGTGCTCCGACACGAGGTCTCGGCACACGCAAACTCGACCGTCTCCGAACAATACCCGCACCTCATCTTTGAAGGATTCTCGTCCAAGTTGGGAGCGAGAGTCATGTCGGCCCTCAAGTTCCTCTTCCCCGTTCCCAAGGATGACTCGAAGAGGGTCATGACGTTTGCGAACCAGAACGACTTTATTGCGTTCAGACACCATGTGTTCGTCAAGACGAGCCACAGGGAGGTGCAGCTGGCAGAGGTCGGGCCCAGGTTCGATGCTCGGGTGTTCGAGATCAAACAGGGCACGATCGACCAGACCAACGCCGATACAGAGTGGGTGCTTCGCCCGTATATGAACTCGGCAAAGAAGAGGACTCAGCTGTAAATGCCCACCCGCACCAAGCCCCACACACTGTACTTGTACCCAGCACGCAATGCAATGCTCCTTCATCAGCTCAATGTGGGTGCCGGACGCCGCCAACTCAGACGTGAAAAGTGGCGAACCCCACCAGTGCAGCGATAAGGAGTGGGTGCCGAACCCCACCAATGCAGACATGGAAAGGTGCGTGGCGAGCCCCACCAATGCAGGCATACGGTAAAGAGCGGCCATCGGATTCCCGCCGATGCAGGCATATATAAGACCGCAGCAAAGTTGGTCAGTCTCGTCTCTGCATCACGCTACCATCCGTACCTATCGAACGTTCTACGATGCAGATCCTCCAGCTTTTCCCTGTCGCCGTGCTCGGCGTTGTTTACGCCGTATGTACGCTCGACCCCTCACCGTGGACTATGAGACGAAGCTGACGATCCTTTGCTGCTGATAACAGAAGGAGAAGCGGTCCGATTGCCTGAAGAGGGAGGCTCAAGCGTCGCTGGACTCAGCGCCCGCCGAGGCGGACATTGCCATTTGCTACCACGGCGAGAACAGCGCCTACACTAACAAGGGCGACACGTCCAAGGACCCCGCCGTCTTTGGAGGCCTGCGCTGGGCAGACTGTCATGGCATCGGCCTCGACTGCTTCTGGATGAAGGGCGAAAACATCTTCCAGTTCTGGGGCGACGGTGGTCCGGACAATCTCGCGTTCGTCAAGAGGAACGCCGATTGCAAGTATTTCCCCGAGGACAAGACCATCTACTGCGACACTTCCTTGATCGTCTGGTGATTGAGCGACTCATGCCCATGCCATCGCCCGAGGTCGGTTATCATTCCCGCACGTTCATAGTATGATGCAATCCATGCCGCGTCATGTGACCCAAAGGTGTGTGCTGACGGCGTCTTTGTGATGAAGCAAAACGGTGACGAGCAAGCTGAGCGGCTCGTCGAGGGAGCAGCTCGTCGACCATTTCAATCTCTTTGTGAATCAGTCTAAGCGACAAAGTTGATCAAGTGCAGCGACGAGGTGGGTTGCAATTGACGTGCCACACAAAGCGACACGATCGAGCGTAGCGGCGCATACAAATGAAGAAGAGGCGACCCGACCCAGTCGACTGAATTCGCGTCATTCGGAACCAATCCAGCCAACAAGAGGACGCAGCTAGGGCCCATATGAAGTGGGTGGCAAACGCCAACAGCAAAGGCGAACAACACATTTGTCGCTCTTTGGATCCGTCGAAGCTGGCCGTGTTGCCCAGTACCTCCGAAGGTCCCAGCGAGAGACCCCATCCGCAATGTCGCCCACGTTCCTATGAAAGTGGGTGGCAAACGCCGCGGTCAAAGGCAAGACGGGGCACGTGCGATCGACCTTCATCAGCGCCGAAACAGTGGATCGTCAAATGCCACCTATAAAGCCAAGACTGCAGCCACATTCGCGGGGTCTCGTCCATCCATCACTTTACCATACCAGCAGTACTGTCGAGCATTTCTACGATGCAGATCCTCAAGCTTTTCCCTGTTGTTGCCCTGCTGGGCGTGGCTTACGCTGTATGTACACTTTGGCCCGCTGTGATCGAGACCAGGTTCTGACATTCGGTTGATCATAGAAGGAGCACCGAGGCGCATGTCTCGAGCGCGAAGCTGCGCAGTCGTTGGAGCAAGCGCCCCTCGTTGCGGACATCGCTATTTGCTACCACGGCCACAACAGCGCCTACACTAGCGATGGCAACACGGACAAGGGCCAAGCTGTCTTTGGTGGCCTGCGCTGGGCGGATTGCCATGGGGTCGGTCTCGACTGCTTCTGGATGAAGGGTGAAAACATCTTCCAGTTCTGGGGTGACGGCGGTTCTGACAACCTCGCGTTCGTCAAGCGCAACGATAACTGCGACTACCACCGCGACGACAAGCTCATCTACTGCCACACTTGATTCGGTCGACACACACTCATGTACAAGACAACGCCAACGGAGTTTGCCTGTCACCAAGGCGCGGTAACAATCTTATCCTCCTTGTCAATTTAGTGTATCGTTTCCTAGACCTTGTGCGTCGCTATGCGGTGGCGAGCAAGGTGAGCGGCTCGCTATAAAATTGCCGCTCTAGGCGTGGCTCAGCTCAGTGAGCATCAAAGTTGATCGAGTGCAGCGACGAGGCTGTTGTCCGCACTTTGAGGTCCCACCTCCCCATCAATCCAGTCGGCAGAACGCCCGTCATTCGCAACGAGCCCCTCCAAGAGGAGAAACGAGCAATCAACCCATCCGCACCCCACCTGTACTCGTTCCCGCACGATATGCCCCACCTGTGCTCGTCCCCACACGCTGTGTGCCCGCAGTCCCCACCCGCAGACAACAAAAGAGAGGGTCTGACCCCACCAACACCAACCCACCTTCACCAGCGCCCAAGAGTGGAGCCGTCAGACGTCGCTGATAAAAAAAGGGCTGCAGGCCAGTCCCTCGGTCTCCCTCGCTCAACACACTACCGTATCATACTATCAGGCGCTCGGTCCAAACAATGCAGATGCTCAAACTTTTCCCCATTGTTGCCCTACTTGGCTTTGCTCACGCTGTACGTACTCCTGCGCCGTGCGTGATGTCGGGACGAAGTGACCTGACCGATCCGATGCCCCGTCGAGTGACAGCAGAGCGATGATCGAAGCGCTTGTATTGCTAGGGAAGCGCAGGCGTCGCTGGACTCGGCGCCCGCCGATGCGGACATTGCCATCTGCTACCACGGCCACAACAGCGCCTACACCAACGACGGCAACACTGTCAAGGATGCCGACGTCTTTGGTGGACTGCGCTGGGCGGATTGCAATGGAATCGGCATCGACTGTTTCTGGATGAGCGGCGGCGGCAAGTTGGGCGAAAACATCTTCCAGTACTGGGGTGACGACGGTCCTGACAACCTCGCCTTTGTCAAGCGCAACGACAACTGCGAATACCACCCCGATGACAAGATCATCTACTGCCACAATTGATGGTGCTTCCAGATGCAAGCTCGCCAACGTCCGATGGTCCCGTTTTCCGCACAGTCGCAATGACGGCGATGCGCATCGACGAAGTGCAATCCAAGCTCCTTGTCAGGTCGAAGCTGCGTGGGGCTGAACGCCGGCGTGGCTGTGATTGAGAGGCTGTGGGTTGGTGAGGAAGCTGAGCAGCTCCTCGACCTTGCCAGTCTTGTTGTCTTGCCTCGGATCACCGAGCATTGAGGTGGTCCGTGTAAATTGAGGTGCCGCACGTGGGAGCGACGCATGTGATCATCGCATCGACCTAGTCGACAAAAGGCTTGATTTTCCCCTCAGCTCACGTCGGTTGATCGATGGATGAAGCCGCGCGTTCCGGTGCCTTGGTGTGTGCGGCTCCCATATTGAAAGAGAGTGAGTCTCGCCGTTCGCAACGAAGTCGGCCAAGAAGGGCACGCGGCTAGAAACCCACCCGCATGCAAACTGTCCCCACCCGCAACGCACCCACGATCCACATCCAGAGCTTATGAAGGTGGGTCGCGCGGTCAGCACAGCCTCATCAGCACGAAAGCGTGGCTTGTCCCAACGCCACGCATAAAGACCCAACGGCAGCGCCATCCGATCTCGTTTCTTTCCCACGCCACCTACTTGTCTCCCATTCCACCATGCAGATCCTCAACCTGCTGCCCTTTTTCGCTCTTCTCGGGGCTGTCTACGCCGAGACACGAGGCGAGTGTCTTGAGCGCGAAGCCGCAGCCTCTATTGCATCCGCACCCTACGAGGCAGACATTGCCATTTGCTACCACGGCCACAACAGCGCATACTCCAACGACGGCAACACGAACAAGAGTTCGGACCAGTTCGGCGGCCTGCGTTGGGCAGACTGCCACGGTGTAGGCCTCGACTGCTTCTGGATGAAGACTTACAACATCTTCGAATACTGGGGCGACGCTGGCTCCGACAACCTCGCTTTCGTCAAGAGGAACGACAAGTGCGAATACAAGCCCGTCGACAAGGCCATCTGGTGCCACGAATATCATTAAGAGACATGCTCCAAGCCCGTGTGCATCTCCTTAGCCTCAAAATCGAGTCGATACACTGCCGAATGCCCAACGCAACTTGCTCCATCCGCCCTTCTCCATCCTCGCTCCAGCTTTGCCTTGGTTCTACCTCACGCTTCGTTGTCGCATCGCAATCAAACCTTTCCACCCGTGCACACCTCTTTGAGAAAGGGCAAAAAGTTGCTAGGATTGAGAAGCCGGAAACAGAAAGGAAATAAAAGGTGCGAATTGGAAAGGCGGGTGTGAGTGCAGCAGCCGCCTCACTCGTCATCTACGAGCTTTGCGTCGTCCTTTGCGTTGTCGCGCGTGTCCTTGTTGCCGTCCTTGTTGTCCTTGTTGTCCTCGCCATCATCGCGCTGCTCCTTCTTGGCGCGCCTGGAGTAGTACTCCTTGATGATCTTGGGGCTGACGCGGTTGAGCTGTTCCTTGGGGAAGATCCTGAGCAGATCCCAGCCGATGTCGAGCGAGTCAAAGATGTGTCGGTTCTCGTACGCGCCCTGCTTGATGAACTTGTTCTCGAACTTTTCCATAAACTCGATCGCCAGCTTGTCCTCGGGGCCGAGCGCCTCCTCACCCACGACGGCCTTCATCGCAGCCGCGTCGCGACCGGTGGCGTAGGCGGCGTACATCTGGTTGGACACGTCCGAGTGGTCGGCACGCGTGTGCTTGGCGCCAATCGCCGACTTCATCAGACGCGACAGCGACGGCAGCACATTGATGGGCGGGTAGATCTGGCGGTTGTGCAGCTGGCGGTCGACGTAGATCTGGCCCTCGGTGATGTAGCCGGTCAAATCGGGGATCGGGTGCGTCATGTCCTCGTTGGGCATGGTCAGGATGGGGATCTGCGTGATGGAGCCGTTGCGACCCTGCACACGACCGGCACGCTCGTAGATGGTCGACAGATCCGTGTACATGTAACCGGGGTATCCACGTCGACCGGGCACCTCTTCACGCGCCGCCGACACCTCACGCAGCGCATCGGCGTACGAGGTCATGTCGGTGAGCACGACGAGCACGTGCTTCTCGAGCTGGTAGGCGTAGTACTCTGCGGTGGTGAGCGCGAGACGCGGCGTGATGATGCGCTCGATGGTGGGGTCGTTGGCGAGGTTGAGGAAGAGCGTGACGCGGTCGAGCGAGCCGTTCTCCTCAAAGTCCTGCTTGAAGAAGCGTGCGGTCTCCATGTTGACACCCATGGCGCCAAAGACGATGGAGAAGTTGTCCTCGTGATCGTCGTGCACGCCCTTGCCTGCGCCGGGACGCTTGACGAGGCCGGCCTGACGGCAGATCTGCGCGGCGATCTCGTTGTGCGGCAGACCGGCGGCGGAGAAGATGGGGATCTTTTGGCCACGCGCGATCGAGTTCATGGTGTCGATGGTGGAGATGCCCGTCTGGATCATCTCTTCGGGGTAGACGCGCGAGTAGGGGTTGATGGGCGAGCCGTTGATGTCGAGGTAGTCCTCGGCAAACACACGCGGGCCCTTGTCGATGGGGGCACCGGAGCCGTTGAAGATGCGGCCCTGCATGTCCTCGGACACGGGCAGCTTCATGGAGGAGCCGGTGAACTCGATGTGGGTGTCGCGCACGTCGATGCCCGAGGTGCCCTCGAACACCTGGACGATCGCCTTGTTGCCGGACACCTCGAGCACCTGACCGCCGCGACGCGAGCCGTCGGGCAGCGTGAGCGACACGATCTCGTTGTACGACGGGAACTTGACATTCTCGAGCACGACGAGCGGACCGTTGATGGCCGAGACGGTGCGGTAGTCGAGGCGCGGGTCGACGCTGTAGTTCTTGACGGCCGCCTGGGCGTTGATGTCAAACAGCTCCTTGTCGCTCATGCGAGGATCCGACATGGCGGGCGAAGCTAGAACGCACCTGCGCGGGCAGAAGTCGGGAAGGGGGTGCGCTGAAGGTGTGGTGGCCGAGTGAGACGAATACGAATGCACGAGCAGCGGCAGAGAGGCAAGAGATAGCGACGAGGCGGAAGGAGTATTTCGAGGATTGGGCAAAGTGGAGAGAGCGGGTCGGATGCGGTGCGATGGGCTGCCCTTTTTGGCTGCTGATCTGAGCTCTCCCGCTGGGGGGGAGCGAGAGAGTAGTGCGTGTGCAGTGCAGCAGCAGCTGCTGCTCAGCAATCGGCACTGCTTCGGAATGCCCTGCGAATTTCGCAAAAAAGGCCCATGCGCGGCGCTCCTCACTCCTCTCTCGGTCCACACTCTCGACAGGGGCAGCCAGCAGCCCAGCAGCCCAGCAGCCAGAACAGCCTGCACCTCCGCCAAGGCCCCACCCAAATTTCTTACGGCCGATATGCCTATCTTTTGCGCCTTCGACGTCAACGCTCTGCCCGTCCAAGCGTCCTCACGCCCACAGATAGACTCCCACCAGTCGAGCCGGCACACAGCATCAGCATCAGCATCATGCGCTCTGTGCATTCACTCGAAGGACTCGGCGTCGCGCGAAAACGATAGCATTGCATCCGGGCTTCCAAATGTCGATAGTGATTTTGTTTCAGGTCCAGATCCAGCGACGGGCAACGGCTCACCAGCCACCGCCGCTCTTCTCGACGGGGATGGTGCGGCTGGCATCGCGGCGTTCCGACTTCTCCTTGGCCGCCGGTCCGACGGGGTCGTGCGACGGCGGCTGCAGACCGCGCGAGTCCATCTCGCTGAGAATGTGCGTAAAGGCGTTCTCCAGGCGGGCGTCCTTGAGCGCCGCAAACACGTCGAGGAAATCCTCAAAGTGCAGCGCGCCCGTCTTGGTGAAGTCGACCTCGCTCACAATGCCGCGCAGCGTCGAGTCGTCCACGTCGGCGTAGCCGATCTGCTGCAGCACCTCCTTGAGGTCCTTCGAGTCCAGCTTGCCGTCCTTGTTGACGTCGAGCAGCTTGAACTTGGCGCGCAGCTCCTCCATCTCCTCGGAGCTGAACGACGCACGTGCAGAGATCGCCAGCGCATCCTTCTCGTCCAGCGACGCCGCGCCCAGCGACGACACCTTGAGCGCCTGCTGCTGCTTCTCGCGCTGCTGGCGCATCTGGTCCAGCGACGTCGCCTTGAGCTGATCCACGCGCGCAGGCTGCAGGCCCATGCTCGCCATAAAGTCTACGCTCTCCGCCCACTCCTGCTTCTTGCGCTTCTCGTCCCATCCGAGCTCCTCGCCCATCACGTCGATCACGCGCGGCAGCGCATCCACCGTCGCCTCGGCGTTGAGGAACGACAGACGCGTGCGGCGCGCGATGAAATCTTGCGCCGTCGCCGCGTACTCGCTGCGGCAGGCGTAGCGGATCTCGGCCTCAATGTAAGGGTACAGCTGGTCGATGCGCTTGCCGTGCACCGGCCACCTCTGGCCCGTCGGCTCGGCGATCGAGCACACGCTCCACGCGCGGTCGCCGTACGTGTTGGACAGGTGGCGCGCCACGTCCGTCTCGAGGCCGAATCGCTGCAGCAGCTTGACATACATGGTCTTGGTCCAGCCGTGGCTGCCGAGCAGACGCGTGTTCTTGGTCACGCATCCGCGCTGCGGCTTGAGCTTGAACTCTTCGATGGCGCGGTCCACCGTCTGCTCCGCCATCTCGCGGTACGTCGTCCACTTGCCACCGGCGATGGTGAGCAGTCCCGATTCCGACACGTTGATCATGTGGTTGCGCACCAGCGACTGCGTGTCGGTCGCCGCCGGGTCCTTGACCAGCGGTCGCAGTCCTGACCACGCCGACAGCACGTCGCCACGTCGCACCTTGATGTCTGGGCTGAGGTAGTTGCGCACCTCGTCGAGGATCCACTGGATCTCCTCCTCCTTGGGTCGCGGGTGAGCCTCGACGGGCGCCGCCGTGTCTGTGGTACCGGCGATGGTGTTGCCCTGCCACGGAAGGAAGAAAATCACACGGCCGTCCGAAGTCTGAGGGTCGATGAGGCCCATGTCGCGCGGCGAAAAGTAGCCGGGCAGCGTGATGTGCACACCGGACGAAGCGGCGACGATCTCCTGGGCAGTGGGCGCGTCGAGCTTGCGAAGCGTGTCCGAGAAGGGACCGGTGGCGTTGATGAGGCACTTGCACTTGACGTCCCACTCGTCGCCCGTCAGCATGTCACGCACACGCGCACCGCAGATCTGATCCGCCTTGCCCTCCACGGGCTTCTTGTGGATCGCCACCACCTCGGTGTGGTTGGCCACCACGGCGCCGTGGTGGACAGCAGTCATGGCGAGGGCGACGTTCATGCGCGTGTCGTTGTGCTGACCGTCGTAGTAGACGACGGCACCGGCGAGGCCGGAAGACTTGAGCATGGGGAACGCCTCGAGCGCCTTGCCCTTGCCGAGCACGTAGGAGCTCTCCATGTTCTCGGAGCCGGCGAGGATGTCGTACATCTTGGTGCCTGCCCAGAAGTAGGGGATCTGCCACCACTTGTAGACGGGCAGCATGATGGGCAGGTGATCCGAAAGGTAAGGAGCGATCTTGAGGAAGGTCTTGCGCTCGTGGAGCGCTTCGCGGACCATCTTGTACTGCTCGTAGTCGAGCTCGAAGACGGCCTTCTGGAGGTATCGCACACCGCCGTGGACGAGCTTGGTGGACTTGGACGAGGTGCCGGCACCAAAGTCGTCGCGCTCGACCATGGCCACACTGAGGCCACGGGTAGCGGCGTCGACGGCTACACCGGTTCCCGTAGCACCACCTCCGACGACGAGGATGTCGAAGCCCTCGTCGTCCTCGTCGCCGCTGCGCGAGGCAGCCGCGCCACCGGACTGCTCGTGTGCAGCGGGGCTGGGGCTGCTAGAGCGAGAGTCCTTGGCGAGCGGCAGAAGGCTGGCGTTGTCGTTGTTGCCACGCGAAGCGTTGGGCCGGAGGCTCTTTGCGGACGACTGGCGGAGCGCTTCGAGCATCTGTGCGCGCGAAGGGGGCGACCAGAGCGGATGCGGGCGGGTGTCGCCGGGCACGGTGTCGGGTGCATCTGCGTAGAGCGAGGGCTTGGACAAGGAGTAGGCGGCGGCCGCACCACCAGCAAGAGCCACAGCGACGAGCACCGAGCGGTTGGGCAAGGCGCGACGCTGAGCCGAGGCGGACGAGGACGACGAGGTCGAGGCGAGGCGCACACCGGCGCGGGGCGCCACCGTGAGCGGACGGCGGAACATGTCTAAAGAAGCGCTGTCAGGGCCAGCGTCACCTCGTACGACGGTTCAAGATGGGACCTGGGTTAGGAGAGGGTATTCAGGAGCGTCGACACCACTGCAGGCTGGGAAGCGTCTGCAAGGGAGAAGAAGCTTTGTAGAGGACAGGCGGGCTGGGGGTCGGGTTTGGTGAAGATAGGAAGGGAAGGTGAATGAAGTGACGACCAAGACGAGGGAGGAGGACGACGGATCTCAGATGGCGGCGGCAGAAAAGACGACGCCGGAATGCGGTCGCAGTCGCAGCAGCAGCAGCAGGCAGGCAGGCAGGCAGGCACGCACTGAGCACGGACGAAGCTTCCGGTCCTCCGAACGGGCGATACGCAAAATGGGCTCGGATGAATGATTTCATCGGCGCACCCACACGTCCTCGTGCTTTGGCTCGGATCGGAGCGGACCTCTGCCATGAGCCTCTCTCTCTCTCTCTCTCGCACACGCCCACTCTCTCTTGGCAATCAGTGGCAGGCTTGCTGGAACGAGCGTTGGTTGGGCAGGCGGTGCATTCGAAGAGCCGGCAGACTTTGCTGCTGAAGCTCAGAGCGCATCTGACACGGATCGCGGCTGAGGCACCGGACCGATCCCACAGGGCAACCCGACGTGAAATTTAGCCAGGTCGCAGAGCCACAGCGGTAGAGACGGGCCGCTGGATGACGGCACCTGCGTCACAACGTGCATGTGCTCAGCTCAACTGCCGAATGCACGCTGCGAAGATTTTGCACACTTTCCACGAAAAAATCAAATAAATTTAAAAAAAATTGCGTTTCTCGCAATTGATTCGCAGGCAGCTCTGTGCTGAATCGAGTCAATTTTTCAGTAGGCCAAGCCCAAGCCAAGCCGAGGTGCGCTGCACTCTGCTGCCGGGCGCGCACGTTCACACGCCCTCTCCAAAAACTCGCAAAAAAGATCGCCATCGGAAGAGGGACCGAAAAGCCTCTTTTTCTCTGACCAAGCTGGGCGAGTGTGTTTCGGGTGTCAACCGTCACCTGACTGTCACCCACGGGAGTCTTGGCCAGGCATAGATGGCCGGCAGCGCTGCTGCTCCTCGAGCAAAGCTCATGGTCTTGCCAAGGCTGCGATGTGAAAGTTGCGCAAAGAGAGCGACTAGCCGGCTGGTCGGATTTTCGTGCCGGTCGGGCGCTACGCTATGCTACCGCCAGATGGAAGCTAACCAGTGAGCTGCAGTGAGCAGTCTCGGATGGCGCTTGGCTAAGCACTTGGCACGAGCGCTCGGCATGGCCAATCCAGGGTTTGCAGGGTTGTGTCCGGCAAAATTTCAAGGGCCTCTTGTCAGCACGAGCTACAGTTTATCGTGCAGCCGTCCGTCGTGTTGGCGCATCTCGATCCAGCACCGATGCTGTTGTCTGGGCTCGAGGAGCGAGGAGCGCAAGATGCAAGGCTCGAGCGCCACGCAGCAGGTGAAAAATTCTCCGAGAGCATCTGCCGTCCATTGATTCGCTACACCGCATCGGCTGAACCCAAGCAGCCTTGCATCGGCCCTTACTCGTTGGCGGCGTGCCATGCATGCTCGAACCAACTGAGGCGGCGTCTTCACCGAGCAAATCTCAGCCTGGCAGGCTCAAGCTTCAGGCCGAGCAAGCTCGGCGTCGATCTCGATTGGCAATGCCTCCCGATGCAGTGCTTCTCAATACGAGTTGGACCCGCAATAGCTGCATCGGGTGAGGGCGATCCAAGCTTCAGAGCGCTTCTCTCTGCCAAGGGTGATACAGTGAATTCAGTCGGGTATCTACAGTGTACATGAGCTCCTGCGGGGAGTTTTCAGATGAGCCAAAGCAGGGCGGAGGAGGTCCTAGGCCTTGACGGCCTTGGCCTGCTCCTTCTCAGCATCGGCAGCGGCCCTCTTCTTGGCCTCTTCGTCCTTCTTGGTTGCTCGAGTAGCTGCATCTTGTTCGGCCTTGAGTTCAGCCTCCTTCCTGCGGGCAGTCTTGATCTGCTTGCGCTGTTCTCTTCCCTCTTTGGTGAACACGCTGGATAGCACCTGTTTGCCTCCGATCGTCGAGAGCGCCGCGGGGTTGGTGGTTGCGATTGCGTGCGTCGTTGGCGCACTGTACGAATAGTAGGCACGGTCGGGTCGTTCGGACCATGGCACGCGACAACAACAGCTAATGGCAGCCAGCAGATCGCACAGGCTCACCACAATGCCGAACAGAGCTCGTACCAGCACGGCTGAAATCTCGCCAACCGCTAGGAACACGTTCTCCAGGAACTCGCCCAGGTAGAGGAACGTCGATGCAAGACACGAAAATACGCTTCCCATGGTGGCGGTAGTCGTTGGCGTTGCGTGCTTGGTGCGGATGTGGGGTCGAGAGGTAGAGGTCGCGATTCGTGGGCGTTGAGATGTCGTTAAAAGGCGTTCGTTACGGGATAGCTCGGTCGAAGATAGAAGGTGTCGGGTGGGGTGGGCAAAGTCAGATCAACCCACGATTGTTTGACACTTATACCTGCTCGTTCCTTCCACTAGATCGAGGCACAGCTGCTTGCACACTGCAGCGGCATCTGCTCAAAGATGAACAAGCGTAACTTGCTGTGGCTTCCTCTCTGTGTTGGTCTTACAGGCATTGCGGGGGGCCAGAGTGTGAGTGGTGGGACCCCCTATTCGGCAACGCGCCTTCATGCAGCCCACTCAGGGGCTCGCGACGTGCCAGGCTCTCCCGGTTGCGCACGTCGACAATGGTCGCCGTCCGGCATCTAAAGCTCCATGCGCACGAGTCTATTTCCGGCAGAAGGCTCAAGCCTGGTGAAATCTACAGCCGCAAGCCCATCCATAGCTCTGCATGGAGGCTATCATATGCTGCGCAGTGGTGAAGCAGGGTGTTGGTTGAGGTACGCTAGTTCAGGGTCCAACGCGGCGGCGGGCGGGATTGCCGAGGCCCCTTTTCTTTCTCCGCTCGGACTGGATCGGCAAGCCCGATTGTACCGTTGCCTGTCTCCACAACGCGAGCTTTCAGGCGAGCACTTGGCATTGGTATTTGCTGATCCTTGGTATGTTGACAGTACAAGAAGTAAGAATCTCAGGCTTCGTATGAGTAGTCAATGCTAGACGGCAGGCTATCGGATACTGGGCATTGAGGTTCTGCTGAGTATCCGGAACCCGGCCAACGGCAAGTGGAGGCGGATTCCGCGCTCGCGTGAATTTAGAGCTCCTGTGACGGCGAGAAGAAACATCCGCTGCGCGCTTGCAATCAGGTTGCCTCTGCCACAATCACGACCTGCTCATCCGAGCTCGATCGCCGCATCGTCAGCCATGGTGCGGAGCATGGACAAAGCCAAGGCGCTTGCCGAGAAGCAGAAAGGCAACGATGCGTTTGCCAAGAAAGAGTGGGCCGAGGCCATCGGCTTCTACTCGGCCGCACGCCTCGCCGATGCGAGCGAGCCTACGATCCCGCTGAACCGCGCCATGGCCTACCTCAAGCTGTCCAAGTTCCTCGACGCCGAACGCGACTGCACAACAGCGCTGCAGCTCTCGCCGAACAACGTCAAGGCTCTCTACCGTCGTGCTACCGCCAGGATGGGAGCCGAAAAGTTCGAAGCGGCTCGTGAGGACTACGACATGGTGTTGCAGCTCGACGCTGGAAACGCCGAAGCAAAGGCAGGACTGACCAAGGCGAAGGAGGCACTCGAGCGAGCAAAGACGCGGCGGACGGATCCACTTGATCTGCCCATGGTGGCGCCAGAGGGCAACTCTGCGAACTCTGCGATCAACGCAAGTGGCTTTGATCTGGCAAATGAAGGCACCGCCCAAAGCGACTCGAATAGCTCGGTCGAGGCAGCGAGAAAGTTCCTTCAGCAAGTAGGAATGTCGGATGGCTCCGAAGAGCAGGAGTCTGGTTCTAAGGCGGCCTCTTCCGCCGGGAACGTGCCGCCAAAGTTTCCAGGCGAGACGGGCGGTCTACTGCGAGAGGTGACTACGCGCAGGACAGCAAACTCGGCCACCGCCAAACAGGACACGCAGCGTGCTGCGTCGTCTACAGCGGCCGTTGCAGCTCCGACCAGCAGCAGCGGGAGCGTGTCTCAAAAGACCGCATCGGCTCTCAGCTTTGGTGCAGGTCCATCTCAACGACCAGCACGAGTCACACAGCCACAAACGCTTTCGGCATCCACATCGAACCATGGCAAGCTCTCAGCCATCGAGTTCCAGCGTCGATGGAAGAACAAGTCGGAGCGTCTGCAGCTGCTGTCGTCGCTGGACATCGACTCGATACCCGGTATGATCGACGCGATGCTCGAGCCAGAACTGGTGGCTGAAGTGCTGGAAACCCTGGCGCAGGGCCATCGATCCTTGCCGCAGGATGAAAAGCTACAGAGAATGGTCGCAGACGTATTGACAGTGCTGCCGCGGTGCAAGCGGTTCGGCATGACGGTCGCCATGCTGGACGAGTCGGAAAAGGCTCACGCTTCGTATCTCGTCGATGCGGTCGGCAGATCCGATCTCAAAACTGTTTGGGAGCTCAATTGAAAGCCCTCCTCGGCCAGCGCCGATGCACCTCCCACCTCTTATATGCATGAGCTAGAGTGTGATGTTCTTTGGTGCTGTCTTGAGATGAACTTAGTCGCAGAGCACTCACTCCGCAATGTGGGATGAGCGGGCTGAAGACTTGGCAGGCGTCGCGCATTTTCGAGAGCCCAACCGAAAAAGCCGTTCTAGTCGCCGCACGCACGGACTCGCCCACCGCATCCCCACACAGAGTCACTACCCGCAGCTTCGCTCAACAGGCGCACGTCGCGTGCTACTACCAACACCATCTTCTTGCATACCGGTATAAGACACGGAAGACAGAGCTATTCGCGACGCGAGATCTCACAACCGAATGCTCGTTGTACCTTCCCGGACGATCACCTCACTCTCCCGCAGAACAACGCTCCGCTCAGGTTCGAGCCTCCAACACGCTTCGCTCCGCGCCATGTCGACACGATCGGCACCCGGGTACGGCTTCAACCCGAATCTTCACCTAAGAACCATCGACCCACCCGTGCAGATCGGTGCCAGATGGGCGCAGTCCTACCCGTCCACCAGCTCGCCGCTCGCAGGTGCCGATGTGCTCCCGCACTTCCCGCTGCTCAATCTCGCGCAGGGCGTGCCTGGACACCCGCCGACACAGGCATTGCTGGACCGCATCCAGTTCGAAGGTCTCCCTGAAAATTGCTCCTCTCCTGCCGGTCACACGCACGGATACGGGCCCGTGTTTGGCGATGCCAAGCTCCGTCAGGCCGTCGCCAGGGACATCAACAGAGTGTACAGGACCCCAGGCAAGGGCGATCGCCACCAAGTCACCGAGGCGAACGTCGCCATCACGGCCGGTTGCAATCTCGCCTTCACAGCGGTAGCTACTGCCATCGCTGGTCCGGGAGATGCGCTGATCGTGTGCGATCCGTGGTACTTCAACCACCAGATGACCATGACCGCGTTCGGCATCCAGATCGCAGGCGTGCATACCAAGCCGCCGCACTTTTATCCAGATCTGCAGATGATCCGCGCCCTCCTGGCGAGCGATAACCGCATGTCGACAAAGACCATCAAGGGAGTCGTGCTGGTGACGCCCAACAATCCCACGGGTGCCATCTACCCGCCGGACTTGATCCGCGACATTGGCGTGCTCTGCAAAGAGTACGGCGTCGCGCTCATCCTCGACGAAACCTATCGCGACTTCCTCCTGACTGGAAGCGACGCCGACGGCCCCGCCGAGTCCTCGTCGCTGGCGGCTTCGGCCGCGCTTCCGCACAATTTTGCCCGTCCGCATGATTTGTTCGAAGACGCCCCGCCCGGGTTGGCGGAGAAGAGCTGGGATCCGGACTGGGATTGGCGCTCGACGGTCATTCAGCTCTTCAGCTTTTCCAAGAGCTACGCCATCCCAGGACATCGTCTCGGCGGCTTCGTCGCTCACGAGGCGTTCCTGCAGCAGACGGTGGCCGACTCCAATGGCACACAGAAGACAGTGTTTGGACCGACAGCCAAGGCGCTCGACAACTTTCAGGTGGCACCGCCACGCACAGACACGCAGCGCGCCGTAGCATGGGCGATCGAAGACCCCACCCAGCTCGAGTGGCGTGGTCAGGTCGCCAGTGAGCTGCGCGTGCGCAGGAGGGCGTTTGTCGAGGGCCTCTCGCGCCCCGTACCGCCGTTTCTCAACCCGGATGCAAGCGGCCTGGCAGGCCCGGGGGCTGATGCGAGCCTGGCAAAGTCGCCAGAACAGTGGGGCTGGAAGGTCGAATCGGCCGGTGCGTACTATGCGTTCCTACGCCATCCGTTTGAAGATGTCCCGTCGGATAGGGTGGCACAGGCACTGGCGGAGCTTGTCGGGGTCGTGGTTTTGCCCGGCGCGTTCTTCATGCCGAGCGAAGCAGAGACCAAGGGAGATAGTGCTGGGTCGAGGCTGCGCGTGTCCGTGGCGAATGTGTCGACCGAGATGCTCGCCAAGCTGCCAGAGAGACTCGCGATCCTCAGCGAGCTGTGGCACAAGAAGGGCGCGGGTTGGGGCGTTGCGTCCACGTAACGAGCGCCAGTTATGCTTGAATGGGACACACTCGATCATGGTGCGCTCAATGTAGGCAAGTCAATCCTTCCATAACATCGTCTGCGCGTGTGAAATGCAAGAGTGAGTGTGACGGGCGGATCGCTGTGGGTTTGCTGATCGCCAGCCCGTTCCGAAAGGCCCTCGCGACTTGTCGACTTCTGACATCCTGGCGCCATCTTCTTTCGACACCCTTTTCGGCGCTTGGGCCTAATTTGAGCCGGCGTGTTGCTGCCGGCCTGAGCCTGGCGAAGTCGAGATGCACAACGCGTCTCACCTTTTCACTTCCGAGGACTGCCGGCGTGCAAGTCGCTCAGAGTGACGGCCCGCGACAATGGCGATGTGTGGTCAAACCTTGACCTGCGATTGCGAGCTCCGACGAGTCAGAACCCACCTGAAGAGGTTCGCGGTTCATCTCGCCCCACGTGCGAGTGGCATGCTGGCATTCATCAGGCGGGGCGGTCAGGTCGGGGCTCGTGCGCACAATAAAGTGCTGACCTGGCGAGGCACACGGGACCCCTGCACTGCCTGAGATTGTTTGTTGTGTGCAGGGCGCAGAGGGGGGCCGAGCGTGCATTGTCTCGAAGGCTATGCACGACGCCCCCGCATGGGCTCGAGCTCGGGCGATGGTATGCAGTGGGCACGGAAGATGCTGCCGCGCTCCTTATCCCCAACGTCAGCTTGGGAGGCTGGTGTACAAAACCCAGGCCGCCTGATCTCTGCGCATCCATTCTTACCACTTCCATCTTCTGCTACGCTTTACCGTTCGTTATGGCTGACAAGACGAAAAGTGCAGCGCTTGTCATCGACACGCGTCGACCACGAGCACAGACACGGTTCGGTACACCGCCAGTTGCGGCGCAGTCGACTCCTGACACCTCGCGATCTTCGACCACGCTATGGTACAGCCAGGCTGAAACGCCTTTGACGCACGCCACTTCTCCACATGCCCTTGGCGGTGTGACTTTGCTTTGCGGGGCTGCACCCGAGTCTGCGGAAAGCTGCGGGTCAGAATGGCTGCTGGGAAAGATCAACGAGTTTCTCGCAGAGTCTCCCGAGGCTGAAGAGACGATTGCCGGCCCGTGGTTGGGCGATTCGCAAGTCTCGCCCTTGCGCATGAGGATGCCGAGGTCACCTCTACGGATCGAGGCTGGCCTTACTTCGGCGCTGTTTTATCGGGGGTTCTCCAAGTCGAATGCGGGACATCTGGACGCTGCACCGTTTCCATACAGCCCGACGGTTGAGGTGGCGACGGTGTCAACTGGCGTAAGAGTCTCGATGGAGTACGGATCATTGCGGTGTATCTCGAGAGATGATATGCTGGGACTGCGCAAGGAAGAAAACGAGTCAAGAAGGTATTCGAGGCTCTCGCTTGGTTCGGTGTACGTCGATCGTTCAGACGAGGCCGAGGATGGAGGAATCACAGCAAGTACAGTCGAGACTCCGCCGGTACAGATGTCACCGGTAAGCCTGTCTTCCGGCTCGTTGTCCTCTGAAGACAGTTCCGTCTCCAGCCATTTGGCTGCCGAGTCGTGTCGACCTAGTTTGTCTCCAACGATCACCATCATTCGGGACGCGACGGTGACGCGAACCAATCGAGCTTGCACAGCGGACAAGCCCACACTGTTTGCTCCGGCTGCACGCGGGTTGTCGCGTTCGGCATCGGTAGGATTCCTATCCGCCCTGGGTAGGGCGCGCAAAGTGTCGGTCTCTGCCTCCAACACGCGGCCGAAGCTGGTTCGTGTCGCCACCACCGACGCACTGCGCCATCCGAGCACCGACTCTGACGCGCGTGCAGAAGAAATCAACATTGCACAGGTAAAGCAGGCGTTGCCGACAAGCACCCAGATCGTGGCGGGCCGCAAGATGCACAAGCTCAAACAGCTGCTCGGCGCCGAAGTGGAAGAGGCACTCTCGTCCGACTCCCACAGCATCGACACGACAAAGCCACTCCCGAAACTTCCACGGACACGACTGCAGCGCAGCGGGACGGCAGTCACGTTGCCAGCGCTGCACAGAGACGGATCGGTGCGCGGCTGGTCGGCGAGCCGCACATGCAAGGCGACTGTGACGGGTCGTCCATCCAGTGCGCGCGATTCACGCTGCACATGCCCCGCGTGCAAAATAGGAGGCTCTCCCCACGCAAAGATGACCGTGCTCCTAGGCGGAAATGGCTCGACGTAGAACGGCAATGCAATTGGATGGTATCAAATGACGAGGTCTTGAGTCAACTGTGTGGTGGATGTGACGGGCGTAGGTGGCTGTCGTGGCGGTTGTTGCCGAGCATGGGAGGTGCCAGGATATGGCGGTTGAACCAGTCCCGTCGGAGGTGGCACGTCTATGTGTGGCGGTACTGGCTTCTGCATGCGGGGTGGAACAGGCAGTACGAGTCGGAACGAGTCTTTGCCTATCGTCATTGGGTTTGAATGCTTCGTCAGTTAACCACGTACACTTCGGTCTAGTAGAGGGGAACGAGTGCTTACCGTTGAGATAGAATCGATGCAGACGCTTTTCGCGGATGAAGCCCAGGCCCTCGTACAGCGCGAGGGCTGCGACGTTGTCCGCCTCGGTTTCGAGCACGACCTCCTGTGCGCCGCTATCGACCATATGCTGTACCGCATGCCGCACCAGCCGTTTCGCCAGCCCTTGGCCTCGCCATGTATTGCGCACCGAGATCATGGCGATATACCCGCGCATCAGCCGAGCGCCTTTGAGGTGTCGATCGAGCTTGCACACAACTACGCCTACAGCAAGCCTCGCTCCTGCGGCTCGGTCTGACGGAGCGTAGGCGAGAAAGCAGAGCTGCGGCCATTGGTTGACAAAGTAGCGGTACGTGTGGACGATGTACGGCTCCGAAAGCTCGTTCTCGATCAGATCGATGATGTCGGCCATCTGGTGCTCGCCATCGTACGGCTCGAGCACGATGCTGTCGGTGCGCGCCGAGGTGGCACTGGGCGTGGCATGGTCACCGGAAGGGGTGAGAAGAGCAGCGTCGAGAGTAATGGAGCTTGTCGAAGGTGTCGAGCTTGATGGCTCGGCCGAAGCCATAGTGACGATGATACCAGCAGATGCGGAGGAGAGAAGAATGGCGTAAGGGAGCTGCATGAAGGCAAGGGTCTCTTCCAACGCTGGACTGACACTTCCGAAAGCCGAGATTTTTTTGCATAAAAATGTGGTATTTGGCAAGGCGTAACACTGGGGAGGAGTTTGCGAAGGCGAAGGGTCAGGTGGCCCGCCATGCGCCGCTCACTCATCCAAGCGTGGCCATCCGCTCTGCGACTTGGCGAAAGCACGAGCGCGTCATCGAGCGGCGCATTTTTGCTGTTCCGCTCGCATCGCCATCCTCCACAATTCTTTTGGTTCCTTTTGATCCGCGCACGGTGCCTTGCCGCCCTCCCGGATCCACCCAGCCCTGCTCCGTTCAAGGCTGGCCGGAAGACAATGGATTGAGAGAGAGCCTACTGTGCCGGATGAGAGAATGTCAGGAGAGCACATGAAGAGCATCGGAGGCTCCGACAGAGCAAGTCAAGGGTGGCCGATGGAGCTGGGGCTGCAGAGGAAGGCGTGCTCGAAATAGGACTCTGGGACTTTGCCCGCCGCCATCGGTGCTGACTGAATGCAGCTTCAACGGTGCTCTCCCGTGGTTGCGGAGTGGGGCACGTCCTAAATTCGGAATCGACGTCCATGAGTGCCGCCAGGCTTCCCGCACTAAGCGAGACGTCGAGCAGAGCGACCCTAGCCAGCACCCTTGGGTCAAAAGCCCTTGCACCCCGCGCGAGCTTCTCCTTCTCCGCTCTTGGGCTCAGCTTGGACCGCGATGACGACGACGGTCCTTGACTCATGTTCGGCCGTCCCGCCTTCTGTTCTTGTGCCATTTCGGTCTGGGCGTGCCGGCCTGCCCCACAAGCGATGGACTTGTGGCATCGGCATCCCATGTAGAGCTGTGCTGCGTGTTCAGCCTGCGAGACAAGCCAGAGCATCACAGCCTGCGTGCCTGCGTGCCTGCGTGTGCCAAAGCCATGCGTGACCGACAGCAAGACCGTCATCGCCGCACTCAGCGCGCCTGATTCGGCTGCCCCGACCGGCTGAGTCGAGCGTGCCCTCCGCCCGGTGAGACAAGGTGTGATCCCCCTTCGCTGCGGCCGCTCGTCGGGCTCAGGATCCTTAAAAAGCAGCGTCGACGGTGGATTCGGCCTTTCCGACGCTCCCTCACCTTGCCTCGACCCTCACACCGTCCTGTCCTAGCTGCACCGAAGCTGCCACTGCTCTCCCACTCCACCATCTGCTTCCGCAGCGTTTCCTCCCTCTCTTTCCCCATCCCAATCTCGCACTTTCCAGTCACATCGGAAGCAGCCCGTTTACCCCAACAATCCCCCTCATCGCTCGAAACGCAGACATGTCGTCCGAGCGAGAGCCCCTTTTGCCCACCCACGCCCGCCAGGCTCGTGAGAGCGTCGAGCAGTACGGCAGGCAGGCCGCGCGCGATGCCAAGGCTACCGCGCGCCAGTACGGCGTCGACCCGGACAACCTCGGCGAGCAGGCACGCCAGATGGCCCCCTCGCGCCAGACGCTCGCCCGCATCGCCCAGATGGTCGGCGCCTTCAAGGCGGGCAAGATGCCCAGCCAGAAGCAGCTCAACCACTTTATCGAGGCCATCATGTCGAGCCCTGTCCTCGACGAGCGCTCCGTCGCCGGATCCACCAAGCTCAGCCAGCAGGGCGCCAAGGTGATCCAGGACTTCAAGGGCATCCTCGCCTGCATCGAGCGAATCGGCGAGAGCAAGAACGGCGACGACAAGATCCAAAAGTTCATCTTCCAGACCTCGCAGGCCTCGATCAACGTCACTGACCAGGGCGGCATCTCGGCCTCGCTTCCCACCGCCAAGTCGGTCGGTGCCGAGGGCCTCACCTCGGAGGCCAAGCAGGACGTGGGCAAGGTGCTCGGTGAGATCCAGCAGATCGGCCAGCTCCTCCTCACCTCCAAGGCCTTCCGCGACGTGCTCGCCGACGTTCAGTTCCTGCTGCGCGACCTCACCGCCGACGCCGCAGCCACCGCTGCGCAGAAGGCGGGCGGCGCCGAGGGCAAGCTGCGCGTCATCGACGAGGAGCGCAAGAAGCGCGGCGACGCCGTCGAGGTGCGTGCTCCCAACAAGAAGGACCTCGAGAGCGCCAAGGATGCCGCCAAGCGCGGCGCCAAGCAGGCGCAGGACAACCTGCAGGACTCGGCCAAGCAGGCGGCCCAGTGGCTCGACGAAAAGACGCCCGACGACGTCAAGGAGGAGTTCCTCGAGCGCGTCAAGCAGGTCATCGACAGCGTCGAGCGCGATCCCGACTTTAAGCGTGCGCTCAACGGCATCTCTGGCATCGCCAACAAGTGGACCGACATTGTGCAGGATGTTGCCGCCAAGGCCAAGGAGCAGACCGACGTCGATATTGACACGCCCGAGGCCGAGGCCAACGAGAACCTGCGCGAGGCGTTCCAGCAGCTCAAGTCGATCCTCGAGACCTTTGCCGGCCGTCCGCTCGAGCCTGTGGAGAAGTCGGTGAGCCAGCTGGTGGAGCACGCCAAGAAGATCTTTGACGACGAGAGCTCCAAGGAGGGCAAGGAGCTGCGCGAGTTTGTCGAGGACGTCAAGACGTTCATCGACCGTGCGCTCAACGAGGACGGCTTCATCCAGACGAACCGCTCGAACCGCATGGCGTCGGACCTGTACGACCGGGCGCAGCGCCTCTTCAACACCACGGGCAAGGAGGCCAACAAGGCGCTCTCGAAGCTGCGCGGCGATTTCGACGCCACGCTCGACGAGCTGTCGACGTTTGTGCACGGCCTCGAGGAGGATGCGGAGCTGCGCGAGCTGGCGCAGCGCGTCGAGAAGCTGGGCAGCGACCTCAACTTTGTCGACCTGCAGCGCGTATTCAACAGCGGCGGACAGGGCGTGCTCAACCTGCTCAACGACGTGCGCAGCCAGGCGGGCGGCCTGGTGCGCGACACGGTCGAGGTGCTGGTGCCGCGCCTGATCAACGAGATCGAGTCGATCCCGTTCCCACGCATCGAGTTTGTGTCGCGCGAGGCGGACGTGGTGATTGACGACCTGTCGCTCACGGCGTCGCGCGCGTCGTTTGTGCCCGAGCGCGTGCGCATCATCAACCGCAACGACCTCACGCTCGACCAGCGCCGCTCGTCGTTTGGCTCCAACTTTGACGCCAGCCTCTACCTCGAGATCGAGGGGCTGCGTGTCAAGGCGGCCGATGTGGCGTACTACATCAACAAGAAGACGGGCTGGGTGGGCTGGGAGGACTACGGCCTGCTCGACCTCGATCTCGGTGGACGCGACGGCACGAGCTTTGTGGTGAAGCTCGAAAACGCCGACGAGGACGACGCCGAGTCGTTCTACAAGGTGAAGCGCGTGAGCGTCGACATGTCGTCGTTCCAGGTCAAGGTGCGCCACACGAAGCACTGGTTCCTCAACTTTTTCCTCATGCCGTTTGTGCGCCCCATGCTGCGCCGCGTCTTCCAGCAGCTACTCGAGGAGCAGATCCGCTCGTGGCTCCAGAACCAGGACCGCTCGCTCTGGGCCGCCCAGCAGCGCGCCAAGGTGATCAACAGCTACTCGAAGACGGCCGTCAAGAGCGGCCAGGGCATCTCGACCAAGGCGTATCTCAAGGCGATCTTTGCGCCGGACTCGGATGCGTTTGAGCCGTACGGACGCAGGACGGCGCAGCCGCGCACCGAGGTGGGGCTTGCCGAGGGTCTGCAGGTGCAGGGACCGCACGATGGATTCAAGCTCGCGATTGGTGCGTCGTATTCCAAGCAGCTGCTGCCTGGACGCGGTGGTCCGTTTAGGTATGCGAGGGAGCAGGCGGAGCGCTACAAGCAGATTGAGGAGTCGGTGCGCCAGGGCGTGCGTGAGCTGCGCGAGGGTGCCAGCGAGCTGCGCGAGGGAGCGCACGAGGCGGTTCAGCAGGTGCGCGACGGCGTCAAGGGCCTCGAGGGCGAGGCGAGCAAGGCCGGCTCCAAGGCACAGAAGGAGGCGGGCAAGCTCAGCCGCGAGGCACGCAAGCAGGAGCGCGAGGAGCGTCTCGACTCCGGTTGGCGCTCGGACGTGTTTGACGACATTGACCTTTGACCCCGCATCCCCCACAAACTCGTGTCCGATGTTGGATCCGTAAGCGCATGTTTGTATTGATTCGCAATCTCGAGTTCGTAAGCTGGTTGTTGGTGGTGCGTTGGGCGGCTGGGTTTGCTGAGATGGTCTTGTGAAGTTTGATCGAGATTGGGTCGGGTGTGAGGATGCTGGGTGAGGCGAAACAAGGAGGAGGAAGAGGGCGGATTGGAGTGGGCAGGGTGCGGGGACTTGAGTATGAGCGAGTGTAGTTGGAGAGGGGCTGGCATTGGCAGGCACAATCTGGACGAGGTGTTGTCAATCTCCTCATGGGACTGCACCGGCGTGCGGAGCGGGTTGGGCGAATTGGCATCTTGAACGTGTTCACAGGTCTTTGCGATGCCAGTGCTTGAAGGTCCTTGACATGATCGTGAGCGTTCCTAGCTGAGCCTCAGTCCCATCCTCCCGGCTAAGCTTTCGTACAGCCTTGATAGAGTCACAACCCCACATGACCACACCATCCCGCTTTGCAGCCTCCCGCTGTGCAAGCGCAGACAGTGCTGCGAATGTGTGCCACTTCTTCTCATCGCCAAAAATCTCGTGCAGCAATTCAAACTGGCAAGTTTCGACGTCGACAGCGCTCGAAAGCTTCCTGATTGCATGACTTGGTTGTCCGGCCAATGTGTAGATGTACATGTGTATCGGTGACAGCGGGTTGTGCGGGATGCAGATGCCAAGCGCCGCCGGACTGCAATGCTCCTCCCGATGACTGACCGAGGCATGCCTTACGACTCCTCGTTCTGTTTCGAGTGGACGGCCGGCGAGCGTACGCGCTGGACGGGCGACTTTGTGCGTGCGAGCAGAGCCGCCGCCTCGCGTTTGCGCTTGTCCTCGTCCGCCGAAGTGCCGGCGATGTCTCCCGCATCCGCCGCCGAGTCGTCGATGGAAAAGATGACCTCGGGACGCTTTTGCGACTCGACATCGCCGGCCACGCCGCCCTGTGCGGTGATGTAGGGTGCGCCGCCATTGGAGCGAACGGCTCCGAGCGCAATGCTGTCCTCCGCTGATGGCCTCGACGCGAAGGCGAGATCGGGCCGGTTGCTCGGCGGCGCTGCGCTTGGTGGAGCAGCTGCCGAGTTGCGGTACGGATAGCGTTGCTCCATGGCTTCGCGAATTTCGTCGGTGAGGAAAAAGTAAAAGTAGAACGTGGCGAGGCAGGCGCCGGCTACCAAATCCACTTCATAATGATGGATGAGACGCATCGTGGACCAGCAAAGCCAGAAGGTGTAGAGCCAGTAGAGCACACGGGCGTCGAGGCGGAGACGGCCGATCTTGATGGCGACGGGGAAAAAGTAGGAGCAGAAAAGCGCCAGGATAGTGGCGTTGCCCGCATGGAGCGAAGGGAAGGCGCCGAACACGACGGGCGCGGCGGTGAAGGTGAGCGTGTACCCATGCGAGTGGAAGAGCTCGTCGATTCGTGCGAGGCCGGCGGGCGATCCGCGCATGCCGTAGTTGGCGGGGACGAGGCCTTCGCGCAGCTCGTACCAGGGCGGAGCGCAGGGAAAGAGGATCTGGATGATGACTCCCGTGAGCATCATGAATCCGAACGCCTGCGCAAACACCTTGACCGAGGAAGGGGGTGCAAAGACGAAGAGGAAGGCGGCGACAAAGAAGGGGGCGGCAAAGTGGACGATGCCGTAGGGGATCCATGCGAGGATGTCGAGGATGGGATGGCTGAACTTGGTGAGGATGCTCGAAATGTTGTCGCCGTACCAGATGGTTTCGAGCGTAGGCAGCACCGACACCCAGATGTGCGGACGGAGCGGCGCGGGGATGAACTTGCACGAGTAGAAGAGGATCAGCCAGGCAAAGATGGGTGCCGCGGGCAAAAAGAACTGCGAGGTGACGGGCAGGAGCAGCGTGATGATGTAGAGCGCCGGGATGATGAGCTTGAAGGGGAACGCGGGGCTCTCCATGACATAGAGCGAGAAGAGCGCGATGAAGAGGAGGAATCCGTACTTGAAGCGTTCGGTCTTGCTTGGCGACCAGGCGCGGAAGCGGTCGAGGTTCTCGCGCACGTCCGTGGAGAACGAGAGGCGCGATGCGGCGGCGAGGATGCGCGACAGCAGATAGTGCAGCCCCGATGGCAGATAGAGTCGTGCTTTCGGTGGAAGCTGCAACAGCGGCTGCGGCGAAGCTCCGGGAGCCCCGGGCGCCAGACGAGGGCCGGCGCCCGCATGTGATTGTGAATTCGCGCTGGATCGAGGCGCAGCCATGCTGGTGCTATAGCAGCCGTCACTCGAAGCGTGATCAGTCGAAAGCGTGACCGTGAAGGTGAAGGTAGCGTGACGGTAGAAAGCCAAGCAGGAAGAGCCGATGATCCGACGGGTTGGTCTTTCCCACGGTTGTTCGCAGTCGTGTGTGTCTTTTGCAACGCGCTTCGGCACAGCCGAGGATGAAGTGGTGGTTGGCTCGTTTTGACACGCCGTGTTCTCGTCCTTCTTGGCTTTAGGCCATCGGGGAGCATTGGACCCGATGCAGAATCGACCCTGGGAATCGCATGCAGCTCGCAGCCGCTCAGCAGCCGCTCGGCAGCAGCTCTCCCAAATTTAGGCGCGTGTGGAGTGTCGCTTCAGCCGCACCCTGCTGGGCACAACCGGCAGGAAATCACACACCCACCGATACGAGCACGGACGCCAGGCACAGGTGCTATCGGCCTTCTTTGCCGTCATTGTTCCCATTCGTCAGCACCTGTCGGCATCCCACCGAGCCCCATCACGACGGCAGCCACAATTGCGCCGCGCACGGACAACTGCTCACTCAGCCTTCGGATCAAGCGCTCGCATACAGGCGAGGCTGAGTTTGAGCTTGGAACAGCACCACCGAGCCTGTCAGTCGCGTACGGCAGTGCCTGCAGCACAAGCAGAAGCTCCAGCAGCACCAGCTGAAACGTCGATCCGCAGCGGCACGGAGGAAGATCTTTTCATTCGGCTTTCCTCTCCGACATCACAAATCCGCTTCTCTCCATATTGTCGTCACCCTGGCGACCTTCGTCCGCGATGCTCCTTCCGTAAAGAGTGGCTCGGAGCGGCTCAGACAGCTCTGCCTACATCCTCGAGGCTCTCACCACCATGGCGCCTCAATACCCTTCCAGCAGGGCGACCTCGCTCAGCGTCGATCGCTTCAGCAGCACCAGCGATCGTCGCCACTCGTCCTCCTCTTCATCTCACCAGCAACGCCCCCAGATCAACTCACGCCCCATCACCCTCTGGACGCACGATCCGCCCAACTTTTCGCGCAACGAGGTCGTGCTCAACCCCGAGTTCTCCCTGCCACGCATCACTGATGTCGACCTCCTCCAGCTCACGCTCCCGCCCGGATCCAGGCTGCCCAGCCACCACATCCCCTTCGGCCCCAAGGATCGTCGCAAACGCTCTTCCAAGGCCACTTTTGTCTTTCGCGGCCCAGCAGCAGCCGCCGACGCCGACTTCATCGCTCGTCAGCCACAGCTCCAGATCAGCGTCTCCAAAAACATCGCCAACAACTACGGCTTCTACAATCGAGCAGAGGCCGTCCTCACCCGCGTCTCCAAGGACGACTTTACCATCGACCACGTCGAGCTCTACTTTCGCGACCAGTACGTCGGCAGAGCAGAGATGTGGAGAGTCTTTCAAAATCTCGAGGACACCTGCGTCTATTGCGGTCAAAAGGTCACGCTAGCCGGCAGCGTTCGCGCCACCATCGGCCGCATCTTTATCAAGGAGAAGAAGGTCACCAGCGGATACGTCTCGGCCTCCACCAAGGCCATCTTCCGCTCCGAGTCGGCAAAGTACAACCTTTTCATCCAGCTCGCAAGGGAAATGTGGGAGTTTGACGAGGACGGTGAGATCTACTACGAAAAGGCGCTCCAAGGCTTCATCCCCGAACTCCTGCGTCGCTGGAGGGCGGTGCCCACCAATCACATCCTCACCGTCATCCTCTTCGCCCGCGTCCACTACGACGAGTCCGAGCTACACATGCTCGAAGGTCCCATCCGCAAAGACTGGCGCGGCAGACACTACATCGACTACTACAAGGTCGTCGTCGATCTCGAGTCCAATTGCAACTGGGATGCCGTCATGACTACGCTCAAGGAGGAGTTCTTCCGCTTCCAGCACGACATTCTCCTCCTCCGGCGGCCCATCTCCGGCCCCGCCGCTTCGCACGAGGAGCTCCACGCCGACCTCATCCGCGACCGCGTCCTCATGGCCGGTCGCCTCTCCTACTCGTACGAGGGCAACCTCCTCGAAGCCATCAACCTCGCATTGAATCCGTTCGACGAGCACTACATCGACAGGGATCTCAACCGCACCGGCTTATCCATGGTCTTTGTCACCGCCGGCACCGGCCACTTCGACGTCGACAAGAAGCTCTTGCGCATCACCACAGAGCGCATGATCGAGAACGGCACCGGTCTCGACCTCGTCTGCCTCACAAAGATGCCGCTGCATTCGGTGCCTCTCTTTCACTTCAAGTCGCACTATCCCGACCCCTCGGAGCTCAAGCGGAGCCAGGCCAATCGTGCCCAGCGCCGCGCAACGCCTGGTGCTGGACCCGGCATGACGGTCCATCGACCCGGTCAGCCCCCCTTACTCTCGCGTCACTCCTCTTCGCGTCTCGCCGCGGCTAGTGCGGCTGCGGTCAATCCGCCCGATCCGCTCTACTTTGACTCGAAGAAGCCCGTGGAAGAGGAGGAGGATTTCTACTCGATGCCTCACTGGATCGATTGCAGCTTCTACAACTTGCAGCAGGACAAGCCCTTCCGCGCCGACCGCTTCGTACCAAGATGCAAGATGTACGAGGTTCAAATGATGGGCATCATGGAAAACCAGATCTCGGACATTGCCATTCCGTATCTGGACCTCAAGGCAGTCAACAAGGCTGCCTCCGTCGGCTCCTCGTTCTACCTGCCTCGCCACGCCGGGCCCTCGAGCTCGGGCTTCCTTTCCGAGCCGCGCAACAGCCAACTGTCCGACCTCGCGCTCGTCGGTCTCTCACCAAAGCAGCAGAGGCGCATCGCACGCGAGCGCTTCGATCACGACGTGTTCAAAGACGTGCCTCCTCTCGTCAGAGCTCCGACTGCCAAGCAGACTCAGTCGGCCTCGGGCGGTGCTGCGGACAGTCCGGCCGCGAGCGAGATCCAGAAGCCTCTCGACCGACCCGGTCTGCGTCGCAACCCGAGCTCAGGCTATGGAGGTGCTCCTACCACCAACGCCAACTCGGCTGCCTCCTCGGTGTCACCGGGCAAGGTCAGCAACGCTCGACAGGGTGGCCTGCCACCCAGAGCGTCCAGGCTGGGGCGTGAAGCGTCGTTCCGCGAAGAAGAGGCTGCCAAGGATGCGTCCGCGCCGACTTCGCCCACGAAGCCGCGCTTCACTGTGCTCGAAGAGACCGTCAATCGTCCACCTTTGACTCGACCAGTGTCCCAGATCATCAGCCCAACCATCAGCAAGCCCCGCTCGAGACCCGGATCCATCCGCTCTGTCAACACTTTCTCACGCGGCTTTTTGCCCATGGAACCGATCGGCAAGGCCAAAGCGCTCGTGGCTTCCACCGATGCTGTTCTGTCCGCAACCTCGCACGTCTTCGACGAAGATCTTCCCGAGGAAGACTCGCAGAAGAAAGGCGAGGGCCAAGACAGCGTCGGTTCCTTGAGATCTGCGGCGCCATCCAAGCCAAAGGGCTATGCTTGGCTGTGGAAGACTCTGACGGGCGCAGCACCCAGCCGAGCTTCAGGCTCAGAACGCTCTGCTGATATGGACGACGACACGAGCTTCGATGACTACTCGACGCCCGCGACACGCAGCATGCAGGAGGTGCTCAGTGCCCAGCTCCGACAGCAGGCCGGAGGATCCAGCAAGGACAGGAGCCCGGCACGAAAGGCTGGTCCGGTCCCGGGGCGCTTAACGCGGACGTCGTCGCTGCTTTCGGTGCATGAGTCGACGGGCCCTTCACCCATCAAGATTCCAGCACAGGCCACGCCACGCACGAGGCAAGAGCAGGAGGTGGAAGAGAAGATCCTCCGCGATCAGGAAGCATATGAGCAACAGCTCGAGGAAGAAGAGGCGCGGCAGAGGTACGCGCAGCGAGCCCAGGTCGAAAAGCAGACGCTCGTGAACCCTTCCAACCCGAGCAAGAATCTCAAAAACAGCACCTCGCAGCTGCTCCGCTGGCAGCATCTCTTCCCGCGCCGCCTCAATCACCATGCCGTCAAGTGGCGCTCCATGACGACTCCAGCCTGTCTGCCGCTCACAACTCTCTACCTGCCCACCGAGAGTGACCTAGCGGCCATGTGGAGCGAACATCCGCACACGACTTCCATTTCGGCAGAGACGGCCTCCTTCTTGCTGAAGAAGGCCAGCTCCACTCACCCGGCGCTGGCTGTACTCCGCGAGATGGCGTACCACCGGCTCGCACAGGGCTACCAGTTCATTGTGCCGGCCAGCAAGCAGACGCGCACGGTCTCGAGTCGAAAGCTCGTCGATCCCAAGCACTACAGCCTTCGGTGGCCGTCCGAGCTGCTTCAGCCCGGTAACCTCGCGACGGGCAATCCCATCTTCCTCAGCGTGACCAACCAGATCCACCGCATCTCGTACGATCGCTCGACTTCGGCGATCAACGTCAAGCGGTACGTGCGCAACACGGACTACTCGACCGATCCGATCGACTACGAGTGCTGCATCTGGCCGCGCCATCTCCCGGGATACCAGACGGTCAAGGCCCGCTTCACCTATCCGGACTCGGCGAGCTACAATTGGACATACCTCGACTCGCTCATTGCAGGATACGTCGACGAAAAGTTCGTCGAGTCGCTGCGGTACTGGCGCACGCGCTTCGTGCTGGTGCCGTCGGCCGGATCGCCACCACCCATGAAGGCGCCCACCGGCGAGGACCTGGACGATGAAGAGATTCGGCTCATCGGTACGGACAAGCTGGCAGAGCTCTTCCATCGAGCGCGGTTCGTGCGCAGCAAGGAAGAGCGAGACCAGGCGCACGTCCAGCGTTTCATGCCGACGTCGTTAGATCCCGCCATGTCGTTGCAGGACGAAGACTTCATGAAGCAGTTGGCCGAAGAGAATGCCAAGCAACGTGCGCAGTCGGCCTCGGCCAAGAAGAGGCTGCAGAAGGCGCTGGCGGGACGCGCGCTCGAGGCCGTGGCCAAGGACATGCGATCGGGCGGACTGGTGATCAACGACAGGATCTGGCACCGGATGCTCTACTCGGACACCTTCACGGGCGCCGACTTTGTCACGTGGATGTGCAACGAGTACACAGACGTGCGCGCGCGCGACGACGCCGTCGAGTGGGGCATCAAGCTCATGGAGGACGGGCTGTTCGAGCACGTGCACAAGGCGCACGGCTTCTTGGACGGACACTACTTCTACAGGCTGAGGAGCGAGTACGCAGGATCCAAGGGCAGCAAGTCGTGGTTCCGCGGTACGGACAGCCAACGCGGCTCGTTCTCAGAGGTCCCGACACGGCCTTTGGTGCACTCGAGCAGCCAACACTCGGGTCTCGGTGCGGGTGACTCAAGGCGGGCTCCCTCGGGCGACCATGGCGACACTGCCGGCTCGCGCTCGGCTGCAGCCACGACGGGTACAGCGGCGGTCATTGCCGCGTCCATTGCGGGTGGTGTTGCCGCACCGGCAACCTCGTCGCGCTCTTCCGCGGGAGGCCACTCTCGCAGCTCCTCGGTGCACCATCCTCATCCGCCCTCGCTGACCATGTCGTCGGCGACGCCCAGCCGCAAGAAGAAGAAGGTGCAGCTGTCGCGTTCGATGATCATCGACGTCGATCCCGGCCGGCGCAGCGACCGCGCCGAGGTGGCGTTCCTGCACCACGACATTGCGCACAATCCGGCCAACGGGTTCAACTTCCAGATCCATTGGCTGTCGACGTCCGCGCGCTTTATCGAGGACACGGTGCAGACGTGGACGCGCACGGTGGAGCGCTACGGCCTCCGGTTGATCGAGGCGCCGATCGGGCAGATCAAGGACGTGAGTCTGCACAATCCGTTCCAGGCGCCGGTACAGATCGAGTTGGCGCTGCCGCCGCCGGCGCCCGACACGTACGCGAAGCGGCTGCCGAGCGGTACGCTGCCCGAGCTCTGGTTCGAGTATGCGCTGCTGCGGCGGTTCGGATTCGTGCTGGACCAGGAGGCGAGCGGGCGGTATCCGAAGGACGTCGAGATCACGTACAGCTCGAGGCCGAACGAGTTCGAGTATAGCCAGTTTGTGCATCGGAGCGGTGTAGCGTTTGTGCAGGTGCTTGGGGGGCTGGATGGATTCCTCTGGCTCAACAACCGGCTGTTCAACAGCCACACGCACGGCGCGGCGGGCGGATCGGCGCAGCGACACCACCAGCAGCATGCAGGACGCGGTGGCGAACGGCATGCGCGCGAGGAGGCGGCGGCGCCGTCTACGCCGGATGCGGACGCCGTGCGGCTGGAGCTGACGCGCTTCTGTTCGGACCGCGACGAGCTGGAGCGCTTCTACCGCAAGGTGCTTGCGCAGCTGCTGCAGGTGGAGAAGGAGGAGCACGAGCGCGAAGAGCTCACCAAGGAGTACGTGCGCTCGATGCTCGAGCAGCAGCGCGGGCCGATGGACACCACGACGGCCGGCAGCGCGAGGGGAAAGAGCCGGTCGGGCAGCCAGCACAGCAGCTCGGGCGCAGGCAGCATCTACGGCGGCCTCTCCAGAGACGGCGTCCTACAGGCTCTTGCTCAGATTGTCCCAGACCACAAGCGCGACGACGCATGAGCCGGCGCACCTTGAAGCAAACACGCCAGCAATGTAGCAGCATGACGACCAAGCAGACACGGCGTGATTGTGTCCAGGTGAAAAGGCAGGTTGTATTGCGTGTACGACGGGGAGATCAGCACTCAAAGATTCGTGCGGTGGATACGTTGATGCGGGACCACTTTTTGCGGCGGACGAGGAGCTGCCAGAGGAGGAGCTGTGGCCACTGGAGGTGGTAGAGGGCAAAAAAGGGCCAGGGGTCGTCCTTTGCGAAGCTCGGGTCGGTAAAGGGAGGCAGAGGAGCTGGAGCTGCGAGATCAAACGATGCTGGGGTGGCGGATGGGTTGGGGAGCGTGATGAGGCCTGCACCTGCGGTAGAAACGGCAGCAGCTGGCCAGAATGGATGGACGAGGCGCATGAGATGCTGCAGCCATGGCGATGACAGTACATGCGCCGTGGGAAGCAGACGCGCCGGTAGATCGTGTCCGATCCAGCTGTTGGGCAGCGAAGAATGCGGAGCGGTGTAGGCGCGTTGGAGGAGGTTCTTGGCGTGGTAGAAGCGCAGGCGCGACGATGCCCAAGTGGGAGGCAACTCGGTCAGCGCGGCCAGATCCGTGTGTGCTTGTCTCTGCTCAGCCGGTCGTGCCTCCATGACCGGCAACGCGAGCGACGACAGATAAGCCATCTCGTCCATCTCTGCCACAGCCTTTGCGAGCTGCTGCGCCGCATCGGTGCGCGGCGATCGCGCCATAGAAGCAGGCACCAGCGCCTCGCCAAGCTCGGGCAGCCCACCCAGCAGACAGATGGCGGTGTGCACACGCGGGTTGCACTCGATCGCCACCAACCGCTCCACCTGCCCATCGCGCGTCGCAGGCTGGAAGATAAAGTCCATGCTGAACTGACCCGTGATGCCGGCATCGGCGGGCGCGTGGCGTCCTACCAGCGTGTCGCGGCTCCACGACGGCTGCCGAGTCAGCGGGCTGGGCGGCTCCGAATGTCCACTCGACGCCTGCGCGTGCTTCTGCAGCCGATACAGAAATGTCGAGGTCCAGCGCAGAGCAAGCTCGCCCACCACCGTGTGCGACGCAGGATAGTACGTCATGAGCATGTCGTTGCTCGGACAGCAGACGAATGCGGTGAGCTTGCCGTCGACGACGGTGGCGTGTGTGCACCACTCGGACGCCTTGGCCACATTGCCTGGCGCCGCCGCGGTGTCGGCACGGTCGCCGATGAACTCTTGCAGGATGTACGGTGTGCGAGCACAAAGCGGAATCGACAGGCTCGAGAGCCGCGTGCGGGTGGCCTCCCAGTCGGGCTCGTGGGTGCGTGCATGCAAGAGCGGGTAGAGCGTCATGTCGGCGCGGCCTACATCGTCAAGCTCGGCCGCGCACTTGAGGATGGAGCGCGGGTAGCCATCGGAGCGCAGCTTTTCGAGCGCCTCGTCGACCGAAAAGACGATCTCGCTGCGAGGTGCAGCCATGTCGAGCGACTGGAGGAGTGCGATGAAGCGGTCCTTTTCATGGAGCGTCTCTACGAGCTCGGGCGTCTGGATCATGCTGCGCACGCGGCCCTGGGTGTGCTGCAGTAGGATCTGGGCCGCCACTGCATCCTGACCGGTGCTCCCCGCGCCCGAGCAGGGAAAGAAGAGATCCACCCGCTCGTCGAGTGCGATCTGCACGAGCGCCTCGATGTACGGCGTGATGGCACGGCCGCTCTTGTCGCCGAAGCGCGAGCTCTTGACGGCCGGCAACGCCGACGACGGCAGCAGGTGAAACTTGGAGACCGCGTTGGAGAAGCGCGTGGCGGCAAGGTTGCCCCAGCCTTGCTCTTCGACCAGCACCACGCGCCAGCCGTTGCGGGCAAAGGTGCGGCAGATGGCGAGCGACTTTTGCATGCGCGCTCCGTTGACAAGCACGGTGCGCTGCGCCGTGTGGCCATTCGGAAGAGCCGATGGGCGCGAGCTCGCTGCATCCCTCGCACCACCAGCATGGGTGAGAGAGAAGAAGAGTGAGATGACGAACGAGACCGGCGCGAGGCAGAGCGAGAGGCCCAAAAGCAGCAACGTCGACAGCGTCGACTGCACGCGAGAAGGAAGTTGGGGCGCCATGACTGGATCTATGCGTGTCTAGAGAGAGCGGAGCAGGTAGGTGGGGTGCAGCACAAGTCGCCGACAGCCTCAAGGCGAAATGCGGAGAATGTGCGGACCCAATGGAGCCGGGATGAAGGATGGATGTGGTTGGCTGGCAGGGTGGAGCTACGCCCATCACGGCATCTTCTCAGCTTCGTCGCTTCACTGCTCGGTCGGTCCATCCGAAGCCTCTCCCATCGACGACCGGCGTCGCGCATCTATGAATCAGCATGAGAGCAGCCCGCTATCTGTTCAGCGCTGCAGTGCACATCACGGCCACGCCCAGCTAAGTTACATGGCGCACAAGCCACGTTTCGGCGTGCGAAGCGAGCAGCATATTTCCAGCCGCACCACTTTCGACGAAGCTCGATGTGGAGTTGGCAGTCGCAGCCGGCACGACGTCTGACAGGCCTGCTCGCAGAGACCCTGCGACGTTGGGCATCAGCGCGTGCAGATGCCGCCGCGTCCTTCGCAGCGCTGCCCTTCGTGTCCTCGCTCGCGGCTGCCTGCCCAAGAAATGTCGGAAGCTCCGATCCCAGACGCCTCCATGCGTGGACCCTGGGAGCTGCAGCCTTAGCTCACGCCTTTGGCCAATTTGCGGATCTGCCCATCTGCTCGATCGGCAATCGCCTCTGGCAGCAGAACACGCAAGCCGAGCTGGGTCGGACGTCTACCCTTGTCGCTTGCTCGATTCCGAAGCCCAGCACCCAGCGTGTCGATGCCGATACTCGAACGAGGTTGTAGAGTGTGCTCAATGAGAAAGCCGCTGTGTGCATGCTGAGAAGAAAAAATTTCGGTACCGCTGTTGGATCTCGGCCCATAACAATTTCCAAGCTGAAATTCGCATCTTGCTGGATTCGCTGACCTGCCCAGCTGCAAAGCACACACGGCTGACGATTCGCTCGGTGATAAGAAAGCATCAAGCTGTGCAGCAGATGGTCTTTCTGATTGGGTCGGGTTGGCATCATCGGTCGGCCCGGCCGTGCCGGTTCCTTCTCGGAACCACCGACCGCTGCACATGCTGCGACGATGCCTTGCTACAGGCCACGCTGCCGATTCCGTGATGGCGACGCGTAAAAAAAGTGAGCTGATTTCCTGGCTGGCCTAGGCGATGTCGATATTGACCGACGGCGGCGACCCGGTAACCCACCGGCATGAATGTCGTGTGCCGTGCCGTGCCGATGAACCTAGTTCTTGGTTACGCTTCTCGTGATGCAGTCTCGTTGGGCTCCTGAGTGAAAGGCGGTGGGACGTATGCCCTCCTCTCGTGTGACGAAAGAAAGAAGCTGCTTCTGTCACGCTCGCTGAGGCGGACGGGCCGGAGGATTTTGGTGGGTTCGCATTTGGGCTCGAAAAGCAGTCGGAGCTTCACGCCTTCGGTTGATAGCCGAACGAAAGCTCGAAAACAAACGGCAACAGTGTGCGTCAGACTCGCGCCCGCCTCCACGCTCGAGAATTCGCGGCGCGGCTGGCCAAAAGTGACACTGCTCGAGCATTCCGTACTGGCTGTGCTGGCTGTGCTGAGCTCAGACCCGGAAGCTCGACAAGCGATGGCGCAGGGCTGACCGGGTCCGTCTCGCCTAGCATGCCGAGGCCCCACCAGCATTGCATCCGCCCTCTCCTTTCCTCCCGACCATATAAACAAACGATCGAGGCGCCCGTGCATGAGGCTTCCCACCGTAGCTCAGCTCGTTACCCACCGACCCAGCCGTCCTCATTCGCTTGCATCTATCCTTTGGGACCCGGTCACAACTCGGCATCTCTCCACCTTAAAGCCTTCGGCGCCCATTCAAAAGACCCACATCCAGCGATACTCGTCCAAGTGCTGCAGCATCGACAAGATGGCGACCTCATCCAAGCAAGGCGCCTCGGGCACGCCCGTCTACATCCAGGAGGTGACGCCCGAGATCACGACGTTCGACTACCCGTTCAGCCGCTTTGGCATTCTGCCCATCGGCGGACGTAGCATCGCCATCCGGATGCGCGACGGCCGGCTTTGGGTGGTGCCGAGCACGCCGCTCGACCAGCCGACCAAGGCCAAGATCGACGCGATGGGCGAGGTCGCCTACCTTGTCGCTCCGGACAATGTCCACCACCTCTTCCTCAAGGACTTCCACGCTGCCTACCCAGCTGCCAAGGTGGTGGGCACCGAAGGCCACGAGGAGAAGCGACCAGACGTCAAGTTCACCGGCATCTACGGCCGCGACCCGCCCACAACGCAGTACGGCTACGAGTCCGAGCTGGTGCCGCAGTACTTTGCCACCTTTGCCAACAAGGACGTGGCGTTCCTGCACAAGGACAGCCAGACGCTCATCACGGCGGACCTGCTTTTCAACCTGCCGTGCAACCAGCAGTACCGCAACACGCCGTCGGGCAAGGCCACCTCGTGGATCCCCGGCGTGATCTGGTTCTCGAAACTCTTCAATCCGTACTCGAGCTTCCACAAGACCTTCCTGGGCGGAGCGGGCGTGGCGAGCGGGCTGCCCGGCGTCGCCAACGGCGGCTCCAAGGATGAGCGCAAGAAGAACTTTGCCGAGGCGGCATCGACGGTGGCCAAGTGGGACTTCCGACGCATCATCATGCTGCACGGAGATATCATCGAGAACCACGGCCAGGAGGCATGGCGTGCGGCGTTCAGCAAGTACATTGACAACGAGGGCAACTCGCGGTTCAAGTCGGCCTGATGTGCGGCGATTTGAGTCGGCCTGATGTGCGACGACTGCATCGCCTTTCTCTTCTAGTCACAGTCACAATAATCATACCTGTCTTTATCGTCTATCGTCGTCCTGTCATGTGTGCAGCAAGAGCTGTGGAAAGTGGTTATTACTCCGCAGTCATAGGGAGAGGGGTGAGGATGGATGAGCCCGATCCTGGTCTCGCTGCAGGCCAATCATCGGGAGCTGCGAGGTCGATCAGGGGAAGAGCATCTTTCACAGTTTGAGTGTGTGTGGGCCACGGCGAGGAACGGCCAAGGCAGGCGCACGCGCACGCGCAGCTCGGGCCAACTCGAGCTGTGAAAGTTGGAAAGAGTGAGACGTCATTTGCATTCTGGGCAGACTGAGGGCACGGCGACTGTGTATTCTGCACACACGAGAGAGAGAGGGAGGGGGGATTAAGCGAAGGCGCCGTTCGAACTTGGTCGGCTGCGCCGCACTGCTTTGGTCGAGTGTGTGGAGGGCTAGGAGCGATTTGAAATCGCTTATTTGCGTTGAAATGGCAGCCTTTCGACTGCTTGGCTTTGCTGCAGCTGAGCTTGCAGCAGGCTGGACGGGCACACGTCGTCGGCTGCACCGCTCTGAGACAGGCGCCCGCTCGCTCTTCCAAGGCAGGAAGGGTGGTGACCAGAGCGAGAGTGTGAGTTCTACGCTGCTTGTCGGGTGCAGCGGTTGCGAGGCAGTGGACTGACCGCGCCCATTCCACCGTTGGGAGCCTGGACAGGCTTGCGCCGCTCGCTCGCCCGCTCGCCCGCTCGCCCGCTCGTCCGCTCGCACTCTCTTCCGCTCAGAGAGTCTCTGCCCATCGCCCTGAATTCTTCCCCGCACTCGCCGTCATCACAGACTACGGCCGCTGTATGAGTCTGCCTTTCGTCGTCACCACCACCACTCGTATCCACCTCCGCCCACCAACTTCATATTGGACCCTCGCCGAGCACTTTGGTTCTGGTCGCACTTCCGAATCACGCTAGATTCCTCCCGCACGCTCACCAGTCCCGGTGCTAGCTTGTCGAGATCCACGAATCGCTCGTCCTCCAGCGCTCTTTCGCTCAGCTCGTCATCTTCGCTCGGGATAAACGCTCGCTGCCGCAGCCACGCTCAACGCTACTCCTGCTTAAAAACGTCGACAACGTCCTAGACACCCGTTCGGATCCATCAGCATGTCTGTCGAGTGCGTACATCCATCTATCCTGCCGCTTGCGTCCTTGTCGCTCTCAGCCGCACAGAGTGCTTCCTGTCCAGTACGGCTAGCAGCTCGACCGCGACGCTCTGGCGAGGTTGCTCGAGTGCGAGAACGACAGCCTATGGATTCATACAGAGCGCAGCAGGTGGCACTGTCAATTCAGCGTTTGCAGATTCACTGACACCTCTTTGTTGGCCTTTCTCCGTTCCCGCTCCTATCGCCTCGCAACGTGCCACTCTGTCGCCTGCAGACTCAGCCCCCACGTCCAGCTGGGCTTCCCTCGTAAGTGTCCCGCCATGGCGGCTCCCATGGGCCCGAGTTCATCCAGTGACAGTCTTTGCTGACCTCTGGTCGCCCGCTTCTTCCTTCGCACAGGCCCCCTGACGCAGCTGGTCAAGCGCACGCTCACCGTGTCCAACCCCAACAACCAGCCGGTCGCCTTCAAGGTGAAGACCACGGCGCCCAAGCAGTATTGCGTGCGCCCCAACTCGGGCCGCATCGAGCCCGGCGAGAAGGTGGAGGTGCAGGTGCTGCTGCAGCCCATGAAGGAGGAGCCCCCCTCGTCGGCGAAATGCCGAGACAAGTTCCTGGTGCAGTCGACGATCATCACGCCCGACTTTGAGACGGCCTCGCTGCAGGAGATCTGGCCGGTGATCGAAAAGGAGAACAAGTCGGCGATCCACGAGCAGAAGATCCGCTGCGCCTACCTGCCCGCCACCACTGCGCCGCTGCAGGAGGAGGACGAGGGCAACACGAGCCAGCTCAACGGCGACGAGCGCTACACGACGGTGCGCGGCGCACCCAGCAAGCTCAACGGCGACGAGAGCTACTCGTCGCAAACGTACAACCCGATCGCAGCTGCGCAGAACGCCAGCGCCAACACGGACGGCTCTGCGGCTGCAAAAGCGCGCGAGGCTGCGCTGGCTGCGGGCGGTGCGGCGGCTGCGGGTGCGGGTGCGGCGGTGGCTGCCGCGCGCAACGCCGGCTCGGGCGCGGTCAACGGCGCCACGGCCGCCAACCGCGACACGTCGAGCCTGTCGCAGTCGGAGCTGCAGGCCGAGGTGGCACGCCTCAGGAAGGAGCTCGACCAGGCCAAGCGCGCCGGCGGCTCGGGCAACACGCAGGTCGCCAGCGCAGACGGCGTGCCCGTCCACATTGTCGCCGCCATCGCATTTGCCGTGTTTGCGATTACGTATGTCATGTTCTAGGGCGCCCTCCGCCCAATGACATGCTCGACGTGGGTTGGCGGCGTCTCGTCTCGCTCTCGCTCTCACTCTTGTTCATTCCCCCCCTCAAATTTGTTGCTGCCTCAATGGCGCGTGTAAACAGCTTGCTTCTCTCTTGCGGTGCAGCAGCGTGTGGTGTGTGTGGGATCTCCGAACTTTGCCCTCTCGCTCTCTCGCGAGGGCATTGTGGCGTTGTGCAGGCCACTGCATTCTCACGGGTGACGCGATGACTCGCAGCAAGCGGGTGATTGGGGCGTGGGCAAGGTGATGCAAATGTGTGGAATCTTGCGCGAGCCTTATATACATGCCGACGAACTATGGGGCGAGGGGGAGGGGAGGGTTCACTTTGTCTTGCGTGCAGCACGGGTGGTGGAGGAGGTCGACTTTTTGCTCGTCGACTTTGGTTGCGGCTTGTCGGCGGCCTCGACGGCCTTTGCAGCCGCAGCGCGGGTCTTTCGTGGCGAGACCTGTTTGTTTGGCGTCTCGAGCTTGTCCTCTGTCTTCTTCTGCTTCTTGTCTGGTGTGGATTGGGCGGCGAGGGGTTTGGAGGGCGAGACGTTGGTCCTGAGGCCGAGTTTGGCGTTCCAAATGGGCAGAGCGGCCGAGTTGCCCGTCTTGACGTCGAGGTTGTGCACGTTCTCCCAACCCCCCTTGACGCGGGAAAGGACGGCGGGCAAGGCGGCCATGAGGTTGTCGGTAAGCTGTTCGGGCGTGTGGCTGGCGAGGAAGCCGAGCTTGATAGATGTACAGCTGCCCTTGTTCTGGGTATACGTCGTCGCCTTGATCGCCGACTCCAACTCGGCCTTGAGTGCTTCGCCGTTCTTTTGGATGTTGACGGTGATGGGGTTCTTCTTGGCATCGAAGAAAACCTTGCCGCACAGGTTGGGGAGGGTAGGGACGATGCGTGCATCGGCAAGGAAGATGTCATGCTCCTGTACCAGCGCGCGCCTTGCATCGAACGGCTTGAACTTTCCCTTGAGCTTGGTAACGCCTACGACGCGGTCGATGCATCGGATGTTGTGCTGCACAAGCACATCCTTGTACTCGCGCTGCGGGTCTTTGACCAGCAAACACACCGACGTCGAACCGGGCGTGTGCAATCCGTGCGGCAGGTTGATGCGCACAGGCTTGACGTGCGAGGTCGGATGGAGCGTGTTCAGCGTCATCTGCAGATACACCGCATTGCTCGCATCGCGCACATCGCCCTGCGGCCCGTCCAGCGGCAGGTCGGACGACGAGCCGCCGTTGCGTCGCGCAATGTGCGCAGCCAGCGCACCGAACGCCTTGAGCACCTGCGCCTGGTCGATATTCGATGCGGCCACGCCGATTTGTTGGGAAGAAGGCGAGGCTACCACTGGCTTGGTGGCCACAGCCGCCGCGGTGATCTTGGTCTTGGCAGGCATCCTTGAGTATTGGTGTAGGGTGGTGGTGGTGACAGCAACGGCTGCGCCGTCAAATTCAGGGTTTGCCTGAAGGACGCTGCAGCCACCAGCCGGGGCGAAATTTGCAGCAGCGCGTTGGGCTATCCTGCAGAAAAAGTTTCGGGCAGCTGCTGTTGGAATTTTGATTTTTTTGGCCACCACCCCCTGCAACGCGAGCTTTTTTTTTTCTTCCTGCCCCGCATGGCCCACACATGCTTATGTAATACCCACCCGCCCTCCACCTGGTCCAGATCCGAGATTTGGGGCCTCCTTGCCTTGCCGTTGGCGAGCGGGAATCCGGCCCTTTCGACGCACCCACCGCACACACCAGCAATTGGCGACACATCGACATGGCGGAAGCTGCGGACACGTCGCGCATCTCGGTGGCGGCGCAGTTCGAGCCGCTTTTCGCAGAGCTCGAGGCGGAACGCTCGCGGTCCGACGCGATTCGCGAGCAGGCCAAGGAGCTCGATCGATGCCACCGCTCGCTTGCGCTGCTGCTCAACAGCGTGCACTCGACCAACGACGCCGAGAAGCGAATTGTGGACGAATCGAAAGCTATCGTCGTCAAGCTCAGGCAAAAAGTCACCGAGTTGGTCGAGTTGGTTCCGCAAGGCCAGTTTTATCGTGTAAGTTTCTGCGGCGCACCCAAATGGCAGGTGAGAAAGAGAGGCTGATATTGCGAGGGGTTTTTAGTGGTGTGACGATTTTTCGGGGGCGGTTAGGAATGTCGCGTCGAGCATTGCGCTGCTGGTGCTGCTGTGTACGGGCAGTCTGGTGACCAAGAAGCAGGTGGAACAGGTGATGGGCGTGGACGAGGGCAAGGCGAGCGTGCATGTGGCTACCGAGGATTACCTGCACGGCATCATCAATATGCTCAACGAACTCCCGCGCTTGGCTGTCAACAGAGTGACCATGGGTGACTTCCGTACCCCAGTCCGACTGGCCAGCTTTGTCAAACAGGTCCATGCGGGCTTCCAGCTGCTCAACCTCAAGAACGACAGCCTCCGAAAACGGTTCGACGGCATTAAAGTATGTATCAATCAAACCCCCCGCCGCCAAGAAGAAGAAGAAGAAGGTTATTGACAGCAGGATGGACGACAGTATGATGTCAAGAAGATCGAGGAGGTGGTGTACGATATCTCGTTGCGCGGACTCGTCAAGCACGAGGAGAGCAGCGACGAAGGGCTCGCTTTTCCGCTTCCGCCAAGCCAGGCACAGACCCTCGTAGATCAGTACCAACTCGCGGCCTGAATCCCCATCTCACCTCGCAGCATCGTCCACGCTTTGGAATCTTCCCGACACTCTCTCTTTTGATCAGCACAAGCAGAGCCGCAAAAGCCCGCACAGCATTTGGTGAAAGCCTTTTTTTTCTAACGACGAGGGGATATCTAGGAACAGAAACAGAAGCACGTCTTGGCAGAAATCAGAGCGTCTTGACACGCTCGTCCTTGCCCTCGGCGGCGTTCTGGATGAGCTGCATCTGGTCCGGCGTGAGCTGGGCGGCGATGCCGGCCCACACCTGCGGACGCTGCGTCTGGTAGCTCTGGAGCAGCGCACGGAACTGCTCAAAGACAGGCACGGCGTCCATGGGACTCTCGTAGCTCAGCTCGTCGTCCTCGTCGTCTTCCTCATCGAACTCGTCGTCCTCGTCGTCCTCGTCCAGGTCTTCGCCGTTGGCACGCGCGCGCAGCTTGGCGCGCTCGCGTGCAAACATCTCGAGATACTCGTTGTCCTCGTCCACCACGTCGCGGTCGTCGTCCACGTCCTCGTACCCGCTCGTGTCGACGTTGGGCGCGCCCGACGAAGACGCAAACGACGTCTCGTCCTCGTCGTCGTCGTCGTCGTTTTCAAACGCCTCGAGCAACTCGTTGCGCTTCTTGATCGCCTCGGGCAATCCATCGAGCTGCGTTGCCAGCGCCACCAGGAACGGTGCCAGGTTCGACTGCAGAGCCGCTGGCAACGACGCAGGCTCGAGAGCGAGAAGCTGGATGATGGCCGAGGCCGCCACCTTCTTCTCGTGCACGCGCGTCAGCTTGGGCAGCAGCGACGTGATGGCGCCAAACAGCGCCGTGGTGGCGTTGGCCGACTCGAGAACCTGCAGCGTGGCAGAGGCGTTGTACACGAGCGCGTCGAGAACCACAATGATCGACCACTTGCGCACGTCCGCCTTGGCCTTTTCGTCGTCGAGCGCGTGTGGAAGCACGGCCCCCACGATCTGCGCCAGCGCCTCATCCACCCCACCGCGCAGCAGCAGCAGGATGACGTCGGCGAGCTTGCACGCCGCCACCTGGTCGGTCATGCCGAGCTGGTCGGACGTCATGGCGGTGAGGAAGATGTCGACGAGCATCGACTTGTACTCGCTCGACTGCTGCACCACCTCGACGCCGTACGAGACGCAGTTGTCGATGGTGGGCAGCATCTCGGAGAGGTAGTCGATGCCGGCACCCTTGAAGCTCTTGTAGACGAGCGTGAAGATGTGCCACATGCCCGGCGAGATCTTCTTCTGGTAGTAGGTCAGCGTGTCCGTCAGCTCGAGGCAGTCGTCAAACAGCTCGACGCAGTCCTTCTCGATCGTGTACGCCACAATGGGCAGCACCACCGCCTCGAGCTTCTCCAGGATCTCGGGCTTGCTCTCGGCCGAGGCGATGATCTGGAAGATGGTGTTGAGGCAGCCCATGGCGGCGAAGAGCTTGTCGTCCTCGTGGTTGTCCAGGTTGAGCTCCATGGTGCCGTCGGCATCGCGCTCGGCGGTCTCGAGGTTCTCGTTGACGAGGCGCAGGTACGACTCGGCCATCTGCTCGGTGAGCTGAATCGAAAAGGGCAGCAGCTCGTCGCCAAAGTTGGCAACCACCTTGGACTTGGTGGGCGAGAGGATGTCGAGGTCGGTCTCGTCCGAGAGCTTGAGCAGCTCCTGCATGAGTCGCGCGGCGTTGGGCGCCATGGCGGCGTGCACCTCGTCGTGGTCGATGAGCGAGCCGATGGCCTCGGCGGCGACGACGCGCACGGGCAGCTCGGCATCGCCGATGCACTCCATCACGCCGCGGAAGGCGGCCTCGAGCGTGGCGGTGTTGGACCACTGCATGCCGTTCTGGTCAAAGGCCTTGACGAGGTCGCAGGCGCGGTAGCGCAGGAACTTGTGCTCGCTCTTGAGCTCGGGGATGACGTGCTGTGCAAAGAAGCCGTCGAGCATCTGCGAGACCTTTTCGTGGTTGACCATGGTGAGGTCCATGGCGCGGCAGAGGTGGAAGGCGCCGTCCTTGTCCTTGGCGCTGCGCTGCGCCGGATACGCGTTGACCACCTCGGTGACGAATTCGAGCAGCGGCATGAAGGCGCTCTTGGTGCGCTTGCTCGCAACGGTCTGGATGAAGGTGGCTGCGGAGCCGGCGACGCTGCCGATCTCCTCGAATGGGTCGAGGTTGGCGCGCACAAAGTCGACGGCGTCGAGCTCCCACATTTCGTCGTCCTCGTCGCTGAAGCAGAGGCGCGGGAAGAGGAAGGACTGCGTAAGCTGGAGCACGTGGGGCTTGAGGAGCGCCCAGGTGGACTTGGGCTTGACGCATTCGGTGAAGAACATGCAGAGGAAGTAGAAGGCCTTTTTGGAGATCCACAGGTTGGACTGGCTGTTGGCGTCGGCGATGCGGAGGTAGACCTTGAGGATCTCGGGCGCAAAGGTGGCGACAAAGTGGTCTGCAAACGGCTTGTACGTCTTCATGTCCGAGGGCAGCTGGGACGGGTTGCCGTAGCGCGAGAAGAGCTTGTTGAGCGAGTGGAAGGCCCACTTTTTGGCCTTCCACCACGGAGCCACCTCGCGCGCGTCGTCGTCGGCGGGGAGCGCCGAAGGGTCGATCTGCTTTTGGACGACGTTGAGCAGGAATGTGCCCCAGGGGACGATGGACTCGTGCGACTGCTGGTGTTTTGTGAGCTCGGTGTGCATCGAGGTCTTGTAGACTTTGAGGATGAGGTAGAGGATCTCGCCGACCTCTTGGGAGGAAGCGTTGTCGGAGTTGAGGAGGTTGTTGCCGGTGTGGAGGATGTGTGGGAGGGTGGCGGGTGCGAGCTGGTCCATCATCTTGGTGCCGTTGTTCCATCTGTAGGCGCGTACGACCTCGAGGAGCGCGCGGAGGCCGCCGTAGACCTCGTTGGGGTTTTGGCTCTGGAGGAGCTGACCGATCTGGTCCATGAGCGTGGGCCAGGAGTCGGGGAAGTCGCAGCGAGCGATGGTGCCGAGCGCGTTTGCGACGTGGACGCGGGTCTGTGCGGGTGCCTCGACGAGGGTGTTGAGGATGGTGGACTTGATCGCGTCGCGGTCGTTCTGCGGGATGACGACGACGGCGGGGCCGCCGCGGACGGGGGTGACGTCCCAGTGCCTGCGGACGCGGTTCTTGAAGTAGATGGCGGATGCCTGCCTCACGGCGAGATCTAGCTGGGAGGAGGAGACGATCTGGAAGACCGAGGAGAGCATGCCATCCTGCGACTCGACCTTTTTGAGTTCGAGCTCGGCGGCCTTGCGAGCGTTGGGGTTGGGGTCCAACGAGTGGGTGAATACCTGAACTAGCGCGTCCATGCTGGGCGTGTTGGGTGGGCCTGCCGTTGTACAGCGACGAGGCTGTGCGGCAAGAGAAAGCGGTTAGGGGGGGAAGGGGGAGGTAGAGTGAGGTGGGGAAGAAAGAGCTGCGAACCAAAATCTCGACGTGGAAGGTCGCCTCGACAAGGCCGAGGTGTGCTTTGCTTTGCTTGCTTTGCTTGCTTGGTTGCGTGTGCCGTGCCGTGCCAAAAAGGCCGGAAAAAGGGGACGAAATCGTCCCGTCGCGCTGCGCTGCGCTGTTCGCTTCTTCTGCAAGTGGGGCAAAAACCAAAAATCGACATCAAAAAAAAGAGTGTGGCGAGCTGGCCCGAGCCCAGCAGCTGGAAAGGCAAGAAAAAATTTTGGAAGAAAAATGCAACGCAGCACAGCGCACAATTAGCGGCAGCTGCAGCTGAATTTCGAGAACAACACTTTTGGCGGCTCGGAGCTTCGGAAGTCGGACAAAACGACGGCTGTGGAGTAGCCAAAGCCCATTCCGGCCGACTCAGCAGCAGCAGCCACTCGAAAGAGAAGCGCGTCGAGTCGAAGCTGCGGAAGTCGGAAGTGTCACTTTTGGCTCCTACTCGAGCGGAAAGAGCCACCGACTCCACATGAAGACCAAGCACACTCCCACCATCCCCGCCCGCCAACCTTGGCCGCACGGCGAGCCACGCCGTCATGCCACCCAAGCACTCGCGCCCTCTCGTACGCACCCTCTCCTCATCCAGCGCATCCTCCTCCCAACCTGCCTCGTCCACCCGCACAAAGAAGCTCAAGCAGAACAAGCTCGACTTTTCCTTCCACTCCACCTCCTCCTCGTCAACAGCATCGCGTCCGCTCACCAAAACACCGTCCTTCAGCCTACCATCCACCACCACCACCACCAACAATGGAAAGGAAAGGGCCAACGACACAGTCCAGCTTCATCCATCTGCACTTCCCAAAGCTGCCCTGGACGACGAATCGACGCTCCCGTATGACGACACTGTCCTGTGGTCCGAACGTCTGGCTCCACAAAATAGCGAAGAGCTCGCCGTACATCCGCGCAAGGTAGCCCAGGTGCGCACATGGCTTCAAGAGGCATTCTCCAACAAGTCCGCCTTGGCGAAGCACCGCAAGCTGCTCGCCCTCACCGGACCTGCGGGCTCGGCAAAATCAGCCACAATCAAGGCACTCGCATCGCCAGCCGACCTCGACTACGACATCCTCGAGTGGCACAACGACACACCCTCCTTCGACCCGACTTCTGCTTTCGTGCCAGGCTCCTCCTTTGTCGACCGCTTCACCGACTTCCTCTCCAAGGCGGCCAAGTTCCCTTCGCTCCAGCTCCAGTCTTCCAGCCATGCCGACACACACGAAGCGAGCGCAGATGCTTTCGCCTCTTCCTCGCTCGACACGCTCGACTCGTCAGCTGCGGCCGCCAAGCGCAACAGACTCATCCTCCTTCAGGACTTGCCCAACCTTCATCATGCTCCCACCCGCACCCTCTTCCAGGCTGCCCTCGACCAGCACCTCGCCCAGTCCACACTGCTCACCTCGCGCGGCGTGCCCAACGTGCCCATCGTCATCATTGTCACCGAATCGGCGCCTCGCGAGGACGAAGATGGCTGGGTCGCAGGCGCTTCCTCCAGCACGTGGCGCGACAGAATCGCCTCCATCGTCGATACCCGCACCGTGCTCGGCGAGCGCATTCGTCGCAACCCCGCATATGCAGAGGTGCGCTACAACCCCATAGCGCCCTCGATCCTTCTCAAGGGCCTCAAGAGAGCCTTCGACCAAGCGCCCGCTCAGCTTTTGCGGAAGAGCAAGACAAAGGCTGGTCTGGACAAGCACATCCTCGATCTGCTCAGTGCCATTGCCAACGATGCCAATGGCGACCTCAGGGCCGCGCTCAACTGTCTCCAGTTCATGGGTGCAAGTCGGCGTCAGCTCGACCACATGGCGAAAGAAGCGGCAAACAAGCCTGGGCGGCGGGGTCGCACAGGCGTCGGACGCATGCTGCCGCTCGTGGCGGGGCGCGAGAGCTCGCTCGCCTTGTTCCATGCGCTCGGCAGGGTGCTGTATAACAAGCGCGCGGGAGATCCGGGCGAAGAAGCCGCCTCCACCTCGACCAACTCGCTCGTCGAGGATGATGCCGAATCGGACAGCGACGACGATGCAGAACACGCCGAATTGCGAAGTCGGCTCCGGCGTGCAATGCAGTCGATCGTCGAGTCGGGCGCGTCCGACCAGCCGAGCGCGTGGAAGCTGCCCGCCCATCTGTTGCACATGGAGCGCGGTGTATCGCGCGTCAATGTCGACCAGCTCTGGGCCGATCTGCCCGTGGATGCATCGCTCTTCGCGCTCTACCTCCACCAGAACGCGGTGCAGTTCTGCAGCGACGTCGAGCAGTGCGAAGCGGTCGAGGAGGCGTTTAGTGCAGCCGACACCATGGCACCGCTGCACGAGCAGCTGCGGCATTCGGCCGTGGTGGCCTACTATGCGTTCGGCATCGCCACGCGCGGCGTGCTGCTCGGTCTGCCCAGTCCCGTGCCGCGCACGGGACAGAAGCTCGGCAAAGCCGCGTGGTGGGATGTGCACAAAAAGCTCGCCGAGGTCATGCGCGCTGTAGAAGAGCTACGCGCACCTGCTTTGTCGAAAAGGCCCGCGCTGGGTGAGGAGCAGGGTTCAGGCCCGCGCCTGAGGCGTACGCAGTTCGGCAACCCCGCCAGTGGTGTAGACGGCTTCGAGCGTGCCGATGCCGGGCTGGGAGATGAGGCGGCTTCGTCGGTGGTGTCGACGAGCAATGGCGTGACGCTCGTTACCGAGGTGTTGCCGCTGCTCGCCAAGATCCGGCCCGGCGGTACAGCCGAGCAGCTATGCAGGCTGCGCTTCGACCGTGCCGGCGTTGCTGATATCGCATCGAGCGTCATGGACCAGCACGACACCGGTCTCGACGCCACGGACCAGAACGAAGAATCGACGGCACAGGAGGAAACGCAGAGCAAGAGGATCAGACTGCAGGATGTGCGCGATGAGCCCGATGTGGTCGATGCGGGCGAGCTGTCGGATGATCAAATCGCCGACTTTTAGATCGGCCCCTCGTCGGTCGCGTCGGTCAGTACGCCCCCCACCGAGCAACGCCGAATGCAATGCAGTGTTGGTCGTAAGCGTTGGCGTGTCATCGGCCTTTAGTGTGCGGCCGACGGTGACCTCGTGCGCAAAGAGGTCGCTTGCACGCCAGCCGAAGCAGCGTGCAGTAGAGACCGGCGACTTTGCTTCTTTTTTAGAGCGTGGCTGTCGCCCACACTGGCGGTGCCCCACAGCTGCACGTCCGCACAACCACCTCGCTTAGCCCCCCGCCTAACCGAAGCAGCACGGTTTGGCGGTCATTTCGGGCCCGAGCAGTGGTTCGTGCCCGCTCCCAATGTCGACATAGTCTTGTTGCTGCAGGAGTGCTGCTTGACAACCAGCATTGCGCACCGGTGCAAGCGGCGGCCGCCTCGAGGCGAATGCCTCGCTTAACTGGACGAGGTAAGGCGTGGGTCGAAAAGAACAAAAAAAATTAAAGCGCTGGCCGCGGTGGTGGCGGCGGCGGCGGAGTGAATAGACACGACAAAGTCAAGGCGGTTTCGGCTCTGGAATGGTCGCCGCGTTGCGCAGGCCGACCAAGTCCATGCGACGTCGCTTCGAGAGCTGCGAAGCAGCTTTGCTTGGGCCGAGCCGGCCGCACTGCGCCACCCAGGCTGACTGTCCGCAAGGCGTTGGTCGTGTGTATATAAAGATGTTCGGATGCGGTAAGGTTTTCAGATCGCCCCCGCTCAAAGCAGGACCGTATTCGAACGCAATCCACCAAGATGAAGTTCTTGACAACCGCAGCAGCGGTTACGACGGTTCTCTTTGCGCTCGCCAGCGCAAGCAGCGATATGGAACGCTCCGCTAGCCCTGCGCGTCGTGGGGTGGCGAGCAACGACTTTATCCACGTCGACGGGATGCGGCTCAAGGATTCGTCGGGCTCGCTGCACTATCTGACGGGCATCAACTACTGGGCGTGCATGAACCTGGCGGCGGATGCGGATGCGGGTGGGTCGTACAAGCGCTTCATCACGGAGCTCGACCAGATGGCCGCGGCGGGCATCAACCACCTGCGCATCATGGCGGGCTCGGAAGGCGCCCCGACCGAACAGCCGTTCCGCATGGATCCCCCGCTGCAGCCGTCGCCGGGCCAGTACAATGAAAAGATCTTTGTGGGTCTGGACAGGTGTCTGGCCGAGATGGAAAAGCGTGGCATGCGCGCGACCATGACGCTCAACGATCAGTGGCAGTGGTCCGGTGGCTTCGCCCAGTACGTCAGCTGGGCCAATGGAAACGAAAGGTACGCCTATCCGCCCTCGTGGAACTTTACTGCGCCGCCGCAGCGGTCCGGTACACCCGGGCGTGGGTGGGGGAACTACACGACTACCGGCAGCTTTAACGAGTACGCTGCGTATGGCAACCGCATCTATACCGATAGGAATGCAGAGCGCATGTTCAAGGCGCACATCTCGCGCGTCGTCAACCGGCGCAATACCGTCAACGGCCGCGTGTACAAAGATGACCCGACCATCATGACGTGGCAGCTGGCCAACGAGCCCCAGCCCCAGAACCAGGCATCCTACCTGGGTCCGTATGAGCTGCAGTATGCGCCCAATCCGTCCGATCCGCTGCTGGGCTGGGTCGACCGCATCTCGACCTACATCCGCTCGCTCGCACCGCGTCAGCTCATCTCGGCGGGCTTCGAGGGCAAGCAGGGCGAGTGGTACTGGAAAGCCGTTCACCGGCCCAAGAACATCGACTACGGCACCGCCCACTGCTGGGTGCAGAACTGGGGCGTATACGACATGCTCAACTCGTCGCGCGCGAATCTGGAGGCGGCCAAGGCGTTTGCCACCGAGTTTGTCGGCAATACGTCCAGGTGGGCCAACGAGATCCGCAAGCCCGTCTTCCTCGAGGAGTTCGGCATGGCGCGCGACAATTGGCAGAACAACGTCGCGGCGGGCGAGTACCAGTACGCCACCAAGGCGTCGACGAACAACAAGGACGAGTACTACAAGCACATCATCGGGCTCGCGCTGGACAGCTTCAAGAGCAAGCAGGGTGGTTATGTGGGCACCTCGCCCTGGGCCTATGGAGGTGTGTACAGGCCCGAAACGCAGCAGCAGAACAAGTTCGGCATGTGGTGGGCGGGTGACCCCCCGCACGAGGCGCCGGGTTGGTACGATGTCTACGATAGCGACAAGGCCGTCGCCATCATCACGGCGCAGAAGAAGCAGGCCGACAGCTTCATTGCTGGTCGAAAGTGACCGCCGCTGCACCCTCGTACTCGTGTCAATGCCATCGCACTCAGCCAGATCGGCGCACGGTGGAAGTGAGTCTGCTGCTGAGCAATGCGGTTGAAACCCTGCGACGTCTTGCAGTGAGCAAAGGGCTGAGAAACGGACGTGAGAAATTGAGGCCGCGAAAATCCAAGCAAAAGAGGGGAACAGCAGTCTAACATTTTGGCGCAATGCGAAAGCGGGCCAAAGCAGCAAGAGTCTCCGTTCCGAGCCATGTCAGTTTCCCACCACATCCGCAGCAGCGCGATCTCAGGGTCCATCCGAAGAAAAGGATGTGCCCTTGCGCGCCTGGCCAGTGCGAGAAATTGACCACTTGAACATCTGAAATGCTGCAAAAACATGCTGGGCTCGCGTGCCCCTGCCCCCGGGGCGTCGAGCGACGCGGCGAATGGGGTAGATCGCGATGGTGACCTGCATGAGTCGACGCCACCACCCCCTCTCTCGCTCGAGCCCGACGAGCCGTAAAAGGGCTGGCTGCTGCGGTGCCTCCTGCCTCCGCGTTGGTCCGTGACTTGCGTTGTCTCAGCGCCTCGTCCGCCGCGGGTTTTCATTTTGTGGCAGCCTGTCGTCTGCTGCAGATGCTGTGGTTGCCCCCTCGAATCCGTCGGGGAATCGTGTCGATCCGGCCTTTGCGCCATCAAGCCCCCGCGAAGCCGCACGCGAGTCTCACCAGCCTCTCGCGCCCCGATCGCCAAATGGAGCCCCCAGGGATCAGCTGCTCGCGCAGGCGTCTGCCTCGTGTGCTCGCGCTTTCGCAGTGGTGTAGGATCGGGCTCATGCTGGATGCTGTCGACATGGCTCGTAGATGGCAGATGTTGGGGGCGGCGGCTCTGCTTGGTGTGGAGGAAGCAACACGCCGGAAAACGTGGGGAGCGGGCCCGGCTGTCAATTTCTGCACGCTTTCCTAAGCCAGATCGGAGGCGAGATGCAGGAGCCGCTCTCGACAGCTCGGATGCGCCGACCGCCCGATCCAGGGTCCCCCGTGTCGACTGCCGCTCTGCAGGATGTCGTTTGCCGTCCGCACTGGATTCGGCCGTGCCTTGCCCTCGCTTCGGGCTGGGCGAGTCGCCCGCTCGCTCTGCACGATGAATCACGACATACAGTGCCGGCTGCGCGCGTCGTGCAAGCCTCGTCTGGCGCTCTTTCCATCTTGGCAGGCGTCGGCTGCGTCTGTCCAGGTGGAATGCGCAGATGCAACAGATGCAGGGACCAGCTACGATCGATCGTGCGGTGTGGTGCCGAGCGTTACGGCATGTCGGGATCTTTGCGTCCGTGCACACCGATCCACAATCCACGCACCGCTTCGTCGCACCACCGCCTGTTCTGACACACGGGCGTTCGCAGCTGATCTTGTCCTATTGAGAATTGGTGGTGGGAGCATGATCATAGCAGCAGGACAACACGGACGGGGGGGGGGGGGGGCGAAAGCGAGAGCTGGATCAGCAGTACCGTAAACAAATTCGGACGGAGGCGTCGGGACCGGAGAAGGAGGCGCTGTTCGATGATGCGCCGATGGACCCAAGCTGCAGGCTGCATGCATCTCGCAACTGGACCCTGACTTTGCGCTCGCTCCCTCTGCACAAACACTCCTCCGCCGCTGCCTCTGGTCTAGCCAAGACGGCTTCAGTATGGAATCGCCTTCGGTTGCTCCGGGCACGGGCGGCGAGATGGCTCAAGTCGACTTGGCTGCGGTTGTGCCTCCGCTCCCTCGTCGCAGTGAGTGGCTCCCCGAAATAGGGTTTGGCTCGATCGAGACGCGCACCTCGTCGTGGCAGCCGTCTTGGCACATCAAGTGCAACCAATGCAATACCGTTCGTCACGAGCATGTCGACTTAGCTGAGCACACAATTGCTCTCCTCACTGGCTGTTTCGCCCAAGAGCCACGCTTGTCACTGCAAGTTTGGCTCGTCGACAGCTTCTTTTCGGCTGATCCGCCAGCAGATCCCTTGAGCAAGCTGGCCCGAGCGCAACAAAGCCTCCTACTCGGAACGCATCCGAATCGACCTTGACGCTGATTCTCCCTCTGACCGCCTGCTCGTGGTCGAGTGAGCTTGGTTGCTGCACTGTCAAGTGGCTGCGACCTTTTTTCTTCGAAGGTCACAAAGATCACACAGGCAGAGGGCAGAGGGCGGCGGGGAGCAGTATGCAAGCACCGCGGCTGTCCAGCATTGCACGGCAGCGTTTGCGGAGTTGGCCAGAATCCAAGTTTGAAACGGGCGAAGCGAGCCCAGCAGCTGACATCGCCGCCACTTCGGGCCAAAATCTGCTTTGCTTGCGTGAGCCAGATGCAACTACAGATCGACAGCCGGCCTTCCTCCCCCTCCCGTGCGGCGCTGTCAGTGCGCGAATCCAAGCCAAGATCTACAGAGATGCCCCGGTTGCCTCTGTCCGGCAGCCGTCCGCCAAAAGTGACTGTTTGTACCTTCAAACCCCCCCCCTTTCTTTTAGCCACGGGCTCTTGTGATGCAAAGGACCCTGGATCGGCCAGCGCGGTAACCTATGCGTAATGGGGACACTGCCCGCTCAGCTTACCGAGACCCAGCTCGAAGATCACGAGCTGCGTCTGCGCGCTACAGCGTCTGCTTGCTTGTGGTAAGCCCCGATCCGCCTGTGACGAGAATGGACGGCTATTTGCAGAACAGTTGTGGCGCTAAGCAGAGTGAAGGCACACGAGGCACAACAGGCAGAGACGGCAGAGAGGGCGACGGCGGAGCGGCAGCGCACGATCGAATACTGCACCGGTCCATCTGACGGACCTTGCAGCAGCCATGCAGCGAAGGCGGTAGCCGGACATGTGCAGCGCCATCACGTTGACAGCTCCACCCGGTGCATCAGATCGCGGCTTGGGGTAAGCATACACATCTGGCGCTCGCAATCAGCCTCCTCTCGTCTGGCGCCTCGCTCCTCACTCCGCCGCCGCCCCGCCCCGCTGGAATCCGCCCGCTCCTGCTGCTGCTATTGTGCCGTCGTGTCGTCCGTCGTCCGTGGCTTGGAGCCAGGAAGATCCGGCTCAGGGTCTAATGCTGCGCACGGCCCCGTCCTTCTCGACCGACGCTCGTATTCGCCATCACGTCCACACCACTGCCGCCTCACACTCTTGGTCCTCAGTCCTCGGGCTCTCATCCGTCCGTTGTCTGGTCTTGGGCGTCTGTGTCTCTCGCATTCTACCCGACCTTGCTGCTCACCCTGTGCCCCTGTGCCTTCTCGCCGCTGCCCTTCCGCCTCCTGATTCATGTGCGGGCTGGTGTGCTGAACAACTAGTGCAGAACGTGCTCGTCCTCTGCTCGACTGCACCGCCTGCACCGTCAGCCTGAGCCCAACCCGATGCCAGCTTACACATCGGTGCCGCCCAAGTGAGCGAGACTGACCATGTGCCCCGACTGTGTGCAGAGTGCTCGCCGCCGCAGCGACCTCCTCCACCTCCTCCGTCCTCAGCCGTAGAAGACGGCGCAACGCAGTCCGCTTGGCCCCGCCTCCCCGGGCCTTGTTATAAAGGCCAACACAGGCTGGCCGCATCCCCATCCTTCCTACCCCCACCAACCAGTCATCCCCCTTCACAGAGCTTCAACTCTCCTTTTTTGACCGTCACTTGACCCTTTGTACCACTGTACATTCGCTCAACCGCATCCCATCTTCTCTCTGTCCTTCTCAATCCCATCACCCTCGACCACAATGGCTTGCTGCGGTGGTTCTATCTCTTCCGACATGCGGGCAACCGTGACCGAGGTCCCCGCCTCGGCCAACGCCACTGGCCCCGGCTACAACATCCAGGGCTACGAGGACCTCAAGTACACCTACTCGTTTGTCGACAACGTCTTTGACCAGAAGAAGGACGACCTCGCCTCCTACTACCAGAAGTGGGGCCGTGTCCTCTGCGTCCTCGACGAGAACCTCAACGAGCTGTACGGCCCTTCCATCAAGGCCTGTGAGTATTCAGCCTCGAGCCGCGCAGAGAGAGTGAGAAGAGCACATTGCTGACAGGTTTCGCATTCTTTGTGCGCTCCGTGCAACAGACTTCAGCGCCCACAACATCAAGCCTACGCTCCACGTCTTCAAGGGCGGTGAGCTGCACAAGACCATGGACACCATGCTCGGCTTTGTGGACGCTATGGACTCGTTTGGTCTGATCCGCAAGGAGCCCGTGCTGGTCGTCGGCGGTGGTCTGGCGTCGGACGTGCTCGGCTACGCGTGCGCCTCGTACCGTCGCAGCACCAACTACATCCGCGTCGGCACGACGCTCATTGCGCTCATCGACGCCGCCATCTCGATCAAGGTGGGCATCAACCACAAGAAGCTCAAGAACCGCCTGGGCGCCTACCACGCCCCCATGCACACCTTCCTCGACTTTGACTTCCTCAAGACGCTGCCCATTGGCCAGACGCGCAACGGCACGGCCGAGCTCATCAAGATCCTCCACTGCACGGACAAGTACACGTGGAACCTGCTCGTCAAGTACGGTGAGGACCTCGTCAACACCGCCTACGGCCGCAACGCAACGGGCCCGGGTGCCAAGGAGCTCAAGGCGGCCGCCGACGAGATCTGCCGCAACGCCATCAAGGGCATGCTCGACCTCGAGTCGCCCAACCTGCACGAGATTGGCCTCGACCGCGTGATCGCCAACGGTCACTCGATCTCGCCTACGCTCGAGCTTGCGCCGTTCCCGCCTCTGCGCCACGGCCACGCTGTGTGCATCGACATGGCGTGGTCCGTGACGCTGGCGCACATGCGCGGCTACATTGGCGACGAGGACCGCGACCAGTGGTTCCGTCTTGCGGGCCAGGTGGGTCTGTCGGTGGACCATCCCTTGCTGACGGACGAGCTGATGCGCGAGGCCAACGAGGCGATCAAGAAGACGCGCGACGGCCTGCAGCGCTTTGTGCTCGCCAAGCCGCTGGGCACGTGCGTGTTCGCCAACGACATCACCGAGGACGAGTTTGTCAAGTCGCTCGCCGTGCACAAGGCGTACGTCAAGAAGATCGGCCGCGGCGACGGTGTGGGTCTGGACGCCTACGCGGACGCCGGTGACCTGGGCGCCGACCCCGAGGCGCTGCTCAAGGAGCGCAAGGCCGAGGCAGCGCGCCTCAACGGCGCCCACAAGTCCGAGGCGATCGCCACCAGGGCTGCGCCCGCCGCTGCCACCGCCGCTGTGGCTGCCTAAGGGGCTGCCCCAATTGGCTGGATGTGATACTCCGTATGTGCATGTTCGAACAATTATAGCAAAATCTAATCCGAAGCAAACGTGTTTCCTGCTCATCACCAGTGCGAGCGAAGTATGATGTGCGCGCTGTTCACATGTTGTGAGGCGTGGTGGGAGTGAAGTGAGGAGGGGTTGCGCTGGAGGAGGTGGGAAAGCTGTCAAATGGGCGACGGCGTTTCAATCGCGCGAGAAAGTGGGATTGGCAGCTGGAGCCGAGCCGCGCATGGACCGCGTCCGAGTGGGAATTGCTGCGAACCCTTCTCCACGCCTCACCTCCATCATACCGGCAGCGATCTCACCATGTCGAGGGCACAACCACTGTCGGCGTTCCGGCTCAACTATGCGAGCAGCTCCAAGAGCAAAGCGCACGACATTCCCGACCCGATCGGATACGTCGAGGAGGCGGTGACCAAGGTAAGCCCCTTTCAACCCCCGCTCTTCGGCTTGGCCTACATCAGCTGACCTCTGCTTTCATTTCGATCGTCAATAGAAGCAGTCGAAGTCGAAAGCGCCTGTCCAGCGGGCGGATCCGTCGGCGCTCAAGATGGCCAAGGCGTGGGAGCTAGCGTACTCGCCGGCAAAGTCGTTGCCGATGAATGCCATCATGCTCTACATGAGCGGCTCGGGCGTGCAGATCTTCAGCATGATGGCCGTCGGCATGCTCATCACTTCCCCACTCAAAGGCATCTCCGGAATGAACACAGGTAAGGTTGAACGAGACGACGTTTGGATTTCGGGACCAAAAGCGGCTGACGAGTGGCGGTGGAAACAGCATTCTCGAGGTTCGCGTCGCCGGGACAGAGTCTGCTGCTGCCCAAGGTGCTGTTTGTGGTGTGCCAGCTGGCAGGCATTGCGTTGGGTCTGTACAAGTGCTGGAGCATGGGCCTCTTGCCAACCGAAACGAGCGACTGGCTGGCGTGGAGACAGCCACGAACAGTAAGTCCCCGCACCAGATCAAAGCCAAAAAGAGAGCATAGGTTGGCTGACACTGTGAACGAATATTGCAGCCGCTCGAGTTTTCGCCGATTCATTAAATATGCCATCACCTTCGGACTCGAGTGGCGGTGCGAATGGCAGACATACCCACATAGACCACCCGACCGCCGAAAGCTTGACGGTCGAGCATTTAGAGTGTGGCCGTCGTGGGAGAGATGAGGGTCGAGCGTGGGAATGCAAAACCTAACAGTTTGCTGTTTTTTCGGTCCAACGCACGGCAATCTCGCTCCCCCCCACCCCACGCTCTGGTGAAGGGGCTGCTGGGCGCGGCTCGCATCCGCATATAACCACGCGGGGTTGTGCTCGCCTTTCCCCCACTTTGGCCGCCTCGCTGCAGCTACGAATCTGGCGCATCGCATCTTCTGAACTCTCCACCATGTCCACTGCCACACACGCCGACTCGGACGACGCCCTTCCCACCGCTGCGCAGCTCTCGGCCGCCAAAGCCACGCACGTCCTCGACAGCCACGCTACGCGCATCTCGGTGGCCTCGCTCTTTGACGACGCGCAGGCGCAGCAGTTGCCGCTGGTGCTCGTGTTTACGCGCCACTTTCACTGTGGCATGTGCAAGGAATTTGTGCGTGCGCTAGCCGAATCCTCCATCCTCACGCGTGTCGAGCTGGTCATCGTCGGTCCAGGCGAGCCAGCAGGCGTAGAGACGTACAAAGCGTCGGTAGGCAATCCGCCGTTCAAGTTCTTCGCGGATCCTCAGCTCAACCTCTACCACGCGCTCGGTGTCACCAGAAGGAATCTGGAGCTAGGAGACGCAAAGGAGAAAGTGGGCGCGCATCACAAGGTGGGCCTAACGCACAACGTCATCAGCAGCGTCATCGACCTCGTCAAGTCTGGAACCCAGGCGCTCAAGGGCGGAGACTTTAAACAGCTCGGCGGCGAGTTTGTCTTCAGCGAAAAGGGCGAGCCGGTCAGGGCGCATCGCATGCGACATACCCGAGACCACTCGGAAGTCGAAGCGCTCGAACAAGCAGTGCAGTCAAGATGAGTACGTCAACGACAGCCTCGCCGGGAATCGCAGGGTCGAACCTGCTGCCTGGCAAGGTGGTGGCCATCACGGGTGCGTCGCGCGGCATCGGGCGTGCGTGTGCACTTGCATGTGCCGCTCACGGCGCCACAGGCGTTGTGGTACACTACTTGGGTGACACCCAGACCACCGCCGAAGCCGAGTCGCTCCAGCAGGAACTCGCGGACCTAGGCGCCAAAGCGGTGCTCGTCGCTGGTGACATCTCCGACGCAACCGTCGGGCAGGCCATTGCTGATGCAGCCGAGCGCGAGTTTGGGCGGCTCGACGTGTTCGTCTCCAACGCCGGCATCTGTCCCTTTATGGGCTTTCTCGAGATGGAGGCGTCGACGTGGCGCAAGGTGCAGGATGTGAATCTCAATGGCGCCTTCTTCGCCACGCAGGCAGCCGCTCGGCTCATGAGCAAGCAGTCCCCCCGCGGAGGCAGCATCATCGCCATCGCATCCATCTTGGCGCTCGTCGGCGGCGAGTTCCAGAGCCACTACACTCCAACCAAGGCCGGCCTCAAAAGCATGATGGAGTCGGCTGCCATCGGCCTAGGCCCTCTGGGAATTAGGTGCAACAGCGTGCTTCCGGGCACGATTGAGACGGCCATCAACGCCGACGATCTCAAAGACGACGCCAAGCGCCAGCGCATGGTGGACAGGCACCCGCTCCGGAGGCTCGGACGGCCAGACGACATTGCGGGGCCCGTGGTGTTTTTGGCGTCGGACCTGGCCAAGTTCATGACCGGATCGTCGGTGCTGGTGGACGGAGGATGCTTCGTCAATCTTCAGTAGCCGTGCGTCACTGTAGAAAGTCTGGTGTGAGGGTTCAAAGCAATCTGATTCATGTCACAATCCCACAAGATGCGAGAGGGAGAGCTTGAAATATTGAATGTGAGAGCGCGAGTGGGCGGCAGCGGTGGCGGAAAGCAACACTCGCGAAACACGCGTTTGCCGCTGCTCGAATGCCCGCCGCTCAGGCCAGGCGGTGAGGCGACGGACAGAAAAAGCGCAGCCCAAACCAACACTTTCCAAGCGCGCCAAACCCTCGCTCGTTTCCACCATCTTCTCTTCTTCACACACGCACCTGGCTGCTTTCTGGATGCTCGTCGGCCCACAATGCCGGGCAACGAATTCGACGATGTGCTCACCAACCAGCCCGTGGTGATCGACAACGGCTCGGGCTCCATCAAGGCCGGGTTTGCAGGCCAAGATGCGCCCAAATGCTTCTTCCCCAGCTTCGTCGGTCGGCCCAAGCATCCGCGCGTCATGGCCGGCGCCATCGAAGGCGATCTCTTCATCGGCCGCAAAGCCCAGGAGCTGCGCGGTCTGCTCAAGATCAAGTATCCCATGGAACACGGCATCGTCACCGACTGGGAGGACATGGAGCGCATCTGGAACCACGTATACAGCGACGAACTTGAAACGCTGTCGGAAGAACATCCCGTGCTGCTCACAGAAGCGCCGCTCAATCCGCGCAGCAACCGCGACATGGCAGCGCAGATCTTCTTTGAGACGTTCAACGTGCCCGCGCTGTTTACGAGCATCCAGGCGGTGCTCAGTCTGTACTCGTCGGGGCGCACCACGGGAATCGTGTTGGATTCGGGCGATGGCGTCACACACGCGGTACCCGTGTACGAGGGATTCTCCATGCCCAATGCGATTCGTCGCGTGGATGTGGCGGGGCGAGATGTGACCGAGAACCTGCAGACGCATCTGCGCAAGGCCGGATACCACCTGCACACCTCGGCAGAGAAGGAGCTGGTGCGCGTGATCAAGGAGAAGTGCTGCTACGTCGCGCTCAACCCGTCCAAGGAGGAGAAGGACATCAAGGAGCATGAAGAGTTCAAGTTGCCCGATGGCAATACGCTGCGCCTGGGTGCGGAGCGATTCCGTGCGCCCGAGATCCTCTTCAACCCGGAACTGGTGGGACAGGAGTTCCCTGGTGTGCACCAGGTCGTCGTCGACTCGATCGGTCGAACCGACCTGGATCTGCGCAAGAACCTCTTTGCCAACATCGTGCTATCGGGTGGAACGACGCTGACGAAAGGATTCGGCGATAGGATGCTGGCCGAGGTCAAGAGGTTGGCGGTAAGAGAGATGAAGATCAAGATCTTTGCCCCGCCCGAACGCAAGTACGCAACGTGGATCGGCGGCAGCATCTTGGCGGGTCTCAGCACCTTCAAGCGCATGTGGGTCAGTGCAGAGGAGTACAACGAAGACCCAAATATCATTCACAAAAAGGTACGTCCCCAACAACCCTGCGGAGTGCAAAGTGGATGGATCGCTGATCGAGTTGCATTGTTGTTGTGGTGCAGACGTTTTGATCGAATGCCCAAATATCAACAGATACCCAAAGCATCGCCGTTCGTGGAATTCAGGGCTGCGCTTCGTACTTGCGCATCTCGGTGTCCGGATGGCTGGCGCGCAGCGCGTTGCGCATGAGCAGTCGGACTATAGACGCACACGTCCGGTGGTCAGCATATCTTCAAAGCACTGCTTTGCGGAGGGCTGAACTTACAACGATGTTCGATTGACGTATACGCGCGCTGAGGCACGATGTCTTGGAGCTGGCGCACCTGGATCTGAGACACAACACTGCCAGTCCCCCGGCGTAAGCTTTGTCCAACACATGATAGCGCTCGATTCAACTTACAAGTCGAGAACAGCAGAGTCCTCCTCCACCGTCCACGCCCTGCGCGCAGCCTGCAGCGATCAAAGGACATCAGAATCGGTCTCATGACACTGGAGCTCGGCGGTGGAACTTACCTTCTTCGATGGAGACTCGGGCGCAGCCGTATCGCCGAGCTTGGTGTCGTCGAGCTTGGTGTCGCGGCGCTTGGTGTCGCGCTCGAGCTTGGTGTCGCCGAACTTGGCGTGGCGTTTGGGTGCAGTCTGCAGTTCCTGGCTCACGCCGCGCTCGCTGGCGTTGCTGCGCGTGGGAGAGGGAGGCGACTTGACGCGCGCGGGCGAGCGGCTCGAGCTCGAGACAAAGACGACATCGTCATCGCTGTCCGAGTCCGAGTCGACGTTCATCATAGCAGCCGAGGCGGGCTTGGTAGACGTCATCCTTGCGTAGAGCGGGAGAGATGTGGTGGGAGGGAAAGTAAAGGCAGGAGAGTAATGAAGAGTGTTTAAAGGCTTGATGTGCGGGTGCGGGTGAGGGTGCGGGTGCGGGAAGCGTGCGGAAGCACGGAGCGAGAAATAAGCTCTATGTGCGGATAGCTCCCTCCGCTTGCCAACGGCGACGTGCGGAAGAGACAAGACAAACCGATGCGGAACAGCCAATCCGCTTGAGAGCCCGAGGAGCCAAGGCCCGCACACGACTAGCCCTGTGGGTAGAGAATCCTGCCACTCGACGACATCGATGACGGCGTCCGCGGCAGTGACCATCCACGACTCGGACGAGTTGCTGTGTCTACTTTTGCAATCGGTACCCTCGCGACAACACCGGCGTTTTCGCAAGCAACCCACGATGGAGACGGACGAACTCATGCTCGCGCCCGCGCTCGACAACCAGCTCGACCCAGCCAGGCAGGGAGGAGGTGGGATGCTGGCAAGGATCGGCGCGCTCTTCAGCCGCATCACGCGTGTCAAGCACGAATCCAACGAGCACCATCCCGTCGTCATCGTCAACAATAGCATCGTCGATACTCCCGTCGAGGACAAGGAGGACGAGCTGGAGGTCGAGTACATCCTGCTTGCCGACAAGTGCGTCCACCCCCGCGCTACACCAGCCAAGGGAAAGAAAGACGGACGAAGAGGTCGCTGCACGCGGCCACGCAGGCAGAGAAAAGCCAAATCCAGCATCGCTTCACCCCCAATCATCCGACACCGACCTCAGCTCAAGCAAGCTGCCAAAGCACGCAGCAAGATTCGATCGCCTGGCTTCTAAGCGCTCCAACGATCTGTGGCGACACATCAAGAGCGAGGCTTAAATACGAGCGGAGCGAAGAGCCAATTTTGTTAGAGCCGCGCAAAGTGTCGCCGGTTTTTTTTTTTTTTTTTGGCGAGCGCCAAATCGGCTATTCTAAGCCCGGCTTCAAACTCACCGTTCTTCCGGCAATCCAGTTGCTCGGACCGCAACCATAAAAAAGCGCTTTCCCCCGCACTCCTTACCCCACACTTGCAACGTCCCTCCCAACCATCTCGGCTCTCTACAATTCTAGATCGATATCAACCATGACTTCCAAGTTCACGTCTCCCCCTTCGGTTCGTGCGGACTCCAGCCCGGTGGCGCTGTCGTTCCCGGACAACTGCGATGGTCGCGTGGCAGTGATCTCGCTCAATGCGCCCGACAAACTCAACGCGCTCGGCTGGGCGGGGTACAAGATGATCACGCGCTGTCTCGAGTGGATTGCGCAGCAGCCTGAGCTGGTGGTCACCATCGTCACGGGCAAGGGCCGCTACTTCTCCGCCGGCGCCGATGTCAAGGACCCCTCTCGCACCCTCCCTCCGGAAGTAGAAAAGGCCGACCCCAACACCGAAGAGGGCAAGGCGGTGATTGGCGAGTTTTATGCGAACCGAGCCAATGCAGGACAGGGAAGGCTGGCGTCGGCGTTAAGGTCGCATCCAAAGGTGCTGATCGGTGCGATGAATGGACCGGCCGTCGGACTGTCCGCTGCGATCCTGGGACACTGCGATTTGGTGTACGCCTACGACGACTTTTTCTTCTTCACGCCCTTCATGTCGCTCTCGCTCGTCGCCGAGGGTCTGACATCGGTGACGTTTGTGCAGAAGATGGGCCTCGGAAGGGCAACAGAGGCGCTACTCGAGGGACGGAAGATGCTAGCACCCGAACTCAAAGAGGCCGGGTTCATCACCAGACTCTACACCAAACCCGCCGGCTTCGACGGTAAGGACAAGCTGGCCACCCCGCCGATTTTGGACGATGTGCTGGCCAACGTGAGGGAGAAGATGCTGCCGCCCAACGCAAGCCCCTTCTCCATCCTCTACACCAAAAAGCTCCTCAGCGACGCCGCGTACAACTACCAGGGTGTCGACGCCGCCAACAATGCCGAGCTTGTAAGTTTCCCCGGCCCCGCCGATTCCCGCAATCCTGCTTGGCATCGCCGTATTCGACACGCGATACTGACGACTGTTTTGTTTGCCTTGTTGGGTTTTAGAAAGGCGCCGAGATCGTGTTTGCCTCCGGTGCGCCCCAGAAGCGCTTTGAGCGCATCGCCGGCGGTGCCAGGCACAAGCTGTAACCCCCTCGTCCTCTCCTCAGTTGTCGCTCCTGATCCAGAAAAATTCACATTGTGCAAGGTCACTCTCGAGTGTGTGTTTGTGTAATGTCAATTGCATTGGGGGTGGGGGGAATCAGCGACGATTGCGCGAGTCTACGCCGGTGCTGCCAGCGCCGATGCCGCCGACCTTGTTGACGGCCGCCTCGTTCTCGTCGAGCCCAGCTTCGGCCCTGATGCGCTCGATCTCGTCGAGGATGGGTTTGTACTCCTGGTACTGCTGATCGGCGAGCGCAAAGCCGCGCTTGCGCATCTCCTTGCCGCGCAGCTTCGGATCGGCTTCCATGGCGACGGCCGCCCAGTGCGGCTTGGTACGCTCGTAGAACGCACGCAGCTTCTCGCCCGGTTGCGGCGTCGACATGACTTCCTGCTCCGTCCGCGCAGAGTCGGCTGCCACACCCATAAACGCCTGCGCTTTGGCGCGCAGTGCTTCGCGCTCAGCCGCGCTAAGTCGTGCGTGCCGCGCAGCCTCGTCGTCCGAGTCGGCCTCGTCGAACTCAAAGCCCTCGGGAATCTCGTCACCCTCTTCACCCTCGGAATCGGACTCGCTAGACTCCGAGTCAGAGTCGGAGCCAGAGTCAGAGTCGTCCTCGGACTCGGATTCGGCCCAGTCGAGCGCATCGATGGGGCAGTCCTTGAGACACGTGAAGCGCTCGAGCTTAGTCAAGTCGAGTGTGTAAAAGTCGTCGAGAGTGTATTCGCGGTTGCCCGCCTCGAAGATGCCGCCGTAGACGTAGAGCGTGTTGCGCTGTACGGCCAGCATCACGTTGTACCGCTCCAGCGGGATCGTCTTGAGCGGATCGTCGGGGTCGTCATCGTCGTCCTCATCGGCGCCATTGGCGGCCGACACTTGGTTCTGCATTCGCAGTTTCTCGGTCGACTCGGCAAGATTCTCATCGTCGTCACGATCCGAGTCGCCGTCGTCATCCGAGTCTTCATCCCTTCGTTGTTGTTGTTGCTGCTGCTGCTGCTGCTGCTGTTGCTTCTTCTTGCGCCGACCTCCGCCGGCCTTCTTCTTGCGCTTGAGATTGAGACTGATCCAACGACCGGTACCTGGTAGTTGGTAGCCGTAAAGGTCTTTGTGGAAGGTGCTCTCCATGGTCTCTTCGTCCGCCTCGGTATCTGTCACGCCACCAAAGAGGATGCCCATGCTCTTGGACTGCCAGAGCGCCATGGTGCATCCGCTTCGCACCGGATTGGGTGCATATCCCACCTTGCGGCGCTTGACCCAGTCGAGCTTTGTAAGATCTTCGTCCATCTTGAGGAACCACGTATCCTCGAGCGCTACTCCCTGGGTGCGCTGACCCTTGACGTACTTTTTGCAGTATCCGCCGTGCAGAACGATGCCTTCTGGGCAGGAGAGCAGGCTGAAGCCAGATCGCGGTGGGGGCCGGCGTAGATCGTTCTGCTTGATCTCTGTCCACTTGAATGTATTCTGGGTGTCGAAGATCCAGAGGTCGTTGAGGTACTGTGTCTTTACGCCCGTGTCGATGAAGCCGCCAAAGAGGACGAGGTAGTGTTTCCAGAAGGTCATGCGGTGGCCACTGCGCGCCGAGGGTCGAAGCTTGGTGTCGATGCGCTCCCAGGCTTTGGTCTCGATGCTGAATGCCCAGAGATCGCGGTAGTGGTGGAAGGCGTTTTGGCGTGCGCCTGAGAATTCGCCGCCAAAGAGCCAGAGCATGCCGCCTTGGGCAGCAGTGGCAGCGACCTGGTGCGCAGATCTTGGGCCGGGCTGAGTTTTGGAAGCGTAGGTTCGCCACTCGTTCTTGTCAGGGATGTAGCGGTACATGTCCTGGTAAAACGAGACGCGCTCGCCGTTGAAGTACTCGCCTCCGAAGAGGTACAGATCGTTTCCTAGCGGGCATGGGGTGAAGGTGGCATTGGCTCGACGGGAGGGTGGCCCACCGACTTTTTCGTCGGAGACTACATGCTCTTGCTCCCACTGCTCGCGGTAGCGCGCGAGGAGCGCATCGAGATCCTCTTCATCGTCTTCGACCGCAGCGCCCTTCTTGCCAGGCTGCTGCTTGGACGAGGAGGAGGATGTGTTGGTCTTTTGCTTGGCGGCTTGCTTGGTGAGCTTGCGCGTGGCCTGCTTCTCGGCCTTTTCCTTCTTGGCGGCTTTGGCGGCCGCTTTTCCGGCAGATGGCTTGCCCTTCTTGCCCATCCTGAATGCCAAGTACGCGGAGGACGAAGATGTGTACGAGTCGAGTGGGCAAGAATGATGTGGGTGGGGAGAAAAAAAAGGGATGATGAAAAATTGCCCGAAAGCCGAAGCGGTCGAGCTGATTGCGGGTGTGGAGGCCGAAGCTCGCCAAACGCGTGCCGAACCCACTTTCATGTCGGGATCAGCCTGTCAAGCAAGCAAACACTCGGGTGGGGCTCTACATTGTATGCAGGCAGGCCCAAGATTCTGTAATGCGTTGCCGAGGCGGCTAATCTACATGGTTGCAGCAGTGGGCGCTAGAGTGAGGTATATCGAGACGACGATGGCGCTGAGGGCCGGGAGGAGGAGCGCCTCTGCGCCAAGCCGGTTGGCGGTCGAGGCGGCGTTGGGTGCGGTGCTAGACGTGGCTGCAGGGGATGAGGATGTTGATGTGGTGGTACTCGTGCCGGTGCTGGTATTGGCTGTACTCGTGGAGGATGCAAGCACCCATGCGATTCCGCCGGCGACGTGGCCGCGGAAGAGATCTTGTGCCCATGTGGAGTTGTCGTGGCCCAAACTGGTGAACCACGAGCGACCCGGCCCGCCCGAGACTTGAATGTCGGCACCTCCTCCGCCCTGCACGCTAGGATCGGTGGCAGCGTTGGTATCGAGGAGAGCGCCCTGCCTCCACCAGGCGAGAGGATGTGGGGCTGGGCCATTGGTCCCATTGCGGAATCCCTGCGGGTTTATGCCGCCGTCCTGGTAGGCGGAAGCATTGGAGACGAGGATGTTGGCGGGCGAAGGCAGCTGTCTGGGGTCGGAGCGGAAGTTGTACATCTCCTCGTAGATGGTGAATCCGTCCTGCGGCCACCTGGAGGTGGAAGGATGGGAAGCATCGGTGGCGCGGACGGTGACGTTTTGGATCTGCGGGTGGTAGTCGAAGAAGGCGCCGACGAGGCGACCGTAGAAGGGAGCGCCGAAGAGAGTTGCTGCAGCCGAATGGATGCCAAAGTAATTGCCGCCTTGCTGAACGTAGCGCGCCAAGTTGCGCAGACCTCGGTCGTCGAGCACGGTACCTACGCCGGGCGGGTCGACGTCGGTGGTGCTAAGGAAGCCGATCGCATGGAACTGGGCGAGGAAGGTGTAGTTGTGGAACTGGGTCTCGTCCTCCGAGTTGACGGTGGTCCATCGCATGTTAGCTATGGAGGGGTCGATGGCGGAGGAGGGGAGGGCGAGCGAGCCGTCGCCGAGCGCGGTGATGGTGCGGATGCCAGTGGGGATCGAGTCGTGGCGGAAACCAGCGGTCTTTGTGTAGAGCAGGATCTGATGCTGCTGCGCGTTGGCCAGCGTACACAGCGCAAGGAGCGCCAGGCCGAAAGCGATCATACCGGGCGATGGAGATGGATGGCGATGGTGATCGCCTCGGCCAGTGTGAGTAGTGAGCGCGTCTTTGAGCAGCTGCCACTGCCCGACTCGGCTAGAACGGGCAGCTCGAGCAGCACCGCCAAGCCTTGTCTCGACCAACTAACTCGCTCGCTCACTCAGGCTCAGTCACAAAGCTTGGGCGGCGACCCCCAACGCAGGAGCGCTTCCGAGCTTCTTTGCATGCCGAGCTGAGCTGAGCCATCAGGCACACGACACTGCTTTCCTGTCACTCTGTCACTCTGGCCATTCGAGTCGCTGCTCCGAATGCATTGCAGTGATTGCTTCGGCACATCCGTCGGCTTGGCCGCTCCGTTCCATGCCAAGCCAAGGAGGCCTGCCTGAATCGGCGCGCCACACCCAAAGAATGCAGCATGTTAGACCGTGCTTTAGGACTGCCGTACGAGTGATGCATGGAATCGAGCGCGTTGGAAAAAATTTCGAATCGGCTGAATTTCTGAGATGCTGCGTCGGTTCGCGCCCGCGTTCGAGTGGAGTTTTTTTCTCTGCTGCTCCTCTTTTTTTTTTTCTCTCTGCTCGAGTTGAGCCGGGACACGGAGGTGGGTTTTGGGTGCTGCACTTTCGCTTTCCACGCTCTCTCTCTCTCTAACGCCGCAGCTCGTTCGAGGTTCGAGGTCGGAAACCCTGCATCGCCTCGCCTTCAATCTCCATCTCAACACCATCATCGTATCGACACACTGCACCTTCATCTCATAGGCCCTCCTGCTGCATACGCACCTCTGTCCTCTGCCGGGCGTCGCACTCGCCATGACCCCTCGAGACCCTGTATACCCAGCTTCCAACTCGGCCCTGGACGACTTTCCGGTCCACGCATACACCAACTCGCACTCCCACGCCTCCGCCTCCGCATCGCCTCACGTCATGCAGTCCTACTCGCATCTCTACGAACCCATCAACCACTCCTCCGCCTCCACCTCGCCCCATCCTTCCTCACCCGGTGGCATCAACATCCCTTACGCCGGCTCGCCTTCCTCCACCTCCATCCCGCACAACCTCTCCTCCTTTGGCGCATTCTACATCCAACATCCAGCAGCCACCACGCCCACCCAGCCCAACCATGCTTCCGGCAGCACCCATCATCACCACCACCACCTCGACTCCTACGCCAGCTCCGCCAACACCCCGCATCAGCACCTCTCGCCCAGCGCAGATCACCACTCCTCTTCCAGCGCTTCCGTAGCCGCCTTCTCCAATAGCGGTCGTCTCAGCTGGGCAAACTCGCCCGCAGACTCCTACCACGGCGTGCCCTCCAACGCAACCACACACAGCAGCGGCGCAGAGAGCCACTCGAGCTTTGCCAACCACAAATATCCGTGGGACCTCAACTCGACATCCCTCCGCTCCGACGCTCCGCCGCACATTGGCTCGCCCTACTCGGCATCCGATCTGCTCCATCCCGCCACCGCCAGCGCCCTCGGCTTGGATGACGATTCGGGCTCCGGTGGAAACGTCCGTCCCCGCGCACGAAAGCGCACACGCGCCGAAGAAGAGCCGCGCTCCCGTCTCTCCTCGTCTAGCCGCAGCCGCACCCGTCCGCGCATCCCGAGCGCACTCTCCAACGCAAACAGCCCCGCAAGCGACTTCCACCACTCCATATCCTCCTACCACCCCGATCCCGAGGACACCGACATCACCGCATGGATCAACGCAGGCGACGCAGAAGACTTTGGCGCATCCCACGTCGGCGCCGCAGATCACTCGCGTCTCTGGTCCTCCTTCGGCCCAGGCATCACCACCGACGTCGGCCACGCCAGCCCTTACCATGGCTCCGCATCCGCATCCGCTCTGCCTGCCTCGCTCTCCAACTCGCGCGCACAGTCTGTCGTCGGCTCGGACGAGTTCGGCTACCCCGCCTCCTCGGCACTCCATGCAGGTCCCTCCAACCTCGGCCTCGTCTCGGTCCATGGCGATGTTCCGACAGCCGAGGCTCAGACCGAAGGCGCGGCGGACGAAGAGCCTGCCGAGGACGAACCGCTCTACGTCAACGCCAAGCAGTACCAGCGCATCCTCAAGAGGAGAGCCACGCGTGCGCGCATTGAGGAACAGAGGAAGAAGGAGTTCCTCGCACACATGCACGCGCGCGAAAAGGCGGGCAAGGAAGACGGCCTCGACGAAGAGGGCAAGAAGCCCTACCTGCATGAAAGCAGACACAGGCATGCGGTCAGGAGGCCCCGTGGGCCCGGTGGCAGGTTCTTGACAAAGGCCGAAATGGCTGCCGCTGCCACCTAGCCCACGAGCCCCCTTGTCTATGCATCTGTACTTTATTGTGGCCCCCAGCAAATGCTGCTTACCGTTTCGAGCCGTCTTGGGCCATCGCTCAAGAGGCTGTTGTATTCTCTCATCCTTTTCATTCCCAAAAACCTAATCGAGTGCCACTCATACCCCGAATCAAACCATTGTCCAGCAGTGCTCAGCAGCGTGAGTGTACGCACGCCGAGATGATTCAACGAGCCAGTGCTGGGCCACTGTGATTGCGCTGCCGTGGCCGCACAACCAAACAGCGTCAGCGTCGTTCCGCCAACACACAAAAACACGTCTTGGTGTGCGAAACCAAAGCACGCGCGGTCGCAGATGTTGGTCAGAGACATGATCTCGGTCTTTGGGTGCAGGGTACAAATACAAAATGCTGCTGATGTTGCAAGGGAATGGTGGTGACTGGCGGCAGGGCAAAGTGAATCAGTCTCGCTGCGACAGAATCGCCTCCTTTCGAGCTGCTTTTGGCTTCTTCTCTCCGGCCTGCAGGAAATCAAAGATGGTCAGGTCAGCGCTGTGTACCAATTCGCTAGCACTGCGGGCCAAACTTACCTTGGAATGCTTCCTCCTGTTCTCCTCCTTGTTCTTTCTTGCGTCGATCATGGTGGTCTTGAGTCGCTGCGCCTGCTTGATCGCCTTGGGCACGTGTCGCTGTTTCTCGATCTTGCTCACCTCGCCCACGCCGCTCCACTTCTTGCGCAGGCTCTCGGAATACTCCCTGCTGGCCATCTCCTTGCCGCTGAGCATGCCGAGCTTTTCGCTAGCGCGCGCCTTCCAGATGCGCAGGTTGCCGTCGTCGGAACCGCTGAGCACGAACCTGGCGTCCATAGAGAAGGAGGTGGAGAAGATGCGCTGCATGCGCTTGGTGTGGTAGACGTCGCGCGAGTGGTTGCCCTTGCCGTACTCCCAAATGCGCAACGTACGGTCATAGGAGCCGCTGACCAGCTCGGTACCGGTGGGAGAGAAGTCGACCGACATGACCGCCGCAACGTGGTCCTTGTAAACCTGTGTTGCCGAGTTGAGGTGACGCATGCTGCAAACAAGAAGAGGATGGATTAGGATCGAAGCTTTGTGGAGGCCGTGCAAGGAAAGGGCGACTTACTCGAATGTGTAGACATTGTGGTCTTCGCTCGCGACCGCGAACACGGTTGGCTCGGTAGGGTGCCATGCGATGTCGTTTGCGCGCATCTGTTTTCAAAGGCAAGGATGTCGGTAATCGTGTGAGTGAAGAGAAGCCTTGGCACTTGGTAGGCGGACAACTCACCTGCATGATCATCTTGGTGAGCGGCTTTCCGCTGCGCAGATCGTAGAGGACGATGCCGCGGTCGCTGCCTGCACTGGCCAGCACTTCGCGTTCGCTGAGGTTGAATCTGACGACGTTGATCGCGTCGGGACCCCAAGTCATGGAGAGCAGAGGGTCTGACGAGCCACCTCGTTCGAGGTCCCAGGTCTGGATGTTGGACGAGGCCGAGGCGAAGACGGCGCTGGTGGCGTGGTGGGTGAGCGAGTTGAATGCCGTCTTGCCGCTGTACACGGTGAGAGGTTCGCTGGGGGGTACATCCTTGTCGCGCGTGCTGAGAAGGCCACCCCTCCTGAGGCTGCCGCCGGTGGTCAATTCCATGTCGTCATTGTCATCGTCGTCGTCGTCTTCCATGGCGTTGAACGTGGCTTGCCCGAGACCATCGGGACGGGGATCCGCGTCCCAGACCTTGACCGTCCTGTCGGTGGAGCACGAGAGCATCCTGCGCCCGACCGACGAGTTGCCGGTGGGAGACATGAAGGTCAAGGGCGAGATGCAGATGGACTGGATGATACCCGAGTGTGCGCGCGGGTAGACGTAGATGGGCTTCTGACGTGCTAGATCCCATAGACGAATCTCTCCGTCGCCACTTCCCGATGCTACGACGTTGAGCCGGTTGGTGTCCTTTGCGATCGAGTAGATGCCGTCGATGTGACCCTCGAGCGCACCGACGAAGGGCTTGGCAAAGAGGCGGTCGAGCTTGGCGGCATTGACGGCCCGCGTGTACTCGCGTGGCTTGTCGAAGGGATGGAGCGCCGGATCGAGGTTGCGAGAGAGCGGGGCGGGATCGCCCTGACGAGCGGGGGCGTGCACGTCGAGAGACCTCGACAGAGCCTTGATTTTCTGTGGTGGCGAAGACGCGACATGGCTGGGTCAGTGGGCAGAACGCAGAAGTGGCTGTGCTTATTGGTACTTACCATGACGAGTAGCTGTCTGCGCAGTCGATGTCGGTCGCTGAGAGGGCCACCGATGGATGTAGGTGATGAGGAGGGGGAAGAGCTGAAGCGGGTCCGGCAACCTGGCTGGGTGGAGGCGCCTCTCTTTTTTCTCGAAATCAAAAATCCACCTTTTTTGGAAGGGGTCCAACGTGCCAAAAATTCTGGCCGAAGTGCGGCTGCCCAACTGCGGCTGCCCAACTGCTGCTGCAGCTTCGGCGCGGCCTTTTTGCGGAATTTTTTTGGAGAGATTGCTCGTGCTTATGTAAGCATCAGCTTCATCCGCTTTGACTTTCTTCTCGCTGGGCCTCTCTTCCTCGACTACGCCTTTGCCTTCTCCACCTTCACCAGCGTCCACAGCCTGGATGCGAACGGCAGCAACAGTCTAGGTCGCCTCTTCGTTGGCTTACACTGCATCGTCAGCCATCATGCGCATCCTCAAGGCGCGCTCGGCGCTGTTGAGCGACTTTGAGGTGCTGCATGTGCTCAAGGAGATGGAGAGCGAGCAAAAGGCGCGCGTCAAACCCTCTACGCAGACGCAGGAAGGCGAGCACAAGATCAAAGCAGAAGGCGACCAGCCCGCCCACGGCGAGGAAGACGACGTGTGGCTCTCCAACGTGCCCGAAAATCTGCGCACCATCCAGTACGAGACCATCTCGTCGCTCAGCCAGACGTCGCGCCCCTGCGCGCATCAGCAGGCCGAGGCCATCGCCGCATTCCTCGACGAGCTCAAGACGCGTGGCTACTCGATCAACGACTCTGAAGCCAAGCGCGGCGCCCTTGGCCTCAACCGCTCCGAGCGGCTCCAGATCGTCAACCACGCACCGCAGAGCGTCGTTGAGCTTCACACGCTCGTCGAGGAGCTCGAGGAACGCTTCCATCCACATCAGATCGAAGACCTCATCTCGCTCGTACAGACCTACCTGCCCTTCCGCTCCGATATCAATGCTCTCGCCGCCGAAGGAGCACAGGACGACCCGGATGCGATTGCAGCAGCGCACATGGACACGGACGCACACACCGCCGTCGGCCAGATCAGTCAGTTCACCGGTCAGGTGGCTGCAGGCGCCGATCTGGGCGATCCACAGGGTAGCGGACTAGCTCAGGTTCCCGAGCCGGATGAGGAAAGGCAGGTGGCCGATGTCGAGTACGAGGAAGACCCCGACGTCGAGATGGACGAAGACGATTTCGTCCACGAAGGTCTCGGCGGAGGAGGCGTAGAGGAAGCCGACCCAGACGATTAGCACGCAGCTCGAATCGTGTATTTGTACCTGCTTCCAGCCCAATGTGCATTCAAAAGATACCCCGAACGTAGTTGCTGGATTCGTGCGGTTGCGTCTCTACTCGTCGGTCATTTCTTCGCTCTGTCAAATCAACGAAAGGCCAAAGATGCGGTCAGCTGCGTCGGCTATGTGAATGCTGCGTCAGGCCCGCAGAAGTCTCACCTTGAACTCGGCGTCTTCGTCGTCGTGCTCAGCCGAAGCAGCCCCGGAATCGAGACCCGCTTGCTTGAGCGCCTCTTCCGACGTGTAGTCGAGCGGTGCGTTGCGTCGGCGCCCCGTGTAGACGATGTTCGAAGGGTCGATTTCGGCGAGCTCCTCTTCGTCCTCGATCAGTTCGGCAAGCTGAGCAAAGCAACAGTGCAAAGTCAGTAGACTTGGCCACATGCGCGTGTTATTCTGCTGCACTCACCTCGTCGTCGTCGATGTTGAAGTCCTCGTCTTCCTCTTCGTCGTCTTCGTCATCGTCATCGTCTTCCTCTTCGTCGTGGTCTAGAGCGTGTGCGAGAGTATCAAAGCAAAGCAGATCGTCAGTAGAGTTTTACAAGGCCGTCAACTGAGGTCGTCAGATGCTCACCTGGCTCCACAGCCCTCGCCTTGCCCTTGCCCTTGTCCACCGCGGTGGGCTGCTGGTGCTCGTCTTGGCCCTCTGCGGCAGCGGTGTTGGTGATGTTGCTGGAGAGGTAGCGAAACAAGAGTCAGCGCTGTCGTAAGATTGTGTAACAACATGTGTGGATGTAGACGCACTTGGTGTCGCTCATGCTGGCGTCTCGATGCTGGTTGGTGGTGAAGAGGATGGGGAGCCAGTCCAGGGTCCTCTTTTTCGAGCTGCTGCGCTTTCTTCTTTAGGACGCGTCGCGAGCCGGTTTCGACCAACACCCGAAAATGCTGGGCTCGAGGTGCCGAAATGAGCTCAGAAAATGTGGAGTGTTGGTCTCTCTCTGGCTCGCCTCGCAACTATCCTTTAGCCCACCAACTCGCTCCATCCTCTTCCACCACACCAGAGCCGGATCGGCCATGGAACCACACGATGCACTTCTTATTACCATCCACCACACCCTAAGCGGATCTCGTCATCACCATACGGCAAACATTGCTACACTCGCGTAGCTGGCGGTATGCTCGGTCTAGCCTCCCTCTCCGACAGCCATGTAGTTCAGCTGTACGAATGGGCCGAGAGCAGCCCTTCGGCAGTGCTCGCTTGCACCTGTCGACAGATAATCCGCTTGCCCACCATCCCGCACTTCTCGCATGCGCTTGGAGGTACGTCGTCCTTCTCATCCTCGGCGAGCACTGCCACAAAGAGCGCTCACCTCCCATTCTCACGTTCTCTCTTCGAGCAGGTCAGAATCTCTTCCTCCATCATCAAACACCAGGCCTGTTCGCCCATGTCTGCGGTATGATCGTCGGCGTCCAGCCCAAAGACGACCACGTCGCTTACGAGCGTAAGTCCCCGCATTGCTTCCCGCATTTCGCAGTCGTCCTCATTACTCACATCGCACTCTTTTCCACGTACTGCAGTTGACGATGGCACTGCCATCCTGCGCATCTTGGTGAACCGCAAATCGATTCAGCTCGACAAGACGTTACACCTTCCACCAGCGCCCGATCGACCCTCCGGTATTCCGGAATGCTACCGCATGCCGCCGCAACCAAAATCAAGTCGCTCCGGCTACGGTGATGCGTCCAGCTCCAGATCCTCGCTTTCGCCGCCCCAACCTCGATTCAACGTGGCAGACATCGTCACGTGCGTGGGCAGGATACAGATCGCCCGCAACGGCGATCGCTTCATCGTCGCAAAGAAACTGACCATTTCTCGAGACCTCAACGACGAGAGCCGACACCAAATCAAAGCGGTCGAGCTCGAAAACAACCTCTACCGCCAACCTTTCGACTGGAACAGAGTTCAAGCTGATACCAAAGCGTCCCTCACTACCCAGGCGACCAGAAACAGTCTGTTGAGGCCGTCTGCCAGGTCGCTCCTCACCGACGCGTCTTTGGAAGAAGGCGTGGATGTGCTGCCCTCGCTCGCATCACATCGCGACAAACATGAAGGCATCTCAGACACTCGTCTTACTCGAGACGAGGCACGAAAACTATTGGCGAGCGACACTCCCTCGTCGCCCATCGCATCCTCGTCAGCTGCTATCCCCGTCCGACCGCCCTCCTCCGGGACCACCCGTCGCAAGCTGCGCAGCCAGGCAAAAATTCCAGATCACAGCTTGACCGAGTCCTACTTCCAGCTGCAGCTCCAACACCACGTCGTTCAGCACTATCCGCACCGCCCATTCGCCCTTTCTGACCTCGGCGCCAGTGCAGATCTGGCGTCCTTGGCGCATCGTCTTGTCGATGCCCGCATGCAGTCGCGCAGCACCACCCGCCGCACACATGCAACCCACTCTGCTGCCCAGGCCAGCACCGAGCAGACAGCAGACAAGATCCGCCGTCTCTTCGAATGGGCCCTGCGCAAGATGATGCATGACGGCTTCATCGTCCTCAACGCCTCCACCGGGCCAAAGTCGTCTAGCAGCGGCGCGACCAACAGCGATTCCTACCGCCTGGTCACTCCAGAGTACCTGTCTGGCTTCCTGCGCGACATCATCGGCCCTGTTGGCAGTCAACCACCGCCTGATCACCATCATGTCCTGGCCAGACTGCGCTTCCTCGACGAACGATTCCGATTCCTCAATCCACCCGTCGTTCAGGACAGCATCGCCGTCTACCTCGATCGCTACGCACCAATCGTGCTCGATTAGCCCAATCACATCAAGAGTCGCACTGAAAGTGTTTGCCGCTCATGTTTATACAGGAGATGCCCAGTCTCATGTCGTGAAGGTATGCGTGCACGCGATCCAATGCTTGAGGTAGTTTCGAAGTGAGCCGATCGCCGCATTGAGAGTGGAATGACGAAAGAGGTACGATGCATGTCGATCGGCGCTCCCTTCTTCAGTTCTTCCACAAGGCAAACGCATGATCTGCGCCACGGCTCTCGCAATCCGTGAAATTTCCGGTTCGTGATTGCGGATCCATCAGGTCGGTTGTTCGGAACGTCAGTGCTCCGTGCGGGATTCCACCAGATGATGGAACTCGCCGGCTATGGTGAATGCTAGAGTAGCAGAGGCGTGTCTCGGATAGGTCCTGTTCATCTTGCATGAGCATAGCGATCTTGCGATTTCGTTAAGCGTGATGGTCAGGGCTGGCTCGAGAGCCGTTCCAAACGAATCGTGGTTGGCCGGCAACCTTCAGCCCTTCAACCCGCACACGACACGCGAACCATGATTCAGGCTTCGTGTTGGCGTGGCTGCCCAGAATGGCTGCTTGATGCACCAAGGCATTGGTGACGATGAGCCACTCGTGCTGATTGCCGGCTACGAGGGTCAAACAGACATGAACCATTGGTCATCTGCGTGGTGATCGTTCATCACGGGTTATGGATCGTGGTTCATCGTATTGAAGAAAATCGTCACGTGCGTCCCCGGACGTGCCAGGGATCTATCCAGCGTGGCTTAAAGATTGTTGGCCCCTCTCGGCCAGATGGTTCATCCTTCTGGCTTGAGTTTTCAGGTCCAATAACATCACTCGGCACCTACTCAGCACATCCGCATCCCGGCGCATCCCGGTATCGAACAAGCACAAGGCACTAGTTGCTTGCAACGGATCCTGCCGACTCAGAAGTCACAACCGTCTTTGACGCGCATGATGACGAGGGTGGAACGGGATTTATGAGAGGCTGTGTGATTCATTGTTTGGGATCGAAGCCGTCGACCAAAGTATCGCGCATGGGTAAGGAAGCGGCGACACAATCATATCCTAAAAAGAGGGTGGGGTGGCGATGGTCAGCCACCCAGCAGCCACCCCGGGTGGCTGATGGGTGGCTGCTAATTACCAGCCACCCTGGGTGGCTGCTGGGTGGCTGATCCCAAACAGCCACCCCGGGTGGCTGATGGGTGGCTGCTCGTCGCCAGCTCGCGCTTTTTTAGGATATGATTGGGCTGCTGCTCGAGCGCATCGGCAAGCGCCAGACGGGTGAGGAAATCCAGTGGCACGGGGCCAAGTTTGAGCGTGCGCAGGAGCATGAGGCAGACGTCCTCGGCGGAGAATTGGCGTCTACGCTTGTCTGCTCAGTGCAAAGAAAGCGGCCAGAGCCTGCAGCAGATGCGCAGCAGATTGTGACCCACTGACAAGGCGCACATGTGCACGTCGGGCGAACGATGGAAGAGACGCTCAATCTTGCAGCGCGTCTCGCGGCCGACAAGCGCGTTGATTGTGATGGTCGTTGTCGGTAGGGTCGCTGTCAGTGTCGCTGGCAGTGCTGCTGCGATCGCCGTCGTCTGAGGCGTGGAAGTCGCTGCCGCTGTGGTTGTCGGTGTCGGTCCCTTGGCGGTCCAAGGCGTCTTGAAGTGTGAGCAGCTGAGTTTTCAGCGCGCGCTGGGCGGTGTGTACGGTGCTAAACATCAATTACACCGCGTTCTTCGAGACGGGCCATCTGCGGAGCTGGGGGGTTGCCAGACTGGTGACGACGGTGACGATGGGCATGGCGTCGAGGCGAAGGCTGAAGCGCCAGTTGGGAAAGGGGGCCTGGTCGTTGTTGGAGAAGATGGTGTACTTGAGGTGCTGGCCAGGCTTTGTTGTGTGGCTCCAGTCGATCTCGAGGGCAAGTGATGCGAGGAGAGGGGGCCGTACGTCTGGCGACGAGCGACCATGTAGGTGAAGATCTGGCTGCTGGCGCACAGTACGCCATCTGTTTTGGTGCTGATCTCGATTTTGGGATGCCGGAGGGCCTGACGCAGATGGATGGCGAGCAAGCTAGCATTCCAGAGCTGGTCGGTGCAACATAGGGTGACGATGTCCTCGTCAAAGTGGAGGAGGACATACTCGAGGGGCCTGAAGAACGCCTTTGGGCACCGTTTCGAGAAATGTTCAATGATTTAAATTCAGGATTAACTTATGTCGATAGGGCGTCTGACGGAGTAAGCGGCCCTGTTGTTTTTGACTTAAATCGGATCAAAAAGACTCCATGTCATTGAAGGAAGTTTTGTGCACGAATTTTGATATTTCCGGAAATCATGATTTTTGACTCTTTACTGGTGGCTCCTTACGTTATTCGTCAGCACTTGTGGCTCGTAAAAACGTGAAATTAGCTGCCAGGCCTCGTGGTCTTCGCGTGGCCGTGCAGGAAAAATTGGGGATCCAAGCGCTGCGTGAGTGTCTGAGGTCTTGGCCCCACAGGCAAGCTATCGGCCAAGGACAGGTGTGAGACAAGGGATGCGGGTTTTGCGACCTGGGGTTGCAAGCTCTGAGGCTCCCGGCCCGCCGTAGGGGGCCGGTCGAGCACAGCAGGAGCGACCCAAGGGAGGGGATTATAGGGCGGGAAGAAATGAAACTGTGCTTCGACGGTACCACTGATGGTGTGGAGTGCCAAAGTGAGATGGGATGAAGAGAGGCACAAAGGGGTGGCATAGGGCCTGTTGTCCGTACCTACACACCCGCACTAAGTTACGCTTGGGCGGCGGCGGCAGCATGCATGCGCAGATTGCGCAGCAAAACCACCGGCTTGGCACGGAGGTTGGCATCCACGGCACATTGCAGGGCATCGTAATGCAGTTGCTTCACTCTTGTGGCACGCCCCATGGCACGCCCCAACTTTGCTGGATCGATCCGCATCACATACAGATTGATCTGTCTCAGTGGGCGTGTGCGAGTGTTGCGCAAATTGTCTTGACTGCATATCGCGTTACAATTCGGCAGTCGTTGGCCGTCGTTGCCATCCGTCGATTTGCTCAACTCTATGACAACTCAGCCAACCGTCGTTCTGTCAACGCTCCATTGCCGCAACCTTTTGAAAGTATATATACAGTTGTGCCAATACACGCTACCACGACACTTTGCACCTCCTTCCGTCACCATGTCACAGAACCACGCTGACAATGGACGACGCAGTACATCCAGTTGACATAGTTGGCGATACGCTCCAACCCGATGTCAAGCCCGCGCTCAATCGACAGCTTTGGCTTGGATTCCCTTCCGCACTCGAGTCCCTTGTCAAGAAAGCGTTTGAGGCGATCCGACGCCCTCGTGCGGAGCGCACATCGTCCATGGAACCAAGGCAACGGCTCTCTACGCCCTCCACCAACGCAGTCTCTGGCGTCTCAATCATGAGCAGCGAGCCCCTTGCCGATCCTCCGTTGCTCTTGACTTCGACGCACAATCCGTGTTCTCCCGAGGTCTCGGATGAATACATCATTCCTGGTGCCGCATATACACCAGACCGCAGCAAATCGGATGCGCCGGCAATGTTTTGGTCTAGTGAATACGCGCAAGTACTTGTCAATGCACACGGCTTGAACTTTTGGTCGGGTGCGATTTGACAGCCGATTATGACGCTTGAGCACTTGACAGCAGCACGGCCAACCCCGGTACCACTACCGGCAAACAAAGGACGGAGCTTCTGCGCAGATCATCGCCTCAATCTGCTGTATCGTCCATCCGACAACGACTACAAAGGCTATGGCGATAACATTAAGGGCCTCGGCCGAGGACACCATGCGCCGGCATCAAATGTCTTCCGCAGCATCTACCCGTACCTCGATCTGACATATACGCAAGAAGTGCGCTCACAACTCCGAGACATCGCCACGATTCAAGCAAACTCCGGAGGATTGCGTAAACTTGTCAATGATTCGTACCGTATCCATGGCATCAACACCGGCAAAGCTCGCCAACGTAGCAAAGATTGGCGTATCCTCTTCAAGTACCTCAACAAACAAAGCAAAGGCGTTATCATCTGGAAGACGTCAATGACTATCTTTTTCTCTGTTGCTCTCAGCGTAATTGCCATTGTTATCGCCGCTGTCCTTGAACTTACAATTATCGTCATCATTGCCTGCTTCCCTGCCTTCACCTGCGTATACCTCCTTGCACAGGAGCACGCGATCAAGTTGCGTACGGACCTTGCGAACAGCATGCGGAAGGATCTTGCGGACAACATGCGTATGGATCTCAACCAACTTATCGGCCCAAAGACCGAGCCCGCTCAACTTAGCGAGAGTTGTGAAGAAGAAGATCCAGTACAAGCGCTCAAGGACTGCATGATGCGCTCGTATACGCATGGCAATTGTTCTCCGCAATGGGGAGACGACTTCAACGCCCTTCCGATGACGCCCATCGAGAACTTCTGCGTGGGATCAAAAGGGACTCACACCCCCTAACCGGCGAGTAAACGCTCATAAGTGCGCCTTATTGAGAAGAATCGTATGCGGTCAGGTATGATCCGGCTCTCACTGCTAAATTTACGACTAGACTCCACCAGCGCATCTCCTATGCGCCTCTCTGTTCCCGCCTGTCTATCTGCCGCGCCCAACTGCGATAGAACCATCTTCTCCAGCCCTCGACAGGGCGGTCTCCAAATCCACAACGCCATTCCCCCTCAGTTATCAGCTGCCGGAGCAGCCCCAATCATATCCTAAGAAAACGCGAGCTGGCAAGGRGYRGCCCCCCCCCCCCCCCCCCCCCGCTTTTTAGGATATGAATCATGGCACCGCAGCCAAACCCGCATCCACAAGGGTCTTGCTCGCCGCCGGCATGCGTGCCAGGCTCCGGCTGCGGCCTGCAAAGTTACGCTCGAAACCCACGCCATCACTGCCATCAGACACGCCAGTCGCCGGACGCGCATCTGTGACCCAACCACCATCGACCTGGGCACCGCTGGCCCTTTCCTCGTTGCGACCTTCTTTGTTTCCTGCCGCAGGCCCCCAGTGTCAGTACCGCAGCCCGGGACGCGACTGCAATTCAGACCGAAATCATAAATCCTAAATTATGAGTCGTGAATGAGCAATGACGGGCCATGGTACTGACTGACATATATTTGCTTTCACATGCTCTCTGATCGGTTGCCTTTAATCGAAATGTAAGTCAAGTCGGCCTGATCAGAAGTGACAAACCTCGCATTAGGCGTAATTAAAGGGGCCTCGGGCCCAGGGTCAAGGGCTTGGTCGGTAGATTATAATCATAAACAGTTTTGATCGTGCATCAATGCAGCCTCGAAAATGGTGTGTAATGATTTGCTGAGCCAACATTCAATCAAATTCATGTTGTGATAGGTTGCAGCGCTTCAAAACGCTGCTTATGGCTTTTCGTTGCTGTAAATTGCTATATAAACCGTGAGTGGCGCATTAATGACACAGGCCCATCAGTGAAACAAGGTTATGATACTGATATGATCGCCCGGAGGCCTCCTTACATGCTCTAAAGGAGGTCAATGCTGTCATCGGAAAAGATCATGTTTTTCCTGACTCCTGTGAAACCCGCTGTCTGAGCTGTCTGAGTTGTCATAACTTCCTGCGAACAGAATTCCGTTTCACTGATGGGCCTGTTTCGGCAATGGGCCACTCACTGTATGCTGCATCACCACTGATGATCGAAAGTTTGCAAATTCGGCCCGTGTGTCGGAGCCATGGGCAGCCAGAATACACTATTGAAATATGATTTTCTTGGTTAATTTTTACCGAAATTGGAAGCCGCAGATAGACTTCCGATATCAGCTACGAGAGATGCATGATTGTCTTGTTGAGGTTTGTCTTGGTCCGATTCCGATGCGCAAGATAAAAATCACAAAAACCCAAAATCAGGTCAAGTTCCTCGCAATCCCGTCTCTCCCCGCTTCCACCTGCATAGACAACATTATGAATCATATCCTAAGAAAACGCGAGCTGGCGAGGAGCAGCCACCCATCAGCCACCCGGGGTGGCTATTTGGGATCAGCCACCCCTCAGCCACTCCGGGTGGCTTCTCCGGATCAGCCACCCAGCAGCCACCCATGTGTGTGTGGGTGGCTGATGGGTGGCTGACCGTCGCCACCCCACCCTCTCTTTAGGATATGATTTCTTGCACATAACTTAATTGAATTCCATCAAATATCGTTATGATCACATGGGCCCAGCATTGGCCACTCAGTTCATCGTGACGGGTGAGACAGTCGAGTCGTGAGCCAGAGAAATTGTGATTAACGACTTTTTAGCTTGACGTTTTAGTTATGCATTTTCATAAGATGATTACCTCACGTAGTTGGCATTTGTCGCACTTGAATGTCATAAGATGAGTCTAGCCATAAGCGAACTTTCTTTTTAAGAAGCTGTGTACAGTCTTGCAGTCATAAGTTAAGTTAAGCGAAAAGCGGTGAAGTTCATGGATGAAAAGGAAGCGGCGCGAAGGGATTCCATGCTTCGTGTTTCTCACCGAGCCATTCAGGATCCTTGGTCCGTAAATTGTGTCTCCAAACCAGTCATGAGCTGTGTGTGGGTGGCCAGGTCATGGTCTTGAGTTGTGTGTGAGTCGCGCGCAGTGAGTCGTGAGTGGCTTGCTACGACTCATGACTTGCGCTTCGTTCTAGTATGGATCGATGATGGCCTGCATGCGTCCCAACGGTGATTCTCACGCAGGGTCCATGATTTTGCGCGAATCGACCACGCCGGCCTCCACAATAATGTCGGACCGCGAGGTTTGGCGCGTCTCGCGTCGGTGGATCTGCAGGGGCGCTGCCGGGCTCTCGCTCGGACCAGCCAAGATCGGCCGCGCGGAACCAAATGGCGAACCGGTGTCGGTGACGGCTGCATCCATGCATCCATACATCATGCCATCCACTCCATCCGCGTCCGCCCCCCCATCTGAATCGTTTCGCATCACGGCAACCGACATCTAAACCACGTCCGAAACAGGCAAAGCGGGCATGACGCTCTCCTCCGCCAAGGGGCGTCCAGCCGGGCGCTGCCATATGAAGGGCAACTGCGGTAAAAAGAGCATATTCAGCCCAGAGCTGCCGTGTCCTGTCGACGAGAAAGCTACGGTGCCCGAGGACGACGACTTCCGCCAGCTCCTTGTGAGCACGTGCGGCTCCGACTATGCCAGCGGGCCGGTCTGCTGCACCCAAGCGCAGGTGGAAAGTCTGGGTGCGAATCTGCAGCAAGCGGAGCCGTTGATCTCGTCGTGTCCGGCTTGCCGCAACAACTTTCGATCCATGTTCTGCGCCTTCACCTGCTCTCCCAACCAGTCGCAGTTTGTCGACGTAGTCGAGACGCAGGAGGTCACGGGCAGCGATGGCCGACCCTCCGAGGCTGTCAAGACTGTCGAGCTCTTCATCGAGAGCGACTGGAAGCAAAAGTTCTTTGACAGCTGCAAGGACGTCAAGTTTGGCGCCAGCAACGGCTTTGCGATGGATCTGATCGGCGGAGGAGCCAAGAACCCCAACGCTTTTCTCAAGTTCCTCGGCGACGAGAAGCCGCTGCTGGGCAGCCCCTTTCAGATCAACTTTCCCGATCAGCACAAAGCCGCCAGTCCAGAACGATTCGCGGAGGCCTACGCTTCCCGACGAAACGACTCGCTACAGACGCCGATCCCATTCAATGTGAACCCAAGGCAGTGCAGCGACCCTGATCTCTTGTCCCGGTGCGCTTGCGTCGACTGCCCCGACACATGCACTGCGTTGCCCGAGCTGCCAGGCTCAACCGGCGACGGCTCGGCCTGTGCGGTCGGCGCCGTGTCCTGTCTGACCTTTTCGGTGATTCTGCTATACGTGCTCCTCATCGGTCTCATGTGGTTCTGGCGGCCCCTCCGCAGGCTCTTACGCGGTCACGGCGCCATCGCACTTCCTCACCGTACCAGCGGACACAGCTTCTTTGCCGGCTCCAGCGGCTTCGAGAGAGTCCGGCTGGGCTCCGAGGACTCGCTCAGCGATCTCAACGATGCATCGCCGCCAAATCGCAGCAGCGAAGGCAATCTCGTCGGAGCAAGGGGTCTGGGCCACTTTGGCGAGGAAAGCTCGAGCACATCTGCCCCAGATGGCACATATCGAGGCATCGGACTCGAACGCAACGACAATCTCTCTGCGCTGGTCGCGCTCCAGCCTCGCAAATACGCGCTCAACCAGTTCCTGACAAGGTCATTTTACAAGCTCGGCCTCTTTTGCGCGAGCCATCCCTGGCTCACCTTTCTCGCCGCGGCCGTCTTTGTCGGCACGGCAAACATCGGATGGAAGCACTTCGAGGTTGAAGTCGATCCGGTCCGTCTCTGGGTGGCACCGGGCTCCACGGCAAAGGTGCAGAAGGATATCTTCGACAAGGAATTCGGACCGTTCTATCGACCACAGCAGATTTTCATCATGGACAGCATCGCTTACCAGAACCTGCCCATGCTTCGGCAGAGCGCATCGTCGGCCGAGCTCGAAAAGCTGCCATCAGCTCTCACCTGGGAAAGGCTGCTCTGGATTTCCGATCTCGAACGCGAGGTCCGAGGCCTTCGCTCCCCGTCGGGTGTCACCCTGCAGGATGTCTGCCTCGCTCCCGCCGGGCCGGGTACGCCGTGTGTAGTACAAAGCATCTTGGGCTACTTCCAGGATGACCCCATCGGCTACGGGCTGGAAGCGAGCAACTGGGATCAAGCTCTGGACCAGTGCGCTGGCAACCCTGCAGAGTGCCTACCAAGCTTTGGCCAACCCCTTAAAACCAACATCGTGCTGGGAGGTCTACCAACGGATGCACAGCCGAGTCAAGCCCGCTCCTCTGTGACGACCTACGTGCTGAACAACAGCCTGGACAGCAAGCAGGTCGCCGCTGCGGAAGAATGGGAGCGAGAGCTCCTGGACCTCCTGACGAGGGTCGCTGCCAACCCTGTAAATAGTCCAAAGACCGAGGAGGCAGCCGCAGAGCCTCATCCATTGTCTGTACGCAGACAGGATCTCGGCTTGCAGATCGCCTTCAGCACCGGTGTCAGTCTCGAGACCGAGATAGGTAGCAGCAGCAATACCGACGTTGGCATTGTGGTGCTCTCCTATCTGACCATGTTCATCTACGTGGCACTCTCTCTCGGAAGGCAGGCGCCCAAGTCGGGAGCAAGAACCGATCCGGAACCCAGCCGTCCCGTCGCCGAGCCTGGGTCCTATCCCCGAATGACCTCGGCGTCGCTGCCGAATGGAACATCGCAAAGCCTGCGTCGTATTCGACAGATGATCCAGTCCTTCTGCGTATCATCCAAGTTCACTCTCGGCCTCTTCGGCATTCTGATCGTGCTATGCTCGGTAGCTTGCGCGGTCGGCATCTTCAGCGCTTTGGGGGTCAAGGTCACCCTGATCATCGCCGAGGTCATCCCATTCATGCTCTTGGCAGTCGGTGTCGACAACATCTTCTTGCTGTGCAGTGAAATGGACCGTCAGCTCGACATGCAGGCTTCAGAGGGCTCTGCGTCCGCTCATTTGGACTCGAGAGCCAGCGAAACGCTCATCCCGTCGATGGAACCGCCGCAGCATCCCTCCTTATCCCTAGGCGATGACTTCGAAGCGCAAGAGGGCGCACGTCCAACGAATTCCGCACATCAAGCCACGCGCCTCACGATCGAAGAAAGGGCTGCACGATGCCTGGCACGAGTGGGACCGTCCATCCTACTCAGCGCTACGACTCAGATCGTGGCGTTCCTCCTCGGTGCGATGGTGCCTATGCCCGCAGTGAGAAACTTTGCCCTCTACGCTGCCGGAAGCATGCTGATCGTTGCGGTGATGCATTGCACCGTGTTTATTGCGGCTATGGCTCTCGATGCACATCGCGTCGAGGGAGGCCGAGTCGATTGTCTTCCGTGTCTCAAAGCCCCTCATCAACAGTCACACGCCAGGGCCTCCGATCACATCGTGGCCGCACCCAGCGAAGCCGGACTCGACCACTTCATCCGGTACCGTTTCGCACCGAGCCTCCTTCGACCCTGGACCAAGCGATTCGTTGTCGTGGCGTTCGGTGCCATCGCAGTGATGAGCGCCATAGGCATCCAAAGAATCGAGATGGGTCTGGATCAGCGGCTTGCGCTGCCCTCAAAATCCTACCTGCGACCCTACTTCGATGCCATCGACGTCTTCCTTGATGTCGGCCCTCCCGTGTACTTCATCGCTGCGGACGAGGAGGTGTCAGCTCGCCAAGGCCAACGAGCTCTGTGTGGCAGATTCACCACGTGCGAGCCCCTGTCCCTGGCCAACACGCTGGAAGGGGAACGAGCCAGGGCCACAGTCTCGTGGATTGCGGAGCCAGCCAGCAGCTGGATCGACGACTTCTTGCAGTGGCTCAACCCTATCCTTGACGGTTGCTGTCGAGTCAAGATCTCGGATCCCTCGGTCTTCTGCGGGCCCCGCGATAGCCCCTTCTCGTGCCAGCCATGCTTCGAGGGTCGCGATCCTCCCTGGAACATCACCATGGACGGGTTCCCCGAAGGTGAAGAGTTCTATCGCTACCTCAGGAAATGGCTAGAAAGCCCGACCGATCAAGACTGTCCGCTGGGTGGTCAGGCGGCCTACTCGTCTGCGCTCAGCATTGCGAAGGACCCTGTCAACGGCAACGAGAGCGTGCGCGCGTCGCACTTCCGCACCTACTTTTCGCCTCTGCGCTCCCAGTCGGACTTCATCAATGCGCTGGAGCAGTCGCAGAGGATCTCGGAAGACATCTCGAGCCGAACGGGCTATCGCGTCTTCCCCTACAGCCTCTTTTTCATCTTCTTCGAGCAGTACACGTATCTGCTTTCGATGGCCGTACAAGTGCTCGGATCGGCTGCGGTTGCCATCTTTGCCATCAACACGGTGCTGCTCGGCAGCTGGCGGACAGGCGCCGTGGTGACCCTCAGCGTGGCGAGCACCGTGCTGCTGGTTGCCGGAGTCATGGGTTTCTGGGGCATCCAATTCAACGCGCTGACGCTGGTCAACTTGAGCGTCTGCGCTGCAATTGGCGTCGAATTTTGCGCTCACATCGCTCGCGCGTTCATGCGGGCACCTGGATCTTTGCCACGATCGCATCCTATGGCACAAAAGGAACGCGACGAGAGGGCCTGGCTCGCTCTCACGGACGTGGGTGGCGCCGTGGTGAACGGCATCTTTTCGACCAAGTTGATCGGCGTGGGTGTGCTCATCTTTACCAAGTCGGACCTGCTCAAGCTCTACTATGCCAAGACGTGGCTCTGCCTGATTGTGGGCGGTCTGCTTCACGGCATGATCCTGCTGCCAGTGCTGCTTAGCTGGCTCGGCGGTCGCGGCTGGTCGATGGGAGAGGACGAATCGGACGTCAAGCGTCGGCTGAATCGGGCGGGATCCGAGTATCGACCGCTAATGGCATCCGAGCCCGAAGCCAGCGATGACGAGGAGAATTTGTAGCGAGCTAGATGCGCTTCTCGACTGATCAATGTCAACTTGTGGCACCATGGATCAGGATCTCCGTTGTGAGAGAAAGGAGTCTGATTCGAGCCAAGGCAAGCACACATGCGCGGCTGGCTTGACATTGGTTTGGGACAGCTTGGCTCGAAGACGTGCGAGGCAGGTTCACACGGCAGCAGAAGCTCAGTCTTTCTAAAGGGCCGGCGGGACTTGACCGCCCGCATCGTGACACAGAAAAGGCACAGCGAGCGACGCGAGCGAAGCGCAAACGAGTTGGAGAAAGAAATGGTCATTGGACTCGCGGATGCGTTGCGTAGGGCAGCAATCTACGCCGCTGCTGCGTTCATCTTGCGCCTTTCTCCCTGGAGCTGTTCGGGGCAAAGAGACGAGATAGGTGTGAGCGAATGAAGCCGCATTTGGAAGGCAAGCGAAGCGAGATGCGGGTGTGAGCAGTACGTACCACTTTTGTGACGCGTTGCCAGCTGTTGGCTTTGGATTGTGCGCCGTCTGGTGCCGGAGAGGTGTTGGTTCCATCTATGTAGGACTGCAGCTGGTCTTGGGTAAAGCCGGGAACGTTTGTGGAAGCAGCATCGTAGCCGGGGCCGGATATGACGACCTCCTCCATAACAATGATGTGCGAGTTGTGCCATCGACACGGCAATCTGCAAGATGGTGCGATTGAGCCGAAGCGGTCAGTGTCATGCAAGTACAGTTCAATCGGTTGAAGAAGAGACTTACGTTTTGCTCAGGGCATCAAAGACCTGCTGACCGAGCTGGGAGACGTCTTTGCCGATGCGTGCGACCTTGGTGAGGCTCTGCTTGACCGCGTCTGCCTCTCTCAATTGGGCAGCCTTGAGCGAGACCGGGTGGATGGGCGTGAGGGTTTGTGCTTGCGATGCAGCGCCGTTAGCCGCATCTGTGGAATGTTGAAACTCGATCTTCTTGATCTCGGACACTTTGACAATGGTGAATCCGACGGCGGAGGAGGCCTGTGCGAAGCGATTGCGAGATGTCTGCGAGGCTTGGGCGACCGAGGCTGCGGCGGCCGGGGCCGATTGGAGGTGCGACGGCAAGGTGGTCGGTTCGCACTCTAGGCCGACGACGCCGAGGCTGGGATCGTACGCCCACAGCTTGCCGGAAAGCGTTTGCGACTGCTTGTCGCCCACAGTGAAGGTGACGTGGGATCCGAGCATCTTTGAGATGTTGGCCAGCTGGCTGGATGCCGAGGCTGCATTCCCCTTGGCTGCTGCATTGGCTGCGTTGGGTGCAGATTGGGCGACCATGTTGTTGTGGCGATGGCAATGGGCAAGCGGCGCGTCGAGATGGTGGTGGTGGTGGGGGCGCAGCCAGAGCTGAGGCTTGGAAGCTACTGTGGGGCGGAAATCCAACACCTTCCGCCGCCTCGCCGCCTCGCCGCCTCGGCTTTGTGCGCTTCGCCTCAACTCAGCCTCTTTGGAAAGCCTCGGCGGCCAGTTCCGATTCCCGAAAACGCGATTTTGTTGGTTCTCCACTCGTCTGGGGAAATTCGACTGATTGTTGTTGCTCCTCCATCCCAACTGTCACCATCCTCATCGGCTCCCTTTCGCTCGCTGATTGTTGTCTGCATTCCGGCTCAAGCTGCGTGACAGCAGCTCTGCTTGTAGTCGAGATGCCTTCGTCCAGGTCACATACCAGTCACACCGAGCCGAGCTCCTCACGCGACCGTCACACTTCTTCCACCCACAAACGGCGAGAACGCTCGGGATCCAAGGAGCGCCATACGGACAGTCATTCAAAGCGACACAGAGAAGACGACGACGATGGTCGAGGTCACAGCTCCCGCTCGCACGATCGCTCAGACAGACGACACAGGTCCGACCACGAGCGCAGTCACAGAGATCGAGACCGGGACCACGAGCGCGGCCACAGAGATCGAGACCGGGACCACGACCGATCGAGCCGGTCAAGGCATGAGCGCGATGCACATCGTCACGACCGCAGCTCAAAGCGGCGCGAGACGTCCGAGGAGCGCCGCGTCCGCAAAGCTTCCAAGCGGGCCGACAAGCTCAAACAGCTCGAAGACAGCTTTGCCGACGAAGAGACGTCGGCTGCCGAGCGCACAGCCGTAGCAGAGCTCATGATGTATTCAGCCGAGGACAATCCGTTCAACGACGCCAACCTGGGCCAAAAGTTCAAGTGGGGCAAAAAGGAGGACAAGGAGCGCAAACAAGGCCTCACGCGAGAAGACGCCGAGAGGCGCGATGCCGAGCGCCGCCGAGAGGCCATGGCCGAGATCGAGAAGCTCAACGCGAAACGCGCCGAGCGTGAAGCGCAGGCGGCTCTGCGTGAAGAGGAGGAGTCTCGCATGGCTCGGCTTGCCGAGTCCGCACAGATGGCCAGCTGGGTCGCCAAGGAGGACGACTTCTACCTCGAACAGGCGCACCGTCGCGCCGTCATCCGCGTCAAGGAGAACCGCGCCAAGCCGATCGATCTGCTGAGCATCAATCTCAAATGGGCCGATCCCAACATCATCGCCGAGCACGAAAACAAGCAGGATGACGACGACGACGAGGCGGGTCTCGAAATCGACCTGGACGAGCCATACTCGATCTTCGAGGACCTCAGTCTCGAGGAGACTCAAGAGCTTCATCAGGATATCCAGATGTACCTCTCGCTCGACAAGCACGACTCCAACCTCGACTTTTGGCGATCCATGCTCATCGTATGCGACGACAAGCTCGAAGAGCTCAACGAGGAGCAAGCCAGTGCCGCTGCGCCCGGCGCTGTTGTGGCATCCAATGCGCGCCAGGATCCCGAAGAACGCGGGCGGATCAACACGATGCTCGCTTCCAAGACAGCCGACGAGCTGCATCAGCTGCAGGAGCACGTGCGTGCCAAGTTGGCTTCCGGCGAGCCTGTCGATGTCGAGTACTGGGAGAGGGTGCTCAAGTCGATCGTGGTGTGGCGTGCCAAGGCGCGGCTTCGAGACATGCACGAGGCGGTGCTCTCGAATCGCCTCGAGTATCTGCGTCGCAAGCAGCGCGACGAAGCGGTACGACAAGAGCAGGAGCTCGTTCATCAGACGGGCGCGGCCATGGACGACGAGGACGCAGGGGCGTTGGATCAGCCCGATGACGCCAAGGCTCAGGCCGAGGCGCAAGAGGCTGCGCTGGAAGCGCTCTTTGATGCGGACGAGATGGAGCCGCGACCGATCGACGAGTCGCGTCTGAGCTACGAAGACCGTCGTCTGGCGGTGCGCGACCTGCGTGCGGACCTGGAAGAGCTTGTGCAGGCTCGTCGACAGGTGACGCAGCAGCTCTTTATCCCCAAGGTGCGTGCTACCGAAGCGTCTCCCGACGCGCTTGGCACCGACGAGAATGCGGCGGAACGCATGTTCATGCAGGAAGCCAGCCGGGCGCTCGATGTGAGCGAGGAGGTGATGGACGGGCAGGACGAAGTGGTTTCGCACCAGACGTACCAGTGGGAGGACAAGTATCGACCGCGCAAGCCGCGCTTCTTCAACCGCGTGCACACCGGATTCGACTGGAACAAGTACAACCAGACGCACTACGACTCGGACAATCCGCCGCCCAAGACGGTGCAGGGCTACAAGTTCAACATCTTCTATCCGGACCTCATCGACAAGACGGTGGCGCCTACTTACAAGATCACCAAGGAGGCCGGGCAGGACGATACGGTGCTGCTGCGGTTCAGTGCAGGACCGCCGTACGAGGACATCGCGTTCCGCATCGTGAATCGCGAGTGGGAGTATAGCCACAAGCGAGGATTCCGGAACAGTTTTGATCGAGGCGTGCTGCAGCTGCACTTTAACTTTAAGCGGCTGCGGTACCGCAAGTAGGCGCGGAGCAATCAGAAGTACTTCCACAGCGAGATCTTGCCGTCTCTTCCGCCGGCTGCCAGGACGAGTTGGTTGTGGCGTGCGGATGGTGTGTGCTGCGACGAGTGTCCGTCGCTGGAGTCATCTTCGTCGTCGTCGTCGTCGTCGTCTGGGTTGGGCACGGAGGCGAACTCGAGGCACTCGACGGTTTCCGAATGATAGCTCAAGTTGCCGAGCTCGGTCAAGTCGGCCATCGAATAGGCTCGTATGCTGGCGATTTGCGGAGGTGTCAGTGACATTCAGCCGGGATCAGGGACGAGGATGGACTTACGATCCGTCCCAAGCTCCGACTACGAAGGTGTTGGCGTCTGGAGCGATAGCCACGCTTGCTTTGCCCGGAGTCTTGGTCTGCAAGAGCTGCGTCTCGCCGGAGAGGAGGTCGAAGCGCGCGATGCGGTCGTCTGCACCCACCGACACGCCGAACTGCGCACTGATCGCCGTGCTCATCACTGCTCCAATGGTCACATATTGTCAGTTGGGACTGCGTTGCAAAGACCATAGCGGGAGAGGGGTGAGTGTACTGACATGATTCGGAATGACACCGGGTCTGCCAGACGAGCTCTCCGTCCAGGCTCCACCTCTTTACCCACCCATCTTCGTAGCCTGCAACCACACCGCCGGCAACAAGGTGTAGGGACATGACGATTGGCATCCTGCTTCCGGCCGTGCGCTTGATGTCTGGCCTGCCTATGGCCTCGACTACTCGCACACCCGATGGAAGCTCTATGACGTCGATGTATGCAGCGTCGAGTGCGTTGGGTACCGCGATTCTGCCGTCGTCGTATGCGCACTTTGAAAAGTTGAGTGCATTCACCCCTACACTCATTATAAGCTGCGGCTCTTGCGCGCCTTCCACCTGCGAAAGGGACCCTGGGGCGGGTGGCGAGTGTGGCAGCTTCCAGAGGTGCACATTGTTGTCCCTGCTATGCGTCAAGACATGGTCGCCGAGCGAGATGACGGTGAGGATCGAGTCGGTGTGCGCGTTCCATCGCACTGTTGGTCGGAGGTGGTGGAGGTCGACGATCGAGACCGCACCTGTCTCGTCTCCGACAACGAGTGAGTGGTGGTCGTGATGTAGGGATCGGATGGACGATGAGCCGTGATGTCGAAGGATCCAGTACGGCTTCATCGCCGCATGTTGTTGCTGGAGGACAAGAAGGGAGATGCAGTTGGTTGACAGGACCCTTGATCGGCCGCACGGACTTGCTTCGAAGCCTTGGCGCGGATTCCAAAAAATCGAAAAAGAAAAGTCGCCGCGGCCTCCACCGGCTAACGACGGCAATCCAGTTTTGAGTTTGGCAGCTGCTCGCCGGTCCACGGCCGCGATCCTCGGACACCATCTTCGTGCTCGTCGTGCTCGTCCAGCTCGGCCCATCCTGCCATGGCACAAGAAACGAACCACAACCCACTCTCGATCCACCATAACTTACCGCAACCTATCCTCGCACACAACACATCTTCACCGTATTCGACCATGGTTATGCGACCCAGACTGGTGGATTCGGCGCTGACCGAGCCCCAAGCTCGCGCTATCCTTCACACGATCCGCTTCCCCGGCTTCGAGGATGAGCAGGTGAGCCTTTCTCCCTCCCAAGCAGCCAACGAAGCTTCTACTGACTCTCTGCTATCTCTCTACAGTCGGCTCCGAATGCAGCCTTGCCGGCAGCGACACTGTCGACGCTCACGCGGCTGCAGATTCACTTTCTGCTGAGCTTTCCCTTCGAGGCGCTTGCCATGAACTACGAGCCGGAAGCATCGATGGCTGCTACGCTCGAACACACCTACTCGCGCTTCATCGAGCAGCGTCATGGAGGCGGCTACTGTTTGCAGGTCAACCTACTGTACCGTGAGCTGCTGGCGTTTTTGCGCTTCCGCTTCATCGGGGTGCTCGGACGCGTCTATTCGCCGATCTCCGAGACCTGGACAGGGCTCACGCACACCGCCTCGCTCGTCTACCTGCCCTGCCATCTTGAGGAGGGCAAGTACGTGTACTACATGTCAGACGTTGGGTTCGGAAGCAGCCCACACCGACCGATCCTGCTGCGCGAAGGTTGGGAGGAGTACGGCCGCGGGAGCGACAAGTTCCGCCTCGTCAAGCTGGAAATCCAGCCCAGATCGTACCTCGAACAAGCCGACGACGAGACCGACGATGAGGTGGCCGAGGTAGCGCGTAGCCAGGTCGTGTGGAAGTTGCAGAACCGCAAATCCGGCAAGGACTGGGAAGACTGCTACTCGTTCGCAACCACGCAGTGCTTCACCCCCGACTACCTCGTAAGTTTTCACCACCTCCTCTGTGATCGTTCTCTGAAACTGACCTTGCTCGAATTTCAGGCCTCCAACTGTGCTACGTCGAGCAAGACCGCCGTTCCGTTTGCAAGCATGATCCTGGTGGTGCGGTACCTGCTCGAGCCCACACGGCTGGCCGAGTCGGCGCAGTGGATCGCGCGCGACGGCTTGAATCCGGACTTGTACGCCTACCATCCCGACTGCATCGAACAGCGCATGGTCGTGGGCGACAAACACATCGTCAAGCTCGGCGACCAGCAGACCGTGTTTCGCACCATCGAGACAGAGGAGGAGCGCATCGAACTGCTCAAGAGCGACTTTGGCTTGTTGCATCACGTCGATACCCAGGCAGCGCTGCGCGAGATTCGCGCCAAACCTTCCGCTCTCAATCCGCTGCCGAACGGTAAGAACCACTCGTCGTAGAGCGGATCGCCAAGTGTTTAATGGAATCGCAGCTGGTCCTGGAAAGCGCCTCACTGCCGTGTGCTTTCGCGTCCCGATGCCTGAGACAGAGCAGCCTGTGCTGACTCTGCAATCGAATGCACTGCATCTTGCACCTGGCCTGGCTCCTCACCGACCTTCCTTCCGCGCCCAAAAGTCGTTGAGCCTCATGCTGAGCTGGTTCGAACCTGCATCGCCTCAACTGGCCGCGCGGGGAATCACGATTTGATGGCTACGTATAAGTACAAGAGGTGGTGATGATGTCGAGAAGATGCCTTGGGCGTTCGGACTCTACTTCCAACCGGCGCCGCTTGCCCTTGTACCGCCCCTGCTCATGACAGGAAGCAGACCCATGCTCCTTGCCCTCCTGACGGCCTTGCCGACCTGTCTCTGGCTCTTCCTCGTCAATCCCGTGCTGGCACGTGGCATGATCTTTCCCATCTCGCTGACAAAGTTGGCCAGGATCGCCGCGTTCTTATACGAGTCGTCGTGCAGGCTCGGTTTTCCCGGCTTGAGCCCGTTGATGTGGATCATATCCTGCTGTTCCGCTTCTTTACGCGTGGGGCCGAGGAGCGGGCGGGCTAGTCGCGCGGGACGTTCGGTGATCGACGTATACGAGAGCGTGGCGGGGTTGTAGTAGTGGCCGTTCATAAACGCACGGCCGGAAACCGTCTGACGGTCACGAACGGGCGTAGGGCTGCGTGGATTGTGCACCGCTCCCGAGGCAGGCGGGGCGGCAGCAGCACGGTTGCGTGCCAGCTGTTCGATCGACGACGATAGCTCGTCCAGCGCCGAACCCGAACCGCTGTTCGAGGCGGGGGCGGATGTTGCAAAGCGACGCAGAGGCTGGATCGCTCCAGAGCGGCTGCTCGATGCGCTGCATGCGCGCGAGATAAGCGTAGTCGTCACCTTCATCGTCGGTATGAGTGTGTAAGAGATGGTGAGCAAGAGTCGAGACGGCAAGTGAGAACCGTCAGAGCTCGCTCGCCCGCAGAGACTTGGAAAGTACGAATGCTTGGAAGAAATGCGTCACGTGCAAAATTGTTCTCGTGCGAAAAAAAAAAAAAATAGAGGCCAGCCTCGAGCTATGAAAGCGCCCACTGCTAAGGGTCCAATGTGTTCCCACCGCTCAACATCGTCAGTCCAGGTTGGTGCAGGTCCCTCGCCATCTGACTCGCATCCGTGGCGTAAGGCCCATCTCGCGCACAGTCACACCGTCGCACCGTCACATCGAGCAATGCTTTGACATCGGCATAGTATATACAGCACAGAGGTTGGAGGCCGAGCAGACAGATTAGCGAGGCGGAGCATGCGAACGGGATCCCAGAAGAAAAACAAAATCCGACAGAAAAGCGAGCGTGTGTGTTGGAAAAAAAAGAGAAAGTGATGTTTTGGCGGCGTCTACTTGCCACTGCCGTCGATGGCGTTGAGTGCGCCGTTTGCGCGGAGGTGGACCATGTTCTGGAGGCTGTACTTGCCCTTGCGTCCACGGTCCTCGAGGGTCTTTTGGCTGAGCACGAGGTTGAGCTGTTCCTTGGCCTCGGCGTCGCGGCCGGTGCCGGCGTAGAGGCGGCCGAGCTCGTAGTGGGCAAAGTAGACGAGCCAGTGGTCGAGCTTGAGCTGGTGTCCGTGTTCGAGCACCGTCTTGAAGCTGATCTCGGCCTGCTGCGCCGCCTCGCGCTCCGGGATGGGCGACTCCTTGGGACGCACCTTGGAGTGCTCTTCGGGGCACGCGATAAACTTGAGGCACACGCCGCGCAGGAAGTGCGCCAGACACAGGTCGTCGTAGTACTCGTCGCCCGAGTAGTACTGCGACGGATCCTCGACGTCGTGCAGATCCGCGAGCGCATCGCTCACCATCACCAGCGCCTCGTCGCACAGAATGTAGCGCGGCGCGTTCGAGAGGCAGTGGTAGACATAGGCAAACTCGAGCCCGGGCAGCAACAACCTGCCGTACGTCGTAAACTTCTTGGACTTGCGCGCCACAAACTTCTCCATGGGGATCGACTTGCCCGCGATCTTCTGCGTGAGGTTGGGCACGTTCTTGAAGATGTCGGCTGCCTCCTTCATCGCGCGCTGGTCCTCGCCCTGCGCGGACTCGTAGAGGTTGCTGGCACGGCCGTAGTTGTACACCGCCTTGGACCAGTTGTTCTCGGCGGCGAGGATGGCAAACTGGTCGTGTGCCTCCTTCCACTTTGTGAGCGACATGTTGCAGAGCGAGAGATCCCAGATGCAGATGTGCTTGAGCTGCACGTACTCCTTCTGGATGTCGCGCGCCGTCTCGAACTGGGTGATGGCCTTCTCGGCCAACGCCTGGGTCGAGTAGAGACGGCCGGAAAAGTAGAGGAAGAAGACGCCCTCCGGGTAGCGGCGCAGATTGTAGTGGAGCACCTTGTCGGCAAAGTCGATGTCGACGCCGTTGACGGGGATGAAGGTGGAGATGACGAGGTGGTAGGCGAGCATCGACATGTCGCAGATCTGCCTGCGCACGCCCTCCTCCTTGACGGACATGCCCGGCTTGACCTGCTTGGGGTCGGCGCTCCACTGGCCCGCCTTGCTGAGCGTCTTCATGGCCCAGGCGGTGTCGCCGGTGTAGCCGAACACCTCCATGATCTTGAGCACCTTGCCGGGCACCAGACCGAGGATCATGCTGATGAGGCCGTTGCCGAGGTAGACGCCCGACTTGAAGTCCTCGTCGAGGTTCTGGCCTTTCTCTTCGGACCAGTCGACGTACTTTTGGAGGGAGCGGTAGATGCCGTAGGCGTTGCGCATGTTGAGCGCCTCGGAGACAAAGGCGAAGAAGTCGCCGGCGTAGGCGATGCCGAGGACGGCCTTGAGCAGCACGGCCTCGGCGTAGACGAGCTCGGCGTGCTGCTGCACCTCGTCCATCTGGGAGAGGGCGCTGGGCGACTGGCCGGTGCCGCGGACGAAGCGGCCAAAGTTGGAGACGGCGCTGGAGGGCTTGCGGAGGAGGTTGGCGATGGTCAGGGCGTCCTTGCAGAGCGAGATGGCGATGGCGAGATCGGCGGGCTCAAAGGTCATGAAGCCCTTGATGGTGGCGATGAGCGCGTAGCCGAGCGCATAGTAGAGGCGCGAGTCGGCGTACTCTTCGATGATGCGTTCTGCCTCGATCATGCGCGAGTTGAGGAAGAGGTTGAGCGCGTGGCGAGCCACGTCGATGTCGTCGCGCAGCTGCTGGGGCGTGATCTTGACGTCGTTGGCGGTGAGCTTGGCGACGCGCGCCGCCTTGTCGCGCACGGCCTGCGAGGTGTCGGAGCGTGCGCGCGTGTCGTTGACGGTGGTGGCGCCGTCGCCGTGCGGGCCTGCGCGACGGGCGGCACCGGCGGTGCCCTTGGGCTTGTACGAGGCGCCGTTGGCCATCTCGCCGTTGGGCGCCCTGCGGCCGGAGGAGCCGGACTTGTTGCGACGGTGACGTGCGGCAGCGCCGGCGCCACCGGCGAGGGCAGCGGCTGCGCCACCGGCCTCAGCGGCGTGGTGGCCGTGGTGCGAGTCTTCCTCCTCCTCGCCCTCGGAGATGTCGGCGAGGGGCGCGTCGTGGAAGTCGTCGTCGGAGCTGTCGTCGTCCGAGTTGGCGTCTTGGTCATCGGAGTCGTCGTCGCTCTGGGTTGCCACGGCAGCTGGAGCGGCGCGTCGGCCGTTGGTGGCTCGGCCGTTGCGCTGGTTGGCGCGTTGCTGCACTTGGTCGTCTTCGCTCTCGTCGCTGGCCGAGTCGCTTTGGGCTGCGTCGTCCGAGTCGGCAGCGGCAGCGGCCATGCCGTTTTGCCGGGGTTCATCTTGCTCTGCGTCTGCGCTCTTGAGGCTGCGCGACGACTTTCTGCGAGCGAGGCCAAAGAGGGAGCCGGCTGCGCCTGCTGCGCCGGCTGCGGCACCGGAGGCCTTGGCGGTGGTGGAGGAGAGGAAGCCCTTGCGAGCGGCTGTGTCGTCGGTGGTGGAGGTGCCGAGGGGAGGTTCGGAGGCGCCACGTGCGCGGGCGGGCGCAGCAGAAGCGCTGGATGCGCGCTTGGAGCGCGCGCGTGCGATGACGCCGTCTGCCTTGGCGAAAGGGTCGGCGTCGGCGGCGGTGGTGGGGGACTCGGTCTTGGGGGTGCCCTCGACCTGGCTGACGGAGCGGGAGAACTTGCGGGAGCGGATACTGCCGGAGGTGCTGTTGAGCGGAGCGGCCGAAGCGCCGAGCGCCTTGTAACCGTCTACGGCGCCGTTGGTGGGGTACGCAGCGGGGAGGGAGGGGACGGGTGGGACGGGGGAGAGCTGTTCGGGCTCGTCGTAGAGGCCGTCGCGGATGGAGGCGGAGCTTGTGCGGGTGGCGAGGCCGGGCATCTTGATGCTCATCTTGCGCGAGGCGGAGCTGAATCTGCGGATGCGGCTGCCGGAGGAGGAGACGTCGGGGTCTACGGGTTCCGGGGTGGTGAGGTTGGTCTGGGAGGAGTTGCGGGAGCGGTTGCGGATGAGGTTGACGAAGCTGTTGCCCGAGGAGCCGCGACGCGAGTCGATCGAGCGCGCATCGCTCTGGGAGAGGTTGGAGCTGCTCTTCCTGAGGCCGAGGCTTGCGGCGGAGAAGCCGCGCGAGCGACCGATGGAGGCAGAAGAAGGTGCGAGGTAGCCGTCGTGGGTGGCGTTGCCGTTGACGCTAGGGGAGCGTGTGGGCGATGCGGGTGTTTGCGGGTTCTTGCGGGAAGCGATGGAAGCGGAGCGAGACTTGCGGCTTGCTACGCTTGGGGAGTGCTTGAGGCTGGCAGCGTCTGATGCGGCGCCGTTGGCGCGGCTGCGAAGGAGAGCGTCTGTGTGGGAGAGGGGGATGGGCGAGGGATCTTGGAGATGGTCATCGTTGTGCGCGTTGTTTGCGTTGGCGGGCGAGCTGAGGGCGTTTGTGGTGGTGTTGATGCCGGCGAGGATGCTTCTGCGGCTGCCGGACATGGAGAAGCGCGATGGGCTGTCGTTGTTCATCCTCAGCACGGCTGCGCTGGTCATGTTGATGGGAGCGCGTGTTTGAAGGGATGGTGTGGGTAGAAGGGGAAGGGGGTTTGAAGAGATGTGGGGGTGTGGCGATTGGGATTGAGATCCGTTCGAGTGCGGAGAAGGTGCGAGCGGGGGGTCAGTCAGAGTGGGCTCGAGTGCGGTGCCTGTGCGAGGCAGAGCAGGCAGCTGCAGAGCAAGCAGAGCAAGCAGAGCAAGCAGGGGAAGCGGCTGGGATTTGCGACTGGCATTTGGGAGCTGCGAGGCTGCGGTGCGAGGCTGCAGGGACGGAGAGGCCAGAGAGGCAGGCCGGCCAATGACGGCTGCTCCAAAAGTCTGACGTGCATCCGAATCAAGTGAACCCACGCTTTTTGGCGCTGTGACGCGTGAAATTGGCGAAAAAGAAATTCCCCGCTCAACGGCTGCCAACGCCTCGTCCGCTGCGGAGAGTTCTGAACAGCCAATCATCGCCCGCCAAAAGAGCGATTCGCGATTGCCCTCTGAAAGCGGCCTTCGGTAGGCGCGGCGGCAGGCGGCGTGCAGGTTGTCTCACCGCCACGCCCCGCCTTGCTTTGCATCCTCGCCTCGCCGCCCCGCCTCTTTGGCGCAAAGCGAGCTTCACCGCCGTTGCCGTTGCTCGCAAAGAGCGCCTCCCCCGCAATCTTGCGGCTGATCAGCACCGAGCTGTAAGCCCACGTGTGACATTATCGTGTGCGGTCACAGCACTAGAAAATTGGGCCAGAGCGGTCGGGAAACATGCTGGCTGCACCTGTCAATGGTCCGAGCCATGTTTTACGTGTGACTGAGCTCGAGCTGGTGCAAGGCGGCTTGAGAGTAGCCGGACCGTGGACAAGCCTGCGAGCGCAGTGCTTGGCGACCTGAGCGTCGTCAGATATCGACGTGCGCATCGCGAACGATTGAATCCGAGTTGCCAGGACGACGGCCTCGTGGCGTCGTTGGCACACTCGCATTGCACACACGCGCGCACTCGTAATCCGGGTGTAGCTGTGTGTGGCAAGATAAGCATTGCCCTGGCTCATACGTATCGCCTCTGCGCAAGCTACCGCTCGACATTCTGCACGGATGCCGGGCACGCACACCGGTCGCATGCGCTCACTGCGCCTGAGCGCCACTTGGAGGAGCCCGAAAAGGTCGCACCACCAACTCGGCATGGCGGAGAGATGCTGCGCAGGAGGAGCTGCACCGTCGCGCTCTGATGCCTCAGCGCACGCGTCTAATCGCGGCTCACCACGCAGTCTTGATACGGTGTGCTCAAATTGGCACTCGTCACCACAATGCATTGGGTTTTGAGTGGGGGTCGGTTTGTCGATGAACGACATGCTAAATACCGGGAAGGGGGGGGGGGGGGGGGACAAGCTAACCAGGGGGATGGGCCAGATCAAAGCCCAAAATATCCTGCCAATACGTCAGATCCCTCGCATTCAAGCACGCCGCGAGGCCGTCGATCGAATTCCTACCCATCTCGGCCGCCAAGGGGAGCACTGTATTCTTGGCCTCCTGCTGCAGCTGTTGCGGATGCCCCATGACCGCCGGGGTATTAGTCCACCCCGCGGGGATGGGCATCGACGTGCTTGCCGCGTTCGTGTTTGCGGGGGGAGCGGGGGAGAGATAGGCAGGATGGGGGGCCGAGTCCTGCGCATACGCGTCGGCAAACGTCGCTGCTCGTCCCATCTCTGGCCTGGGGCGCTGCATCGCAAACCTCGGATCGCGGTACGCATCCTGCGCACCACGCTCGTGCGTCCACCTCGCCTCCCTCTTCTCCTCCCAATGGTGCGGCCGCGCAGCATACCCATCCTTGCTTGCGGCTACCTGCTTCTTGGCCGTCTCGAAACTTTTGTCCAAGCCCGCATCGAAGATCGCCGCGATGAACCGCACGAGGTAGCCGGGGGCTTCGCGTTCCGTATCCACCACTTCGCCCGACTTGAGCCGCTGGGGCTGGTTGCACTCGCGCAGCATCTCGCGCAGATACCCCACGCCCTCCACCACCGTCGCCGCATCCAGGTGCGAGCGGTACAGATAAAACCACTTGACCACCTCGCTCGCCGTGATCACCAGGTAATCGTGTCCCACACGCACATACCCCGGCTTGCACAGGTTCTGCGCAAACAGCCTCAGACAGCGCATGGCACTATCCACCGTCTGCGCAAACCAAAACGCCGACCTATGCTCCGCCATATCTCCCCTCGCCTTGTTGCGCCCCGCCGCCACTTTGGCTGCCCAGTGCCATGTCGACTGACAGATGTAAAAGTCCCTGAATCCGTCCAAGTACGGCAACTCTGCCACGGCCGACTTGTCCATGGGAAAGCGCGGGTGGTACACGCCGTCGCTCACGTCAAAGTACCTCTTGCGCAGCATATCCAGCCTTGCACGGTATCGGTCAAAGAAGCCGCCGAAGGAGGTGGCGTCGTTGGAGCGGCTGATCATGTCGAGGAACGCCTCGTTTTCGAGCGTGAGGATCGACATGTCCAACGACCACGCCAGCCGCGAATCGACCGACAGCAGCACATCGCCGCCGGCACGGATCCACGCGTACGGGTCCGGGTAGTCTTCGAGCGGGATGATGCGCGCCCGCGGCTTGGCATGCCGATCATCGCGCCGCACCAGCTCGTGCACCAGACACAGCACGATCCACGTGCGCTGACGATCGCGCTCCAGCCTCCGACGATACCGGTGCGAAAAGCTGTCGGACCTCTCCCTCCCACCCTCCGCCCGCGCCCTGTTCGTCGCGTCGTCCGCCTCGATCGCCTCGAATGTGGCATGGAGCCCGAGCTCGTATGCGTATCCCATGGCACGCGCCGCCTTGCGCACGATCGTCTGGTCGCCCGGATCCTTCCAGGTGATCACCAGCACCAGCGCCTGCACATGGTCCATCGAACACACCTCTTGCGCCGCTGCGAGGTTAAGCACCGCCTTGGCCACCCGATGGCACTGCCTATGCAGATGCGGCTGGAAGAACCTCGACGCAACCGCAACGATGGTCGAGAAGAGGATGGGTGCGTTCTGACGACAGTAGTCGGGCGTATGCAGCGAGGCGTCGAGCAGCGCCAGCGGCGGATTGAGCTCGGCAAAGTAGAACTCGAACAGCTCGTGCGCCTGGTCGATGCTGATGATGTGCTGACGCACCGCGTCGTCGCCCAGATCGGCGGCGATGGGCGGTGGAGCCGCTGGGACGTTGGAGGCGCCGGGATGCGAACGCTGCATGGCGTTCTGCGCCGAGCTCCATGCCGACGTCCTGTCCCAAGCCGTCTGATCCTTACTGCGCGGCGGCGGTGGTGCAGTGCGATTGGCTGTGCCCGACGACGGTCCTGCCAGCGGCGGGAGTTCGCGGCTTCGATCGTGCTGAAAGGCGTAGGCATCTTGCTGCGCCCTCTCCTGTTCGTGTAGCTGTGTGGCGTGGTGGGGCTTTCTTGCAAACAGCGAATCCTCAAACGACGGAATCGACTGCAAATACGGCCCGAACCAGCGTCCATGCACGGAACCCTTGGGGCTGGGCAGTTTGGGCGCCGGCTCGATCCTGTCTGTGCGAGTGACTTCGAAACTTCGATGCGCATGCTGTGGTTGCTGAGCCTGCTGCGCATACTGTGGTGGCGACGGCGGGGGAGGTGAACGGGAGAGCTCGCGCGGCTTTGCGCGCACAGGCGAGGTGTTGCTGTTGGCGGAAAAGGAGACGCGTTCGGCGTCCTCGTCTTCGAGCTGGTCCTCCTCGTCGACGCCGAAGCTGTCTGCGTCGCTGCGTGGGCGCTTTTTGGGCTTGCGCCCACGGTGGTGCTCCTTGAACTCGCACACGAGGTCGAGGCGGTTGCACCGCTTGCATCGGTCGTCGTTCGCATTGGCGCGCGAGCACTTGACCTTGATCGCGCGGCACTTGAGACACGCCAGGTTCGAGCCGCGCTTTTCGGGTTTCTCCGAGTCGAGCAGTGCGCGTCGCACAGGCGTATCTGCCGCTGGCTTGTTCATTTCTGCCGACGGGCTGCGGGCGATGGAGACGGGCGATTTGGCGTGGTCGGCGACGGACTGCGATGGATCGAGCCACGCCGCGGCGGACGAGGAGGAGGTGTATGCAGCGAGCGGAGCGTTGGTATCTGGACGAGGCGATGTGGCCAGTGGAGCTGCGACTGCCGCTGCTGCTGCTGCTGCGGCAGCAGCTGCCTCGGCTGCAGCATCAGCGAGGCTGTTCATCTTGAAGGGGATGGGGAGTTGGAGCCGACGAATCACGGAGCGAGCTGATGCATGGCGGGCGGATGCAGCAGACGAAAGGGCAAGGGGTTATGCGGCTTTTTCGGTTGGCCAAAGCGTGCGAATCGTCGGTGTGGGACTCGATGATGGCCGAGTTAAGTTGGCGCTCGGTGTATAGTGTTGACCGACAAACCGACGGACCGAGGCTTGCTGTGTTGTGGCCGAAATGCGATGAAGTGGCGGGTTAAGCGGATGGTCGGCGAATGGAGGCGCGGAGGGGGGAGCGTATGATACAGCCGGTGTAATGAAGATGGTGGCGTGCGTGGGTTAGGGTTGTGGTGGTTGGGTGGAGACCAAGCGCCGCGTTTGAAAGTGGGTGGACAGCGCTTGCTCGGGGAGCGTGCGAAAGATGAAGGCGCGGTGGATACGATATGAGCAAGCGCTCGAGAGATCGTAAAGGATGGCGGTGGGAAGGCAAAAGGGGCAATGTCGATTGCAAGCAAGCTGGTCGGGGGCCACGGCTGGATGGGGCGCTGCTGTCGACTTGTGCTGCACTGCATCTTTTGGCAGCCGCCGCCGCAGCCGGAGCACGAGAGCGCCTGCTAACCGAGAGCGCCCAAAACGCGCGAAAAGCGAAAAAGCGCGGGGGAGACAAAGATGCATTTGGCGAGCGTGAGAACCGCTCGATGGCTTTACCGGCGCAATCGCCTCGACTCTGTATTGGCCGGCAAGTACTCGCATTGCGGCAGCTTCCGTCGACTCGGCTCGATCGTCTTGTCCGGAGTGTGAACTTCGCACGGGCTGCATTGCTTTGCGCGACAACGGGGGGACAAAAAAATAAAGTGGCCGGCCCAATCGCTTTTTCACGCCATTTCGTTTGCTTTTCGCCGGCCGCACCAGCTCACCGATGGCTGCTCGGTGTTTCTACTGTATTGATGCGCCGCCTCGGTCGGGCTAACCGGTCGACACGCGCGTCTTTTTTTTTCACACCCGAGCCCATTTGCTCCCCCCGCGCCGATTCGAGCGTTACAAGCGACTGCATCGGCCCTGCATCGGAAGTTCCCAGAGGCGTGTGTGCACGGTGCGGAGGGAGGTTTCGGGAAAGATCAAGTTACCGAAGCCGGATCTGCCTCTCTCTCTCTCTGTCTCTCTCTCTCTTCTTTTTTTCGAACCCGAGTCAGACGGAAATCCGCTCAGCCCGGACAGGGCCGGATGGGTGGGGGGACATTCGGGAACCGCGGATGAAGACTTGCAAAGCCAGAAAAAAGTTGCCGATGTCCACACACTCCCGCTTGGCCGCTTGAATCCAAGTCAAGCCGGTCTAGTTGCCACGCTGCCCCCACCCGCCAAAACTACTCGCCATCATTGCTGTCACATGTCAGCTTGGCGATTGTCACGTCGCTGTTGCGCGCCAGCGAAAAACAAACGGTGTGGCCATCACACACACGCCGGACGCCATCTCCTCCGCCTCGCGACTCGATCTTGTTTCCTCATACAGACCCGAGCAATGCGCGTTCGGTGTAGCTGTGTCGCGCGTCGTTACAATGTCGTACGGCCGCATCGTGCCACCGTCCTATGCGCTATCAACCTGCGTTGGAAGCGATAGCAGACGCGGGTGGCTGCGAGAGCGTGTCTCAAGTACAGCCACTGCCTCTCACCGTTCCAGCAGTGCCGATACCACGCATGCCCCGACTTCATCCCCCTGCAAAGTATTGTGAGAACTGTAGAAGGAAAATTGTCCATTGTAGCAAAAAATGAAAGATGTAGCTTGGTATCATCATGGCGCGCGCGCATTGTACGCCTGGGCTGCATCCCACACCCTCGGCTGCGTTTGCGGCTGCAGCTGCGGCTGCGTTTGCACACTCGCGCCACCCGCCGCGGGGCGGTCAAAGTCGATAGCAGCCTCGACGAGTCTGCCGTCTGCATCAAACATGGCCGGACGCGACGGCTGCACGGGGGGCGTGGGCGCCTCGTCCGACTCTTCCGCATCCACCACCTCGGCCTGCATGGGTTCGGCGATGCGCGGGTTGGACGACGTCGACACCTGCTGTCTCCCCCCTCGCCCATCCGTTGCCGCCAGTTTGTGCGACGACGATACAGAGCCGGGCCTGGACACCCAGAACATCTCCTCGTCCACTGCGGGCTTGCTCGCACTCGCTGGACGTACTGCCGACGCTGGCCGCGCCGACGACCGGTTCGGCAGCAGCAACGCCTGCTCCGCCGCACCCGGTGGCAGCGTACCCGATGCAGCATCAAGTGCGTCCAGCCCACCACTGGCGGGTGTCGAGTAGGCATCTGCCGCCGACGACACCCCGCGTCGCAGCCCACCGCCGCTAACCGACGCCTCCATCTCGCGACTGGGCGGCCGTGGCGCCGTCGTCACCGAGTCCAACACCCTCTCTGCGCCCGTTGAGCTTCGACGCGGCCGCTGCGGACGCACGACTTCAAAGCCCTTGGACCGCGCCGCCGAACCGTCCGCTTCCGAAGCCGGCGGCTCCAGGCTCGTATTGGCCTCTTCCGCCTCCGCCACGCCTTTCGCCCCGAGCCGCGCAGCTAGACTGCTCATGGCGGCGCTCATCTTGTTGAGCCCGCGCCAGCCGCCGCGAGACCGGTACGGCGCCAGCCCCGCCGCTCCATCGTCGTCATCGTCATCGCTGTCGCTGTCGCTACGCGCTCCTCCACCTCGCTTCCAGAACTTGCCACCTTTGTGCTTCTTGGTGGATTCGAGCGGCTGCCCTTCCTCGTCCACCGCCATCATGCCGGCGATCGACTGGCTCGCACGCAGCTGCGCGCCCTGCGAGTAGCGTCGCATCGTCGCATTCCTCGCCACCGCCTCGGTGCTCGAATGCCCCACCATATCATCTCCTCCAGCCGCCGCTGGAGGCGGCAACGATCGTCGATGCTGGTCGAAGTACGAGTCGAAACCGGCGCTGTGCGATCGGGGTCGCATGCGTGCCTGGGGCGGCAGATTCGCAAACTGCTGCGTGGGCGACATGCGCTCGTTGGGCGCGCCGGTGACGCTGCCCGTGCTCAGCGCGCGGTTGAGGCCGTTGCTCGACGTATGCAGCGCCTGGTACGGCGAGGTATCGCTCGCTCTTCCCCCGCCCATGCGCACGAATCCCGACTGGCCCGCAGGAGGCGGCGACTGACGCCCACCCCACTGGTGCAGCTGCGGCGGCGGCGACGACGCGCGTGCGCTGGCCACCGTCGGAGGCAGCGCAGCCATGATGTAGCCCTCGTCGTGCGGGTCGCCGCGCAGATACGTCGAGTAGGGGCTGTTGGTGTCCGCGAGCATGTCCGCCGGCGATCGACGCCCCTGAAAGTGCGTGTCGAGGTACGAGGCGTACGACGCCTGGCGCGAGTGCATGGGCATGCGGTTCATCGACATGGTCGACTGCAGCGACGTGCTGAGCCTGCGCGGCGACGACGGAATCGCCGGCGTGTTTTCGCCCGTCGAGCCGGCGAGCATGAGCGTCTGCGTGTTGGTCGATCCTGCGCGGTTCAGCGGCTGTTTCTGGAGCTGCTGCTGCGAAAGCCGCTTGCCCTTTTTGGTGAGCTGGATGGTCTCCTTTCTGCGCTTGATCTTGCGTATCGCGCCTCCGAGGCCCGAGGTGCGTGGCGAGGCGCGCTCGTCAAACGACGCGCGTCCGACGAGACGCACGACGCCCTCGATGATCTTGACGACGAGGATCGATGCCGCGCAGACGTAGAGGATGGCCTGGATAAGCAGCACCACGTACGTAAGCCATCCGACGGGCTCGCGGCCGAAATCGACGAGCGGGCTGAGCAGCAGCACGAGCACGGCGGTGATGACGCGCAGCACATTGGCGACAAAGCTGACGGGTCCCATCATGGCGCCCTCTCCCCAGGGCAGCCAGAGACCACACGCGAGTGCAAACATGATTTCGAACACGAGCACGATGATGGCCTGTGCACTGCCGCTGCCCTGGCCCGCGCCGATGACGACGCCGAGCACAAAGGTGCGCGCAAAGTCGACGGCACAGAAGAGCTGCGAGCCTGGGCTGTAGGTGTTGTAGAGCGGCCCAAAGGCGGCGAGCGTGTCGATGGAGTCGTAGAGCTTTGTTGTAGGCGCGCGGCTGATGCAAAACACGGCGTAGGCGGGCGCGAGCACCGAGAGAAAGGCAAAGGCGAGGCCGGCGAGCGCAACCGAGGTGGCGGAAAAGACGTCGGCGTTGGCCATGTGGTAGGTGGTGAAGATGGTGATGGGCAGGTGGAAGAGCAGGACGGCCCTGAGGATGTTGCCGTGGAGCATGCGGAGGTGGAAGGTGTTGTCGGTGGCGCCAAAGAGGCGTGTGCGAGCCGAGCCGATGAAGCGGTAGCCTCCGCGACGGCTGAGCGACGAACGGGGCTGGTCGTCGTCGTCGCGCTCTGCGATCTCCTTGGTTTCGAGACCGTTGGGTGCGGTGGCGAGGTCGAGATCGTAGCCGTCCTCGCGGCGCTTCTGGAGACGCAAAACGGTGTGGTGGATCGAATCGATGAGCCAGGCAGCGAGGGAGAGAGCGACGACGGCCGCTACGATGAGGAACCAGATGGCGAGGCAGGTGCCAAAGAGGTCGCGCGTTCGGAGGCCGATGGCGTGCGCGTAGGCGTCCATACCGGCGCGAGCGCCGTCGAGGTTGAGGAGGCGGTTGTCGGCCTGCCGGTTCATGTAGAGGGGCGAGGTACGGTTGGAGAACTGCTGGCTGATATCGCCGGAGGGCAGAGAAGCGTTGGTAGCGAGCAGGTTGAAGGAAGAGTCGAGCTCTGCGGGACGGATGAGGGTGACGTTGGCGGTGAGCGTGGACCAGGCGGCTTGCTTGAGGAAGGGGTAGGCGAACTCGGGCCAGCGGACGGCGATCATGGCGATGGCGGCGACGAACTGGGTGTGGAGGATGATGTCCCAGCAGCCTGGGGTGGCGAAGCGGAGGAGGGCGGCGCTGAGCGCGAGTTTTTGGCCCGAGAGGGACGAGACGAGGGTGGGGGCGATGGTGTCGTTGATGATGTTGGGCTGGCTCCCTTCCCTCGCCTTGTTCTTGAAGGCCCTGGCGCGCGAGGTGAGCGCGCAAAAGATGCGGCCCAAGGCGACGACAACGAAGAAAGCGATGGTGAGGGCGATGGGGAACCAAAAGATGAGGTCCCAGTACCACTTTGCGTCGTCGTAGGGGCTGGCGTATACCTCGAAGCAAGCGATGTCGAGGGGCGGGCTGGAGGTGTCGCTTAGGCGGATGCGGGTCCAGAGGGTTCCGAGGGTGTAGGTGTCGTTGAGCGGGATGCCTAGGCCGAGCGAGACTTGGCCGGGGTCGTAGAGGCATCCTGCGGGCTGGATGACGACTCCATTGACGGTGGTGCCGTTGGGGTCGGGTTGGGTGGGGTAGAGGCTGTCGCAGAGGTAGGAGTCGTTGCGAAAGATGCTAAAGGTGAGGAACTGGGTCTCGACGGAGAGGGTGCTGAGCAGCTGTGGGGTGACGTTGGTGTTGACGGTGCTGCCCTGTGCATCTGTTGCGCCGACGGCGACGATGCGCAGCACGCCCGAGGTGTACTGGTTCTGATCTGCGAGGACGCGCGATGGGTCGAGGTCGGGATCGAACTGGGTGTAGACGGCGGAGACGTTGATGCGGAGTTGTGGGTCTACAAAGTTGACCTGGTCTGCGGGGCAGGTTGTAAAGTAGACGTCCTTCATGCGCGAGGTGACGCTGTTGGCGGCATCGTCGTACTGCGAGGGGATGGGTTTTTGGAGGAGGAAGGGGACCTGTGGACCGGAGAGTTGGAGGTCTGGGATGACGGTGTTGGTGGCTTGGGATGCAGAGCGGGTCGGTGAGGCGCTTGCACCGGCGAGAGGGGTGCGTGTGGGAGTGTTGAGGGATGCGGAGCCTGTGGTGAAGGTGACGATTTCTGTGATTGTTTGGGCTGATGCCAGGCGGAGGAACGAGGCGAAGAGGACGAGCAGCAGGGCGAGGGACGCCGAGCGCAAGGGCGCGCCTGGGCGTGGTCTCGCCAGCGGCGTGGAGTGCATGTCGACGAAGCAACGTTGTGTGGAGCGAGATTCAAAGCAGGAGGTGGAGGGATTGCATCGCCATGTCGGCAGTCAGCCAGCTTGCGCGGTGGGGGGTGCGGTGGTCGAGATGATGATGGCGGTTGACGATGACGAGAAGGCCAAGCGAGATGAAGAGAAGGACAGCTTGGCTGCTGCGTCTTGACCCCACTGTGCGTGCAGCCGCGTTGCACACAGTCTTTGCCGGTGCCAATGCCAAGCTCCCGACGCACAGCCGCTCTCGATCGGCGTTGCGATTTCTGGTTGCCGAACAAAAAAGAAAAAGACGGGAATTTGTGGACATTTTTCGAGCCGAGCGTCAAACGTGCAGCGGCGGTGGTGCAGCTGAGCAGCTGAGCAGCTGTCAGGTCGGGTCGGGTGCGAAAAGTGGGAGCAGCGCAATTTGTTGCGCGCGCGACGCTCGAGCCGCTCCCAATCCTCCTCCTCTCAACTGGAAACGAAATCGTGCTCGCATCGGGAGCGCACAACTCGATAGCGATACTGCAAGATCCGATCGGCCTCCGATCCGCACGCGCCGTTGCTGTCTCACTCTGAAGTTGGCCGCGGCGAAAATGCCGGCCCGCGCTCAGCAACACAAGCTGAGCAGCCGAAGCGACAGACCCCAACATTGCATTGAACCCTATTCGATGTGCCACTATGCCTGGATCATCCGACCTGTCGGGGTGTTTAGATGAAGGGCAAGCCCGTGCCGGTCCTTTTGGCATACTGCCTGTACTCGTCTCCAAAGAACTCGACCAACCACTTCTCCTCGGCCCTCACCCTCCTGCTAAAGAACGTCCAGAGCGCGCCCACAAAGCCGAGCAGGGCGATCTTGTTGCCCAGCATGAGCTGCGTTCCCACCGCCCAGTAAAAGAACCCCACGTAGCTCGGGTGTCGCGTCCACGCATACACGCCGTGCGTCACCAGCACATGGTCCGCGCGCTTACGCTCGGCTACAATGTGGCTGAAGTTGTTGTGCGCCTGAACCATGGCCATGCTCCTCAGCACCTGTCCCACTCCCACCCCCGCCAGGCCCATCCACGTTGTCCAGCCGACCGCCTTGGACCAAGGGTAGAGGTGGGCGGTGAGGCCGAATTCGAGCAGCGCCACGAGGTGCGCAACGTGGTAGTGGATGCCGTTGTTCAGCAGGAAGCTGTCCGAGAACAGCCGCGTCGGGTTGAAGCTCGCCGTGACCATGAACTCGAGCATGTGAAACACCACCCACGCGCCCAGGTACAGCGCCAGTTGCGGCTGCGCGTACCACGCCAGTCCCTCCCCATCCATGGTCCCTTTGGACATCGTCTGCCAGACCAAGGTGGTGATGCGGGGGAGGACGAGTCCGAAAAGTACGCCGAGCGGAAACGCGGTGATGCACACCTGCAGCGCCGCGGGCGCATACGCCGCCGGAATCGCATACTGCACCGTATACTTGTCCGCCACCCACCGCCGCCACGATGGCGAAGCCGACATCCCACCGTTCTTGCTCGTGGCGGTAGCGGTCGGTGTGGGCGAGTCGAGGCTCGAGGTCGAAGACGCGCGCGAGGACGCCATCATGCTAGAGTCGAGCGACGAGTCCAGGTCCGACATTGTGACGATGGCGAGAAAGCAAGGAGCAAGTGAGCAAACGCGCGGCTATAAGTACGTCTCGGGCATACTCACCTTCCCTTTGATCGTCGCCAGCGTGTGGATCCGAACAATGCGCGCAGCGCTTCCCTTTGTTGTGGTTCGTCGTGGTGTGGGAAAAAGCCGCCGATTCTTCTCACGCCATCAACACAAAGGGGAGTCGGTCGTCAGGGTCCATGCGCGAAAAAAAGTTCGGATCTCGGACCCTCACCCGCGTGTCTCTCTCCACACTTGATCCCTCTCCACCACTCTTCTCTCTGCACCACTTCTCACTCGACACCGTCACTTTGACCTTTGTGCAGCACATTGAGCTCAGGATGGACCTGCTAACCCAGCTCGATGGCGACATCGACCTGCTGCTCAAGATCATGTCGTCCTCGGTCGCTTTCATCTCCCGCAAGGCCTCGCACACTCCGCTCCCCTCCTCCACCATCCCGCTCTCGGTCCTCGGCAAGACGGAAGCCATCACTCCCGCCGAGATGGACGAAGCGATCGCCGAGCTCGTCTCGGACCTGATCGAAAAAGCCGACTCGATCCGCAGCATCATTCGCCACCTCCCCACTGCGCAGGATTTGGCCACGGATACGCAGCTCCAAACGCAGCTCGACCAGATCCAATCCGAAATGGCACACGCGAACCACGAGTACCAAGAGGCAGTACACATGGCCAAGGAGTTGAAACAAGAGGTGGAAGGGTTGCTGGAGGTGGTGGCGGATACGCATAGCGCTTCAAGAGCTTGGCTCGTGCACGAATTGGAACACACACACACTGTATAATACACACAATGACAGCATCGAATGCGCATCAACTAGCGCTTGTCCGCGTCGCCGATGAGCCAGCCTACACCACGACTGAGCGAAAAGCCTGCAAACCCCCCGCCAGCACCATTGTCGTGGGGTGCGCTCTTCTTCCATCCCAAAAAGTCGCGCGCTGCACGCGCCGCATTCACCGCCCGCTCGGCGGGGTCGACATAGCCACTGCCACCCTCGGCCGCACCGGACACGGCATCAAAGTCAAACAGCCTCGCCGTTCTTGCATCCACCCCATCCTCCCTCGTCGCTTTTGGCCCTGCTGTGCTCGCCCCACCAAAGTACGAAAGCGGCGAGAACGATAGCGGCAGCAGGTTGGCAGCCGTCCCCACGAGCCCTGCATTCATCCCACCCGTCCGGGCGCCATCCTTCTTGGCCACCGCCCTACCCTCGTCGATTTCGGTGGCGAGTTGTTGGTCGAGCGCATTCCACTGTCGCAGCATCGCGCTGAGCTGGGTGGGGGGGCATAGGGCCATGGCGTGCGCGAGCATGTCGATGCGCCCCGCCGTATCCGTCCACATCGGATGCTTGCTCAGCTGCAAACAGCTCTTCCACACCACCTCCACCTCCGCACCCGACCTCGGACGCTGCGCTTTGTGAACGAGACGCTGGCAGAACGCCGCAGCGGCGTCAAAGTCCTCCGCCGCCGTAGCGGCGTCTGCCAACATGGCCAGCACTCGAACCTCCACCATCCCCTTTCCCGCCGCAACCGTGTCCAGACCACACAGCCGATGTGCTAGGTCCAGCACGAGCTCCGGCGACCGATGCACGCCCTCCTGCGACGCAACCAGCCGCGCTACCAAGTCCATCTTGTCCGTGGTCATGCGCATCTCGACTGGCTCCAACAGCCCGCCTGCGTGCCGGATCGACTTGAGCTTGAACGAACCCAGCCTGCACGCTGCGTCAATAAACTCGCGTTGGGCCGTGGCGCGCGGTGAAGCGGGAAGAGCATCTAGCACGCCCAATGCAAGTCGAACGTCCTTACTCCGTGTCGACGCGATCGTGGCCTGGTCGAACAGCGACGATGAGACGTCGAGCACGAGCTGCTCGCGCTCCTCGCCGCCTAGCGCGTTCGGGCCCGTGCTGAGCGAGGTGAACAGATCCACGTCGCCCGTACTCAGCACCTGCCCCAGCAGCAACCGCATCGCCTTGTCGCGCGATACCAGCGCCAGTGCCGACTCGGCTCCGCACAGGTCGAGCGTCGAGTGAAAGAACCCATCCCACGCGGCTCGGAAGCGCAGCAGCCCCGCATCCGCACCCGCGCGCTCCGGTCGGCCGCCCAGCGAGCTCGGTGGCGCGTTGGCCGTGCCGAATGCATCCATGAGCGAGTCGAGCGCCACCAGCTGCTGCGTCTGCGCCTCGTGATCCTCCCTCCCCGCGGAGTCGCGTCGCTCACCGCCATACGCAGCGAGCCAGCACAAGTCCAGCGCCGGCTTGTCGCCCTGCCCCGCAAGCAGCGCGCCGATCGTGCGCAGCCACCGCACATGCATCTGCATGCTCTTCGCCAGCTCTTCGTCGCTCTCTTCGCTCGAAACAAGCGCGAGCACTTGGCACGCCGGAACCACGCTCTGCGCATCGAGTGCAAGTGCGCCCCGCAGCGAACGCGCGAGTCTCGACTGCGAGGTCGTCGACACATGTGCCTGGCCCGCAAGCTGCGCCAGCACAACCTCGGCCGCCTTGACGAGCGACGCGGGCGCATCGAGATCCAGCCGGAATCCGCCCACTGCCGGCCTGGCGTACAGCGTCGCCGCAGCCACCCGCGCCAACCCCGGGGATGCGCTTGCTCGTGCCGCCTGCGCAATGACCTCGATCGCAAACGCTCGCGTGTCGACGCCGTCGTTCGAGTCAATCAGCGCAGTCAGGCGCTGCGACACGCCACCCACATCGCACTCCGCCACCAGCTGCTGGGCCGCCGCAGCTGTCGCATCCTTGTTGCGCGCCGCCAAAGACACCTGCGCGCTCAGCGCCTTGACCGCATCCAGGCTGAAGCGCGCCGTCTCTTTTCCTCCTCCGGCAGGGGTGCCTTGTTGTTCACCGTTGCCCGGGAGAGCCACGCTTGGCTTGCTAGCGAGTTGACTGCGAAGCCGCGCGATGGCGTCGTGCACGTCTCGCCCCTCGCACTGCCTCGCCAGCACGTCGAGCAGCACGTCCGCCTCCGAGTCGCTTCGCATCATCGCCAGTGCCTTTGCATAAAATTCGGCCCACTCTCCCAGCGAGACAGCTGGTGCCTTGGACGCTGGGGCCTGCCACGCGCTCTCCTCTCTTCCGTTCTTCCATGCGATGAGCATGCCGTGCTTCGCAAGTGCCGCATACGCCTCTTCGGACGGCGGGGCAGCAGCGAGCATCTGCGCCGCGATGGTCAACCGCACCGGCGCCGACTCTTCCACCAGCCACGCACAGCTCTTTAGCAGCTGCGCGACCATCTCCGCTCCTCGGGGGATCGACGCAATGCACAGCAGCACACCATTCGTCGACTCCTCCAGCACGAGTCCCAACGGCAAGACGGGCAGCGCCATCTTATCCGCCAGTGCATGCAGGCGCTGAAACATCGTGAGCCGATTCGCCAGCTGCTCGAATCGTCCCAACGCCTCTTCTGCCGACGCGATCAACCTCTCGTCGGCGTGTTGACCCTTGAGACTGCTGATCCACGGTGCGCCGACCGAATGCGTTGCAAGCTGAAGCAGTTGCTGTCCGAGCTGTTCGCGGCGCAAAAGCTCTTTGGCCTCGAGCGCATCCTCGCTGTCGTCGAGCAAGACGGCGTGGATGGCCATGTTGAATGCTGTCACCAGCCACTGTTTATCCTTGACCGTGCGGCAGATCGTCTGTGCATGGTGTGCGATCTCGTCCACCAGCGTGTCGCGCGCGTCCGCTGCACGAGACGCCGAGCGCCACGCCTCGATGAGCTGCACCCAGTGGCGCTGGCTCTGCCGCACCGCCTGGCTGCGCTGCGACGCGCGCGCCCTGCTCGACTTGGCCGTCGATGCAGACGCTGTAGCCGGCATTGCTTCCGTCGGCTATGGCCTTGCGATGGAATGGTGAGAGATGCGGACTCTGTTTGTATGTAGAAGGATCAAGAATGTGCTGAGCTGTGGGTGGTGAGTGTCGAGAGTCAAGAACGGCATGAATAACGAAAGGCCGCACCGTGCGCCGCTGCTGCCACCTCACCGCCTTGCCTCAAAATTCCGACTTCCGAACCAAATTCGCTTCCTCCTCCTCCTCCTCCTCCTCCTCCTCCCACCTTCACACTTCCCACTTCACCCTTGCATCCCCTTATCCACTTTTTCGAACGGCGAATTGGCGGAACAGTGAAGCATGGTTCGTGGTATAAAAGCGTGACTGATCAGCCTGAAACAGAATATAAATACAAATGCCAGCACCCCCCGCTCCCCCCCCGCTACGAAGCGCCGTTGGAGATGGACTGCAAAAACGTGATGATCGAGTTGTCGTCGTAGGTGTCCCAATTCATCGGATACGCTGGCGGAACCAGGCTTTCCGAGAGGTACTGCATTGTCGATCCGCCCGCTGCCGGTGTCCCATGCTGCCCTGGCGCATTTCCATGCCCCTGAAAGACAAAGTTCGCTTCGCCTGCCGCCGGACCATACTGTCCATTCTGGGGCGAAGATGTAGAGAGCAGCGAGGGCGAACCGGAGGTCTGGCTGGCGTTGCTATGGTACAGATGCTGACCCGTATACCTCGATGTGTTTGCGCCACCGTTTTTGGGCGAGGCACCCGCATGCGGCGTGCGGAACTGCGCAGGCACACCCACCGCACTCGACAGCTGCGTGAAAGGATTCAACCCCATCGCCCACTTTGCATCCTCGGAAATCACCAGATCCTCGGCATTCACGGGCGAGTTCTCGTTGATCGAGATCGTCGACGGCAGCTTCTTGCAGCAAAATCGCAAGAACCTCGCGAGGTAGCTGCCCTGCTCCAACGGATCCTCCAGCGACGGCGAGGTTGCATCCGCCGCCTGTCGAATCGCCGAACACGCCTGGATCGCCAGCTCCTGCGGCATGGCCCTCCAATTGTCGCAAATCCACACCGCCGCCACCGCCAAGTTGAGGATGACTATGTCGTGCACATATCGATAGTACCCCGCCTGCCCATAGGGTCCATTGAGCAGCTCGAAAAGCTGCACCGACAGCTCGGAGCACTTTTGAAACGCCGCCTGCCGATCCTGCGCAAACCCGGGGCCGGACAGCAACGGCGATGAGTAGATCGAATACAACGCGCGATGATAGTTGAACAACGTGTTGGTGTCGTGGAACAGCAGACACGGCCGTCCCGAGTGCTGGCAGGGGATCTCGCTCGCCGGCGGGTTCATCCAGATGGAGCTCGAGCACGTCTGCGCGGTGATGCCCATCTTGATGAGGCGGGCGTTGCGCAGACACGTCGCGCGGCTGATCTGCGCCGGATTGGGGCTGCGCGCATTCGACTGCTTGAGCGAGGTGATGAGGTCGCGCTTGATGTTGGCGTTTTCGCGCGAGGCGGCGAGGCGCACGTCGATGTCCTGCACCATGTCGCCGAGCGACTCGATCCACTCGCGCGGGTCCGGGAGCAGGCTCGGGTCGATGGCGGGCGGCAGATGGCGCTGGTCGCGATAGCCGTCCTCGAAGCACGAGAGCTGCATGATGGTGCGCTGCGACTGGATGAACGATCGCGAGGGCCCGTGCTTGGAACGCTTCTGCGGCGCGAAGAGCTCGTGCAGACCGAGCTCGAACGCCTGGGTGATGGCGAGGCGCACTTTGCGCCAGCTGCTGCCGTCCTTGGGATGCTTCCACATGGCGAGGATGGAGAGCGACTGGATGATCTCGAGCTGCGGCGGGATGTCGTCGGCAGCGATGCGCGAGAGCGCCGGTTTGAGGAACTCGAGCGAGTCGAGGTAGCGTTCGACCTTGATGAACTTGGACGAGACGGTGCAGATGGCGGCGAGGAGGATGCGGTAGTCGGGGCTCGACTTGAGCGCCTTGAGCGAGTAGATGTGCGAGTCGAGCAGCGCGATGATGGGGTTGAGGCGGTCGTAGTAGAAGCGCACGAGCTCGGCCACCTCGTCGTCGTCGAAGAGGCCTGCGGAGATGACGGATTCGATGAGCGGACGGCCTGCGGTGGAGGCGGTGGCGACCTTGACCGCCGGCTCCTCCTGGATGTGCGAGTGGAAGGTGGACGAGAGGAGCGCCTTGGAGGCGGTGCGCTCGGAGCTGGTGGTGTCGAGCAGGCTCTGTACGGAGAAGGGGTTGGTGGAGGCGGAGGCGGAGCCGTCGGTGTCGTCGTTGGGGCTGGGGCTGGCGGACTGGCGCGAGTGCGACTTTGGCGCGGGCCTGATCGGAGTGGCGGAGGTGGACTTGGCACGGTGGCCCTCGAGCTTGACGCCGCGATGGTGCGAGGGGACGACGCACTCGATGCTGAGACGGATGCATCGTGTGCAGGCGTTGGAGGCGGTGTCGTCGGGGAAGATGCAGCGCGACTTGATCTTGCGGCATCCTGCGCACGCGCGCCTCTCGGCAAACGGCGTGAACTGCTCCTTGGGGATGACGTCGCACTTTGCGGGCGGCATGGTGGCGACCTGAGAATGGACTGAGACTGCAGGAGAAGAAGCTGTCCGTCACCTGCGCATGTCGTTTGCGGCGAGCTTAGCTTTGGCTGAGGAGAGAGTAGGATGGCGATGGTGATGGCGATGGCGGAGATGAAGGGTGAGAGGTTGGGTCGATTCGAGGGTCCATTGGCAGCCGTCGAGTGGCGTTGGAAGCAGAGGCAGCCCAGCAGCCCAGCAGCGTGGCAGCGTGGCAGCGTGGCAGAGGCACTTTCTCAGGCACAACGGCACCAAAAAGCGCGCCTCGGACGCACGGCCGGCTATAGCAGCTGCCCAAGCCTGCCGGATTAAATAGTACTAGGAGCGGCTGCGGGCAAAAAAGGGCAGCGAAAGTGCCTGGCGCTTGGCCTTCCTTTCCCCTTTTTGTTTTGCCCCACAGATTCCCGGAGCCACGGCAGCCGCTCTTTTCATCAACAGAAAATAAAGAAAAGCCACTCTTTCCAGGCGCACAGTCGGCTCTGCTTCGGTCTTTCTTTTTGAGCCCTTTTCATGAAATCGAGCCAAAAAAGAAAGGAAGAAAAAAGTGCGGGACGGGAAAAAAATCGCTTCGAAAAAAAGAGGGCCAAAAAAGGGCCATAACCCCCACGGAGCCTTCGCTCGAGATCCAGCTTAGAGCGGATGTGCTCCCCCACCGTCTCCAGCCGTGCTTGTCCACGCTGTCACCCGCAGCTGCCCAATGATTCCATACGATTGCTGCTGCATCCAAGCTTCGTTTCCACACACACCCTCTCATCGTTGGTTGGCACCTCATCTGCACATGAAGAAAAACAAAACAGCAGGATTGCAAAATCGATGAATAGTCCAAGTTGCTCCGAAGATTCACCGTCCAAATTCACCACGCCTCCGCGCCATTGTCCGTCTTTTCATAGTCGAGACCGGGATGAAGCTGAACCAACCGATGCATCCGATCTCGACTGCGGTGCCACCAACGTTGGCGTGTGCGTGTGTGTGTGTGTGTGTGTGCTTCATAGGCTATCGGATCAGCGAGCCGGCACCGAGGTTGCTCCTCGACGGCTTCTTGCTCGCATATGGGCTCGGCACGGCGGACTCGGCGCTGGCGACAAAGAGGCGTTCGAACTCGTCGACGCCGCCGCCCCACACGCCAAAGTTCTGCTGCGTGAGCCGGCCCAGTGCATCGAGCTGGTCGATGACGTCCTTCATGGCGAGCGCGTACGAGTAGAAGAGCAGATATGCGCTCGAGCCGCGCACCGCACGCCGCTTCACCACCGGCAGCTCGCGGATGCGCTCCAGCAGCCGCACCCGACACGCCGCCGCCGGTGGAAAGTAGGGCGGAACGGGACTCTTGAGATGAAACGCAGAGCCGAGCGTGTAGAAGTAGAGCAGCACATTGCCCACCATCTCGCGCCGCTCGGCGTTGACCGGAATCACAAAGTCGCGCCGCACGTGCCGGTACCAGTCCTGCCGCGTCGTCACGCACCGCATGCTGTGCAGCTTGTCCAGGATGTTCTGGCAGCAGCTCAGCATCGATCGATACGTCGCCACGGGGAACGGGCCCTTGAGTCGCGGCTCGTGCTTCGTCTGTGCCAAAAGCCCCTCGAGCTGGATCAGCGTCACTTGCAGATGCAGCTCGATCGCCTGGAACTCGTCGCCATGCCGACTCGCAAAGCTGCCCAGCAGCGCCGCCTCCTCGTCCTCTCCCTCCTCCCGCTCGCTCCCGCCGTCTTCGTCGTCGCTGCCTCCGGCGCTCCTACGCGATCCCAGCTGCGATGGATCTCGCGAGTACGACAGCACCAGGCGCTGATACAGCCACGCCAGCTTGAACAGCACGTCCGAAACGCCCAGCGCCAGCTGGCGACGCGCCTCAAACGGCCACACGAGCTGGTTGAGCACCGTCGCCCACACCACGCCCACCACCACCGACGCAAACCGCTGCCACGCAATCTGCTCCACCTCCACCTCCGTCTTGCGCAGGTTGTACGAGTACAGCGCCGTCAGATTGTACGTCAGCAGCACAAACCGCCCGCTCGACGCCAGCTGCGGCTTGCCCACAATGTATCGGAAGCACGGCACCGAAAACACCACCCCAAACACTGGCAGCACCACATTGTTGTCCGGAAACAGCTTGTACACCCCCACCGCCGCACACGCACCCAGCAACGTCCCCAGCATGCGATGGATGCTCATGTGGTTCGACTGCCCCACCGTAGGCGACAGCACCACCATGAAGCTCACCAACGCCCACTGGCCCTGGAACTTGGTGAATATCGCACGCGTCGACGGAAAGAACGCCGGACTCGCCAGCAGCGCGCTGCCCAGCCCCGCCTTGATCGCAAACTTGGTGTCCGGCTGACGGAAGAATTCGCCCAGGCTCCACACCACCCGATTCATCTTTTCCTTCCACGTGAGCGCCTGGGGCGTCTGGTCCGTATTGCGCGCATGGCGCCGGTTCGACGGAAAGTCGAGCGGCGTCGTCATCTTCTTGGCCACGCCGCCCGCTCCACCCCGATGGCCCCTTCGCCTCCTGCCCTCGCCCCATCGCCAGCCGACCATGCTGGCGTACTCGGACACCATCGTGCCAAACGTGGCGAGGAAGAGCCGCATGCGCATCCACACCGACGTCTGCCGCGCCAGAGCGATGCCTTCCTCCGCCTGCCGAATCTGCTCCAGCGCCTCGATGAGCACCTCGAGCTCTTTGGCAAACTCTTCCAGGTTGAACACAAAGAAGAAGATCAGGAACACATCCTCGTCCCCGCTCGTCTTTTGCAGCAGAGAGCTGACGCCGCCATTGGCGTGACGTGCGCTGGGGTCCGATGTCACCTCGCCGCTCGCATCGACAGCTCCTGCCAGCTTCTTGGGCTCCATGGTGTAGATGCGCTTGATGGCCACCGTCTGCTCGTGCTGGAAGCGACGCAGAGCGTTCGAGATATCCGTCTGAAGCCCGTCAAAGCTGGTGCCGGGCACATAGGTGCCGCTCGACGTGCCGAAATTGTGCCATGTGCCCGTGCCTCCGTGCATGGCACTGTAGCTCGAGGCTTCCTGGTGCAGCGTCTTGGCGTCAGCGCTCAGCGGCTCTCGAGCGACAAAGGTCGATCGCAGACCTTTGAGTGTGCGACCGCAAGAGAAGACCAGGCTGCGCATGTGCGGACCCACGCTCTGGATAAAGTCTTCGAACGCAGTGGCACTGTCTGCAGTGCGGTTCATCGCAGCAGCCTCCTCGCCTCCCTTGCCGGAGGCTTGCTCAGCGTCAGAATCGGCGTCGACCTCAAACAGGTCGGCCAGCCTGGACGACGCAGGACGAGATTGGGGTTGCGAAGACGTTTCACCTGGCTGAGTGGTCGCGACCGAGGCCAAATCGCCCTGATCACGAGCCAGTCGCTGGGCCTCCTTGCGCACAGCCATGATCTGGTGCTGGAGGCCGCAGCTGCTCCTGAGGCCCGTCAGATGCTGGGCGAGGCGATTGAGCGAGTCGGTGGCCTCGACGTACTTGTGCGTCATGCCGCGCATGCGCAGGTCAAACAGCGACTCGAGCTTGGCCTCCGAGAGGTTCTTTTTGAGCGAGGTGAAGCTGTCGTGGTGATCGTCGATGGCGCGCTTGATGCGGTCGCTCTTAAAGTGAAAGTTGCTTGGATCCTCTAGCAGGAACGTCTTTGTGAGCACACGTAGCAGCGTCGAGAAGCCGCGCAGATTGCGCACGATGTCGCTCTGCAGGTTGGTGGTGGCGCTCTGCGGCCATACGTAGAAGCAGACGACGTTGCTGATGAGCGAGCCGACGAGCACGACGAGCGTCACCTGCCACGTCTTTTCGGTCGAAAAGTGTCCGAGATGCAGCGAGCCCTCTTTGACAACCACGGTGAAGACGATGATCGAGATGAGCGAACAGGCCGTGTTGAACTGCGGCTTGGCCACCTTGATCTTGGCGTAGCCGACGAGCGCCATGCCGAGTCCGAGGAAGAAGAGCACGCTGACAATATCCGAGATGAGCAGCCGGTTGGTCTCGTGCAGGAAGACGGCGACGGCCATGGAGCAGAAGCCCAGAGTGACAGCATAGACAAACGCACCCACTGCAAAGATGTCGGCCTCGACCATGGCGCCAAGCGTTTTTGCGGGGTGGAAGTAGACGGCGACGGTGGCTATCATGTGCAGGTTGGAGAAAGGCACGTCGTCTTCGGGATCGTTGTTGGGCAGGAAGGATGCGAGCCAACGGCTCAAGGCGGGAGAGTAAGTGAAGAGCGATGCGATCAGGTAGGCGAGAGCACACTTGACGATGCTCCTATGGAGCAGAGTGACGTTGTTTCCCTTGGTCCAGCCGCAAAGAGAGCTGTAGGCAGTCTTGAGCGGCGTAGCGATGTCGCGCGAGGCGCGAGAGGTTGTTTCTTGTTCTGAAGCGGTTCCTCGACTGCCATGGCCAGGGGCAAGGGTGGATGCAGGATGCCTTGCTTGTGCATCAACGCGATCGGCGTCGCAATCACTGTCCGAGTCGGAGCCAGACTCGGAGTCGGATTCCGAGTCGGTTTCTAGGAGGAGGTGCTCGGATGAATAGAGCAGCGGATCCTCGCCTAGTGGGGTCTGGTCGGGATCGTTGGCGAGCATGCTGGCGGGCTCCTCGCTGATGGACACCCGGTGCGGAAAGAGGTCTTCGACTGCGGGTGAAGCGGCGACCGATGCAGTGTGTGAGGTGCGGGAGCGGAGCTTGATGCTCGAGTTGCCCTTGAGGGAGGGCGTGCGGGCGAGGCTCGCGATCGAGTCGTCAGGATTCTCGTCTTCCCTCTCTTGCACGGTACTGGCGGATCGGCGCAAGCGATTGGCTTGGCTGTCATACGAGGCATCGGCAGCAGGCGCGTAGATCAGCGACGATCCCGAAGCGCCCGACGGACCAACGGAAAAGCGCTTGCTCCTGCGTTTGAGGCGTGATCTGGAGCGGGAGCGTGGGGCCTCATCGGTGTCGTCGGCCGCGTCAAAGAGGTGGGCGAGCGACTGCCACTGTTCAGCGTACTGTCCCGGAGCGAGGAGGTGACCGACGTCGCCGCGGATGGTGTCGGAGGAGATGCCCTCGTCATCGAACCTGCGCGCGTCCTCAAAGGCACGCGAGCGACGCTGAGCCATCTTGGTCTCGCTCTTGAGTGCGGATGCGACGCGAACCCGCTGACGCACGGCGTTCCAGAGATTGGGGGTCATGGTGCCCGTAGAGGGCAGCGACTGGGTGCTCTGAGGATGGTCGCGGTCCGAGACGACGCGACGGGTGATCGGACGAGCCGAGGGACGGAGGAGCACCGATCCACCTGCGGTCGACGGCCGTTCGGATGGTTGAGGTTGGGGATGCGCCATGGCACCGGTCGCGGGAAGCCCGAAAGGATCGATGCGCCTCTTTCATCCGCAGCAGTCGGGTGTGCGCCGATGGAAGCTGAAACGAAGCGCTGTCGTTGGGAGGAAGGGAAGGTTGGTTCGTGTGTGTTTTTCGMCTCGCCTCGCCTCGGCCTCCTGTCCTTTTTTGGCCGCTGCTGCCCCTCTCGGCGAAATGAAGCCAAGAGGAGGATCCGCGATGCAGGGTCCACCCAAAGCTGCGCCGACGTGTTGGTCTGTCTGAGCTGCAGCAGAGCAGCAGAGCAGCAGCAGTCGCAGAGATCCGCCGCGCCGAATTTCCTCCAACACTCGATTTGCTGGTGCAGCACAGCTGCTTCGCTCGCTCGGATCGCCTCTGTTTCCGGCCTCATTCATATCGCTCGCTTCCGACAGTGCGCGAGACTCGAGATGAACCGCACCGCCGCTCACGGACGGAGCGAGAGGTGATGATGGGCCTCTTCACAGGCGCACCTCGGACTGCACATCGACCCACCAGGCAGCTCAAGCGTCGCTCGCTCGGCGGCAAGCGAGCTGGTCCGTCGACGTCGAGCGCGTCGAGCGCAGCTGTTCCCTCCGAGCCGTCGCCGAACGGCCGCACACCCACGATCACAACTACAAATCCGCAGCAGACACCTCCAAGCTGCACGCTCAAAGCTGCGCGCGACGACGAGACCACGCAAACTCGTCTGGACTCCAGCGTCGACGACGAAGGTGCGGAGCTGGATCTGGCCGACTTGCGGAGCGACGACGCGTTCCTTTACGAGCGCAGTGCGCCCGTCGATGCCGCGCTTGGACTCCATCCATCGGCCCCTCAACCATCCATGCTTGAGCGCATCGACCTGTATGTCGCAGAGCACTACCTCGACTGCTTTGGCATCACGCACCGAGACGAGCTGGTGCGACACCACAACCGCCTCATCCCGTTCTTCGCCAAGGCGCCGCGCTTCGTGTCGATCCACTCGCTCAAACAGAAGGAGCTCGAACGCGACTACACCGAGGTGCAAGATACTGCCAATACGTGCGCTCGCAGGCAGCTCTGCCAAGGGCGCTGTCTGCTCGGCTTTGCCTGTCCCCCCGATCAGTAGCGAAAGGGTATCTCCCTCGAGATGAGTTCTCCCGCAGCCTCGGTCTGCAGCCTGGAGAGCGGCGAGTGGGATGGCCAGGAACAGTGCTTCTACTTTGACCGCCGCCCGACTGCATACGAGTCGTTCGACCCAGAGCAGTCGTTCGAAGGATACATGCATGTATTTAGCAGGCCGCCCACGGACGATGCTGCTGGTGGCATCCTCGGCACACATCCTCCCGCCCATTGCGACGACACTCCTGCTCAAGGACACACTAAGCAGATGCGAGCCGAGAGGCGCTGCTTCAACTGCGGAGAAGCCGGACACGCCGTATCGCAGTGTCCGCTCCCACGCGACCGCGAGCGCATCCGGCAGAGCCGACTCGAGTTCGAGCAGGACAAAACGCTTCGAAGCGGCGACTCGGAAATCAACGCGCATGCCAGACTGCACGAGCAGGTAGCATCTGCACAGCAGCGTCTGCAATGGCTCGACGAGTTCATCCCGGGCCAGCCGAGCACAGAGCTCATCCGAGCACTCACATGGGATGCTGCCAGCGAGACCAACGACAGAGAAGACAGCGATGCAGAGCTGCCCACTTCGACACTCGACCTGCCTCACCTGCGAAACATGCTCGTCTGGGGCTATCCACCCGGTTGGATCGCACCGCACGACCCAATCGAAAGCGTACGGCACCGCATCCAGCACGACACCGAGTGGAACGACGTCGAGATGATTCGTGGCTTTGATGTGGCGAGCCTCGGAGCAGCCAAGACCGTCGCCGCTGCCACAAGTCCCAGTCCGGCAGGCGCAACCCCCCACGGTACAGAACGTCGCTGGGTCGACTTCCACACGCAATTGTTCGACAGCAATCGGCTCCAGAAGTTCGACACGGTCGACCGGCGGCCACTGCCACGATTCGAGCGCGATGGCGAGCCAGATCAGTCGCTCAGCTGCAATCGAGCCGGAGACGAAAACGAGTGGGGGAGGGCAAGCAAGCGGTATAGACTCGGCGGAGCGGAGCGAACAGTGCAGGACAGAAAGGCGCTGTGGCAGAGCTTGCTGACCGAACGATCTCCATCCCCACCGAGCTTGCCGCCCGAAGAGCCGCCGCCTCCCCCACCGCCAACGTCACCACCACCACCACCGCCATCGCCACCGTCATCGCCAACGCCGCCATCGCACACGTAATAACCAACACTGTAGCAATGAACGCAGCCCAGTCGTCAGGACCGACGCTTGAAGCGTCCCGGAAGAGTGACATTGCGTGTGGCCGGAGAATTTCGCGGCGGTGCCGGGTGAATTTGGCGTGTGGGTCGCATGTGGAGTAACGCACAGCCCTTCTTGTCCGCTCGGACCACCACACTCATTGCGCTGTCGCTGGGCTTGCTTTCCGACCACCAACTGCATCTTTCCACCATGACAGGCCGATTTGCACCCGCTCGGGGCGAGATGCTCTCACTTTCGTCTTCGCTCACCATGGTCGACGGCCACACCATGCCTCGATTCGGTATTGGAGCCTGGGACATGCGCGGCGCCGAGTGTCGCACTGCGCTCCAGCACGCCTTTCGTGCAGGCTATCGACATGTCGTAAGTCGACCGTCCCCCTTCACCCTCCAGGACTAGGCTTGCTTGCTGATAGCTGCGTCTGGTAGGATTCGGCACGATACTATCGGAACGAAGCTGAATGCGGAGCGTCGATTCGCGAGTGTGGCGTTGCCCGCTCGGAGATCTTTGCCACCACCAAGCTCTACCTCAACGACATGGGTGGTGGCGCCAAGACCCGTTCTGCCGTCGAGGACAGTCTAGCCAAATGGGGGCTCGACTATCTCGACCTTGTGCTGCTGCATGCTCCCGACGGAGGCAAGCGTTTTCGTCTCGATTCATGGGCTACGCTGACCGAGCTTGTCCAAGAGGGCCGCATCCGCAGCCTCGGCGTCAGCAACTTTGGAGCTCACCACATCAGGGAGCTTCTCGACAGCAATCCGGCGGTGCGTCCGGTATGCAACCAGATCGAGTGCCATCCATTCTTTGCACAGAAGGAGCTCAGAGCCGCGTGCGAAAAGGAAGGCATCATCGTGCAAGCGTACTGCCCGCTGGCAAGGGGCCAGTACTACGGCGACAAGACGCTCAAGAAGGTCGCCGACGAGACGGGCAAGACCCAAGCACAGGTCATGCTGAGATGGCTCGTCCAGCACGGCATCGTCGCTCTACCGAAGAGCAGCAACCCGCAACGCCAAGTGGAAAACGCCGACAGTCTGAAGTTCGAGCTCTCGGATGAGCAGATGAAAGGTAAGCTCGCGAACTGATGCTGCGCACAAAGCGACTAGAATGCTGACGATGGTTCGAGAGGGTCCAACAGAATTGGACGCACTCGATCGAGGCGACAAGGGCTGGGTCGAGATTCAGACCCAGAGCCAGCACTGCGACTGAAGAGGCACCACAGCCATGTATGACTTGAACGCAAGCCCAACGATGAAGCTCCGACAGCGACTCAGCTGCGAGTGTTGGTCTCGGTGGCAGACGCGTAAAGCCGAAATTGCAGCGCGATTTGTTTGGGGATGTGAGATCGATGCTGAGCGTGGAGTCGAAAAAAGGCTCAGTTTTTTGGCTGCGTCTCGCTCTTTTCGGCGCGCCACCGACACGCGGCACACGCGCCGCGAGAGGGCGGAGCGAGAGAGGTGGCGGCGAAAACGCGAGCCGAGCTGGCCCAAAAGTAACACTTCCGCACCGCATCCTCAGCCTCCACTCTCTCTTCTCTTGCCTTCTCTCCTCATCATCCCGACCTTCTCGAGCCTGCCCCACTGCAACCCACACGCGCTGCTCCTCTTCCTAAAACGCACACGCTGTGGAGAATGCCCTTTCTCGGGCCCGAAGCATCCACCTCGATCTCCTGGAACGGCATCGTAGACGCCGGTACCCACGCCACATCCACCGCCTCGACGGACGCTCTGCCAGGCGCAGCGACGTGGCCGCCCTCGGCTGCGTCTTTATCCACAGCACAGTCGCACATGGACAGCTCGGCACCCGTGGGCATCACCGAGATCAACCTCGTCTCGTCGCCGCCCACCAGCCATGCCACATCGCCACTCCGCCCTTCGGCACGCAACAATCTCCCCAGTCCATCTGAGCTGAGAGCGGGCTCCAAGGCTGCTATCTCGACTGCCACGGCGGCGAGGCTCGAAGGCGCCTTTGTGGCGAATAGCGATCCCGAGGACGGAGGCGAAATCGAAGCCGACGGAGCAGATACGCCGCGAGACCGCTCCAGGTCGCCGGAACAGGTAGACGTACCGGAAAGTACGGTGTACGTGCAGCTGCCTGCGTCGTCTCCCTCCATGGCGGTACACAGCGGTAGCGCCTCGCGGAGGAAGAACAAGGGCGCAAGCGGTTCGGATAGCCCAAAGCGTCGGCGACGCGGCTCGAAATCGTCCGAGACCTCGCGGCCGGGCGCGTCCAGTGTGGTGGACGACGCTGCGCTTGCGGCGCAGCTCGCGGCGCAGGAAGCAGCGCTCGCGCGTCGACGCCCCACGCGCGGTAGCCGCAAGGACGTGAGCTACAGCCCCGTGTGCGATCTCGACGGCAAGCCGCTGCGGAAGAAGCAGGCAGCTGCGGCAGCGCCAGCCAGCTCGTCGGCTTCGACTTCTAAGGACAAGTCGAAGAGGACCACACCGACGCGCAAGGCCAGTGGAAAGCGTCGGTCGCGCGTCTTTTCAGATGACGAGGATGAAGATGAGCATGCAGATGCTGGCTCGAGTAGCGCAGCTCCGGCGAAAGCGTTGGCGGCAGAGAAGGAGGGCGGTGGGGAGGAGCAGCACGATGCGGATCTGACGGACGAAGACGTCGGCTTCCAGGCGCGCGACAGGAAGAAGCCGAGGAAGAGCAAGCCAGGTCGGGCGGAGGAAACACAAGAGCCGGATGTGGCTCGAGCGGAAGCATCGACGCCCGGAAACAAAGGCAAAGCCCGTAGACGCCACGACGAGGAAGAGGAGATGCACAGCGATGCATCCGGCGGCGATGGGGATGACGGCATCCTCACGCCTCCTGCACCCACCTCGCCGCGTCGCAAGTCTGGCAAACGTAATGCTTCTCCGGAAGTGCAAGCTGCAGAGCCAGACACCAACTCTGCAGCCAGTGGGGTTCAAATGGCCAAGACGCAGAGTGGGGACGAAGACGAGCAGGAGAAGGGGGACTCGGCTGCTTCGCCACGTTCATCGGCAGCCTCGGCGGAAGCCGCCGCATCTGGGCGCAAAACGCCCGCCACGGTGGCGATCAAACGCGTGGGCACCACCTCTTCACCCTCTGCGTCACCCAGCACCCGCTCGTTCTTCGGCAAGCCGCTCACGTCGCTTCTCACAGGCACGGTTCGCCGCCCGGGCCTCACACGCAAGACCAACATCCCGTCTCTGCTCGCGCACCGCGCGGCGCCCAAACCTCCCGCGCCCAAGCTGGCGGTGTCGAAGCGGCGGATGCAGGACGACGACTACGAGTACGACGCGGCGTACGAGGCGCTCATCGCCAAGCCCGAACCCGACTCCTCCGACTCGGACGAACCGGCTCCGAACCAAGTGGAGTATGAAGAAGAGTACGATTGATCGCGTTAATGTACATGTCTACTTGCGGGACGAGAGGAGTTTGAGCGTGGTTACGAGGAGCGGGATGAGGAGCGGGGCGAAGAGCGGCGTGTAGACGGCGTACTTGTGTTCGTCGGGAAAGTACAAGAGGCCCAGCATGGCTGGATTGAAGAACGCACGATTCGCCAGCGCCGCTGCTCTTTCCACCTGCTTTAGGGCGGCGTGGATGTCGATGACTGGATTCGGCAGGGCCTGGAGGATGGCTAGGGCGGTTTGGGTGTCTTGCTGGACCTGGGTACCCACGCCTAGGTTGTGGATCTTATCCACCAACCCGACGATGGCACGTAGCGTCGATGTGGCTTCTCTTGCAAGTTCCAGCGTGCGTCTCTGCACCAGCGTTTCCTTGCCATCATGACCCAACAGAATCGATAGCTGGCGTGAGAACACCCCGATGGCATCGTGCACAAGCTCGGCGGGCAGTTGGCGCATCTTTCCCGCCCCCGCCGTGTCTAAGCTCGAATTGGAGTGCGGCGGGTTGAGGATGACCACCCCGCCCCACTGGGGAACGAGCCAGGCGTGGTCGGGGCTGATCTCGCCCGAAGCGGTGCGGATGTGCAGCGGCGACGACGAGCGCGCCGGCACATACAACAAAAAATGCAGATCGTGCGTCTGCGCAAGCACGTCGAACGGCCTCCCATTCGCAACGTCCTCCTCTCCCGGCGCCGTGGGCGGCACAGTCGAAGTGAGCGCCCAATCCTCCGAGTTGACAAACACCTTGAGATCGTCCCACTCGACGACATGACGTGGTGGCAGCGCCGTTCGAACCTGCTTAACCACCCTCTGCACCGTCGGAACCTCGATCATCCGCTTCTCTCGAACCACCTTTCTCTTCCCCAGCTCCTCTTCCACCTCGCCCTCTTCTGCATCGTCGGCATCTGCATCTGCGTCGACTTCGACATCGTGCTCGACCTCGTGCTGGACCATGACGAGTTCGTCCACCTCGGTCTCTACGATCTCCTCGAGCACCTCGTGCGTCGGCCGGAAGGCGAGCGGCGCAAACCACTGCACCTGCGTTTCGACGTGGAAAGTATGCAGCCCCTCCAGCTCTCGCTGTAGCCTTGTGATTGGATTCGCCGCATGCGGTCGCGCGAGCGCATGGATGAGCGCGCTGTCGTACGCCGTGCTGTCCGAAGCGTCCTGGTTCATGATGCTGAATACCAGCCGCACGTGCTTGCTGTACTGGATCACGCGCGCATCCTGCACCGCCTCGTCCGACCCGACTTTATCCCCGCGCAGCGCGAGCACTTCAGCGACTACTGCTGCACTAACCACGTCCGGAACGAGCGGTACTGCTGCATCTTGCTGTAGCACGACGCTCGGCAGGTCTCCATCGCCGGCTGCATCGCGCGAGTTGGCGTCGAGCACCCGAACCGCGTACTGCGTCTTGTCGCGCGTCGAGCTGCTCGCGAGCGACCGCGCATGTACCGTCCATGTGGTGCACTCGAGACTAGCCGCCGCGGGCGTCTGGGACTTGAGCGCCAGACTCTGCCGCACGAGCGTCTCGACCTCGCCGAGGAAGCTGTCGTGCTGGTCGGCTGCAGCGGGCAGGATCGACGGATGGACAAGGACACCCAGCGACGCCGCAAATGTGATCGGACACGTGTCGGCGGTTGGTAGCGCCTGCACCTGGCGTGTGGGCAGCGCCAGACGCTCGATCGTCGTCAGCCGGATCCACGACGGAACGCTGAGCGCCAGCGCGAGCCAGAAGCACAGCAGGATGGCGAGGCGCGTGCGCCGGCTCTGAAAGGCAGGTGGGGACGCCACGGCCATGGTTTGTCCAACGTCGTGTGTGGCCGTCGCTCTGGCTTGCTCTGCAATGCTAAAATGTCGGCCAAACGTCGTCGAGGAAGCAAGGCAAGGCCGAGTCCAACCAAGATCAACACTTTTGTGGTCCTTGCACGAGGCAGCCTTCCTTGGGCGCCATTTGTAATTGTGAGGAAGAATGCAATGTAACACTGCAAATCGCGCCGAAAATCCTCCACATCCGCGCGCCGTCGATTTGCGATTTCGCGAAGTCGGGGAAAGAAATCCGCGCTTTCACGCAGCGACGGCTCAAAAGAAGAGAGCCAAAAGCGAGCCGTGCGTCGCCTCGAAGGGACAGCAGCAGACGGCCAGAGGCAGAGGAGAGGGAGATCGACCGTCCATCCACACCACCATCATCCACACACACCAGAAGCTACTGCAAGCTCCACTAGGTCTGGGACTGCTGCTCCATCATGTCGTCGTCGCCAACGACACCCATCAAAAAGGAAAAGGAGGCGTCGCCGCCATCGCTCGTCACCAACACGGCGCGCATCCCCTCGACGTCCTTCAGCGCCGCCTCGTCGCTCAGCGCGAGCTTTGAGCCGCTCAACTCGACCGAGATCCTGGAGCGCGTGCCCAGCCCTGTGCTGCGTCTGGTTGCGGCCCTTGGTCCGGCGATCCATGCGGTGCACCGCCTCGTGCGCCTCGCCACCTGGACGGGCGGCAAGGCGTCCACGTCCGGCTCGGTGCTGCTGCTCGTCGGATTCTGGCTCGCATGCGCGTTTGGCTACGAGCTGCTGCGGTATGCACCCCAGCTTGTTGTGCTCGCCTGGATCGCCGTGGCGGGTCTGCGCAGGCAGCTGGCGTTTGCAAGGCCGCGCACCCACTCGCCCGCCAAGTCGCTCGATGCACACACGCTCGTGTCCGCCGCAAGCATCAATGCGACGCTGCTCGAGCTGAGTGAGCTCGCGGACGTGTGGTCCAGCTTTCGCACGCACGTGCTCGTGCCGGCGGTGCAGCTGGTCTCGTGGGATCCCAGCCCCATGAGCACACGCGCCGTCGCAGCGTTCCTCATCCTCACCTGGCCGCTGTGGCTGCTCGCCGTGCTGCCGCTGCGCGAAAGCGGATTCCCCAGCCTCGTCCTCCCTGTATCGGGCGCCGGCATCATCGCGTCCATCGCAGCATGGAACCGCTTCGTGTTCAATCACATCCTCAAGCTCGTCGGACCCGACCACCTCACCGCGCTGCATGCCAAGGCCGCACCTGTCTATGCGCACGTCGACCGCGCATCCGCACTGCTCGCCCGAACGCCGCTGCCCGTAGTGTACGCGCATCTGTGTGCCATTGCTGCCAAGGTGAGGTGGGAGCAGTGGACCGAGTTCAACCTGACGCTGCTGCCGCCGTATCCGATCGGCGCGCTGAGCATGCGCAGCCTCGTGTGCATCGTGGGCACCGTCGCGCTCACGTGGTGCTCGCCGTGGTGCGCGCTCGTGCGCCAGGCCATCTGGAAGAGCGCTACGATCCGACGCATCGTGCGCGGCACCGGGCGCGTGCTCAGCGGCCAGACCTCGCCTCGCCAGGCGTACGGCAAAGGCAACCTCGACGACGAGTACGCCCAAGGCCTGTACCACTCGGACCTCGCTGGCGCCCGCAACACCACGACTACGCTGGCCAAGCACGGTAAGGCTGCGGCACCGGGCGGTGGGGACGACAAGACGGTTCGGCACGAGGACGTGGTGTACCAGTTTTCGATCTTTGAGAATCAGCGGTGGTGGGTGGGGTTGGACTGGACGGCGGCGCTGTTGCCGCAGGAGCGTCCGAGCTGGTCGGACGAGTCGAACAGCCCCGTGTCGCCGCCGTCGTCGTTCAGTCTGCCGGCGACCAAGATCATGCTCACGCCCGCACCGACGCCGCAGGACCCCAAGGCGTTTACGCGCCGCACGATCAAGTGGGCCTGGGTGGATGCCGAGTGGTCGATCGCCGGCGTGTCGTCGCGCGGCTACTACCCGTCGTCGGTGTACAAGGGCAGCGCCAAGGATGCTGCCATCCACTCGGCGCATGCGCTCGGCGACAAGGACGCGCTCAACGCAGCTAAGCAGGGGTATCTCGGCGATGCACTCAACCGCATCCGCGCACGCACGGACAAGGACAAGGACAAGGAGGATGTCGGCGATGTCGGMACCACCGTGCACCGCGTCGACGGGAGCGAGGAGGAGTGGGATGTGGATGCAGATGGGTGGCAGTACGGCGACAATGCGTGGGACAAGATGTCCAACAAGTCCGGCATGGGCCGCTACACGCGCCGCCGCAAGTGGCTGCGCAGAGCGGTGCTGATCGAGCTCGTCGAGTACGGTGTGCACGGCCCCACCCCCTCATCCCCCTCCCCCTCCGCCTCTGCACCCAAGGCCGAATCCGCCCCCGCTGAGGTCGAGAAGGTAGACGGCATCGACCCTGTGACGCCTCCCTCGACTGACGCCGACATTGCCCCCGCCAGCACTGCTGATGCTTCATCTTCCCCATCCTCAGCGCTGGGGGGTAAACGACCGAGCATTTCGGACCGACTGGCCAAAGCGGCCTCATAATCGCTGCACCCTGAAAATCAATTGCGAACCGTGGTGATGGCGACCGAACCTAGTGTGCGGCGCATTTCGGCCTCGTCTACATCGTGGCTGTCCTCGACGGCGCCCCAGCGGTTGATCTGGCTCTGCACCTCCACCTCTGCCGCCTGTGCCGCCTGCTCGACCGAAAGATGGCGCGAGACAAGGCCGAGGCTGATGAGGAACGACTTGGTGAGCATCACGCTGCGCTCGAATGCGGCGAGGTCAAAGTGGTCCAGCCTAGCCAGATGGTCCGCGAACGTGTCGAGCGTTCCTCGCGGATGGCTGTTTCCGAGCAGCCCGGTGAAGGGTGTGATCTTGACACCGTAGGTCTGGTTGACGTGGGCGAGGAGCGGTTGCCAGTGCTGTTCCTGCAGCTCCACCAGTGCCTTTGGTTGCGTCTCTTGAAAGCTACCTCCCCCAAAAACACGTCAGCCATGCTTGAACAAAAGAAACGTGGGTTGGAGGGATGGACTTACCAGATGGTTTCGTTTTCGAGGTAGCGCAGGAGATCGCCCTGGATGCCCACGCGCTCGCTGCTATCCGAGCACGCATCCAACGCCCTCGCAGCCAGACTCGTCAGCGGCAGTGCGTGGGGTTTGAGCACTTTGTCCTGTTCATTCCACTCCTGGGCCATGCACGTCGCCAGCAACTCCCGCTCTTTGGGGACGACAATCGTCTGTCCACTCGGCGTACGGATCGCCCTGTCATCGAGCAACACCCTGAATCCATCGCACTCGGACGAGGGCGGTGCGAGCGAGACCGTCTTCCAGAATCGAGCCTTGAGCCGTTCGGCCCTGTCCAGCGCGGCTTCCTCAAGCGCGACGCGGGAGGTGTGCAGCCCCGCAAAGCGCGAGCCTGCCCGCAGAGAATGCCCAATCGCGGTCCGAGAGAGTAGCAACATCTTGATGGCCAGACGGTGGTCGAAAAGGTTTCCCCCCAACCCCCGGGACGCACTTTCTTCGCTTTCACCCAAAACCCGCCGCCAATCCCACCATCCCTCCCCGACTTCCGAATTTTTACCCCGCCGCTTTGATGTAAATCTAACAAATTGAAATGTTTTCCTTTCCCCTTTCCCTACTCCAAGCCACCAGCACATCTGGTTCTCACTGCGGTACAAGCTTACACCAGTGCAATCGAAAGGACGATCAATTGAATGCGACGAGGTCGATGCCCCAGCTCCTGCGCACCTGCACGATCGCCATGAGCTCCTTGATGAATTCCTCCAGCACGATCGTGTTGTCCAGCACGCTCGACAGCGTCGCCTTGCCGCTGCTGTTCGCATCGCCCGTGGTCGGTGGGGGACGCCACATCTCTGCACCCGCCGCCGGATGGGTCTTGACGACAACGGCGGCGGTCTGACGAAAGTGCTCCGCGTACGGATTGATCGTCGAGCTCGAGATCTTCCTCTCTCCCGCAGTGGGGCGCTCGGGTTCCGTCTTAGCCGCCGTCGCAGCGCGTGTAGGTCGCCCTCCAAACAGACGTGCAATTGCACTCCTCCCCGCCGCTTCCTCCACCACCACCGTCGGTGCCGCACTCGTGCTTGCTGCGGGAGCGGGGAAGAGGGCGGGCAGCGAGTCCCGCCGGTCATCGACGATGCCAAACTCGCGCTCCGCCACCCGCGCCGCCGTGTCCGTCTGCAGCTTGCGCCCACTCTGCACTACGCGAGGTAAGGTCAGGCACGGGGATACACGACTCTTGCCCTCTGCTGGGCTGTCGTCTTCGGACGCATCGTGCTGCAGCGCCTCGCTGAGATCGTCCGTGAGCACCAGACTCCTTCTACGCGCCGCAAGGAAGGCGTCAAACCCAGCCACTGCCGTACGGTACGCCTCGACCTGCTGCACCAACCCACCCAGCAACTCCACCAGCGCCGGCGTTGCGTTCGCCGCGTCGCATGCGTGGGTGAGCCATCCTTCGAGACTGCGCAACGGCGAGCAAGCGAGCGCCACAACCACGCCCGTCGTTGCGAGATTCACCTCGACCGGCTGCGCAAAGAGCCTGGCGAGGCTGCCAAACAGCTGCTGCACCAACGCGTCCGTTGCCTGCAGCCGCAGCTTGCCCGTCCCGAGCTCGAGCGCGAGCGCAAACGTGCTGTCGAGCCGCAGTGCGCGCTCGGCATCGAGCAGGTAGTTGCCCAGCGACGCATGCAGCCAGTCGGCGCCCTCGCCGCGGCCAAACGGCGCGAGCAGCGCCGCGAGCGCATCCATCTCGCCAAAGTGCATCTCGATGCGTCCAAGATCCCCCATGTCACCCGCTTCTACCGTCCACTCGTCTATCGCAGCTGAGGCCGGGTGGCGCGGCGCCTGCAGCAGCCCACTGCACGCCCTCACACCATGACACACCACCAGGGTCCGGGCGAGCTTGAGCGCCGCCACGCGCGTGGCTGCTCGCTTGCGCTCATCGAGACAGTCGAGGATGAGATCCTTGACGCTGTACCGATCCGCGGGGTCGGCGGGTAAGTTGATCTCGTAGGCCGCCTCTGCGGACGCACCGTCGGCGGGCAGCAGAAAGTCGAGCGCCACGTCGGTCAAGATATGTCCGCTGCGCAGCACGATCAGCATGACATCGAGATAGTTGAGCACCGCGGCGGAGCTGCCGTCAAAGTCGCTGCTCTCCATGAGCGAAGGATACACGACGTTACGAATAAACGTGTCGCGGATCGCCAGCGCGATGGCGCGCGCGAGTTTACGGATCATCGGATCCAGTTCCCGCACACCCGCCGTTTCGCTCACTGCATCCTTCTCACCCACCTCGTCCGCACAGGTCGCGTCGGTGAGGTTTCGCGAGGTGAGCCAGAGCGAGTCCAGCACGTCCTGGCAGAACTCGATGAGGTCGACCACCAGCCTCAGCTGCATCTGGAGCTCTTTATCGTCGCTCTGGGTTGCCGGAGCCAGCGCCTCGGACGCGCCCGCCTCGTCGGCGTCGCAAGCCGAGCTGCTGGCCAGCGTGATGCTCGCCCGCCCAGGCTGCGAAGAGGCCGGCTCGATCGAGGCCGGGTCATACCGCGGGGCCGGCTTCATCCGCGAGGGCAGCAGCCCGTACGCAGCACCCAACCCCGCCCCCAGCACGTCGGCGAAGTCGGAATGCGCAATAAACGCTGCCAGGGAGCGTCGAATGTCATCGCCCCCGGACGAGACGCGTTTGGTCGCAGGTCTGCCCTTGGCGCTCTGCAACGACGACTTAGAAGGCGCACTTACGCCCTCGAGCGAGATGAGAAAGAGCAGGCCTGCTCGCGCGAGCTCGCCAATCCGGCCCTCACGGTGGACGAATTTGAGCAGATACGAAAAGAGCGGGAAACGCAGTCGTCGCTTGGCGTGTTTTGGTGCTGTGTGTGCAGTTGAGGGCTGAATGGTGGCGGTAGAGTCGACGGATCCGGTGGGCGACGCAGGCCTGCCCTGCCAGTCTTGACTTGCCGCGCTCGCCAGATCCGGCGATGGTTGCCCGGATGACGACGGATCGTCGAGCATGCTTTGGCTGACGATAATTGATCCGTCCTTGAGACTGCGTGCCTCTCCCGAGTCGTCTGCATCGTCGACCGCTTCGTCGCTGAAGAAGATCTGGAGCAGATCGGGGGTATTGCGGATGCGGCTTGCGATGTGGCACATGAGATCCACAAGGTCCTCTTCATAGTCAGCCTCTGGCACCGCAGCCGCGTTACTCGAAGACGAGCTCGTCGGCCTGTTCGCTTCAAACGAGTCGTCGTCCATCTGGAACCTCGCTGCCTCCTCATCGAGACACAGCTGGATGAGCTGCGAGATGGGTTTGTTCACCGCGTGTCTCGACAGAAACCTCTCATCGAGCAGGATGATCAAGTTGGTGAGCGTGCGGATCGTCTCTCCACGAACACCCTTGGGACGATCGTCGACGGAGAGATGCACGAGTTGCGTGAGCACATCGTACTTGAGGAGGTACTCCATGCATGCGCCCGTGTGGCTGTCGTTGCTGCGGTTGCTCTCGAACACGAGTGCATCCACGAGACGCTGCAGCCTGCGTGGGAGGTCGGAGCGGGCGATGCCAAAGAAGAGCGCACGCTCGTCTGGGGTTTCGAGCTCAGCCTGGACGGCTTGCCAGTCTGCGTGGAAGACGTCTACGCTGCCAACGGGATGGAGCGAGGGCTTGTGGCGCAGGCGCGGCGAGCCGGTAATGCCTGCAGCAGCCTTGGCGGGCGTGGTGACGAGGCCCGAGAGCCGGCTGAGATATTCCATACTCGTTAAGATGCGCAGGGCGCGCAGATAGTCGCCGATGCCATGCGCACAAGAGGCAAGGCGGGTCCAGATGATGGTTCCACGTCAGGATTGGGGCTGTGGAGGCGGCAAAGTGTTGCTCTTGGCAGCGGCTGCACCCTGAGCACAGGGCAGAGAGCACACGCGTGTCGGCGAATCTTGAGCAATGTTAGATTGGTGGAGTGGGGATCCGCTTTGAAATGCTGACCAATTCAAGAGCCGTGTTTCCAAGTCCTTCCGATTCGACGGCGCTCGTCGACACGCGGACTGGGCCTCCTATGGACCCCATCGTATCCGACCATCGTTTGGTAGATCCGCAACCCACCGCACCCCGGCCTCACGACGCATCAATGTCTGCCAACGCGCTCACCCGAGCCTTCCCCAAGGCGCTCAAGGAGGTGCGTCTGCACCTCTGCCAGACCGGCCAGGCCTCGGCCGGTGCGAGGTGAGTTTTTGCTATCCCTGACCCTTGGCTCAAGACAGGCCATACGTATTGCAGCAGGTATTGATCGAACGCTGACACGTTGATCCTTTGCCGTTCGATGCTGTGCAGGAAGTTCCTCGAGTCCAACTACAAGCCCATCAAGCAGTCGAACCCGGACGTGCCGTTCCTGGTGCGAGAGGCGAGCGGTACGCCTGCGCGCGCCTTTGCGCGATTCGGTAAGTAGCATCACCAGCTGCCGACGACTCTCAAACGCAAAGCGTCTCCGACTGACGACCGACTCATCCACTTGTTGTGCGCATCCTACTCGACCTTTTGATTGCAGAGCGTGGCGTGGAGAAGCGCGTCGAGCTCGACGGTCTCAGCTCCGCCGATGTCGAGAAGAAGATCGGCGAGCTGCTGTCGTCGTCGGCGTGAGCATTGTGCTGGTACCCAATACATTCATCTCTGCATGCTCTCATACACACCGACGTCTGGAACAGCTCAACACGACAGAGCATGAGTGTGACTGGCGAGATGGACCTAGTCCCACAACGGTTCAATCACAAAACTGGCAGGTTCTTGTGTCGCTAAGTCCAGTGTTTCTCTGAATCTGTGAGCCGTCTCTACATTGAATCTGAGTGGATCTCTGAATCCATCCTTTCGTTAGTACAGCCTCAGCGTACGAAGCGTCGACGAGGCACGAGTGTGGTCCGGCGACCGGATCAGCGGTGCCTTGAACTGGGCGTGAATTTGGACCGTCCGAAAACCGTGAATGACGGCGATTTTGGCCTGGGAAATGCTCGGCTCAAGAGCAGCCTATCGGGGCTGAGCTATTTCGAGGTGGAGGCAGCCCACTCTCTGCGACTTCACGTCAGACCGCTCGAGCCGACGCTTGACTTGCTGCCACCATAGCCCAACCGCCACACCGCCACGATGAAGATCACGTCGCGCCACATCGAGAAGGACGGCTCGGGACGGGTGACCATGGTGCCCGAAGAAGAGTAAGTGACTCGGCGCACACTGGATGTGCTCGCGCGAACGATTGCTGACCTTTGCACTTGGTGTATGGACAGCGAGGACATGTATCATCTGTACAACCTCATCGAGCAGGGCGACCGGGTACGTGCGGCGGCGGTGCGTCGGGTGCAGTCGGAATCGTCGACGGGATCGATAGAATCGCACCGGGTGCGACTCAACCTCACCATCCAAGTGGTCAAGACCACGTTCGATGCCACTGGCTCGAGTGCGCCTCCAGATCCCTCGGCCGCCTCGGCAGCAGCAGCATCCTCCTCAACACCCGCAGACGAGGAAGTCAGCCGTGCAGCCGCGGTGGGCGGCTCGGGTGGGGAAGGTGCAACGCTGCAAGTGGCAGGTCGAGTGGTGGAGGAGAATCCACACGTCAAGATGGGTGCCTACCACACGCTCGATCTCGAAATCAACCGTGCGCTCACCATCACCAAGGAGAGCTGGGACGCGGTTCATCTCGAGCGTCTTGGTGAGAGTACCGACGTCTCGCAGCGTGCCGAAGTCGGCGCAGTTGTGCTTGGCGATGGCACTGCCGCCATCTGTCTGCTGACGGGACACATGACGGTGGTCCGCCAACGCATCGACGTTCCCATCCCACGCAAGCGCAAAGGTCTCCCAGCCACAGCAGCCGACAAAGCCACCGCGCGCTTCTACGTCCAAGTGTACAACGCCGTCGTCAAGCTGCTCTCACTTCCAGCCCTCCGGCTGGTCATCTTGGCGTCTCCCGGCTTCACGCGCGATTCGGTGTACGACTTTCTATTCGAAGAAGCCACTCGCCGTGGGGACAAGATCCTCATTGGAGGCGAGGCGCGACGCAAATTCCTCAAGATCCACTGCAGCTCTCCGCACGTCCACTCGCTCATGGAGGTGCTTCGCAGCCCCGAGGTGAATGCCCAGCTCAAGGACACCAAGTTCGCACGCGAGGGCCAGCTGCTCGAGCGCTTCATGAAGCAGCTTGCCAGCGACGAACTGCGTGCATGGTATGGCGAGAAGCACGTTCTGCTCGCCGCAGCAAGAGGTGCGATCGGCGTGCTGCTCATCTCCGACGGTCTCTTCCGAGCTGCCGATCCAAGCCGACGCAAAAAGTTCGTCGAGCTTGTAGAAGAGGTGCGTGCACAGGGAGGCGAGGTGGCCATCTTTAGCTCGATGCACGAGAGCGGACGTCAGCTCAACGCGCTCACGGGAATCGCTGCCATCCTCACCTACCCGCTCGACATCGAGGTGGTCGAAGCGGAAGAGGCCGAGGACGCCAATCCACGCAACGACACATCATAGCAGCAGCCGACCTTCCGTTCATCAATCGATACCAATGCCAAGAAACCAGGCTCTTTTCTCCACTAGGTTGGTGTGTGCCGATCTCACATCCAAGGAAAAAAGGGTTGCGCACGTGACGTGAAGCCAGCGTTGTCGAGGAGCGCTTGTGGGACGCGTTCTTGGCCAGCACAATGCGAGTTGGAAATTTGGAGCCCGAGCCCAGGCCGTGTGTTGGTCTCGTTTTTGAGGGTTCATGCTTCTGGCCCGCATTGACAATTGTTGGTCAAGCCCGCACCACTGCCGATTGACAGCCGATCGCAGCTCGAAATGCTCAGACGTTGGCTCAAAAAGTGGAGCGGGAGCGAGTGAGCGAGTGACTGAGTTGCGGAAAGAGTGTGCTGTGCTGTGCTGTGCTGTGCTGTGCTGCACAGGAGGAGGAGATGCCGCATTTCCACCTTTCCACCGTCACCTCATCACATTCCACCTCATCTGCAACACCGCGCTTCCCATCCACCAGCATCCATCGCAGCCGTATACGTCCCTCTCCAATGCTGCACAACAACAGCCTCGTCCCGTCCTCGTAAACGACCCGTCTTTGTCCGTAGTGAAGCCCGGCCGGGGCATCGGCATACACTCGGCCTCGTACATAGTAGCGATATCCTTCCGACTTGCTGACACAGGAGCTGGACTCCAAACGCAGCAGCATCACTACTCTGCCCACCATGGCCGAATCCTCCATCAACGTGTGCGTCCGCATTCGCCCCTTCAGTCAGAAGGAGGCGTCACAGCTTGCTCCCAATGAGGACCACACACCCTTCCTCGGCGACGGCGGTCTCGCTGGTGGCATCTCTCCCAACAAGATCATGCCTCCATCCACAGCAGCCACCTCCACGCTCAAAACACGCTTCGTCCGCCCCATCGTCAAACCAATGGACCAAAAGGTGCTCGTCTTTGACCCGCCCGACACCAATCCGCTGACGCGCCTCCTCAACTCCAATCCCCTCGCACACGGCAACAGGCGCAACAAGGACGTCCGCTACGCCTTCGACCGCGTCTTTGACTCCACCGCTTCCCAGACCGACGTTTTTGCAGAAACCTGCAAGCCTCTCCTCGACGGCATCCTCAACGGCTACAACGCCAGCGTCTTTGCCTACGGCGCCACCGGCTGCGGAAAGACACACACCATCAGCGGAACCCCGCAAGACCCCGGCCTCATCTTCCTCACCATGAAGGAGCTCTACAACCGCATCCAGGACGCGCGCGACGACTCGGACGTCCACATCCGTCTCTCCTACCTCGAGATCTACAACGAGACCATCCGCGACCTCCTCAGCGCAGAACCCACCCCTCCGGGCAGCGGCCTCGCCCTGCGCGAAGACGCCAACAACCGCATCTCCGTCGTCGGCATCACAGAGCTCGTCCCCGAAAGCCCAGAGAGCGTGCTCGAATACATCCAGGAAGGCAACCTCCGCCGCACCATGAGCCCCACCGAGGCCAACGCCGTCAGCTCCCGCTCCCACGCCGTCCTCCAGATCAACGTCACCCAGAAACCGCGCACCGCCAGCATGACCGAACAGACCACCTCCGCCTCGCTCAACATCATCGACCTCGCCGGCTCCGAGCGCGCCTCGGCCACCCGCAACAACGGCGCACGCATGAAGGAGGGCGCCAACATCAACAAGTCGCTCCTCGCCCTCGGCAACTGCATCAACGCCCTCTGCCAGTCCGGAGGCGTCCGCAAGCACGTCCCCTATCGCAACTCCAAGCTCACCCGTCTGCTCAAGTTTTCGCTCGGCGGCAACTGCAAGACCGTCATGGTCGTCTGCATCAGTCCCTCGAGCGCACACTACGAAGAGACGCACAACGCGCTCAAGTACGCCAACCAGGCCAAAAACATCCGCACCAAGGTCAGCCGCAACATGATCAACGTAGACCGCCACGTCGCACAGTACGTACAGGCCATTCACGAGCTCAAAGAAGAAAACGAGCGGCTGCGCGCAAAGCTCCAAGAGCGCGGCTCGCTCGAGTCCGCCGCCGAGAAGCGCAAACGCGCAGAGATGGGCCGCGAGGTCGACGACGCCAAGAAGCGCATGCGCGAGAGCACCGACAGCGTCACGCGCCTCGTCACGGACAAGGCGGCGCTCGAGGCCATCACCACCGCGTCCGAGACCAGGCTCGCCGAGCTGCGCAAGCGTCTCGGCGTCGTCGAGGCCGATCTGGCCCACTTCAGCGCCCGCGGAGAGGTGCTGCCTTCGGACCTCGAAGGCGAGCGCGATGTGCTCCGCAAGATGGTCGCTGCCGAGGAACGCACGCTTCATGACGAGACCACAGCGGCCGGCGTGCGCAGCCTGCTCAACAGCCTCCAGATGCAGCGCGGCATCATCGTCGCCGCATCGCACAACCAAAAGTTCGACGCGGAGGCTTCCGAGACCATCCAGACGCTCGGCAACGCCATGCTCGCCGAGGTCGAGGCGCAACAGGCCAAGGTCAAGCTCGCAGGCATGCTCGACGTGCTGCGACGCACCACGGCCGAGGCGACGCAGCTCGTCGCGGTCGCCACGCGCAGCACCATTGCTCTTCGCGAGGTGGCCGGCGAGCTCGAATACCGCGCCACGCATGCAGCCAAAGACAACCCCGAGGAGCTGTCGTCGACGCTGGCGCTGCTCGCGTCGCAGCTGCGCAGCATTGCGGGCGAGAACGACAAGGCCTTTGAGACCGTGTGCGGCGCCACGCTTGCGGCGGTTGTACCTCTGCCCGCGGTCGCGGCGGCTGCAGGTGCGCCTGTGAAACAAGCCAGACCCGCACTTGGCTCGACACTGCGCCGGTCGCGTACTTCCTTAGCGCTCGCGCCGGCGAATGCAGCCGCAAGCACGTCGCACAGCACGAACCGAGCGGCGTCCTCGTCGGCGACGAGCGGATTCGGCCGCGCGGTGACGGCTTCGTCACGCCGCGCATCCCTAGCACCTGCCTTGCCACGCTCCACGAGCATGCACGCCGGTAGCTCTCCCGCCGCTGCCGTGCCCACCGCGAGCGCGTCAGCAGCGTCCACGCGACCCGGATTCGCGGCGCCCACGTCGTCATCTTCGGCGCGCTCGCACGCAGGCGCAGGCGCAGGTAGTCCTGGCCGCGCGCCCCCCGTGCGCCGGGCGAGTGCTGCCGCGCGCCGCCTGAGCACCGCGCGACCGGCACGCACGGTGTCTGGGCCCGCGCCGACGGCGCCCGTCGAGGAGAAGAAGAAGTTCCGCTGGGCCGACGAAGCGGGCGAAGGCGCGATCGACGATCAAGGCCTGGGCCGCGCTGTCGACGCGCAGGCCGAGAGCGGCGCGAGCAGCAGCAGCGGTGCCGAGTGGGAGGACCTGTCCGATGGCCGTACCACGCCCGCAACTGCACCGGAGCCCTCAGCCCCAGCACCCGCCAAGCCTGCTGCGCGGTTGCTCGGCTCGTCGTCGGGCAAGTTAGCCGGGTTCCCGGGGGCCAAACGCAGCGTGTCGACGGCGAGCGCGCTGTCGCCGCTGCGCGAGGCGGGGGCGAGCGCGGACGAGGCAGATGTGTCGGGTGCCTCGCCCGTGGGCACACAGCGTATGCCGCTCGCCCCCGCTCCGGGCGCGCTCAACGCCGCCCTTCCGCTGTTCGGCGGGATCAACGCCGACACGTTCAACGCGAGCGTGGCGGTGAAGAAGGCGTTCCCACGGCCGAGTGCCGGTGGGCCCGGGCCGATTCGTCGACGTACGCGCACCAGCGTCGCCGTCGCCGCACTGGGCCATCCCTCACTAGCCGCCCCCGCCCCCGCAGCGGCGATGGGTAGGGTGCCTGGGCAGAGTGGGGTGGGAGACAGGGTCAAGGCCACGCGCGTAGTCGCACCCGCCATGCGTGCGTCGTCGTCACTATTCAGCTAGCCTCATCAAACTCGTTCGATATGATCGTGTAGCATTGCGCATGTGTGTGAGGGGGTGGGGATTAGAGACAGTTGTTTTGCCACCAGTGAAGTTCCTGTTGGGTGGCATCTTTGATATTCTTGGCGTCTCTGAATCCATGGCCCTCACCCTCGTAGAGAACATACTTCCAATCAGTGCCCTGTTTTCTTCCTGCCGCCTTGAGTCTGTCGACAAGTTGGTCGGCTTGACTTTTGGGGACGACCTTATCTTCGGTGCCTTGGAGGATGAGGATGGGTGCCTTGATCTTGTGTGCCATAAACAGGGGCGATCTGTCGTGGTAGACGTCGGGCACCTGTTCGGGGGTGCCACCGATGAGTTGGAAGGGATACTGCGATTCGAACTTGTGCGATTCCTGCGCGAGCAGCGTTAGTGACGATACGCCGTACCGCGACACGCCTCCCGCAAATACAGTGGGGTGGAGGCAGAGGGCGGCGAGCACGGTGTAGCCACCTGCCGAACCACCACTGATCAACATCGATGCAGGATCCGCCATCGAGCCCTGCTTCGCCTTGCCGGTGGATCGCGTGGGTAGATGGCGCTGCAGCGCGCGGTAGATACGCTGCACAACTCCGAGTCGAGGTTGAATGCCGGAAAACAGGGGTTCGATACGGGCACCGGTGCCAACGCGTGTGACGAGCGCAAGGTAGTCGACCACGCTAAAGTAGCGCATCCCCTCGGCGACGTAGACATCCATCACCGTGTCTTGCGGTACCAGCCGCGAGCTGGTTCGGCACAACACCTTGCGACCGAAGAGCGAGAGCGCACGTTGGATGGACAGTTGCACCCCAAGCCCCGGGATGACAGCTACCGTCTCGACACAAACCCTCGCCGCCTTGCTCGCCACATACGGCAACACCGCCATCGTCGCCGCTCCAGCCGTGAGCACTCTACGTCCAGCCACGGTACCTGCACGCAGCACGCTCGGGATACAGTGCGACCACCTCTGCAACCAAGCGGGCAAGTACGTCGCAGCCACCACTGCCAACCCCACCGACGCACCACCCAGCACAATGTCGCCCCATCCCCATGCAGCCCTCGTATTGCGCAGAGTGACCTTGCACCCACCTGCTCCTTCCTCCACCGTCACTGCCCCCGCCTCGTCCGCTTCGCCTTCGATGAGCCTGCGCACCTCGTCCTGCTGCTTTGCTGTGAGCTGTGCGAACGACTTGTCCCCCACGCTCGCCGAGGATCCCAGGAACTTGGCCGCGGCCACGCAGTCGACCACGTCCGTCACGCCCCATTCGCCCGTCAACCGCTCGAGGTACTCTCTACCATACCCCGTGCTACCGCCATAGTTGACCGCACACACCATGAACCCCCTGCTGGTCCAGAACTGCGTCGCCAGATTGAAGCCCATCCCGGCGCTGCTGGACGGTCCGCCGTGAATCGTAAACACGCACGGCGGAACCGTCCCCTCCGGCGCCACATAGTCCCTGTTCTTGGGCTCGAACACAAGCGCATGCGCAGTGGCCGGCTTGCCATCAGGCAGCGTAGTGGGGAACTCGATCTCGCGCGCCGCGCTCAGATACGCCCTATCCACCTTACCCTCTGCGACGAGGTTCGAGGACCGCTTCACCACCGTAATGTTCGCCGGCTGCACCACGTATCCGCCCGCCGCGAGGCCGCGCAGATCGATGCGCACCAGTGCCGTCGGCTCGTCCGGCTGCGTCGCGAGCAGCACAAACGACGTCGCCGTCAGCCGGCGCAGCTGCGAACACGACACGTACGGCGTCGTGAGCGGAATCAGCCGCGGGCGACGAAGGTTAATCAACCCAAGGCGATCCTTGGCGCCCTCGGTGTACGTGACGACGAGCATGTCCGGCGACAGCGCCACATAGTCCGAGTTGTTGCTCGTCCAGCACGGCGCACTGAAGTCGTGCTTCACCGGCTCCGGAAGCACCGCCTCGGGCGAAGCGACCACTAGAGCCGCCTCGGATCGGGAGCTGACGCTCGTCGAGTAGAGGTTCAAGAACCCCGTCGCGTCGCAGGTGAAGAAGAGCCTGGCTGCGTCGTCGGCCGGGTTGGCAGGGATGCCCCACACCGGGTTCTGGAGCACCTGCTGCTTGGCGCCTGCACCTGCTGCGGCCGGAACCTTGATCTGCGTGGGCGAGACGAGCCTGGGCTTAGCCGGGTCGGCACGATCGAGCCTGGCGACCCACAGCTGCGTGTCCCACCACGGCATGCTCGGATGGTTCCAGCTGACCCAGCAGACGTACTTGCCGTTGGGCGAGAAGCGCGCAAACGTGTAGAAGTCGCGCCTCTGCGGCCCGTCTCTCTCCGTCTCCTCCTCAGCCTTCTTGCCCTCCAGCAGCGTATGCACTTTAGCCGGGGTGCTCGACATATCCAGCAACACGATCGAGTTGACCACCGTCGATGGCGTGTCGTCCGTATGATCCTCCTCGATCGCCAGGCACAGATCCTTATCGCTCGGGTGCGCGCCAAAGTCCGCATACCGAATCGCAGCATTCTCGGGCGTGATCACCTTGGGCTCTTCGCCTTGTGCGGCTCGTAGCACGTCGAATGACTTGTGGTTGTAGTCCGAAAAGATGAAGCTGCCGTCGGCGAGGCTGGCTGCTGCGCCGCCGCCGTATTCATGCACGCTAGAGCGCGCGTTGTACTTGCCGGCGCTCACCTCGACCGCGTCGTCGGACGAGAGCGTCGAGGTGTGCATGAGTGCATACCGGCCCGCCTCGCTCATGCGCAGCTCGACCCACGCCACGTCTTGGCCGCCCTCGGCATTGGCAGGCACCAGCACCTCTTGCAGGCCCGTGGCTTTCTGCAGCAGCAGGTCGGTGGTGATGGGCGACTCCCAGAAGCCGTACTTTGCCACCGTCTTGGATGCCGCCTTCGATGGTTGGGAGGACGTCATTGCTGGAGCGTGGAACAATGTGGGAAAGAAGGGAGGGGAGACGGAGCAGCTCAGCGCGCGAGGTTGAAGAAAAGACGAAGGTCTGTGCTTTGGCTGCCGAGACCCTTCGGCGCTGCGCCTTCCGAAAGAACCGATGGCGACCAATCGGCAGATCGCATCGGGCGACACAAGTGGAGGTTTAAGGTCGGAACTCAGCTTTCGTTTCAGCCCCACCTCCTCCATCCTCGCCGCCACCATCATCTTGGCCTTGATCTTTGGGTGCATAGCGGCAATACGATGAGTGCGGCAACCCCACGGAAAAAGTTCACGCAGCGCAACGTGTTCTACCTGCGCGCGTCGCCGTACGTGGTGCTGCAGACGATCCTGTACCTCGACTACCGGCACGTGGCGTGGATGAACGAGCATCCCGACATCCTCACGCAGGTGCTCTCGATCCTGCGCACGCGCATCATGCCGAAGCTGCGCAAGGAGTCCGACGCCTCCGGCAAGCTGTCGGCGATGAGCAAGAAGGAGCGCGTCGATGTCTATTCGGACCGCGACTTTCAGGTGGCCTACTTTTTCCGCCGCATGGACGACCGCCACTCGGTGCTGCTCAAGGAAAAGAGCCTCGTGTTCCCCGCAGACCCCACGCTTGCAGAGGTCAAGGTTGAGGATGAGGCCAACACCAACCTGCATGCGCCCATCCCGAGGGCGTCCGCAACTCCGGCGCCCGCAGCCGCTATGACCCCAGCGGTAGGGAGTTCGAGCGAGTCGGCTTTGCAGATCAAGGACTCGCCCGAGCCGGAAGCATTGCCGTCTTCGCCCAACGCTAGTATGGCTTCGTTATCGGGCGCGGATGACCACGCTCTTTTCAGGGGCCTCGGAGAAGACGACGACGACAGCCTTGCCATGCCCCCACCTGCATCCACCCGACGGCGGCGCGGCACAGACGATGCGGACAACACCACTGCACCGCGACGCTCGAAGCGCGTGCGCATCCAAGAAGACATCAAGCCCGATCCGGCCACCGATGCCACCGACGACCCGCCTGCTGAAGATCTTCCGCCGGCAAACGACTACGACGACTACAACGCCGACAATGCTGCGATCGTAATCACCGAGGAGGACGAGGAAAAGATGAAGCCCAAGCTGCACGTTCGCTATGCCGGATTCCGAATGTTAGTCGCATCCACCCTCCTGCTCTCTCTCTTCTCTCTCTGACATTTCTTTCACGCGTCGAAACAGATTCGGCAAGCTGTTGGTACTGGTGGTGGAACCGTCGAAGCGGACGTTGGCGGCGCATCCGGAGCTGTTTGGCGACAAACCCGCCACCGAGGTACGCCAGCTGTCCGTTGCGCGCGTGTCCGCCACACCTGGCGCAAGCAGCCGGGGCGAGGTTCAGGCGCAGTTTACATCGCTCGGACCGGCGGAGCGCTCCAGTCGCAACGCCAGCGTGGGCCGCGGCGCCACCCCGCTGTTCCGAGGCGGCTCGGCGTTTAGTGATGCCGGCACGCCCGGTCCTGCGACCACATCCGACACGCCCGCACCCGAAGAAGCGCAAACGGAGCAAGACGAGGATGTGGCAGAGCTCGAAGGGATCGAGCTGGCGACGCAGATGCTTGCGCGCGAAGAGCAGACGATCGGCGGTAATGACCTCGACGATGGCGACTAGTAATTCAGCTATTATTCCAGGATGCATCGCATGCGGCTGGCCACCACTTGTCCTGCAGCTGCACGTCTGCTGTGCGCGCATCGAGCGTGCCAAAGCGCTGACTCTTGGCATGGACCTCCAACAATGCCGACTGCACCACCGCCTCTGTCGAGTGAAACCCATCCTGCTGTTCAGTCTGTGACGGCGGTAGGTCGATGGTACACGCGTTGGCGATGTACGTTCCTGCATCCTCGAGACGCGTGGTAAAGGGGGCCCAGGGGAGGATGTACGACATTGCGAGCCTCGTCATGAGACCGGACTCGCGACACAGCTGCGTCTGTGGTACAAAGCCCGGCTGCACCACCACCACCTCCACCCTTCCTCTTGGCACGTCTTGCTTCTCGAAATCCTCCTCGAGCCTGCGTCGGAGCGCACGCACGCCGAGCATCTGAAGGAACTTTGACGCCGCATACGTCTCGCGCAACGTCCAAGCCTTGGTCTCATCCTCTGTTGATGCTGCAAAGAAGCTATCCAGATCGGTGATGTCCTTGAGGCTGCGATGCAGTGCGCTGCCGGTAAACACGATGCGTGTATGTCGACCGTTTTGGGCATTCTTTGCTATGGTCGGTGCGAGCATCGAAACCAACACGAGATGCGCAACATGATTCACGCAAGCCGTCTCCTCCACCCTCCCATTCGCATCCTCCATCCTGTCACTCGGATAATGTACAGCACCGGAAACTTTGTCTGTGTCCACGACGGTTTCGCGGCTCGACTTTGCAACGGCGGCATTGAGGAGCAGGATATCGGTTCCCTGCGCCGAGTCGGCGAGCTGGTGCTGCAGTGCCGACGCTGCTTGTCGAACGGACGAGAGCGAAGCCAGATCCAGAGGCTCGATGTGCAGATCCAGTGTGGACGATGTGCGGCTGGCGGTGCGGTACTGTGCGACGAGTCGATCGCGCGCCTGGACGACGCGGCTGGCGGTGGGATCGCGCACCAACAGCGTGAGACTGCACGGCGTGCGCAGGGCGGGCGACGCGAGCAGCGTCTTGAGCGCCTCGAATCCAAGACCCGAATGACCGCCCGTGGCGATGATGCGTGTCGCCATGATGCGCCTCCAGTGCGTGTTGGCAGGAGAGGATGATGGTGGAAGCGGAACCAGTCTGCGCTTGGTTGGTTGGTGGCGGCCGTGTGGAGGCGCTCGAGTGGACTTTGTTAGACCGGCGCTGTGTGGGCGCACGAATCTGTGCGACTTTTCTTGGACCCTGCATCGAGGCACAGCGCCGGAGCAAAGGCACAGGCCCAGGCACAGGCCCGCCTTGCGAGCAGCAACGCGCCGCCAAGCGTGGCCGGAATTGTCGGCAAGTCTTTTGCGTCCCCACCCGGCGCTCGAGTCGATTGAGTCGGGCTGAGATCGAGCGTCCCCCAAGCCCTGCAACGCACGCTCACTGCTTGGCTTGCCCACGCGTGCTTCTGTGAGGAAAGGCGGCCCCGAAGCCATGTGGCCTCGCTCGACGTTTCCTTGTGCGCGACTGTTCCTGACGCGACGCTGCTTCGTAATGCGTCGCGGCCGGCTGCGAGACGAGGGCGCTGCGAGATGGAGATGCTGCGAGATGAGACTGTCCGGACCGTTGCATTGGACAAGAAGCGCAAGGATGCATCATGCGGAAGAAATGCAAGCCGGGCAAATGCGCTGCGACATGCCTTTGTGCCGCGTCTCCAGCTCGCCAGCCACTGCAGCAGAATTGCAGTATGACAGCCCCCAGTACGATGGACGCTACTCTGCTCGAGGTTGTGTCGAGACCCCATCCGTGGAACGAGGATAGGTAGAGCAAAGTGTGGGGATGGGTGGCTACTGTACCCCGCAAAAGTGGCTCCGAGCTGCTCTGGAAAATCTGGGCGTGGAACAGTGTAATTCCACGCTCAGCCGGCTGCCTCGGAAAGGCGACTCCACAAAAAAGCAGCCGTGGCGAGGACCCTTCGCCCACCGCACCTTTCACTGGCTCCGATCACACCACCATCACCCCCACTCCCACCGCGATCCTTACTCGCCGCCATGTCGTACAAGAGCGAGGACGAGGCGCATGCCGCCTTCGAGCTCGTCTCCATGCGCCATGGTCGTGCGAGCGTGTCGTTTGAAAACTCGCCCACTCCCTCCTCCTCCGCCCCAAAAAAGCGCACCAAGGCAGCGTCCGACCCCAAACCATCCACATCGAAAAAGCCCGCCGACGACACTACCGACACCAAGGCCAAGAAGCGCAGGAGGGTGGTGGTGGCGTGCGACACGTGCCGCCGCAAAAAGATCAAGTGCGAGGGGCTGCCGAATCCGTCGAATACGTGCAACAACTGCACCGCCTACAACTACCGCTGCACCTTCAGCAGCGACGCCGACCGCTCCCGGGGCAAGTACGAGATCCTCGAGAGCAGGGTCGAGACGCTCCTCAGTGCGCTGCGCTCCGTCGCGCCGCATGTGGCGCAGCAGTACGAGCGCGGCGAGCTCAACGTCACCGGTCCTAGCGGCTCGAGTGCTCCACCGCAAAACGCAAATGCGTGGCAGTCGCTTGCGAGTCAAAAGACGGGCATCGAACATACGGACGATTCGGATCCGGCGCCAGAGGACGCCTCCTACAGTTCTGCATATGCACGCCACGACAACGAGCTGCCGTCCAGCTCGGCCGTACGACTGCAGCGCGGTGGCAGCGATCCAGACGAGCCAGCACAAGCATCCAGAAACGCTTCCGGGCAGGCGGCGAGCGCCACTGCTGCTTCGAACCGCGAGGAGCGCGATGCGCTGCTTCCCGATGTCGAGGACGGAAGGCCGCGCTACTTTGGCCACTCGTCCGCCATGACGCTCTTCAACACCATCGCCGCCGACAGTCGTCCCCCAAGTCCAGGCGCAGGATCACGGCACGCCCACACCACCAACCACGCCGGCATTAGCTACGAGACACACCGCCACGGCTCGCACAGCAAAAGCAAGTCGGCCGCCACCCCGATAGCAGGCTCTTCGTCTGCAGTGCCGGCGTCTGCGTCGGGCACAGCAGCAAAGGGCGCACCACGGCCGCTGTACCCAACCAACTCCAAGGAGTGGATCCAGCTGCTGCGGCGCAAGAACACCGTCGCGGTCGGACGCGACGATGCAGTCACCGAAGAGTGGTTCGAGCGCTACACGCTGCCCGACCACGACCTCATCCGCGACCTGCTCGACCTGTTCTTTGAAAAGCTGCATCCGCTCATGCCCATCGTGCACCGCCCCTCTCTCGAGCGCGACCTGGCCTCGGGCCGCGCCGACGTCGACTCGGCCTTCCGCGGGTTCGTCTTCACGATCCTGGCGATCGCGTCGCGCTTTAGCAACGATCCACGCGTGCTCGCCGATTCGGGCGACCCAGATACGGCGGGCGACCACTTTGCCGCCGCCAGCAGGCTGTACCACCAGGTGTACGCCGCGAGCCTCATCAACGTGCAGGTGATGATCATCACCGCCACGTTTATGCATGGCGCCATCGGGCCCGGCGCGAGCTGGACCGTGCTGGGCGTGGCGATTCGTGCACTGCAGGATATCGGCTTGCATCAGGAGAAGGCCTACCGCGGCTTTTCGCCGTACGAGAAGGAGCTCAGGCGACGCGTGTTCTGGGGCGCCTTTATCCTCGACTGCATCTTTTCCATCAACATGGGTCGACCGCTTGCACTCAAGCTCTCGGACTGCGACGTCAAGCTGCCGCTCGAGATTGACGACGAGACGCTGTTCCAGTACGAATCGGGTGGTGCCATCCCCACTCCGCCGGCGCGCGGTGAGGGGGAGAAGCCGATGGTGATGAGCGGCTTCATCCACATGATCAAGCTCAACGTGATCGTGCAAGATGTAGTCCACGTTCTGTATTCGCCGCGCTGGCGGGCGGATGCGGGCAAAAAGATGCAGCCCAGCAAGCAGCGCTCGGTGCCCGAGTACAAGGATATGGTGATCCTCTCGAAGCGGCTCGAGGAATGGGTGGCCGAAACCCCCGCGCATCTACGCACGATCGAGAGCCCCTTCCGGTTGCAGGCGGGCTTGGTTCAGTGTGGCACGCACGACATCCGGCTGTACATCCTCAAGCCGTTCCTGGAGCACAGTGCGTTGCGCAAGATGCTGCATCCGCAGTGCGTCTTCCACGCGCGCGAGTGCCTGCGCGTCGTGATCGCGCTGCACGAGGGCGACCACATGAGCGACCTTGTATTCATCTTTCAGCAGGCCTTCATGAGCACGGCGACGTTCATGATCACGGTGTGGCACGAGTGTCGCGACGCCGAACGGCTGGCGGAGGACAACGATCTGGTGGAATCGACGCTGCGCATCTTTGCCGCCTTTGACGACCGCTACTTTTCGCGCCTGTTCAGGAGGGCCCATCGCATTTTGCGCGATATCGCGCTGAGGTCGATGCATACGATGACGTCGGATCAGCGCGAGCGCGTGAGCCGCATGCTGGTGCGTGCAGACCAGCGCATGGCAGGCGCCTTGCCGGGCGTCATGCTAGCTGGCAAATCGACACTGCAGCAACCGAGGAACGATCCGGCCTTGCCACCGTCCGCGCGCATGGCGGCGAGGGGCGAGAGGTTCGATCGCCGCCCCAGCGGTCAATTGGGCGAGGCAGGCACAGCGCCCATCTCGGCGGCTTCGTACATCCACACCTGGTCGCCTATCCCCAGCGCACCCATGTCGCCCAACCGCACCTCGCTGAGCGAAACGAGCTATTCGGACGCTCCGATCACCTCGGCAGCATTTGCACAGTTCATGATGGACAGCGCCGCCGGTGCAACCTCCACCAGCAGTGGCGGCGCAACCGCATTGACGCAGGGAGCGTACAACCTGGGCGGTGCGGAGGCGCGTGCCCACGACGACGCCAACGGCGGGCCCGACTCGGGCGCCGGCAAGATGGCGATCCACCCTGCGTCGTTTGGCGATGCACGCGGCATCATGCCCATGTACGCCGACGATCCGGGCTCGGTGGCGCACCAGCTCGAAGAGCTCTCGTGGACGGACTACTTCTCCAAGTTCCTGGACGATATTGGTGGGGGCACACCCATGAGTGCGGGCCCCACGAGCGGCTCGGGCAGTATGGCGTCGCACTCGTACAACGCCACCGCACACGCACACACGCCCGGGTCGAATCTGGCGGCACTGGCGCATTCGCCGGCGGGATCCGTGTTCAACGAGATGCCGTTCGGCATGGGCTCGCCAACGTCACCCGCCAACCATGCCGCGCACTCGCAGTCGCCCCGACGATCCATCCACCCCTAACATAGCGACCAAGCCAGGCTCGATTTCGATTCCGAGATGAAACCGAACCTGCGCCCCGGTGTTGGTCTCGCCTCGGCTTGGTCACGCGGTGCAGCAGGCAGGCGGGCGCAACCAACGAAAAAAGAAAATCGGAAAAAAGAACCTTTTTTCCTCAAAAGCTTGACAAGTTGACATGGCTCGAGAGCGTGATTTGGCGCGCGGATGAGCGCGGGTGTTGTTCCGGATTTCGCCTTTTTCTCGCGACGTGGAGCCGGCGGAGAGAGGCAGGGAAACAGCGAAGGTCGAAAATGCGCAAAGAAAGCTCCGTCCATGCAGCCCAGTCTTGGCAAATGCAGACCCTGGGTTGCGCATCCAACTCTCATTCCTCCCTCGCAAGTGCATCTTGATCCAACACCACCATCCGCTACGCTCTCCTCTCTTTTCGCATAGATACCCCTCATACCCCGCTCGATAACAATGCACGCTGCTGCTGCGCTTGCTCTCATCGGCTCGCTCGCCGGAGTCGCCCAGGCGTTCGAGATCACCTTCCCCAACAGCAACGGCGGCTACTGGGTCGTAAGTCCGGTCCACCGAGATCGAGTGTGAGCCGCGAGATGCTGACCGACGCATTTGTTCTCAATACAGACCAACTACACCAACACTCTGGTACGAGCCATGCCTCCGCGGTAAACCTCGGCGCATACACCCCACTGACTATCGATTGAATTTCGAGTGCAATCTAGAACTGGAAGGCCAACTCGAGCGACGCGACCTTCTTCTCGGTGCAGCTGCTCAACTCGAACAGCAGCCAGCTCAACGGCAACTTCCAGATTGGAAACGCCCTGGTCACCGAGGTAAGCGCTCGCTCTTTCTTCTCGACCACCCCACTGTGTATGCTGACCGCTGCTTTTTCGCGCGAGTGTAGAATGGCACGGCGCAGATCTTTATCGACCGCATCCCGAGCGGCACCTACTCGCTCCTGTTTGTCAACAGCAGCAACTACGAGCTCGACAGGCCCCAGGTGTATTACGGTAAGTCTTACTCTCTTTCTCTCTGTGTTTGGATGAATGCAAGGCTGACTCTGCGGAATTTGGATGCGGGGGGCAGCTTCGAGCTCGTTCGAGGTGAAGCCGAACGGTACGCAGCCTGCCGAGGTGACGGCCAACACGAATGCGGACCCCAACAGCTCGGCCACCATGGCCGCCACGGGCTCGGCCACCGCCACGCTCGCCAGCACCAGCAGCACCGGCACTTCGCGCCCCAGTGGCGGCGCCAGCAACAGCGCCAGCACCATGCGTGCCGCAGCTTTCGTCGGCACCGCCGCTTCCGTCGTGCTGGGTGTGGGACTTGGTCTACTCGCTTGAGCGCAAGCCAAGCCGACGCGGTTGGAGCGCATACCGCTCGCCCATCATTGCAATGGACTTTTCGCCTTTGATTCGGAGCGAGTGTGTGGTGTGAAGGAGGCGTCGAGATGAAGTCTGGGCGTGTATCATTTGCGAGCACGGTGCGCGGCAAGCCAAGGCGGTTGCAAAGTGTTTGTTTCATTTGATGCGGGCAGAGGGCGGGCGCGTGACGGGGCCGTGCATATTGCAAGCGAGCGATTTTCTGGGCGGAAAAGCGCGTGAGTGTGCGCTGCCACCAGCCTTGAATGGCTGACACCACACCGCACTCCCCCACCATCTCAACGAGGCGCTCGCTCGCAGTCGCAAGCCGGTCATGTTTGGCATCTAGTCGCACCCATTGCTCCACTGCGTAGCCATGCCGGCTGCTACACTATCGCACTCGCGCAGTGCACGTATCCCGCTCGCCTCCCGACACGACGTCACCAACACCGGCATCGACGAGGACGAATGGGGGCCTCTGTCCGTGCCGCCTTCGAGTCAGGCTGCTGTGCCATGGGACGACCAAGTCGTCCCTGCCTTGCGGCGCAAGCTGGAGCAGCAGTCGCGCGACTTATCCAAGCGCATTAGCCGGATCGAAGAGAGCGATGTCGGCTGGGCACGTCCTCGCGAGTCCACTGATCGTCGGGACGCCCGTGCCTCGCGCGAGATCGTCCACACGCACCGCGAGTCGTCCATCGACCAGTACCACAACCGCTTCGCTACAGTACGCCCCGCCCGATCCCGCGCAGATGTGGCCGCATCCAGCTTTCCGTTCGACTCCCCCGCACCACGATCCAGTGGCTCGAGCGATGCAACGCAGCGAGCGCGGGACAAAGCGCGACAGATTGCTGCACGCCAACACGCCGCACGGCTCAGCCAAGCCTCGACCGACTCACCGCAGCCGGGAAGCATTGAGCCGATTCCACAGGTCGACCGCACATCGTTCGAACGCAGACGCATACGCACACACTCCACACCCATGCGGCCCAGCATCGACACCCCGCCACCCGTTCCCTCTTCACCCCCCGCGCTGGGGCACCAGCGAACAACATCGCTATCCCGACGCAAAGCAGCCGCCCTCGACCCCAAGCTGATCGAAGAATTCGGGCCACTCGGCAGTTCTTCCCCCAACGCACGGCGCGCCCAGCTCGATGATGCCTCGCCCATGCGCCGCACGCAGCCGGACGCATTCAAGTCGCTATCGGATGCATCCCTAACACCCGATCGTATACGCGGGATGAGGGAAGCCTCAGCCCCACCCGCTTTCGGCCGCACAGACGAGTTCGGCGCCCTCGGTGCAGTCGGTGCAGGTGCATCGCCCAGCAGGAGCGTCAACTGGGAGGACCAGATCATCCCCACCGTCGCACGCAAGCTCCAGCAACAGCACCTCCTCGCCGGTAATAGTACAAGCACGCACGAGGCGCTCATCGATACCTGGGACCGCAACGGCCTCCCGCTCAGCCAGACCGACTTTGCTGCACAGCAGCGTGCTGCTAGGCTCGAGGCCGAAGAGCGCCATGCCCAAGTACACCACGAGCCCACAGTCAAGGTGGAGCCAGAGCGAACCGAGAGCGAGGTGAGCGAGGCGCCAAAGATGGACAGGGCTAGGTCGAGCAACAGCCAGCGCAGTGCACAGCAGCGTCTCACGCAGCAGCAGGAACAAGTGCCCTTGCAAGAAATCGCACCGCCGAATAGGCAGCAGACATATGCAGCGCAGCCAGTTCACCAAGTCCCGGCCGCCACAGCGCCACCGGCAAAGCGCACAGACACGCACGGCAAGTCCGGCTGCTGCTGCATCGTCATGTAACGCCATCCCACACTCTCTGCCACGGACCCTTGTAAGCTCGATTCGCAATGCAAACGTTCCTTCTCCCATGTCATACGGGTGCCTCGCCAAGGGTGAGGTTGGGAAAAATATTGGGAATGTTAGGTTGGGGGGCGCAAGTGCACGTCCCCCGCCGAAGCCTTTTTCAAAAGTGGCGCGCAAGTGGTCGAAAGTGGACTTGTTCATCACCACCATTGAGCAAGATGCGGATTCTGCTGGTAGCGATAGTGTTGGTGTGCGTTGCACGCGCAGGCGCCGTGACGTACGACGTGCTTCACCGCATCTCCACCTTCACCGCCACGCCGGACTGGACAGTGCGCGGCGCACTCCAACTCAACGCCTCGGACGCTCTTCTTACCAGCTCGCTCTCCACCTCGGACATCGAGGCACTTCGTACCGCCGCTGCTTCTGCTTCGAAAGAATGGTATTCGATCGCACTTTCTAGCGGCGGTAGCGTACATGCATCCACCTCGATCCCGCTCTGCCATCTGCGCCAGTCTCATCCAGACTTGCTCAGTATCGATGACACGCTCACCCTCACCACCCGCGGGGCGGGCGTGACGAATATCGCGTACCGCATCAACGATATCGCCCTCGACCCGCTTTGCCCCCTCCAATCCGAGCAAAAACTCACCGCACTCAAGGAAAAGGCAAGGAAAGAGAGGCAGAGGCAGCTCGCCCGACGCTCGAACCGCGGCAAACAGGTGACCACTCCGCAAGCCAAGGTGGAATTCAACACACAGGTCGTAGTGGTCAACGCAGTGGTCCCGCCCAGGCCGCAACTCAAACAAGCGCTACCCACCAACGAGGACGGCACGGTCCAAACGCCACCGCCCGAAAAGACGTTCCTGCAAAAGTACTGGTTCTACCTCATCCCCATCGCCATCCTCCTCATCATGCCGCCTGGCGACGAAGAACCCAAACCCGCCCCCGCTGCCCCTCCTGCCAAATAAAACTCCCCCTTCCCCCTTCCTGCCAATTTCCAGACCAATTGTATCCAAACTTGTGGAATTGCTCTACGACGTGGATCGCCTGCGCGAGGTGGGGTGGTCTACAAAATACGTACCCGCCTTCCAGACGAGGTAGAGCATGACGACCACCTGTCCAAAGCGCATGAACGGATTGGCGACGTCGCTCTGGTACTCCTTTTCTGCGCTGCTCCATGCCTCGCTTCCGTGCTGTCTCGCCCGGTTCCTCGCCTCGCGCGCACGTTGTTGCGCCGCAAGCGTTTCGAACGCATCCGCCTCGTCCGAGGTGTACATGCTCGCCTGTCGACCGTACGTTCGTTGGTCCTGCTGCTTGCGTCGTCGTTGGTAGTCCCATGCATACGTGGCGCGCGCACGTCGATTCGCATTATCCTCCGCATCCCACGCATACCCCCGCCCCACATTATCACCATACCCCCCACCTCCCCCTCCTCCTCCTCCGCTGGGGGCAGAGCATTGTCGGTCGTAGCTACGACGGTTTGCAGGCGTGCCCAGGGTGGCGTAGGCTTCGCTGACTTCTTGGAAGCGCTTCTTGGCATCGTCGCTCGGATTGACGTCCGGATGCAGCTCTTTCGACAGCTTGTAGAACTGCGCCTTGATCTGCGCCTGCGTTGCACCGCGCGCCACTTGCAGTGTGCTGTAGTGGTCCAGCGCACGGGCATGTGCCTGTGCGCTCGTGCTAAACCCTCGTCGTCCACCACCACCACCACCTGCGCCCGTCGAACGTGGATGTGCCCGCGGGCGTGGATTCGAGCCGGACTCCGACGACTGAGATTCCTTGTCCGCAAACACGGCGCTACCACGACCCCACGCACCCGCTTTCTTACCCCAGTCCTCGCGCACACCCCACACGTGCGCCTCGGCCAGCACGGGCGGACCCTCGTTCCTGCCCCTCTTCTTCCCAATCGGCCCCGGGCTAAAATCAGGCGCCGCATACCTCCCACTCTCCCGCTGCTGCTTCTTGGCCGTCCACTCTTCCATCTCCCTCTCGAGGCGCGTCTGCGCCGTTCGCCGGCCCGGGAACGTCGCGGTCTCGTACGATGCCTCGTCCGCAAAATCCCCACTCGGATCCTCGAACCGCGGCGAATCGGCCGACAGCCCCGCTGTCGCACTCGCCGCGCTCTCGGCCCGCTCCAAATGCCTCTGCGCCTCGTTGAGCTCGTTGGCCACCACCGCCTTGCCCACCGCCTCGGCCACTTTTTGTTGCGCATGCGAGGTGCCCGCCCACGCCGCCATCTCGTTGGACAGGAACGGCCGCCACCCCTTGCGCCGCATCCAGTCCGGATGGCTCATCTCGAACAGCCGCGACACGGCACGCTGGTACGAAAACCGCTCGTCCTCACCGCTAAAGATCGCCAGGTGCTTGAAGCCCGCCTTGTCGTCCTTGCGCCTTTGCGCCACGTCGGCATCTACAGCAGCGGCGGAGCGAGACGGCCGCTCCGACGAGTAGGCCGAGATGTTGGGACGGAAGCCCTCTTCGGTATCCTGCATTGCCTCGGACAGCGTTTCGGCCATGATGAGCGATTCGGTCATGAACTCGTCCTGGCTAAAGTCGACGCGCTGACCCGCCTTGCGTCGCGCGAGCTCTTCCTCCTCGGGGTATCCCTTGCCGGGCGGAGGCGTGAGGAACGGCGAACGCGCGCCTTTGGTCGACATGTCCACCACGTCCTCGTGCGTCCCAACGGCGCCGAGGTGCAGCTCGGGCCTCACATCCCCCGGCCCGGCGGCTGGTCCGCGTGCAGCGTGGCGTGCTGCGCCCTCTGCGTCGGGGAAGAAAAGGTCGTCGGGTCCAGCGTCGGCCAGCACGATCAGTCGGCATCCGGCCTCGTACACTGCATCGAGCAGCGTGATCATGCGGCGCGCCTGGTTCTTCTGCATGAGCGTCATCTGCGGCACGCCCTCGAGCACAAACGTGTGGTAGCTCGAGGCGAGCGTCAGATAGTCCGCCGGGCCCAGCGGCGAGTCGCACAGCTCTGCAAACGTGAAGCGACACACGCTCGGCATCTGATCTGTCGCCGCGATCGCACGCGGCACCACCAGCTTGCGGCCATACACGTTGAGCGTCGCAGGCTGCTCGCTCCGCCCCGCCACAGCATCCTGCACGAGCGCGTTGAACTTGTCCGCCTCACTGCGCAGGAAGTACGACGTCTGTGCCGGCACCTCCGCCTGAACTGCGCCTTGAACGTCTTGCGCATCGGCCGTGTTGCGGTCGAGCCATTCCTGGCGATAGAACGGTTGCCTGCGGAAATCGCGGCTGCGACGCATCTCGTGGTTGGGACATCGCTCCTGGAGGATCTCGAGGAACTGGGTGAGCTGTCCGCGCTGCACGTTGCTGGCGTACAGATCCTTTGGGATGCGGTTGCTCGTGCCGATCACCACGCCTCCAAGCCGCCAGTACGCCTCGAGCGTTCTCCTGAGCAGACCGGCGCTGGCGACATCCACGAGCTGGATCTCGTCGAACAGCAGAATATGGCCGTGATTCAGAAAGAGATGCGCGGCAGCATGCAGCGGCAGCGTGGTCTTGACCACATCCCCGTCCGGCCCGGGAATGTACTGGAGCTGTGCGGACGCGTCATCTGCGAGCGAGTCTGGTCGGAAGAACGGCATGCCTCGCAGCGCGCGTCTCCAGGCGGACGCCTTGTTCTGCGCGCGCGGGTCGCGCATCCACACTGCGCCGCCGATCTCGGGCGTCGCCGTGGGCCTGGGCATGCCCTGACTCACGGCAAGCCTGCGACGCTCCGCCTCTTGCCAGATGATCTTGTACAGGTCGAGGAGCAGATGGTGGTAGTGGCGGCGGAACTTGTGCTTTGTCGGCAGCGAGTCGTAGAAGATGTCCATGACCATGCTCTTGCCCGTTCCGGGTGTGCCTGTGATGAGGAGGCCCTTGGGCGTTCCGAGCTCGGCGAGGCCTTCGCTCTCGCTGAGCCACTTGACGAGCTCGCCGATGCTCTCGCTCTTGTTGCGCGATCCGGAGCTGGGGCGTGAGGTTGGCTCGTCCTGGAACTCGCGCGCGCCCGGGCGGAGACGCGCATCGATGGCTGAGGCGAGCGCAGCCGACGAGGCGGACTGCGCATCGTCGTTGAGGATGCCGAGCAGATGCGCGGGCGGAACATAGTCGCGCAGCGTACGATTGATGCGTCGCAGCTCGACGAGCGCGCGAAGCTGTTCCTCGTCCTCCTCGAGCTCGCCGCGCGCCACCTTGGCGCGGTAGATGAGCAGCGGATCGGTCACTTGCAGCGCATTTGGTTCTGGCGTCGCGCCGGCAGGACCCACGAATGATGCAAGCGTACGGCTCGATAGCAAGGGGCCTGGTGGGCGCAACCTAGATGATTGAGCATTGCGACCGTTGCCGAGGACGTTGGCGGTTGGTCGTTGGGCCAGTATGGGTCGAAGCGTGCTGAGCTGGCGCGATGCGGATGTGGATCTCGAGCTGCTGAGCACGAGCCTGGACGAGACGGTGACGCGGTGGGTCCGCGCAGCAGAAACGCTCATGATGATGGCGGCATCTATCGCGGCGCTTTCGATGAGGTGCGCGCTCTATGCAGATGAACAGTCCGAGTCGATTGGAGCAAGAAGACAGCGACTACCAAGATGGAGGTTCAGGGACGACGCCGAGCGACAGCGTTGGATTTGGCTCAAGCTCAAAAGTAGGTAAGCTTGCAGTCGGTCTGATTTTAGCCTCCAAAGTGTCAATCTTTCCGCTCCCTCAAGCGCGACTCTTCCCACTGACGTCGAGGCGCCGAAATGCCTCCACAACCAACTCTCCCTTATCTTTTCGGCCGATTTGGCGCGCAGCCAAAATGGCGTTCTGTTAAGCCCAGAGGAGCCAGCTCGGGAGTCGGTGAACGGAGGCGGACTGCTGTGGTGGGCCGAAATTTTTGAGAAGAACAGCCAAACCCTTGATCGTCGTTGCTATCAACCACCTCCTCTCACCCGTACAGGCTGCCTACAACATGTCGCGTCCAGAGCACCTGGCACCGCCAGAAATCTTCTACAATGACACTGAGGCACAGAAGTACACCGCCAAGTAAGCATTCGCCCAAATACACCAACATCTTACCTTCCAGATGCTGATCTTTGCACTTTTGGTTTCGCACCGCAGCACGCGAGTGCAGACGATTCAGGCCGAGATGACGGAGCGAGCGATCGAACTGCTCATGCTTCCGGAGCACCGCAAGCCCGCGCTGCTTCTCGACATCGGCTGTGGCTCGGGTCTCTCGGGCGAGATCATCACCGAGCACGGACACGAATGGATCGGTTTCGACATTTCACCCTCGATGCTGGAAGTTGCACTGGAAAAGGAGACCGAGGGAGATCTTTTGCTTGCCGATGCTGGTCAAGGTTGTGGATTCCGTGCAGGTTCGTTCGACGGCGCCATTTCGATCTCGGTGCTGCAGTGGCTGTGCAATGCCGACGCCACGTCGCACAACCCCGCCCAGCGACTCTCGTCGTTCTTCACCACGCTCTACTCGTCGCTCTCGCGCGGATCGCGCGCCGTCTTCCAGTTCTACCCCGAATCCGACGACCAGGTCAAGTTCATCATGCAGTTCGCCACGCGCGCCGGATTTGGCGGCGGTCTTGTCGTCGACTACCCCAACTCGAAAAAGGCCAAAAAGTTCTATCTGGTGCTGTGGGTCGGTGGCGAAATGATGGTCGGTCCCAACGGTCAGGCAACCAAACAAACACTACCAGAGGGCAAGACGCACGATCATGAAGAGGCAGCCGCCAGCAACGGTGTCAAGTACGAAAAACGAAGACTCGATCGAGACCGAAGAGGCAGCAAGAAGAAGCGCTCCTCCGAAACGGCAAAGGAATACATTGTGCGCAAGAAACAACTCAACCGAAAGCGCGGAAAGGAAGACGTCCCCCTCGACAGCAAGTACACCGGCCGCCGCAGAAAGGGCGGCTTCTGATCGCTCACTTCCACCGCAATGCTCACAGGCTTCACTGCCCGTTTATACCCTGCTCTATCCTCACGCATTGTGATTACTTCCTTTGGACTGATACGATTGCACAACCAAAACCCAACACTGAGATGCGAGATGGAGCGCGCGACTAGATGTCGTCGTCCATGCCTGCGGGGATCTCGACCTTCTGACCGGGCTCGAAGGCGGGCAGACCGAGGTAAGGGCAGCTGGAGCATCGGAAGGCATCGCCGAGGAAGCAGCTTCCGCACGACGACGTTGCGCCCTTGGTGTCGACCTGGATGCGCTTGATCGTCTTGGGCTTGCCGTCCTTGCCAATGATAGTCTCCGTCACCTCGGTTCGCTTTCCGCCCTCCGTGGGCGCTGCGTTGGGCATGTCCATGTCCTCTGTGTCGAGCTGCACCACGTTGGCGTTTCGCTCCTCCTCCTCCTGCAGCTCGCGCAGGCCGCACGTGCATCCCTTGCACGCCTTCTTCTTCTTGCTCTGCCCCGGGCCCACGTCGCAGTCCGGACGCTTCACCGCCGTGGTGGCGACAAAGTCGCCGTCGCGCAGCAGCGTCGACTGGTCGATCAGCTCCGCCGACGCAGGCTGCGTGGCCCACAGCGACTTCTTGGCTGCGGCCGACGATGCGCCCAGCTTCTTGCGCAGGGGGAGTGCTGAAGACGACGCGCTCGACGACGATCCGATCGAAAAGGACGCAGCAGCACCCGAGGGCTTGGTGGCCGAAACCACGCCCGTGGCACTGTCGGTGTGGATGTCGGTGAAGCCGGCGATGGTGAGCTCGGCATTGACCTTCTGCGCGGTCGTTGCATCGGTGAGCTCGCCTGCCTCAACCACGATCTTGGCCGAGGGCTGCAGTGCCGCATGGAGGCTGGAGAGGAGCACGGGCGAGGCTGCATCCGCGTACGATACGACGAGGTGGGCGAGAGGATAGGTGCCGGGAGCGAGCGCAGTCGCACCGTCCGTGAGACGATCCACCATGTGCATCTCCACCTGACGACCCGAGTAGGCTTCGATGACCTTCTGGTACGATCCGCTCTGCGCCGACGCCATGGAACCAATCACGAGTACAGTGCCGGTAGGGTCGACGGCGGTGGACGACACGACGCCGTTGGAGGCGTGCGAGAATGCGGCATCGGTAGCGACGGGAGGCGACATGATTGGGCGATGCAGCACCTAGTATATGTGCTATATATCGATGGAGGAAGCTGCGGAGTAGTCGACGTGAACGTGCAGCCGATGTGGGATGATCCGAAGGGTAGAGCGCAGTGATGGTCCGAACCGAGTAGAACGAGGTGAAGCCGAAATGCGTTCCCGAGCTGAAGTTCGGAATAGCAGGATGTTTATGGTGGGTGGAATGCAAGTGGTCGGCTGAGTTGGAGGTGTGGATTTGAATCGACGGTTGCGGTGGGGTTCGCTTTCGCTTTCGCTTTCGCTTTCGCTGCCGCTGCCGCTGCCTCACCAACAGAGCGCTGCCTCGGTCCGGCAGCGCGGGGTTTAGAGAGGAGCTTTTCGCCCTTTTTCTCCTGCGGCGAGATACCGCTCGGCAGTGGCAAATCACACGCCTCGAATTACGCTGTTGAAAAACACAAATCTGCTCATCACCGCCACCAACCCAACCGACTCGGCTCCACCACGGCCTCTTGACGTCAAAGCTAATCTCCGGCTGAGCGCTTCCACGGCTCTGCCTTGCTCTGCCGTGTACACCACACCTGCGCTGTTTCGTTGCTTTCAACGCGATCTGGAAAGTACTTAGCCATCGTAAGCCAGTGCTATCCGTGTCCACAAGGCCAGGTGACTCGTCAGAAATTGCGTTGCTTTGGCAGTGTGACGGACGGAAGACAATGCAGAGCTTCGCCTTATCTGATACAAAAAATCTCACTCGCGCCACGCCCTGAAACCCTCTGCGTCAATATCTCGGCCGAGTAAAACAAAGCTGTGAACTCGACAGAGCTCTTCTCCCGATGACGGCTCGGTGTCAAGAGCTCGCCTTAGGCACCGCTTCACATCTGCGGCCATAGAACCTTGAAAGCACCACATCCCGTCCGATCTGCGAAGTTAAGCAAGGTATCGCCTAGTCAGTACTGCGGTGGGGGACCACGCGGGAATCCTAGGCGCTGCAGTTTCATTTTTGCTTTCTTTTTGACTCGCCTCCCTTCCTTGTCTCGATCTTACCCTGTCGAAACGACAAGAGGCTGTTCATACGGCTGTTGATTGAGTGCGTCACATGTGGTACTGCAGGGTAGTAAAGGCGGTCATGGCGTGGATGAGCTTCTTTCAGCTGCTTGCTGCCTTGGAGCGCGAAGCAGGAAGATCAATCGTGTAGTAGTTCGGATACACCAGTTCGTCTTCGAGGCCCTTGCGGATCACCTCGGCCACGAACTTTTCCACCTTGCCCACGTTTTTCAGCACGTGCTTCTCGTGCTCGCCCACCTCGCTCTCAAACGTGAGATGCGGTAGGATGTTGAGGCCCGCGCTGGGGCGTTTGGCCTCGACGCCGCCCATCGCATCGTGCTCTCCCAGCGGCTCTTCTTCCACCAGGCACACGTGCGCACGCTGATGCTCGCCCTCCAGCGCCACGATCACGCCCGCGCGCATCACAAATCCCGTCACCGACAGCGTCAGCGGCAGACTCATAAACGCTGCGCTCGGATAGTTGATCAGCAGGCTCGTCGAGATTCGCAGCCGGAAACTCGTCGTGGCCCAGTCGAGCGACAGCCGCATCTGCAACGAAGGCAGTCCAGACGAAGATGGCGCAGACAGAGCTTCGCGTCCCTCATCTCCGGGAGAATGCTGCCCCGAGAGAGAGCGGAACGAAGCTGCGGGTGTCGAGCGCATCGATGGCCTGCCTCCCGCGCCAACGTACATTCCATTACCCAGCATCGATGCGGGCGGATGCAGGCTATTCGTATCGCGCTTCAGCCCGATCTGGCTCACGCTGCTCTGTGGCCCCGGCCCGCCCCGAAGCGACGACGCATCAAAGCTCGTCTGTCTCGAATTGATGCCCGAAAACGGCGGCGGCGGAAGCGGTCCGAGCGCGCCCGTGGTCTGCTGCCAGTGCTGAAAGTAGCCCGGAGAAGGCGGAACCGAGTCGACCGGGCTTGTCACCTGCGTCTGCGGCAGCGACGACGCACCGCCGAGGCCTGCAGCGCGAATTCCTCTCGACGCCAGTGCAGCGGACCACTGCTGATGGTATGCACTCGCCCCGAATCCTGCTCCAGGCGTGATGGGTGCCGACCCAACCACACTGGCCGACACAATGCTTGGCGGGCCGTGGATGCGGTGCGGAGGTGCGGCGTCGTCGAATTGGGTATATGTGCGGATCGGAATGTCCACGGGCGAGGGCGACGCTTCGTGCGGCGACTCTACCAGCGTGGTCGAGTTGGATGCGGGTGTGGCGTGGCGCGATGCTCCGCGACGCCGCACCGGTGCCTCGTCGATCGACACAAAGTCCTGCCAGATGTCCGAGATGGACTGGATCGCCACGTCCGGTGGATCAGACCCAAAGCGCAGTCCGTCAAAGTGGATGTCGCCCAGGAACGACGGCCGCTTGGACGCAGACGCGCTCAGCGCACGGTTGATCGAGTCGAGGAAGCGCACCGCCAGCTCGTCGTCGAGCAAGCTCCAGTCCAGCTCGAGAGACATGGATGCAGATGCTCCGTCGCGCGCTATGTATGTGTTCGGGGTGTCGCTGCCGTCTGCGGCATGACGGATCCGTCCTTGTTCGACCGCTGCTGCTGATTACCGGGATGATAGATGGTGGCTCAGACCAAAGCCAAAAGTCAGACCAACACGCGGCAAAAACGACGTAGCTCACAAAAGTGGAGCGCGTGTCGCTTTCAAGCCTAGGCGCCGCTCGAAAATTCCAAGGCCCTTTCCAAAAGGCTCGCGATAAATCGGGTCACAAAATTGACGTGCTGTCAAAGCCATTTCGAGAGCCAAACGCATTCCATGACACCGAGAGCGATGGGGTAAAGTACAACGAAAGCACGCGATCTAAGGTGAATGAACGGCCTACAGCATGTAGCGGAACGAGCTCTTGGCCATAGCGATGCGAGTCTGCTGCTTCTTGGAAGCGGCGTCAGTGGCGATGTGCGACTCGGGGTCGCGCACCACTTTGGCATCGTCACCTGCCTCCGAACCAAACTTGGCATCCTCGGATCCAGCCGTATTGACAAGCTGCTCTTGCTTGATCTTGTCGAGCTGAGCGTTCTCGCGCTTGAGCATGGTCCTGTGCAGCAGCACGAGCGCAATGCACGCCACGAACATGGCCGACGAGATCGTGTTGGACTGCCAGTACTTGGGTCCCCACTTCTTGAGCCACACGTAGCTCGCCGAGATGTTGCCGAGCTGCGAGAATGCGTTGATGAGCGCGAGTGCCACGGCCTTCTTGTACCTGGGCGTGGGGATGGACGGAGCGATCCAACCGAGCACACAAGTGTATCCGGCGTACGACGAGGCCTCGATAAAGAGCGCAAAGAAGCGCGCGCCCAGGCTCGTCGTTGTCGACGAGATGATGAAGCCGACGATACCAAACAGAAGAGGAATGATGATGTGCAGCGTACGCTCCTGCACGCGGTCCGAATGCAGGCCGTTGGCGAGACACGCAAAGAAGGCGAACAGCCAGATGGGCGCAGTAAGCAGCAGCGTCACAGTGTGCGAGTAACCCAGCGATCCCACAATTGTAGGGAAGAACTGGTTGAAACCCACGCCGACAGTGACACTGGTGAGCATGAAGGCGAGCACCCACACCTTGACGTCCTTGACCGCCATGATGAGACCCTGCATCGGCGTGCCTTCATCCTCACCAGGCGACAGGCTGGTGCCCACGTCGAGCTTGAGCCTGTTGACCGCCATCTGCCTCTCTTCGACCGAAAGGAACTTGGAGTTTTCGGGCATGTCCGGCAGGATAAAGACAGCCATGGCAGCAACCACCACCGTGATGGCGCCCTCGATGATGAAAAGCCACTTCCAAGCGGGCAGGCCTGCCTTGCCCTCCATCCTCGACAAGATACCCGCCGAGATGAGACCCGAGAAGGCGTTGCTGATGATACTGCCCGAGAAGAGCAGCGCTGTTCGCGTAGCCATCTCGTTCTTGCGGTAGAAGAACGACAGCATTGCCAGTGCGGCCGGGAAGAAAGCCGACTCCACTGCACCCAGGATAATACGCACGGCGAGGAGCGAATGGTACCCGGTGGTTGCGGCCGTGCAAGCCGAAACGACGCCCCAGAGCGTCACGAAAGTGGGGATGTACAGCGATGGCCGCCCGAGCTTGGTCATGAACAGATTCGACGGGATCTGGAAGGTGATGTAGCCGACGTAGAGGATGGAGAGCGCAGTTGGGTACTCCTGGCCCTTGAGGCCGAGATCTCGCTCCAGGCCGTTGTCTCGTGCAGTAGAGATACTGTTCCTGTCCAAATAGTTTAAAATATATAATAGAATGGTGATTGGCATCAGACGGATGTCAATCTTGCGGACAAGTCGTCGCTCGAGCTCCTTGTACTCGGAAGAGTTAGGGTCGAGCGCGGTGACGCCCGGAGCGCCGCCGCTGAGCTCTTGCGCGTCGTAGACGGCATCGTGCGTGTCGTGCTGCGCCGAAGACGAGCGCTGCGAAGACGGGCTGTTGAGTTCTTTGCCCATTGTGGATGTGTTTTGAAGGGGAGACAGGAGGAGGAGAGGGGGCGACGACGGGCTTTCATTTATACTGACCCTCCCCAGAACTTGCTTTGTGGGGGCAACGCGGGGCGCAGGACAAACGCAGGCCTCAGGAGGCAGAGCAGGAATCGGCGTGGGGAAGAGTGGGGTACGCCTCGTACGACCATTGGGGCAGGAGGACCGACCATGGCCACCGGCAAGGCCCGGCAGAGCGTTGTGACGCCGGTCCCGTGGCGGCGGTTCTGGTTGGCTCGCCTGCGCAGCCAAGGGGCTCGCTTGTGACGGCCCGGTCGGACTGGGCACGAGAGGTCAAGCAGAAGAGCATGTGGGAGAGGCGGAATGATGCTCGCTTGGTCGGGCTTGCTACGGAAGCGAGGTTCTGTTGGAGGTCGGTGAATTCGGCGGGGTGTTGCGAAATTAAAAATTAATTTTCATGAATCGGCTAGAAAGAATTCATTTAACCCAAGCGCCCACTTTTCTCGCCTGCGGCTTTTGCGGGGCAGGCGTGCGGGGAGTCCCACAAGCGCTGAAAATCCGTCGTCAGGGTCGACGTGGGGACGTGGGGGTCCGACGAATGCCAAGCGACGCACCCAAAAATCTCTCCGAATTTCCGTTTCCCTTTTTTCTTTTCGCGCTTCTCGGAACATTTTTTTCGTCGTTAGCCGCTCAGCCCGTCTTTTCCGCCGGGTCTCACTCCTCGGTGGCAACACCATCAAAGGTCGTTGTAGCGCAAATTCGCTCAATTCGATCAATCCCAGAAAAGATGAGATGTCCTGCGCCAGCGGTACAGTCCTTATTCAAGCGTCAAGATCGAAGAATATCAGAAAGTACGGTGAAAGAGGAAGAAGCACTTCTGATTGGGGGCTCGGGCTCGTGCATGTGGGGCTCGGCGAAATTTCTCCACGTCGAGCACACGGTGCATCGTTCCTGCCCACGTCGATGGAGTTTGCATCGGCTCGCATTGTTCGCTTGACCGCGACCATCCTGACTTCGAGTACACCCTCGGCATGGTAGTGAGCGGCACCGACCTCCGCGCAACCATACCCACGTGGCTCGATTCCCCATCTTCACCCCATCCGGCAAGACTCTCACATTCGCGCCACACAGCCGCCGAGTCCAGCAAAACGAAGAGGGTCAATAACAATCGCATTGCAGACTTAGACGGGCGATGTCGAAAGAGACGCCCAAGACAAAGTTTGACCGTAACGTCTGGATCGGGGAAAGGCCTTGAACGAGTGGCGGTCTTGGACGGAAGGTGGGAAGAGGCCAGATACCAAGGATGAGAGCATATGAACCCGACCCTCGAAGCGTGAGCAGAGTGTGCTGGCTCAGAGGCGATCGTCCAAGAGTCATCGACAACCAGGATGGCTGTGTCCGCTCCTTGATTGAGGCGAAGACCAGTAGGAAGCCCTTCTCGCATCCGATCGAGCGAATCGTTTGATCTTGTTTCTTTGTCTTTTATTCTTGCAGGAGCCAGCTTGCGACCATACCGTTCCTGGTGTTCTTGCATTCGTCGGAAATTGATTGGCGACATCATGTGAAGGAACGAGCTGGCGATTGTAGAAAACCCAACGTAATCGACAGACACTTCGTCGTCGCCCTCGACCCTCCGCCCATCACCAGTCTTTGACATGCGTCGTTGTCTCCTCCGTCATCCCGACCGAGCCTATTCCTGCTTTGAGGAGATCGATGCCACCTTTTGCCCCGGTAGGAGATTCAGCAAGACTGGAAACACGAGCGTACACATTTGTGGCCGCGCCCGCCACCCGGCCATGCCCTAGCCCGAGGTCCACCTCGCCTTGGCCAGCCAGATATCTAGCCCCGAACTCGGCCAGGTTCATGTTGCCCCGCATCAAGAACAGAGAGCGCCATGGTGCCAGGTCCCAATTGATTGACCAATTCATCGTCGCCTTCCCTGCTGTTGAACTGCCGACCTCCTGACCAACGCGCCCGGCACCGCTGCTGCTGACGCTGCCGCCGCTCTGGTCCACGCTGCCAATGGCACCACTGCTCGGGCTGCCATCTCAGGCGCCAATAAAATGGTGACCAGAGGTGTGCATCTATGGTCCTTTAATGCCGAGCCAGTGATGCCCTGGCTGGAGGTGCACCTGGCTTTGGCCAGCCAGGGAGCCTTTCTGGCTCCGAACTCAGCGAGAAACAACGTCCCTTCGGACTCGCTTTACGATCTAGAGCCGGTCCAGTCAACGATAGGTCCCCCTCATGCACTGGTGGTCGCCTGTCCGCCCTTGCTCTTAACGTGCAGTAAACACTCTTGACCAAGACCTCTAGCACAGTAGTACACACTTGCCCGGCCGTAGACTTACGCCGAAGCGCCGCAATCGCTTGCACAGTAATACACATTTGCCCGGCTGTAGACTTACGCCGAGGCGAAGCAATCACTGTCGACACGCGTGCACTCTCGACTGCCACGCAAGAATAGCACAATCGAACTGTCACGGGTGATGATCGCATATAATCGAGCTGTGGCAATGAAATGACTCTGGAAATTTGTGTTTGTGCGGTGCAATACACGACAAGGGGGGTCTGGGGACTTCAGGCCTGCTGACCTCCGCGCTTGGGACAGGCGGAGGTCTCGTGCCGGGCGTTGGGTCCATCGAGCTCTTGCGCAGTATGCTTGCAGATCTCATAATAGTTGTACCGGTTCATGTACTCGGGGGTAAGCAGGTCCACCGAGTCCCAGCAGATATAGCCTGGCCAGTCATGTGCCAGAGCTGGACCGTTCGAGTTGACCGGAAGACGCACAACAACGGCGACACTGTGAGAGAAAGTCCAAAATTTTGCCAGTACAAGGAATTCCTCGACGAAGAAGACGTCGACCACTTCGATCGCGACGTCAGAACCACGGCTCAAAGATTGAGCCAGGACAGCTTTGAGACTCCGAAGGAACAGGAGGTATTGTCGAGCTGGAATGTTCGAAACCTTGATGACGTAGTGATCATCCGGAATATTTGCACCGATCAAAGCAGGAGGGCCGAGTGGCTTTCTCAACACCGACCACCGCTTCGTAGCCGCGGTTGACACGATCTCTTTTGAATGGATTATGTCTTTGCGGACCTCGACTTCGGTGTAGCGCTCGTCACCCTGATTGCCTTCAGGGAATCGAATATGGAAGGGCTTTCCAGGAAACGTTTCCCTGAACTGTTGAGCAAGGTGCTCTCGAGCTAGGGCTTTTTCTTCTTTCTTGATGACCGGCAACATGAACCTGACGACATTGGCCGACACGAAGGTGTCACCACATTTCAAGGCAAGGAGGACCTCAGACCACGGCAGGACAGGAAGAGAATCCTTACTGTTATTGATATCGTGCGTTCCACGGAAGCGGCTGATGTTGGTACTTGCCACGTTCTCAGACGTCTTGCTGTTATCGTCGGCCATCTTCGCAGGGCTTGAGCTGACCACGGTCAGCGTACTTGGAGGTGCCGTACTGTGAAGGACTTGACTGAAACAGACCTGTGAGTAGAGAAATCGAGTAGGGAACGATGGGAAGGAGCAAAGTTATGCTTGCGAGGACAAGCCGTTGAAACACCAAGGCCCCAAGCCTTCGCAAGAGTCTTGATCTTTGTGCTGTCTCAAGGCGTGTTGGGGATCAGTGTGTCTTCTTGTGCCAGCTTATTTCCTCCCGCGGCTGTTTCCGCGATCTGAGCGGCGTCCCATCCGATGTGGTCCATCGGCAGAGCGCGGAAGAAGGGACATGAAGTGCGACACGCAGGGCAGTGGGACCGATCGAAGATCGAATCAGGGCCGCCTCATGAAATGAGCCGGGATGATATGACAACGTTCGTGGCGCCACAATTCTCACGACGCGGAACGACGCGTTTGACTCCGATGGCCCGAAAGCAGATGCCTTCACGCAAATGATTAGAGCGTGAAACGGTGACGTTCCATATCATAAGACTAAGCAAAAGAAGAGTCAAACTATAAGATCGCAAAGTAGCAGTTCGGTTCGAGTCTAGGCGGAGACGGGAGCCGCCTGGACATTTGCCACCAGCGGACGCTGGGCCTTCTCTCCGTCTTCCGAATAGTAGCAGCTCCACAGGCAGTTGGCGTCCTGGGCGGCCACGCCATCCTTGAACGGTTCTTCGAGGATCTTGGGCGTCGCGGTCATATTGGGTTGGAAGCCGTTCGCCTTCGTCAGAGGCGTGGGAGGCAGCGACTTGTTGGCATCGCTCGAGCGGTCCAATCCAAAGTGAAGTCCAGAGCTCGACGTGGGTCTCCACGACCTGCGTCGCTCCTGCTTGCTCGTGGGCGACGCGGGCTCGTCTCCGGCCTGGTGGGCTGAGCTGGGACGGCTGCCGTTCTGGAGGATGGAGAAGACGTCCGAGATCGACGATCGGCGTCGCTGACGCGTAGCCGCGTCCATACGCGAGCTGGTGCGCACCGGCGAAGCGGGTGCCGACTTGCCTGTCGCCTCACTCGCTGGAGCGGCCACGGCTGACGAGGCAGCGGGCACAGCGGTCACAGCGGGAACAGCAGGCACAACGGCCGTACTTGCCTCGGCCTGAAGGTTGGCGCGGCTCTTGCGACTGAGCGACTGGAAGAAGCGCTGGATCTTGCTGGATGGCTTCTTGTCCTCCTTATTCGCAGACGCAGGCGCCGGTCGGGAAGCAGCTTCCGCAGTCGAACGTTCTGAGCGCAGCCTGACACCAGTCTTCGCCTTGGCAGCCGCGAGGACGTCATCGGCACCAGCAAACGAGATGGCCGTAGGACCTCGCTTGATAGTGTTGATGCCAAGCAGGCCGGCATCGGGACTGCGACGGTGCACTTTGAGCTGCTCCGCCTCGATCTCGACGCGCTGCGCCTCCTCGTCTCCAAGCGAGAAGACTGGCTTGGGACTACCTCCCCGAGGAGTGGTGGGCGCGGTCGACATCGAAGTGCGGCCGCTTCCGCCGTCCATGCCGTTGCCATCCGCCGAGACCGCCGAAGCAATCGTATCGTGCCCGACACTGTATGCGCGAGCGGTCCTCGTCCCCAAAGCATCGTTCGCCTTGTCGTGGACGACAAATTCGGGTCGTACGTCGGGGAGGCGAGCTACGGCGGCAGATGCGAGCACGCCTCCGAGTCCATCGAATTCATCGCGCTCCTCTTCATCCAGCTGCACCGCTGCCGTGGCGGTCTGTTCGGAGCTAGCCCAATCGTTTGCCGAGCCAGCGTAGCGACGGTGGAGCGCAAAGCGCGTCGGCGTCGCTTCGGGAACGAGCTTTCGCACAAAGCCGGTGCATCGGCTCGCGAAGCGCGGGTTGCGGTGCGGGTGGAAGAAGTCGAGCGTCATCTGGTCCAGTTCGTGCTTGCGGTATCGCTGGAAGTGCTCATCGATGGAGAGCGACCTGTCTGCCGCATCGGCGTTCTCAGCAAAGAGGTAGGCGAGGTATCGCATCTTGTTGCGCACAATCTGCTCCGAAAGCAGCGCCGACTGAGCCGCATCCGCCGATGCTGGGCGGAGCGAGCGCGTCCACGGCGCACCCGAAGCGGCCAAGCCGTCTGCGGCGCTCGCCGCGTGGATGTCGGCATCCATCACCTCGTTGACCAGCCCCTTGATGACCACCAGCATCTGCGCTGCGTCCATGCCGTCGTTGTCGAGCACGTGATCGACGAGGCCGCTCCTCTTGGCCTCGTGCGAGCTCATGGGCAGCATCTCGCGCGCAAACTTGGCGGCGACGCGCGAGCCGCATCGCTCGTACCAGGAATACGTGTGCCACTCGGACCCAAACAGGCCGAGACCGCGGTAGTGCGGGTTGAGCACGGCGCTCTCGGCGCAGATGACGAAATCGGCCGCGGTGGCCATGGCCAGCCCGCCGGCAGCCGCGTTTCCGCGCATGGCTGCAAAGGTGACGATGCCTCGGGGAGCGAGCAGCGCCTGGACACAGTCGTCGATCGCATTGATGTTCGCCCAACCCTCGGCCGATGGGTCGGGAGAGCCCTCGATGACATTCAGTGCAATGCCGTTGGAAAAGTATCCCGGGCCACCGAGCATGACGATGGCCTTGAGGCCGGGAACCTCGAGAGTCCACTGGATCGCCGCGAGCAGGATCTCGCACTGGGTTGTGGAAAATGCGCCGTTGTAGAAGTCGGCATGCACGTACGCCACGGCCGAAGCGGTCTTGGGGCTCGACTCGACGTCGACCCACACCTGCTGGTAGGTTCCCTCGCGTCGCTTCCAGGGCTGCGACGCATCAGCGCCAAAGCCTGTCGTGGCACTCCACTCGGGCACCTTGTTGGCGTCCATCAGACCCAGCTTGGCAGCGATGTCCGGCATGGAGAGGAGCGCCATGACGGCCGGCAGCTTGGGCTGCAGATACTTGTCGGTCTTGGCCTTGGGACGACGCAGGTGGCCGATCCAGATGGGCAAGTCGGCGCCGACATCAACGAGGACAGCGCCCTCGCGCGTGGCGAGCACGGTGCCGGGCTGGCTGAGTGCTGCCTGCCTCGAAGCGACCGCGGGCGGAAGCGGGTCTCGCTGCACATGCGCGTTGTACAGGAAGAGCGGCGTGCCGAGCAGACTCGAAAGCATGCCTGGTTGCGAATCGGCGCTGCGGATGCGCTGCAAGATGGCATCTGCCGAGAGCCTCGACCTACCGGCGATAGCATTGGCCTGCGACACGAGCGGGAGAAAGTCGCGCTGCGAAGCCCTAAGCAGCGGACGATCGTGTGTCCTCCCGCCCAAAAACGGCACCTTGTTGGAAACGCACTGGGTCCTGAACTGTGCTGGTGCTACTACCTCTGTGCTAACTGGCAGGTACGACTCGTGCCCCTTCTGCGCCGCCTGTTCGCTTGCGCACTCCGTGATGCGTTGCACAGCAGCAAGGACCGCATTGACCGCTGCGCGCGTAACAGGTCCACGGTACAGATCGCTCTTGGACATGGCCGCCGTTGCAGCAGTGAGCTCGAACTGGTCAAACGCCCAGACGGGGCCTGCATCGAAAGCCTCGATAGCCTGGAGCACAGTCACGCCCCAATGTGTGCGCATTGAAGCCGAGGCGTTCTTGGCGCTGTGCTTTGCGTCGATAAGAGCGAGTTGCTGGTCGGCATTGCTCAGCTCGCCCATGTCGCCGATGAGGCACCAGTCGAGTGCGGACGGTCCGGCATCGCCGGGCGGCCCTGGGTGCACGATGAGCGTCATCCAGGTGTTGTACACCTTTGGCGGCACGTGTTTTGTGAGGAACGGGCAGATGATGAGGTGTGGCTGTGCGAGCTCGGCTGCCTCGATCATGCGATCGGGCGAAAGCGCATATTCGACCGTGACGGCATGGCCCCTTTCGCGCAGCACCAATGCGGTGCGCTAGCAGAACAATCGCCGCAGAAAGACAAGGATCAGTACAGCATTCGTTTGATGACCGGGTCTGTGAGAACATACCTGTGCGAGCGAGTTGAACGCTGTGCAAATGAAGAGGATCTTCATTTTGACTTGTGTGTGTGTGTGTGTGTGTGTGTGTGGAGATTTACGGTGCTCGGTTGTACCTGTGTGCGAGCTTTGTTACCTATCCTCTACGATTCGCTGCTGATCCGGGCTGTCGGTATGTGGGAGTGACCTCGGTGATATATCTGCGAGCGTCTGTGTGCTTTCGAGACGGAGTCGTCTGGCTGACGAGAGGATACGGAGGGTGATTCAGGACTGTGAGAGGGTGAAAGGGAGACGAGGCGGCGGAATTGTTCAAACGCTGTTCAGTATAAGTATCCCCTCCGTTTTAGAGCTTGGCGGTGGCAAGCCCAACCGCCAAGCAATGCAGGACGTGGGTGGTGATGAAGTGGCCCACGCAATGCGAGGTTGCAGTGGGACGGCAAGCTGTACCGAACGAGCGGGGCCACAAACTGTGCAGCGGGCATAACGCCTCCTTCCAATGCACTGGCACAATGCTTGCAAGCCCATCATCCTTGCTGCCCATCCCCAAGCGTGGGAACCACACCGTGCCTTACGTGCAAGGGAGTGCGGGTAAAGGGTGGACGGCAATGCAAGTTCGATCGACATGCCGCTTGAGCTTCCCAGGGTACACAAAAAGCCAAAAAAGCTTTTTGCCGACCTTTTTTTTTTTTTTTTGGCCATGTGGGGAAATTGGGGGTTTACCGCGTCGACTTACAAAGTGTGTGCCGTGTGGTTGCCAGGGGGCTTGGGAGGATGGGCCGAGATGGGAAAAGAACGCAAGGGGGTGTTGGGACGATCCCAGGTCCACAGCCTTCAAGTGGCGACAGGATGCGGGTAGAGGATGTTCAGGAACGCGGCGTTGGGCGTATGGCGCCAGCACAATTGGTCTGCAAGGCACAGCAGATGCGGATCGTAGGTGGCCGAATGCAGCCGCGCTGACCTGCTGGAGCTTCGAAATGCAGCGCGATGCAAGGGGTCCAATAGTGCAGAACCCGCCTTCGCCCTTTTTAGCGAAAAATATTCCTTTTGTAAAAAAAAAGCTTTTCTTGGGGGCCCAAACAACGCCACGTCGCCTTGGCAGTTGGCAGATGAAATCCGCCTGTTGAGTCGTGCCGAAGGCCGGTTGGCAAGTCAAGCTCCTCGACCGTCGCACTGAATCACGACCAGTCGCTCCGCAGTGGAGTATCGAAATGAGCCAGAAGGTGTGGGGTTAGAGGTGAAAGGATACTGTAAGCCGTCGGAAAGCTAGACTGTCGAGTGGGAGAATAGTTGAGCGGCAGAGCAAGGGGAAGGAGGGAGGGGGGTTTCTAGCACGGGAATTCCACGAGGCGGCGACAAGGTGGTGCTAACTTTATACTACCCCGAAGGCTAGTGCAGCCACGGATCCAATGCCAGCATCGCACCTCAACAGCATCTTGACCGGAAAGATGTTGCAGCCGACGCCTCTAGCAGAGCACGGAGAGATGCATGCAGCAGCACCGTACTTGGCCTCGTAAGGGCATTTTCGCCGACGTCTTGATTTGATAGGGCAGATTGGCGGATCTTTGTGCCGAGACACAGGCAGCAGAAGCCGAAGCGCTTTGACTCTGGGCGTTGGCTGGACTGGGTGGCTTGCTGTGCACGACGATCCGATGCAGTGGGCGAGTGCAGTAGCGTGTGTTGCAGTAGCGTGTGTATACGAATGGGGCGTACGTCCGCCATGCCCGAGCCAGCATGTCCTACGCCACTACAGCACCGCAAAAGACGCCTCCAAAGCGTAACCTGGCAGCTAAGCGAGACTGTGCAGCAAACTGCAGAGCGTGAGACAAATTTTCCAGCGGTACAAAAAAGAAATAAGGGAAAAGGTCATGGCGGCGCCGCAAGTGGACAGACGGAGTTGGGCGGGCGCTTAGATTGAGCTGAGCGCGCGGGGCGTGAATTTCCCCCCTGCTTGGGAGTGAGAGACAGCAAAGGCCAGGGGGCAAAGCGGAGTCGACTCATCTGACACCTGGCTTGCAGCGCTCACCTTGTTTAGCGCGTCGGAGCTTCGTCTGCCCGACTTGCTAAGGGAGATCCGAGCTTGCGACGGTTGTTGCCTTTTGACCACGCACGAGCGATCGTAGCCTGCAGGTAGCGACTTGGCTACACCTCGCCACACCAACACCGTTCTCGTACAAAGCCAAAGACTCCCATCCTTGTGGCAAATGAGACATGTGTCGATGCTCGACTGGGTCCAAGCCGCATCGCCAAACATGCTCAAGCCTTTGCCTTGTCCCCAGAGCTCGCGTTGACCATCGTTGTTGGTGACGCATCCATGGAACGCTGCACGCTTCGGCAGGCGAGAAAAAAAGGTAGCCGAGATCGAAGCTTCCACGCGGTCGGCAAGCCGGCCGCCGCAGCATGGCAACGATGCACGTCGTCGCGGCAGCATGGCAGAATCCAACCATGCTCGAGCCAGTCGCTTGCACTGCCCATCATATCGCTGCACCGGCACACTCGACGGCAGGAAAGATGCTGCGGACGACGGATCGCCACCCAAGCCAAGGTTTCTGAGCGTGAGAAAAGTCGAGCTTCAGCCGCAGTCGGATGCACCAGCTGGGCGGACGCCTTGGGCGTATTCAAGATCTGCCAAAAGCACAGTTGTAGCAATTGCTCACCCCGCCAGCGGAGGTCGAATTTCCAGCTTCCACCCCGCGCCGAAGTTGAGCATGGTTTGGCAGCGCACGGTCCGCCTACGCTTGAGCCTCGGTAAGCTCTCTGAATGGGTGCATGTACAGCTCGGACACTGTGTGCGGCTTTCTCAGAGACGAGTGGCAAGGGAAGTGCGAGATGTAAAGCGCGCCCATATCGGCCTGGGAGCGGGCCGTCGTGATTTTGGCGCTTTGATTGCACGGGGGAAGGCATTCTCTCGCGCGCGCAGATCGTTTCAAGGCCCGCAGGACGATCGTGTTCCGCAACCGGCCAACAGGGCGCGTGGCCGCCCCCGACGCGAAGAGCAGACGCGTGGCGAGAGGGGAAAAAAACCAGGGTCCAACTCGCCTGCAGCTTTCGGCGAGCACGCTGTTCGCGGCCGAACGTCATCCCTCAAAGGAGGCCAACTCCGCATGGGGATCACCATCGCTGGTCTGGCAACAAGCCAAGACAGCCAGCGCCAAGGTGTATCGACTCCGCCGAGATGTGGTGGGGTTCCGGCGTCGACGGTAACATGCTGCGCTGTGCATGAGGTTGCCCCGCGACCATCTTTCCGCCGGCTTCGATCCGTGGAGTGCAGTGGTTGAAGAAGTGGGAGCATGAGCTATCGTACGGCCGCTGCTCAGATGTGGTATTTGGTACTGGCAGCCATGTCAATCGTCTGCAGCCAGTCCGAAGCCTGAGTTGAGGGGGAAAGTGGAAACGAGACCTATACCGAAACAACCTGACGAACAAGACATCATGGTGGCATCGGGTATAGTCGTTGCTTTCAAAGCGCGGGGGCTCGAGCTAAGGCCAAGCATAGCCGGTCGGTTGATGGTGGCCAGGCTGTGGGAAGCGGAGCTGCTTGGACCAGCCGAGCCAAGATGTGGGTCGGAGGATGAGGTTTAGGATCGGCAGCCAATCGTTGGGGCTGTGATTTTTCATCGGGCTTTGTTTCGATCGGGAATGGCGAGCCGCAGCCACCGAATTTTCACCTCCTCTGGGCCGGGTTGTGGAGGTTTGGACGTGCAGAGAATCGGTTGGGGAAGCACCGACTCGTTTAGCGCGTCAGCTGATAAGGCGCCGCGGCCAAAACTGCGCACCAGCCGGCAGTTGCTGGCTCAGGGTCTTCGGCCCAACGCACCCCGGCTGGCTGCGTCCAATCCAACACCCGCGTTCGGCGCTCTCGCGTGCATCTCAACTGCACCCTCACACGACACCGCGCGCACCATCCCCTCATCCTCCTCATCCTCTCCTCATCCACAAAGACATTCAACTCACTGCCACAAGACTCGGGGATTCATAGAGCAACTGGCTAGGGCAACGCATCGCATCGCAATCCTCCACTCAGGCTGCGCTCTTATCGCCATATCAGTACGATCACATTGCGATTCGTCTGCATCCACGACTCTCGTCGTGGCTAGATAGACAAGGAACGCATACAACCGTCGAGGCGGCATCTAGACATTGGCGCTGGACAGGCGCGCATCTTTATCCCACCACTATCTCGATGCAGACGACGTAAAGCGCACACTCGAGACTCTGTCACTACCAACGCTCAGGGTCCTGATCAAATCCGACCGCACATAGGGCGATCGCCCAAAGCGATACGATGGCGGGCTGGTTATCCTCGCCCGACCGTCAGACGGTGTCGGACCTCTTTGGTACGGCATCGTTCGCCATCTGGCTCTTTGCACAGTCGCCCCAGCTCTACGAAAACTACCGCCGCGGTTCGGTCGACGGCCTCTCGCCCGTCTTCCTCACACAGTGGATGCTCGGCGATGCCACCAACCTCATCGGATGCATCCTCACACAGCAGCTGCCCTTTCAGATCGCAGTGGCAACCTACTTTTGCTGCATCGATGTGTGCATCATGATCCAGTTCACCTACTACTGGAACAAGGCGCGCAAGGCGCGCAAGCAGCGCACACAGCGCACACAGCGCACCAACAGCCTCACCGCCTATGCGCACAATCCCTACTCGGTCCTCGCAGAGACCAGCGAGCTGCTGCCCGGCAGATCCAGTCGCCAACACTCGCTCCTGCGCTCCTCGAGTAAAAGACGCAACCTGTCGCACTCCCAAGTGCTGCATCACCAAAGACATGCACATGCCAGCCATGAGCATGCAGACGAGATCGGTGCTGCAGAAGCCCAGGCGAGCAGGCCACACGCGTCGTCCAGATCAAGGTCGCGGCATGTGGATCCAATGAGTCGGTCGGCCTCGACGGATACCGTGCCTGGCACGGCTGCCGTGGCCAACTACCGCGCGCTTTCCAATGCAGCCATGAGCGTCGCACAGCTCGCCCAGGAGGCGGCGAGAAGGCGCGAGGCAATGCTGCACCGCGTCCAGGCAGACGGCGACGACTACTTTTCCTACTCGAGGCCGGGCAGTCTGCGCTCGCATCGAAGCAAGTCGCGCGCTTCCGAGTCGCCCAACACCTCGCTACCGCCGTCAAGATCACGCTCAAGGGTCAACAGTAACGAGCTTGGCTCCGAGAGCGTGCGCGCCGATTTGTCTGCGGCGGTACCCTCGTCGTCCAGCACGGCGGTGGATGCGGCATCGGGCGCGGCGGGTCGACGCGCTCGCGTGGCACGCTCCATGAGTGCGCGCAGAAAAGCCGTACCCGGCGCAGGAGATTTCGTGCCCTCGGCGCTCAGTCCGACACGCGAAAGCAGGGATGCCGACGACGACACCGAAAGTGAGGACGTCTCGGGAACAGAGGCGGCGCCGGCTATGGCGGAGAGCGTCGACAGCTTGGCAACCGTCAGCACCGACGCGAGTGGTGGCAGTGGGCCGGCGGAGCCCCGGGGCAGGGACATGGTTCGCATGGCCAGTCGGCTCGAGTCGGTCACCTCGTCGGGCGCCGCCACGCCGTTGGCGGCAGTGCAGCGCGACGGCACGGGCTCGCCGTTCTCAGCGGGGTCGTCGGAGGGCACTGCGAGACATGCGTCGCCCAAACCGCTGGATCGCATGGCCATGTCGCATCACCAGCTCGGCCAGCAACTCGACGCAGACTCGAGCGATGACGACCACACCGCCAGAGTAAAGAAGGGCGGGGCGAGGAAGAGGAGCAAGCGCGATGCGGCGGAAGCGTCCGATGCCATGTACAGGTCTGTGGATACGCTGACCGCAGCGAGCGGAAGGAGGAAGGGCGCGTTGGTGAGGAGCGAGTCTTCGCGCTCGCATCAGTTGGTGTCGGCAGGAACAGCAGCCCGAGGCGGGAGCAGGAAGAGCGGCACTAAATCACCAGCGTCCATGCGCAGGAGTATCGGCATGGTCCTTCTGGGGATTATGATGATCTCGTCCCTCCCACCCGCGTCGACAGCTGCGGCTATCAATCCTGCGCTGGCGGGAGCGCTTCGCATCGACGACGGCGCAGCATGGAACAGGTTGGTGGGTAGAATCAGTGCATGGCTATGTGCATTGCTCTACATCACCTCGCGCATCCCACAGATCTGGGAGAACCACATGCGCAGATCCGTAGCCGGCCTCTCCATCCTCCTCTTCATCGCCGCCTTCTCGGGCAACCTCCTCTACTCGGTCTCGGTACTCACCAACCCGGCCGCTGCATCTTCCAATGCAAGGGCTTACCTCCAGGAATCACTGCCGTTCTTACTCGGCTCCGGAGGCACACTCATCTTCGACCTCATCATCGTAGGCCAGTGGCTCGCCTGGAGACATAAGCCGCCCATGCTGTAATTGCACGCGCACCCCCAGCGCAATAGACTCGATCGTACGGATGCGTGTGATAGCTGCTGAGCGTTAGGCGTCGGGTCCGGCATCTTCGTCCGTGAGCGACGTCCGCGGCAGCGAGCCAACGCTCGCGCGCGGAGACGTAGGGCTCGTGCTTGCGTTTGGGTCCCAGATGCGCTCGGAGCTGCGCAGGCCGACGCGGCTCAGACTCATCCCGATTCCCTGTGCGTACTGCCGCTTGGCCGCCGGCGAACCGCCGATACCCATCGCCGCAAGTCCCGGCGTGAGCGACTGCCCGTTGATCACCACGTCCGGCACACTTTTCGCTGCGTCCGTGCTCATGCTCGCCGACTTGGACCGCATGCCCTGCAGCCCGGGCCGCGCTACTGCCTCGGCCGTGTCGCCGTCTCCCTCCCCCGACTCTCCCGGCACATCGGTGCCGACGCCAGCATCGTCATCTTCGTCCTCCTCCTGCATCGATTCAAGCGCAGTCGCGGCCGATACGGCCGGCGCCGACGTCGCGCGCAACAGCTTCGGGGGCGGCTGCAGCTCCACCGACTTTTCCTGCTCCGTCACACCAGCCGATACGGTGTGGCCTCCCAGGATTCCCGCCTCGTCCACAGCGAGCCTCAGCGCGCCGCCGGCCGGATCGATGCTCGCCAGAAAACGCAGCAGGTCGTGACACGTGGACCAGTTTTGCTTCTGCGCCGCAAGCTTGAGCAGCTGGATGGTGTGTGCGATCGACACCTCGAGCGGCTCGAGATTGTGCAGCACGAGCAGATACATGCCTGCGGTGCGCAGCTGGTCCGCCTGGATGCACTTTTGAAAGAGCACGCGCGGCGCACCCACCACGTCGAACAGATACGCCCATCGCGCCACCTCGGTCTTGCGTGCACATCCGACGACCACCTCGAGCGCCTCGGGAAAGTGGTCCAGGAACTCGACAACGAGCGGCAGCACCGCGCGCGGTGTCGCTGTACCGCTCACGCCGGGCGAACCCGACCGCGACCGGTTGTTGCGGGGCTCAGGCAGACCCAAACGCGCCCGCGAGCTCTCCTCTTCGTCCGAGGCATCGTGCAACCCGTTGCCGTTGGCGCTGGGCTTGACCGGGCTTGCGTCGTCTTGCTCCTCAGCGACGTCGGCGAGCAGCGAGGTGGCGCTGCGCTCCTTCTCGAGCATGCTGCCCGACGCTTTGCGCAGATACGACGCATCGCCGAGTCCCGCATCCGCTTCGTCCTCGAGCACAGCATGAAGAAGGATCTCGAGTGCATGCGCAAAGTACACCAGGTCCTGATACGACGCCGCAAAGAAGACGGCGTCGTCGCACAGACCCCGCTCGAGATAGTTGCGCAGCAGCTGGTGGAGGAAGAGGTGCGTGTTGGTGCACGTCCTCCACAGCGCAAAGTCGAGCGACCTGCGCAGCGACACCTCGGACTCGACACCTAGCACGATGCCCTTTTCGAGCAGCACGCAGAGCGGATAGAAGTCGAGTGGCATCGACACGGACGATTCGATCGTCTTGTACTCTGGCAGCTGGTCGCGCTCATCGTCGTCGTCCTCGTCGTCGTTGATACTGCTCTCGTCGTCGGCTTGCGAGGACGGGATGCGCAGCGCATCGAGCCACAATTTGATGCCACTGCCGTCGTAGCCCCAGAGCGAATTCTCGAGCGTGCCGATGCCTTGCAAGTGCGTCCAGTAGTACTCGATCTTGTCTGCCAGGATCTGCATGTCGTACGCCACCTCGTCGTCATCGTCGTCGAAAGTACCATCAGCGTCGTGGCGTGGATCGTCAAACTCCTGCAGCGATTTGGGTGCTGTGCCCGCTCTGGCGCCACCGAGCTTGCGCGGACGCAATAGGACGAGTTTGCCATCGATGAGGAAAATGATTGTGGCGACGGTAAGATCGTCGATTGGATCGCCGAGGCGCTGCTGACCCTCTGGAATCATCCAGCTCATGCCGCGCACGCGCGCCGGCTCGCCCACTACACCTTCGAACGTGATGGATCCACACAGGCGCAGGCGGATGCGGTCGTGGGTGAGATCAATGAGAAAGTGGTAAAAGGTGTTGTCGGCGGTGTAGACGAGGAGGCTGTTGTCGAAGAGCGAGGTGAGGACGACCGGGCTGGGCAGCACTTGCAGATCCAAGAGGAGCGCCGAGTCGAGGTCGGTGTCTCGCGAGTACAGACGCAGCTGATACTCTCCGCCTGCATCGCACGCGGCAATGAGGACGTGCTGGAACCACTGCATGCCGCCGCGGACGACAAACGACTGCTCCTGAGCCACGCTCTTGTGCAGCTTCCAGCGGCCGGAAGCGGACGAGTAGTGGGCCAAACCGCGGCGCCCTGCCACAGCGATGAGGTTGCCATCTGCACTGATGGCGGCGTAGCGCACCGGCCAGTTGGCGGCGAGGTAGGACTGCGGGATCTTGATGTGCTGCCACACGTCGCTCTCTGGCGTGATGGCGGTGAGGTCGGTCTGGTCTGCGCCGCGATAGACGTGCAAGCTGTCGTCTGTCTGGTAGAAGGCGAATCGGGTATTGTCGGGCGAGTGCTGACCGGCGACGGCGGACTTGGAGAAGGGCAAGATGAAGAGCTGGTTGTCCGGCGGCACCGGAACGGAATCCTGCTTGGGAGCGGCGAGGATGAAAAGCTGCGTGTTGCCGGGCGCCCAGAAGAGGTCGGCGGTGCCAAACATGAAGGCGTCTGCAAAGTTTTTCGAGGCAAGCTCCCAGTCTTCGCGCAGGGTGCAGCCCATGAGCTTGCCGTAGGTGGACCAAATGGCGAGTCCCTTTTGCCAGCCGACGGCCAAGGCGTATCCATCGGACGTCCATGCCAAGGATCGGACGGGTCCGGTGGTGAGGTAGCTGGCTGTGGACTTGAGCGCCTCGCGCACCGACATGGAGTGCGAGAGGAGCGGGGTGCGGCCTGGAGCGCGATAGTTGTAGACTGCGACGGTGCCGTCGGCAAGACCGAGCGCAATGAGGCTGAATTTGGCGTTGATGGAGACAGAAGTGGCATACTGCTCTGGAGGCAAAGGCGTGGCTTGTGCATGCTCGTTTGCGACCGCAGGCTTGGACGACTGCTCGCCAGACGTGTCCGGTGAGTCGCTTGGAAGTCGTGCTGGCTCTGCATTTGGCGATGCATGTGCGTCCTGGGATGAGTCCAGCACTGTCGATGCTTGTAGCGTGGAGTCGGGAGCAAGCGAGGAAGGTCTGCGGGCCTTACGTGCGCCATGAAAGCAACGACCGGTCCAAGGCGAAGCGCCTTCAGCCATCAGGTCCAGGTTGGCAACATACGCACGGCCGTCCGAGGTGATCCAGACAAAGACGTCCATGGGCCGAGAGTAGGTGATGTTGACGATCTGGACGTCGGACGATTCGCTCGAGTGGGCTTGAATCCAGGCGAGCTGGGAGACCAAGCTGGTGCGGGTGCGCATTGTGGGGTCCTTGACGTCGGGAGGGGGAGCCTGGGGGTCATCGTCGGGCCAGCGAATGCACTGCACGGCGGAGGGAGAGGATGTGCTGACGAGCATGTGTGTCTCTGTGGACGTAGCGAAGCGTAGGCCGGCATCGATGCGCAGGACGAGGCGAAAGCGGAGCTCGCAAGCCTCACCCGCCAGGCCTCCGAGGCCGGTATCGCCCGCGGCCGCGCTTTCACCCGCGCCGGGAGCGAACGAGTTGCGAAGAGCGTTCGGGTTAGGAGCGAGCAGGTCGCCGGACTGAGATCGCGATCCGGATCCTGATGGCGGAACGTAGCTGTAGACGGTGGAGCCATGATGGCGGTAAACAATGTTGTATAAGAGCAGGAAGTGACGGTCGGTCTGGACGAGCAGAGCCCTACCATCTGGGCGCCACTCGATGCGAGAATTGTTGCCGTAGTCTCCGATGCTCTGTGGGGTGCGGACGAGGGCAGCAACGACCTGTGCAGGGCGGGCGGACCACAGGGAGATGGTGGTGGTGGTGAGGGTGGCCCAAATCATACCGTTGCGAGATCGAGCGAGCTGGATGACGCGCGCATCGCTGCTGCTGCTGCTTCCGCTGTCGGAAGGGGTGGATATCGAAGGAAGCTGCTGCGCTGCCTCCTTGTCGAAGCGGAGAAAGGAGGCGGGCTGGTGCAGTCCAGAGGGAGAGAGGTGGATCCTCTCGGCGCAAGAGGTGGGCCAATACATGGTGGTAGAGGCCTGCTGCGCCACCGCGCGCGATCAGTAGGGTGCGGTTCCAAGTCTGAGCCCAAGGATGAGCAGCGGATGGAGGCAGTCGTGGAGGCGGCTCGATCGAACCTATGAGCAGCAGAAGAACGGACGCCATGAGCCGGAATGAAAGTGGCAGCGGCCGAGTCCAACACCTGCAGCGCGCTTCGTGTTCGGGAGTCGGGCGCTGCTGCGCGTGTTGAACAGCTGGCTTGAGCGTCGGGCCCATCCTGGCACTCACATTTCGACACGGCTCGGAATCGCCGAAATGCTGCTGCTAAGGCAGGAGGGGCTTCGTCAAGTTAGCATCGGCACTTCCGCCTTCTCACTTCTCGCTCTCCCACGCCAAGACTGTAACTAGCCAGCGAGTCGGTTGTGCCTGTCTCGGAGCAGAGAGGGCTTATCCTACGGCGGCAGCAAGGCAGGCTTCGGCCAGACTGAAGTCACTGTGGCCCGATCGGGACCGATCCGAATTGCGAGTGCAAGCTCCACACGGCCAACACCCAAAAAATCGGTGAAATCGCGCAGCCGCCTCGCCAGGACTGTAATTCCGCCGCCGCTGCTGCTGCTCGGCGTGCAGATCGCCATGTGCACCGACGCGGCAGCAGCCAAGCGATAATCCAGCCAGTCTCGAGATCGGCCAGCTGCGGTGCTCCACTCGACTCGACTCGACTCGACTCGACTCGCTCGATTCACACGATTCCACTCACCGACATTGTTCACACTCGCCTCTCATCTCTCACTTTCATCGGCTCACGTTCGCTGGGCAGCCACACCAAGTGCCGACGCCGTCCCTCGCCGTTCCGAGCGCACGCATTCTCTTGGCATCACCGTGCCAGTTTCTCCGAAGCTCCCCCGCGAGGCTTAGCCAGCCGTTCAGCCAAGTCGCCGTCTGTCGGCACCTGCTCGCATCTTCGGCCACACGCCGAACATCTCCCACGCCGTACAGATCTACCAGCGGCAGCCATGAGCCCTTTGCTCTCGTCGTAGTCACCTCGTCACTCCCTTTCATCTGCACGCGCACAGTCCCGCGCCCCTCTCGCCATGTCCGGCTCACATTCCGACAGCTCAAACGGCGGCGGCGGCGCCGCTGACGGCGATGGCAGTGCCTCGGGCACCAGCACAGCGGGCCCTTCGTCTCTCGCATACCAACCCATCCAGGAGGAACAGGAGGAACAGGAGGAACAGGAGGAACAACAGGAGCATCCCGACCACTCCCCTCCCTCATCGTCGCAACCCGCCGCAACGCCGACCAAGACACGTGTACCCAGCGTCACGTTCCAAGATCCTTCCAACTCCTCTTCGGCAGCCAGCACAGACTCGGATGAGCCACACACCGCCGGCACCAATCAACGCATCCCCGCCGCAGGTTTAGGCACCCGCACCGGCCCGCGTCGCGCGCCCCGCTCCAGCTCGTCATTGCGCCATGTCACCACCAATCGCGCACGCACCTCCAGTCTCGCACAGCCGGTGCCAGAGGATAGCGACCTCTCCACGGAACCCAGCTATTTCGGCGATCCAACTGCAAGCGTCGTCGCTCGTCAGCTCGACGTCGAGAAGCGCAGGGCTCAAAGCCAACGCCGCACAGACGCCGCCCTCATGGCGGACCTCGACGATGACGACGACGACGACGAAGATGACGACGACCTCCACGCCGAGTCGATGTCGTTCACGGATCGCCGCGACGCCAACAGTGTCGATCAAGCCGCAGCACGCACCTCTCGCAACGCTCAGGCTGCCGCAGCAGCAGTAGCGGCGGAAGAGTACGACTACTTCTCTCGCAGTGGCTCCAACTATGATGCCGCCAATGCCAACACCGCTGCTACAGCATCCGTCAGCGGTGGCTCAGGCAGCAAAGCCAACCGCCTCTCCTGGTCAAGCGCAAGTGCCAGCGACGACAGTGACGACTGGGACGCCGAAGGTCATGCCCTGATCGCCCCAACCCTTCCGCCTGGCCCACGCTCCCTAGCGCCGCTTCTCGACCCCCTCGCTCCATCCATCGATGCTCCTCCAGGCGTCACAGCCACGCCCGGTCCAAGCTTCCCCCAAGACCTTCACACCCCCGCAGATCTCGGCGACCACGAGACGCCCATCCTCAATCCACAGCACCGCATGGAGTGGCAGAGCATGCTCGAATCCGTACTCAACTCCGAAGTCCTCAAATCAGAGACAAAACGCATCAATTCGGTCGACACCCCGGACCTCTCCCGCCAAGAGCTCAGCTACCAGCGCTGGCTCGACATCAGGGCCACCCTCCGCGGTCGTGGCATGCAGCGGGGCGCCATCGACGAAGAGCAGAAGCGCCTCAAGGATGGCTTTGGCAAGATGCTCAACGACCTCGTTGCCGAGGTGCGCGACTGCCGCGCCCAGCACATCGCCAGCGCCGACAGTCGCGAGCTACGTCCTAGCTCGTCTGCAGGCAACCTTTCCAGTTCGGGCGTCCAGGACAAGCCCGCCTCTGCCTCCGAAGCCTCCGCCGAAACACAGTCCGACAGACGCGACTCCGACTCCGCATCGGTCGCTACCGCCGCCACGGACAAGGAGATGGTGCTCGCCGAGATCGGCGCGCTTCTCAGCCGCATCGACAGCGCAGAAGAGCAGTTCCCTAGCACAAGACTAGCCGTCGAAATCGTTCCTGCGTGGGGAGAGCCAGAAGTTCAGTCAAAGCTCGCCGCGCTTTACAGTTGGTTCAACACCACCACCTCGCTCCGCCTCCAGATCGACATCCTACGCAAGTGGACCGGTTCCGACACGCTCGAGATCGCAGCACACAGCGCGCGCAACTGGGACAGCGAGTGCAAAAAGAGCGCAGAGCAGCACGACCAGCCGCGCTCGGGTCGCCCTCCCGTCGACGATGAGAGCACCTTTGTCGAAAGAATTCAAAAGGAAGGCTCGCTCCAGTCGACGTTTGAGAAGCGCACCCTCGCCAGCCTCTACCAGCTCATCACAAAGGCAAAGGAGACCATCTTCAAGCACCACAAGGAGTTCGAGCGCATGGCCCTGCCCTCCTTCGAGCCCGAGTTGGTCACGCTCATCAACTTCCCCACCCGTCTCATGCAGGGCGCCCTGCGCTTGCGTCTCGATTACGCCGGCAAGCTCGCCGAGCCCAGTGTCCTCATCGTCGACTCGCTCACAGACGACCTGCGCACTGCCCTTGCCATGGCCTGCAGAGTCAAGCTCCACTACACTGGCATCATTGTCGCCGACCCCGATCGCGGATGGGATCTGGCTCCTTGCATTGCCGAGGGCTACGACGACGTGCTGCGTAGCGCGCTCAAGTTCTTCTTCAAGTTGCTCCGACTCAAACTCAAGGCAAGCGTCTACTTTAAAGAGACGGAGATCTTGGAACCCGAATGGCGTTTCCTCAGCACCGCCGTGGAGTCGATCGAGGGCGGAGACATCATCGTGGCCACCAACATCACCCGCTTCGTCAACAAGCTCTTTGACCGTATCGCGCGCTACTTCAACCGCGAGCTGACAGCCACCATGCTCCAGCAGGATCAGCATGGCCGTCGTCTACCCAAGCCCACCTCGGGTCCCGTCGGTCTCGCGAAACCGGAGCCCGCCTCAAATTTGGGTTCCGCCGCTGCCACCGGCCGAGACGTCCACGGAAAGAGCTTCATCACCCTCGAGGATCGCGCAAAGTGGATTCACAGCGTCTTCGACAATGTGCGCATCCGATCGCGAAAGCTGCTTGGTTTTGCCCGAGACATCCGAAATCGTCTCGACAATGCGGCGGAATATGACCTCGGCACCCTGCGGCCCTCGGCCGAATACCTCGAAGCCGATGACCGCTCCGTCGCCGAGTACAGTGACGTCGCATCCTCCAGCGCCATGACGCTCAGCTCCTTCATGCTCACCTTGATCGACCACGACTACTTTCTCGTCTACACCGAGGCTCTCGAAGAGAACGGCATCTATCTGGTTGCCGAGCCCAGCCTGCAGGACAAGCCTGAGCTCATTCAGGACCTCGTGTGCAAGTGCTTGCATCGCGTCCGTCCGGGTGACGAGGACTCCGTCATGGCCGCCGAGGCCACCGCCAATGCGCTCAACGCCGATGGCGACGACGGCGACGAAACGACCGCCGCCGGAGTCGGAAACGCAAACGCATTGCGCGAACAGATCGACAAGCAGACGGGTGCCGCCTCTGCATCTGGCGTTGCTGGCGCCGGCGCCGGTCGCAGTGACGAGGATGCTGAAAGTCATCCACGATACATCCTCCTACTCAGTCCGCGTGACCCTTTCATGTGGACGGGCAAAGTGATGCACCACATCATGCCCCGCGTCGACATTGCGTTGGCCGACCGCCGCGTGCGCCTCATCGCAGACGGTGCAAAGGGACGCCTGGAGCTCGCCAAGCGCCACTTTCAGAGCATCTTTTCGCAGCCAACCCAGGGTGGCGCGCCCGAAGACGAGGACGCGAGCGACGATGGGCACAACACGTTCCCGCTCGAGACGCTCAACGAGCAGATGGCGCACATGAGCCGCGTGCAATCCGGCCTCGAGGAGATCAACAAGGGCGTGTACATGCTTTCGGACACCATCATCCGCAAGGTACCCGAGATCCGCCGACGTCTCCGCGGCCTGGGCGTGCGTGCACGAGCCAAGAGCGGCACGCCGCGCTCCACGACGTCCGATAACACGGCAGGCGCGCTGGGCGGCAGTTGCGACGAGCTCATCCAGAACTGCTACTCGATGGCAGCCGAGCATGGACGTCGTGCGCTGCCGTTTATCGAGTCGGTGCGTCTGCGCGACCAGATGACGCTCGCCTTGGGCCGGCTGGCGATCGACTGGATTGCCTTTATCTGTGACGACTGCATACCGAGCGAGCGCAAGACATTCAAGTGGGCCGTCTCGGCGCTGGGAAACGCCAACCACATCACCTCTGCCGAAAACATCTTCCGGCTCAACGAGCAGGACTTTGCGCTGCTGCGCAGCAAAGTGGCGTCGTGCATGGCGCTGCTCATCTCACACTTTGACATTCTGGGCGCGAGGAGCAGCGTGGCCAAGGCGCAGGAAGATCAGGAGCGCCTCGAGCGCGAGAAGGCCGAGCGCCACCGCATCTCGGCCGGCGGCGCGGATGCAGCCCAGAGCCTGTCCGAGGACTTCCAGGCGCTGCGGCTGCAGAGCAACGGCGAAGCACCGTCTTCTGCCCAGGTCGAGCGCGCCAAATCGGCGCTGGTGGGACCAGGAATCGGCGCACAGATGCTGATCAACAAGCTGGACGCGGGGATGCAAGCGACCGAGGAGCGCTGGATCTCCAAGGTGCTCGAGTGGGATGCAGCGCGCAGCCAGATGGAGGCGGAACAGCGTCTTATCGGACGCGTGCTGGACGACACCCGTCTCGAGGATCGCAGCTTGCAATTCCTTGCGCAGTCGGCATCCAAGATCACCATCCGTTGGCAACAGGGCCAATTCATCGGCGGCGGCACGTTCGGCACGGTGTACCTCGCGGTGAACCTGGACAGCGGAGGACTGATGGCGGTCAAGGAGATCCGATTCCAGGACATTTCGTCGACGCCAAGCCTGTATCAGCAGATCAAGGACGAGATGGAGGTCATGTCGATGCTCAGCCACCCGAACATTGTCGAGTACTACGGCATCGAAGTGCACCGCGACCGCGTGTACATCTTCGAGGAGTACTGCCAGGGAGGCTCGCTGGCCGCGCTGCTCGAGCACGGGCGCATCGAGGACGAGGCGGTGATCCAGATCTACACGCTCCAGATGCTCGAGGGTCTCATCTATCTGCACTCGCAGGGCATCATCCATCGCGATATCAAGCCGGACAACATCCTGCTCGACCACATGGGCGTGCTCAAGTACGTTGACTTTGGTGCCGCCAAGATTCTGGCCAAGAACAGCCGCACGATTCAACGCTCGCGCAAGACGGGCGGGCTGGGCAACATAGGCATGATGGCGGCGGGCGAGGCGGGCAAGCAAGGCGGACCGGCAGGCGCCATGGCGAGTCTGCAGGGCACGCCCATGTACATGTCGCCTGAGGTCATCAAGGGCAACGCCGACGTGCCTCAGTCGGCCGCAGACATCTGGAGTCTTGGCTGCGTCGTCCTCGAGTTCGCCACGGGCAAGCGGCCGTGGAGCAACTTTGACAACGAGTGGGCGATCATGTTCCACATTGGCATGGCCGAGCAGCACCCGGCGCTGCCGGATCCGAGCCAGCTCTCGCCGCTGGGTATCGAGTTCATCCGGCAGTGTCTCACGATCAATCCGCGCCAGCGACCGACGGCGATCCAGCTCAAGGAGGACCCGTGGATGCTGAGCCTGATCGAGGAGCTGGATGCGGCGAATGCGGCCGAGGAGGCTGCGGAGCTGGCGGGCGGCGGGATGCTGGCCGAAGGCGGATACGACGATACGGCGAGCCATTCGAGCGGGTCGAGCGTCAACTCGCTCGAGCCGGGCCACCACGCGGGTGCGTTCGGCGCGGCGCCGGCGACGCCCGGCGTGGGATCGGCGTTCAAGAGCCTGGACCGCAACGTGAGCTCGCTCAACAGCACGCGCAGTCGGTGGTCCAACAGCGAAGCGGCCGCCTCGGCGTCGAGTGGAGGCACAGGCATCACGACGCCGTACAATCCGAGCATGAGCCTGCGCGCCAGCCTTGGCTTCCGTCAGCAGCAGACGCAGCAGCAGAAGGCGGATGCGACGGGAGATTCGGATGTGCAGATGAACGACGGTGAGAGTGGGATCGGTGCGAGCAGGCCAAAGCACGTGCCTGGCCATCCGAACCACACACACCCTGGGTCGGAAGCGATCGTGGCCGACATGCAGTACCACAAGGAAGAGGTGCAGCGCCAGGCGATGCTGCGCAACGATTCGGAGCTCAGCACGCTTCCGGACGAGTCGTAGATCCCACACACACAGATTATTGGTGGCGGGGGGAGGAATGTCAAGTGTAGAAATGATGCTTCGTTGCGGTGTTGCGGTGTGTGCGGGGGGGTTTAGGGATGGAGGATGTTGTTCCAGAAGGCAAATTCGTTTTGCGCGGTGGGGTGGCTTGCGAGGGAGGGGGGTAGGGCGGATTCGAGCGAGGAGATGAGGATGTTGACGGCTTGGTCTCGGACTGGCTGTGTCGACGGAAGGGACTGTGCGAGTTGTGCGCGGAGTCTCTGTAGTGCGGAAAGGATGGCGGGATCGTCGTTCTGGAGGAGCCAGAGGGATTTGGTGAAGAGGCTGGTGTATCTGACTGCGATGATCTGAGGGTCTGCTGTTGACGTCGTAGACATGGAGATGGTCTTCCACAACGAAGCGGATTGGGATGGATTGGTGAGGGCGGTGATCTGGTCGTCTAGGAACCGCTTGAGATGCGGATACGAGTCGAGTTTGAAGCCCATCATTGCCGAAGTGACGAGCGAGTTCTCACAACCCCTAGACCCCACCAGCGCCAACAGTGAATCGTTCAACTGAACCATGGACAAGAGCCCAAAATACCCTGACACACTTGGTGAGGATGAAGGCAAAAGCGATTTGACGAATGTGGTCCAGGTGGTGACGGCAGGTTCCATGATCTGACGAAAGACTTCTTCGCTTGCCCCGCGTCCGTGCAGTTGCGCCTGTTCGTGCCGACTCAACTGCACCACCGATGCCTCTTCTTCGTCCTCTGCGACACTTGCGCTATCGACGGAAGCAACGCCCGAGGTCTCGCCAGCAGGTCGGGGGTCGAGTCGGTGATCATCGTCGGAGATCGCCTCAAAGAAGCGTACGATGAACGTGTACTCTGAACACACATTGTCGACGAGAACGAGCGAGAGCGACCGAAACAGGTTTTCGGGACACGCCTTGAACGCCGAATCGTCCGCCAAATAGCCAAGCACCGTTGCAGCTCCACTGTCCAGCCGCGAATACGCGAGTCGCGACGCAGGGAATAGCCATGCATCCACCGACATGGCATCTGCATCTCCTGCGGCTGAATCCTGACTCCCCCCGCGTACAGGTGTACTTCCCCCCGCCCGCACCCCCACGGCAGCTGGTTTGGATACTCCAGACATGCTAGCCTGAAGCGCATTCGCCATGGCTCTAGCATTGCCACTGGCATCTGCCCCTGCTGGTGGAGGTTCTGTGATAGTCGTGGCAGTGGATGTCTCCGCCCACCTCTTGCGGATCACGCCCAGGCTGCGCGTATACCGCCTAAAGGCCGTCTCGAAGTACAGCCTGGCAGCCCCGACGTAGCTGCGCTGAACATCGATGGCAACGCGTGGCATCTGTCGCGCCAGGAAGGCATACAATGGTCGATGGTGTCGCAGCAGCACGCTCGTCTGCACCACCTGAAGGTTGGTGGTCACCGACGCCTTGATAGCCGCATGTGGCGCCGTGAGGTACGTCCTCAACTTCGCCGCCACGACGTGCTTGCACGCCTCTGCCACGGCCCTGACCTCCTTTACCGCCTGGACCTCTCCCAGTACCACTGGCTCTTTGCGACCGGGAAGCTCGATCGTGGCCGAGGGGAGCGTTGCGTCCAGTACGCGTTCGAGCTGTCCCACCGCCTTTTGCCACAACTCGGGCCTCGACTCTGGATCGGTATCGAAGAACAAATCGACGATCCTTGGGCTGAGTGCTACATCCGACAGAAAGGCAGCGAGTTGGAGTTCGACATCGCGCGTGGCGTCGAGTTGCGAATCGATCTGATGCGACGTGGCCTGGAGCGCCGAGATATGCGTCGAGAGCGTGGACAGATCCGACTGGAACGTGGACAGGAACGACTCGAGCGATCCCAGCAGCTGTTTGGACGAGCTCGCCTGCTGGCTCAGCGCCACGAGCGTCGGTGCGAGCGCAGTGTATCTCGCATCGCGCTCGCGGTCTTCCTCCGCCCGGCGATCGAGGGCTTGCGTGTAGAGCGCTTGGATATCGGTGCGAGTGGTCGATGTAAGTTGTGCAGCAGCTGCTGCTTGACCCACTAGCCGCTCGGCTTGCACATCGTCGACTGTCATCGCCAGCACGATTGGAATGGTGCAACGTGCAGATGGTGGTGCGCAGAAGAGTGGGGGTGTTGGTGTGGAGCCCAGCAACATGCGCGTGGCATGCCGGTCCAAGCGACGTAAAGATCTAACATTTTGGCTCAAAAAATCATTCGCCCTATCCGATTGTCGCTGGCCCACACCAACATGGCGATAGCCGCATATGCCATGGAATAACAACTTCGGGTATTGCTGTGGTGTGGGATGCTAGAAGGACCAAGACAAAGTGGGCAGCGTACATGCTGAGTGGATGATCGAGGGAGGGCGGACTCGCACGAGCATCGGTGCGAACGAATGGGTGCAACGACTCATCGCTGGCCGGCAGGGCTCCTTGCAACGAGCCACTTGAGCGTGACGTCGATGTTGACCTGGTTCTTGGAGCTGATGCTGTAGCAGCTGACCTCCCTATTTGCGATGGTGTCGAGCTTCATGACGCGGATGACGTCGTCTACGCGAGCAGCGCCCTTGATATCGTTCTTGGTCGCAAGCACGAGCAGCGGCACACCCGCCAGATGGGGCCTCTCGATCAACGCATGCAGTTCCTCTGTCGCCACAGTCCAAGCAGACGCACTTGCGGTGCTCGCTCGCGTAGCCGCATCGACCTTCTGCCCCGCACCTGCCGCTGGTGTTGCGTCTGCCTGCGCAGGTGGTGATGTCGACTTCGAGGCCGTGCTTTGCTTTGAAGCTGAGGAGGAGGGAAGGGGTACGGAGGAGTCGACGACAAACACGATGGCGGATACGCCTCGACAGTATCGCTCCCACATGCTGCGGAAGCGCGGCTGGCCACCAATGTCCCACACCTTGATGGTGGTGTTGCCGGATCGCACCTTGCGCATGTTGAATCCTACCGTGGGCACCATCTCGTCTGCAAACTGGCCGGACGAGAGCAGGTTGACGAGCGACGTCTTGCCCGCCGCCTGCAGGCCCACCACGCAGATCTCGAGGTGCTTGGCGAACAGCAGCGAGCGCAGGTACACGAAGAGCGACGAGAAGAGCGAGCCGATGCCGGACGACATGATTTCGCGTAGTACGGGGCAGAGCAGACGTGCTCGCGCGGCAGGGGTCGATTAAGTTTGTACAGTAGTAGCGATGGGGGTTCGCGTCGATGACGTCTAGCGACGGGATTGGTCGTAGCGTTTCGCAGATTCAAGCAGCTGCCGACGATGGCGGTGCAGGCAGCGCGTGCAGTGGCGGGGCAGGGATCCAGATTGGAGAAAGAATGAGGTGTAGGATGGACGAGCGAGTCGATGCGAGAGTGCAGAGTGAAGCGGACCCTTGATGGCGAGTGTTGGCGAGTGTTGCATGAGGAGGCAAAGCCAAAGCTGGCGGCGTGATATCATCGGGTGCCTGGTTTGCGGTGGCTGTCGGTGCCTGAGCCAGAGCCTTGAGCTTGAGGCTGAAACTGAGCCGAGGCGCCCTGCCAAATGCCCTCGTTCGTCGCTCGCAGCTGCTGCGCGTCGCTGTGCGTTTGTGGAGGCGCGGATATTTTCAAAGTGTGAGATCGCCCAAAGAAATTCGAACCGATTGGTCGCTCATTACATAAGCAACGAGTAAGGCGAGCGAGTGTTGGGCGATCACGGCTGCGCTCTGTGGCTCTCTCTCTCTTCCTCTCTCGCTCTGCACAGGGCAGCGAGGCCAGAGGGGACGCGTTGGCCTGGCCATCAACTCCGAAGCGCAACTCCACTTGACACTGTCCACATTTCTCGCACCTCTCGCACCTCGCCCATCGTCACGATCAGCATCTTAAACATACACTACAGCACTCTCCGCCACCGGCAAGCTTCGCCCACGTCGTTCAGATCCTCATCGTCTGCACGAGCACCGCGCTTACAACCACCGCTTCCAGAGTCACTCTCGCCGCAACCGCCACAGGCGTAGTACAGCCATGGACTTCCAGTCGATGATGCAGCAGGCGCGCATGGGCGGTGGGCCCGGCGCAGGAGGATCGCCAGGCGATGCGCCGCAGAACGACAATGCAGAGATGGTGTACATCTCGTCGCTCGCACTCATCAAGATGCTCAAACACGGCCGCGCCGGTGTGCCCATGGAGGTCATGGGTCTCATGCTCGGCTCCTTCATCGACGACTACACCGTGTCGGTGATCGACGTGTTCGCCATGCCGCAGTCCGGAACGGGTGTGTCGGTAGAGGCTGTCGATCCCGTCTTCCAGACCAAGATGCTCGACATGCTCAAGCAGACCGGCCGGCCCGAGATGGTCGTCGGCTGGTACCACTCGCATCCCGGCTTCGGCTGCTGGCTCAGTAACGTCGACATCAACACGCAGCAGTCGTTCGAGCAGCTCAACCCGCGAGCGGTCGCCGTGGTCGTGGACCCCATCCAGTCCGTCAAGGGCAAGGTGGTCATCGACGCCTTCCGCCTCATCAACCCGTCCACGGTGATGCTCGGCCAGGAACCGCGCCAGACGACGAGCAACATCGGCCACCTCAACAAACCGTCCATCCAGTCGCTCATCCACGGCTTGAATCGCCACTACTACTCCATCGCCATCGGATACCGCAAGACCGAACTCGAACAGTCCATGCTCAACAACCTCCACAAGCGCAACTGGACCGAAGGCCTAAGGCTGCGCGACTTTGGCGAACACAAGCACAACAACCAAAAGGCCATCGAACGCATGCTCTCGCTCTCCGAAGCCTACAACAAGTCCGTACAGGAAGAGTCGACGCTCACCCAGGAACAGCTCAAGACGCGACACGTGGGCAAGCAGGACCCCAAGCGCCATCTCGAAGACGCCGTGGAATCCACCATGGGCGACCAGATCGTACAGAGCCTCGGCACCATGCTCCTCGCCGAGCTGTAGCGACTTTGCGTTTGCGAATCGATTGTACTATGTTTCCGCTTTGACGCACTTGCGCCTTGTCCGTACAGACTGAGCAGAGCTTGAAGATGAGGTTGAGGCTGGGGCTTCGAGTTGGTGCGGTGGGGGTCTAACAATTTCGGGTATTCGCGCGCCTGGCGCTGTTGGTCCGTCTGGCCGGGAAAGATGCCGGTGGGATGGTTGGACCGTGGCAGCGCGTCAAGCCCGCCAAAGCCATGCGGGATGGCGCCATCTGGGCCGGTGAGTCGAGAAGAAACGTGGGCTGCTCAATTACGATTTAAGCGGTTGATTGGATGACCCCGCTCTGCCACCATCATCATCATCTTCTACATTCTTTCCTCTGACTTTCGGCAGATATGGGTGGATCGTCGACTGTGCGTCTCACACCGCGCACGCGCGCACAGGGTCCCGAGAGCGTGCTCATCATCGGTGGTGGCGCGACTGGCCTCGTCACGCTGCGCAACCTCAGCGAAGAGCGTGCATACGACGATGCGGGCAGCTATGCGATCTTCGATGCGATGCTCGTTGAGCGTCGCGACGATGTCGGAGGCGTGTGGTACTGGAGTGACGAGACGTATGCACTCGAACGTGCCGTGGGCGCCGACAAGGTGCAGGGGCTTTCGCCTCTCTTTGACCCGCGCGGTCAGCCGCATTGGCCCAGTCCGGCCTACCTGAATCTACGCGGAAACGTGCTGCCCGAGTTCCTCGAGTTCTCGGGGCAGAAGTTTCAGCCCCCCGCAAACGGTGAGACCTTCCCGTCGCTCGCCGAAACACACCAGTATCTGCGCAGCTTCGCAGAACCGTATCGATCGCGCATTAGGTGTGGCGTCGAGGTGCTGCGTGTCGAAGAACTCGCGCAGGATGCCGGCTGGAAGGTCACACTCAAGCACTGGACTTCAAGCCTCACTCCACCAGACGCGGTGAGCTTCACCCCGACGGTGGAAGAGCGTACGTTTGATCGCATCGTCGTAGCCGCAGGCTGGTACGATACTCCCTACTACCCCGATGCACCGGGTCTGCAGGAAGCCCGCAAGGCCGGACACATTCACCACTGCAAGCACTATCGCGACTCGATCGCCTACCGCGGCAAGAAGGTGGTGGTGGTGGGCAACAACAATTCGGCCAACGAGGTGGCTGCGCATCTGGCACCTCTCAACTCGGTCGACCACCCCGTGTATCGTTCGGCCAAGACGGCTCCGGTGGACAAGTGTCCCTCGCTTCCAGACGAGCGCATCAAGGACGTGGGCATGATCACGACGTACAAGCTCACGCGCGCTGCGGGCTCGGAAAGGGGAACGCAGCTCGAGCTGACGCTGGTGGATGGAAGCGTGATTGGCGGTGTGGATTACGTGGTGCTGGGTACGGGGTATGGACAAAAGTATCCGTGGTTGCATGTGCTTACCGACCAAGCACGGGCACGCGGTACGGGCGAGGTGGAGTTGTTGACGCCCGACAGCTTGCGAGCCGTGCGCGTACCGCGCATGTACAACCACGCACTCTACGCCCCCTCCCCGCGCTTGACGCTTGCCTTCGTCGGACTCGTCATCTCCACCATGCCGTTCTCGTTCAACGACCTCATCTCGGCCTGGATCACCGCCGTCTGGGCAGGCAAGATCCCCATCCCCTCCACCCTCCACGATCGGCTGCAAGACGAACGCACCCGACTCGACTGGATGTTCTCCCGTGTTGCAGCGCGAAATCCGAACGCGGATCGAAACGACCCAACCACCTATGTCGGCTACCATCTTCTCGGCGGCAGTTTGAAGGACGGTCCGCCGTCGGAACTGCACTTTGCAGCCGAGCTGCACGGGCAGCTGGAAAAGGCGGATCCAAAGAGGACGCGGATGTGGAGCTGGAGATGGGATCAGCAGAGGGAGGATCGTCAGACGCAGATGTACGTGCGCAAGCGCCAGTGGTTGGAGCACAACGCCCAGCGCATCAGGAACGATCCCTTCGACCTGCTCGGTGCCAACAACAAGTACACCGACCTCGTCCCGCTGCTCGTGCACCCCGATTGGCGGCCCAAATCCGCCCGCCTGTAAATCCCGACGAAATGCAGATACCCTCTTGAGCTATGGTTTGCCCTTTCGTCTTCGTGGTGCTCCCTTTCGCGGCGTTGTGGGCTGCTCGGACTTAATGCTGTTGTCGTGAGTGGGTTGGGGAGGGGTGGAGACGATGGCGGTAGAGTTGGAGGCGCACGCGAGATCGAGTGCCTGCTGCGTCTTTTGTGCGTGCTGCTGCGCATGGGTGAGTGCCGAGTCGAGCGCATCGATGAGCGTATGGCATTCGTGCACCTCGTGCTCGAGTTGGCGGCGCTGCTCGGGCGCGCGCGCGAGCAGACCGCCCAGCTCGGCGTTTTCGCGCTGCACCGCATCCAGCCTCTGCAACAACCTTACTCCCAGCACCGCATTCACCGCCCCCTCCCCCTCCTCAGCGTTGTCGGAAGAGGGGTGTTGCCAGGCGAGGTACGCACGGCGTGGTTCAAAGCCGACCGCTTCGGTGCGCAGGCGCAGCATCTCATCGCGCCGCTCGTACGCCTCGAGCGCCGCATGCAGCTGCGCCACGTACTCGCCCACCTCTGCATCCGCCGCAGCAAGCGCAGCAGGGGCTGGGGCAATCGCAGGGACAATGGGGAGCCGCGGATAGCGCAGTGCAATGTCAGACTTGCCGCCGCCCGATGCGGATCGTGACGCTGGCGCGCTCGACGCTCTCGACGACCCAGCCTCGGGCGCCAGGTGTAGGTGGTCCAGCTGCGTCTCTAGTGCGCGAGCATGTGCTGGATGTGGCGCAGGACTGACAATTGGGCCTGGATACGACGGCTCTTCGTGATACGCGCCTGGATATGCCGCCGAAGCGGTGTGGTGCTGGTAGGGCGATGCATACTGTTGGTGTGGAAACGCCTGTTGGTGCGGATACCCGCTCGATGACGACGCATAAGGATCCGACGCGTACGGTCTCGGATAGTACTGCTGCGGTCGAAACGGCTGTTGCTGCCACGCCGCACCCGTGTAGTGCGCATATGCATCGGGCGGCGCATAGTGTGGTTGGAACGGCGCGTGGTGGTTGGGGCGCGAGTTGGCGGACATGCTGGGCAGCTGCAGCTCCAGCACCTGGTGGTGGAAAGAAAGTCACTCCCAGAACCGATTCAACACCGTATTGAACCGCTCATCTTGGAGCCAGGGTGGGGAGCATTGGTGGGTGAAGATGAAGTTGCAAGTAGAGAAGGAGGAGAAGATGTCTGTGCGTCGTCTTGCTCCACTCGGCTCTAACACGCTCCCCCCAAAAAAAGTCGCGCCGAATTGTGGTCGCGAAAAGGCGCACCAACAACCACCATCTCTACCTTCACCTTCGGCATCGCTGGATCAAGTCGTAACGATGTTGCGCAGACCGCCTACGAGTCTGTCGGTGCAGGAGTCGGATGTGGAGACGCTCAAGGCGTACCGGCGCGCCAAGATGATGCAGCACAATCCGAACCTGTCGGCGTCGTCCTTTTCGTCCGTTCGACCGGACGGCTCGTCGATCAACGACCACCAGCCACACCATCACTATGCCTCGACCCTGCAGAGGAGCGACGAGTCGGACGACATGGACGATCCGGCCACACAGCCCGGTCTGTCGCAGCAGGAGAATCATAATCCCAACCAGCCGAGCAACGCCACCACCACCAACACCTGAACGAGCTTAGCGCATCCGTCACCATCTCATCATTCGAATCGAACGCAACGACAGCCCTCACAGGAGCCCAGATGTGGAAGGCACACGCGATGTCAGCACACCCATCGTGAGACAGACAGCTTGATGCGATTACCGGTCAAGAAGCAAAGACGTCGCCGATCTCTGCACGCGCCCAAGCCCAGACGAACGAGCATCAAGTCGGTCAGTGGCTGTATGCTTGCACTCCGATGCGCGTGTTGGACTTACCTTGGATATAGCGCGCACGGATCTTCTCGTCCAGTAGCTGTCCCACCATACCCGCCGCAAGCGACATCCATAGTCAGCACCTCATCCGCTTGCCACTTGCAATCACACACGGCATACGGAACTTACGCCTTCTTCGCGGCTCGGCGCGCCTGCTTCCATGAGATCGTCGTCGTCCGCGACCGCTGTGCTCGTGGATGGATGTGCGGCGTCGGCGCGCTCGGTGGTGTAGAACGACGAGGCGAGGTCCGAGTCGTCGTGCGTGCTGAGCGGTGTCTGTGCGCCTTGGACGGCGGGCGTGGTGCTCGTCGTCATGTCTTCGTCCATGCTGTCGGCCGTGCTTCCCGCAGCGCGCACGTTCTCTGCGTCCATCTTGACGATTCTCCTGGCCTTGTTCCAGCAGCGACGTTGCCGTGTATGCAGAGGGTGGTGATGGCGGCTAGGATGCAGTCTCTCCACATGAGGCTGAGCTCAAGTTGAGGTGGCCCGCGCTTTTCCCCGTTGATGTTAGGTTCTAGCGCTAACACTGTAGAAAAAAGCAGATCGCGCGAGAAAAAAAAACTCGCAGCCAATTCGGAAGACGGCGAAATCAGTCGGCCGCGGCGGCGGCCAAAACGCGTGGCTCTGCTGCTCTGCTGCTCTGCTTCTCTGCTGGGCTGCTGGGCTGCTGGGCTGTTGGGCGGACGAAAGCTCAGCTCATCGTCATCGACATCGACATCGTCTCCATCGCTCTTGCAACTGCCACCACCATCCGCGACCGCTTTTTGGCGCACAGCACAGCCACCACACACCCAATACCCCTCGTCGCACACTCGCACACTCAACCATCCGACAACTCCTGCATCGCCGTCGACGAATCCTTCGAATCTAGCTGTGCCATCGCCCTCGCGCTACTTGTGCACCTGTATTCCACCATCTCAATTGTTCAGCCAGCGTCAGCAGTGAACACCATCGGCTAAAGCGGGCGCACCGCCGCTTCACAACCATGTCAGGCCCGCCTGGCTACCGCGGTCCTCCCCCCAGCGCACCCGCCGCAATGAGGGGCCCACCACCGGGCATGCCTCGATCCGGCCCATCATCGGCCGCCGCATCCAGCTCGTCGCGCCGCGAGCCACCACCCCTCACCGCCGAACAGCTCCAGGCAAAAGCACGCAAATGGCAGCAGACACAGAGTCGTCGCTTCGGCGACCGCACCGGCAAGTCCGCATTCGTAGACACGGGCAAGCAGGACATGCCCCCCGAGGTGCTCCGCAAGATCATCAAGGAGCACGGCGACATGACCAACCGCAAGTACCGCCAGGATAAGCGCGTCCACCTCGGCGCGCTCAAGTACCTCCCGCACGCCATGATGAAGGTGCTCGAAAACATCCCCATGCCCTGGGAGCAGCTCCGCGACGTCCCCGTCCTCTACCACATCACCGGCGCCATCACCTTCATCAACGAGGTGCCCCGCGTCATCGAACCCGTCTTCCACGCTCAGTGGGCCACCATGTGGATCGCCATGCGCAGAGAGAAGCGCGACCGTCGCCATTTCAAGCGCATGCGATTCCCGCCCTTTGACGACGAGGAACCCGTCGTCGACTACTCGGACAACCTCCTCGACGTAGAGCCCCTCGAGGCCATCCAGCTCGAGCTCGACGAGGACGAAGACGGTCCCGTCATCGATTGGTTCTACGATCACAAGCCGCTCATCTCCAACAAGGCCCACGTCAACGGCTCCTCCTATCGCTTCTGGAACCTCGACTTGCCCCAGATGGCCACCCTCCATCGTCTCGGCCGCACCCTCCTCAGCGAGGCCTCCTCCGCCGGCGACCGCAACGCCTTCTACCTCTTCGACAAAAAGGCCTTCTACACCGCAAAGGCGCTCAACATGGCCATCCCCGGCGGGCCCAAGTTCGAGCCCCTCTACAAGGACACCGACGGCTTCGACGACGACTTTACCGACTTTACCGACTTCCGCAAGGTCATCATCCGCCAGCAGATTCGCACAGAGTATCGCGTCGCTTTCCCGCACCTCTACAACTCGAGGCCACGCGCAGTCCACATCGGCGTCTATCACGAGCCCGCCAATGTCTACATCCGCTCCGACGACATCGATCAGGCCTTCTACTTTGATCCCGCCATCAACCCCATCTCGGCGCGCACCCTCGCCAGCACCGGCGCCTTCCGCGACACCTACGACGACGGCACCCCTGTCCTCAGCCACGAAGACCAAGTATTCGGCCCGGGCGTCGATGGAGACGACGAGCTGCCAGACGAAGTGGCCTTCTCCTTGCCCGACGAGATCGAGCCCTTCCTCCAAGATGCGCCGCTCGAGAACGACCTCACCGCAGACGCCATCGCGCTCTGGTGGGCTCCCAAGCCCTACTCGCTACGCAGCGGTCGCACACGCCGCGCCGTCGACGTCCCCTTGATACAGCCCTGGTGCCTCGAGCATTGCCCACCAAACCAGCCCGTCAAGGTGCGCGTCAGCTACCAGAAGCTGCTCAAGTCGTACGTCTACAACAGCCTCCACACCACAAAGCAAAAGGTGCACAAGCGCACCAACCTGCTCCGAGAGCTCAACAACACCAAGTTCTTCCAAAACACCTCGATCGACTGGCTCGAGGCGGGTCTCCAGGTCGCCAAGCAGTCGTTCAACATGATGAATCTGCTCATCCACCGCAAGGGCGCATCCTACCTCCACCTCGACTACAACATGAACCTCAAGCCCACAAAGACCCTCACCACCAAGGAGCGCAAGAAGAGCCGCTTCGGAAACGCCTTCCACCTCGTCCGCGAGCTCAGCCGCGTCATGAAGCTCGTCGTCGACGCACACGTACAGTTCCGCCTCGGCTCCATCGACGCCTTCCAGCTCGCAGACGGCCTCCAGTACCTCTTCAACCACGTCGCCACGCTCTCGGGCATCTACAGGTACAAGTACCGCTCCATGCGCCAGATCCGCGCCTGCAAGGATCTCAAGCACGTCATCTACTACCGCTTCAACGCCGCCGGCGTCGGCAAGGGTCCCGGCGTCGGCTTCTGGGCGCCCTCGTGGAGGGTCTGGATCTTCTTCCTGCGCGGCATCGTGCCGCTGCTCGAGCGTTGGCTCGGCAATCTGCTCGCACGCCAGTTCGAGGGAAGAGGAGGCCGCAGCGGCGCGCAGTCCATCACCAAGCAGCGCGTCGAGTCCGCCATGGACCTCGAGCTGCGTGCCGCCGTGATGCACGACATCCTCGATGCCATGCCCGAGGGCATGCGCCAGAACAAGGTCAAGACCATCATGAGCCACCTCCAGGAGGCCTGGCGCGCGTGCCGCAGCAACACGCCGTGGAGCCCGAATCTGCCGGCGCCCATCGAGAACCTCATCCTGAGGTACGTCAAGCAGAAGTTCGACTGGTGGACCTCCGTGGCCCATCAGCAGCGCGCCAGGATCGCCCGCGGTGCGACCGTGGACAAGGCCGCCGTGCGCAAGAATCAGGGCAGATTGACCCGTCTCTTCCTGCGTGCAGAGCAGGAGAGGCAGGCAGACTATCTCAAGAGCGGTCCCTACATCACCTCCGAGGTCGGCGTCGCCGCCTTCACAGCCACCGTGCAGTGGCTCGAGGCGCGCCGCTTCAGCCCCATCCCGTTCCCGAGTCTTAACAACAAGCACGACGTCAAGCACCTCGTGTTGGCGCTCGACTCGCTCAAGGAGGCGTACTCGGTCAAGGGCCGTCTGAACCAGAGCCAGCGCGAGGAGCTCGCGCTCATCGAGCAGGCGTTCGACAATCCGCACGAGACGCTCGCACGCATCAAGCGACTCATGCTGACACAGCGCGCATTCAAGGAGGCCGGCTTCGACTTCTTCGACACCTTCTCCAAGCTCACGCCCACCTACGACATCGAGCCCATTGAGAAGATCACCGACGCCTATCTCAGCCAGTACCTCTCGTACGAGGCCGACAAGCGCCAGCTCTTCCCGGCATGGATCAAGCCCAGCGACTCGGAGCCGGCGCCGCTGCTCGTGTACAAGTGGTGCAACGGCATCAACAACGCGCACGACATCTGGGACACTTCCGAGGGCCAGTGCAACGTGCTCATGGAGACGACGCTCAGCAAAGTGTTTGAAAAGATCGACCTCACGCTGCTCAATCGCCTGCTGCGCCTCGTCATGGACCACAATCTGGCCGACTACATCACCGCCAAGAACAACATCTCGATCGTCTTCAAGGACATGTCGCACGTCAACTCGTATGGCTTGATCCGCGGCTTGCAGTTCAGCTCGTTCGTGTTCCAGTACTACGGTCTCGTGCTCGATCTGCTCATCCTCGGTCTGCAGCGCGCCAACGAGATGGCGGGTCCGCCCAACATGCCCAACGGCCTCTTCCAGTTCCGCGATACCGCCACCGAGACACGACACCCGGTGCGCCTCTACACGCGCTACGTCGACCGCATCCACATCCTCTACCGCTTCACCGCCGACGAGGCGCGCGACCTCGTCCAGCGCTACCTCACCGCCAACCCGGATCCGAACAACAGCAACGTGATCGGCTACAACAACCGCAAGTGCTGGCCGCGCGACGCGCGCATGCGCCTCGTCAAGCACGACGTCAATCTCGGCCGTGCCGTGTTCTGGACGGTCAAGAACAGCCTGCCGCGCTCGCTCACCACCATCGAGTGGGAGGACACGTTCTGCTCCGTGTACAGCAAGGACAATCCGAACCTGCTCTTCTCCATGCTCGGCTTCGAGGTGCGCATCCTGCCCAAGATGCGCCAGGAGGACGTCGATGTGGCGCGCGACGGCGTCTGGCCGCTCGTCCAGGCAAGCTCGGGCGAGCGCACCTCCACCGCGTTCCTGCGCGTGTCCGAGGAAGGCATCGCCAACTTTAGCAACCGCGTCCGCGCGCTGCTCATGTCGGCCGGCGCCGCGCCGTTCAGCAAGATCGCCAACAAGTGGAACACGTGTCTGATCGCGCTCATGACGTACTACCGCGAGGCGGTCGTCAATACCGAGGAGATGCTCGACCTGCTCGTCCGGAGCGAGAACAAGGTGATCAACCGCATCAAGTCCGGCGTCAACTCCAAGATGCCCTCGCGATGGCCCATCCACATCCTCGCTTCGCCCAAGGAGCTCGGCGGTCTCGGCATGCTCTCCATGGGCCACGTGCTCATCCCCGCATCCGACCTCAAGTACTCGCGCCAGACCACCACGGGCATCACGCACTTCCGAGCTGGTCTGTCGAACCAGGAGGACCAGCTGCTGCCGGCGTTGTACCGCTACATTACGCCGTGGGCGTCCGAGTTTGAAGACTCGGCGCGTGTGTGGCAGGAGTACGCGCAGAAACGCAAGGAGGCCAACGAGCAGAACCGACGCCTGACGCTCGAGGATCTCGAGGACTCGTTCCACCGCGGTCTGCCACGCATCGCCACGCTCTTCCAGAAGGACCGCACGATCCTGTCGTACGACAAGATGTGGCGCGTGCGCCAGGAGTTCAAAAAGTATCAGATCGCCAAGTCGCAGCCGTTTGCGTGGACGAATCAGCGTCACGACGGCAAGCTGCACAACCTCAACCAGCTGCGCACGGACACCATCGCGGCGCTCGGCGGTGTCGAGACGATCCTCGAGCACTCGCTCTTTGCAGCGACGGGCCACCCGACTTGGGAGGGCCTGTTCTGGGAAAAGTCGTCGTCGTTCGAGGAGAGCATGCAGCAGAAGCGGCTCACGAATGCGCAGCGATCGGGTCTGTCCCAGATCCCCAACCGTAGGTTCACGCTGTGGTGGTCGCCCACGCTCAACCGCAGCAGCGTGTACATTGGCTTCCAGGTGCAGCTCGACCTGTGCGGAGTGCTCATGTCCGGCAAGATGCCTTCGCTCAAGATTTCGTACATCCAGCTCTTCCGCGCGCATCTGTGGCAGAAGATCCACGAGTCGGTGGTGATGGACCTGTGCCAGGTGTTTGACCAGGAGCTCGAGGCGCTCTCGATCGAGACGGTGCAGAAGGAGACGATCCATCCGCGAAAGTCGTACAGGCTCACGGCGTCGAGCTCGGACATCCTGCTGTTTGCCAGCTACAAGTGGCCGATGTCGCGGCCGTCGCTGCTGACCGACTCGCGCGACGTGATGGACGGCTCGAGCGGCAACAAGTGGTGGGTCGACGTGCAGCTGCGCTGGGGCGACTACGACTCGCACGACATCGAGCGCTACTGCCGCGCCAAGTTCCTCGACTACACCACGGACAACACCTCGATCTATCCGTCGGCCACCGGCGCGCTCGTGGGCATCGACCTGGCGTACAACATCCATTCGGCCTACGGCATCTGGTTCCCAGGCAGCAAGCCGCTCATCCAGCAGGCCATGGCCAAGATCATGAAGGCCAACCCGGCGCTGTACGTGCTGCGGGAGCGCGTGCGCAAGAGTCTGCAGCTGTACAGCTCGGAGCCGACGGAGCCGTACCTCAACTCGAACAATTACGCCGAGCTGTTCAGCAACCAGATCATCTGGTTCGTCGACGACACCAACGTCTACCGCGTCACCATCCACCGCACCTTCGAGGGCAACCTGGTGACCAAGCCGATCAACGGCGCCATCATCATCCTCAACCCGCGCACGGGCCAGCTCTTCCTCAAGATCATTCACACGTCCGTGTGGGCGGGGCAGAAGCGTCTGGGCCAGCTGGCCAAGTGGAAGACGGCCGAGGAGACGATTGCGCTGGTGCGCAGTCTGCCCGTCGAGGAGCAGCCGAAGCGCATCATTGTGTCGCGCAAGGGCATGCTCGATCCGCTCGAGACGCACTCGCTCGACTTCCCCAACCTGTCGATCGTGGGCTCGGAGCTGCAGCTGCCGTTCCAGAGCTTCCTGAAGCTCGAGGCGATCGGCGATCTGGTGCTCAAGGCGACGCAGCCGCAGATGGTGCTCTACTCGTCGTACGACAACTGGATGACCAACGTGAGCAGCTTCACGGCGTTTTCGCGGCTGATCCTGCTGCTGCGCTCGCTGCACGTCAACCAGGAGAAGGCCAAGATCATCCTGCGGCCGCATCCGGGCGTCGTGACGGAGGCGCACCATCTGTGGCCGACGCTGACGGACGAGGAGTGGATCAAGGTGGAGATCCAGCTGCGCGATCTGATCCTCGCCGACTTTGGCAAGCGCAACAACGTCAATGTCAACTCGCTCACCTCGTCCGAGATCCGCGACATTATCCTGGGCATGACGATCCAGGCGCCGTCGGTGCAGCGCCAGCAGATGGCCGAGGTGGAGAAGACGGCCGAGGCGCAGCAGCAGGTGACGGCGACGCAGACGCGCACCGTCAACGTGCACGGCGAGGAGATCCAGACGGTCACCACGACGCAGTACGAGAACAAGCTGTTTAGCTCCAAGTCGGACTGGCGCGTGCGTGCGCTGAGCGCCACGAATCTGCCGCTGCGATGCCAGCATCTGTACGTGTCGAACGACGACATTCGCGACGACGTGGGCAGTCTGACGTATGTCATGCCCAAGAACATCCTCAAGACGTTTATTGTGAATGCGGATCTGCGCACGCAGGTGGCGGGATACATGTACGGCGTATCTCCCGCGGATGCACCGAGCATCAAGGAGATCAAGGTGATCGTGTGGGTTCCACAGCGCGGCTCGAACCACCGCGTCGAGCTCCCGGACACGCTTCCCGAGCACGAATTCATGCTCAAGGATCTCGAGCCGCTAGGTTGGATCAAGACTTCGGCTGTGGATGTGCCGCACCTGCCGCCGCAAGACGTGGCGGTGCATGCACGCACCATGGCGGCGCATCCGGAGTGGAGCGCCTCGACGATCTGCATTACGTGTGCCTTTACTCCCGGCTCGGTGTCGCTCTCTGCGCACAGTCTGAGCGTGGCCGGGTTCGAGTGGGGACGCAAGGCGAGCGACGCGGATGTGGCGAGTGCGGCGGGATTCAACCCGGCCACGATGGTCGACAAGACGCAGCTGCTGCTGTCGGACCGCATCCTGGGCACCACGCTCGTGCCCACGGAGCGCGTGTGGAACTACGGCCTCAGCTTGAGCGCCCAGTGGACGAGCAGCATCAAGTACGGCTTGGTGCTCGACAGGCCCGCCGCATTCTGGGACGAGCTGCACAGACCGCACACCTTCCTCTCGTTCACCAACGAGCAGGATGCAGCTGACGACGTGGCCGACTGGCAAGACGCCTTTGCCTAAAACCCCCCTTTTTTCACACTCGTAAGGGAGAATCTCAGATTTCAGTCTTTCAACTCGGTTTGGCAGCGTGTTGTGTGCGTCAAGGGTGGTGGTGTGGCAGAGAAACTTGATTGCACGGGAGTGTGTGGAAGCTCAGTCCATTTCGTCGTCGACGAGGTCGTCAGCTTTGGCCTCTGTAGCTGCCGACGTTGCAGACGGTGGGGGTTGGTTCGACTGTGTAGGTGGTGCAGCTACACGCTGTTGCTGGGGTGGAGCATTGAACAGGCTGGCCATCATGTCGCTGAGCATGTTGCCGCCCTGTCTTCTCTGGGCGATCCCGAACACTGCCGTGCCGATCTGGGCGATGGCACCGGTGGCGTTGGGGTCGGGCTGCGATTCGCGCTCGAACTGACGTACGAGATTCGCCCACGCCGTACGCAGCGCGTCATTGACCCCGGACTGGGCGGCGAGCGAGAGCGCGGTAGCCATCTGGGCAAAGTTGAGTTCCGAGTTGGCGGTGATGCTGAGCTTGAAGTCGGTCTGGGTGCCGTTCGGGGCGGTAAACGCGCGTGGGTTGGGCGAGATGGGCAGCAGTAGCGATCGCAACCGCGCCGTGAGCGTCTCGAGGTACGTCTGGATGAACGCCACCGCCGCCGGAACATTGCGACTGGCAAGAAGCGGCAGCGTAGCGCGCAGAGCAAAACGACCCGCCTCGATGCGCTCAATCGCATCCTGCGTTCGCTCCTCCCCTTTCTCTTCGGTCGCCCTCTTGGCTACTGCCGACAACCACGCCGCCATTGCGCCCGCAAACTCCTTAGCCGCCTCCGGATCGCTACTGGATGCAGCAAGAAAGTGCGGTTCGGCAAGCTCGTACTCCCCGTCTTTGGCGTACAGCTTGGCGGCGAACAACCGCAGCTCCGCATCAGCACCACCGCTCTTGGAGCTCCACTTGACAGCCGCATCCACGAGCTTCTTGCGCCAAAAGTCCGCCTTGGCAGCTGCAACAATGTCGGTGACGCGAGAACGAGTCTCGGCCGTAACGGGAGTATCGGCTAGGTTGTAGACGTCGAGCATGTAGATGCCCAGATCGCATCCGGAGCCCTGCTCGCCCTGCGAGAGCAGCTCGAGTGCACCCGTGTGGAGAGCGGTGATCGCTTCCGGATACGCCTTCTTTTTGGTGAGGCGCACCACCTTGGTGCGCAGCTTCTGATGCAGCTCGTACCCCGACATTGCTATCGCCCCAGTACAAGCGCGAAAGGCGAGATAGAGTGGTGTTGGGTGAAGTTGGGTGCGAGTAGGAAAGTGAAGGGTTGAAGAGGGTGACGCGTGGCGCAGGTGGGGGGCATTAGGCAGCTGCTCGCTTTCGCCGCTCTTCTCGAAGTCTCAAAAAATTCACAGCTTTGTCAGACCGAAACGCAACCCACATGCCACGCTTTTTCCCGCCAATACCATTGCTTCGATGATGATGTCTAGATGATGCCTTCTGCACGCAGCATCTGGACATACTGAAAGGCGATTCTCCTCCCACGCTCCACACCAGACCATGCACCCATGTCACCACCCTCCTGCTCGTCCGCATCAGACCGTAAGCCCTGGAAGATGAGCTGCACCGTGTCCTCGCTGGGCTTGGGCGGCTTCGGCTCAGCCTGCGGTGCATTGGGCTTGGGCTGCGTCCAGGCAGGTGCGCCGAGCGGACGATCATCATCATCGTCGTCATCCTCATCCACCTGCTGCATGGTCACTGCGGTACCCGCCAGCGCGCCGGCGTGGCCGTTGGGCAGCGCACCGTCGGTCTCCGAGTCGGACGAAGACACCTCGTCGTCCTCCCACTCCTTGTCGGCGCCGGGCTCGTCTGTGCCGAAACTGTGCCAGCCAGACGCATCATTCGATTCCGCTGCGTGATTATGAGAGGCCGGTTGGGATGCACGCTGACGACGCTGCAGGCGCTTGGCGGCACGCATCTGGCGCGAACGCTGGCTGATGCGCTGCCGCCAGCCCTCGCCCGAGCGCGGCACCACCTCCTCCCACAACTGATTCGACACCACGGGGATGTTGAAGCTGCGATTCGGCTGCACGCCCTCCATCCCGCCTCCGATAGTGTAGCTGAATCCCCCCTGGCCCTGCGCCACCCCGGCAAGTGTTGCCTGCACCCCACGCGGAGTACCCCCCGCACTCGCGCCACCATTCCCCACGCCCGCAGCTTGAATCTGCGCAGGCTGAGCAGGAACAAGCCCCGGTGGGAACAACGCCATGAGGAAGTCTTGCATGAACTTGGATGTGGGCAGCACCGCAGCGGGTGGGATGAATTCGGCCTCTACGACGGCGCCTGCGCTGCGGCCTCCGCCGCCCATGACGCTGCCGACGCGCACGCGCCAGTCGACGCCGCCCTCGCCGTCCGTAGGCGCGTCGAGCGAGGCCAGCGCAGGAGAGATGCCGGGCAGCGCATCGAGGCTCTGGCTGTTGAGCTCGAGCACGAGGCCTTCGATCGAGACCGCGGCGCCGCGCGGTACCCATGCGCCCGGCCCCGCCGTGCCCACGGGCGCACCGTGCGGAGGCGGCAGATTCAGCCCCGTCAGCATCGCCGACATGGACGCCGTCAGCGCCGAAACCGTATAGCGCGTATGCGAGGGTAGCTGCAATTTCGGCCGCGGGCCTGCGGATGCAATCGGCTCCTCCTCTGTCTCCTCGTGTTTGGCATGTTCACTCGATGCGGGTTCGGACGCAGCGTCGCCGCCCTCGGTCTTGGCTGCATCCACTTCCATCAGCTGCGCTTGGTCGTTTGAACTTTGCGCAGTGGCATTTGGATCAGCGGCGGCGGATCCGGAAGAGCCAGTCGTCGCCTCGACGGCTTCGGACTGCTTATCCTCCCTCTCCGACTCGAGCTTAGCCTGTGCAAGCCTCTTCCTGGCCTCGATCTCTGCGCGGCGCGCCTTCTTCCACTTCTTGAGCGCCACCTCCCAGTCGCGCCACGCCTTGGCCCTGGACGACTTGCCCGTATCCTCGACAATCACAAACACCACACCCGGGTGGTCCGAGAGCCACACCTGCCACATGGTCCTGGGCTTGGTGAGTGGCGGTGCACCCGATGCCGACGCTGCCGATGCCGAGGCTGCAATCTGCACACCGCTGGACGATGATGCATCTTCGTTGGTGGGACCCGAGTCGGACGGCCACGCATTGCAGGGGACGGGGACGGCGCGGAACGAGCGGATGGTGATGCTCCAGCGCGCGACGACCTTGGCGTTGGATGTGTGCTGCAGGTGGCTGAAGAGCGGCGGGATGGATTGTGCGCCCAGCGACGGGAGGCGCGCTGTTGATGACACGCCCATCGTACGTTTTTCTGCCGCTTTGTGTTGCAGGTGGTAGAAGCGAAAGTGATGAGGATGAGGATGGGAAGCAAGGCCACCCGGACGGGTTGGAAAGCACACGGGCATTTCATTTTGGTCTCCCGCCTTCCGAGGATTTTGAGCGTGGGGGGGCCAAAGCGGCCACTTCTTCCACATGGCCGCGGAGAGTGACGAGTGCACAGGGCAGCAGCTGCTCAGTCTCGGCTTTGCATGACTCGCCGTGCACACCTCCACACTCTGTGCCTTCGCTCCGAACCAGCCGCAGGCCGGCTACCTATTCTGGGCTTGCCTCCGCACCACATCCATCCCTCCCCTCGTCCTCCATACTCGTGCGTTCCAACATGTCTGCCCTCGCCACCTCTGCCGACAAGCAGTTCACCATCCGTCAGGGCACCAAGGCCGACTGCGCCACCGTGCTCGACTTTGTAAGTCCGGTTTCTTCCACACTCTGCCGCCGGCTCGCGCTTGTTGACACGTCTGACATTCTGGAGTGAACAGATCCAACAGCTCGCCGACTACGAAAAGGAACCCGATGCCGTCAAGGCCACCGTCCAAACTGTGCGTTCCTCCCCTACCCCCACTCTGCATCTGCTTGATTCTGACATGCTGATGTTCCCCTCGCTGCACGTCTGCCATAGCTCGAGGAGAATGTCTTCAACAAGGGCTACGCCGAGGTGCTGATTGCCGAGCAGCACGACTCCGGCTCCGCCCCCGTCGCCGTCGGCATGGCGCTCGTAAGTTTGCCCGCTTCGCTAACACGCTTGCTGAGCATGAGCTGACACTGCATACCTGTTGGCTGTTGCCGGGGCAGTACTTTTTCTCGTTCTCCACCTGGACGTCCAAGCCTTCGCTATACCTCGAGGACCTGTACGTGATCCCGACGCTTCGCAACAAGGGTGTCGGCAAGCTGCTCTTCAAGGCGCTCGGCCAGGTGGCCCAGCAACGGGACTGCGCACGCCTCGACTGGTCCGTGCTCACCTGGAATGCGTAAGTCGTCTCGTCCCTCCGCAGCCGCCTGATTCGGAGCACCGTACTGACTCTGACGATCCCCGCGTCTTTGCCGACAGCCCATCGATCGCATTCTACACGCAGGTGCTCGGCGCCAAGCCGATGGACGAGTGGAAGGGCATGCGTCTCGAACAGCAGGGCATCGAGAACCTCGCCAAGCTCGCCTAGCCCACCCCCACACGCTGATCAACCTGCTCGTCTTTGTAGAGAAGAGGCAATCCAAAATGCCATCCCATCTCGTCGTGGCTGTTCACGAGAGCGACGCGCGCAGGTCGAGCCACTCGCGCTTGCTCTGTTCATACGCCATTTCGCGCTGCCGCCTCTTCCTCGCTGCAAGCTGAGCGGTGCGTTTGTGCACGGCCGCCTTGGAGCTCGACCTGCTGATCACGCCCGTCGGAGCGAGGGCAGCAGCACGTGGCTTCTTGTGCGCACCACCCAGCATGTCGAGCGACGGAGATGACGTCCTGCGGATGGATACACTGCGGTCCTCGTCGCGCGACCGTCGGCGGTGACGTGCAGACCCCGTCTCGGCACCGAGCCCGACGCGACCGCTGCGCAGCTCCACCTGTACGGGATGCAGAAGCGCGCTGCCCTCTGCCGCGTCCGCATGTGCATACGCGCTGCATCGTTGGTCGCGTGCAAGGTCCCACAGCGCCGTCTGGATGTCTTGGAGCGTGATCTGACCCGTGAGCAATGCCTGCTCCAACGCCTGCTGGTCCTCGTCGCCCAGGTGTTGGAACCAGTCTGCATCGGTCTGCGCCATGCCGTCGAGCCACGACTGCGCCATCTGCCGCTGCTGCTCGGGCGTATGATCCTGATGCTCAAAGGGGAACGCCGCTTCGAGCGGCAACGGTCCCAGCTGTCGTTGCGATGACGATGGCTGATGGCTGATCAGCTGCAGCCACTCCTCCTGCACCTGCGGCTCGACCGCCGTCGGGTCGGGTCCGAACCCATCTGGACCAGATTGAACCGCCGATGCTTGCTGGCGGAGAAGGAGACGCACGGCGTTGGACCGCTTCTGCTTGAGCCTGTCGCGTGTTTGCTGGTGTCGCTTCGACTCGAGCACGCCGAGACCCATGCCTTCCTTCCAACCCATGCGCGAGAGCATGTTGTGCCCGACGTTGTCCCGGGCGATCTTCTTCCAGCGTGGCGCGTTGCACAGCCGCCTTGGCACGTTTTGCGAGCGACGATGCAGCGCCTGCATGGAAGCCTCGAGCAGCGAGATGGCAGCGCTTGAGGCCGAAGCTGAGCCGGGTGGAGGCGTGGCAGTTGGGGTTGGCGACTTGCTTGCGGCGGGCGAAGGCGCCTCGGATGCGGAAGCCGAGGCAAGATCCGCATTGAGCCCGAGGCGATGGCCGATGCTCTGGCGGTGGCGCGCCATGTCCTCGAGCGTGGCGTTGGCAGGAAGCAGGTCTCCGCAGCGCTGGCAGCGCTGCCTCCTGGAGGTAGCGGCGGAAGCGGCAGGCGCGGCAGGGGGCTGTGCTGCAGCAGTGCGGGCAGCTTCGGTAGGCACATGGTTGGAGCGGCGCATCTTTGTGAGCGCTCTGGAGATGAACCACTCCGACTTGTACCGCGCTTCCGGATGGTGCTGGTGATGATGTCTGTGAGTGGGATCATGCAATCTCTGCTTGCCCTTTCCGTGCGTGTGTACGAGCGGATCGGCGACATCGGCTGAAACAAGGTGTGATGTCGACGGTAACGACGGCGAAGATGGTTCTGGGAAAGCCAAGTGCTGGGTGAGAGAAGCGTAGAGCTGCGAAAGAGTGGGAGTGGATGGCCTATGCTCATCCGACAGCTCGCTAGAGCCACCGCTGTTCGAGGTGGTCGGCTGGTCTGGCTCGCTCAGCTGGGTAGCCTTGACGAATCGAGGAGGCGGACGGAGCACGGTGCGGGTACGCAGACCACGCCATGCTGCTTCATCGTCTTCGTCGATGGTCTTTGGTGGGGTGTGGCCGGCATCGAGGTCGGAGGCTGCGATGATGGGATGGTGACGATCGGCTTGGTTGGGGCGGGAAGAGCGAATGTGCACAGCGTTGAGCGCCATGGTTCAGCGTGGATGCATGGCTGACGAGCCAGGCGATGCGATCGAATTGTTGGGAATGGGGATGGGGATGGTGGTGGTGATGGTGAAGAAGGGCTGAGCTGCGGTGCCCCATCTTGACGGGCAGCCCATCCGATCCGGGCGGGTCAGCTGAGCCAGATTTGGGAGCGGCCCTGAAGCAGCTGACCACTGACCGGCTGACCATCCGAAGTGGACCCTGAGAGCCCTCTCTTTTTTCTTTTGTCGGCTCCTCCGCTCGGACCTCCCCAAAAAGACGAAGTGGAGGCCGGGCTATTTTCCGACAATTGTTAGGTTGCAGCAGCGCCTCGCTCTTCTAGGCGGCTCCAACAAAAAGTGTTGTTCTTTCTCTCCCTCCCACTTCACGCCGGTCTCGGTCGATCCAACACAGCCACAACACCATGTCCGATCCAAAGGCGGCGCTCATCGAGGTGCTGGCGCTCGCCTCCTCCACCGATCCCGCCGTGCTCAAACAGGCCAACTCGCAGCTCGACGAGTGGGAGAAGCTGCCCGACTTTTGGCTCGTCCTCCTCCAGATCGCCTTTGACACGCAGCTCAGCCTGCCTGCTTCCTCATCCACGGCCTCAGGACACGATCACGATCAACGAGATGCGATTCGAATACAGGCCATCATCCGCTTCAAGAATGGCATCGACAAATTCTGGCGCAGCCGTGTCGTCGCGCGCGTCGCCGTCACCATCCGACCCGAGTCGAAACAAGCGATTCGCTCGCTCCTCTTCAACTGCCTCCGCGAGCCCAACCGTACCATCGCACTGCAGGCGTCCGTCTCGATCTCCCGCATCGCTCGCCTCGACTATCCGCGCGACTGGCCCGATCTCTTCACCACCCTCCAGCAAGCCATGGTCGAGGCACATGCCGCCCTCGCTGCTCTGCCTCCATCGCCGCAGGTTGGCCAGCCCCAAGACCAGGCAACAGCACAGGCGCGCCAGCTCAACACCACCGTGCTCATGCGCGCAGCAGACGTATGCTCAAAGGCGCTCAAGGAGCTCGAGTCGGTGCGCGTGCTCGCCGGCAAGATGCGCATGACCGAACTCTCGCGCGAGCTCCTCCCCGTGCTCCACCCGATCTTCGAGCAGTACTTCACCGAGGTCTTTTCGCTCTCGGCCAACGATGATCTCGGCACGCTTGCAGCATGGTCCAATACGGTACTGCGCCCAGAACACGTGCGCACCAGCCATCTGCTGCTCAAGGCCATCAGCCGTTTGGCCGTCGCCGACATCGGCATGATCTCGCGCTCCTCCACCTCCCAGGGCGGTGCATCCGCCAACATGGCCCAGGCCTTCTTTCGCTCCACCCCGCGCGCTCTGCAGACGCTCAAGGACACGCGTCTGGCCTATCTGCGCCTCCTTCGCTCTCCGCACGCCGCCCAGCACACCTCGGCCACCACCTCGGCCGCCCTCGTCACGGCGCTCACAAAACACCTCTATGCATTCGGCAAATTCTTCCTCTCGCTCATCCAGCGCGACAATGGCAAGGCCGCCTTTTGGCAAGGCTGGGCCGACGTTGTGGGCTGGTACTGGAGCCAGGCCAAGGACGTCAACGACCACAGCCTCTCGGTGCCGCGCGACGACTACGCCAACCACGCTGCTGTCATTGACTATCCGCCGCGCTTTGTGGTGCAGGCGCTCGTGCTGCTCAAGCACTCGCTCGCTCAGTGGAAGGGCAACCGGCCCGAGGGTGGATTCTTCCTCACGCACGACTTTGCCCAAGAGGCCGCCGACGTGCTCGCGCGCAGGCTCATGCGACTCAACGCCGACGACCTCGAGCGATGGCACGCCGACCCCGAGGAGTGGGCGGTGGGCGAGGAGCAGGAGAACTACGAGCTCGACATCCGGCCCGCCGCCGAGCGCGCGCTCATGGTGCTGGCACAGCACACGAAGCCCGTCGGCTGGGTCGGGCAGCATCTGTGGCAGCTGTTTGAAGCGTCCAACAGTCTGTCGCCTGAGAATTTGGACGACGTTCTGGCACGCGATGCGATCTATGCGGCCGTCGGGCGGTGTCGCGATCATCTCTCCCCCGCAGGCGAGGACGACGAACGTCCCAGCATGGACGTGCTCATGGGCCAGGCGATCGCCGCCAAGTTGGTCCCCGAGGCACGCGTGGGCAGCGTGGCGTCGGCATCCTGGGTGGTTGTCAGGCGCAGGATCGCCTGGCTTCTGTGGGAGTGGTCCGAGCAGGTGCCGCGCGAGTCGCGGCTGGGCGTGTACGCGCTGCTCGTCGAGCTGCTCGAGGATGTGCCGGACCAGACGGACGTAGCGGTGCGTCTTGCCGCCGCGCGTTCGATCGCCGCCATCGCCGACGCGCTCGAGTTCGACGCCGACGGCTTTGAATCGCTGCTGCCCAAAGCCCTGCGCAACCTCGCCACACTCGCCGCCGCGTCGGAGCTGCACGAGATGGAGTCGATCAAGGTGTGCACGGATGCACTCGCCGTGCTGATCGAGCGCATGGGCGCACGCATCGCACCGCACGCCGATGCGCTCGTCGACCTCGTGCCCATGCTGTGGCAGCAGGACGATCCGGACTGCAAGGCGCGTCCGTCGATCATCGTGTTTGTCTCCAAAGTGCTGCGTGCCATCGAGATGCTCCCCGCCCAGGGCTCCAGCGGTGCGCTCATGCAAAAGGTGCATCTCATAGTCGCGCCCATCGTTCGCGAGTCGTTGCAGCCGAGCGTATCGCATCTGCTCGCCAAGGATGCCATCGGCATGGTGTGGATCCGCGCACTGCATTCCACGCCCGTCATGACGCAGCCGCTGTTCGAACTCATGGCACTCGCAAAGGTGCTGGTGGTGCAGCCGGACTACTGCGTCGAAATGTGCCGTGTCGTCGAGGAGATGGCCATGCTCAATCCGCTCGCGCTGCTCCAGACGTACGGCGCCGACCTGCTCCAGGCGATGGGCGGCATCATTGCAGACCCTTCCAACCCCATGGTGCTGGCGCCCATCTCGGCGCTCGATACGCTCGTCCAGTCGCTCGTCGGACTGCCCAACTGGAACGATGTGTGCAGTGCATGGATCGACGCGCTCGAATCCACGCGGCTGGTCGCAGCGATCGTCGGTGCGCTGCTGCACTTTGCAGACGCCACGCTGATTGCCACGCACTTTGTGGCGCTGCTGTGTCGCATCGCGTTCCACTGTCCCGACGCCACGTTTGTCCGTCTTGTCGATGCAGCGTGGCGCGATATGGACCATTCCCGATTCGCCACACCCGCAGCAGTGTGGCGACCGCTGCTCAAACTGGTGTGCGAGCGGTTCGACAACATGGCGTCTGCACGCAAGCGGCGCGTGACAGCGCTCGGGCTCGCATCGATGCTCGAATCGGCCGTGGTCGCGTACGAGCAGAACCCCGACGCTGGCGTTCAGGAGGTGATTGCATGTGTGCCCGAGATGATCGGGGTGTGGAGCGAGATTCTTGCAGAACTGGCCGAGTCCAAACCACTCGATCCGAGCAAGTACCACCGCCCCACTTCGCCGATTGCATCCATGGAGCTCGCCGACGTGTTTTTCGACGACGATGACGACGGATGGATCCAGGACGTTTCGCCAGGTGCAGCAAGGGCACAAAGAACAGCCGTTGCGGATGGAACGCTCACGGCGCAGGTCAACAAGCATGTGGCCGGTGTGCTTGCGCATGCCCATTCATCCGTGCCAGCAGTAGCGACAGCTCTGGCCCAAATGGACCCGCTCGTACTCTCCATGTTCCAATCCGACCTCAACAAATAGACTCACCTCACCACCCACACGCACAACTTCAATCCGAACCGCAGCAAAGACTGGATGACACGGGGGTTGTATTTCTGAGCGAGCGAGGGTGGTGCGGTCTAGAATCTCGTAGCGGGTGCATTTTCAACCGAGCTGATGGGGACCTTGTGACCGACGAGTTCACGGATATCCTTGACCGCATATCGGATCATGGTGGGGCGTTCGAGACTAAGACCCCAACCGAGCACGTTGACGCCCTCGGGCAGCCCCATTGGCCTCAACATCTCGGGCCTAAACATGCCCGAGTTGCCCACCTCGACCCACTTGTTGAGGCCCTGGTGGAACGAAAAGATCTCGAGCGACGGTTCGGTATAGGGATTGTAGGCCGGCTTGAACCTGAGGTTGGTGACGCCCATCTTTTTGAAAAAGACCTCCATGAAGCCGATGAGGTCGCCGAGGGTGATGCCGTAGTCGGCCACGACGCCCTCGACCTGGTGGAACTCGGCGAGATGCGTAGCATCCACCGCCTCGTTGCGGAAGACGCGGTCGATGGAAAAGAGCTTGGCGGGCTTGAATCCCCCGGGCTGGTTCGCGAGCTTGTACAGCATGGCCGAACTCACCGCCGTAGTGTGGGTGCGCAACACCAGCTTCTCAGTCACCCTACGGTCGAAAGGATAGCGGTATCCGACCGAGCCAAAGCCACCCTCTTGGTGGACTTGGGTGACGCGCTTGAGGTAGTCCTCGGGGATGTGCTTTGCATACGGCGGGTCCTTGATGAAGAAGGTATCCTGCACATCGCGCGCCGGGTGCTGCTGCGGCACGAAGAGCGAGTCGAAGCACCAGAAGGACGACTCGACAAAGCGGTCGGTGGCCATCTCGGTGAAGCCCATCTCGAAGAAGATGTTGCGGAACTCCTCGCGCACCTTGAGCAGCGGATGCAGCGCACCGGACGCCGGCACCGCCCCCTCGGCGTCAAAGTTGTACTTTTTGAACGGCGCCGTCTTCCACGACCCAGACTGGAGCATCTCGAACGTGAGGTCCGTCTCGAGCTTCTGCACGGTGAGCGAGAACTGGGCGCCCTTGGCGATGGAGAAGTAGACGAGCTTGCGCGTCGCGACGAGCTTGCGCTTGCGGAGCTCGGCGAGCTTCTTGTCTGCATCCGGGGCAGCGAGGCTGCCTGTGGCGAGAATCTCGACGAGCTGCAGCTGGATGTCGTCGGTAAGTTCCGCGTCCGACTTGCCGAGCGTGGCGTCGGTGCGGCCAAAGGTGCCGTCGGGGAGCTTCTTGGCCCACTTGTTGCGGAAGGCGTTGCTCTGGCCGTTCTTGAGCGTGTCGGCGCCGAGCAGCTGCTTGAGCTCGTCGATCGACTTGCCCGCACCGGCTTCGTTGGGGAGCGCCTTGACGAGGCGGATCTCGGGCGAGCCGTTCTGGAGGAGCACAAAGCCGTCGGGGAGCGGCGCCGAGGTGGACTCCTCGAGCTTGTCCATCACGAGCATCTCCTTGCTGAGCAGCGACTTGAGCACGTCCGAGAGCGCGAGCTGCCATCGTGCGCGCTCCTTGAACACCGCCTCGTTCGCCTCGGAGCGCTTGGCCGGGTCGGTGTGCGCATCGGCGGCGGCGGTCGAGACCTCGGGCGCGATCAGACGCGTGTCGGCGATCTTGCCGTTGGGTGCGGCGTCCAGGGCGGCGAGCACTGCCTCGGCAGTAGGCTCACCGGAGAGCCTTGCTAGTGCCGACATGGTGTATGTATGTATGTGTGTGTATGTGCGCTGTCCTGGTGGCTGCAAAAAGGGCGAAAGCAGCCGGGCGCCTACGAGATCGGTGGGGGTTGGGAATGCGCCTGGATACGATCTGGTTGAATGTAGGTATGTCGCGGCCTCGTGCGGTGGTTTGGCTGGCGTCGGATGGTCGAGATGTTGCGGTCGAGTTGAAAGGCGCTTTGGGGTGATTGGCGAGCGTATGGCTTCAGCATTCTGAGCTGGAGTGCGCTTTGAGCTTTGAGCTTTGGATCTCTGAGCTGCTGGAAGGCGCCGCTTCTTCCTCCTCAATTTTCCTCTGCCCTTGGAGTGTGAGTCACGTGTGGCACGAATTATTTGGAACAAACCCGAATACGGCCTAACATTGGAAATCGTTCGCCATCATCGCTCCGTGTCTTCACGGATCACTTCCCACCAACCTTCTGCAACTGCGAACCTTGCGTCACGCCTGTATCAATCGAACACTACACGCGAACGCTTCTTCCGAGCTTAACTTTGGCGATGTGCGCGCAGCTTCTACTCGCTAGAGAGCATCAAAATGCACGCACGCATCCGTCGAGTCAATGTTGGGCTTCTGCAACCATCAACACCATCGCCTTAAATTACACACAGACCCGGCGCTATCTCGTTCATTCATAGACATAGATCACGGACGGAATGCGCTCATCACAGCTCGCTAGCTTATCGGCGCAACAGTCGTGCGGAACCTCGTTCGCCTGGATCTCAGCCTTGGTCGGAGGCGTTGCGCTTCGCGATGACGATCTGGCTCCGTGAGTGTCCGGCAGCCTTGCCATCTATATTCGCTCTGCTGCTTACACCTTTGCCCCACGATCATATCGCGAATATGACAGGACGATGGTGCTGTTCTTCATGCTGCTTACGTTTCTCGTGATCGGGGGACTGCGCGTGTATCAGGGGCGACGCATGACTCGCATCCTGGTCATCTTTGTGCCCACGCTGTGCTTCGTTCTCTGCCTCGACATCTGTGCCGCACTACGAGCAGACATTTCGAACCGGTCGCACGCGTCCGCATCGCTGGTGCAGACGCGCGAGGGGCTTGCCGAGCTTGTGGCGGCGAACGGATTGGTGGGGTGCGCACCCATGATGCTCACCGAGACGAGCCACCAGGTGTTTGGTCTGCTCAACAAACGCATCGACCCAGCAGCCAAAAGGTGGATCCGATATACGGCGTATGTTGCTCGACTGCTCAACTTGGTCGCACTCATCATGGTGGTCATCGCAACGTGCGACCTCGCGTCTTGTAAGTCCAACCCCCCCGAAGCAGGAACTAAACTCGAAGCTGATTGTGAGTCACTGGGTGCGGGTTAGATTTGACGGCGTGGTTGGATCAGACAAGGTTGGCGGCTGTGGCGGCGGATGCGGGATGGACGTGCGAGACAAGCACGCTCGGACGCGATCTGACGCTGCTGCCGCTCATCGCTAGCGGTACGCAGGTGGTCACCCTGTCCGTCCTAATCATTCTGTAGGTCGATCAAGTGCGCATTGAATGCACAAGTCTTGAGGACTTGACTGACCATTCTTTCATGCAGACTCGTGTGTATCCGGCTTCGATACCGGCTTGCATTCGGAGTGATGCTGCACCTCACCTGCATCAAGCTCTGCCTCGCCTTCCACTACACCTGGCGATGCGCGCGCGACTGGTCAGCAGTGCAACTCTACCTCGGCGGGGACTGGAACCACTCGTCGCCTTCCTCCATCCAGACCGAAGGGCTCCAAGATCTCGCCCACCTCCTCCGTCGAGACGCCGAGGACCCCACGCTGCTGTACCTGCTTGGCATCGTCCCTCTCGTGTAAGTTTATTTCCTCCCAAACCCCGTTTCTTAATGCTAACATTCTTTCTACTTGAACCATCAGGCTGGCCATGATCCTGGTCTACATGCTCAACTTGACGGTGTACACTGATCCTCCGGCGGTAGTGGCGGCTGCACCGTCTCGAACGCGCTTCCGACTCATGCTCGATCCGGCCGCACCCAAGATCGAGCTGCTCCCGACCAAAGCCAATGCAGCTGCCAGCAAGGATGCGGGTAAAGGCAAGGGCAAGGGCGACACCAAGAGCACCGCCGAAACACTCGTGGTCAAACGCGGCTGGTTGGGAGGATGGACGGTCCAATCCGCCACCAACGGGCCTTCGTGGATGGACAAGGCCAAGATGCGCGCTCGACGCAATGTGCGCAAATGGATCATGGGCTGGTCCCCCCCCACTCCCACCCCAGCCTAAGAACCTCAGACTCTCCAAACGAATCCAAAGTAGTGCCGCATGCCTTTGCGATTGCGAGACGGTACAGGTGTGGTATCTAGCGGAAATACTCTGCACGACGCGCATTGATGCCGTACTCTCCCAGCGCAGCCGAGAGGTCGTCCATTGTAAGCACGGTTCGGGAACGGTCCCTTGCGCCCTGCGCATTGGAGCCCGCTGCGCCTGCCGCGCCCGATGCACCTGCTGCACCCACCTGACCACGCGGCCTGCCACCCGGCCCGGCATTGGTGCGAATGCGCGCATACTGGAATGCATCCGCCGCAATGTCGCTCACAAACTTCTCGGCCGCCAGCGAGAGCAGCCTCTTGAGACGCAGGTCGTGGCACTCGAATCCGACCTTTTCGAGGTAGAAGTCGGTGACCTGGTCGGGTATCAAGGGGTCGTATCCATCGAGCAGCTGCAGGAACTCGGCGAGCGTACGGTCCTTTCTCGACTCCTCCTCTTCTCTGCGCGACATGGTGTGCGGGGCGCTTTGCGATGTTGCGGCCGCCGCGGTGGACGGCATGGGCTCGTCATTGTCGCGCGGTGCTGCTGCGGATGTTGTCGTCTGGGTGGGAGTAGCAGCTCCCGATCGCGTCCCATCCAGTCCACGACGCGAGACGTACTTGGACAGATCCTCCTGCGTAGCCACACCCAGCACAAACGCCCTACCGGGATCCGTGATGAACGCAAACGGTTGCGACTGCAAAAACACCTCGAGCTCGGCCAGCCCCGTGTCGGGCGTGATGACGGTATACGTAGCTGCCGGTGCAGACGAGGACGCGGACGCGGCTGGGCCGCTGGAGAACTTGGTCATGATGGAGGCGACCGTCTTGTCGCTGTTGCCCTCCTTGAGCTGCTCCTCGAGGCGGTGCTTCTGAACGTAGCCGAGCAGCTTGCGGTTCTTGTCGCTCACCAGCGGCAGCTGCGAGTAGTCGTGGTCGAGCGCCACGCGCAGTGCCGCGGCGATCGACGTCGAGCGCGGCACCGAGATCGCAGGTGGCACCTGCAGGTCCTCGACCGTAGCGCCGCGGTACTTGGCCACGAGCGAGGCGGATGGCGCTGGAGGTTGGCCGACGGGTGCGGACTGCGGGCCCGAGATGGGCGCAGTCACGGATGGAGATGCGTTGGACATGGCGACGACGTGTTGGACGGATGTGGTGATGGTGCAGAGCCAGAAGAGCAACACGCGCCGATGCTGAGGGTCAGCTGCAAACCTCCATGAGTAACTTCACGCACGGCAGCGCAGCGCAGGGATGCAAGGTGATCGACCCGCACCCGCACCTGCAGCTTCCCAGAGCGGAAATTCCCAGCTCAGCCCTTCTCAACGTCACGTGTCGCGCTCTGCAGCCTCACTTTTTTTTTTGTTTCTGGAAAAGCAGCGCAGAGTCTCACACTGAGCGGAGAGGCGCAAGTCAAAGCGCTGCCCGTCGGCGGCGACTCCTTTCTTCTTCTCCTCAACTCATTACGTTCTCGTATTGTGGGAACAAGGGGCACTGCTCTCACCTCTTATTCCTCTATCTCGACGAACAAGATCCGTACCTCTTTTACAGGGTTGCAAACGAGAAGGTCTTCTCGTGTTCCGGCATCGACTTTATCCTCCGGGATCTACGGCGCTGGAACAGGACCTCGGCTCGCACATTCTTTTCCGTCTTCATCCAGCCTGTTTTTGCACTCACAATATCAATGCTTTGTCGCCATCATTTTCATCGACTGCCGGTATGGATGGACGCTGCGATCGCTGTTCGCCGCTTGGAGCGATGCAATCGCAGCGGAGCCGCGCCGGTTATCGGATCGGAACCAGACTGTGGCGACAATCGGTCTCATCGAGACGGTGCCGGCCGAGAAGCGCAAAGTCGTCTTGAGGAGCTTCTGCAAGCGAAACCGGAGCGGCGTGGCGTAGCCATCGAGCTAAAGCCGATGCGGGATGGTGTGCTGAAAGCCAAGCGGCTGGGCACCAAAATGGCGACCTCCCCTGAGCGAGAGCGGAGAGCGGTGAATTTTTGGAAAAAGCACGACATCCTCGGCGTGCCTTGAGCCATCACAGAATCACAGAATCGTGAATCACAGAAGCCTCGGCTGGCTACGCCCTTTGCACGTCAGATTGGGCGACATGCACGTCAAGCCGCCCTCCGACGCCGCACTGCACATCGCCTCCGCCTACTGCAATCGCAGCAACTCTCTTGCTCGGTCTGACCAATCCAGAGCTTGGCGGTGGCTCGGTCAACTGCTGCTTGCTCGGCACAATCGACCCCGCTTGACCTTGTCTGAGCCTGCGCCAAATGCTATCCGCGTTGGATTCCGCCAGGTGCGACGTCGCTCGCCATCCCCCGTGCCCGCCCCCACGCCAAGCCACATCGCTGTATCACGCAACAAAGCTACCAGAGTCCACCATCCCCCTCTCCGCTGCAGCCGGTACCTTGGGCATGAAAAGGAGTGGGTGACAGCTCCTTCCTATTGTGGCGCTGGTCGCCTCTCCGACCGAGAATGGCGAATGAGGCTTTGGCTTATCCGAGCCTCGCCCACTCTGCTCTCGGCGTCGTCCTTCTACAACCCGGTCCAAGTGCCCCCAAAGTGCGCCGGCTGAATCCGCACTAACGAAGTGTCAGGGCAAGCGAGCTCTTGACCACATGGACACACTAGTACCACGAAACTCGGAAACTCGTGTATAGCCGTGCTTCCATCCTTGCTGCTGTCCAGGATAGACTGTGAGAAGACATAAAAGCCTGCCCTCTTGGAGTCGTTGAGATGTTCTTCCCCCTCACAACCTTACCGGTCTATTTCGCCGAGATGAGCGCGCTTCCTCGGCTGCCCAAGGATGCTCCACCTGTGAGCATCAGCGCACCCAATGCTGCTGTCGACATTGTTGCCGCCACATCCTCGCCCGTCGAGGGACGTCACGATTCGATCTCGTCGAGCTTCGCAGACGATGACAAGTCGGCGACCAAGGATGGTGCGTGGACGCCGAGCCAATCCGAGTCGCTCGTCGACGACGACCTGGCCCCGCTCTGCCGCTCGCACATCTTCCAGGACGAAAAAGTGGCCGAGCACTGGCGCAATCTCTACGACTCGACGCAGTATGAGAACCGACATCGCTTCGACCCCACGTTCGAATGGACCGTCGCCGAGGAAAAACGGCTGCGAAGAAAGATCGACACGCGTGTGCTCGTGTGGAGTTGGATCATGTTCATGTCGCTCGACCTCATTCGCAGAAACATCAACCGCGCTCTTGCCGACAACCTGCTCGGCGACCTCAACATGAACCAGAACGACTTCAACAACGGCCAGGTCATCTTCCTCCTCTGCTTCCTCAGCGCAGAGCTCCCCTCGGGTCTGATTTCAAAGAAGCTCGGCGCGGATATCTGGGTGCCCATCCAGATCGTCTCATGGAGCATCGTCTCGGGAAGCCAAGCCGCTCTTCGCAACAAGGCTGGCTTCTTCATCTGCCGGGCCTTGCAAGGCTTGTGTCAAGGCGGCTTTTTGCCAGATCAAATCCTGTATCTCAGTTACTGGTATACAGGAAAAGAGCTCAACACAAGGTTAAGCTACTTCTATACAGTGTTGGGCCTCAGCCAGATCCTTGGATCGCTTCTTGCGGCCGGTTTTAACCAGCTCAGAGGTCTGCATGGACTGGCTGGTTGGAGGTATCTCTTCCTCTTCGAGGCTATCATCACTCTCGTTATTGGCGCGCTCTCGTTCTTCATGCTCTCGCCCAGTCCGACCCAGACCAAGGGCATTCTTCGTGGCAAGAATGGCTGGTTCTCAGAGAGGGAGGAAAAGATCCTCATCAACCGCGTGCTCAGGGACGATCCCTCCAAGGGCGACATGAACAACAGAGAGGGCGTCTCGGTCAAGGGTCTCCTCCGTTCGCTAGGCGAAAAGGATCTTTGGCCCGTCTATCTTCTTGGTCTTGTGGTGTTTATCCCCTACTCGCCGCCGCAGACGTATCTCTCGCTGATCCTCAAGCAGCTTGGATATGGTACGCTCGATGCGAATCTACTCGCGATTCCGTCGCAGTTCTTCTTTGCCTTCAACACGATCTGGTATACCTGGCTCTCGGCGCGCTTCAACGAGCGCGGCATCATGGCATCACTCTCCAACGTGTGGAACATCTCGTTCCTCATCCCGCTTTACTTGCTCAAACACAGCTCGTCCGAGCACTATAACTGGATCCGCTACGGCCTCATCACCGCCCTAACCTCCGTTCCCTACTGCCACCCCTTCCTGATCGGGTGGGTGTCACAGAACTCGGCGTCGGTGCGCAACCGCGCCGTGTCGCTGTGTCTGTACAACATGTCGGTCCAGGTCGGGTCGATCATGGCCACACGCGTGTACACGAATGGCGACAAACCGTACTACCGCAAGGGCAACCTTGCCCTCGTCGTCCTCGCCGCAGTGGGTATCGTACTCTGCTGGCTCGTTAAGCTCTACTACATCAAACGCAACCAATCCAAACGCCGCATCTGGGATGCTCTCACTCCGGACCAGCAGCTCCAGTACAAGCTCACCACAAAGGACGAGGGCACCAAACGTCTAGATGTCTTCTTCGTCCATTAGACTCCTCGACGCCTCCGCGGGAACTGTCGGATACGGACACAAGGAATAGAAGTTTGCATAAGCACGAACGGCGAAAGTGGATCAATGAGCCAAGCGTGGTCGGTGTGGTATGAGCGTGGGCGCTGTGATGCCACATGCTGAGCCGAGTTTCCCTGGCGCCAAGAAGATGTGGTGGAGCGATGAGGGCGCCAAATGGTCTTCCTCGCGCACTGAGCACCCTTCACAACGGCTCACGCGCACGACGTTAGACTAAAGGGCATGGAGCTCTCTCACATTACCTTTGAGTTGCTGGCAGCATAAAACTTTGGATCCACAAGGATGTGCACGAGCTTAGCAGCTCCATGGGATGCGTGCAAGGACTATCCTCCGCTCGCGCCCAAAAGCCGGAGCTGCCGCCCAACCTCGCGGCACGCACGCTCACTCGAAGCGGTCCACCGCTCACCAGGCCGCTCTACATCCAGTCCTCCAGCAAGAAGCGCACCTCTCACATCGCGGTCCCAGGTCATTCGGTTCGTAGCGTGGACATAAAGGCTGCAGCCTTTGATGACATCGATGATGTTTGGGGCTCGCGCTTCGAAAAAATTCGTGTGTGTTAAACCTTTATCATCACTTCGGAAAGCAAATTTCGAGGTGGACCGTGAGCTGCTGCCGTCTCGACGCGGCTCGTGGCTGTTGGTGAGAGGAACGCGTCTGAGAGGACGCGTACAAAGCGTTGACTTGCTCTGCCAAAGTCACGTCGAAGAGCTCACTTTACGCGAAGCGCAAATTCTCGCGACCCCTTCGGAAGAGGAAAGAGCGAGGCGCAGCGCAGAAGCCATGCACATACCAGACGTCGCTGCGCACCTCACTCCCCTTCCTCACATCCGGCCTACTTTGCATCCTCACCGACCACACTGTCATCCGTCCCCGCCCCTCCAACCCACCGCAATCTTCTCTTCCACCAACGAGTCCTTGCAACCACATACTTGGCATCTCACACTCGTGCACCTGCACCTTGCACAGTCACCCTGGACATCTGAATATCCTTCACCTCTCGGGCCTCGCTGCTCCAACATCTTCCATTCGGTCCTTCAACCTCGCATCCATACCTGGGTCTGCCAATAGATAGGCGGTGCTCGTCCGGAAGAACAAGTATGACCTCCCCCGCCCCAGCGTACGCGGCCGGGGCGGCGTATCCTGGCTCGGATGCCGCTGCCTCCAGCAGCTATGCCACCTTCTCGGGCCCATCGGCGACTCAACAGCCCCGCAGGGCAGTCATGCTCAAAGGCCCTTCGATTACCTCCAAGACCTACTTCGTGCCGCTCCCAGCCACATTGGACCAGCTTGTGGCTAGGGCTGTCGAGCTCTTCCCCATGCCGCCAGGCAAGGTCCCACACATCACCCTCGGCGCCGACGAGCGCGCCATCGTCCTGCAAGAGTCGTACGACTACATCCGTGATCGCGAGCTCCTCTTCTTCCGCTGGACCGCGGAAACACCGCGACGCAACCTCGCCAACCGCGTTCGATGGGACCAGCCTCAGTCTTCTGCTTCCGCAACCCCTACCTCGGCCTCGGCATCGTCATCCAACGTCGGCATCGAAGATGCGCTGCCCTCGGCCGTCGTATCGGCAGCAGAGGCGCTCAAGGCACAATTGCAAGGCTCGCCCTCGGCAAAACGCGACTTGGCAGCTGCAACGCGCGCCAACACCATCGCCAACAGGGACCCAAATACACAGTTCCGAGAGGGCGCAGCCGCACGAAAGGCGCACGCACAGCGCGTCCTGGCTGAACAGCAGCGCAAGCGAGACGAGGAACACACCGCAGACGCACTCGGCGCCGCCCCCGTCATCTCGGAGGAAGTCGAGAGCGACATGATTGTTGACGCCGATCCCGAGGCCGTCGCAAAGGCCGCCCTCGAGCTCGCACCCAATTCGCCTACCGTCAGCCCAACCCAATACCCTTCCGTGGCCACGGAGGCAGAGCAGCCTCCAGCGATCGATTCGTCAAAGGAGCAGTCGGTTGCGGTCGAGACCAGCACCGAGGCGGCCTCTATCGAACAAGATGGTCAGCCATCCTCACCGGAGGTCGAGCTGGGTGAGCTCGTGCACGCCTCGGCCACAGACGCCATGTCCATCGAGTCGCCACCTCGCAAGAAGCAGATCGACAACGGCGGCCTCGACACGCCTCCCTCGAGCGGCAGTCGATCTAGCTCTCCCTTCCACAGCTCCGACCGCGCATCCGTCGACCACCGAGCGCGCGTCGACGCAGACGACGAGCCCTCCAGCTCGCCCATCTCCTCGCCCTCGCGCGACGTGTCTTCGCGCCACAAGCACCTCCTCAACGTCGCACCTATACCCGAACTCGGACACTTGCCTGCCGTGGTGCTCAGCCACGAGTCGGAAGCGCCCCACATGGCCCTTACTGATTCTGCGGATTCGACCGATCCTTTCGCCATGCAAGTCGATGCACCCGCCGAGTCCACCGCTCAGGCGGTTACGGCGGAGGGTGATGCGTCGAGCGCCGGCCCCACTGAACTGGCCGCGACCAAGCCACGAGATGGCCAGAGCGATCGCGAACTCAACCGCATCTACAGCTTCCTCTCCAACCTCGTCTCGCAGCTGCTTTCGCACAAGGCCAACTGGGCGTTCCAGCGACCCATGAGCGTCGAATTCGAGCAGTTCGCCGCACGCAGCTCGCGACCCGTCGACCTCTTCACGATTCGCGACAGCCTCGCTGCACGCAGGTACGGCAGCCAGCACCTCGAGGGTCGCATGGCCGCCAACGCCGTCGTCACCGAGTTTGAGGACGATCTCTCGCTGCTCTACTCGAACGCGCGTCACTTCTTTGGCATCCGATCGACGCAGGCAGAGTGCGTAGAGCATCTCGAAAAGTTCAGCCGCTCCTTCCTCAACGAGTACAAGCGCACGCAGGGAAACGCGCCGCTGCCCAAGGCGTCGTGGGGTGCTTCGTCCGATCTGGCGTCGGCCAGGCTGTCGGCCTTCCGAAGCCCGGGTTCGCGCCCAGAGAAGCGTGCCGCTCCGCTGCCGTCGTCGGCCTTCTCGATGCTCCTCACGCCCAGGTCGAATGCCAGCACGCCCGCTTCGAGCTCGGCGGCCAAGAGGACCGTCGGCATCAATGCGCAGTCGGCCAATGCCAACGCGCTCGGGATGATGCGCAGGCCCGACTTTGGCTTTGCCCGCAACGTCTCCTACGACAGCAGCATGGCACCCGCCAAGCGAGCGCAGCCGACCATGACCACCAGCGAGGCTTTTGAAAAGGCCCTCCGTGCCGCAACGGCCACGCCGCAGTCGGACCGTATCAAGCCACGCCAGGAGACCGTTGCACCCTTCCCTACGCGCTCAGTGATCGAGTCGGACTTTATGACTCGGCTCCCGCTGCTTTCGCACGAGCAATCCGAGCAGCAGACGGCTGCGCAGACAACGCCCAGCGCCAGTGGCAAGCGCCAGCTCTTCTCGACTGCCGAGACAGAGCCCGAGGCCACTAGGCCACGAACACCGTCCATGTCGCCGCCACCCTCGCCCTCGCCCACCAAACGCAACAAGCTTATGGTGAGGCTCAAGCAGTCCAAGTCTACCTCGCGCCGCAACAAGAAGCGATCCAAGAACGCCAAGGCGGCACCTGCTGGGGCCTCAGAGCAGGATGCTAGCAACGTCGGTGCTCTGGTGGATGCTGAGGAGGAGGACAGTGTGGCGGGCTTGCTCGATGCCGAGCCGGCTCGAAAGCGCGCACGCACGACCAAGGCGGCTCGAAGCATCGACGAGCCCGAGCCGATGACCAAGGCATCAAAGGGCAAGACCACGCGTGCCTTGTCATCAGCTCCCGAGGTAGTTGTGTCGTCGACGCCTTCGACTCCGGGACGTATGCTGCGCCCGCGCAAGTCGACTCCCTCGACCAACGAGCACGACTCGATCCCGCCCCCCAAGACTCCGCCGCGCTCGTGCAAGAAGACCACCATCCCCAAAGCCATCGTCGCCGCAGTCGAGACGCTCGAGGTCGAGGGCTTCGAAGTCATCGCCTCCACTCGAAGATCGTCGCGCCAGCGAAAACCAGTCAACCTCGACTAAGCATCCCCCGCATCCCCGCGCCCTCAGGAACCGCACTCGCCCAAAGCTCCAATACACCTTTGCATCTCAACTGTCAGTCCACTTTGCAATCCATCCTTTCCAATGCGCGTTTCTGTTCGTGCACAGTGCAGAAGTAGCCGAGTCTCGTGGTGAACTCCTTGCCCGGACAAGCGAAGCCCACCTGCACCGACATTTGCAATCTCAGAAAACCTCGGCGATAGATCTTTGGGCTCATCCCAACCAAGCATGCATGCAACCGAGGTCGATTCTTGGCTATATCTACATCGCAAACATAGTCATACGAGCAGGATGCCAAGTGCTAGGCGCACAGTGTGGGACTGTGTGACGTAACGATCAACGGTCGATTGATGCGTAGAGCAAGTTTGATGGCGGCTCCGACACCAAGGTACGATGCTGTGACCTTGTACCCGCCAGCGTCGAATGCGATGTCTGGCTCGTTTGATGCGAAGGTATCGCAGGATGCCAAGTGTCGGATGGATGCACGCCAAGATACTTGTTGGAACCCAGAATGAAGCGAGGCTGGCGCCAAGGTGGCGTAGGAGGCCAAGGGAGGCCGACGAATGCGATGCGATGCGATGCACTCAGGGGCGGCGGATCCCCTTGTCCCACTGTCCGTCGGAAGAGAGGTTGAGTCAGTATGCAAAGGTCTATACTAGCAACCAAGCGATCGACTTACGTCGAAGGAGAAGGGCATGGTGTCCCAGATCCGCTGCCAGTTCCTTGCAAAGGCGCTCAGGAGCTGTTGGTCGTTCGCGCTAGGACCCAGCCATTCAAGCTCGGTGTAGAAGTCGCCCAAGATATCCCAGATTTCATCATAGGCTGCCACCTTTTCGTCATCGGTGGGAGCCTGATGACCTTGCACCATAGTGTCGAAAGCGCGCGTTGACGCCGCAGACGGGCTCAACACTGCGCTGGCCAAATCCAGATTGCCGTCGTGCTGCGGCTGAAGCGGCGAAGCTGCCTGGGTGGCTGCGGCGTCAGGCGAGCGGTGAGACGGGCTCGGCGACGACGACGTGCGGCGCGAGACGCCAGCAAAGGAAGGCGGCGGGGGTCTGGGGATCGTCGTGGCTGTACGTTGGTGGCCATGGTCAGCGGCGGTGTGGTCAGCGGTGCATCATCACATGGGTGCGGGCGATCGCTTGGACTTACGAGGACGCTCGATGACACGCCATCGTCCGTCTGGACCGATATCCATGTAGACCCTGCCGGCCATGATGATCACTTGAAGAGATGATGAGAGCGGCTGAGGGACTTGGTGAAGGTGATGGAGGTGGTGGAGAAGAACGAAGCAGTGCGGGATGAGCTCGGACATTTGAAGGTGCGGAACGGCGGCTATGCATGCGGAACTCGCAACCTCCTTCCGCATACCCGCAAATAAGGTTCCGCTCCAGTGTCTTGCACTTTCCGCACCTTGAGGCGTGCGGAACACTCTTCCGCACCTTCGCCTTGCTTTCCCCTCCCACCACCACGTCTGCATCCACCATCTCTCTGACTTGGTGGTTCCCCTCTTGCCTGTCGTGTTAGCCCGCCTCTGAGGCACTTGGCTCTCTTCTCGTCCTGATACCTTGCCCAACTGTGAGTATTCGCCGACTCCCAGGCTGGCATCCCGTGCTTGCGACTGACCATCTGGCACGTCTCTTGAGATATCCTGCTTATGCATAGTGACATCCGCCGCCTCAATCCTTCGACCCTACCTCTGCGCGTGCTGCTGCCCCCGACGGTCAAGACCAAGGTAAGTGCTAGCCATCGCATGGCAACCTTTTGCGCTACTGACGATCCTTCGCTTCGGCTCTCTAGACGCAGTCATGGCGATCAATCTGACCGTCGAACGGGCTCGCCTGAAAGGCACGGTGAGCCTGGAGGAAGGTGCCACGCCATCAACTCGGCGTGCCAAAACACAGTCTCTAATTCCTGCATTGCAGCATCGGCATCAAATTCGTGTGTGCTCTGCTACACGGTACGGTCGCGATCGATCTGTGCGAGCCTGCCCTGGGTCTGCTGCTTCGCATGCACCTCGTCCTCGTCAAAGCCAAGAAGCGACTTGGCCTTGACCCTTGCGCGCACGAGCGCCTGTGCAATGATGCCCGACCTTCTCCCTGCCAACTCGGCCTCGTTTGCCGCAGGAGGCTGCACCAGAGGCAAACCAAAGCGCGAACGCACGCGGTTCAACACACCTTCCTCCATGTTGCGATCCTGATCGCTGTATACCGCGCCTTTTCCTTTACGCCCACTCAGCTCGGCCCAAGGACCTTCCTGCTCGGCACCACGGAAACGCAGCTCTGTCTCGCCACTAGAACTTCCATCGCTGCTCGACTCGGCCGCCGAACCGGACCTCTTGCCGTCCGCATCAACATCCTCATCCTCGTCTCGCTCGATGAGATAGCCGTCTTGCAACTCCTTGACTTGCGAGTAGTGGCCCGAGTACCACCACATCTTGAGCTTCTGCCACGGTCCGAGCGGATAGCCGTCCAGGAATGGCGGTCGCAGCGATTCCAGCAGCTTGATCCTCTTCTGCGGCATCGAGGTGCGCTGCAAGACGTCGTCTCCGCGCTTCGTCGAGCCCAGTCGCTGCTCGTCGCCGTCCATGATCTGGGAGCGCGTCCACATGATGCCTTGTTGAGACGTGTCCTTGTGCGCAACAAAACGCGCCAGGCCAAACTTTTCGATGCGTCGCCGCAGCATTCCGAAGCTCATCTGCGACTCGATCTGTGCTGTCGTCAACGTCTTGCAGTAGGAGCGCCACACTGCTTGCTCGGCACCAGCCGCGCTCTTCTTTCGATCGCCCTCGCTTGCCTCGCTGGGGAGCATGAAGCCAAAGCGCTCCTTGTACACCAGACCCTCGGTCACTGCCAGGACGGTGGTATGATCGAGGTTGCGCGTCCAGCTCCGCATCGCTCTGCCGTTCTTGGTGCGTCCCTTGAGGCTCGTATCCAGCTGCGGAGTCGGCGCCGAATCATCGTTGGAAGCCTGTGAAGTTGCGCTTGCTCTGGGCGGGAAGAGGTCGAGCTCGACCTCGCTCTGTTCCATCACCCAGCTCTCGGCATTCTTGATGATGCCCGACGGCGCCCACTTGGGCAGATTGCCGCGCTTGAGGATAAGTCGCGTCGTGCAAAGCACTGGGATCGTGTCGATTTGCGAGTCGAGCGTCACGGACGACGAACTGGGCGTCGAGGATGACCCGCTCCGAACAGGGCGGTATTCGATGCGGCGATCGATCACATCTACCGAAAGCACGTGCGACGCACTCGGATTGGGATAGCGTAGGAAGTACGAGCGCACGCACGACGACCACGAATGATCGTAGCTCGACTGATGCACAAAGTCCTTGACCATCGCGGTCGGCGTGTGTGCGGCTAGCCGTGCCGCAAGTCTGACCGGAGTCCTTGTGTGGAGAAGAATGTGGTGGGAGAGAAGGAGGTCGGCAGACTTGCATGGAAACAACAAATTGCAACCCGGCGGAAAAAAGCGCACCTCCAACCCACCGCTCAGTTTGTGTGGAGAACGGAGCGTTGGCGAAATTCCGGAACGTCCATCCGACTCGGAAAGCCATTCCGACTGAGCCTGCTTCCTCTTCCGCACTTTCAGAACATGACTTGCATCTGTCAGGCCTCAATCACAAAAGCAGACGACGGGTGGATTGCAGCTAGTGTACACAGTAGAGAGAGGGAGCGAGTCGTGTGGGAGCGGGCCATCAAGAGGGTTCTTGCGGAAGGCAAGGCGATTTTCGAGTGCGAGTGGATGAGCGCCAGTAGTCCCTCTGGTATATTGGCCCACTTGTCGAGGCAAGGCCAGATGCTTGTGATAGACCGTGTGTCGGCTCGAATCGATACCGCACGGATAGTGTGTTGCGACGCAGCTGGCGCCTCATTCGACATGCTTGCAAGCGGGTTAAACGACGGGACGATGTGGTTCGCGCGAAAGTGGATGATTGCTTCACCGTGTCTTGACGTTCTCTAGCGCCTCGAGCGAAGTGACGCTGTTGCCTCGGACGACAACGGTTCCGCATCGGTCGCCATCCTGCCATACGTTGGGGTTACCGGCGTCGGGATGCACCTGCTCGATCGCGTCATCCACGACGAGGTTGAGGAACATGTCGAAGCCGCGCAGCGTGCCCTGCACCTTGCGACCGCCCTGGATGTTGACGGCGATGCGCTTGTCGAGGAAGCGCTTGAGCTCCGGTTGCGAGACTTTGGCCATCGTTGCGAAGCTACGATCCGCGGGGGCAAGTTGGGAAGCGGATGCGTGTTGGAGAGGTCAAAGAGAGGATGCAAGCTCGAAGGAGTGGACCCCCAGCCAGAACAGTCCGCCTTCCGAGGAAAGCGCGCGCTGCTCGGTGCCGAAAATTCCAGATCGACCGAGAACGTACGCGACCTAACAAGCCCAAAGAATATCCCTTCAGAAAGCTGTGCCTCTCGGAGCCATTCTTCATGCTGTCTTCGACATGGAGTGGCGAGTCATACTGTCGCTGCGCTGTTGTTTCCTGTAAATTTCCTGCTGGAAGCATCGACGAGGTCTTATCTGCAGCGTGCATGAAGTCGGTTGTGGCTTGCGTCCACCCAGACGACCATGCGGTCGCATCTGCCACGCGTCTAGGCCGCGTCGAGCGCCCCGCAGTGACGGCCATTTGGGCTGTGAGCTTTTGGAACTCAGCCCGGCCGCGACCATGTGCTTCCTTTCCCGCCTGTCTGGAAATGCCGTACACTCTCGCGTGCTCGCGGTACATCGAACAGCTCCCATGCTGCAAGCCCGCATGGAGTCGAATGGGGCTGCCCAGGCGTGTCACGGTGGCGCCCGAGGGGCTGTGCTGCAATCCTCGTGGGCGTAGTGGCTCGCGGTGAGGTACGGGCATGACGTTGCAAATTCGCCGCCGGTCAACGCGACAGGGTCTCGGCACAGACCGCCTCTGCCGAGCAATCAGATCATCCAGTTGCCGCGCCGCTCGGCATCTAAGCTGGCTGCCTACGAAGCACGCCTCCTCGAATGATGACGCCTCGAAGCGGCCACTCTCCCTAGACTCGTAGCAGAATGCATTGATTGTCCGGAAAGTACAAAACGGACATGCGAGCTACAGCCTCCTACCCGCCTCCTCACACAGACCAAGCACTGGGTTGACCATCCCTCGGTGCATTCGTCATCTTCCACTCGACATGGACTTGGAGAAAGATCCGCTTCTCACACCGCATCAAACTGACGATATGTCAGCTAAAGGTTTGCTCAACGAGGACCACATCGAACTGCGTGTTGGCGATGGAGCCGCCTCACAACGCCGAGGCAGGGTAGTCGGCATGCTTTCTAAAGGGCTCAAGGGGTTGGCCATCCTGCTGATTGCTTTCTTGGCCGCTAATGGATTCTGGGCGCTCGTGCGGCCCGAGCTATACGGTCACAATGGCCTCTTCTCCTTCAATGATGGTAACGGTGGCGATCATGGCGGCCGCCATGGTCATCGTCACCACCATCACCACCATCACGAACACGGTCCTCCCCATGGTCCTCCTCCCCATGGTCCTCCTCCCCATGGTCCTCCTCCTCATGGTCCTCCGGGTGGACCTCCAGGTGGACCTCCCGGTCATGGACCTGAGCACCCGCCTCCGCCTCCTCCTCACGGCCCGCCGTCGCACCCGCATCCCCCTCCCCCGCCTCCTCCGCCCGGAAAGCCGGGACACCGACCCGGTGGCGATCGACCCGGGCACCCCTTCCCACCTCCGCCTCCTCCCCATCACCCTCCTCCTCCTCCTCCGCCTCCTCCCAGAGGGCCGGGTAAGGTGCAGGAGTGCTTCGACTTCAAGCCGGGCAAGACGCTCGAGATCCGGTCGTCTCTCGACTGGTTCGGCCAAAGCGTTCAGGTGGCTCCGTCGTTTGCGGGCTCGAGCGTCACTTTCGTGTGGGATGGACAGGTAGGTCCACCCGGCCGTCCTCGTGGTCCACACCGTGACCTGACTGAAAGCAAAGGAAATGGTGAAAAGCCCAAGGAGCCTAAGGAGCCTAAGAAAGCCCTTGGCGACGTCGTGTATACGGTGGAGGTGCCGTCCAAGGAGGAGTGGGAGGATGCTGGCATCTCTGCACTCGAGCTCAAGATCTGCACCACTCGTCGACCGGATGCGACGGGTCTGGACATCTTTAACGCGAGCGGCATCCCGCCCAGCCATGCTCACATCAACCCGGCTTTCGAACGCATCGCGCCGCTCTTCAACACTACAGTTCAGCTTCCCAGCCACTACGCCCGCGCTCCCATCCGCGCAGGATTCTTCCCCTGACCATGCGCAGCCGCCCCCTCTCTGTATCATATCCATGCCCTGTTTGCAGAACTGAACCTCAGTTGAACTCGAAACCAATTTTATGCTGTCCCACTAAGCGTTGTGCTGTGGTTGAGTCGTTGCTCTTGAGCGGTCCGGTCAGCCGAAGGGCAGGGCAAGCAATCCCAACCGAGCATGTCGAACTCCGCGACTGATGCTTGAATCTAAGAGATGCATTGCAATGTGGTATATGTATGCTTACCTTTGGCAAGCAGGCACAATGAGAGGTTGCTTCGTCCAGTGGTAGGATACCTCTTTCGGGCAAAACCCGGTGTGATACACACCAGATCAAAAGAGGCTCTGTAATAGAGGTGGTCGCGGGTTCGAATCCCGCAGTGACCCTCCCTTTTTTGCGGATTTTTTTGCGGCAGCACAGCGCGGTCTCGATTTTTGGGTCCGAATAAGAGAGTGCCCTTCGTGATGACAGGTGTCAGGAACGTCCTCTCTTTGCGAAGACGGGGAGGATCCCCGACCTTTCGTCAACCGCAAACGCAGTCGATGCAATGAAATCGCAGCTCATGGTTGGAAGGACTCGGTCGATTCGTTGCCTCTGTAACCGCCTTGGATTGCCACATGCAGGTCCGCGCGAGAACGGCGTCCCGAACGAGGTCCGAGCACGCAGGTGCATTGCTTGGCCTAGTTCGGCACGGTGTCCCTTTGTCTCGCTCAGTCCCAATCATTGAAGGTGCCAGGATGAGCGGAGAACCGCCAAGTATCAAAGCTGCGCTCCGTTTCACTTCGACCACCATGCTGCCCATCAGAACGTCGACAATGTCTGGACTTTCTTCTCGCAACACTGGCCGAGTAGGCGCCGAACAGCATGCAACAGCCTCGGCAAAGCATGTCTGGGCAGCAAGCCGTCCTACAGCGTCTGACATGCTCGCCGATGGGCTGAGTGCACCTCTAATCCCGTTCGAGGAGCTTCCTTTGATCAAGTCCGAACGATCCACGTTGTCCTCTTGCTGCATTCGATGGCGCTTCACCGCTACCTTTTTCAACAGGGACCAGAATCTGGCACGAGGCTCTCTGGCAATCCAAGTCAAGCGCTGGCTTGAACATCATGGCATCAGCGACCCTTGTATCGGCCTCAGTGTCAACTTTCCGATCCTCAGAGGACGAGGACGATTTGTCGATGTGCATGTGGCTGCCTCCAGCATGGAAGTCTTGGCCCAAGCGCCACTGGTGTTTCGCGGTGCTCGACTCGAGCGACACCTCGTCGGCCTCGCACTGTCCCCAAGCATTATGGTCGTCGAAGTGACTGGATCAAACATCGCAGACACTGGCGTCGCCCAGCAATTGGCAGACGTGCTGGCGCCGTTTGCCCAAGTGCACAATATCTGGCTCGAAACACGATCCCACAGTCAGGATACAAGCATTCGTCAAAGCAAGATGATCGCGCTGGTCGAAACAGCCCTGAGCGAGCGGGGATACTGCGACTGGGACAACATCACAGCTATTCCTGGCTATGCTGTGCTGAACGGCCGCGAGTGTAGGCTCGACTATGTCGGTCGGCTCGACTGGTGCACATTCTGCCGCAGCCAGGCGTCCTCGTTCCACACGTCGGAGACGTGCCTGAAGGTGCCGGACAAGATGTGGCAGACTCTTCATCGTGGAAGAGAGTAGTGATGCTTGCTTGTGCGAATGTACTCACCTTCCAAGACGCAGTTGCGTGTCTCTGCAGGGTGGAAGTGCGCGCGGTTGGAGGGCGGGGCTGTTCCAAATTTGGATCTCGCGACGGAGTCGAGCGAAGTGCGGGCGCGCGAGCGGCAGGCAACGGCCAACCGGCTCGGATGTGGAGGTTTACTGCCGCGCGCCCGCTCCGCCCCGCTTCACCGAGTCCGCAGCACAAACACAGCTGCACTCGGGGCATCTCCACCATTCCCAACCACCACCACAACACCATCCACGGTCCACCATCCTGACGCAAAGCATATCCACATCATGAGCGCGTTCCCGATGCTCCGTACCGTGCCACAGGCATGCCGTGTAAGTGTAGCCCTACCTCCGCCCCGAGCGGCCACTTCGACATAGCATGCTGACATTCTGTGCTTTTGTTGGATTGATGCTTCTCTTGTATTGGCACAGACGATCTCGATGGCCGAGGCGCGTGTTGGACTGAGGACGAGCATGCCACAGCAGATGCGCACGTACTATGGCAAGCGTATCGACCCGCGCATGCGTCTGGACAAGGCAGCGCGTCGCGGACCTCGCGTAATGGAGGCATCCGCATCCACGTCTGGCTCCACGGTGCGCATGGGTGTCATGCTCGGCGGTGGCTCTCTCATCGCTGCTGCTGGCCTGAGCGCATTTGGATCGCAGCGTGTTCAGTGCGAGTCGGCGCGTCCGTACGCCTCTGCACCCGTATCGGTGGAGACGTCGGGCGATACCACCACAGTGTCCACGCAGCCGGAAAGCATGGTCAACGTCTACCAGCTCTCGTTCGGCACCATCTGCGGCGTGTGCGCGGGTGTGTTCATCAAGAAGGGCCTCAAACTCATCGCCTTCCTCCTCGGCGGCTGCTACGTCTTGCTCCAGTACCTCAACGGCCAGCGCCTCATCAGCGTCAACTGGAACGCCATCAACTCGCGCTACGACAAACTCGTCAACTCCGCTGCGGGTCCTCAAGCTGTGAATGCGCGTGGCTACTCGGGCAGCAAGCTCCAGCGCATCTGGGCCAACTTTACCAACTTCCTCACCGCCGACTTCCAGCCGCGCGCCACGTTCTTGGCCGGCCTCCTCCTCGGTCTGCGTCTCGGATAGTTATTTCACTCTCCAGACGTCCGGACCATGGATCTGGGCTACGAACACGTCCCTGATGATAATGCAAAGATTGAAACTACAAGAACGCCCTCGTATGCGCGGAGATGGTGTCGTGTGTGGGCTTACGAGTCCGAGTCCGTGCATTTTTGAAGGCGCTGCGATAACGGCTTTCAACGCGCGGTCACGGCGGAACGGTGGAAAAAGCGGTAATTTGGGATGCAGCTTAAAAAAAAAGGGTCGTTGAGGCGGGCGGGCACCTCCGCATTTCCGCACTTCTTCTCGACTCTGATTCGTCCAGTGGATAGCAGGGGCGGAGAAGCTGCTACGAGCCTTGGCTTCTAGCAACCACCATCGCTGACCACATCCACTATGTCAGTGCAAGAGATCAATGTGCCGGCGCCCGCCGACTTCCACGTGCACCTGCGTCAGGGCAAGATGTCGGAGCTCGTCAGCCCGCACGTGGCCGAGGGCGGTGTGGCGCTGGCGTACGTGATGCCCAACCTGGTGCCGCCCATCACATCCGCGCAGCAGGCGAGCGACTACCTCGCCTCGCTCAGCGCACTCGCGCCCCAGACCAAGTTCGTCGGTACGCTCTACCTGTCCCCCGCCCTGACGCCGGACGAGATCGCGCGCGCGGCCGAGGCGGGTGTGCGCGGCGTCAAGAGCTACCCGCGCGGCGTCACCACCAACTCCGAGGGCGGCATCGAGGACTACGAGACGTACTACCCGATCTTCGAGGCAATGCAGAAGCACAACATGGTACTCAACCTTCACGGCGAGGTGCCATCCAATGCCGACGCCGGCATCTGCGTGCTCAACGCCGAGGAAAAGTTCCTCACGCACCTCTTCAAGATCCACCGCCAGTTCCCGGATCTCAAGATCGTCCTCGAGCACGCCACGACGCGCAAGGCCGTCGAGGCCGTAAAGCAGTGCGGCGACACCGTCGGATGCACCATCACCCCGCACCACCTCGAACTCATCGTCGACGACTGGGCGGGCAAGCCGCTCAACTTCTGCAAGCCCGTTGCAAAGTACCCCGACGACCGCCAGGCGCTGCGCGACGTCATCTGTGAAGGTAAGTGCGCCATATACAAGCTCTGATGAGAGAGTCGGAGCTAATATTGTACGCCGTCTGTCGTCGCAGGCCACCCACGCTTCTTCCTGGGCTCGGACTCGGCGCCGCATCCGCTGGCGAACAAGTATCCGTCTGCAGTCACGCACGGCGCACCGGGGACCAAGGCGTCGAGCAGCGGAGATGACGACCTCGAGCCCACGGGCGTGGTGTCGTGCGGGTGCGCAGCAGGCGTGTACACCTCGTCGATCCTCGTGCCGCTGTGCGCGACGCTTCTCGAGGGCTTTGGTGCGCTCGACCAACTGGCCAACTACGTCTCTCTGAACGGCCGCAAGTTCTACGGCTATGACAACGCCGACGACATGAAGAACGGCAGCATCACGCTGCGCAGGGCAAGCAAGGGCGCAACCGGCTCAGCGGCGACTGTGCCTGCAGTCTACGTGCACCCCGAGTACGTCGAGGTGGCCGACTCGGACGCAAGCAAGGTGCAGGTGGTCCCCTTCTGGGCAGGCAAGCGTCTCGGCTGGGAGATTGTGCGTTCCTAAGCGCGCGCGAACAGGTCGCATTTCGGTGCTGAGCCCTGGTTGCAGTGATGCATGTAGGTTGGCTCGGACAAATAGTGTACCGTGCAACCTGGCAGATGACCGAAACGCCACCGAAAACTTGTCCCGACATCAGCACGCTCATTAGGCATGGGAACCTGTGTGGAATGAGAGCCGTTGTGGATCGGAATTGACGGCAAGCTCTTGGACATGGACGTGGACATGGGCAGCATGAAAACGATCCGACGGCTGCAATGTGTGGCTTTCGAGGAGCGAGCAGGGCGATGACTTGCTCGATTCCATTTCGCATGTGCTGGCTCGGATCGTTTCTTTTGCGCAGCCAAGATGAGGAACGGCTCGAGCTTGCTTGTATTTGCGGGGCCTCTGTCGCTCGCATCTCAAACAATGCGCGCCAAGAAGCCACAGTGCGCGGTGGCTTGCAGCTTATCTGGCTCGCACGTCTCCGCGGGTCGCCGGGCAAATATCCTCGCCGCCGACGCAACAGGTGCCTGCCTCGATATACGCTGCTGCCAACAAGCTTTTTCCTGGATGTTGCGGATCCAGCAAAGAGCACGAATCGCCTATCTGGTAGCAAGGCTTGCAACCCGCGGCGTGGCATCGCCACTTAACGGTTGAGCCAAAACAAATCATCGTTGTCAGCATATCGTACGCTGCTTGTCGATTCTTTTCTGCCGATGCTGCTGCGACAGCGAGCACGATGATATCGACGTGTCATGCGTCATGACAAGTGCGCAAGAGAGCACGGAGGTCCGAGGCTAAATGGGATGTGCGTGTGGGAAAGCGACAGAGCGAGAGTTTGAGAGACAGAGAAGCTTGTTGAGCCAGCCGAGCCAAAAATGCGGAGATAGCCGGCTGTACGCCAGTGTGAAGGCATCGAGAGACGACCTCGACCACGCAGTTCCGCTTCGTGAGCGCCCAGCTGATCACCATGTGAAGCGGCGGCGTGTCCAGAGCGTCATGCCGCGCGGAGACGAGTGGATGGCTCGACGCAGTGTGGAAGCACAAGGTGGTCGAGAAAGCATCCGTATGGCGTCGGGGGGCAGAGAGGGTTTGAAATGAGCTCTGCGCACACTGGCTCAGGCGAGACGCGCGATTCGCCAACCCTGCCGCATCGAAGTGGGCTGCGAATGTTGCGCATCCAATGGCAACCAAGCACAGCACCAGCAGCGCAGGCACGGCGAGGCACGGCGAGGCACGGCGAGCAAAGCTTCATTTTGCACGTCACCATCCGCCTTCCCGGCGGAGACGTTGGCGTGTGCAGCGCCGGAGCAAGGGCAGTCCCATGTGAAGTCTGCAAGGCAAGAGCGAGGCTCGAGATCCACCAGAGTCTGGCGCAAACACACACACACACACACCACACACATACATACTTACCGACACACACACTCACAAGGCTTGGCGCAACCGCTGCGCCGCGGAGCTCGCGCGACCCGTCAGGGCGTAACCACGTTGCGAGTCACCTGCCCTTGCGTTGGCCATGCCAGCGATCACATTCTATCAGCGTGGGGTGGCATCACCAGCGGGAGGGGTTTGGCGAGGTACATCCACCGATATGGAAGCCTCATCAAGCTCGGCGACTTCGCCAAAGGTGGGAGGGGATGGGAGCCCGAGCGGGGTGCTACCCAAGGATGCTGGTACCGCGGTTGCTTGCAAGCACCGAGCGAGGCTCGACTCGAACTACCGAACGTGCATCGGATTCATGGCAGCCGTATGAAGTTGAGCGATGCGACTGCGACCCCACACAGCTGGCTGCCGCTCAGCTTTTGGTCAAGCGAGGTGCAAGTCGCGAGCTTGCACTTCATCCGAAGCTTGCCCATCATCAAGATGGATCGGCACCACGCAGCATGCGCATCCGAAGCCGTTCGAGCTTGGTCGCCGCACAGACGCGGGTGCCAAGACGGATGGTTCTGAGCTTACAGCATGAGCACTCGTCGGTCAATTTGGCATCTGCCATCTGCCCAAAGAGCTGCCCACCCTGATAGCAATCCACGGCTCATAACAAACCGTGGGAACTTTGTTGCCCTCAAGCTCACATGCACAACACTCGGATTTTCGTCCACTTGAGAGATCCAACTTTTCCAACCTTCTCGAGCGCAACTTTTCCGATTCCAAGCCTTGGCCCAAGCGCGAATCGCCAGAGACGCAGAGAGAGAGAGAGCTGCTGCTGCTGCAGGGCCAATCAGGGCCGGCCAGGGTCACGCCAGGCACGTCGCGCACATTTTCCAATGCACAGCATCCAGAAGGCCAGTGACATCTGTCGACATGCGTCACACCTCAAGCTCAACACACACTGGCTCTTGCTTGCAGCGCCGAAGCGCCGTTCTTCATCTAATGAAATCGAGCGGTTCAATCAAGTGGCTTCCGCAATCCTGTGGGCCCAATCGAATCCATCCGTCGCTCCTGCCCCGCTGGGTGGCTTGCCCTCACTCTCCCCTCTCCCCTCTGCCTCTCGTTCGTGACGATGAAACCGGATGCATGCTCGTTCTCTGCCCTGCCTGGGCTCGCTCTCCACCTCCATCCCCGGGTGCATAGCCCAGGACTCGAGACAAGGTTCCCGGTGCATCAAATCCAACAGCGGTCCCCTCGTTAGGCGTAATAACACCCGCAACACACGTGCACTACGCCTCGTCCATTTGCGCCCGCCCGCCCCTCTCGCCCCAGTATCAAGATTTGCCTGGGGTGGAACAGCAAGCAGGCACGCACGCACCCCGGCACGCAGGCACTGCTTGCCCGGTGCGTGCGTGCCTCACCGCTCCCTGTGGTTAAAAGAGACACCACCAACATGCTTGCTCGCCACCATCCACCCACCCCTTCCTCCCAACCAGTCCCCACAATACATTTTGTGAGCAAGCATGTACCTCTCCCAGCCTCGAGACATCATCACTCTCTCGCCAGGATGTTCTCGTCGCCCCGCTTCCCTCCACTCGTATTCAGCCGAGCGCGAGCGCCTCTCCTCAAGCACGTCGTGGGTGTCGGACCGTTCCTCCATACCTAGTCCCGCTTCCGACTCGTCGGCGGCGTGCTTCTCCTTTTCTCCACACCAGGCTCGCGCGCAAGAAATGCAGCCCATCACGCGCTCGACCATCGGCGTGCATGGCGAGCCACATGCGCTGTCGTTGGATCGACTCAAGTTCGACGCCACTGCCGTCCCCGAGCCGAGCAGGCCGCGATCGCGATGGATGCGCTCGCAGCACTTTCAAAACGTCTGGGACAGCCTCGACCCGGGCACCGTCGACACTCGACCGCCGCATCCCTACACCGAGCTCATCAAGCTCTGCATCCTCAAGCGCCGCGAGGGCAAGCTTACCTTGAACCAGCTCTACCGCGATCTCGAAGACAAGTTTGCCTTTTTTGCCAGCTCCGCCAAGGGCAAAGGCTGGAAGGTGAGTCTACTGCCCACATGTTTGTTCCGTCGCTGTTGCATGCATGCGCCTGACACCTTCTCTCATTTGGCTCGCAGAACACGCTGCGCCACAACCTGTCTACGCAGCCGTACTTTATCAAGCTCGACCGCGAGCACGGCCAGCTGGGCAAGGGCCACTACTGGGCATACTGTCCGGATCTTGAGAAGCCGACGTCGCTTGCGCAGAGCTCCGTGGTGCAGCTCTCGTCGCTCTGGCCTCCGTCGGCCACGTCGGCGTCGGCGTCGCTCTCAGATGTGGCGACGCGTGGTCTGAGCAGCGCAGGCGAGTGGCCCATGGCGCCGCCACTCTCGCCTCCGCGCCTGCGACCATGGACGTCGGTGGAGCGGACGCGCTGGGAGACACACGATGGCTCGCGCGTGCGCCTCGAGCGACCTCAGTACCTCGATGCCACGATGGACGCGAGGGCGATCGACGGCGCCGCACGTCGCTTTTCCGGGCCCGTGCTGGCACCGCGGGTGGCGCGAGCCGACCCGGTCGGGCTCATGCGCATGCGCTCCGCCACCATCGCCACCGTCCCCGAGCCGCGCCGCGTCTGGCCTCCGCCGTCGTCCGCTTCCTCGCCCGAGTCGGCGCGCGAGTGCCTGCCGTCGCTGCCCGCACTGCCGCAGCTGCCGCCCACTCCGCCACGCACCAGCCTCGGCGACTACTACCTCGCGCACCCCATCGCCCGTTCCCGCTCCTGACCACAACATGCCTACACGAACAATCAGTCAATCATTCACCCAGCGCGCGAAAATCACCGCTCTGTCGTTGTATACAGAAGGCAAGACAATGTCTAAAACGCGAAGCGCAGCGCAATGCACGAGTTTCACATCGCCCGTTGGCGCTCCTAGCTACATTTGTCGACACGAACAATCTCTCAACCACTCTTCCGAGGTTCGACAGCCACCGCTCAACAATTGAATGTACATGCGTTAAGGAGCCAAGAACATTGCATTGATTGCGAAGGGCAAGGGCAATGCAGCCCAATGTACGCGCAACATATCGTCCGTTCCCGCTCCTAGCCGCAGTATGCCTGCACGAACAATCAAACAATCACTTGCACTCAGTGCGACAGCCACCGTTCAATCGTCAAAATTCCAAGTGTTGAGAAGCAGGGACCATGACGTGAATGCGGAACGCAGCGCGGCCAAATGCACGCGCGATGCATGCGATGCATGCGCGATGAGAGCCTGTTGCTGTTCCTAGCCGCATCATGCACGCAACAGCAACCACTCATTCAGTCGAATTGCACAGCCCCGCAACAGCCACAGCTCAATCATTGAACGCATAACGTTATGCGTTGAGAAACAAGCACCTTGACGTGATTACGAAGCGCAGTCCAGTGCATGTGTACCCCATCAAACGTTGCCGTTTTCGACCACACCATGTCTGCACGAACATTTACTCTACTGCACCTCTCGTTCGCCGCACGCGCGACCCCCACCGTTCGACCTTTGAATGCACATGCTGTGAGAAGCTCAGACCACGAATGCGAGTGACATTTCAATTCACGTGCATCCGAGCCTGCGTTGACGTTCGCGACAGCCACAGCTCAGGCTTTGAATGCACATGCGTTGTAGAACAAGCACCCATGACGTGAACGCGCAGGTTAACGTGCAAGAGATGACTGCGCGTTCTCGTCCTTGACCCCAACATCTCTGCATGAGCAATCTTTTGACCCTACGCGACAGCCCCACGACATCCACCGCTCAACCACTGATTGTACCGCCGATGAGGGGCAAACATTTTGACATGCAGGCGAAGCGCAGCGCGATGCACGTGCACATGCGCTGATCATGCACACCATGACCGCGAGATACGAGGTATGACAGTCGCAGCCCAAGCACGCGCGATGTGCCATCGTCCGTGAAAATCCCAGTCGAGCATGCGTTCGACTCTCTGCCCTTTCGTCTCGCTGACTACGGACGAGGCCTGCTCATCGCTGCCATTGGCTATTTGCCTGTACATCCGATCGGCCAGTCTACAACATGGATGTCTATCGTCGCTTTGAGTGCGCGCACGGCGTTGCCTATCTCCACGACGACGCTGCGCACTACTGCATCTAACACGATGTCTGGCTTTATGGCATGGAACAGACCGAAGCCCACTGCGAGCAGCACGTGGCGATGCTGCTGGCGGGTCATGCAGAGACGCAATGGACCCAGCACGACTGTCGCTTCTGTCTGGTTGATGCCTCCCTGTCCGTGTCGGTGCGCGGCCATCTCTTCAAGGAGCCCGATCGGCTTCGCAGGCACGTGTGCAGCAACCACATCTACCCGGATCGCCACCCGCAGCGCAGCTGTCCTTACTGCCGCGCCAGCATGGCCGCCTACAACCTCATCGACCACCTTCGGGAGCAGCACGATCTGGCGCTCGGTTCCACCTTGGCCCAACGCCAGCACGACCAGGTTGGATGTGGCTCGAATTCTGGCGGCAGGGCCGAATGGATCGACTGGATCCCATCCATCACGCCATCGACGCCGGCAGGGCAGCAGCAGCCGCAGCCCGTAGGCGAAGCTCAGGTAGCGCCTCATCTGCCTGCAGCATCGGCCAGACCAACCAGAGCCCTGCCGCGGCCATGTCCGCCAGCATGGAAGCGGCAGCTGGTGGCAGCCGCGGCGGCGGCCACGTCGTTGGACGCACGAGCCATGACGTTCACTGCCGCCCAGGACAACACATCGTCGCCGAGGCCGAGCTGCACGCGATCGAGCAGCTGGAAGCCCTGCCTGCTGCCGCATCCAGCTCGGCGGAGCATCGCGAGGATGGGCGGTGCTATGCGTCTACGCACCTATCGCAAGAAGACGTCGCCCGCCCGTACGCTTGTCTGTCCCTTCTGCGCCGCTGATGAGCAGGCCAGCTCGACGGACCGGACCAAGGTGTGGAGGCCGGCAAAGATCGGACGGCTTATCGTAATGATCCATCTGTTCAGCCAGACGAGCAGCGGGTTTTCCTGCTGCCCCGTCTGCAGTCAGTCCATGCGTATCGACAGGCTGGCGCTCCATCTCGACCAGCAGCACGACTTGACTCTGGCAAGCAAGAGCTCGGAGCCGCTGTCCGAGGATCTTTGCAACTTGCAGAAATTCTGCCTATTCCAGGAATGGATCGCACAAGGCTGTCGCGCCAAGCCACGACACGTGCCCCATTGCCCAGAAGAAGCTGTCAAGCGCCGCCAGGAGGCGCAGCCACTCGTCATCTGCGTCCACCGATGCGCAGGCTCGCAGCAGCAGCCGGCCTTCAAGAGTGGCTAACTCGGGCGCCTACACCCGTCTTGTCTCACGCGGGCAGCCTTTGGCTTTCCTGTACGCACATCCCTTGCCCTAAATGGAAATGCTTGAGACCCGCACCCACACAGACTATCCCTGCCTGCTTCGCTCCTCGGCCATTCGCCTTGGTACCACGATCACCCCCGCCCCCCGAGAGACACTCCGACCCCCCGCATTCCGCAACGGCACTCGTGAGCCGCCCAACCGTGCTGCGCCCCCAACCCATCAGCGAAGCTGGTCGCAAAGTGAACCTCATCATCATCAACATCGCATTGACACACGCGCACAGGTCAAAGGCATCGACTCATTGTATGCGGAAAACCATGACACGACTGCGAACAAAAAGTAGGTGTGTGCAAAAGAAACCGAAAAAGTCATATGAATCGTAAAAATCTCGATGCTGCTGCCGTCAAAGATTGAACAGCGGACCAGCATGTGCTGTGGAGCGGGCGAAATCGAGCAGCCACACGGCGGTGGGCGCGGGCGGCGGCACGGCCGACTTGCGCACATACCGCCTCGCAGCCTGACTCCTAGCCGGCACCTCGTCGTCCTCATCCAGCCGGCGCTGGGTGATCCAGCCCACGGGCGCGCGCTCTTCCTCCTCGAGCACGTCCGTGTGCAGCGGGAACGCGCCGGGCGCAAATCCGGGCTTGGTCTGCGCATTGCACATCTGCGTCGCGGCAGCGGCGGCGGTGACGGCGGCGCCGGACTGGTTGGTCAGGTAGCCGCTAAGGCCCGAAAACGCGCCCGTGAGGCCCTGCAGGCTCATGCGGCTCAGCGCGCGCGATCCGAGCGCCGCCAGGCTCGATGCCGACGACGCATGCGCCTCGTGGCCGTACGCGTGCTGCAGCGCGCTGCTCGTCGCCGGCCGCGGCACCGCCGCCGTCGAGTCAAAGCTCTCGCGCAGGTACGCCGAGCGCGCCACCGGCGGGCGACGTCCTCCCCAAACGCTCGCGGCGCGCGTCGCCGCGCCACCGTACACGGGCTTGCCGTCCTTGTTGATGCGCGCCGTGGGCAGGATCGCGCCGTTGCCCTGCACGACAATGGGCGGCAGGTCCAGCGCCTCGTCCGACGTGCTCAGCGCCGGCAGACGGTCCTCGCGCAGGATGCCGAAAAAGTCCTCGACGCTGTCCTGCGAACTCGCAAGCTGGCGCGAGCGGGACTTGCCCCACTCGAAGCTCCAATCGCGGTGGAATTCGGGCCGCGGCGACGGGCTGCGCACCTGCTCGGCTTCGGCCAGTCGAGCGTGCGGCGGCGGAGTCGAAGGCGCCGCATGGCTCTCGCCCGAGCTCGACGCGGACGACGCATTGACGCTGTGGTCCGCGCTCACCGCCGCACCCGCCACACCAAAGCCCTCGGCATGCCCGAGGTAGCCCTCGCCGGATCGGTACAGATCGGGCGTCGGCGGTGCCACCTCGGCATCCTGGTACGACGCGCCGAAGCTCGACTCGCTCATGTCCATGCTCGGGCGGCAGGCGTCCATGCTGCCCGCCTCGACGTCGATCCACGCCGGGCTGTGCGGGGCATCGATGGTGGAGTTCTTGTCGAGCGCGGCGCTGAGCGTGCCGTTGCTGCCCTCGACGCTCTCAGACACTTCGGAAACCTCCTCGATCTCGTCGAGCGTCTGCAAACTGCCCATGCCGAGCCCCACCAGCTCGCTGTCAGACGCGGACGCGGGCAGCTTGGTCGAAAACGAGTCCGACAGATCCGACTCGTTGTCGGTGACCGCCGTGTCGTCGGTGGCGGTCATGGAGAGCGAGGCGCTGCTCTGCGATTGGCCAAAGCTGCCCATGCTCGAGTCGTACGCAAACACGTGGCGCTTGTTCTTGCCCAGCACGCCGCTCGATCGTCGCGCCGAGCTGAACGAGTCCGAGTTCGAGTAGGTACCGTCGCGGCTTTCGTCTGCCGAGCTGAAGCTCTGCTCGACGCCAGCCTTTGCGATAGGCTGCTGGGCCTCTTGTTGGAGGCGCGCGATCTCCTCCTTGGAATGCAGGTGCTGCTTGCGCTCGTGCTCGAGGCTGCCGGCGAGGTTGAAGATCTGCTGGCGCATGTCGGCGAGCAGCTTGGTGATCTGAGGCGGGGCCTCCTCGCTTCCGATGCTCGGCGAGAGACGGGGCGTGGCGCTGAGGTTCGGGCTGACCGCACCCAGGTTAGGGCTCCTGAGGACCGCAGCGAGGTCGATCTGGGGCTGGTCGAGCGCGGCCAAAACGCCGAGGTCGTCAGCGGGCACCTCGGCGCCCGTGCGTTCGATCGCATCGGTGAGCTGCTTGATGCGCAGACGCGCTGCTGCGCGCAGCTTACGCGCATCGTCCGATTTGACCTTTTCCGTGCGCAGCGTCTTCTCGAGGTCCTGGCAGCGCGATCGCCACCCCTCGATGTCGTCCTGGAGCACCTCGCGCTCGGCGTGCAGGTCCTCGAGCTGCTCCTTGGCCTGGTCGAGCTCGGCGCGCAGCGCAGCGGCCGCCTGCTCGGCATGGCTCGCTGCAGTCTCTGCACGCTGCGCGCGATCGAAGAGATGCTCCTCCTTGTCCATGTTCCACTGCTCGAGCTCGGCACGCTCGCGCGCACCACGATCGGTCTCGTTGGCAAGTTCGCGCTCGAGCGTCTCGACCTGCTTCTTGGTGGACTCGAGCAGCGCCGCATCGCGGTTCGCCTTGAGCTTGAGCTCGTCGTGCACAGCAAGCGGCACGCCTCCGAGGCTGACGATGGAGTCGGACGCCGAGTGCGGCGACGACGACTCGGGCACCGTGGCAGTCGCGGGCTTGTAGATGATCGACGAACGTCGCGCGGCGCGGCTCGAGCCACTCGAGCCGGCGAGGGCCGCAGCGAAATCGCTGTCGCGCGACGACGAGCCGGAGACGAGCGAGGCGGTGCTAGGGCCCATGATGAGGCTGCGTCGGCGCTGAGCAGATGCGGATACGGATGCGACACTGGCCCCAGAACCGGAGGATGCGCCCGACTCCATGATGGCAGCGAGCGAAGCCTGGCTGCCGAGACGCAAGGTGCGCATGCCCTGGCGCGACGACGAGCTTGCCGAAGAAGCGGAGCCCGACTCGGCGGTGGAAGGTGTCGTAGAAGGCGCGGCGGAGGGAGCGATGAACGAGCGACGGTGGTCGCGGAGGATCTGCTGCTGCAGCTCCTCGAGCCGACGCTGCTCGTCCGCTGGCGCAGTGTGGGCCTTGGATACAGTCGCGCTTGCCTGTGCAGCTGGCGCGTTCGCGGGCTCGGACTGCGCCTGGAGGACAGAGTCGGTGCTGTCCTCTTCCGGCGACTGCACGATCTTGGACAGGTCCGGACAGGTCGCACTGCGGCTGGGCAGAGAGTCGGTGGTCTCGGACTGCGAGACGTCGGTGTCGGACAAAACAGCAGGAGCCGCCTTGGGAGTGGCCTCGTCGGCGATGGAAGCGGGCAGCAAGGGAGAGATGGCAAAGTTGGGCATCGAGGGGCTGGTGACGAGGCCATTGCGCTGCGAGGGGGTGAGGTAGAGGCTGGGCGGGCGCGACTTGAGCTTGAGCGGCTTGGGAGCGAGACTGGTGCGTCGGTTGCGCTTGACGATCTCGTCCTCGGCCTCGCGGCGCTGCTTGCGTAGCTCGTGCTCTGCCGAAGTGCGTCCGTCGGTGGGCATGTCGAGGCTGGCGCGCTCGCGGGTGGGGGAGGCATCGTCTTCCTCCTCCTCCTCCATGAGCGTGCCGAGACCTTCGGGCTGCGGCGACTCGGCTCGGGCGATCATCGAGTCGGGCCTGGCAGGGCTTGCGAGGTACGAGCTCGACAATGCAGGCGACGAGAATCCGGCGGCGAGGAGCGGCGCGGACGAGGGCGGAGCGAGGCTGTTGATGCCCCAGCTGTGGCGGCGGCTCGAAGTGGACGCGAAGGTGGCCGAGGTCGGGGTGGAGGCAGCAGCATCGGTGAAGCTCGCCGCGAGCTGGTTCCAGCTTGCGCGACGCTCCTTGATCTCGTTCTGGTGGATTTCGTCGAGGTTGGGGATCTGGATGCTCTCGGTGCGCGCATGGCTGGAGAGGCGCTTGGATGCGCGAGATCCTTTTGACTCGGACGATGCGGAGTCCGTGTGCGGCTTTTGAACCGGAGCTGCGCGACCCTCGAGCTTTTCGAGTGCGGTGAGGCGGTCGTCTGCGCTCTCGTCTGCCTGCTCTGCGGCATCTGCGATAGCCTTTCTCCAGTCCCACTGCTGCAGGCCGTCACGGGCTGGGGCAGTGGTGGCGGTGGAGCTGGAATCGGGAGCGCCAAAGAGGAGGCTGGCAGAGGGGAGGTTGGACATGCGCGAGCTGCGACGCCTTGTGGATGTGGTGGCGTGCATGGGCGATGTAGCAGGCGGCATGTCGAGGCCAAGGCCGGCGCCGAGACCTCCCATGATTTCCATGCTCTCGCGTTTTGTGGAGACGCTGGGAGTGCGGGCGTGACGGCTGATGCGTCTCGAGTGTCGCGAGTTGGGCGCGGAAGGAGAAGGTGCGATCGGGGCGGTATTGCTACGACCAGCAGCCCCATCAAAGAGCGCAGGAGAAACGGGGATGACGTTGCTGAGACGTTTCGCCGAGGCGGAAGAGGCGGGACGGAAGCTGGGTGTAGCGGGCCCACCAAAGAGCGCGGCCGAGTCGAGATACTGTTGGGAGAGGCGCTGCGGGGCTACGTTCGCCGAGTCTGCCGAGGTGGGAGCCGAGGTGGAAGCGTCAGTGTCGTCAGTGTCGGCGCTGTGCTCGATGGCAAGGACGACGGGATCTTGCTTCTTGGCGCCGAGCATGGCGATGCTGAGGGGGCGTGCGCGCGACAGGTTCCTGGAATGCGAGCGAGAGTGAGAGCGAGCGTGCACGACCGAGGGCCCGACGGTGGAGGTGGGGCGTGATTGTGCTGCTGTGGACGAGGAGGCGATGATCTGCGCTTGGGACCAGAGAGCGTTGGGCGTGATGGAGATGGAACCAGCCCGGGAGTGGCCTCGAGCGTGTCCGGTGCGAGATGCGGAGCGGGCGTGTGCTGGTGCTGTATCTGTGGATGAGGCTGTGGGAGTGGAAGCTTGCGAAGCGATCTGATTCGACAGTGCTTGTGCGACCGCTGATGATTGGACCGAGTCGTTGGTGCGCGAGCCAGACTCTGTGCGCGAGTGGGAGGAAGAAATGGAGGAGCGCTTCTGGGCCATGAGCGCCTGCTTTGCGCGGTAGCTCTTGAGCTTTTTCTTGGCCGAGAGGATCTGGTCGCCGCGATCGCGAGTGGATGCCGAGGTGCTCGCGGCAGCATTGGCTGTGGGAGTGGACATGGTTGCTATGCGGTATATGCGCCGCTAGTATGTAGACGAAGAGGCGACGTTGCGTGTGCAGAGAGAGTTGAGCAAGAGACGGACGACGTGGAGGATGGAGAGATGCAGAGTCGCTGCCGGCAGCGAGAAGTGGGTGTAGACGATCTTTGACCAGCAAAGAAGACGAAGGGAAGAGCAGCAGCAGCCAAGGGCCTCTCAGAGGCGGCCGACTGCGAGTCTAGGTGAGTTGCTGTTGACGTTGAGATCGCGGGCGCGGATATGAAGACGCCTTTGTGGGATGAATACGGGATTGGAGGGGAGGGGGGGGAGAGTGGTGAGCGAGATGAAGGGAACGGAGGCCAAGCTGAGGCAAGCTGTGTCTCTTGCCGCGTCTAATCGACCGGAAGGGATGAGGGGGGATGGATGAGGAGCCAAATGAAGCCGAGAGGCGGCGGCGCGGCGGCGACTCTGCCAAATTGGAGCAATTGAAGCGGCCGCCTCGAGAAATGTGAGAGCGGCTCAAAGGCACGCAGGGGGGAATTCAAGCTAGAGCCTGCCTGCAGAGGTGGCTGCTCTGCATCTGCATCTGCAACTGCAACGTGCAGCCGCCTCTGCCCCACCCGACTCGACTGGATTTGAGGACTTTGGCGGTTGCTCCTTCGCCGCTTCTTGCCAGGCGAGACAGCAAAGGGATCGTCGCCTTCGAGACGCCATCCGTGCTTAGCGAGGTTGGAGCCAAAATGGCGATTTCTCCCTCTCTCTCTCTCTCTCTCTCTCTCTCTCTCTCGGCTTGCGAAGCGAGGCGAAGAGTGCTAGCGTTGGTTTCAGAACGCGCAGCGGGCGTGCTGCCAGCAGGCCTTTCCCTGTCTGCGGGCACAAAAGGAGGGCCTGCACGGAGACTCCTGAATCGTGTGCAAGACTGGCATTTTCGTTGCAACTGAGCTGCACCTCACCCCAGCCTTTCCCGACTCAGCCAAAGTGCCCCAAATTTCATCCTTCGCCGGCGTGGGAAGAAGGCCCTTTCTTCGCCGCCGCCAACGCGCCTCACGATGGACGCGCGCGGGTCGGCGCGCTGTCTCCCCTTTCCGATTTCCGAACTTCACAATGTTAGACTCTCACTGTCACACTCTCAAAAAATTGCGATGCGCAAGGACTGCATTGCTCTAGCTGCATGGGATCATGCTAGGATTGGCTGACGCTGTGCCGCCTCGTCCAGCTGAATGCCCAGGCCCTGCTCGCCACCGCCCGGCAACGGCTTGGGCTGGCTCTTGGGGCTCGGATGTCGCTCCGCATCGCGCGCCATCTGCTCGCGCGTGATCCTCCTCAGATCGCGGCTGTTGTAGCCCACGGAGCGCGAGCGTCGCAGCGCCACGTTGTGCCCCAACGACTCGAGCGGCGATACCGCGCTCAGTCTCGGCATGGTCCTCGATGCGCTCATCCCGCCCTCCTCCTGCGTCCCCACCGGCGAAGGTATCCGACTGCTGCGGCTCGAGCCTTCGCGGTGGCGCAGCGACGAGTCGCGCGGAGGCGTGCGCACCTGCGGCGTGCCCGCCGCATAGTGTCGGCGCTCCCGCCACTGCTGTTGCAGAGGCGACTCCTGCAGCCCGGCCCGGCTGAGCAGCGTGCCGTCGTCCGAAAGCTGCTCCTTCATCCGCTGCGGCGGCACGGGGAACTCGAAATCCACCGCCAGCGAAGACGCAATGCTGTACGACGTGTCCGGTCGCACCTCGCCACTGCCCGGGCCCAACTTTGGCGAAGCAGCCGCGACTTCGCCACCCATGCCATCCACGGCAGTGTGGAACGACGACACGCTCGCTGCCATCGAGCTGCGTCGGCCCGACGGCTCGGGAACCTGCAGACCCATGCCGAACAGCGTCGTCTTGACCGCCGCCGCCCTGCCCACGGTCTGCGTCGACGGCATCCTCGGCACCGCCTCGGTAGGCTGCAGACCCGCCAGCGCCAGCCGCGCCGCCAGCAGAGGATCGCTCTGCTTCTTTCTGGCGTACTTTTGCTGCAGGTGCGCCTGGCGACGCGCCTCCTTGTCCGCCTGTCGCTGCTCGCGCTCCACCAGCTCCTGCTGCCTGGCACGCGCCGCCTCCTCCGATGTAGCGTACGAGCGCTGCTTGGTGCGCTTCTTCTCGCCGCTCTCCTGCACCTCCACTACTCGCTCGGCCTGGGATTCCTCCGACGCAACAGCAACAGGCAGCCCAGTGAACTCGACCATCGCCGCCGGGGCCGCGACCGGCATCTCTGCCACCAGAGTCGGGTTCCACTCGGCACTGCTCGCTACCCTCTTGGCCGAGAGCGAGTTGGTGCGTCGACGCTGGCGGGCCGACAGCATACCTGAACCGCCAGACGTGGTGCTGGCGCGGCGATGAGCCGAACCGATCACGGGCGCACGCGACACCATCACAGCCTCTCCGCAGCTCTTGGCCTCGCTGGCCGTACGTCGAACGCGCTTCGACGGTGCACGCCCCAGCCGAATCGCCTCGTCCGCAGTCTGGTTCATCGTCGCTGCCGGTGCGACAGCAGCAGGCGCGGCCGGTCGCTCCACCTCATCCATCAGCTTTCGATCGTGGAACGCCGACAGCCTCGCGAAACGCGGAGCACTAAAGCGCGGCTCATCCGCCGGCCTCTCGGCGGGCAGTGCGGCTTCGTCGCGCGAGTCAAGGTCTGGGATGTCGCGGATCTCGGCATCCGAGCTCGAGACCGGCGCGTCCTGCTCGTCCGAGAGCTGCTGCAGCCTGCGGCTCAGATGGTCGATGAGCGCCTTCTGTCGCTGCGCCTCGCGCTCGTCGACGTGCACCGCCAACCCGGTCGGCTGCGGCTTCTTGCGCAGCGTGTTGGAGCGCGACAGCGTCGGAGCGTCTGCGGTGGGTAGCATCTCGGCACCTCCACCGCCCACCCAGTCGCGCACCCTGCCCTTGCCCAGCGCCACCACCTCGGCGCGCCTTGCCTGGCCCACTTCGGCCTCGAGCGCACTCAGCGCATCTTCCGACACGCGGCTCTCGCTCCAGTGGCCGCTGCTGCGCGCCGTGAGTCGCGATGCCGTGCTCGCCCTCCGCCCCTGCACCGTCGCCTGGCTGTACGCCGAGCCCGTCGATCCGTCGCGGCGGTGCTGGCGGCGGCCCGAGTGCTGCGACACCGCGGGGCTCTTTGCAGGAAGAGGCCCAATCGAGTCGGCCTCGCGCTCAGCAAGGCTGCTGGCGCGGATCGTGTTGGCCCGCGAAGCATCCGACACCGTGGCCGAAGCAGCCGACAGGCCCGAGATGCTCCCGCGCTCGACGAGATCACGCACAGGACGCAGCGTGCTGGATCCCGACGAGTGGATCGACGCAATCTCGTGCTTGGTATCCGATCGCGTGGTGGTCTGAGAGCTCGACCGCGGCTGCTCGACCTCGACCTCGGACTTGACAACCTCCTGCTCAGCCTTGTCCGTCAGCTCTGCCGTCCTCGCACTGCTGCGCGGCGGTCGGAAGAAGAGGCCGTCGTGGCCATCATCGAGCTCGCGGCTCTCGTCGGAGCTCTCGGTATTGACGACGAGCTTGCGCAGCTTGAGCAGCGGCGTGTCCGCATCGCCCGCGCTGATCAGCGACCACGGACGCTCGACGGACAACGAGGTGTCGGTGACGCTGTGCGCGCTCGACGACAGCCGCTTGTCGCCGTTGGATGGTGATGTTGTCGCCCCGAGCTTGAGCTCGTCCTTATCCTGCCCAGGCTTGTGTGCGTCGGCCTGCTTGGGCGTGCTGGGTCGAACATCGATGCTGGGCAGAGACTGGTCTTTGCGAGTCGAGGCGAACGGATCGACAAACAGCCCGAGACCATGATTCGAGTTGACTTCGGCCTGCTTCGAAGCGGCCTTCTGTGCGGCCGAGCCAAAGCTGGTGCTCAACTTGGAATCTGTACTTGTGTTGGCGAGCTCGGCGTGCTCCTGCGCCGGCGAAGACGCGAGACTGCCACCCAGAGGCGAAGCGGCAGTGGGATCGACCTCGAGGGCGCGGAAAGTTCTGCCGTAGACCGGGGTGCTTGAGCTGCTGTCGATCTCCTCCTGCCTCACCTCGGGCGCGGGTTTGCGGCGAATGACGCTCTTGGAGCGCGTGATCTTGACAGGCATCTCGGCAGGCGTTGGACGAAGCGGCGCGTCCATGCTCGCTCGTCCTCTACGCCACGTTTCGGCGGAAGAGCTGGAGGAGACTTCGTTGGCTCGCTTCCAGCTCTCGATCTCGGGCGTCGAGGGTCGCGGCATGGTGTGCTCGGTTGCGCTTCGACCCATCTTGAGCAGGCCTCGCAGCGAAGGCCTGCGCGTATGGTTCGGGGATGGAGCTTGAGATTCCTGCACAAGGGCGGCGGCCGACTGCGGGAGCGGCGGAGAAGGGGAGGCGTGGTGAGCGTGAGCTGCGCTGCCGAACATGGATCCGATCATCGAGAGACTCTTGCTGCTCTTTCTGTGGCTGAGGCTTCGACCCAGTCGACTCGGGCGGCGCTGCGGGAGAGCTGCAGCCGCGGAAGTGGATGCTTCGCCTGAAGCGGTCGACGGTGGCGTTGGCATTGGCGAGGATGCAGAGGAGGCGGCCAAAGTGGCGAGAGGGAGCGAGCGGCTGGTCGAGTGCTTGGCCTGCCTTTGGCGCAGGGCGTTGGGCGCGTTGAGCTCTGTCTGAGCCGAGGCACCTGCATCTGAACCGCGAGAGGGAAAGGCAAAGGCCGAGATGTCGTTGGTCGTCTTGGCGATGGTCGCACCTGTGCTAGCTTGATCGTCTGTGCTAGCGATGAGAGCAGCCTTGTCGGAAGCGACGCGAGCGTGGCTCTTTTGCTTTGGCGACGGTGGACGATCGGCTTGGGGATCTTTCCAGTCGGCCGAGATGACGGCGAGCGGCGGCGAAAGCTTGTTGAGCGCGAAAGAAGCATCTCTGAGAGGCGGCATGGGTTCGGAGATGGGGTGAGGAAAGTTTGTTGATGCGCTCACTGAGCCCGAGATGGACTTTCTCCGACCAAAGAGGCGAGCGAATCGGCTGGTTGGCTGGGCTGCTTGGGCATCGGCTGCAGAGACGTGGCTGGAGGAGGCTGCAGAAGCGTCCGACTGCTTTCGGTCGACGTGCAGAGGCAGTGGCGGGGTGGTGGGAGCGGCCTTGTCGGTGCGGGAAGCGGTGGAGTCGGTGGAGCCGTTGCGACGACGCAGACTGGGGCGACGGAAGACGGAGCTGCCCATGATGGATCTGTCGCGCTGTAAGTTGCTGGAGCCGGTGGATGGTGCTGCGGGTGGGAAGGGCTGTCGCGAGCGTGTGCTTTTCCTGCGTAGGAGCGAGGTATGTTGAGCTTGCGCTTGCGATGATGGAGCGGCGACGGATGAGGGGGAGGACGAAGCGGGGCGAGCGAGGGGGACGGTGGTGGAAAGCGGGGAAGCTGAAGTAGATTTGGGAGCGAGGCCAAAGAGGCGATCGTACTGGGCCGTTGATGCTAACGATGCGGGCTGGCTAAGGGTGTGTGCGTGGGATGGAGCTTCGCCGATGCTGTGATCGTCGCTTGCCGAGTAGTGGGACGCCCTGTTTGTGGATGCGGATGGTGGGTAGAGGAGATGCGGCGGCGATCCTGGCTGAGCGCGTGTCTTGGAAGCGCGGGGTTTGGAAGACGAAGCGAGGGCGTTGGATCCATGGTAAAGAGGCGCCTCGGTGGGTGACGCGGTGCTTGACGCCACGTTGCGCGATCCTCGCCTGAGCAGCTCTGCGAAAGGCATGGTGGTGAAGGGGTACGAGCACGGCGATCAAAGCATGCCAAGTGGCGGGGGCGCGTGTGCTAGCGCATGAACAAGACGGATGGTGGCGTAGAACAGCGCGATAGGCGAGGGCTGAAGCGTCGGAGTAGCAAGGCGGGGATCGTCGCCGGAAGTGGTCGAGGTGGTGGGAGTAAGCAAGGACGATCCTTCAGGGCAGCCGGGAGGCAGCGAAGCAAACAATGAGAGGAGTGATGGAAGCCACTCTGGAAGCGGTGCCAAAGCGCGCGTGTGCATTGGCGTGCAGCGCGTGCAGCAGCGGTTAGGAGCAGCAGCGTTTGGCAGCGTTTGGCCGGCGTCGGTAGCGAGGTGGAGTATTGCCTGCTGGCACATGGCCAGCGCTGTTTCGTCTTTTTTCAAAAAGTTGGTGCCTGAAATCGGCCCTCCGCTCGCTCGAAAGGGGCCTCCAAAGGAAGCGAGAGACGCCCAGCTGTCTCAGATTTTGGCGACCTTTCTTTGCCTTTTCATGCCTTTTCCACCGCTTTTCGGGCACTGCTCAACACGACTGCCCCTCTTTTTCTCAGCTCAAAGACCGGCTCGCTATCACACCTTCAGACCGGTAGCACCGTACACCACTGGGCTGAGCAAGGCTTGGATAGCCCAAGATTTGCACTGGTGAGACAGGGTCCTACCTCTTTTCGAACTCGCGTTGCACTCCATTTTCTCACTTCTTGCCAACTTGCAAACACCAACGCGCCAAAAGATTAACCGTGGCCCCTCTTTCCTTCGCTTCCATGCTGAGTTTCGAGGCCGGTCAAGCTGTTCTGAAGCCGGTCAAGTTTGCTGTGCGGTCAATGTCTGAAAAGTCACCAGCTTGG